GAGAAGGTCTGTCTTTTACTTAAGGGCCTTCCGAGACTAATATAACGTAGTATCTAGCGACGTTATAAGATAAGTAAGTACGATAATAAGTTAATAAGTAACTTCGACTAGGTTCTTAGCGAAGTACGTATAGATATTAAAGCCTATACCGAAGCTTTAAACTTTATTAAGAGAGTAGACGATAGAGATATTAGGACTATTACTCTAAACTACGCTTCTCGAAGCGTTCCGAAATTCGTACTAGATTCGAGAACTAAACTAGGCAATCGCGGAATCGCTATTTCCTTAAATAACTCCGAGCTAATTAATATAATTTAGTAATTTCGAGAGATAGATATTAACTAGCTTCGATCCGTTCGAGAAGCTCTAGGTATTTAGCTAGTTAACCCTCTAATATAGACTATAGTTACTAAGGTATATTCCGACTACCTAATAATTAATATTTACGCTAGTAGTTACGGTCCTAGTAGTGTTTCTCCTAAATTAGATAGGAAGTACTATATATATAGAGGCAATTACCTCTAATTAGCCTACCCTTACTTTAAAGAGCTCGCTACTAAGAAGCTAATCTATAAGGATCGAGAAAACCGCTTATAGTATAGCCTAGAAGAAGGAAAGATTTAGTACTAATAGGACTATAAGACTCTAAAACTAGCTACTATCTATCCGTTACTAGAAGCTAAATATAGCGCCGAGGCTGTTATATTTACTAAACTAGGTAATTCTACGCTCTACGCTAATTAGGAAAGATAGAAGCGTAGGGTTTAAAAGGAGTAGAGGTCTAAGAATAGATTAATAGCTTCTTCTTTAGCTATTACTACCTATATAATTTATCTTACGTTTAACGAGAATATAGTAATAGATATATATATAATAACTATAGACGTTTAAGTAGCTTCGTAGTCTCGAAACAAGCTACCGAATAAGGCGCTACGCCCTATTACTACTAGTCCGAGTAGTATTACGAAGAAGAGTATTAATAGAGTAGCCGAGAACTATCGTACTACTATACGAACTAGGACTTTTAAGATAGTATACGAACGTACCTAACGGGAATCTAGTACTATAGAAGTAGAGAATTCGTAGGAAACCGAAATAGAGGACCTAATAGAGCCTATAAACTCTCTAGCGAACTATAAGCCTACGAAGTTTATCCGCTTTAATAACTACTTTAAATAGCGTAAGCCTATAGATATAGACTTAGATATCTTTTAGGCGTCGTAGTTCCTTAACCTTTAAGCTAATATTCCTATAAGTACTTTAATAGCTTATAGTACTCCGAAGAACCTATTTTAGAGTAGGCTTCCTAATAATAATAAGTTTATTAATAAGCTTAAGGCATACTGTTCGTAATAGGGCTAGAACGACGGTACTATTATTACTAGGGCCGTCGGATTAGAAGAAGGTAATAAACTAGATAAAGAAAAGAATAATACGTAAGAATTCTTCTATATCTTCGTAGTCTACTAGATCGCTAGAGGACTAGCCTCTCGAGTTAAAGAAGTATACCTAGACCTCTTAGAGGCTAACTTTAATATAGTTACGTACGACTAGGCTATCGTACCTACTATTATAATCCTAGTTAAGATCGGCGACTAGAGTATTACTATAGATACCCTAATTAATAATAGAGCTAAAGTAATAGTAATTAGTAAGAAGACGGCTACCTTACTCTATTTACTAATAGATTCCGACTACCGTATTAGTATAAATAGGATTATTAGTAGAGTAGGTTTAGTAGGTTATTACTATAACGTTATAGTTAACGCCTTCGATATCTACTTTCCCTTTATATTCTTTATTATAGACAACGATAGTACTCCTATAATTCTTAGTCGTCCGTAGGCCTATAAGCTCCGGGGAGTCTAGAAGAATTATAATAATAGCTTATAGGAAGGTACTATCTACGATTATAAGGGAAGCCGCATCGTATTTACTAGATCTATTAGTAATAAGAAGTATAAATCGCTAGAAGGTATTCTAGGAAAAGCTAGAGCGCGAATCTAAGGCCTTAGATTCGCGCTACCCTATATACTAGCTAGAATAATACTTTTACTTAAGGTAGAAAGAGAGAGGGATTCTAGCCTCGATCGAGTTTTTCGCCTTAATCTAGACTAATAGCGCGACTCGACGAACCTATAAACCGAGATAAGTAGCTACTAGAGCTATCCTTTATTACGAGGTTATTATTATTTAGACTAGAGAATATAGAAGACTTATAGGTATTAGTATAAGAAGACGCGGAAGATTTAGTAAGTAGCTCTAGCTAGAGGTACTTAGTACGTAACTACTACTACTATTATACCTTTAAGGACGTTAACTACTAGTTATATTTATATTCTTCTAACGAACCGGCTAAGGAAGTATAGGCTCTCTTCTATTATACTTACGAAGAAGCTAATTATCGACTTAACTAGGAATTCCGAGATACTATATATATTCGTACCTTAGCTAAGAAAGCTACTAGTAAGGTTAAGCTAATCTATAGTAGCGTTTACGAGACTAATAGATCGGATCCTAGAGGGAACCCTAATTAGAGAGAGGACTACCTACAAAAAGAGGTAGCTCTTAGTCCTAGTACTAGACTATTCGATAGTAAATATATTACTAGAAAGTTTTCTAACGTTAAGAAAGGATCTCGGCTAACTCCGGAGTAGTTAGAAGCTATTTAGCTAGGTCTAGAGCTTACTATAATAGAAACCTCGCTATTATATAAGCTTCTATTTAATAGAGAGGTAGTATTAGCGTATAATTTTACTTACCTAAGTAGTACTATAAGGTATATAACTAATTAGTATATAGTCTTTAGGTCTTAGTAGTTACTCTAAACTATATCTAGTATTATTAGATCTCTTACTTATCGCTTAATAGGCTCTACGTTACGAAACCGTTCTATTAATTGCCCCTAATCCTATTAATAGGATCGACTATTACCGCCTTAATTAGAGTAATTAGGGCGACTATATATTATATATTCTATAAGATAGAATTATTAGGTTCTAGCTAAGCTAAAAAGGCCGGAAGGGGATAATTCTATTAATAGAATCGATAGAGCTTCTATATAATATTATAGAGTAGTTCTTAGAGCCTTACTAAGTCCTTCTAAGTCCCTTCTATATTACTACTTATCCCTAGTGTCTCTTAATAGCTAGGCGCCTAGAATTAGTAAGTAACGTATATATATAAAGATAGCTAGTTTTATAGGTTTAGAATAAGGATATTATATAAAGGTAGGATATCTACGCTATAGAGCTAGTATTTGCTTAATTTATATCGTAATAACTTGAACCGGCGACCTTTAGTACATATAGAAGTGTTAGACTGACGTAATAACTAACTATACTAGAGTAGCTACTTCGTTTGTAATCGCTTAGATAGATAGAGACGAAGTTGACAAATTTGTTTATATAGCTTTGAGTCTGTGCGTGGGATCGGCCCGAGGTACTTCCGAGAGAGGAGGTTAGAAGCGGCTTCCAGCCGGATTGGGACTAGCTCGTTTGCCGGATCGAGTGGCTGCATCCGTGTGTCTTCGCAGCTCCGAGCAACACTTTTTCGGCTGCTCTACAGTTTCAATGGGTTTCGCAGCAGCGATCCATTCAAGACCAGCGGTAGCATCGCTTGGAAATCTGAGTCGTCTTCGCCCCTTGGAACTCAAGCCCGAGATGTTTCAACAATGATCACTGCCGGGGGCCCTTTTCTCCATGGAGCAATTGAGGGGCAAGCGAGCAAGGGAAAGAAGACCTCCAAGAAATTCTGGGACGCAGAGGTTTGCATTCGCAATGTTTGGTGATCAAGTTTCCCTGTGCCAATTTCCAGGCCGCGATTGAGATAAGGTTGCCTTGCTTTTCTGCGATCATTGCCAATGGCTCTGAGTGTGAGATGGATGTGCTTCAAGGTAAGGTACGAAGGAACAGCATGAAGTCGCAAATCATATGGGACGAGGAGCCCTCAATGGATAAGAATGGAAGGTTTGATCCCTGATCTGGCATCTCTATCAGTGTCGGATCCGGTTTCAGATCCCGCTTCTCCCTAGATGGCTTTCCAAGCTCTCGAAGAAGGACGGCGCTTGCGTGAAAAAAGTGGGTGAAGCAAGTACAAAAGCTAATGAAGAGGGCAAAGAAGGGCAGAGGTCTGGCTCAACACCTGACCACAGATGGCGGCAACATGTGGAAGAAGAACAAGCCTGCAGAAGGTAAGGAAGACAACTCGGACGAGAAAGCGTTCCCGCCTCCAGGAGCCTGGTGCGCGGTAGGTGGTTAGATTTTGGCCCGGCAGATAAGCGAAGCAACTCAAGGACTGGAATCCGAGCTCGTCGTCACACCTTGGTATCCAACGGCTTCTCGAAACACCAGCCGGCCACGCCAAATAACGAAGCTTCAACCCACTTCAATCAGGACAGCGACGCCTCCTCAACACCACACCATTTGACATGGAAATCATCCGCCGCCAGATGGAACCCAATTCAAGCCCGTATAAGAAAACAACGACGAATGCCTGGCCCAGAGATGGGGCACTTCGCGGAGACCCCTTCTAGCCCATGCCACGCAATAGGAGAAAAGTCCTCCCTCCCTTGGCCGCGTGGACGAACAATATCTTCTAGGGAAGACAAAGATCGAAAAGAAACGTCTCGTATTCAACGGTGTGCAAGCATCATGTATTCTAGGCAGGGGCACTAGTAATGTAGAGAAGTGAGGGTGAGGAGGGCGCGAAGAGAGGTAGGAGCGAGGAAATGCGTGGCGAAGATGTCTTGGGTTTGAGTGAGCGAAGCGAAGGGAGGGAGGGCGCGGCTTCAGGGAATAATTCGAAAAGATGGACGATGTGATAACATATCGAAAGAGCGACTTTTCTCGACAATCCAGCGTCCAGGTACAACGAACCCGGCAGGAATTCTTCTGCCCTCCATCAGCCCCTTTTTCGACGCTACAAAATCGTTCCAAAGAGGAAGAAATCCCTCTCAAGGGGGAAAAACTCGAACCATCCTATCCGACCTCCTAAACAACCTAACCCGATCCATTCAACACCGCATCCCCCCTCTCATCGAAATAACTCGAATACGCATTGAGAGCCGGCTGACCCCCGAGATGGACATACAGCACATTACTCCCCGCCGGGATCGCCCCCTCGCGCACGAGCTGCGCCAGCCCCGCCATACTCTTGCCCTCATAGACGGGGTCCGTGATGAGCGCGTCGGTCCTCGCGGCCAATTGCATCGCGGCGATGGTGCTCGGTCCGGGAATGCCGTAGATACCCTCGTGGAATCTATCGTCGAGGATGATGGCGTCGTCAGGGATCTCGAGGGCCGGGTCGAGGAGTTTTGCGGTATTCCGGGCGATGCGCGTGACTTGGGCGCGGAGTTGGGGCTTGGCGCCGGCGTCGATGCCGATGACTTTGCGGTTTTTGCCCTCGGCTACGGCGCCCACGACGAGCCCGGCGTGCGAGGAGCCCGTGACGCTGCAGACGACGAGGGTGTCGAAGAAGACGCCCAGTTGCTTTTCCTGCGCCGCCAGCTCGACGACGAAATTCGTGAATCCCAGACCGCCGAGTTCGTGGTCCGACGCGCCGGCGGGGACGTAGTACGCCTTCCCACCCTGCTGCTCCACCTCGGCGACGGCCTGCTTGGTGGCTTCCTTGTGGGTGATTTCGAAGCCTTCCTGGTTGAGGCGCACGTCGCCGCCCATGAGGCGGGAGAGCAGGATGTTGCCCGTTTTATCGTAGAGAGGCGGATCAATTGGAACCCATTTCTCCTGCACCGTGACGGCCTGCAGGCCCGAAGCGGTCGCCACGGCCGTCACGGCGCGCGTGTGGTTCGACTGGACTCCGCCGACGGAGACGAGATGCGTGCAACCCTTCGCCAGGGCGTCGGCGACGAGATATTCCAGTTTGCGGACTTTGTTGCCGCCATATGCGAGACCACTGCGCGGCGAGCGAAGAGAAGAGCGATCGTGTCAATCAACCAAGCATGATAATATAATGACGAATTTTCTAGTGAAAATCGGGAGGGAAGGGACAAGATATACACATACCTATTACAATCATCCCTCTTCGCCCAGATCCTCACACCTCCCCCGGGCGACAACTCCTTCGATAATCGCGGCAGGAACTGCACAGGCGAAGGCCCGAAGAGGAATTTCTCCCTCGGAATGCTCTGGAGTTTCTGGAGATAGACGGGTGTTGTGTCCGCCATAATTGTTCTTGTTGTCCTTGCCGGCTGAATCGAGAATTTTTCATCTCTCGCCTTATAGTAGTAGTAGTAGTAGTGATGACGATGGGTGGCGTGAGTACACGCCTTTTTATTACAACGCCCTTTTCGCTTGCTTGCTTGCTTGTAGTGACTAGGGCGTGAAAATATAATAAGCAACATCCTTTCATCACAATGCCTCTCGCTTACTACTACCCACTATGACCCAGATCGGCAACATGTCGGTCGGCATTTCGATGGCGGGCAGGCGTTGCTGGCCTATCGTGGGAGGTGGAGTCAGTCTGACATGGCGGGTGACTAAGAAGACGTGGCCGACTTCACTTCTCGAGAGGTTCGGTTCGCTGGAGAGACGGGGTGGAAACATGAGATCAAGACAGTAGTCCTCATGGCAAAAGGAAAGTAGGACGCAGACTTAGGTATCTTATCATTATTACAGTCATCCCCCTCCTCCTCCGAGGTTTGTGCGGGTGTGTTGGCCCCGTGCTTACTGCTAGTAATATAGAAAGCCGACGCCCCCGACTAACATATGTACTATCCTAAAACACCTCTCTAGAGGGTCTAATCTTATTAACTTAAGTAGAATCATAGATTCTTATAGAGAGAGAGAGAGAGAGTACACTATATTAAATTTATACTACGTAAAAGTAATATATATATATATATATATAGCGAGATATTTAGGAAAGATCCCTTCAAAGACCGCTAAACCACCCTCCCTCACTGGTGCACCCTCACCCAACAAAAATCCCCACACACGAGAGAGAGAGAAGAGAAGAAATCAAAAAAAAAAACATAAAAATAAAAATAAAAAAAAATCAAAAGAAACAAATCGTGCGAATCTCACAACTCTCGCGAAACGGCGCATCCCTACGACTCAGCGGATCCGTAAAAGCAGAATGCCCGACGAACCGCGCCTTGCCCTCGTCGGAATCATACGTCTTCAACAGAATAGCCTGCTCGGGCAGCATATCCGGGAAATACCACCACTGATGCCGACTCGAATGGCGCATCACGTAGTTCTCGCCCGTGCGGTCGCGGTAGCGGAGGTAGAGCTTGAAGAAGTCCTCCGGAGGCGACGAGGTGACGTCGCACATGGCGAGGGGGTTCTCTTCGACTTTGTTGAGGGGTTTCCACACGTTGATGAAGGCCACGCGCCGCGCGAGGAGGGCGGGGGCTTCCGAGGGGAGGAGTTGCTGGACGCGCGTGGGCCCGGATTCGGCGGTGTAGTCGCAGTGGACGAGACGGACGGGAGCGCGTTGCGAGGTATTCGTCTCTTGCGTGAGTTTTTTGCCTTCGTTCTTCTGCGTGCGGATCGTGTGATCGAAAACCAAAACCCGCGAACACCCCAATTCCTTCTTCAAAAAGCTCACAACTTCCGGGTAAAATTTCTCCTTCATGATGCCTTCGTCTTCCCAGTGGCCTTGGGTGTTGTGATCAAAACTACTAGGAAAGTCTTTCACCGCGAAGCCTTCTCTATCGATGGAGAATTGCTTCGCGCGATCCCAGCCGTTGGCGACGCTCATGACTTGGGGATCGTCGCCCGGCTCGTGGATGTTTAGGCTGGCGGGGTCTTCGTAGAAGTATAACTCTGTAAGCTTGGAAGTCCCCATGTCTTTCGTGTAGTTGAACTCTGCACGAACCTCTTTGGGTGCACCGTTGGGGAGGAGCGCTTTGTCTACCGCACCCTGCGTCTTTTGCCAGCAAGGGAGGGCTTCGAGATCCTCGAGCCACCGGGTGATGTTCTTGTGCGGGGATAGTGGCAGGCGGGAGGCGGCGTGGAGGTGCATGGGGGCTCCGATAGCCATGTCGACGATGGTCGGATCCGAGCCGGGGAGGACCCATTTGCCTGTCCGGCCGAGACGGGCGTCGAGGATGGCGGCTGCTTTTTCGTATTTCGGGGCTTCTTGTTGGATGAGGGCGTCGTCTGGTTGGGCGCCCAGGAGTGGCTTGACGACGTACTCGACGAGGTAGATGTAGTTGGTCTGGAACCAGACGGAGGCTTCCCACAACAACCAGCGGTTGGCGTCTGCGCGAGCCTTGAGGTCCTTGGGATAGGCAGAGTGGCCGCCGTCCGCATCCGCAGCGTACATCATGATGGCGTTGGATTCGGTGATGACGAGGTCGCCATCCGTGGCAGCCGGGACGGTAGCGCACGGGTTGATCTTGACAAAGGCCTCGCTCTTCTGTTCGCCTTTGAAGTAGTCGATGTGATGGAGATCATATTTGGTGCCGATCAGGTCCAAGCCCGCGAGGACCTTGCGACAGTTGATCGTACACGGGTCGAGGTAGATCTGAAGAACCATTGTCACTATACTCTGCGATAGATTTGGGTAATGATGGAGGAGGAGTAATGGATGATGGTATGGAGGATCTTCCCAGGGATGTTATATCAGACCCGGTTCATGGCTTCAAGGGGATTGTGTATTGCGCCTTACCCCGCCTCATGTTCAATACCCCGCTGCTGCTGCCACCAACGTCTTCACCATCCTCCGCGTCGCCGGATGATCTTCGATGGATCTGTGGGATGATCTTCGATGGATGATCTTCGATCTGCATTGGCACGTTGTGCTCATCCGACTGGCTGTCATGCAGTAGTCGAAGTCTCCGCAACGCAGCCTCCGACCGCTTCCAAATAGAATGAGCCAGGGGAAAACACCATTGGTCGTCGGTGAATTAGGCGCGTTGTGAACGGAATGGAAGGCCGTTCTGAAGAGCGGGTCGCAAGCCTATACAAGAGTCAGGGCAGGTGCAGCGAACATGTGTCCCTGACCAAAATGAGGGAAGAGGAGGCTACAAGAAATGTATAGTATACGCTTCAGTGGAGAAGCCACCGGAGAAGGGAGCCGAGCCCGTGCTATAAGCGTCGGACCGTCGGCCTTGTACAGACACCGTACATGTAGTGATACAGACTCCTTTCTGTGTTCTTAGTTGCTGAGGTGCAATGCGAGAATGCTTGGCTTCGCTGCAAGATCCTAGACGAGATGCCACGTCGTCCTAGGTAGTGATTAGTACCAACTGGAGTATGTCGCCGGGACAATGTGCATGTGCTATGCTCGCTCGGATGGGTATCGCTGATCGGGAAAGTCGGTCTTCACAGTTGCCCTCCTGGCCTAGAACTTGTGGATCTTCTTCGGCTCCACGCCCAGCTCAGCCAGGATGCCCTTCTTGCCAGCAACAGCATTCTCCATCGCTGGAGGGCCGCAGACGAAGACCTTGGTACCCTTCTCGTCACCCCACTGTCCCCGTTCGCAGCGTGCAATTGCTTCCTTCAGCACCTCCTGGTCGACGTAGCCCTTCTTGTATTTCTTCTCATCGCCCAGGCTGGGGGCATCAGGCTTCCCCTCGTCTCCACTGACGCAGTATGTGACTTGCAAGCGGCCGGGGTACTGCTGTTCCAACTGTTCCAGCTCCTCTTGCAAGACGATATCCCTCGTCCCGTTGACACCCCACAGGAGCTCGAGATGAGTCTGATCGTTCGCGTTGCTCAGGATGCCCTTGGTCAGACTGTAGATCGGGGTGATACCGGCTCCACCGGCGATGAGCAGAACGTGGCGTGGTTGCTTGGGTGGCTCGTTTGGCGTCACCCAGTTGTAGCCGGGGATGGGACCGCGGACGCTGAGCTTCTGGCCGGGCGTGAGGGAGTGCATGTGACCGGACGCCTTGCCCTTGGGATACTGTTTGACGATAAAGGTGACGGTGCCTCGCGCGTCGGGGTCCGAGACTGGCGTGTAGGGTCGCAGCACGGGGAGCCAGCCTCCCGGGGGTGTATGTTGGGTGAGGATCGCAGCTGTCCCGCAGTGTCAGTCTTCCGTTCCTTCCACTTGATCGTCTCTGACCGCGTACATGCTGCCGGGCAACCACTGATCTCGTTGTCTCCTCCCGGGAGGGAGAAGGTGATCCTCTTGGTATCAGGGCTGATTTGCTCCGAGCTCTTGCAGGTCAACTGTTTGCTGAAGAGCATGGAGCTGGGGAAGTTGAGGGTCTTGGTGGGCGCATTGTGTGCGGAGTCCATGATGTATGGTTGGCGGGAGGTTCGAGATGCTGTCCCTGCTGCTACGCCTGCTACTGCTGCTCCTGCGATGTATGGTAGTGCTCTGGAGGATCGAGAGAGGATGGAGGCCATGATGATGAAAGCAAAGAAATGTATGTATGTCGCCTTAACCTCTGTGCAAACGGTACTAGTACAAATACGGAGACTGGCGCTCACGGAAATTGGGATGCAGGAGTTGGGGAGCCGTTTTTCATATGGGGATCGCACATCGCACATCGCACATGGTGTCTGACACTGACAGGCGGCAGCAGCTGAGGGCTCCCGATCCTTCAAGCTGAGCTGCGTCGGACGTCGAAGATTGCGAAGGCCCGAGGTGGGTACATGTATTATTCTGGTCGTCGTAGAGCCATTCCCATAACAACACCAACGGTGTTCGTGAGGCCGATGCCGACAGATCAATCCAGGCCATCATTCCGATGTTGTCTGGCGGAGAAGATGTCGCGGAGGAAGACGAACACGATCCGACAAGTCAAAGTCAGTCATTCGCACTCTGCTGTGATCGGAATCTCAACGGGTCGGGTCGGGTCGGCTTCCCGGCACCCGACACATCCGAGTCATTGCCCGACATTTGGCCGATCGTCTTCGCTGTCCGACATCTGACATCTCGATGCCGCCATGTATATCACGATACATCCATCACGATACGTCCAGTGGTCGTAGGTGATGAGGACGTATTCTTTCATACTAACCACAGTCGCCATCGTATCCCATCCGAGATGGCCTGTAGTCCTTTGCCCGGGCGGGCCACCTTCGCCGTTATCTTCAACCGCACGTAACAGGCGTCGTTGAGGGTGCGATAAGAACGCCACTTGCCACGAGCCATAGGCGAGCCCCATGTACGATGGTGTGGCAATGGCTTGAAAGAAAGTCCATATAGACTAGACCATGTCCTCTCCTGCGCTGCGCTGCCTGCTTCCGACCCCTTCACCGCCAAGCTGCTCAGGGGACCGCCAAGATGAATCGCATCCGCCGCCCGTGGACCTTCCACCGGCGCGATACTGACGGCGTACAGACAAACACTCGGGACTACTCGGGAAAAGGCCTCGATGAAGACACGGCCTCTGCCGAGAAGACGGGCGTCTCCGAGACCCTGCAGCCAGTCGACGTACAGCAAGGCCATCTCCAGGAAATCCAAGTCGACGTCGCACACGTGCTACAGGACCAGGAGATCAGAGATGTCGACGACGACACTTCCCCATACCCTGAAGTCCGCGCTGTCGTACCCGAGACCGATGACCCCGACATGCCCGTCAATACCCTGCGAATGTGGCTGCTGGGAACGATCTGGGTGTTGATTGGTGCTGGTGTCAATCAGTTCTTCTCCTTGCGATATCCCGCCGTCCATATCGTCTCCATCGTTGCCGAGCTGCTGGCCTATCCAATGGGTGTTGCTCTCGCTCACATCTTGCCCATCATGACACTCGACCTGCCCTACTTTGGCAGGTGGCGCGTGAACCCGGACAAGCACTTCAACATCAAGGAGCACGTGGTCGTGGTCATCATGAGTAATGTCACCATAGGATTTGCAGGAGGCGCGGATGCGACCGCCATCATTCAAGCTGCTATCAAATTCTATGGCTTCGATCTGTCCCCTGGCTTCAGTGTTCTCGTGGTCATTTGCTGTCAAGTGCTTGGCTTCGGTGTCGCAGGCCTCTGCCATCCGTGGCTGGTCGAGCCAGCGAATATCATCTGGCCGGGTGTTTTGGGTAACTGCGCTCTCCTGAATACCTTGCACAGCCGCGCCAATGCCATCGCCAACGGCTGGAAGATCACCCGTCTCCGGTTCTTCATGGTCGTCATGGTATGCGCCTTCGTCTGGTATTGGTTCCCGGGCCTGATCTTTGTGGGACTGAGCTACTTCACCTGGATTTGCTGGATTGCCCCAAACAACATCGTCGTCAACCAGCTCTTCGGCATGCAGACAGGCCTTGGACTGTTCCCGCTTACCTTCGACTGGTCACAGATCGCGTACAACACCAATCCTCTGCTTTCGCCTTCCTGGGCGGCCATCAACGTCTTTGGAGGCTTCGCCTTCTTCTTCTGGATCGTTGTGCCGGGAATCTACTACACGAATACCTGGTATACGGCTTATCTGCCCATGATGGACGCGAACGTGTACGACAACACGGGATCGAGCTACAACGTGACAAAGGTCCTCGCCTCCACCGGCACCCTGGATCCTGTAGCCTATGCGAGTTACTCCGCACCCTACTTGCCTGCAACTTACGCTTTCGTGTACGGCTTGTCCTTTGCCTCGATCACGGCCGTTGTCGTACACGTCTACCTCTGGCACGGCAGCGATATTTACTCGGCCCTTCGCGGGAGACAAAAGCTCGACATCCATGGTCGATTGATGAAGGCTTACAAAAAAGTTCCCTGGTGGTGGAACGTCACTCTACTGGTCATTGCCACTGCTGTCTCCATTGTTCTAGCCGAGATCTACGACACGCAACTCCCCGTCTACGGCGTCTTCCTGGCTCTCTTCATCCCGGCCATCTACATGATCCCCTGCGGCATTGTCCAGGGTATCACCAACGTCGACGCAAATCAGCTCAATGTCCTCTCGGAGTTCATCGGTGGATACATGTTCGCGGGGAAGCCTCTGGCTAACATGGTCTTCAAGATCCTGTCCGAAGACGTCGTCAGTCAAGGCATTTTCTTCGCTCAGGACCAGAAACTCGGACACTACTTCAAAGTCGCCCCAAGGACGGTCTTCTTTGCCCAAGGATTCGCTTGTATTCTGGGTGCTCTCACCCAGACTGGAGTCACGCTTTGGATGCTGGGCAATATTGACAATGTCTGTTCGGAGGATCAGGCGGACTCCTTCACCTGTCCGAACGGCCGTACGGTCTTCTCATCTTCCGTGGTCTGGGGCCTCGTAGGACCGGGGAGGTTATACAGTGTCGGAAAGATCTACTCGTCGCTGCTCCACTTCTTTTGGATTGGGGCTCTGGTCCCGATCTTGACCTGGGTAGCATGGAAGTACACCAAGAAAGAGTGGCTTCGGAAGATTAACTGGCCTTTGATCTTTGGTGAGCCATCCTCCGCGCCGCGAGACATATCGACGATGATCAAACTGACAATCTAAACAGTCGGAACCTACAACGTCCCCCCAGCTACAGGTACGTCCACGTCCATCTGCAATTCTTTCCATCCATTCATTCTCGACTGACACGTCTCTCTCTCTCTAGGCATCAACTACAGCTCCTGGGCCATCGTCAACCTCATCTTCAACCACTGGATCAAGACGCGCTTCTTCGCCTGGTGGGCCAAGTACAACTACATCCTCGCCGCCGCCGTCGACTTCGGCACCGCCTTCGCCGGCATCGTCATCTTCTTCGCCGTCAGCTATCCCGGCTACGCCTTTCCCGATTGGTGGGGTAATACCGTCTATGCGAATACCGCCGATGGCAATGCGTTGGCGTGGAAGGCTATCCCCGAGCGGGGGTTCTTTGGGCCCGCGAATGGGACTTGGGGTTGACGTGTGAAGGTTGGTGGGATGGAGATCAGCGATGGGGATTTTTCTATGCAGGAGCTTTGAATAAAGCATGTTCAACTCATTTTCCCTGTCAACGATCGATTCCAAAGACGTACAGACTAATCTCTCGCCATGTCATGTCGCGTCTCATACCATTTACTAATACCCGCCCCCCGCGAAAAAGACGCAATTCCATCCCATCACGGACCCTCTTGACGAGCACCAAAACCAAATGTAACCGAAGCCATCGCCTATTAACGCAAACCCCTCTCACTTCCCCTTTCCTTTTCCCCTTTCCTTTTCCCCTTTCCTTTTCCCCTTTCCTCTTTCCTTTCCTATCCAATACCGCCAAATATGTTGAAAAAGGTTTCCCTGTTGTAATAACCACCATTCCTGGCCTTCTTAATCTATAGCGACTGATTCAGCTGCGTTGAGGGGGTAATGCTCGTGGTCTTACGGAAGAGAGGGCGGTGAGATTGTGTTTGGAGGGGGGACTTTGCGGGTGGAGATAAGATGAAGAAGGGTAGGGAGAGGAGGAGGGTGGGAGAGTCTGGAGGGTTTGGAGGGGGCAGTTGGGTAGTGGGAAGCGCGGGAGAGGAGGAAGGGACAGCAGGAAAGGTTGGCACATTCGGGGCGGTGGGCGATGATTGATGTTGGGAATATTGGGGGGGTTCGATGTTGAAAGGGGGAGCCGCCGGTGTAGGGGGTTGGGATTGGATGTTGCGTATTTCGAACATTTCGTAGGCGTTGGAGTCCAATTTCGACGTGTATCCTGAGGGGTTATTCGAAGGCTTTGGAGGCGGAAAAAAAAGGGAGTCTTGAGGAAGGGGAGAGAGGGCGGCTTTTCTTTTTGTTTCGATTTCACGTTGAGTTTCGAGCGGTTGATCTGGTGGTTATCATTGCATTGTGTTCTGTGGACTGAGTGTCTATCCGCTTGGCCATTCTCCCGCCTCCTGTTTTCCATGACGTGCCAAAGTAGGAGAACTTCAGGCCGCTTTGTACTCTCTTCCTCTCAACATTTCAATGTAGTGGCGTGACCAACTTCGTATTGGTCGTGCTTCCACCCCCGTCTTCTCGCTTTCATCTGTTACATGATCTTGTCGACGCTGATCTCCATGTTAATCGTTGATTGCTAGAGCAGTGCATCCAAATCGTTCTCACTCAGTATGTTGGTGAGCTCAACCCCCAGGGGTAGGTGTTGCTCACGCTGATCTCCACAACGGTAGTTAGTTGTTGGAGCAATGCATCGAAATCTTTCTTACTCAGTTTATCGTCGGGATCAACTCCACTGAAGGGAAAGATGCGGTCCAGTTCCAGAGTGTGAATCGCTGGATGACGGTGAATGAAGTCCACAAGCGCACATCCCTCGAATCGCGCGCCATCCAGCTGCAGCGTCTTCAGAGACGTAAATTGCTTCTTGAAGAGCTCTTCCACCAAGAATTCGTCATCACTTCTGGGTGCAAAGACTTCGTCAAACATGATGGGTATACCCATTTTTTCGACACGAAGAAGGAGGTCCGTCAAATCGAGTTCGTTGCTGAGCAGGCTGCAGAATTTCTCGACCTGTTCAGAGGATAGTACATTTGGAAAAGAGACAGTGCTGAGCTGAAGCGTTTTGACACGTCGAAGAGCTTCCGCCATATGTGTCAGGTGTTGGTCGGTGAGGTGGTTGATCATCACGTTGCAGGTCTCCTCGGACACTATCAATGCGGATGGCTTCAGGAGGCTGAGTGACAGTGCTTCTATGATTTTAAGGAAGGGCCGATGATCATCGGGCTCTGGCGGTTCAAGTAGACTCCAAACGCCGATGCCGAAGTGCGGAGTTTTGTAGTCAGAAGAAACGGGTAGCTTGGAACTGACCTCGAAAGCGTCTGGAAAGATGCGTATGTCCGGATGCACACCATGCCTCCTCAAGTGAGCGAAGAGGACGGTCAAGAGATGAAGATCCCGACCACTCTCCATCAGCGCTCTCTGCTTATTGTAGAACTTTGGAAAGTCCGGATCGGTTTCAAGCTTGACCTCGTCCACGTACAACCACAGGATATTTAGCGCAGGTCCAAAGACGGGGTGCTTGGCGACTTCGATGGCGGTACTCAGATTTTGCTCCTCGGTGAAGAGGATGTGTCGATGGGAGAATTGAGTCTCAGTAAAGGTGCGCAAGACTTTCGATGCCGCGTCTTTGCTCGTAAGACGAAGGGCCAGTAGATCCGAGTCGTGGGCGAATTGGGCGATGCGCTCGAAGAGTTCTGGAGGCACGCCCAGCAAGTCTGGCGTCGAAGGCATGTTGGACAACTTGCCGGTCGCTGCACGTGTAGTGTTGTTCCAGCTGCAATTTGCGTGCGGAATGAGCTGGGCCGTCGAGCAGTCGGAGGGCAACGAAATGCGCCTTCGGGTGTTGTGCGGTGTAATAGTGCGCGCAGAGTGGTATGTGTTGGTGGCGGCTGGATGAAGCCGCCGTTACGATGTTTGTGTTTGTGTGTGAGAAGAAATCCAAATGTTGCGCGAAGTCGTGCTTGAACCGTCGGCCAATCTTCGGAGCTTTAAGCTTTCGCTTGTAAGACGGGAGCTGCCGCGATGCATGTGAAAGTGACAGTAGAAGGAGCAGATTGAGAAATGTTGCGGCAGGAGACCTGACGTTTCCTTCAAGAGCGCGCAAAGTCGCGGAAAAGCTTTAGCAAATAAGAAAAGCTGTCGAGGCAGCTGATATGCGATAAATATACTCAATACAAGGTCGTCCGAACCTACTCACCCCACAATGTATTTCCCGTCCCATTCTCGCGCCGTGACTTCATGCCGCTATTCGCTTCTCGATGGTGAGAATTTGGAGTAAAATCATATCCTACACCGCCATCACATCCCTTTCAGAGCTCGTCCCGTGTAGCCTTAGCAGCCTCACTCTCCGGCTCAGGAGTAGCCTTGGCGTCTCGAATGCTCTGCTCCTTCTTCACATCCTCGCCCGCCTCGTTGGCAGCAGGAGCAGTGCTCGGCTCTCCCTCGCCAACATCTCTTCCAGCAGTAGCCGGATCAACGCCGTCAGGCTTGGCGGCGCCTTCATCCTCGCCTGGTAATGAGCCATCGTCGACCTCGTTGCCCATCTGGTCAACAAGTCTCGTCCGTGTCTCGTATCGTGTGCTGAACGACACCTTGCCCTGAAGAGCAGCGACTTGCTCGTCGTTGAGAATGTTGCCTTCTTCATCCCGGTACTCGACTTTCTCCTGTACGGGAATCTGACCTGCGGGAGAGTGGAGAGGGTCAATATTCTGTTGCTGCTGGGTGGTCGCGTGGATGTCTTTCTGCGGGTCTTCGGCGACAGGTGGTGCGGGACCTTGTACAGCCTGTGTTGGTTCAGCACCACCGGCAGCACTGGGAACTGCAAGAGAGTAATCGGCGTACTGCGACCATGTTAGTACAGCTCGAGTAGAAGCTTCAATCTTGAGCACCCACCGAGTCGAGGAATGCGTTGCAGTCGAAGTCCCAAGTGTCGAGAAGCTTGACACGGTTGCATTCGCTCTTAGTCCATGTGTTGCCATAGCTTAGAGGAGCGTAGAGTAAGAACACAATGACGCTCAGAACGAAGAAGACCGTGGCAGCGCTCCAGCCAGCGTATGGCTTGTCCTTCAAAGTGAATGATCCAATCTTGACTCGGCTGAATGTGAAATCGAAGACCTGGCAAAGCGCGATGATGGCAAAGTACAGTGCTGGAAAGTAATGGTGCAAGAACAGCTGACGCTGCATGAGGTAGAATGGGAAGTAGTGGAAGGCCCAGCCAAGCACTGCAGTTCCGACTTCATAGGTGAAGCGGCGGACCGGGGTGTACTGGATATCGTCGCAGCTGCGTTGCCATCTCAGAACCACCAGACCGAGGAAAAGGACGTAAACTCCCACCGCAGCAGAGCTGGCCCACCAGATCAATGGGTTGCCGGTCAGGTAGATTTGACGATGGTCTTTGCCCCAAAAGTTAATACCTCGACGGAGGACCGGCCATGATGGAGGACGAGAATCCCAAGCGTGTGATTCAACCAAGCCGGCATTGGTGGTCCACATGACCTGCTGCAGCTCCCAGAACTTGCCAAAGAAGCCAGGGTTTCGGTAGTTGACTTTCTCGGCATCTTCCTTGAGTTTTGGATGCATGTTGCTTTCGACGTACCAGATGCTGTTGGGAAGGGTGCCGCCTTTCGCGCAAGTGACCTCTTGCTGTTCAAAGCCCCAGTCAGGAAGCTTGACCTTGTGAGAGAAGAGTACACAGCCGGTCATGATGTGGACCAGCTTGAACTTCGTCTGAATTGTTCGCAGTCTCTCCTTGGCTTCCTTGCCGTCGGACATGGACTTGACAATCTCCACGCGGAACAGATCGTTGGCGTCGCCCTCGAAGCCTGCGTAACCGTACGCGGAAACTTCATTCTGCCAGTCGGCCTCGGTGATCGGTGGACGCACATCGTGCGAGTGCAGTCGTCGGTCGGTGGTGATGTGGTAGAGGCGAATGAGAGATCCGTCCTGGATATGCTCGGGGTCGAAATTGTCCCACGCATAAGGGCCTGGAATGGTGGTGTTGCCGGATGGATCCACAGCCCAGTGGATCGGCTGAGTTTGGTTCTCGACGAGGAACACATTGTTCTCGTCTTTGTGTGGATAGAGAGTGATTTGCTGCTGCTTGCTTCCTCCTGGGTACATGTGCGAATGAGAGTGCAGATAGCCTCCTTGGGTATTGTGGTGACGGAGACTGATGCGCGAGCCGAAAGCAACGTCAGCAGGCACATCGGCCATACCCTTGGAGTTGAGCGTGGACTGGAACTCGCTGCTCATGAAGCCATCGCCATCACCAGGGTTGACGAGGCACACGAAGTGGATTGCGAACATGGCCATGTAGAATGTGATTGGGATGATGATCAGACAGAAGATGCGTGCAAACAGGTGCTTGAACCAGAGGCGCATTGTGACATTCTTGGTGTCGCCAAGCAAGACCCAGAGTTGCAGTGCAGTGATTGAGCCGACCCAGGCAATGGTGAAGAGACCGACCCATTTGACACTCGCAGTTGCTCCCAAGCATACTCCCGTGGCAGCCAGCCAGAACCACCAGCTTGGCGTGAATGCCTTCTTGGGTCCCAGCTCGTTTTGATTGATGAAGGAGAACCACGAGAGACCAGTCATAGCAGTGAAGATGACCAGAGGGGCATCCAGCAGGATGAAGCGGGATTGAGTGACGAAGCCGTTCTCGAAGGTGAGCAGTCCGGCGCCCAGAGCAGCGGTGATGGTCCTGCATCCCGAAGCGCGGAGCGTCAAGAACATGCATGGAACCGCGAGAACGCCGCAGAGAGCTGGAAGTAGCCTCATGGCCACATAAGGCACACGGGGCTCCAGATAGTCCTTGCCAATGTCCTTGAAGTCGAACTCTCCATCGAAGCCGCCCAGCCAGCCAGCAAGCGTGATCAACAGCTTGGCCAGAGGTGGGTGAACATCCATGAAGAATCTACCCTTGATGTACTTGCTCGCAAACCCGCCAAAGTGTACCTCATCGAAGACGACGCTCGTAGGCTGGTAGATGCGGAACAAGCGCACGAACAGCGCAAGTAGAGTAATCCCTCCTAGCCATTCCCAGTCGGCGCTCTTGAGGCCGAGGATGTTGTTGTCGGAGACATCGTAGGAGGTGTAGTCGTATCGAGGGTGGGGAGGTTTGTCCGGGGAGGTTTGGACCATCTCTTGCTCGGTGATTCTGCCATGGATAGTTGTCCTGTCGCCCTTCTGCTTCTGTCGCGGTGATCCTGCCTTGCTCGCCATGTCGGCGGTGCTGAACGATGCTTTCGCTCCGCTGAGGAGAGGGTCGTGTTGTTTCTGATATAGCAAGGCTGTGCCGGTTAGAAAGTATCCATGCGCTGATCTCAGCCTTTGCACGTGAAACCGCAGGCCCTTTTCCGCTGAAACCGCGCGCGCGTAGTACGTGAAGATGAGTTGGTCGCAAGTATTAAAAAATCGAAAGAGGGACAAGAAAAGACGACCGTCCGGACCGCGGGTGGATTGAGAATCTCCGAAGAAGGGCAGGAGAAGAAGAGGGAGGTGGAGAGATTGAACTCGTATTGCAAGACTAGGTACGTGGTCTCTTCTTTCCTCTCGACGCAGGGAGACGTGTGCTGCCGTCCCACCTGGCAGCTTCAAGGGGTCCCTCCAAGGGGTCCGTATCTGCCTGAGGCGCTAAGAATAAGGTTCGGAGGTGCACTTTCGCCGATGCCAAGATCTGCGGCATCTGCCCGGCCTTCCTCGACCCCAAAGCTTCAACTCTTCCAGCTTCTCTTCACAACAACATCACCACTACCTCGCGGTCTCGTCGCGACTCGATATCGTGACCTATTGGCTCGCCGACAGTCCATCAGCATCTCTGTTGAAAGGTTGGTGACTGTGTCGCGAGGAGACGGGCAGCGACAGGTGGAACCGCGGCGTGAGCATCTCAGAGGGTGAATAGCAGTGGGCAAGGCCTGCAGAGGAGGCTTCAGGAACAGGGACAGCGGCTGGTGCGAGCGGTGAACTGCGAATATGGCGGCCACCAACGGCCAGCAGGCTGACACTCCGGAGCAGCCACAGGATCTTGTAAAGCTCGTGCCGCCAGGTACCATCATCCCCCCGAAAGCTCTACGAGAGTCGAGGATCGAGAAGGTCGCCGCCTATGTCGCCCGTAGTGGTGATAAGCTCGAGGAGAAAGTGCGCGCCGGTGGACAAGCTCCCTACGTCGACCCGGAAGACCCCTACCACGCTTACTACAAATGGCGTGTCGAAGAGATCAGAGCTGGCCGTGGGTTCGATGAGTCGACCAGAGCCATCGCTCGCAAGACAGAAGTCACATTCCAGGGTAAGGACAGCGCGCCGAAGCCCCCGCCCGAGTATCAGTTCAGCGCCCGCATGCCCAACATCAGTGCGCAAGATCTTGAGATTGTCAAGTTGACTGCACTGTATGCCGCCAAGAATGGGAAGAGTTGGATTACCCAGCTCAGTCAAAGAGAATCTGGCAACTTTCAATTCGACTTCTTGCGACCACAGCACTCTCTGAACATGTATTTCAACCGGTTGATGGAGCAGTACAAGGATTTGATCGAGGGCGAGACGGCAAAGAATGGTGCACCACAGAAGAAGCGCGTCGCTGAGTTGGAGAGTACTGTTGCCGACCGGTTTAGTGTGCTGGAACGAGCGAAGAAGCGGGCTGAGTACCGGCAGTGGCAGGACAAGCAGAAAGTAGAGAAAGAGGAGAAGGAAGAGAAGGAGAGGATTGCCTTTGCGCAGATTGACTGGCATGACTTCAGCGTTGTCGCCACCATTACATTTGACGAGGGTGATGAGCATGCAGAAATGGCGCCGCCTAAATCTAAGAATGACATGCTCTCGCTGAGTCTAGAGGAGAAGGCCAAGATGCGTATAGACCCCAGCCGGAGACTCGAGGAAGCTGTGCCCAGTTTCGACGACTACACCGACATCTTTGGGCAACAGCAGCAGATGCCCGCTGCTCAGATGCCGCAAACCTACACTCCACAGCCACCTCCATCTGCCTCTCCTGCCCAGGCCGCGCCATATGCCGCGCCGCCTTCAGTCCAGGAGGAGCGTGAGCGTGTACGCGCGAATCTCACCAAGAACAACCAGCCCGCGCGTGTGCGGACTAATTACGTCCCTGCAGCTCAACGCGGCAAACAAGCCCAGAATACTTCCATCTGCCCGATCTGCAAGCAGGCCATTCCCAACGACGAGATGGAGCATCACATGAAGATCGAATCGTTATCACCCGAATGGCGCGAACAGATGGCCAAGAATCAGCAGCGAAGCTCAACCACGAACCTCGCCACAGCTGATGTCGCCAACAACCTCAAGCGCTTGGCTTCGCAGCGCACGGACGTCTTCGATCCTATCACTGGTCAGGCGATCACTCCGGAGGAGCAGGAACGTCGCAAGCGGGCAGAGCTATCGGCATACGACGGCTCGGCACAGCAGTATCAACAACATCCACTGCCACCTGGTCCATTCCCGCCGGGCACAGAGCGACCCGATGTGCATGAGCAAATCCGATATTTGCACGACAAGTACAAGAAGTGAAGAAGGAGACAAGGGTATTGAAGGATGACTTACCTTTGGAAACCAGACTGCCGACTCGTCGTTGGCCAGTTCCATGGTCTTGAGCGACAGTAGCAGTAGCGAACGACACCTCCGTCGCCCAGGAATCGAACTTGGCTGCTTGGCTCAGCAGGGTGCACTTCGAGTGTCAAACGCGAGACAGATAGTGAAAGGTAACACCTCCTTGGTCACAACTCAGGCCTCTCACTGATTCATCTTCAGCAATGACCCGCCACCGCTTCGTGCGTGGCTCTTTCCAAGGCCACGACATCTTCGTGTTGTCGCGCCAGACCTTCACCTCATATACCTCCCACGCTTCATGCTCTTCCCATATCCATCCCTCAAGGGTCTTCCTACCTTCCTCCTCAGTATACGTCGTCTCCCCTTCTCCGTTGTACCTTCACGGGTCCTCAGGGAACTTCGATGGGAGACTCGTTTGTCAATGGAGGTATAGTGACCTTCCGTCCACACCATCGACTGTTTACTTGATCAAGTGCATCGGGTGTTCTTGAGGCTTCCTGATCTTTGGGGAGTTGGTGAGAGGCGCTAGCTTGTCGGACGGGTACATGTTCCTCTTTTCTCTTGCTATCTTGTGTGAAAATGATCCATGAACAGGTTGTGTAATTGGACCGGCGTCGTGGGCCAGAAAGGGTTGTCGGGCCCTTCTGTTCAAGAGCCTGAGCAGTCGCACACAACCCAGGTGGGCGAATCAGGGATAATGTACAGCTTGGAAGGGTTTGCTTTGAGAGTCCAGAGCTCTGTGCCTCTGAAGGATGCCGTGCGATGGTCGATCTACACAAACTCAACACGGACTGTGACCCCTCTACACTTTTTCCTCCTCACTATTTTCTCATCCTAAAAACCATTCCCCAAGGCAACAACACGTCAAAGAAAAAACAATCTGCGTCTTCAACCATCCCCGTACCTGCCCCAAATCTCTTCCACGAAGTCAGTTCAGCCCATCCACAAATGCGATCAAACTGTTCTTTTATCTTCCGCGAAGCAGCTTTCTATAGACAGACAGGCCATAGAGCTACAATAATTTTCTTCTCGACATCTCGAAACGAAGAAGAAGAAGAAGAAGAAGAAGAAGCCGTGAAACCCTTACTCCCGCTCCGCGTTAGGCTGGAATGCTCTCGCAACCAAGAGGAGGAGAGATGTGAATAGGAGTTTAGAAATCGAGCAGAGGAAATGGGATTGATAGGACACCGCGGAAGTTTTGGAGGAGATTGGGACAAGAGGGAGAAGGAGGGTGATGAGGATTTGAGGAGATAGTATAGATTGCGGCCGTGACAATAATAATAATAATAAGAAGTGCCAAGTAGTGTTCGTCCTGTAACCCAACCCCAACCCCACCCTCTCCCTTTCCCTTTCCGTCCAACACTGCATACCAGCCCGTCCAATATGACCACCTCCCCGACAAATCATCATTCTCTCGGGAATGGAAGAGGGTGTACGACGCCTGCACCTAATCGACGCATCTGCCGATTGGTCTGGTCGGCGCGGTACACTAACGGCAGGCTGCATCCTCGGTGGCACGACTCGTTGCCCTTCGTCTGGGCCACGCGCCTTGCTGGCCTTTGGGTATGGACTACTGCACACTTGCTGTATGTCTCACTTTCTGCCTTGGCAGGGGCCGCTTTTGGGTGTGGAAGTGCCGCGATCATGGGTGAGGAAGGTGGATTAATGGAGGCCTTGCGATGTTTGTGGTGCAGTTCTTGTGCGCGTGGCGCTCCTCCTTAGAGTTCGAGTACTCGTCTGAGACAATAATCAATGTTTCCGGAAGGCCGTATGATGACAATTCTTCGCGCTGGCCTGGGAAACTCTAGAGGTTCTGCAGTAGCATGCAACACAGATGCGGATACGTCTTCCCAGTCGACGAAGCCCAAGCTGCGCATAGTGGTATATGCGCAAGCTGTAGTTGTTTCCAAAATGTGTAACAGGGGGACAACGATGCGCCTTCCATGTGAGAACCATCATTGACTCTTCTCAGTGCTTCCAGACGATTCGATCAGCGTTATTAGCGTCATTCCTTGCACTGCCGAGTGCGGCCTCCGGTCGATCGTCTTCAAACGGAGTCGAGGGTACACCTGGTGGTACTTTCAATTTGGTTTCCGGAGCTTTGGCAGAGAATAAGACATCCTTGATCGAATTTGCTATCAACGCAAGCGTATCCCACTGATCACCATGTTAGCAACTGTCTTCAACGGCGGTGTTCGGCACAAGGGCCGCGTGATGTATTGAGCTAGCTATGAAAGCAGGCGCTGTCGAAAGACTCACCATAGTGTCGCTGGTATGGTAATCTATTCTTTCCAGGAGCTAGCAGGCAATTCTCAAAAGCAGGCGTCTCGAATCATAACTCGGTGGATGGGCTCATGGACTTCGGACAGCGGGTAAGGCGCAACAGGATGGTATGTAGATGGAAAGGTTGCGCCATGATACAAGTCCCGGAGGTCGTGCGCCACTGCAATCCGCGGAACCAGGGCCGGTGCATATGGGTAATGCTGACATAATAGTGACGGGTCGCCCGCGTATCCGGTCCGCGAACTTGCCCAGCTGGACTGTGGATCTCGTCTTTTAAGCAGCCTTCTTCTCGTTGATATGCTTCTCTCCCGATTGCTCCGTCTCAGCAGTGTATGGATGCTTAATCGTCAGGCACCAGATGTCCAGGTAGTCGCAGATGGTAACGATCACATCTACAACGAAGCTTGCGTAGATACCAAACGCAAATCCAAGGCAGGTAAACATGAATGCCACCTGGTACACACCGTCTCCCAAAGAGCTGGGCCATCCAAACCCAATCTTTTCTGTGAGGAAAGGACCTAGAGAATCAAGCACTCCGTAGATGAGTGGAAGCACGAGCACGTTCTGGTAGGGGAATGGTGACTTGGTGAGATGTGCGGTGATCATCTGGCCCACGCTGTAAGCATTGACAAGACCAACGTAAAGAACGAACGGAACCAAGTGGTCGTGGAGGATTGTCGGCTGGAGGGCGAGGTATGCGGCAATCAGAGCCCAAGATGTGAAGAAGGGGACCAGTCCAAGCAAAGCGTGGCGCGCTTGCTCGCCTCGTTGTCTTCGAGCTGCCATAACATTGCGGGAGCTTCGCAGTGGATCAGCTTAAATCGAGACCTCGGGGCGCTGATCAGACTCACCTGTCGACGGTGTTCAAAACGAGGACTATACCACCGTACACCATGTACCAGGCTCCGAAATCCATCTCGTAGACGTTTCCTGGGATCCAAGGAAAGCGGGGAACACCCAGGGCGCCGAACATGGATTGCTGCCAATAGCTGCCGCCGCCCATGTAGCCAGTGAAAGCGTAGACGATGCAGAGTGTCAGGATGCCTTCCACCGGACCAGAGACGAAGCCAAGCGTGAGTGTTTTGGTGTGGTACTCGTCCCATGTCTGTACGTAGAAGGTGAGCAGGCAAGCGAAGAGTATCAAAACGGTCCTCCAGCTTTGACCAAAGTTCATCGCAGCAGAGAACAGTAGGACTTCGAGGGTGGTGTTGAGTGCATCGACGCCGTGGTCGAACAGCTCTCCAAGAGGCCCGCTCTGGCGCGTGCGTCGGGCTTGAGATCCGTCAATGGCATCGAGAGTCTGGTACAAGAAGAGGCCGATCGCCCAGCTCCAGTACACCCATGGCGGGCAGTCTTGGTCCATGTTGGGCGAGTAGTAGAGCATGGTAAGGACGTTGACCACGACGAAGCCGAAGCCGGTCAACGTGACAGCATTGGGAGCCATGGAGAGCGGGACCAGGTTGATGACCTGGCTCCACCAGTATGGCTTCAAGACATAGCGTGAGACCAGACTCTTGTCGACGCCTATACAGTCGATGCGGTTAGATGCATAAACGCGTCTCGTTCGCGTCGAGATAGCGTACCTGAGTACTTGTATTCTTTCAGCTTCGGTAGCTGCTCCTGACGGACATACATCGTGCGCACAATTGGAAAATGGTCTGGAATGTGCCGTGCCGTGCAGTGTGAAAGATGTTCTGTATGTCTCGTATGGCCGGAAAAATGATTTGGTGCGAGAGAAGTTTTGTCGGAATGGGCTCGGCGACGTGCAGATGATGTCAGTCGTCTTTGTCGCGTCTCGCGTCCAGTCGCCTGGAAAGTTGGAAGCTGAGACGTGGCAGATTCGGATCGTGTCTGAGTACGTAACCGACTCCGTTCGCGCTGTCAATCGATCACGGCCATTCGGTGTGTAGAGAGCACTTGTGAAGGGTGCGTTGGGCGTGTTCTGTCTTGATCAAGATTCCATTCCTTTCCTTCGTTGAAATTTTGAACCGGAGAAAGACCGAGCGACCGCCGACCTAAGCCCGTATCACGATGGTCACGTGCGTCTTTCCCCCGTTCGACGCCGTCCTCGCTACTGGAATTCAGAGGTCCTACAAACCGCTGACGGTGATACACTGGATCAACCATCCATCACACTCTTTGTTCTCCGAATAGATGTGATCACGAGTCGCAAATGACCTCAAGACCACCACGGTGCCTCCAAGACTTGCCCACAAGAAGACGCGCACGGCACGGCCGGACCCTTACTGTCGGTAGACCCACGATGGATTGTACTCAAGGGCTGCAGACGTTGTAAAGCAATGTGACGAACGGTCTTCTTGCTACCACCGCAATCCACGCATCACGACAGAACGCTCGCTACTGGTTCACTCTGGAAAGCAGGGTAGGATGATCGATCTTGACGGTTGAGAAGACATCGCGGGCTCAGCTGCCTGGAAGACTTTGTCTGAGAACAGAAAGGCTATTCTTGGGCATTCGCATGCTCCGGGCAGCATTATCGCCCAGCCTTTTGCAGAGAGCTTCCGTTCGGAGAAACTCTCTGATGTTTGACCCGATGAAATGGTTCAGACTGTCGCGCGGTACCCCACTGATCTTTGAGCAATGGCAGGCTCAAGTTGGCAGACGCTGGTTTCTAGAAGGTATGTGACCGTGTGACGGTCAGAACCGCGAATAATTTGAACGAATTAATAGCTGGCGGTATGTACGGCGAACCCAAATCTTCGAATTTGGAAAGCTCTTTCCGCCGGAACATCAGCAGCCTTTTCGCTATCTCCTGGGTTGAGTGCACGACAACGTGATGATCGAAGAGGACCGCGATGCTTACGAGCACACTCTCAGTTACATCGGTCTCATCTACAGGGGCATCGTGGATAAACTGGATCCACCCCTGGGGTCAGGACGAAGAGTGATAGCTATGCCCGCGCGAGTATCGCTGTACTCTTCAGATCTGGTGGAGACAATCCAGCCGCGCGCTCTGGTTGTAAATCGTGCATATATGTCTGCTCCAACCATAATAGCAAATTGGCCAAATTTGGGGTTTCGCAACACTCAAGAGTGAAAGAAAGGCCTTTCAAGCGTGGACCCAAGCCCCCGAGAGCCTTTACCAAAATCGTGCTGTCCCAATCTTCCACGATGCAATGGGCGTTGTTGGGTGGAATGTACTAGATTTTGAAGCTTCGCGGTAGATTTGGGAATTTACTGACAGGAGGCCGCGGGATTGGAACTCTTTGTGGAGCGTGATTCGGTCGGGTTCGAGGAGGGGACGTGTTCGTAGATGTGGTTACGGAGTGGGTCTAGGAGTTTGAGGAGACCGGTATCTGTGGCTTGAGAGGTATTGTCATCCCCTATACCTGGAGCTGGTCTCGCTGGCGGAGCCTCGAGAAAGCCTACAACGCCTGCCTTGGTCTTCGGCGCGCTGGTGTGTGTGCGCGGCAGCGCGTACGGATTCGCGTTTGGCTGCATCTCGGATATGAGGTTGCAGTGTGCTTGGAGAGAAAGCGGCGTGAATTCGTCGGTTTCGCGGAAAAGGTTGGGAGTTGGAAGCGCGAAAGCTTTAAGTTGACGCTAAGGACCGTCACATGCGCCTGCCCGAAGCACGGACAGCCTGAGGGGCAACTGCCGTTTCTACTCACAACACTCAACGTTCACCTTTCAAGCTGCAAGGCCTCCAGTCACTTCCATCAAATACGGCATCACTCGTCCACAGATGCCATGCTTTCCGCGTCGTCCTGGTTCAGGAAACCGCCATCGGCGTCCGGAGTGTAAGCGAAAGGGGTGAAAATTATCAAACGGAAGGTGCGAGGCTCTGATGGGAACAACTTCCACTCTGTGATCCATCAGCAAGGTCGACTTGCGCTCCTCAAGGTGAATGTTCCATCAGGCATACATTGCTGCCTTATTGGCAAAATCAGACATCACCAAGTGACTCTCATTACTTACCTTTCGTCCCCATGACAACGACGACAAACGGAACCTCCAAGCCATACAACTTCGCTTCTTACTAGTACTGCAGCTTCATAACGCCAGCTTCATGACACCCAGCACAAATACTCCATCTTTTGCGACGCGACTTCGAACAGGACATTGATCCGGCCACATCCATCAACTCTCTCGGCACCGACGCTCACTACAACAACATATCTCAGTCTTCATCCAGGAGAGAGGTCTTCATGGACTGACGGCATACTTACTATCCTTTCCGGTCTCAAATCAATCCACCATCATCGCATACCGGCGCCATGTTTTCAAATCGGCACCAGATGCTCGCGCAGGCTGTAAGTCATATCTCCCGTCCGCTACTCACATTCTCTACTGACCAACTTCAGCCGATCGAGCGCCGCGTCTTGGACGCCCAGACATACTGGATTCCTCAATTTCTCATCGCCGTAACTCCAGAACTCCAACCCGAGCATCTGAAACCCAAAGGCACACAGGCCTGGCTCAATAGGATAACAAACGACATCCGCACACTCGAGACATTCCGTAGCGCCATGACTCAGCTCAACCTGCGCTCGTCCGACTTTCCGGCGGATGTAAAGGACGAAGGCGGTCGGGTCGTCGAATTTTTGAATCCTTTCTCGCTAGTGGACCTGCAGCGGGACATCCTATGGCATCAGCTACGGATCCTGGAGGGCGTACGGCGAGAAACGACAGCATTATCCGAGGCCGAGTCGCATGCCTTGGATGAGGTCTTGCAGCTGAGAGATACTTACGTTGAGAATGTGCAGCGCGAAGAGACGAATAGACAGCAATGGGCGCAAGGGTTGGAGGCTCACAAAGCTTGCGATACTGGAGCGCAGAGAACAGAGAGAGTCGGACAGTGGGTGCGTGGAGTCGATCCGGCGTTATTTTCGCCGTCGTCTCGGTCGTATGGACAGGACACACCAACACCTGCTCCTCGCGTTCCCGGTAGAAGCGGCATGCCAACTTCGGGCAACGCTCACTCTCCCGCCCTGAACCTGCCACCAGCAGGACTCTCCCCGTATCCTGCGCCGAACGCGCCAGAGCCCGGTCCTGGACCCATGTTTTGGCCTAATCCGATGGGCCTTGACGCATTCAAACCGTCCGCGACAAACGGTCTTGCGTATCCGTATCCGTATCCAATGACCCAAGGCAGAGCATTTGGGAACGCGGTCTATCCAGGTCAGATCCATCCACTCCCTGCTTACACGTCCATGGAAAGGCCTACGTATCCGGCTCCAAATCACTTGGGAGGCAACATGGGTGGTATGCTTCCTCCGGACACAGTTCAGCATTCAGTTCGCCAGTCCTTCGAAGCCAGAACACTTACATACCCGGCGCCCGATGTTTATCCAAATGGCACTGGGCATACGCGCGACGGCATGTCTGCAGCTACGCCTAGGTTCAATCCACCGATGGCAAACACGTTGCAGTCGATGAATGGATTTGTGGTTCCGAGAATGGGAGGTCCTGTACAACCTGCCCATTTCTACAACCCCGGCACACTCGTCAGAGGCATGGTCTTACGCATGGCGCAAATGCAGAATTCTGCATATCACGCTCAACGCTCCATGCCGGGACGCTATCCTCCAGCCGTTCCTACGGCGGGTGCGTACGAACACGGTAGACCGCTGTATGGCCACCTGACGCAGTCGTACACCACCGGCACGGGTGACGGTGGGTCGCAGCAGACTGCAATCAAGGCAGAGACGCCCATTAAGCAGGAGCCCTCGAGCTAGGAAGAGAATCGTTGCAGCTTCTCAGTCTCATTGCAAGCGGTGTGACCCCACCGATATGCCATCTCCGGCCATTGACTGTCTTCGAGAGAGCGCCGAGTCTCCGGGTAGAGTGGAGCCAGACGACATCAACCGAAGCAGCAAGAGGATGGGAAAGCGGTGAGGTGCTCTTGTTCCAGAGAGGAAGCCATGAGATAAGGGAGGCCTAGTGTTCTATCTATTACTCATTCCGCACGATTCTCGTGAACGAATGACCAGTGGAAGCTTGTCCAAGTCTCGCTCCAGTGGTTTCCGCAAGAGGTATCAAGTTCCAGAATACATCTTGCGCGCTTCAAGAATTAGCTCGCTCGATTCAACGACGATAGTGTCCTTCCGTTCCGATACAACGACGATTTTGTCCTTCCAATTGATCCAATACGATGAGCATGGATTGTGGGAAAGGCAAGAAAGGAACTTGGAAAGAGACATGTCTAATTTTAGTTCCCGCGCTAGCTGGGTTCGGACTAGTGAGTAAAGAGTGCACCTTTCATCACTGCATGTGCACTCCACTCTTTCCATCGTCATCACTACAGTACCTTATCACCGCCGGAGGTTACTATATGCAAGATTCACACGAAGATCCACAAGAGCCGCCTCAGGCCTGGATGCGAGAGAATTACACTCACTGTTATTTAAAGGTCTAACGGTAAATGCCACTAAACTTCCCAGTTTGGTCCATTGAGGAAGAAAATGAATTTCTCGTATAAAGGAATGGAGAGCGAGGTCTAAATCACAGATCTCATTAGAATCTCCAGACCTGCGCACAGCTACGCTGGACGTGTCTCCCCCCCGGCTAGCATGTCTCTCTCGAGGGAATGTCTTCTCCGCGATCAGTCCAGCCAGCACCTTTGCCTACCTAGCGAGTGATCACACTAGCGGTCTCCTACCAGTATCGAAAAGGATACACAACTCCCATCGTCCGGTCTAGAAAAAGTTGCTTAGGTACGTACGGAGACCCGGAACCTAGTAGATTAAGCGAAGCGAGCTGTGCGAGGCGAGGCGAAGAATCTCCATAAGCTTAATCTTAAGGCTAAGTGTAGGTACGGTAGATCTTGGTAGTACTGTAGTAGATCTTGGAATTCCTTGAGTATAGTGATAATATTTGTGACCCGTACGATACCGTAGTGGTCGAGGTCCTTCCGAGAGTGAAGTTTCACAGTCTCGAAGGAGATGTCCACGTGAATGATCTGTGAATCGAGATAGATGTAGCCGACGAACGATGCTGCATGTACACTGCCGGGACTTTAGCCTCCTCCACCTCAAGCTGTGTGCACCTGCCCTGCCCTCTAACGATGACCGAGCAGACGGCATGTGAGTGAGGTGTCGGTGAATGTGACTGCCTACTGTACCTGCCTACGACGCAGAAGGGAAAGGACGTGACGTGGCGCGTTCGGCGCGAAGGAAGAAGCGCCTGAGTGGAGGTACATGTAGCGAGTGCATGAGGTGCGTGGAGCGTCTACGTAGTACGCCGCGGCAAATGAGGGTCGTGTCTCACTTCCTGCGGACTCGGACGTTACGACATCTTCTCGGCAATCTTGGATGTATTGACCATATCCATTCGCGTCTTGTTGCCGCCCAGGTGAGATGGTCTGAGCCATGGCGCGTTACGCAAAAGCGTGACTACAATGCTCACAATCAGCACACCACAACAGGCCGATTGATAGCACGAGATACTGTACACGTGGGTTGGGCACTCTGATCCCCCGTACATGTGCCACGTCCTGTTCGCGATACGCAGTGTGAGACAGAAGAGCATGGATGGTGTTACAGCCCGGGGCACAGGGGGCCTTCTCCAGTGTCTCAACTCCACATCTCCACACCAGCTCCTCCTGACCCAACACACAATGTACTGTAAGAATGCGGGTGTGAAGATCTGTGTGTGATATCACAATATGGCTTATCGAAGCTGGGGCACGTGGGTGTTGTCGCATGCACTCGTCTAGCCGCTCGTTTAGCTGCAGGGGCGTCAGGTGCCGCGGGGATCTGCATGCGTGGACAACCACATGCGCACCCAACACTCCGTAATCAGTCATCACGACATTTTCTCTATCTCTCAGCATCAGCGGCACTATCAGCAACACTCTCCGTATCTCAGCATCGTCAGCCAATTCTCGCACTCGGCTCTGGCACATGGCAGTGCGCATGGCAGCGGTGTGCGGTGCTGCCTCCCTGCCCGCCTGCCACCGAAACCACCGTATCCCATCGGCCCGCCTACGCAATCCAGGCAGCGTGCTGCTGACCGTACAATTACTCGTCGCCGTGTCCTGGGCACCCGCTGTCCTGTCCGCCTGGAAGACATTCACCTGCATCCCACCATCGCGCTACTGAAACCATCTTTTCCTCTGCCACATGTCAGTCCTCAGTCTTGCTTATGAGCTCTCCATTCTCTGCCCTCTCCCTCCGCCGCCCTCTCCAACTCTTTGTCCTACCATCTCTCCCCCATCCCTCTTCTCCCTCCATGCCCTTCACCACCTGCACCGACCATGTCGACTGATAGAATAGATGACGCCGCCGTTCAACAGAAACCGGAAGAGAAGACAGACGATGCTGCTGCCAACAATGGCCGAGCGAAGAGGCGCTTCGATTGGAAGAGGATGCTGGACAACAATAGGCACGGCCGAGCAAGACCGGCTGGAGGCAGCGGAGACAACTCGGACAATGAACACAGCGAGACCACGAGGCCCGAGAAGTGGAGTATGGGCGTCCTGAACGACACGGAAACCGAAGAGGTTCCTGGCTCAGTTCTGCTCCTGTCCAAGGTCTCCAAATACAACGAGCCTCTTGGATTGCGCAACGCTCCCGCTCCGACCTCTTCCTCCTTTCTGCCTGTTACATACCCACCTCCATCGCCGGCCGGGTCCATACACATACGAAGACCGTCCATTCAAGAGAAGAAGCGCACACCGGATGGCAAGTTCGTCTTGGATCCTCAACCCGACGACTCCGTCAACGATCCTCTCAACTGGAAGCCCTGGCGTCGAGATGCTGCCCTCTTCTCCCTCGGCTTCTACTGCATGCTAGGCGGTGGTATGACTCCCATCCTCGCGGCCGGTTTCAACAACGTGGCACATGACTTCGACATTCCAGAAGCACGAGTTGCCCTCACGACCGGACTATACATGTTGGGGCTCGGTCTGGGCAGTGTCTTGCTCAGCCCCACTGCCATTCTGTACGGCAAGCGTCCCGTATACTTGGTCGCAGCAATCTGCTTCATCGTGTCCGCGATTTGGTGTGCTGTCTCTCCAAACTTTGCCAGTCTGGTCTGTGCCCGTGTCTTTATGGGCTTCGCAGTCTCCAGCGTGGAATGTCTGCCCTCGGCTACTATCGCTGAGATCTACTTCTTGCACGAGAAGGGCTATCGATTGGGTATCTACACATTGCTGCTGCTCGGAGGTAAGAACCTGGTGCCGCTAGTGAGTGCTGCCATCATCGAAAGCTTGGGATGGAGATGGGTCTTCTGGATCGTTGCCACTGTAGTCGGCTTCGGTCTGGTCCTGCTCTTCCTCTTCGTTCCAGAGACCTTCTGGGATCGTACGCCCATACCATCCAAACCTAGACGCCTCCACCTTCACCTTCACCTCAGCGCATCGCATATCTTGAGACCTTTCTCCATGTCTCACCCACCAAGTCCTCACCCCGATCGAAGGAGTCATCGAGCCAGTATCAACGATGACAACACCAAGCCGCCGGTCGACGATGTTCACACCGAGAAGGATGCAGGACGACATGCCCAATTTCAAACCACGGAATCCGACGACGAACCCGACAAGAAATCCAATGCCGATGAGATGCGCCAAGACAGCCGCTCTCCCAAGAACGAGGCCTTCCGTGACGATAGCGTCCAACAACAAAGCAATCCTCCAGATTACTTCAACAACCGATCTATCGAGCCTTCAGCACTCGAAGCCCTCAAGCCTGGTAGTTCTGATGCCATCTCACACGTTCCCCGAGTCTCCAGCACCCATAGCGAAGAGCACGATCCCAGAAACGCCTATACTCGCGGGCTGGTCTCTCTACCCAAACAATCCTGGCTCCAGCAACTCAAGCCATACTCCGGCCGCATGTCTCACGACAAATGGATCAGAGTCGCCACAAGACCATTCATCCTCTTTGCGTACCCTTCTCTGCTCTGGAGCGCTCTTGTCTATTCCCTATCCGTAGGCTGGCTCATCGTTCTCTCCGAGTCCGTAACGGCGATCTATAAGAGTCGTGATACGTATAACTTTTCTTCGCTCCAAGCTGGATTGGTGTACATCTCTCCCTTTGTGGGCGGCGTCCTCGGCACCGCGGTGGCGGGCAAGTTTTCCGATCTGCTGGTGCGATGGCTCGCTCGCAAGAACGGGGGTCTCTATGAGCCCGAATTCCGACTCATCATGGCCATCCCCATCACCATCACCACCGTCATCGGGCTCATGGGCTTCGGCTGGTCCGCCCAAGAACACGACGCCTGGATCGTGCCGACCGTCTTCTTCGGCCTCATCTCTTTCGGCTGCTCACTGGGCTCCACCACCAGCATCACCTTCGCCGTCGATTCCTACCGCCAGTATGCCGGGGAGGCGCTCGTGACGTTGAATTTCTCCAAGAACGTCCTGCATGGCTTGGTGTGGAGTCTGTTCTTCAATAAATGGCTCGAGAGCGACGGGAGTAAGGATGTCTTTCTCGCGATTGGGGTCATTCAGTTGGCGTTGCTGTTGACGACGATTCCCATGTATGTGTACGGGAAGAGAGCGAGGATGTGGACTGTTCGGAGGAATCTGATGGAGAAGTTTTAGATTGTTTTAGATTAGAGGGTTGATTAGAGGGTTGGTGTGTTGGTTGGTGCTGGTTGGGCCATTACGATCGGTTATCTCTCGATAGGTTTTCCTGTTCTTTCAACACTTTGAAGGGGTTCCTTCGATAGTCCGTGACCTCCGATAGATGGCCATGTTCGTGAAGATGTCGGGGGACGTGACGATTCGATTCAGGTATCTTTCAACCTCCCCCATTCGGGTTTCAAATCAACATGATTCCCCTCCATCACTTTCCCGCGATCCCATTCTCGCGCTTCCCCTCTCTTCCTCCACTTCACGTGGGAAATATCTCCCTCCTGATGATTCCCTCGTCGAACCCCGCTCTCCTCGAATCTCCCCACTTCCTCCTCGCTGAATCCCGCCGCTCGCAATCTCTCCGCTCCCGACTTTTTCCACTTGGCTCGGTCGCGGAGGGCTTCCAATGCCATGTCCCAGTCATCTCCGTCTCCGTCTCCGAGTCCGTCTCCCAGTCCGACGTCTAGTTTTGGATCGTAGTTGGGATCGTTGAAGCGGAGGTCGATTTCCGCGGAGGAGGAGGATTTCTGGGCTCCCCTGCCGCGGGGCAGGGTGGTGGGAGGGGGAGGGGGTGGTTTGGGACCGAGGATTCCGTCCAATGGGTCCGAGTCTGAGTCTGATGCCAGGCTGGGAGAGCGCTTAGATTTGGAAGTTGTGGGTTCTGGGTTGTTGCGGCGGTGTTGGCGTTCTTCCACTGCGTGGTTGTCGTCCTCGTCGTCGTCGTTATTATTAGCATGGCGACGATGTCTGCGGTCTCGTGACCTATCGCGGTGATGTCCGCGCTCGCCTCCTCGTCTAGGGGATCGGGATCGTGATCTCTTGCGGTCTCGGGAGCGCTCTCTTCGGCTGTGGTGGTGGTGGTGGTGCTTCTTCTCCCGTGGACTCAGGCCTGCTTTGCGCCGCCTTCGGCTGTCGGGATCTTCTTCTTTCCTGCTGCTCTCATCTCTCCGTCGCACACAACGCTTTAGATCCCTCAGTCGTGCTCTGCTCTCTTCTTCTTCTCTCCTGCGCAGAGCGGCATTGTGAGTATCCGCGTCGCGAACGATGTTTCTCAGAAAGCGAGTGTTGGGTTTGGGGGCATTGCCTCTCGGTTTGCTCAACAGGCCGCCGAGGGAGTTCGTGAGGAAGCGGTTTGATGTGCGGGCGGCGTCTTTTTTGAGGAGTTCGGCGACGTAGTCGTCTGTGAGGGGCGTGTCGGCCATGGGGGTTGGAATTTGGAGGTTGTTAAGGTGAGAGACCGTTGTCGCGTGTGACTTGAAGTCGAAGGAATGATAGAAGCCGTAGCACACACGGTAGAGTCGGCATGATCGGCCCGGGACCCCGCGATCTGATCGGCAGCTTGCATGTGCGTTTGTTTGGAAGTAAACATTGATTTGACAACGCGACATAACCTTTCCACTGCCACTAGAATCGGACCAGATACTCGATTATAATTATCATGGATCCTCAGGCGGCGCTTCGCGAGCTTCAGCAGCCCATGACACTGTCTATCCTGACTCTCAGCGACCACATCCTCAACACGGCACTCAACAACAACCCCAAATCGCCCTCGAAGCGCTATTCCAATGCCAATCAGACGACACAGACGCCCTCTTCCCTTGCGGCAGATCTCGCGCATTATCGTGATTTCTTCTCGAAACTGCGCTTCAGCTATGTCGAACAAGTGACGAAAGAACGATTCCTCCGCGCCGTGACCGCTCAAGAGCCAGAATTCGTGACGAGCGTGGACAACGCGACGTTAGAAGTGGAGCTCGCGGAGAAGAAGAAGGAACTGAAGGAGAAGAAGAATGAAGTCCGGGAGATTATCGGCGTGCTGGAAGAACAGGGACGACAATTGGCGAGACGTGAGTCGAAGCAGCTGGTGGGCGATTGCAATTCACACATACTAATTGGGATCGTACACGTCTAGGATACGAACAGGTCCAGCTTCAGACAGCGCAACTCGAGAGTCTGCCTACCGACATCGCCCATCTAGAGTCCACGATATCCGAGCTGCAGCAGAGACAAGAACCCCGATCCTCCGATCCAGAAATGGCCATGCCGCTGCAACCTACGCAGGATCTTCTCGGGGAGCGCGAACGCGAGTTACGGAACGCCGATATGGAGATTGAGCGCTTGCAGGCTTCCCTGCCGGCCAAGAAGGCTGAAGTCCAGCGTTTGCAGGATGAGCTTGCGCCGATACAGATGAGGAAGATCAAGGCGGTCGAGGAAGCGCAGGAGGCGAGGAAGAGGCGGGAAGGGCCAGATGGTGCCGCCGATGAGCTGGAAGAGAAGGGCAGATGGCTTCGAGGCGTCGAGTCGGGGCTGAAGGCCATGTTGGAAGTCTGAGTGCGCAGCGAGAATTGGAGCAGGACTTGGTCAGCAGCGTGAGAATGAGTGATACCCTTTACGATGGATTCTATGGCCGGTATGGATTACTCCGGTGCGGTAGCTCCTGCAGGTGTCCTGTGTACCTGACCTGGCTGATGGCGATCTGACACCAAAACTTTACTGGTGGAATGTCTCCTTTCTCTTGCACCGTACCCCTCTCCACAATCCACTCTGTCTCTGCAGTACACAGCGAAATGCTGACTTGAAATCCCAAGCGACTTGAGAGCTTCATCCGCATTTATAGGGCGTAGCCTGGCCACTACGTTGGCCCACGACAGCCTGGCTGTCGGCTTTTGCTTGAAGATATCTTCGTGAAGGCCTACTGGCACGAACAAACAAACGACATTTGCTGCTATTGAGTGTCGTTGTACAAGCAGACGGAGAAATCCGATGCTATCGATCGATCTGCTCTCGTATCGACTCGTACGTGTCGAGCTCCGGCGTGGCCTCTCAAGCTCAGTACGTTATCTATCCTTCGCTCAAGGGCAGAGTGGTGGTCATCACATCACTGGGGGAACGGAAAGTCAAGAGTCTGACGACTTTCGACTGCTCCATTATCTCGCTGACGGCTCAAATTGAGGCATTGACGCAGCAACAGCTTTCTGCTTCGCACACCAAGGATCGCATGTGGCCATTCTCGACATCGCTTGATCCTCCTCTTTTGAAAATCTAGTAGCTCGACCTCAGGCGGAGAGCATGCTAAGCACTGTCACCCCGACGTTCTACGAATGCGACGTGACGGATCTGCAACGTCTCAGACAACGCGCCGAAATCGAAAACGTCATCGTCAATGCCTTTGGAGGCGTAGATCTTCCGGTCAACAAAGCCGCAATTACAGGCGGTCTCGCATGCGTTTTTTCGACATCAGAAGGCACGGTCGAAAGGTTCGAATGGGATATCAACGGCATTCTACAAAATCGATTCCTTCTAACGCGGTGCTTGGTCGAATGTATGAAAGTGGGGAGGAGGTAGTTTTATATACATGGGATCTATCTCCTGGCGAATCGTGCTTCATGACATGCATAAAGCGCAGACGTCGGAGGCGCAAGCGCTTAAGAGGTTCTGACACCGGAAGAGGTTGCTAGTGCTGTGGTTCTCCTTGGCGGTGACAGGGAGCAATTACTGCGTTGATGGAGGTTGGGTGGACGATGCTTGATCGAGGTCCGCCTCTCTCTACCCAAGACAAGAATTATCAGGTATCGGATTTTTACCAAATGAGACTGTTTCGATGCTCACACCGCTGGGTAGAAAATCCTATTCGCAGCTCTCAACAGTTCCTCTTTGTCAACACTAAGACATTCTTTGATCCCTGCGAGTTGCTTTGTCAGGGTTCAAAGATAGATCAGACGATGAACAAAGAAGCCGCAACAACCACTTCACTATATCTACCACTTCCCCATCGCTTACTCTATCTCGTCCCAGCCAAAGTACCTCCATCCCTCCCTCTCATGGCATCTCGCCCCCAACCCAGCTCTTGGAGAAAGGTAAGTCCAAATCCCACGCTGTATTGCTAACTTCGAGAGGTGTAGGCTGCCACATGATCCAGCTCGGAATTCAAGGTAAGTCCTCCCTCGCCCTTTATTGTTTACTAACATCAATCACGGTGTAGGTCTTTCGCGGGACAGGGGATGTGAGATGCGCATGAGAGGAATTACGAGTGCTTTTGGTCTACCTTTTTTTTTTCATCGGTTTGCCTCTACGCCTCACGGGGTGGAGAGGAGTCGGAGAAGAAATTAGCGTTGCAAGAGCTGGTCGGTCGAGTCATAAGTGGTGCTCAAGATATTGGTGTGAGCAAGTAGGCCTGAATCGGTAGAGCAATGGACCAACGTCAAAGCTCGTGCGTGCATAGAATCGCGTCGCTGTTGGCCTAGAGCTCTGGAACGGTAGCTACCAGTCGTGGAATGAATTATATTAAGTTAGGAGCTCTTTAATCTCTGTTTCCATCACCTCCCCTCTCTCCCTAATTGTCCAAACCTGCAACATACCCGAATCTGTGGGCAATCTCCACCAGAAAGGCTGGCACATATTCAGATCCATTGGCTCTATCTCGCCATGCTATGGAGTATGACAAATCAATCAGCAATGCAGAGCTTTGTCAACACATTTCGAAAATATACTCAAGGGAAAGAAGCGATTGAGGTTCATCGTAGATTGCGCTAGTCGCTTAGCGCCACACTAGCGCCGCGCTAGAGACACAAAAAGCACATGTGGTCAAAGACAAAAGGTTCAAACATCTCTCTCTTCATACATCCTTTTGTAAATCTTCACATTAAGAGCATATTCCTCTGAAGAACTGAAGTAGTCAAAAGCAGAGCGGAGCTGGTATGTGCTCTGACGACGCAAATAAGAAGAACAAGTCCGTCGACGCTTGTAACAGAACCAAAGCGATGCGAGGTCCAGCTGCTCTTGTCTCGATCATTCGCACGAACTTGATACATGAGAATGTAGTAATTAAGCAAGCACCTGAAATTGCAGTCAATCCTGAGAAGCACAAGTCAGGACGAGGGTGTGCATGAGATCCACTCTAGTCTCTACTCGTGACTATATTGTCGGTAAGATGAGGTTTCGCGAGGTCGCGAGATTGATGATCTAGTGAGACAAGACGGAAAGTGCGTGCGAGACGTGCATCCACAAGTATGTCGGAATTCAACCAGGGCATAGAGCGATGCTCCGCCCTCATAGCCTGATCCTTGCCAGGTACACTGCTTGGCTCCAGGTACTCGGCATGACATTTTGACATCTGAATCGGTCGGGCATGGGCGTTTCCGCATGGTTCTTCTCATTGTCAAGACAATGAAAATCATTTCAAACCCACCAAAAAGCCGTGGCATTGCTTTTGCCTTCCGCTCGTCACAACACAGGCTCACCAGGGCGTCAGATCGGGTCATCCGATGTAATCGAGTGTTACACAGGCATCGCTAAGCAGGTGCGGCTGAGAAGACATGAAGTTGCACAGTAGATCATCAACATTCCGAGGTCACCGACGTATGTGGCCCTTAACGTAGAGACCAGGTTCAGATGATGTACTTGTGCACCGAAAACTCCTTGTACGGCGGTTTCAATTTCTTGAGCTCGCATGTACTCGTGCCTAGTGGTTCTCAGATCGAGATCGTCGGGTCATTTCTGCAGCAAGTGACACCCAGGGCAACGGGAGATCTTGTCGGGTTGCTGGTAGGACGGTTCGACGTGTTTGTCTTGCAGTTTCGAGCATGCTGAAGGCCAACGCGGGCAACGCCGGGGTGCTGTTAAAATTCTTTGTGTTGCTGGGCGAGCTGGAAGGCATTGCCCAGTGCTCATGAGGCCATGGTGTCTCGTTGGTGTGGAGGTTGACGAAGCAAGATCAAGGAGTAAGGTCTTCAAACCTCAAGCACAAGCCAATTCGACACACATAGGAGCGAAACTGACTGCGACAGGCACCTCGATCTAGCTGCGCCCTTGAAGGATTCGAAACATGCCTTGTGAACGCGTATATCTTCCGCGGTGTTGAGACGGTGCAGTTCGCCCGAAGCGGGAGCTTTCAGAGTCAGCAAAACGCAGAGCCTCTGATATACATACCGACGAATGATCAGAGAGCCAAAGATTGACGAGGCAATAGCACTTTTTCATGGCGTCTGCATCACGCTGGCGACACGAGTTGAGTTTCGCGAGATAGGAAACCGCTCCTGAAGCTGAAAATCGCAGGACTGTCGTCAAGCCCAAGGGCCTCGCGAGGAAGGCATCGTAGATCGTAGCTAACCGCAGCCAGTGCATATCATGCCACCGCTTCAGCATCGACGTCAGAAGGCTCTTGGTTGGTAGCACAGCATTTCAGCCTCTCGAAGCGAAATGAGGGGCGCCTAGCTGCTGGAGATGCTTGGACTAAATTGGAATTTGGTGCGTGGGAGCAGATCATTGGCGATCGGTGAGCAAAAATAGCCCGAAGTCTGGCTGCGCCTCAACATCCAGAGCGCCGCTTTCTCGACATCGGACTGGCGTATTCATTATCTGTGAGTGGTAGGAGTCGTAACTTCCAGAAGCTCACTGTCTCGAGGACGCTCTTCGAGAGAGCATTGTGAGAACGTAATAGGCAATATTGCGGCGAGCGTGAATCGAGACCTTCCTGTGTTCTGCAGGTCGTACGACAAAGGTGCGTGCGTCGAATATGCAGGAGGGGTAGAGCCGACGCTGATTCTGCGTGGCGAACGCTGGATCTTAATCAAGTGACGAACGTCGGCGATGCTCGCGACATAGCGAAGTTTGTCTCAGAGGAGCCAATTGGATTCCATACAGCTTGTCGATTGAAGGAATAATCGTGGATGTTGTGGTGCTAACAAAATAAGGCGGAGAATCGTGAAGTGCCAAGAACGCAGAGCCAAGCTGTCACGTGCGAGCTAGAACAGATATGGTTAGCGTACCGAGCGTTCCGCGATTGCCGCTCCGCTGGGATATGATCGGTGTGTGCAGGATCGCCCGCTGTTCCAGAACGCATAAGCGGTCCGCATAAGCAAGGCGCTATCTATCTGTCTGTCCACATGTCCACATATCGTTCACATGCCTCTTCTTATCTCGAATTTGAGCGACGTCCCTCTCGTTTGCAGAGCCATCACCCTGGCCAGCTGGACTGCAGTAGCGCTCATCGTCGGCCTGCAGCACGCGGTTCCGGCCCGCTATTAAGGTACCGCCATACATACGCTGTACGCCATCGACGTCTCTTCGACTGCTGGTGGAGAGGACAGCGAAGAGAAAGAAGAATCCACCCGCGTGACCTGACCGTGTCTCGCATTGCATCTGCTCAGAACCGGGGAACTCCTCCTCGAGACGACTCTGGCGCGCTATCTATCCACGGTGCCCACAGCGTCCTTTGGTCGACCTGCGATGTAACGGCATCCCTGTTAGCCATTCGCGCCTGGGAATGTCCGTACTCAGGATAATAAGGTTTCAAGAGCCCACCACGCCTTCGGGACAATTCTAGCACCACAAACCACTCGCCCACGACGATAGCGATGTCAAGCCTAAACATCCAGCGGCCTCTGGCTCCAGAGACTAGCGCGTCTGGTAAGAATCCATCCATCCATCATCTCACATGCTTCTTGACTTTGAGTTTCGCGTCTGCCGGCCCATTCCCCGCTCATCATATATTACGATATGCCTAATGATAAGCTTACGTTTCGTAGGCAGTAGCCATGCCGATTCGGACTTCAGACCGACTGTGCCTCTTACGCAGCTCCCCCAGAGGAAGAAGAAGCCTGGACCGAAGCGCGACAGTAAACCTGCGCCATCAGAGAAGCTAGAAAGGAATCGACAGGCCCAGAGGTAGGCTGCCAAATCAAATATAGCGAATGTATGTGTGCTGACTTGTTCTAGAACCCATCGGGAGCGCAAAGAAAAATACACAAAGGAACTCGAGCTTGAAGTTCTACGCCTCAAAGAGCTCTTCGCTGGAGCAGCTCGAGAGCGTGATAATGCCTTTTCTACCCGAGATCAAGCTCTTCAGGAGGCAGAACGACTTCGCCAGGAAAATCAGCATCTTCAGACCGAGAATCAACGGATGAAGGAGGTCATCCAATCGTCCTCGTCTTCTACCGATTCGGGCGATGATGGCATGTCTGTCACTTGCGATGCCACAAGAAACAATAGTTTTTCGACCACGGATGGGTATCCCGGTATGACCGCTCCAGTAGCTCTACAACCGGGCGTAACAGGAATTCTCAACCTGGCCGCATCTGACGGGGCAGCCCTGGATGGAGGTAGATGCTCTGCGAAGACCGAGATGGTCCCACTGGTAAAGCAGGAGAGTCCAGCTTCGTCATCACAGCTGCAGTTGATGACCGAGCTACAACCCGTCTCTATCAACTATGACGACTTAGGCCTCGACTTCATTCTGAGGTAAGTTCTATCGAATGCTTTGTGGGGAGAAATTACTTTCAAGTTATGGGCACTGACATTCCCGACAGCCTCGAAAGGCCCTGCATGGGTCATATTCAATTCCTCCACGTACGAGCGCACAACGTGCAGACCGCGCCTGATGGGTCCGTCGCAGGAAGACCGCTAGAGGTTCCTGATGACGGCGAAAACCAGAACATATCTGGCCACTCTCTCATGGCGACATCAATCCCCTTCAGCCACATCATGGCTAATCCAAATGCACGATATCCCACACAATTTCCTACCGATCTAAAACGAGAAGACCTCTTGAAACTACTAGATCTGAGTTCACAGCTGGAAATTAACGAGATTGAATTGCCGCCCGTGAAGGCATGGATCAAGATCATGCGAGATGGACGTCTGGGTCTCTTCAGCGTCAACGATTTTGCTGTACTCAAACAGAAATTGTTGCAGAAAGTCCATTGCTATCGGTAAGCATCACGTCGACGACGTTTTTCTGATGGAAACTCTGACCTATTCTGCTCAGCTTCGGCGCCGTAATTGAAGAACAGGACATCGACGAGGCTCTGTCACAAGTCCTCGAATACAAGACCACTGGCACATTGCCGCCAGCGCCCTCGACCTCATGCGCGATACCAACGACATCACCGCTCCCAGCACACTGACCCAGTCGCAATTACGAATCTTTTCAGCTCAACTCACGTTCTTGAACACTTTGTATTGCGCTTAAGCCGAAGAATGATCGTTAATACCACACGAGCGAAGGCGTTATGTATCCGATCTAGTGGCATGTGATCCAGGGGGTCAGAACTACGCGGCTCGTACGAATAAAAGCAATAATGTCTATGGAGCATCTCGCCAAAAACAATACCTCGAATGATTTATCGGCTAATGGAACGAGAAAAAGAGCACAGTGAAAGCCATGGGCCCAGACACCATACTCGTAAGATGGTTAGGGCTTGGTCGAAGGATCGCAGTATTCGCCAGCGGAAGAACTATCAAAAGTCAAAACGACTGCTGACCTACATCCTTCTAGAGGCGAAGCTGCATGCAACAACCACTAGAAGATGAATCTGAACACTCTCACATTTCCTCCTCAAAGATCAATCGCCAAGAAGACTTCCAACCACACCGCTCCCACGACTAAACCGCAACAAGTCATCCTCTAGTCTCACGGTCGTGCAGCTTGCCACCTTCTAGAACGAATGCTCTCTTCCAAGCAACCAGACACGAAGTTCCTATGGCATCCCCGCGTACCCGCACGACCTCCACAGGTCGCCATGCTCTCGACGAATCCCTCGCTGCTGGAATTCGGCAAGATTTTGGAAGACCTTACCTGGATGGAAGCGATGAATGCCGGATCGAAACAACGGGGGGAAGAATTAAAGCAGACGAAGGCCAAAAGTAAGCATGAAGGAGGAGCACAAGTTCGGACGACTAATGAGATGAGTTCCTTTCGCGGTGGTATAGGGAGAAATCCGCCTGGTGCACGAATATCCCCCATTCTCCCCCTTCCCCGATCGGACATTCGAGTCCGTTACCTCGGACGGATATACTAAACCCCATTTCATCGACCTAGAAGACACATCATGACCCTCCTTCCCAATGAGATCATGCTACACCCACCGCAACACCATCGCCATCATCTCATTCCGCCATGAAGACCACGAAGACTTTTCATCCAGATCCCTCAATTTATTGGCAACCAACCAACCAGAAACATGGACTGGCAGAGGGGGAAATTTCTCCGACTACTACTACCTACCTCCTCATCCACAATTTCTTCGCTCCCCCTATAGCTCTCAACGACGCGGAGGATTTCATGGCCGACGCGGCTTACGTCTAAACCTAACTTCGCGCGGACAGCGGGATTGGAAGCTCATGCGTGTGTGTGTGTTTGGATGGCTTGCTGCTTCGGAAGCAGAGATAGAAAAGGAATGAATCCGCTGTTTGTGTGTGAAATTGCAGCAGACTTTGTTGAGGAGTCACGGGAATTGAGGAGGTGGAAGTCAGGAAAGAAGGTGGATCCAGATTGGGGTTGAGGCGGAGACGTGGAAGCAGGAGGGGGGGCCCCCCCCCCCCCCCCCCCCCCCCCCGCCCCCCCCCCCCCCCCCCCCCGCCCCCCCCCCCCCGGGGGGGGGGGGGGGGGGCCGGGGGGGGGGGGGGGGGGGGGGGCCCCCCCCCCAATGGCGGAGTTGATGAGGGAGATGGTAGAGGGGTGGATGGGGCAGTATCAGTATTTGAGGGAGCAGACGTTGAAGATGCCGGATGATGTTTGAGGTGAGGGTATGCTAGCTCATGTGGCTTGGAGATTTGCTGACCGGTTGTCTCAGAGATGAGATGAAAACGTTCATTACGAGGCGCAGGATCAAAACAGCAGCAGCGAAAGAAGTGTAAAAACGACAAAAGAAACCCTCCACTTTTCTATCCCGAAAATGTAAGCGGCTAAAACGGTATAATTATTCCTCCGCCCCAAAGTAGTTTGGAGCTCTCTCTGACCACAACAGCAACGTATATGCACATTTGAAGCAACCCCACACACACACACACACCCAAACAATCCAACAAAGGGAAATTTGGATATATATAACTCATCAAGAGGTCCTTTGGTCTTCAGACTTGAAGAACGAGGGGCCTTTTGCCCTGCCCTGGGGGGTCCTTGTTGGCTGTCCGCTACCATGAAGTTTGCCGTCGTAGGAGTACCGTCGTCATCCCGAACCGACTCGCAGGAAACGCCCATCGTCGTAATGCATATGCATTCCGGTCATGCCATTTACAAGAAGAGAGCGGCGAAGACACCGGCAGCACCGACGAGAGCACCGCCAGCAAGCTTGGAGGCGGCGCCGGTGTAGGTGGCTGGGAAGGTGCCGGTGGGGGTGACGGAGCCGGTGCCGGCGGGCTTGGTGGTGTTGCCGTAGCCGTAGGGGGTGACGGGGGTGCTAGGCTTGATGGCGGTGGTGATGCCCTGTTGATGAGAGTCAGTCATGAGTAGGGGAGATCGCGGGCTGCGAGGAGGACGGGGGGTACTTACGTAGACCGGTGGCACACCGACGGAAGAGGTGGCAACGGGGGAGTTGGGGGTGGTGCTGGACTCGCTGGCGTAGACTGGTGGCACACCGACGGAAGAGGTGGCAACTGGGGAGTTGGGGGTGGTGCTGGAGCTGGACTCGCTGGCGTAGGCTGGGGGCACACCGACGGACGAGGTGGCAACTGGGGAGTTGGGGGTAGTGCTGGAGCTGGACTCGCTGGCGTAGACTGGTGGCACACCGACGGAGGAGGTGGCAACTGGGGAGTTGGGGGTGGTGCTGGTGCTGGACTCGCTGGCGTAGGCTGGGGGAGAGTAGGCTGGAACCGACTTAGTGGATGAAGTCAAGAAAGAGCCGTTGGAAGTGGTAGGCTTGGAGTTAGGGGTGGTGGTGCTGGACTCGCTTGGAGAGTAGCCTGGAACCGACTTGGTGGAAGAAGTGATGAAAGAGCCACTGGAAGTGGCAGGCTTGGTAGCGGTGGAGCTCAGCTCCCCAGTGGTGCAGGTGGTAGAAGCAGAGGCAGAGGAAGCGGGAGTGTCAGGCTTGCTCGGCACGCTGCTGGTGGACACTGGGGAGTTGGGGGTCGTGCTTGGAGTCGAGGAGCTAGAGCTCGAGGACTCCTCCCAGGTGGTAGAAGCAGAGGAGGCGCTAGTTGTTGGCTTACCTGGGACGCTGGTGAGGACAAGAGTCGTGGCGGTGGACACGGTGTAGGTCTTGCCGCCGTGGGTGAGGGTGGTGGCCTCAGGGCAGTAGGTGGTCCAGCTGGAGACGAGCTCGGTGACGGTGGTGCCAGAGGCGGTCGGGGTGGTGGCAGGGGCGACCGGGGTGGTGCTCTCGACGGTGGTGCTCTCGATGGTGGTGACGCTGCTGCTGGAGGCAGAGGAAGATGGCGAACCGTAGCCGGGAGCGCTGGGGACGGAGGTGGTCTCTGGGGAGGCCGGGGTGGTGGAGGTGGAGGAGGAGGTCTCTCCGCCGTAGGATGGGATGGTGGAGGTGGTGGACTCCACCGTGGTGGTGTAGACGCTGGAGGAGGAGGAGGAGGTGGAGGAGGTCTCGGCGCCGTAGGAGGGGACGCTGGAGGTGGTCTCGGCGCCGTAGGAGGGGACCTCAGGAGAGCCGTAGGCCTCGAGGGCGGCGTTGGCGGAGCCAGCGATGGCGGCGATCGCAACGAATTGGTACTTCATCGTGAAGGAGTATTAAGTATTGGTCGTGAAAAAGAACGTGGGTAGTGTTTGGACGGTCGGGAAAGACGACTGGAACGAAGGACGACTCTGCTGTGCTGAGACAAGAGAATGACTGGAGGTGAGTGTCGAGAGGAAACGGTTTAATACTTGGAGGGCGCGAAAGAAGGGCGATTGCTTTTGAGGCGCCGTGTCTTGGACGAGTGTAGGCCATGCGAGGGCCCACCAGGCGAGTAATTTGCGAGGGAGCGACGGCGTGTAGTAGACGCACGGTGGACGCACTGCTACTCGGTGCTACGCCGTGCTACTCGTCCACTACGCCGCTCCCGTCCACTCTTCTGCCAGTCTTTGCCAGTCTTCGCCAGTATGCGCCAGTACCGCGTGGCGCTTCAACTCCGGTGGGTGTCATCGGCGTCCAGCCTGGAATCATCGCGTGCTCCCGTTATTTGGCCGGGGGGGGATGCTCCCTGTCCATCCTGGGGTGCCCTGCAACACGAAGCGCCGCCTTTCCCAATCACATTGGTGCAATCAACCCGTTCCTGCGTCCTGACCTGCACTCCGCACTGGCCGGGAAATATTTTCAGAACATCTCTCCCACGCGCCGATTCCCCCTCTCCAATCGCAGGCAGAGACCTCTCCTATAACGGAGCACGCAGACCCCTTCTGCGCACATGCGGTCCCTCTGCGAACCCAACGTTTCGTTCGCGTGCTCGACGCCGCTCGTCGCATCTTTCGGCGACATTTCTTCCGCTGTCCATCATCAATGCCAAGATGCCAACCCTCACAATTGCATCCTTAGACACCCGAACATTTCGCGCCGTCGCCGCTCAGACCCGCCCGATACGACAACGGGCTCCCTCCCGCCGGCCCTCTCATCATCAACGCTGCTCTTGCGGAATCAGGAGGCTCGTGTTGTCAAATGAAATGATGAGGGATGTGACTCCTCTTTATTATCATGGCTCAGATGAAGTCTGACGCGAACCACACGATAGGCTCTGAACTCAATGCCAAGATCACCAGGACCAGGACAAGGGAAGAGAACGGAAGTCTTCGAGGTACAAGCTTTCCTCATCTCATAACAAGGCGGTGTCAGATTCAACGTTTTTGTTGAAATTTCAAGTCTTCTAGAAACAATGTCGTCGTTGGCTGCTGCTTCCTCAATCGCTGCGGTAACTGAAGGCTGCATGTTTCTGAGAGATTGCCGGCTGAAATGGTCGGTAAGCACCTTCGCAGGGCCGAGAACTTCTCGTATCCGGAGGACCCAGCAGTAATTGGCAAGGCTCGCGTCAGGACAGTGACAACGCTCGAGGTACGTTGAATGGTATTTCCCTCTGTCAGACAACCATGTCGAATCATTCTGGTCGCCAGTGCGATCTCTCGCCAGAGCAAAGCGGCTGAAGCAGTAAAGAACGCCGTCGGACGTGCTGCCACTGCAATCTTGATCGAACGCACGCGGACCTGCTTTGCGTGACAGCGACAGCACAAGTCCGCTTAATGCTCGCAAAAATTGAAAGTCTCGTCTTGCAACCTCGCCTCGACATTGTCAACAAAGATCTTCCTCTCCTCCATCAATTCCAACCGAATCTTCTTCGCTTCATCCAGATCGATCGGGAAATCCCCTATGCTGTCAACCACCCGCTCTGCCAACTCGGGAGGTAACTCGCCAACACGATCCAATGCGGTCACCATCTGCCGCCACCAATGTTTCTGCTGCGGAGGTACATTCGCGGTAGAAGGGATACGGTTATACGGATCCACAAGGAAAAGCGCGAGGATTTTCCGATGGCCTGGTCGTGACGGATCCGCGAGCTTGAAGGGTTCTACACGATGTTGGAAGACGTTGGGGAACGTGAGGAGGCGATTCTCGGTTGTTTTGACGCGGCCAAGGTATTGAATTGCGGACTGATGTTGCTGGATCTCGTAGAGTCTTTCGAGGTGATTGTAGTCGTCCTGCTGGTAGGTGGTGTAGCCGAAAGCGTCGGAGCTCATCCCCTCGCGGAAAGACAGATAGCTATCGGTGGTGTTGGACGAGTCGTAGTAGTACAGCGCACTAGCGCAGATGTGTTCATTCAATTGGCCTTCGACGTGCCACGATCCACCGTCGTAGGTAGGCTTCTCCGGAGTCAGATGGATATTGGCTAACTTGACGATGATCTGTAGGCCTTGTTCCGCAAAGAGTTTGCGGAGGCCGAATTTCTCCAGAGGATCGGGCTCTCGACGGTAGCGATCGCCTTCGCCAAGGACTGGATGTTGATAAGGAGGACGAGCTGAATAGGGTCCTGGCTCTGGCATGATGAGGACACGATTTTGTCGATGCCATTCGTCATTGAGCTCCTCGATCTCGTCTTCGTCCATTTCCGATTCATCTGGCTCTCGGACTCGCTCGCCCTGTGGCTCGATATACTCTGCTTCTTCCACGTCGATCCTTGGGTTCGGGCGAAGGACATTCGTCCGCTCCGTTGAAGCAAGTGTTGCATCCCACATTGAAATGACTCGGGCGATGATGGTTTCGATGGCTTCGTACAGCGACTTGTGCTCTTTCGGAGGAAGGTTATTGATGTAGCTAGTGATCTTGACTCCTGCATCTGTGAGCGCAACTTCACATGGTAACCACTGGAAACGATCGCTGTAGAAATGGGGCTTCTTGTTGCCGTGCGAGAAGCGACTGGCGGCTTGCCCTGGAAAAGACTTGACCTCAAGGTCCTGCGGATTCGGCACAGGAACAACCTCGCCTTTCCCGATGTACGTATCCGAGTCGTCGAGTGAGACTGTTCCCTCTGGAAGTATTCGAGAGCGCCCGTAGAGAAGAGGGAAAAGAGAGGGATGCACGAGGTCGAGAACCTTCCCGTCTGAGTCTGGATGCCAGTCTTTCAAAGCCTCCGGGACATCCTCAAGTGGCGCAGCTGCCGTTCGGAGAGACTGCTTAATGTCGTCAGTGATGATGGCGTCGGACTTGTATACCGCGGCGTCGGCATCGAGCGCAGGCACAAAATTGCTGGCCTCTTGCGCTTTGGCGTAGTCTCGGAGCTCTGCGATACACTACCAGATCTGTTCAGTTCATCCCAAGGCCGCAAGACGAATACGGACACATGACTTACGAACTCGAACATCTTCTGTGACACCGTACGCTCCGGCACCTGGGTTTTGGCATGCTCGGCCGCTTCTTTGCGCCACTTCTCGACAATACCTTCGTCGAATACCTGCGCAACATCAGAGGAGCATTCTCCACGTCGACAATCACACCGTACCTTTCGAGTCCACTCTGGCTTGTCTGTAATATCAGCCATCAACGCAAGCATGCTTCTCTCACGCAGAGTCCTCGCAGAACCGGTCCAGTCCTGGATAGCGTTGGGAAACCTCGGGCGTCCTCCATTCCCGTACGTTCCCCAGCTATGCTTTGCAGTCGAATTGACGGGCGAGTCGTAGCCCAAGAGGTTTCGGCCATCGGCGCGTGTGGATTTCGAGCCACCCTGCTCCTCCGTTCGGCGTCTCATGCGTTCCTCGAAGGATTCCATGCCGAATGCTGTCTGGATGCGGTAGAACGATTGTCTCAAGGGTGGAACCGACACTACTGAACGAAGTGATTTGGCTGAAGAGTTGCAATGATGCATCACGTGGAGCTCTCCGCTTGCTCAAGATGGATTAGCTAAGGCTCTGTCACATGCCAGGCTGAGTAGCACACTTACCAGGGTTAGGATCGCATATGACGAGCCGTCTGGGAGATTTCGTGAAGATGGAAACTGGCTAAGATATATGTGCATTCAGGAGCAAAATGTGCCTAACCATCAAAGGATCTAGTGTAGGCGGCAGTGAGAGGAGAAGTGTTTGTTGGCGTCGCCGTGTGAGGCAGCAACAAGCCCCTGAGGCGAAAGTCGGTGCTCGCTTGTCCTCGATTGCCGCCACTTTCACTCACGGATCTTGGCGTCTTCTCGAAAGAGACTAGCGTTGAGAGCGGGACGGACCGCGCAAGACGTTGTATATCTCTCCTGTTTCCTCCAAACCCTCGACTTCCTTCACAACAATCAACAACACCGCACATCAGAGCTATGAGGCACTTGACTTTGACAATCTCTGCCACGATTACAATGGCACTGGTCGGTCGAGAGCATCCGCAGGCGACCTTGTCAGCAACAGCTAGAGCGCGGACCTCCCAAAATGGACACGACGAAGATGAGAGTGAACGAAAAGCGTTGAACAACCATCTATGTCATGCCTGATGGAATGATATAGACATGCTACGAGTCCTGCTTTTGGATTTCCGTGCAAATAATACCTTGCAGACGATCCAGGAACGAAAAATTCCGCTGCATCACAATCGGTTTCAACGCGCTCTTCCTAGAGTCTGTACTCCCTGGTGGATGCTAGCACGACCTTAGCCAGGGCATTTTGCCTCGCTCGCCAATTGGGCCTGGTTTCGGGCTATTCAGTCTTGTTTCATCCAGTCTCGGCGCTCCAATGCCATCTTGCTGGGGGTCCATTTCCGATGGCACAGGAATGCCTCCATCGTGCTCCCCTATTGCGTCTCCAACAGTTGGCTGCAAAGCCTTTGCCCGAGTTGTCTTGATTCTGAGACTTTCAAGCTCACGCCCGACAATCGCTGCCTTGGGAGTATTCAACTCAGCATCCTCGAGCTGTCTCGCCCCAGTACGGCCTTGTTGAGGAGGTGCAATGCCAGACCGCAAGCCATTGGCACCCTCACGTTCGACTTGTTGTGGAGATGTTTCATTGAGTGTCCCGATTTTGGAAGAGTCTACTTCAGGAACGTTCGCCCGCTCTTTGGGCTTCTTGAAGTCAAGATTTGCCTGGCGTTGACCCTCGGAAACTTGGACCAAATCTTGGACGCCTCCACTCGTTGTTCCTCCTTTCCCTACGAGTGCGCGTCCTGTGGCTTCACGAAGCGGTGGTAGTCGTCCGGTCTTTTCTGCAGAGCTTGCTACTGCTCTTGCTTCTCAGGCCTCAACCTGGCGCTCCTTCTCTGCCACATCCCTCTCTTTTGCTTCCAAGATTTCGGTCACACCCTGCTCTCGCTGGCCTAATTGCGCCTTTCGCTGGGCTAGGATCTTCTCTTCATCGCTCAGAAGTCGGTTTCTTTCGGCAAGCTCTCTCACCCTTACATCAGGAGAATGCCATTGCGACTTCTGCGCGATGCCGTCTTGATATTCTACACCATTCATCATAATGCCTAGCAGGAGCTCATGGAAAACAGGACAAAGGAAGCAAGCCAGAGGAGAGCAGTTTGAGAATCCACATCGTATTGGATCTTGACGTGGAAGTCCATTTGATGGCAAGAGTAGAGGGAGATATCACAATCGGATTGTTGTAGGTCATCAGAGCTTGAGAAGATTGCCACAAGACCTAAGCCGACCTATGATAGAACTGACTAAGACGGATGGTCGTCAGACTAGACGAGGGCGTCGCGATGCGATGAAGCTCTTGGATGCTTTCCTGTCTACTCGCTCAGAGCCTTCTTTGGCTCCTCTCATTATGGCCGCCCCGCCACTTGTTGTCTCGATCGATAACGGTACACCACCGCAACGATGACGAACGTGGTGACAGCACAGAGCTCCAAAGGCACGGACATGCAAAGGGCCTGACGCAGGGTCCAGTGAACAGATCAATACCTAAAAGGGTATACACACATTTTGACCTTTTCCAGACTCGCTTTAATTTTCAGCTACTGCGTAAATTCCCCGAGAACGACTTCAGCCTACTGCAGATCGTGCCGGCAGCCAGAGAGCTCTTTGATCATCGGGGCAAAGAGCTCCGCACCGTGGGGTTAGCAAATTCCAAAAGTTATATGTCTTGAACATGGTGTTGCATCCTCATTGAGTTTCAATTGCTTGAATCTTGAAAGCAGAAAAGAATTAATACTAATCGACCATGCACCGTAGCGGCCGTAGCAGCCTGCCCAGCCATCGTAGGCACCACAGAAGCAATCCGCTCGAGCCAAACGCCAAAACCAACGCGACGAACAACGCGGTAGGAATGTAACCTCCACGTCTCCCTCCTCCACCGTAAATTCTACAGTCCCCGCTTCGACGGAGCCCCCATCGTCCTCAAATCCAACAAGCCATGGATCGATACCGCCGGCATCGCCCAAGCCGAAGATCTCCATCCTGTTATGAATTACTTCCTCCCCTATCCGGGCATGGCAGGAGTGGGCTTTGTATTTTGATGTTGAAGATGATGCATTCAGGAGTGATGGGCGAATCGGGACGGAGCGGAAGAGGAGGCTGGCTTAGGTATGGCGGAGAGAATTGCGGATTGATCGGGAGACTGCTGTTGAGGAAAGGTTGGATAGGATGAATGCGAGGGAGGAGCACAATTCGAAAGATGAGTCGTGAGAGACGAATGTATCTTTGCAAATGCCAATGTCGTTGTAGATCGCGAGTGCTTCTCGCTTGTATAGATACAGCTTTTATCTATTCCTTCGTGAAAACCTCATGTTTCCATTGCTGTCTCCAAGATATCCGCGGAGATCTTCTCGGCCAACATATCTAAGCCAGACCACGTTAGCGACTTGCACAGGTGGACCACCTAGCCACGGGCGGGAAAGAAACTTACAAACGGTACTCTCCGGGTGTCCCGGCGGCAACAACGCAAAGGAGGATGCATCCGCGACCCGCAGACCCTTCACGCCAATCACTCTGGCTTGAGAGTCCACGACAGCCATAGGATCATCGGCTTTGCCCATACGGCCTACAGAAAAGGGTATGTCAGAATGGGTCAGACCATTGATGCAAGCGTCAACTAATGTCAGTTCAACTCACAGGTGCAAGAAGCGTGCCAATTCTGGTAGGCACTAGCTTCGATATACTTCAAGATCTGCTCATCTGTAGTGACGTTGGTACCTGGCATATACTCCTTGATCAAGATAGGCTGCATCGCTTGGGTGTGGAAGAAGGAGCGTGCGCGCTTGAAAGCCTGGGAGGAAAGCATGGTTAGCCAATTTCTTGCTCAGTCGAGAGAAGATCTATTACTCACCTGTACAGCCAATTCCCGATCAGTAGGATGGGAAAGCTGATTGGGGTTCACGAGTGGAAGGTCATTAGTATCCGCGGAAGTGATATTAACCCAACCTCTCGAAAGCGGCGTCACAGGAATCGCCAGGATAGTTCCGTATCTCTTCGAAGGATCCGTTCCCGCCAATGTAGCGCCCGTGACCTCATATTCAATCTCAGGCCAGTCAGCAGGGTAATTTGCCAAGTCTTGAACAGCACTTGGGCTGAGAGATTGACGGTAGGGTTCCGGTAGCTTTTCCCATCCGATGTAATCCACTCCGGCGTTTGTGAGCTGGCCTGTACGGTTTGCTTTGTATTCTTCTTCGATGGGACCACGGGTTGCTGGGTCTGCGTCCGCACCATCTCCGTTTTGGATATTTGTGTAGAAGACCGGCGCAAAATCCAGGTGGTCTTGCATGTTCGTGCCAACGCCTGGTCGGTCTGCTAGTACGCTGATGTTGTGTGCTACAAGCTGCTGACGAGGGCCGATCCCTGAGACCATGAGAAGCTGAGGGGACTGGAAAGCGCCAGCTGAGAGTATGACTTCCCTGCGAGCACTTAAAGTGAAAGTATTCATGTTCCCGTACGACTTCGATTCAAATTCGACACCTGTAGCAGTTTTGTTCTCGTCGAAAAGTACTCTCTTCGAGAGAGTATGAGGGAACACTTTGAGATTATCCCGCCCGCTGCGCAGGGCAGTGCGAAGATATGAAGCCTGGGATGAACTACGCTCCTCTTCAGGGTAGGAGATGGTCAAAGGCGCATATTGTCTTCCGAGTAGACTTCCGCTGCTGAAGTCCTGCTGCTCAGGAATTCCAGATTCTTGCATGGCCCCGTTAACGTAGCTAGAGAAAATCTGAGCGTAGTTTGGGTGGGACACCTCGAGTGGTCCACCGGTAACATTATATGCGTCCATATTGGCAGGCGGCGGCACACTTGCATTCGCAGCGCGCAAGGTAGTGTTGGGAGGAGAATAGTGTATCCCACGGGAGAAGTATGGTAGGATGTTGTCGAAAGTCCAGCTGTCGTCTCCAACGAGGTTTGCCCAGGCCTGATAGGAGCCTTTCGTTCCACGGTTATAGATCATAGCATTCTGCGCTGAGCTAGAGGAACAGTCAGCTTTCGATCCTCCTGTTGGCTTTGAGCAGGGATGTCACTCACCTGCCACCAAGCGTCTTTCCACGTCCGTAATGCAGTCTTCTGCCCCCAAGTCCCTCCTGAGGCTGAGTTACAAACCCCCAGTCCACGAGAGGGAATTGATTTGCAGATTGAGGCGTCGTATCGCCATAGTGCGTACAGTACGCGGGAACGACAGACTGGTTCCCATTCTCGTTCTCGTAGAATCCACCAGCTTCGACCACGGCTACTGTGAAACAGCCGCTTTCTGCCAGGCGATATGCCACAGCTAGACCTGCAGTGCCGCCGCCAACCACAACCTGTCATTGCTTGTTAGTCTCGGGTTGCTAGCATCGCGGAGAAATTGGACCGACGTAGTCGTAGGTAGCATTCTGTACCAGACCGAAATCGTTTCCGGGCACATAGCCGAACTGCACATTACCATTCGATCCAGTATTCTGCCAGGCAGATGTAAAGGCCGAACCGGATAAGACCAGCAGCGTGGAGAAGAGTTGCGACACCATCTTCATGTGATGCAGACAAGAGAGCAGATCCTGGTAACGCTATCGAAAGGAGATTCCCTTGCAGTATATAAAGTCTCAATTTTCACATCGCGCGGCAGTACGCTAAAATGCACGGGCGCGTGGCAAGATATCATTTTCCTTTTCGGCGACCGGACGACCTGGAACAGACAAGACAGAATGTTCATTGAGAGCCGCGTAGCCTATCAACAAACTTTGGAGCGTGGTCATAGAAGTGGACGGCGGGAATCGCCGTTGGTAGGAAGTCCCACATAAGGCACGGACCTCGCCGAGAGCGCCAGCGACGTGGACGGCTCTTCCCGCATCTGTTGCCATATGAGGCAACTACAAGTGTCGGGGTCGGAGAAAAGATCATCCGTGGGTTTGTACAAGATGTAATCTGTACATGCTTCTTCACCAAACAACGCCTCGCTCGAACCGCGTGATCAATCAGATATATTCCATGTTCTCGCGATAGGAATCCTTCATTTGTACTGCGTCGTCGGACTCGGCGCCATCAACTCATGTGTCGCCTGATGTGCGGGTAATTCGCTCGGCCCCCGATCAGACGCCGCCATCTCGACAGGTTTCTCCTGGCTCGGTACCGCCACATAGCCTCCTCGTGGCGAGTATACCGGAGCTGAAGGGAGTTCTCCACTATTAGTCGGAGGCTTTTGATATGCCTGATACTGATGCTGTTGTTGCATGGCTTGATCGCTGCCGGAAAGGAAGTCTGGGGATGACTTGGCTGGTGCGTAGTCTCCGCCTTTTCGTCTTCGAAGGAGGAAGAAGGCTGCGATGCCGGCCCCGATGAGTACGAGTGCGCCTATTGCTACGCCAACGCCTATGCCTGCTTTTGCGCCGGTCGAGAGGCCCGAGTCGGAGTTCGCTACTGCCGAGGGGTTGTTCGTTTGGGAGGCAGGGGTTGACGACGAAGTTGTGGTCGCAGTCGAAGAGCTGGTAGGTGTCGAGCTACTACTTGCGGCCGCTGCTGTGATGTTGAAATAATGGCTTGAGAAGCTGGTGTCCGTGCTGCCGTTGAAGACCTCGAAGAAGAACACTGCGTATCCCATCAGCGTGTTGTCTTCTCATCATGAAACGGTTGTCCTTGCTCACCATTCCCTTTATTCAATGAGAACATCCCAGTCAAGTTGACGTTCCATGAGAATGATGATGTCGTCCGCTGATCATCAATCAAAGTCTGATAGCTCGAATTGTCGTTCTGCCACAGCACCAAGTCGACGAAAGAATAATTCGTCGCCCATTGAAGTTCTAGTGTGGAGCCCTCAGCGTACACATTATTGTCTGCGTACTCGTGGATATCTCCAGGCGTTGGCGGAGTGATGAAGTAGTTTGTATTCTGTGCTGATGCCATTACCGCCAAGAAAAGCGCCGAGAGCAGGATGAAGAGAACCATCGCGATGATAATCGCACCGCGCAGCGAGAACGAGACAAGAGATATGAGCAGCGAGAGGGAAGCAGAGGCGCAAGAGAACTGGAAGAAGGGCGGAGCACGTGTGCTGCCGTGGCTTGACACCTTCATATCGCTTCCAAAGAAGGGAAGCGCTGATCGGGGGACTGGACCTCAGCCGATGTCTAAAATTAGCCAACAATGATTGGTGAAGATGCTTTTCGAAGGATTCCATCGCGGCCGACGGATTTTCAAATCGCGGCTGGGGCTGAAGCGCATCGGCCAGTTGCAGCGGTCGCAGGCGCAGCAGCGAAATTGCAGCTGAACCATTCCGATAGCGTAGCTAGTCGCGTTGTATATAGCAGAGTGTTTGGTCGTCTGCAAAGCTGCAGAAGGCGGAGTCGAACGCCGTAGAACTGAAGTCAAGGCGCAGAGAGGGACGTCAATGGAGAAGAGACGTCGTCCAAGAGAGCAGAATGGAGCTTGCGGCTCTGGAAGCTGAGGTGAAGTACTCGTAGCAGTCCCCTAACCGATGTAGGCTTAGGACCGTTTGGACTTCAAATTGGGATCAGCGCAGTCATTCTGGATTATGCTGATAGACAGTCAAGGTATGGACCCATCAATACATATCGAGACAAGCCATGTTCGTTAGCAGAGCAGCTTCTTCAGATCTCGTCTCAATATGTTCTGAGCATCCGGGTCAGACGAGGAAGAGCACTATTCGGTCATAGCTCTCGTAGGTCTGTATGATATGCCCATACAGCGCTCCATGCCGACTCCCCTTCTCTGTAAGACGTGCGATCAAATCATCAGCACCAATCCGACGGGACTCTCTGCGGTCCCTATCGACAAGCTCGAGCAACAGGCGCCCCACGCGCCGCATCTCTCGGACGCTGCGCAGAGGCACGAGGAAGTGTTTGCGACTTTCACTCCCAGACGGCACATTCATCTTGTGAAATAGATGTAATGGTTTTTGCAAGACCACTAAATGCTACAGGCCTGTCGTGTGTGCCGATCGGTGATGCTCACAGGAGCGACCATTCTGGACTGTTTCGGATGCTCGATCTGCAGTGTCTTCTATGCAAGCAGTACACAGATCGCATAGTCGCATAATCTTGACTGCCTGTGCACTAGTTCGAGACCTAGGACATATCGTATCCTTGACGTTGTCGAAACGGGTGTGCCAATTACTGGCCTCATCTTGAAAGCTGGCTGTGCCAGATCATGTCGCTGGTCTCAATGCTTGCAGTCTTCTGTCGCCAGCCGAGGAGGATTGCGGGAGATGACCAATATAAACCGGATTTGGCGATGAATCGAGTAACGCCAATCGTTTGCTGGGTGCAACGCATTCCGACGAGATGCTTGTGAGTGAACATTGTAGCGCTGGTGAGGCATGATCGAATGCTAACATCATCATGGAAACACCGAAGGGACCCCGGCACGTTGATGGAAAGTTGGCAGGGTGTTGGAACAGATCACCTTGCCTCGGATTGCACCTGCAGCCGGCGCTTGACAGCTGGAAAGCCGGTCGCAGGAATTCAACATGTGAAGGCAAGACCGATATAATCTGAGCTCGTCGGTGCTTGAATATGAGCTTGGAGAACCTTTGAGACGGACACTTGGTGGCCGACACAGCATCTTCTTGCTCCCAATGATCCAGCGAAAATAATGGCAACAGCGAGTGGCACAGCAGCAAATCGGCTGCGTTCCTTGTCGAGTGGACAGCTTCGGCATACTGAGACTTCCTCTTGCCCTGCATCATTCTTGCACCTGTCAACAGGCCCTCCTGCCTCCACCGACACGTGAACATACATCGATTGCCTTCTCCTCTTCCAGACCAAACATCCCATCAACATCAAACCATACATTCATCCTTCCATCACGATCGCCTTCCACGCAACAGTCGACCATCTCTTCGACCTCGCAAAGACAACACCAAAGGTCCAAGATGTCCGGTTTCCCCAGTCGAGCTGCCAGAATCTACACGCCCGCAATGCCAGCCTCTCCGCCTCCAGTCTACCGCAGCAATGCCATCGAATGGCCCTTTCGCACATCACAACCAACCGAAGAAACCGAAATGTCGCCATTCCCACCCGCGCCAGCCTCGCAACGACCCGAGAAGAAAGACTTAGATCTTCGCGCGCGCCAACACCAAGAAGACGCCAAAGCGTTTGCCTGTCTTTAGTCAACGGGGATGCTGTTTGGCTTGGCGGTGATGGGTTTGGTTTTCTGGGGTATCACCGGATGGCAACGTCTGGATTATCCGAAGATCAATCCCGATGGCAAGCGGGTCAGCTACATCCCGCGTAACAGCACTTTTGATGCTACTGTTCGTACCTGGGATCGGCACCGCCAGGAGATGGTGACGGTACATTTCAAGAACGCACATTCGGCGATGCAAGAGCCCCTCATCAGTTTCTGTAAGTGTCCCAGCGTTCTTGCTCGACGGAAGCATATGCCCAGCCAAGTAATCGGGAACGGGGCTCAGGGGGGATGGAGCGGCGCCTGATCAGCGATGGCAGCTATCGGCATACAGTTCATTTCCTCCAGCTGACTCGTGTAGGGCGTTTGAGCCTCTTGATAGTATTGATGATGCTGATCTACCACTCGTGGGACCGCATCGGCTCGCTGCTAAGGGAAAGGTTGCCTGAGAGGACTACTCGGTGACGGTGTTGAAGGTTGTTTTGTGGGAGAATCTTAAACTTCTTGCACCTGGAACAACCTCTGTATTTGTGTTCAATCCCAATGTCTCCTAATTACGGGCCTTGCAGGATCCCATGGGCCATGTATTTCATTCTTGTAGCGCTGCAAGCCAATCAACCACCAGCTGGTCATGCCCATACTGAAGCAGCAGATGATACCTCCCAGCACGACGCCTAGAATTCCCATTCCCCAGCCACGTCCCGAGATTGTCATCGAAAGTCCACCAGAAGCCAGGATGACTAGAGCCGTGGTGAGCCAAAGATGTCCAGTCCAGCTGTGATGGCGCAGATGTCGTCGAAAGACTGGGAACAGACCGAAGACTTCGATTGAGAACAGCGTCAAGCTGAAGACGTGAGTAGTTGTCGGAAGTCGAGACGCGAGCACAGTGCTGGCCATCAAAGCGGCGTTTGTGCTGAGCGAAGCTGGAAACTTCGCTTCTGGACCTGCGCCGTAATCAAACGTAAAGATATTAAGCCCTAGCAGCCAAGAGGAGAGTGCCCAAATGCTATCGGATGATGTCGAAAGCGTGAGGGACTTCAGGATTGGCGAGAGACCGAGAAGGGAGCAGTAAATTAGAATGGCGGATTTGGCTGTCGTAAGGCGTTCCTGCATTCTGGGTGAGAGCATGGATGGTGGATTGCTGTATGAAAATGCAACTGACGATGGTTTTGGCGATGTGGACTCCGCGGTAGTAGGTGAGCTGGATGAGCTGGCTATGTCTTTCGAATGGTTGCCATCGATGCCGAGGCCCACGGACGATGCTGCGCTGGCATTACGTGAATGCCCACGAAACCCGAGAGGCGGCATGGGAGGCTCTTTGAACGGCATTCCGAAATCCGCTTCTGCTTCTGTGCTGACTCTGCCGGAGGATACGTTGTCATCTTCTGCAGTCCCATTCCCGTTCTCCTTGGCGTTGTTGTCATCTTCTGTACTGTCTTCGTCTCGACTTTGCCAGGAGTCTCTGAACACCCATCCCGCAACAGTGCATAATGTAGCCCATCCCACGACTGTTTGTGGAGATACTCGCTCTTGGAAGATGGCAGTGAAGCAGCAGACGAAGATGACCACACTGCAGATGTGCTGCACAATGATGGTGCTGTCGGCAACCAGCGGCCAGAACTCGTAAGGTCGCAATCTGGGATTTCTCTGCAGGTGGTCCAAGAATGTCTCTTCGTCGGTATAGTTGTCCGGATAGCTCTGCTTCACCCATAAGAGCTTCTTCCACTGTCCGCCGTTGACCTTCGGGACGGAATTGGCATTGCGCCTACGACTGCTACTCCGACCACGTCTCTTGTCTCTATTGCTTCGTCGTGATGAGTTCGCCGTTACTGTATCGCTGCGCGCGAAAGAGCTGTTGCGCTTCGGCGGAGATGTGAGGAAGGCATCTTCAGGGCGGAGGAGTTGAGTCGACTCGCGGAAATGTCGCCGATCGGACTGCACGCTGCTGGCACGTGAAGAATGCGCCGTGGAGGTGGTGAATTGGTATTGCGGCATGAAGCCAGGGCAGACTCGCTACATGTCGGTGTTGATGTATCGCAACAGAATGCGCGGTTGATGGGGGACGTGTGGGCAGAATACGCGTGAAGGATGCCGAGGTAATTCCGGAAGATCCCCATGAACCCCAACTTCACCTCCTGCTTTCTTCCTGGGCCTTATTCTCCCTCCCTTTTAATCTGATGCCATCGCCATCTATCATGGATATGCGGTGTCTCGTACGATGCATACCAATCATGCCGCGCTTTTGTTGAAACCTTGATCGAGGTATTCTTCCAAGACCTTCCTCCCAGTTCGCGATGACAGCAGCCATCTCCATGGGGCACGTCGACTAACATCGCAAGACCCGTCGGCCCCTTTACCGTTTTCAAATCCGGTGGCATGGAGATATTCGATCAAAATCGGACCGGATTCTTTGGCATATAGAGCCGCCAATACAGAAGTGTTGGAATAGCTTTCCACAGACATCTCTCTCCTGCAGGCCCAGGATAGTAGCACAAAATCGCTTCCAGTGGCATAGAAAAGCTCAACAGCGCGGAGACGTCTCGAAAAATCGACCTTGATTGGATCGAATTCCTCGAGGAGCCATTGTAGAGTCCATGATGAGATCTCAGAAGCATTTCGCCAGTTCACCCCCCGACGGCACAAGATCCTCTCCAGTGGCGGTGGAAAGTTCAATAGTAGGGAGATGTTTGGAGAAGGAAGAACTAGAAGAGGTTGGTCTGGTCCGCTGTCGTAGGAAGCCGGGCGGCGACAGATCATCTCCGCTGCGTGAGTCGAGAATATGATCGCGAATCCGCGCCCAGTGGCATGGAAAAGCCTTTGCCATCGGGATAGCTGGATGTTCACTGCTCAGACAGAAAGTCACGACATCATCACAAGGAAAGAAAAGATAAAGAGTGAAGTCATCACGAAGGTCGTTCCTGGGCTATCTGCGGCATCGCGCCTACCCAGTGTCATCCCTTTTTTCCTATCTCGAGGACCAACTTGGGCTCGTGCATCTCACTGTCGCCATTCCACCTCATTTCCGCTCACTTCTCAGCATTTGCACGGGCCACATCGGCCTGCAACTGCTCCGTCTCCTTCTTCACCTCCCAGAAGAACTCGAGGACGTGGTCGAGCACGGCAGGAAATACCAGCTCGCTGATGCCATCGTGGTAGCCGGCGCTGAATGTGGGGCAAATCGCAAAGTCGGCAGGCGGCTCCGGCTCATCGATGAGCTTGTCGTTCTCGTCCGTTGGAAGGCCTACGGTAGTGACTTCCTCCACCGTGTCGGGGTCTTCAAAATCGACAGTGGCGATGGAAGCGTCGACGGCCTCAGATTCGGCAGAAGCATTCAGAACCTCGTCCGTCTTGTCGATCATCTCTCCCTCCTCGTTGAACACGAACACCTTGTCGTCTTTGGAAGATTCGCGGCGATGGTACGTGGGCTCAAGACCAGCCTTCTCTTCGTCGAGATACTCCGTCGGAATCTCTTCCTCGCTTCTAGCGAGGGATGGCGGCGGAGCATGCAGAACTGGAGAGGCGTCTGGTGGGGTTTCGTCCAACGGCTCAGTCGAGTCACGGCGCTCAACTGGGCTGTTGGTTTCGGAATGAGGGGCGGAGCCGCTGTCAGAATCGTCGGCACTGTCGTCCGAGAAAGCGCTATGCTGGGGGTCGTCGCTGTGGTCTGCTTTGGACCTGGTGCCTGGAGCGTACTCGATGACTGGCCGCGTGGATCTGTACAGAGGATGATTGACTAGACTCCCGAACGGCTTGGTCTCGCTCTCGATCCAGCAGCGGCCCCAATTGACGAGATGGTTCTGCAGCTTCTCGCTACCGAGCTCAGGCTCCTGGAGCCAGTCGGGCTCGACGAGAGCGAGAGTTTCGAAGTATTTGCTGATACCCTCGTCACCGTTCAAGAATGAATGATCCAGGTGGTCGACGACGTGGCTGCAGCTGTCGCCCACAGCCATGATGTTGACGCGGGCCTCGTCGTTGACCATGTACGGAATGACGTGCTCGAGCATGGTCACGATGTGCTTGCGGTTGTCTTGGTGGCCTGGGAATTGTCAGTCTACCTCTGGTCGCCAGACAACATGCGTGACTTCGGTCGACATACCTGAAACTAGATTGTGTTTCGGATCAATTTCGTAACCTTCTGAGATTCCCTCCGGGCTTGCGCGGTTGCGCCAGGTCTGCTGTGTCATGGCCTTGTTCTCGTACCAGGAGTACAGGAGCTGGCCTGGGTTGAGAATGATGAGGCCCGGCGTGGTATCCTGTATGGTCAGTAGCCGTTCGTTGGCGTTGACAGGAGCTGGGACTTACCTCGTCCTGGATTGGAAGCTTCGCCATGCCCTTCTCAATCTCTTGATACTTGTCGAAATCGTCGGTGCGACGAGACTGGCCGTATGCCGCAATCTTCGCCGCCAGTCCAAGCGCGGTACCCTCCTCCGTGCCGCCCTCGCCGGTCACGACGCGCCACGCCCAGATACCTGCGTCCTGCCCGCTGCTGCTGCTGCTACCGCTGCTGCCGCCGCCGCTGTCTCCGATGACGACCACGATATCGCGCTTCTTGCGCAATTGACTTACCTCAGTGCAGAGAATGGTCACATGTGGACCCGTTGGTTTGTACCGCCCGACGTTCCTACCGCCGACTCCGTCAAGGAACTGTTCTTGGATGTTGTATTGGGACGTGAGAAGGCGTGCGACCTCCTTGCGGATAGCCTCGTGCATGGCTTCCTTGCGCATGTCGTTGTCGCGCTCGTCGATGCTGTAGTAGTAGCCGAAGAGGCTGCCGTCGATCTTGTGTCTGAATTGGCCGTCCTTGTACTCGAAGCCGAGCTTGTCGAGAACTGCCTCGTAGCGGGGCTCCGCCGACGCGTGCAGGCTGCGGAACATTGTCAGTGTTGTTGTTGGAGGTTGAAGGTTGGAGGTTAGAGGTTGGAAAGTTGTAGGTGGAAGACGAACCAAAGTGAAAGTGAAGGCGTTTGTAGGCGGCAGCGACCGAGCGCGGGTGAAGTGAACTTGTGGTGTTTGTCGTTCCAAGTGAGGTGAGAGCAAACGCGCATGAGGAAGGAGCGACCTGCTTCGCCTAACTTCGGCGCTCTCTGATTGGCTGGCATGTGATTCTTGGCCAGCCCTCACCTTGTGCACCGGCGCGATTACGTCTTCACACATGGAGCAAGCTTCACGCGATGCGTGTGCCCACCATTGCAACACCCTTTAATCTGTATAACGAGCTGTCCCTGAAAGGACCAAGAAAACCTCTCCCCAGGACTTTCTGGCCTCTTGAGACAAAAAATGAAAAGGCGTGCTCAAGAAGATCTCGAGCGCTCGACAGAGCACCAGCAACATCATAAAAGCAAGCAAAGGGCTTTTGGTGGAGTATGCGTATAGAAAGGGTAGGCGGGTGCGTATAGAAAGGGTGTGAGGAGACTGGGGAGGAAGGACGAAGTGAGGACTTCTGAGTCGCTTATGAATGAGCAGTCTGAGGTTAAAAGGCGGGATGAAGATTCTCAAGATTGCAGAGGGAAGGAAGAAGTTGCGTCTAGAAGAACCGAGGAAGTGGTCTTGTGTGCTTGGTTGTTCGACTCAGTGATGGAACATGTCTACCACTTTCTGGAAATTTGGTGAGGATGGCAGTTGACTGTTGATCCGGAGCTCCATGGACTATACTTGATGCAACCCTGATTGAAGCGGACGAGCTTGCTCGTGTAACTGCTTCTGGTGGAATATGATCAGGACGCTGACTTCCGTCAACCTCGAACATCGCCTCTCCTCATCCTTCAATCTCCCCTTCTTCGAATTCTCCCATCCGTACGTCCTTGTGCGTAAGCTTCGTCCTCTCCACCAGCTCAGCTGCTTCACGCATCAAGCCCTCTCCCCTCCTTGCAAAACACCTCCCCTCAACCCCCTCCGCATGCCTCTCCGCCTCCTCCACCGTATCCAAAGGCTTCCCGCACCCCTTACACTGCATCAGACAAACAACCCGATACGGCAATCGCCTTTCATACCCCTTCAATTCCTCTCGCACCCTAGCTCCCACATCCTCCCTGAAGGCATGTGCAAAGCCACAAACTTCATCGGACCACGTACAGCGCGAACGAGTCCAATGTCGGCATTCTTCCACTTGCTCTCCGGCGCTGTGTGCTCTCCACACAATTGTGGGGAAATAGTTGTGGGCGTATGGGCAGGCTGCGGCGGTTTTGGGGCACCCGTTGGGGTGCTGGGCCCAGAGAGCGCAGGTTTGGGTTTTGGCGGGTCGCGGAGGCGTCCAGGATGTGGGTTCACGATGGTGCAGGAGGGAGAGTCGGTAGCAGATTTCCGCGCGGTGGTCTAGGAGTCGCAAGACTTGATTGTCGTGATTGTCGAGTTCTTGAGAGTTGCGGCGAAGCTGGGATTGGAGGCCTTCGATTGGAGAAATGTTCATGATGGATTCTCCCATCCTCTCGGTGGTTGATGGTGAATCTCCTTGAGCAAGGAAGCTTTCCATCGGTTTGGCAGAGCGTTTGCTAGAAGCAGTGGCGTAGCTGCAGGGCAAAGCTGTCATGCAATGCAGCCTGAAGCCAACGCCTGCGATTCTCCCGCGGTCTCTCGGCTCGTAGCATGCCTACCATCCGAAGGTGGCAACATACTTTTCCGGTCCGAATTCCGATCGTGGAATCTCACTCTCGAAAGTCGACATGACATGTCCCTGTCCCGACGATTCCTCACTCTCCTCTTTGATAAACCCACCTTCAATCGGAATAGATGTCCCAGAATCAGGATTCGTCCTCGCAGCTTCTTCATCATTCCCAGCAGCAGCAGTGTGCGTGACAGAATAGCTATTCGTAACCACAATCTCCCTCAACTGCGGCAACATTTGGCTTTCCCTCTCCGTCATACTATCCGCGAACGTCGTGGATTCCATTAATCGATAATTTAGAGACTTGTCCGGATCCCCGCCAGAATGTTGGAGAGTAGTGTTATTCGGATCGCGGACGGAAATTTCGGATCTCAGAAAGGCGAACATGACTCGTAATTGGGGGATGGATCCGAGGATGATGATGAGCCACATTTCCGTGTACGCCCAGATCAGGAGAGGATGTTCGGCGTAGGTGATGTCCGTCGTGGCGGTGATCAGTTTGATATAAATCGTCTTGATGATCCCAGCAATAGCAGCAATATAGCCCCCTCCCATCAAAGCACAAAGACCCAATTTCCGTCTCCAAGAGAGATCCAGAGACCAAAAGACGAAGATGGGGTAAGAAGCCAGGACGATATCGCTAGCAGCAGCCCACGATCCTTGCAGGAATCCAACTTTCGACGTCGTGCTCTGGAAATCGCAATTGCCAGGTAGATTCCGATTCCAGATCTTCGACACCGGATCACATTGCAGAAGGATCATAATCATCTGATTGACATTCAGAATCAGATTCGTGATCCAACTTCCATGAAGAATCCATTTCTTCCTGACATGGCTCGGTCCTTGCATCCTCAATAGTAACGCGACAACAGCAATTTTGGCAAATCCGATCGCAAAGAGGGCGACTATCTGCCCTATCCAGCCCCATTTACTGGCTTGAACGACATCGTTCGGAGTGAGGATATCGACATGGTTGCCCATGCCATAGAGAGCGCTAAGGGTGATGAGGATCTGGGCGACGAAGGAGGAAGTCCAGGCTATGAGGACCCAGAAGAGATCCCATTCTGCTTTCTTCGCCAGACGACCGGCGGAGTAGGCGCGCAGGATGACGGCGATAGTGGCCAGAGTAGTTTCCGTCCAGGTGATGCCTAGGATAAGAGTGCCGCGGCCGCCGTACGCATGGGCTGGTGGTCCGGCGACCATGTCGGTGGAAGGCCCAGCTACAAGGCGGTCTCTCTTTTCTCCGTCACGCTTCGCCGCTAACGGTACAGTCGTAAGATAGACATGAAGTTCGTCCGGAGCGGCAGATCGTCAAGTCCTTCTGATTCGGCAGTCGGCACGAAGAGAGAGGGATCGATGATGCGAAGGAAGGGCGTACAGCTAGGCGAACAGTAAGCAAAGAGCCTTCGTCCCGTTCTTTGTGGCATAATACTCGCCTCCAAGGGGTTTTGGAGTCGAGAACTTTTCAAGCTGTCGCTCCTGTGCAGTGCTACGTTGGTTTCATGCATGGATCCTCATTGGAAAACCATGGGAACCGTGGGAATCATGATTTCTCGAACAACTGATCTGTCGACTTGTATTGCCTCCCTCGTCTTGCTGAAACGCGGGATTGGAGATCCGGCCATTCCTTGTCAGCCAGTGTCGTACAGCCGATCAATCCAACACGAATAACACGTCGATTGTGCGATCTTGTGCCTCAGATAAGGTAGAACTTGATAATCCGCCCGTGCCGCCTTTCAGTCTCGCATTTTCGCCTCAATAACAGACTCCACACCTGCCTCGTGACTCCACACCTTCACAATCTCCAACCCTACAGACCCCAGCAATTCCTCCCATTGATGCCTCGTCCTCTCCATCCCAGACGCAAAGATCATCATGAGGACATCCATGGACGCTGCGCGCAAATCCGCGCCCGTGTCAGGTAAAACGTAATCATCAATCAGAATCCTCGAATACTTTGGATCCATAGCTTTGACCGTGTTCGAGAGGATGGCCCGACATTTCTTATCAGACCAATCGTGCATGATGTTTCGAAAGAAGTAAAGACGGGAGCCTCTGACGGGTTGCTCGGTGAAGAAGTCGTACGGCATGAGTTGGATACCTTTTGGTTTGGTTTGTAGGCCGTCGAAAGTGACCTGGAGGTCCTGAAGAATGAGTTTGCCGAGAAGGTTGGGGAATGATTGTTGGAATTTGGAGAGCTCGTGTCCGAACCCTCCACCGATGTCCACCACGAGGGCAGCATCATTGTCGGCTTTGAGGCCGTCGCTCAACTGCTCGATTGCTGGGTATATCTGGAACCATTGTGGTGCACGGGGATCCCGTCGAGCTGCCATGTAGTCGTGGAAGGCTTCTTTCTGTTCCTGGTCGTGCTTCAGGTATTCGAAAAGGGGCATGCCAAACGTGTATTCAAAGGGACTTCTCTCGCCCGGCCCTTCGGGAAATTGATGAAGACCTTCTTTGCGCTTCTGTTCCACGAGTTTCGAACCAACCGCAAACCCCAGATCTGTGCTGCTTTCAATCAGCGTCGTAGTTCAATTGAGCATCGACATGAGAACGGACTGGTGCTTCTCTCCGCCCATGAAGCCTTTGGTTGTTATGGCTTCCGTAGTGTCGTTGCTCGCATAGCTTGCATAGCCTGTTTCCTTGCATATGCCCTGGTACGTTACCAATCTCATGATCCGGACTGTCTGTAAAGTTAACGATGATAATTGCGAGGGAGGCAACTTTGCAGTGCTCGCGGGAACGTACTGATCAGCAGCTCATCGCAGCCTGTTTCCTGTGCCAGTCCAGCTGCAGTAATGTTCGAGCCTTTCATGGCGGCAATTGCTTGTAGAAGGCCATATTCGATCGCAAGCCGTACACAGAGATGCCCATTGATCTGATTCGCAAGAGCGACTGCATGTCAGCACCTGCCTCGGCCATCCAGCTACTGGAGTTGTACCTCGAATCTCATCCGCATCAACTTCTCGGCAGGCGTTTCGGCAGCGAGCCGCAGTTGATGGATTCCTTCCAGAAGACGTGCATGTGCAACTGCACCTCCGTTGGCTTCAGATTCGGCTGCGTGGTCTTTCAGTCCTTGCAAGATGTCTACGACGGACATGTCCACTGAAAGACGCATTTGATCTCTGAATATCGTGACCAATGGACTGCATTTGTTATCCTTCTTTCGATGTATTGCACGACCAGAGCAGACCTGATCCAGATAGCTTGCAATTTCGATAATTCGATCGATATTGCTGTGCCTCGTGGATGCATCGTGGATGTTTGTGTCTCGTCACAGCGCAAGCATCTGTGCGAGATTAATGGAGCGATAATTCCAATCAGTGAAGATGTGCATAGTTTAGCGTGGCAGAGCGTGTTTCGAAAGTTCGACGGTCACCTCTGGTCGATCTTTGCCTCGCCAACTGCTGCATGGGGGAAATGCTGCATATCACACGCAGCGCAAGTTCCACAAGGCACAGCACAGTGCAGGCAAGCAATTCGGCAGAATTCTTCGCATCGCTCCGCGCGCTTGTGGCCTGCCCCAAAACGACAATGGGAGTTCGGACAACGGAGATAATGTCAACTTCAGCAAATCCTGCTGATTGCACAGCCTGTGCGCAGTGGCACTTCTGTGGGATCATCTGAACCGTATTCTCTCGCTCATGCAGGCATCTCAGTCCTACATCGTAGGACTGCTAGGCTAGCATCACTACAGTATGTCTCACGATCCGAAGTATACCTCCACTTCACTCGAACCAAGTTCTGGACAGAAGTTCAGCGACTTTCCTGCCGCCCAGATACAACGAATGGCCGATGAGCGATCCAAATGGGTTGAGGCAACCGAGGGATACGAACTTGATGCCAAGCAGCTCCACGTCGACGACGACACGCAAGTCAAGACCGCCGACGACGATCACAATGTGCTCATCCCGCAACCGTCTGAAGACCCAAACGACCCTCTCAACTGGAGCTCTCGAAAGAAGAACACCGTCCTCGCTGTAGTTTCATTTCTGGCGTCTCTGCCAGACTTTGGGAGCAGTCTCGGTGCTGTCACGTTGATACCGCAGTCGTTGTAAGTAATGGCGCGTGCGTGCGAGATGCACACCACGCTGACATTGGTCCCGACAATGGTATTTGCCCCAAAATACGGTCCAACATAATCTTGTGGGAAACCTCTTCTGCCTTGGCGCTGGCGGTCTTCTCACCGTAGCGCTATCGGAGTACTTTGGGCGCTTGCCTGTTTTGCTGTGGTTCCAGCTGCTAGCATTCGGCACTGGTATCTGGTGCGCTGCAACCAAGTCATTCGATTCCTTTCTGGCTGCCAGGATTCTCAATGGCTTCTTTGCGATTTGTGCGCAAGCAGGTGGCCTCATGTGGATCAAAGACATGTTCTTCTTCCACGAGCATCCGCGCAAGATCAATTGGTGGTCTGGGGCAATCATCCTCTCGCCCTACTTAGGACCATTCACTGCTGCGTTCGTAATCTGGAGGCTAAATTGGACCTGGTGCTATTGGATATATTCCATCCTGAACGCAATCGGGCTGGTTCTGATTCCTTTGCTTGACGAGACGTATTACGATCGAAACCTGCCGGCGAATGAGCAGCCTGCGTGGAAGTCGCGTGTATGGCGCCTGCTTGGGGTGGAAAGGCATCCTCAAGGCACATTCCTTCGTTCCATTAGCAGGCCGGCAATCGCAATTACCAAAGTCCCAGTCCTGCTCGTTGTCGTCTACTACTTCGTCAATTTCGCCTGGATCATTGGCGTGAACGCAACCATCTCCACCTGGCTGACCACCTTTTACGGCTTCAACTCGAAGAATCTTGGCTTCTTCTATTTTTTCGGCATAACTGGTTCCATCCTGGGTGAAGCTTCTGGCCATTGGATTCACGATCTGGTCGGTTCCTTCTATGCTAAAAGACACCAAGGTCACATTGACGCCGAAGCCCGTCTCATCATCTGCCATCTTGCCGGAATCTTCATGGCGGTGGGAATCCTGGTGCTCGGGTTCGCTCTCCAATATCGCTGGCACTGGGCTTACGCTGCTGTGTTTGGCGGCATGCAAGTCGTTGGAATCATGATTGCTACCACGGCTATCAATGCGTACCTGCTGGACAGCTATCCAGAGGGTAGCGGTGAGGTTGGTGCTTGGATCGTCGTGGGCAGGACCTGGGGCGGATTCATGGCGACATATGTGGAGATCAATTGGGTGTTGAGCGCAGGTCCAGCCAAAGCGTTGGGAATTCAGGCAGCCATTACCGTTGCTGCGATGCTCATTCCCGCCTTCTTGCAGATGTATGGCAAGGAGATCAGGCAGCGCCAAGGTCCGATGAGGTTCCTGGAGGTGAGGCGAAGTGTATCGTAGATTTTGGCCGCTGTAGTCCAAGGAAAGAGATGATTCCGATGATGATGTCTTCTCTCAATGTTGTTCTGTCGGCGTTGCTGGCCTAAGGATCGTGACTCGGTATCAAAGCAGCAGGTCGGCTTAGCTAAGCAACCTGTCGGAACCCTCTGATGCCAGTGAATGGCTGACTGTTGATGATCTGCTGTGTTGCGATTGTGCAGGTAGTGGGAAAGCACTGAAAGAGAATTAGTACCGGCTCGGCTTCACGCGTGACCCCTGCTTCGCGTCAAGTTCGCGTGATACACCCGAGAGCTCGCCATTATTAGAAGGCACCATAATGCCGACAACGAGCGATTCCAGACTATTAAATATCGCAAGCCGTCAAACGAAGCGGCGCGCTGCCTTTGAAATGTTCCTTCGAGGCGCCACCGTTTTCCCGGCAGTCAAAGCAAACGACTCTGGACTCGTGATGAAGGCGGTTCCAGTCTGTTGGTGGATGCCCTACCGCACCACTCGCACTCTGCGGTGCATTTGCGTCTGGCCGTGAAAGAAATGACAACGAAGATGATGGTGGTGGTCGGGTAACGTGGTCATTTCATCGGCTCTCCTTCCCACGGCCCGCGCCGTTACTATGTTTGGGCTTCCATAACAGGTCAGTAATCGGTGATAGTAAGCATATTTTGCGCGTTCCATGTGTCCGAAGGTGATGCGAAGAAGCTGGGTACATCATGTGCGTACATGTACCTTACGTTGAGTCCAGTCGGTATGTGGTATAGAGTTGTAGGGGTCTTTTGAGCTTCGCGCTAGTAGACGGTTACTCCCGGAGAGCGCACAGGCCAACGCTGTGACCACAAGCTCGACCTCTCTCTCTCCCCAACGTCACCCCTTCAACACCTTCCTTAGCATTCTGTACCGACTGGCTGATCACTCTGCGTACCACAGAAGCTACGCTGGTGGTTCCAATCCGAAAGCTGCAAACCGAGGACCGGCATCGAAGAGCAGGGAGACACGATGCAAGGAGCCTCCTGACGACGGGATAAAATACATTGCCAGCCTGTTATCAATGAGAAGGAGGATAGTGTTGATGGGAGCTGTACGCTTGTATTCCGGTAGCGTCGTAGGATAAGAGTCGTATTGCCGGCCTGGAACAAGTTCCACTGGGGGGATAATACATCTCCTCGAGCTCGGTGTACGAATCGATATCGTGATAACATTTTGGAACCCTGCAATCGGGGCGAAGACTTTGCTCCATGCCGCAATGTCCAGAGTACAGACCAAGGCTGTTGATGCCCGTCGTGGGAAAGAATTCTCGCAAGTGCCTCGAGATTCCTGCTTGGAGCAGAATTTACTCGAGAGGGATATCAAGCTTTCGTTAGGCGCAAGACTCCATTACAAGAAACCTTCCAAGCTGCGCACAGTCCATTTCCTTCGCGCGTCGGCCTGCTCATCTCAGCAGACTCTTTCCCCGAGTCCCATCCCGTTCCACCCTGCCGAAGTCGCCCAATGATATCTAGAATTCCCAGAGAAACCATCATAGCAACTGATCACTCCCTTTCCCCTCTGCGATCGCACCACTCGCACTCCCCGCCGACGTTGTCTCCGGCGCCGTCGTGTTTCCCGCCTGAGGAAGCTTGCTCTCATCCGTCCCGTAGCCTTGTCCGGCCTCGATGCGTTGCTGCACCGGTGACTTCTCTGGTTTTGGAATAAGCACAATGCATTTCGATCCTTTCAAAAAGAGTCAAAACGCATCTCACTCACCATGAGTCTCTCTTGCCACGCCGGACGTGGGATCCACATCGGCATCCGCGCTAACATTGGGATGATCTCCCAGCTTCTGTTCGATCTTGCTCTTGAGTGTATCCATAATGTCTCAGATTCGTACCAGTTCGCGCTGTGGGTCTGTCTGTTGTTGGTCTTGTCTTTTTCTTTCAACAAACACGTCGGAGTTATAGAAGAAGCCCAGCTTCGCGGATGGAAAGAATGACGACATTTATCCAGATCTTTTCTGATGACAGCAACGCCGCGTCAGCGTGGGTCGAAAAAAAAGGCCACTTGCTATGGATGCCACGACACATGTGAGGTCGATTTAAAGCCGTCCAATAACCTCGGAGGGAAAATCCAGTTCGGGCGCAAGCGGCATCCGGAGATGGTCGAAGGTGTAGCTTATAGGCAAATGAAGTGTCCCGCCACATCCGCCAATAACAAGCAGAACGTAGGAAACGGACGTCCCTTTTTGCCACCAAAAAGTGGCCAGACCCAATCTTCGGGACGTTTCCTCGGAAGGCGAATTTGAAGACAGTCTGATCTGCCTTGCCGTGCCATGATCTTATCTCTCGGACAAGACATCAGCCTTCGCGCTCCGAAGGGGCTGTAGTCGCTCTCAATGTCCCGGGTACGCACAAGCACTTTTGCCCGGAGGGTGGCGTAAACGAAAAATGTCCCGTCATTAGAACCGCAGCTCCAGGACGCACAAAGCGTAATGTAGCCTCCAAAGAGAATAGCATTCCGGGAGTCTCCAGCAGGCAGGAGTGCAGAAGCGCCAAAGTTCACGGATCGGACAACGAGACAAGAAGATTCTTCTTCTCAAATCGGACCCTGTCCAGAAACCACGTGGATAGGGGAGAGAGCCGCCGTAACAGAGTAGATAGGTACCGTCCAAGCAGAAAAGTCTCGCGAGCTCTCGCTTAATCAGCGAGGTCGAGGGAAATGGAAGACCCTGGACCCATATTCTGCTGAGCTTAAAGGGATCTGAAAATTTCCCTACATCGTTGTGCCGCTAATAACTACCAGTGTCGATCCTTTCAGGGTTACACATTACTGTGCATGTCAGCTGTTCACGCTGGTGGTACGACAGAGAGAACGTCATCCGTACGTCTCGCCCCCAAAAAGGAGAGACCATGGGAAGGTTTTCTCCGTATTGTGCCAAATCTCCTTTTGCGGCGAATTGCCGAAGATGAAATAACCGCTCTTTCTCATTAGACATGATGCAGTCGTCTCCTTTTCCGTCTCTTCACGCTGCATCCGTCTCTTGACGGCTGCGTTGGACAATTTTCGCTCGCCGTCTTGTCTGTTACACCCGCTTTAGAAAACCCCCCCATCCATTGAGAAGTTGTCTCGACGTGTCAAGGCTCGATTATAGGCCGTTTCGGTATACCCTCATACCATTCTTTCTTGCTCCAGCTTGCCGAACCCCTCGAGCGCACGGTCGCACACACCTCCTTTCCTTTCCCCCTGGCACTACTGTTGAAGCGCAAGATCCAGTATGTCTGACCACGGCGATGTAGGGTATTCCGTGGACGCAGAAGTCAACAGCGCCTCGTCCCAACTGCGCGGTGATGCATACATGGAGGGTCCTGTGGTGTCTCTCGGGGGACCAGCACCCACTGGCAACGCCGCGCCATCGAAGTCTCCGCCATCAGTCGATATCGTGCTGGGACCTCCGGTGAGTGCTGTTGACAGGTGGCTCGAGCTGAGCTGTGCGGCGACGTGTGCTGCTTCCGGGGACATCTGTCTACCGTCCAGGCCGGGAGAACGGGAGCCTAGCATGTGATAGACTTGGTCGACGGTGCAGCCAATTCGCAATCGGGCCAGACACTCGGCGGCCTCGCTGTCGGATCCGCCCTGTAGGTATCCGAGCACCGCGTGGGCTCGGTCCAGTTCTCCTTTCTGCTCCTCATACTGCCGGCGGAGGTGCTCTCGGCGGGTCATGCCCTCTTCGCCGACGTCGTAGGAGCACGCGAGCGCTCGCGCGGAGCATCTTGTGCATGTCGGTCGGTTTCCACTGCACTAGAAGGCGAGAGGGAAGACGCGTCAGCAGAAAAGTGATGAAGACCGTGATAGAATGCTGCTTGGAGGATGCCAGGCTGCGAACATACTCAAGTCTTCGCGGTAGTTCCATCGTTCGATCTTACTTTGAGTTTGGAGTCTCTGCAGCTGGTGCATGCCGTCGCGATCTGTTGCCGTTTGGGCCGCGAGGACGAGGACGGGTCGGAGTCGTGACTGATGGACTGGCGGCGCTTGGGAGTCGAATGCTTCCTCGCTGGCCCTTGGTCGGAAGAGTCTCCGAGACCTCTAGTGGAGGATGGTCCGTCGCCGGCACTGCCCCTGCTCCTGTCATGGCGCTTCTCGCGCTCAGGTCTCATATTGGATCCTACGCTGCACGCCCGGTCAGATCGCGTCCGTAGAGGGAAGTCGGCTCACTCACCTGACGTTGTTGTTGGTCATGGAAAAAGGTGTGGCGAGGAAGTAGGGATGCAGGTGAGTAGGAAGTGATGGTGCTCAGAAGCCGCAGACGGCCCTTCCACATGATTCCGCTTCAAATATTACTTAGGAGTTGAAGGCAGCTTCCACTACTTATGTCCTGCAAAAGGTCGCTAATCGATCGATTGCTCCGCTCCATCGCTCGGGCTGGTCATCGTCTTGCGAACTGTCTTGCTCTGCCATTAAGGTGACATGCCTTGCGCAGAAGGTTGAGTGACGCAGGACTTGTTGGTTTGAGTTAAGGAGAGAGGCATGCTCCATCCGTAGACTGCACTCGTGCAATCCCCTCATAGTAGCAGTGGGTGGCGCCGATGCCTGCTCATGCCATGTCAGAGTCCGCTCCATCGAGCATATCAACACACCGATCCTCACCTTACAGTCAACACTCTAGAGCGTTGAGCGCACGACATGACGATGCCAAGTTCAGATGGTGAAGTGGGAGTGGGAGGTTGGGGAGTAGAAGAGGTGGCGATTATAGTGCTGCGGTCCCTATGTCGTAGTCCCTACCCCGCGAGCGACTCAATCGAGGGCCATTCGCCACGTGATTGTGCGATGTAGGAGATGCCATCGGCGATGCAAGAGATGGCCATGTCGTATGAACGCTTGCATCCATGCTGTGCATGGATGTCTCCTACTTCGCAGAAGGCCCCACCGTCGGAGAAAGGTTACTCCGAAGATGTGTCTGATTGGGTGTAGTGAGCATTAGCCGGAGAAAGCTCCGGCCGAGTTGGGCTGCCATCGGAAATCTCTCCGCCCGGGTCTGATGATTCAGCTTTCCGTCAGAGAGTGTCATTACCTTAGTAATCAAATGTTTTACCCACCTGCAAGCCCACTGCAGACATTCATCCACGAATTTAGAGTTTCACCCGCCCTTCACATGGTCCCCATGTGGCAGACTTGGCTTCTCGCACGTCGGATGCCACGGCGGTATTGTTGGGCTCAGTCGCACCTAGCTTGATGGTACGATCGAAACTGCGCATGCGCTCATGGCCGTGAACTCTAATGAGTGAAAGAATGCTTGCCATGTTAATGGACAACACAGACTGCACAGAAAAGAACATCCTCAGCGGCCACACAGCTCTATAGCATTGGCATTCAGAGCTATGGAGACGAGATCAACATCACATGCATCCGAGTTCTGGAAACTTTCATCGCTTTGATGAATGCGCGCATTCTCGACCTCGCACTTTCCCCTAGATTTTATACCGCCTCGCCACCACCGATGCTGATGACTGCGCTGCCTTCAGATCCGAATACGACGTCGTACTAGACGCGTTGTAGGCCAAGGAAACTTGTCTCACCCCAATCTTCCAACTTCCAACGCCGAAATTACCCCCATGTTTGGTTAGACCAGAAGAGCCCGCGCGTCCAGCCAGCCTTAACCTCACTAAAAAGGGTTCAATTCGTTTCCTCATCTCAAGCGTGATGCGGTGTACATAGCATCTGCCAGGGTTCAAGTTAGATTCCATCACGTTCGGCGCGACGCGAATAGCCTTGCTGCTAAGGCTTCAGCTTGGCTCTAGGGGATAGCACACGCTAAACGGACGGGCGAGAACACGGTCTGACAACTGGCAAGGGTATAAAGGACGATTCTCCCCAGCAAACGGACCTCGATCGTTCTTCATCAGTCATCGACAACGACCGAATCACCTATAAGGAAACAGTCAAGATGCAGTTCACTGCTACCGTCGCGATTCTTTTCGCTCTTTGCGCGCCTTCGTTCGCTTGGTTTGTATGCTTTCCCGATTCTTACTGAACTACTCCCCCAACCAATACTGTTCTCCTGACTAACACGTCACAGAACTGCCAACTTCCTATTGGAGGCGACTATGGTACTTGCTACGGCAACAATGGCGATTCTGGACGATACGCCTGCACCCAGGTAAGTCCTTCGGGAGCCACTGCGAATGAGGTCGCACACGACTAATCCGTTCGTCTAGTCGAACCCATGCAGGATCAAGCTCAACGGATGCAAACCGATTGCAGGGTCGCCATTGGCGAATTGTTCATAAGTCGGGAGTTGATTTCGACTCTTTTGCCCCAGGCAATAGCATTAGATGACAATGGCAATATCGATTTCTTGGCTTTCCAGCGGCACTCTTAGTCCCCGGTTTCCAAAAGGTCTGCACTTGGTTCGGAGGACTTTCTCATGTCTATTGACAGTCAGGTCTGGTTCGATGTCTTCTTGAGACTTGCAGTGAAGTTGGATGAGCAGACTCGGGTATGCGCGCGCGGGTAACGGGTGGAAGCATCCGAGCCGACTTTGCATGTGATCCTCGCCACGAGGACGAATTCAGCCCGCAAGCGTCGAAACTACATCTCTCGACAAACCATCTCATGCGGCGTATCCACAAAGCATACTTCTTGGTCTACTGTGGGCTTCCCTTGTCGATCGCTTCACTCGAGTCTTTCTTGACTTTCCAACATTGCCAAATGAAGTGCATCTCGGCCCTCGAGTGGTTTCCATGATGCAGCATCTGCCGTTCGACCGCACGATGAACCCAGAATTCGCCCCTCGGATGGTCGCAATGACTGATGCGGTCCGCGCAAGATGTTTCGGAGCCGCTAAACCGATGGGCGGGATTGCTCGCCGCCGTCCCGCAAACAGATACTTTTGCCGTCAATAGCATTGTTGCTCCTCAGGGGAATGTAGCTTTATGACGGTCCGACACTGGTGCTGGATGTTGACCGAGAAGCAGCGGTCGTCGCCTTGAAGGTATGAATGCATCTTGCTAACTTCAACCAGACACCATCGCATGCCTGGGCCCGCAGATTCCTGCCGATCAGGTTCAAGATGCAGATGGCCATCCAAACTGGCCTACCGAGTCCCTTCTTTCTATCTCCAGCGCATGCTCGACATTCACCTCTCCGGCTTGCGAATACCAGCATCTCTTAGCAGAATGCTCCTGGACGTCCTGGAAGGTACAGTCACACCAGGGCCGAGCTATCGTTATCGATGTGCTGACCGAAATAGCCCGGCTTGAGAGACTGGCGCAGGATGCACATTGAGGAATACGGATGGTCGACCTTCTTCGATGAGACCTCTTCGAGAAGAGAATACAAGGCGATAGTGCGGCGTCTGTGGGATGATGCTGAAGTGAAAGTGTGAAGTCAGGACAGGAATTCCAGTATCGACAGGCATTCTCAAAAATCAATCCCGAGAGGCCCGTGCTTTCTCCGTCCTCTCCAATTCCATTCCATTTGTTCATCATGTAACCAACATCCCTGACCTCTTCCACAACATCTTGATTCAACGTAAACGTCAACGTCCATCGAGAGTGGCGACGACATGGCAGTGACTGACTTGGACACCACTATCACCGCATCCCTCAGCAGCACCCGCTGTCCAGAACCCCATCTTCCCGCGAGCATCTTGTTCCCGCGCCACCCCTTTGAACATGCCGGGGACCACTAACAAATTCAGATTTCTTAGTATAACAAGATTGCGAAGAGCTCGAGTCCGGAGTATCTACGCTAAAATGCTCGCCGACGCATCGGAATTTGCCAATCAGCCGCGCCGGAAATGTTGGTCAAGCTCCATGATTGGCTGAAGAACGACTTTCCCTGAGAAAACTCGTCTGCAGCCCTACGTTGCTCAGCCGCGTGAGGAATGAGCCGAAGTTGTACAACAAGACCGTGGCGTGCCTCTGGAATATATCGACCAGCTCGCAGATATCATGACGCTTATTGGAGTCACAGATGGTTCCATGCTGTTCGCAGTGCGTTTACATCCAACTCCAGGGTGCTTCAATCCGATTGACGAAGCATTGGTGCATCTCGAGGCTCTTGATATCGAGGTCATGGACACAGCGAAGACCCTCCATGACTTTACTAGGATACGAATGACCTCCGAGCGAGACCTTCCAAGACCTGAGAAAGCTAGAACCGATGCCATGGTATTGGTCAAGTCTCGATCATTTCACTCCAATCCGGCCTTTAATTGCAAACTTGGACGAAGGCTGTCGAGCAACAGCTGTAGGACTGGTTGGCGGCATATGCCCTCTTGGCCTGGAGGTTTAAAGATAAGATTGTTCACCTCGTTGCAAGCATTCAACTCTACTTCGTATGGCTTGACAGGCTTCACTGGAGATCTAACTCTGAAATGAACTTTGCTCGAAATCAAATTGAACCGGCACACGCTCTTTCGCTCGCGGAACGCTACGTCGATCTTGCGCAGACGTCTTCGGCCATGCTCCTTGCATTGTACAGAGCAGCAAACTTCACGCCTTCACGGTGGGAGCCAACCTGTCCGCTTGTGTATACTTGATCGCCGAGAGGTGTCGAAGCTCAAAGGTTCGGCGGAGATGCGTCAGCCTGCTACAATCGATGAGTTTGGAGGGCGTCTTCGATCACCATTACACCGCCTCGCTAGTCGAGCATGTGGTGGAACAGAAGGGCGAAGAGCTCGAGCTTTGACCCGAAATCATACGAAAGTGGATCTGGAACCGAAGGATTTGCCGCAAAAGGTACGTCTTTGGGTTTCCGAGCTTCGCACTGATCTTGAAAATGGGATCGACTGGCACAGCTTTCATGTTTTGGACACAGGCCGTGTGCTTGCAAGCCGCTTTCTCGACGGCATTTGCCTATGAGGTTTAGTTCGTGGAGACGCTGTTCCAGGATCACGACGTCCAGTGAATACTCTTTTGTCGCCAGTCGCAGCCTCATAAACGAATCTGTGGTTGAACACCAATTGCTCTGGCCTCGACGACTTCACCGGCATATCTCCCGTCTCGGAGATGACCGGAAGTCAGCTGTCCAGCTCAAGAACCGGATGTGATCCCAGAGCCTCATTTCCTGTCCATCGAAACTCAGAAACAAGATCAACGTGCGAGCTTTCAAAGCCTCGAATACCGACATCCCGCCCAAAATACTCAGTCGAAGCGTTTTGATCGCCAGCACAAAGATCAGAATAGATATTGAACCGGTCAAAACTTTCCGAAATAAGCGATCCAACACCATTATCAGCATTGCACCTTTCTACTTCTATATGAATGCCTTCACTCGACGTGCGGGAAGAGGTCTGTCAAATTGAACAGGCTCAGAAAGCTGGAAATCGACTACTGGCAAGAATCAGCTTGAGCCAATTCCTTTGACCATACCGAGCAGTCTCGAGACTAAGTATTGCTCCCTCGGTCACGTGCTGATTCTTCGGGATAAAAGCTACTGAGAAGCTGTCTGTGATGACACGAGACATTCACAGTGTCACATGAAAGGGTACCCGCAGAGTGAAGTCGCTCAAGCATCACATGAAGATGATAGCCAGCTCTGCACATGCAAAAATAGAGTTCAATCTCGCGGCACTTCTTCTTAAGGACCTTCTCTCGCCCAACTCTCTTCTTTCAGAAATATCTACAACACCACTTGGAAACCGGAGCCGCATACCTGCGCGCATGTTTTCGACGAACGACACTCAATACGATTGATATGTTCCGAAATATCTACTACACCGCGTCGACACACGACCAGTAAGCGCAACTAGATATCTACACGCACATTTGCGACCATCGACACAGTCTGAGAGATACTAGCGAGGATAGTTGTCAACGAGGCGATGTCTTCTGCGAACACTGGAAAGCGGCGCGCCGAGGATGACGGTGGGGGAGAGCCAAAGCGAGCTTGGTATGATCTGTTGTTTCTTGACGGACTGATTACAACGTGTTAACATATTTGACAGTTTGCGCTACGGCAAGGTCATTCGCGTCAAAGTCACCAGAGACCCCAAACGGCCCAGGGTCCCGAACGAGGATGATGAGCGCACATTCTCTGTCCACAAGGACGTTCTCCAATGCTCCGAGTACTTTCGGGACTTGACGGCGAAGGACACCAAAAAGGAGGAACTAACACTGGAGAACATCGCCGATTGCTTTGCTTTTGAACAATATCTCGACTGGCTCTATCACGGCGAGATCGACAAAATTCATCATGGCGCTTCCAGCAAAGATCTCATGCCGCAGGCGATGCTTGACGGCTACATCCTCAGGACCATATGCAATCTCTTACTTCTAGCCGTCAAACTGGACGACACTGCGTTCGGCGACTACGTCTGGGCCTTCCTCATTTTAGACGAAGCTGCTTGGATGAACGACGATGCTTTCCGATACTTCCCTTTGCGTCTCGAAGAGGGAATCGTACTTTGGAATAGCCGCATGTGTAAGGGTTTGCGGTCCCGGATCGCCGACCTCGTGTTGCCCGGACTCAAGCGAACTGTTCTCTCGGCCAATTGTGACCGATGCCCGGAAGAATTGTACATTTGCCTATCACAAGCTCTTCCGTGCTCATACAAGGTCTACGTCGGGAATGATGACTCGCAAGAAGTCATCAGGGTGAATAATCGTCTGCTGCCAGTCGCCTCTACTCTTTTCCGGCGAGCCACGGAAGGCAGCCATGACGAAGAGGGAGCATGGATCATCCCCCTCGAACAACACACTCCCAAATGCTTCTATCGATACCTTCGCTGCGTTGAGCTCATGGAAGTCCACTATGAAGACATAGTCGACGCCCCATTCGAAGACCACAACGGCGTCCGACTGCCCGTGGCCGGAGAGACCCATCGAGAGCAATTGATGCATAACCTGTGTGAGATCTGGATGCTCGCCGAGCACGTAGACGACAAGTTGACAAGGGACGCCTGCATGCGGCATATCATTGACCTGTGGACAAACCACGGCTTCATGATTTCCTGGGATACTTTGCACTTCATTGGCAACGAAGTCCCCAAGTACTCGAGACTGAGGAAGTGGGCAGTCGACACCGTGGTACCCTCAATCACCACCGATGCTGCGGATCTCTTGGCCAAACTTCCAGCCGCGCTCCTGTCGCAACTTCTCGTAGCAGCTGCGGTGTATCTTCGGAAAGGCACCACACGAAAAGACCGCCTTGCTATGGTGCCGCACCTGAAGGACCTCCACGAGTACTGCGACAAGTAACACGCCGTTAGATCGACCAGCCAACACCGACAGCAATCTCACATCAACAAAGCTGCTCTCTCTTCCGGCGGACCTTTGAGGCATATCCGAGGAAAATGCAGCAACCGAACGAAATGCGTACTCGGCAGCACCACGACATCAGACCTTCTCCAAAAGCGAGCGGTCACCATAATTTCCCCAAATTGTTTCCCCAAAAGCACCGTGGCCATGCAATCTCAAACGACATGAATGAATGCACCAAGGCCCCGGGCGCGACAACCTCGGCCGAGAAGCATCTGAATATTCGAGGATGCTTTTCCGAAAACAGCATGCAAACAACACGGAGCCAAGCCGCAGGTCGATGAGCAGATGATCTAAGATTTCCAAGAAACCGCAAACCATCTCATTCGTACTGAAACCCAGCAACAAAAATCCACAACATCTTTCTTTCACCCTCACACAATAAAAAGAAGCGGAATAGGGAACCCAATTTTTTTTTTGCATCCAGCAAGAGCGAAAACATTTGCAATTCTGCCCTCTACTAGACACTAGCATTACACACTTCTCTCGACGACGGCCAAGAGCAAACGCGATCCTCATCTTAAATCTCTATCCAAAGAACTCGCGGGCTTCCTCCCAACATCCAACATACGAAAAAGAACATTGACTTCATTTCGTATTTTTTGTTTGGTCTCACTTCACTTCACTTCACTTCGCTTCGCTTCACTTCCTCTAGTAGCCGGAAGGAAGGTTGTAGCCTGGTGGGGAAGCTGGGCCGGTGGTGACGGGCTGGGCGGGGATCTTAGGGGTGGTAGATGGGCCGTGTCCGTACTGTGGATAATGGCAGATTAGTACTGACGTTGTCATGATGGATGATTGAGAAAGGATGAACTTACGCCAGGAGCGCTAGGACCAGACGAAATGGGGCCGGCAGGAGTCGAGCTCGTGGTGGATGGTCCGGGACCGTAGCCTGGCTGGGTGGAAGTCGAAGAGATGGGGCTGTTGGGGATGGTGTTCGTGGTAGAGTGGACAGTGGTGGTGGGCTTGCTCTGAGTTGGGCCGGGAACAGTAGCAGTGTTCGAGCAGGTCGTGACGGGAACGCACTCGGTGGAAACTGCAGTCTGCACGCTGAGAGTGTAGCTCACGTAGTCGGAGGTCGAAGTCTCACGGACTGGCACGCTGGTGGTGACGGTGTGGGGGACCTCGGTGACTTTGGTGAGGACCTTTGGAATCTGGGTGAAGACGACGGAGGACGACTGGACGGTGTCGTAGTCGATGGTGCTTGAGATCACTGGGACGGTGGAGGTCTGGCAGATGGTGGTGAGGCTCCAGCTTGTGACTCGGGCAGTCTTGGTCTCCGTGATGGTGCGGGTCTCAATGTACGACGATGGGACTAGCAATCGAGTTAGTTGTGTGTAGAGACATTCCGCTTCGGCTGCACGTACTCAGAGTGGTCTCATGGACGGTCTTCGTAACCTGCGCAACGCTGGTCTCGGTCTGGAACTCAGTCACGGTAACCTATTCATGTCATTAGCTTGAGACTTCGAGGAGGAAGGGGCTACCCATACAGTCGTCTCCTCGCCAACTGGCACAGTCTTGGTGTTGTAGTGAGAAACAGCACGGCAGGTCTGAGTCGTCAAGCAAGCAGGAGCAGTTGTCGTTGGGACACCGGGGGTGGTGGTGGTGCTCGAGATTGGGCTTCCAGGAGTGGTAGAAGTCGTGCTCTCGATGGTGGTGCTTGGGATCGGGTATCCAGGAGTAGTAGAGGTCGTGCTCGAGATGGGGCTTCCAGGAGTGGTAGAGGTGGTGCTCTCGATAGTGGTGCTTGGGATCGGGTATCCAGGAGTGGTAGAGGTCGTGCTCGAGATAGGGCTTCCAGGAGTGGTAGAGGTGGTGCTCTCGACGGTGGTGCTCGAGATGGGGCTTCCCGGAGTGGTGGAGGTCGTGCTCTCAGTGCAGCTGGTGCTCGAGATCGGACTTCCAGGAGTGGTAGAAGTCGTGCTCTCAATGGTGGTGCCAGGAACGGTAGAAGTCGTGCTCTCAATTGTGGTGCCAGGAACGGTAGAAGTCGTGCTCTCAATAGTAGTGCTCGAGATCGGGCTTCCGGGAGTGGTGGAGGTCGTGCTCTCAATGGTGGTGCCAGGAACGGTAGAAGTCGTGCTCTCAATAGTAGTGCTCGAGATCGGGCTTCCTGGAGTGGTGGAGGTCGTGCTCTCAATGGTAGTGCCAGGAACGGTAGAAGTCTTGCTCTCAGTGCAGATGGTGGATGGAGCCGGCGGGACGGTAGAGTTGGTTGAAGCAATAGGAGCTGGTGGTGGCACCGAAGAGGTGGAAGGCTTGGCACCATATGGAGGCACCGAGGAGGTGGTCGCGAGCGGCCCAGTTGGAGTAGTGCTGGTGGACTGCCCTGGAGTACCATACCCTGGAGGAAGAGCGTATCCTGGAGCGCCATAGCCCTGCTGTGGCATAGCCACCGCAAAGCCGGCAGAGAGTGCCACGAGGGCAGTAATGTATTGCATTTTCGCTATCTTTCTTCGCAAATGGATTCAAAGGAATGTCGTGAGAAACGTTCTCGTATCAATCAGAAGGATGGGGAAAAAATGACTGTAGTAAGTGAAGAGAAAAAAGAAGGTGACGGCAACAGTCCCGAAGAAGTCGTGAAAGAATTGCTGATGTCGCTGCAATGTTTGAAGATGCTGAAGGGAAGATGTCTTATAGGTCTATGTTAGCTCCCCCTTTCCCAGACGGTCCACTTCGGGCAGAAATCGGATGTCTCGTAAACAGAGATTGATGCTGATCTGCAGCGATATACAGCGGTGTGTGGTCATTGCGTGATTGCTTGTCATTGTACACTGGTTCTTTAGAGATCTGCGACGTCAATCACTGCGGTGAGTCTTGTTGCATTCCCGGGACGAATGCTTTTGGATCTACACCGGATCAGGCCTGATTCCTCCATACATACCTCGTTCCTCTGGCTGCGTACAATATGCATACCTCCCGCCTTCCGGAGGGTAGCCGAGACCAGTGACGCTCATGTGCTCGTATTATAGACCCAGCCTAGAATCGCATTGCGGTACGCCCTGGCGCGGAGGAGAGAAGGATGTCCAGCTCGTGAGGATGAAGCTCGGGACATCACTAAGGGTCAGCAATACGAGGGGATATAATGAGCCGGGTAGCCTTCTTTCCGGACGCGCCAAGAGTCTGCTCTATTTCATGTGCCCTGCGATGTGGAGTCGAACTTTTGTTGCCATTCTGCCCTCGGCGGACGGATTTTAGATGCGTGACGAGATGCTCCAATTGCAAAATTGAATCATAAGAGATGAGGTCCAAAGTAGGAAGTCGGATCACACCCATACTAGCGGCAGACCAGGGTCTCGTGTGAATGCCTCAGGCTCAGAGCGCCTAGCTCGTATACTTTCGTTGATGTGTCAACTCGTATATTTCCGAAACGCGTGAGAGCAGAATCATCAGTCTCTCTTCGTATCATCCCCATCATCATTTCTGCCCTCGAAAGCGGACGAGTTTCCATTATAGAACTCAGCCTGCCTCTCTTCCCCCTTCAATGCCCCAGCGCGCTTATCAGCGAGCGTCTTGACCTTGATACTCGCCGAAGATCCGCTCATACTGCTGTCACTTGAGCCTGACGGCTCCAGCCTCTCAGATGAAGCAGATTGTGCATTCGCCGTGGGCGGTGCACCGAAGCCCGGAACGTTGGACAGCAGCGACGAAGCTATGCTAGACGCTGTGCTGGCGATGCCGTATGCGGTGTGGAGAGCAGAACTCATGTACCCTCGTCCACTGCCAGAGTAGGCCTCGGTGTAGCCACTGATGGGCACGAGTACGAGCGTGGCCGTGGGTGTTAGACCAAGCTCCGATACCGTCTGGTGCTCCTCGGAGATTTCGATGCTGCGACTGGGCTGCGGCGCCAGAATTTGCTTGAACGTGAACGGGACATCAGCAGCTTCTTTAACTCCAGACTCGATTGTCGTCTCTTTAATCCAGTCCCTCACATTTGTAGCCAGCGTAGCACTCGGCTCAAAACGCCCCTTTATGGACGAGCCATCAAAGAGACGAACCTGTAATGAGCACATGCCGCCGGCTCCCAATCTGCGCTTCGATGCAGCATCTGCTGAGGGTGACAAGGGCTCGCTCGGTGCCCCTTGAGGCCGCAGAAACCTCGACTTTCGCTCTTGCTTGTCGGCCTCGATCTGTGCCAAAACTCTCTCCCGATCCCGCTTCGCCTCGTCTTTGCGCTTCTTCTGTTGCACAATCCAGTCTCGCCGAGCTTTCTCCTTGTCAGCCGCATCGCCCGTATCTTTGCCTTTGCCTTTTTCTACATGCGCCGCATGAGCCTCTTCGGCTTCTTTCCGTCTCCGATTGGCACGAGCTATGCGCTCTGCTTTCTCTGCTGCTTCCTGTTTGGCTTTCGCATCCTCCATCTGCTCGGCGCGATTGGGAAACAATGATGACATGTTCGAAGACGATGATTCTTGTTGCGGCGTCTCGGTTGTGTCTGACGCCTGAGGAGCGTGTGGTGGATTTCTGCTAGCTGGTGTATGTATAGCCTCTGGTGCTGCTGATACAGCCGGTGTGCTGGCTTCCGCATCCTGTCCTGAAAGTCGCGCTGCTTCCGTTGTCGCGGCGTCTTCTATCTCCTGAGATCCTGTTGGAGGCCCTCCACGCTGCTCTTGTGCATCTCTCATATCGTGGAATTCGTTTCGTGTTGCGATCGTCCCCTCTATGCCCAGAGCCTTGGTTATCCTGGACAGCCATTCCTCTCTACCGACACCTGATTCAACCTTTTCCAACACCTGTCCCTTATCTATCACCACAAACATAGGCGCCTTGTTGATCGGACAGAAGGCATTGAGGAAGTTCGCTTCTTTGCTGCCAAATTCAAGGCGAAGCACTACTGCTTTGGACGCAAACACATCGCCGATGGTAAATGGTTGTGCTCCGACGGAAACAGTACGTGCAGACTGCCCGAGCCATTCCTCTTCCCATACACGCGATTCTTCGGTTCGCGGTTCGTGGATGAAGCAGGCTACCAGCTTGCCTTCACTGATAGCCCTGCTGATGCCGGACTGCAGGTCGCCGTCATGGAACATGGCGTATGCCCTTCGAGGGGATAAAGAAGTTGTGAAATCGGAAGGCTGTGGCGAGATGCTTAAGGTGTAGGTCGTTGTGGAATGTGAAGTTGGAGCAGGAGGACACTGTGCCTGTTCCTGACTGAGGTATCGGTAGGGCTGGTCGCTAGAACGTTTTCCCGGGGTCGGCAAGTGAATTCGCCGTCTGTAGTCTTTTGCCCATCGTCAACACGTGCTTTTTGTCAAGCATGACCCCATTGCATCCTATTGTCTCCATCTCGAATCTCAAGAGCGATAATCGTTACTGATATAAGTGTGCGAAGATCTTCGTGACAAGTTAACAACCGATAGGCTGCCCTTCAAGCTCACCCTCGAAGAAGACTCGTTTCAACTCGCTGATACAGACTCTATAGACCTGCCGAGACTGCTTGCTCTGGACTGGCGTCTTGATATACACATCTGTGGTCTATGTCTGGCCTTGACAGATTCAAAAATGCACTGCAAGCTCCTCCTGGACATACTCCCAGAGTAGCTCCCTCTTCTTAGGGTCGCGGCTAGCCTTGGATCCTTTCCCAGTGATTCATGTATCGGTTGGTACGCGTCTTCACAGGAATGGGAAAAGTTCTCATGTCGAATGACAAATGACAAGGGCCGTGAGACGGCAAGTGCTAGCGTTGGCCGTTGCAGCCTCGGATTAACAGCTGTGGATGCGAACGCCTGCCCTGTGCTTCTTGACAACAACATTACTCGTGTGCCGCGACGGACAGCACACATGCCGGGAAAATGATCCAGCGTCACGGGACACGTGGCTAAACGAAGGCCTAATTGCGTCGACAATCTCGAGACTTCCTGCTGATCATTGTGATGCAGAAAGATCATCACATCGGAGCCTGGGCTCGGCTGCCTTGGCTATGGCAGGCCGTCAGACTGTTGACGCAGTCCTGAGAGTCGATGTACCCATTGACGCGAATGTCGTCAGACCGTTGACGCAGTCCTGAGAGTCGATGTGCCCATTGACGCGAATGTCTTGAACAACGATGTCAGACACTCTGGTGGCTCACTATGCGATTGCTTGCGCAAATGATGACAAGCAAATGGTGGCCTCTGGTTGAAGTCGCAAGGGAAATTGCTGACCTGCTTCAAACTCACACCGACATCGCGAGATCGTGAACCAGACCGCGATCTGTTGTTCTAATGATAGGTGTAGAGAACTACGCAAGGATCCAGTGACATTGCCACAGATCATTGAGACCACCGCGCTAAGTATCATGTAGACGAACTTACGAATAAATTTCGCTGTCGGTCACAAGGATGAACGACGCAAGGTCGATCTCTGAAGATGGGATACGTCTCATGCCCCGCCAGGTGCGCGAGGGATACCACGCTCCGTACGACAGGTCGTCCATTGACAAGCTGATCCCACAGGTTGCGTGATGAGCAAACGGACGTCCCAGTGATCGTTGTGGATGAGGCGCTCGGAAAGTCTCGTTCGAGGGGCAAATGGGATAGATGTATTGGTATCGTGTTCTTCGAGTCTGGTAGCGGCTCGTATGTAGTCTTGCAAATTGATGATTTGAATTGTCTCCATCTTTCCGCTTAGATTTGAGTATCGAAAGTCTGCGTCAGCACGAATGAGGTGGTTGCAGTAGGCTCGGCCGAGACCGAGAATGGAATAATGGAACCTGGAAGCATTCACTTCGGCTGACCGACCCCGCATGTGGATGTGGATGAGTCAGCGGACACCGGTAGGGCTGGGCTGTGTGGCTGGCATTGGTCCAGCCCCGACTGTCACACAACAGCTACATCAACTCTATCTTACATCTTGTCTCTTGAAAACAGTCAAGATCGGCTGGGTCGTTGCCAAGAACACGAATGAGTCCCGTCGCAAGATGACCTCGGAGGAGCAAGCAGAGGATCCCACGCCAACACCTGCCAAGGATGCGAAAGACACGAAGGACACGAAAGATGCCAGAGACTCTCCGGCAAAGCGCAAGAGCTCGGAGGGGCCGGAGAATGGGGAGAGCAAGAAGAAGCGGCGGAAGGTCAATCATGCCTGTGTATACTGTCGGAGGTCGCACATGACATGCGACCTGGAGAGGCCGTGCGCGCGGTGTATCAAGCGCGATATAGGGCACCTGTGTCATGACGAACCACGCGATCCGCCCAAGAGGAATAAGAGCGAGGTTGGAGTAGCAGATATTGCGCCTGCGCCGGGCGAGGGTGGAAAGGCAGCGGAGGCTCCGACAAGCAACACAAGCAATACAAGCAATGGGGGCGTGCAGTATGCTCAGAGCAACGGCAACGGCAACGGCATCGGCATGGGAACCGTGAATGGCGCTGGAGGAGGACCACAGCTGGCACAACCGCAGCCCGTCTCTCCCACGAGCATACAGAGACCCGCTCCAAATGCGACCAATCTCCTCCAGAATGACGACTTCAGTAACAGTGGTGTACACAACCAATTCCAGGACATGCACCATCTCCATCCGAACTACATGTTCAATACCTCCGAGGTCACAAACGAGTATAACTTGCTCAACGACTTCCTCTCGTCGTCTCTCATCGACGACGGCGGCATCTACAACAGCGACGAGACAGCCGCGCTCTTCAACGACCCTCTCTTAACGACAATCTCCTCGAATGCCTTAGCAACATCCAACATTGGCGCTCCATCAACCAGCAACGACCAAAACCAATCCACCCTCCTCCCACCACCCCAAACAGCAGCCGGCCAAGAAATCTCCCGTCCCTCCTCGACTTTCCCAATCGACTCCCGCGCCCGCGACAAATTCTACATGACAGCCGCGGATCCCGCCGGTCTCGAGAGCGCCGAAAACCGCCTCCACAAACTCCTCAAGGCAAAATACGACGCCGGAATGCTCAAACCCTTCAACTACGTCAAAGGCTATGCCCGCTTAAACCAGTACATCTCCAAGCACCTCAACCGCGAATCGCAACTCCGAATCCTCAAACAATTAGACCGCTTCCGCCCCAAATTCCGCGAAGCGATGCAATCACTCACGGACATGCAACTCATCCTCGTCGAAATGTGGTTCGAGCGCTCCCTGATGGAGTACGACCGCGTGTTCGCCAGCATGGCCATTCCCGCCTGTTGCTGGCGCCGTACCGGCGAGATCTTCCGGGGGAACACCGAAATGGCGGAACTGATACACGTCCCTCTGGACAAACTACGCGACGGCAAACTGGCGATTCATGAAATCATCGCGGAAGATTCGCTGGTGAGTTACTGGGAGAAATTCGGCGCTATAGCGTTTGACCAGTCGCAAAAAGCTATTTTGACGAGTTGCTCGATCAAGCGGCCGGGCCATGATGGGGATGGGGGAGAAGGGGAGCGGGCGGAATCGGTGAGGTGTTGTTTCTCTTTTACGATTCGCAGGGATGGGCATAATATGTGAGTCTTGACCGTTTCCCCTTTTTGCCACAAGCTGATGAGAGTGATGCTAATCGCTTTCTCTGTCTTAGTCCCTCTCTGATTGTAGGCAACTTTCTGCCCATTCGGCCTCATGGGCAATCTCCTTCCTGACGACATGAAGCCGAACTTTCTTGCCTGCATGCATGCATGTCCTCTTTGCGGGAGGCGTTTTCTGGATCTATTAAAAAAAAAAGGGGGCGCTGGCATTATACATTTTCATTATTGGCGCGACGACTTCCATGCATGCTTTTTTTTGGGGGGGGGGGGGGGGAGGGGGAGGGCAGCGATTCCGATGCAAGGCCTGGATCTATCTTTCTTCTTCTTCTTCTTCTTCTTCTTCTTCTTCTCCTGCTTCTTCTTCATCACGATACCCTGGCAAAATTCGCTTCGCTTTCCTTTTGTCATCTCAATCTCATCACGAAACGATTGGATTATTATTACGGCGAAGAAGTAGGAGGCTAATGTACATACATACACACAGCAGATCTCTTGTTGCGGCCTATAAGGCTATTTTTCCCCACGAAAGATCAGATTAGTTTTTTTGGAAGAAAAGCTGATATGAATGTCTTTCGTCTTCAGGATATCTGTACACACCACTTCAGCCTGTTCGGAGCGGCGAGAAAAAAAGCTACTCATACTCATACACATAACAACCGCTCCATCAAGGCCATTCCTGCTCCATCTCCCCCCTCCGCCGCCTCTGCCCTCCTCCCCCATCGCCCTTCTTATCCCTCTTATCCCGAATCCCCTTAATCCGAACCCCCCTCGTCCGCCCTTTAATCTCCGCCCTCCCACTCCCGGGCTCATCCTCCAGCCCGAAATCCTCGCTCCCGGCGGCGGCCCCCGTCTTGATCATCCTGCCCGCCTTGAATTTAATCTTCCCGCTCCTGCCCCTCTTCTCATCGAGATCCACGGCCCGATCCCCTGATTTCTTCGCCGCCTCCGCGGAACGATCCTTGACGACGACATTCCTCGGGACGTGCGTCTTGGCCCCGAGAGCCCACAAGTCGCCCCAGGAAGACTTCCTCGCGTCGCGGAAAGCCTGTTTCGAAAAGCTGCGCGGGACCGTCCAGCGTTCTAATTGCCCGGCGGGGGTGCAGAGGTCGAGAATCACGTGGCCCTGTCGCTTCATGGGAGGGAGGATGGCGCGGGGCAGGGTGCGGCCGTCGAAGTCGGCCGGGTCGGTGAGGTCTTCGTAGCCTTTGAAGGCGATGGCGGTGGTTTGGGTGTTCTGGACGGGCCGGTTGTCGCGGCCGCGCATGAGGCTGAGGTAGGAGAATTCGACGTCTTCGTGGTTGCGGCCCTTGGTGGAGAAGAGGTTCTGGAGGAAGAGAGGGCGGTGGTAGCGTTGCGGGAAGGAACAGATGTCGCGACGGCCTTTGACTTGGCCTTTGGGGATGTACAGGGGGCAGGAGGTGTGGTTCGTGCAAGGGGCGATGATCATGCCTGGTTCCTTGGTGACGGTCGGAGCGTTTTCTTCAGTCGATTCGTCCATGGATCTTCGTCCTTTTTCCAATCCCGGTGAAGATATGTGGTTGTCGAGAAGCATGTCTCGGGCTCCAGCGATCATTTCGAATCCTCTCGAAACACCCTTTTCCAGCAGGAGCAGAACACCTCCATCGTTGGACAATAAGCTCCAGAGATTCTGAACATGCGTCTTCCGCAGATAGTCCTCCCTCAACGGCCAGAGCGTGTGCGGCGCAATCACCAGGTCGAATTTCCCCTTGTGTTTCTGCTGCTCCGTATGCACGTAATCCGGAAGTCTCGGAACAAAAGTCGTGTTATCGAAGAGTTTGCTCACCCGTTTCTCCAGTGTCTTGGAGCCTACGAGCACAGTGGCTTTGCCCGTCGGAGTAGAAGCTCCCTCTCCGCCAACCTTTCCATCAACTTCAGCGAGAGCCATGGGCGATTCGTCTCCGTGGCCATCTTCGTGCATGCGCTCCCATTCGGCTCTCAGCACTTCTCTGACAGCGAGTACACCAGCGCCAGCACCACCAGCGTCCAGGATCCTGAGTTCTCCAGCTTCAGCTTTTCGAACAAGGTCCTCTGCCCATTCGGTCCCCAATCTCTTTCTCGTTTCAACCAGGACACTCATGACACTGCTGTAAATTCCAGGCATAATGGCGCTCATGTAGACGTCTGCTTCGATTGGGCTCATTTGGCTCTGATATGCGTCGAGAGCGATGGGTTTCTGCTGCATGGTTTTGCCCCGCGTAGGAGTGGAAGTACTGTAAGGCAAGCCAGGGCCACCGAAGATGCTGTGTGCCTTGTCGGAGAGATGCACCGTCGAGAGATTCGCGAGCATACTCGTGACGGGCTTGACGAAGGCGGTGGAGGGTATCTCGAGGGTCGAGGGGGAAGTCGTGAAGCGATGCGCCGCCGTCAGAGGGTGAGTCCGCTGATATGACTCTTCCTGCTCTTCCCCTACTGCAGTCTCCGCCTCGTTGGAGCCCTCTCCTCGCAGCAGCAGCTCTCGGATCTCCGCATCAACATGGTCATCTCCAATCCCGACCTCTTTCTCTCCTCCGTTCTCCAGTTCCACTGCCCTATCCCCTCCCTCCTCCACCTCGAATTCCACCTCTTCCAACCCCCCTTCCCCATCCTGCCGCAAGAGCCCCGTCCCCGAATCCCCCTCTTCCTCGTCAATCCATCCCACCTCTCCCTCTCCTTCCTCCATCACCCGCTCAAGAACCCTAACATCCCCAAACAACCTCTCATGAACCCTACGTTCCTCCTCCCCAAGAACAACACCCGGAACAGCTCCTCCCCCAAAGAAATCACGAATCCTCCGAACCCTCTCCTCAACCCCCAACTGATAGTTCGCTCCTTCCTCTTCTGGCTTCTTCCCCTTGACCAAAACCAACCCGTCTTCCCCTTCCCTCCCCTCCCCTGGCTGCTTCCGCAGACTACACATCTCATCGATGACCTTCCTCCATTCCCCCGCTTCCAAATTTCCGGACTTATACAGGTCCTCGAAAACTCCCACGCCTGCGAGATGGGAAGGTTCGTTGAAGTTGGATTTCTCCTGGGCTTGTTTGCGTCCATGAGGGTCTTTGGTAGGTGGTCGGGGGGATCCTGTCTTTGTTGACGCGTTCCTCTGCCATGGTATCCCTCCTCCTCCTCCTCCTCCTCCTCCTCCTCTTGATACAGCTTTCGTAGCAGTAACCCTTCCAGCACGAGCAAGTTGTTTCCCCAATATCATCCCCCTTAATCGACACGTCGCGCAGAGGGGTGTGTGTAGCAGCAGCATCTTGTCTTCCTCTCCCTTCTCACTCCTGGCTCTTTCAATCTCCAGTCCTGCAAGCAAAAGAAGATGGAGTGATATGGATGGCAATGGGAAAAGCACACTAGGTAAGGTAGACCCAGGAGACCTCGGCACGTATCCGAACGGACCCATCTCCATCCAATCAATCGTCAGCGATTTCGAACTTTCTCTAGCTTCCGATTTAGAACAAGCTTCGGCGGGAACGCATCACGTGCACCCTCGCCTCCAACCCCACACCCACACGTCTTCTCGAACATCTGGATTCTGGAACACACGTTTAACGTACCTGGTCCACAAGCCGAACGCTTCCGGCGGTACCAGGTCTTTGGATTATGCTCAAGTCTCAGATCCCATCTTCAAGATCGGAAACCATGATTGAAGCTCAGACAAGGAAATGGGGATCGAATAATAGGGGCAAACCAATTTGACATTTACAGAAGCAGTCTCATCCTCGGTCCATAGAGCAGAGAGAATACAGCCAAACCAGAGCAGAGCAGTCCGCCAGTCCGCATCAGGTACCGAAATACCTTCAGTCTTCCTCCACCAGCGACGTGCTGAAGTCGATCGGATGCTCGCTCAAAGTTCGCACCGTCCCTTCCAAGATGCTCTTCTCCTCTCTCCTATCATTAAACCTCCCCGGACCTCCCCTTCACGTACCGAAGCCATAATTAACGTCCTCCCAAAGCACCAAACAGAACGCAGCAAATATGCCCCATAGCAAAGCCCCAACAGCAGACACGCACCAAAGAAAAGGTGAAGTAAAAAAGCAAGCCCGGGATGTTTTTGTGTCGCTTGATTCGTTTTCTCATCGTCTTTTGCCGGGCGGAGGGTGGTGATGTCGAGAGTAAAGAGAAGTCGGTTGGCCTCATGAGCCTGCAGGTGAATCCGGTATCCGTTTCTTTGCTTGCCAGTTTCATGTTGAAAGTCGGATACCAAAAGCCCTGCCGAGTGACACTGCCAGAATGCTGCATGTTGCTTGCTCGGTAGCATCGCTCTGGCTTTTCCCCAGGTCGCGTGATTTTGAGCGAGCCTCTCCAGAAGAGGTTCACAGATCATGCCGAGGAGAAGAAGAACGAACAAGCCAGCCATGTACTAGTGCACCGATACCGATATGAAAGTGTATCTCCGGGTCCCGAAAGATCCAGAATCAAAACGCATACAGCTGCCGCCGCATCGCTTTGTCGAGTTGAAATCGTGGGTGACGACCCTGCCATCCGCATTCAGGCCGTTCAGTAGTTGTTGTATCCGGACTGATCGGCGCCACGCTTGCTGGAGCGGAGTTGCCTGTGTGCAGAAACGAGATGTTAGTTACAGTCTTCTGATCCCCTCGCGCCAATTGTAAGTTCGAACGCAGAGGAGAAGGCGCCTTACAAGACGTGGAATTCGAAGGCAGGTCGTGTGTATGTTTACACTCACATTCCGGTGCCCTCGGTCTTGGACTGAACGGGGCCGCGGCGGTCGCGTGAGAGCTGGGCCGTCTGGCCGCCAGTAGCCTGACCAGTGCCGCGGCGGCCGGACTTCTCCTCGGGCTCATCGCCGCCGGCCTGGTTGCCCTGGGCCTGGGCGATGGCCTGCGCATTCTTCTGGTACTTGTAGACGGTCCAGTCGAAGACGTAGTCGTACTGGAAGCCCTCGCGGACGAAGAGGTCGCGGAAGATCTTGCGCAGGTACGAGTAGTCGGGCTTATCGTCGAATCGCAGGCTGCGGGTGTAGTTGAGGTAGATGGCGAACTCGTTGGGGAAGCCGCGGCAGAGGACCTCGGTCGGGGTGGTCATCTTCTTCTCCATGATGCGGTCGTACTTCTGCTTCTTGGTGGCCGCCTTAAGACCCTGCCACGGGAGGGAGCCGCGGCAGAAGTAGAGCATCACGTAGCCCAGGGACTCCATGTCATCACGGCGGGACTGCTCTGAGGGGATGTCAGTATGATGGAGAAAATCCTGGATCGTATTGGAGACGTACCGACACCCAAGTGGGTGTTGATGGAGGCATAACGTGCAGTACCAGTGAGGTTCTTGTTCTCACGGTATGGAATGTGGAAGTGAGTCTTGGGGTCGCGGTACTTCTTGGCGAGACCAAAGTCGATGACATTGACCTGGTTGCCGCGCTTTCCGATGCCCATGAGGAAGTTGTCCGGCTTGATATCACGGTGAATGAAGGACTTGGCGTGGATGTACTCGATGCGGGAGATGAGCTGGTCGGCGAGCAACAGGACGGTCTTGAGGGAGAACTTGCGGTTGCAGAAGTTGAAGAGGTCCTCGAGGGATGGGCCGAGCAGGTCGAGCACCATGGCGTTGTAGTCGCACTCGGTTCCGAACCATCTCACGAAAGGGATGCCGACGCCGCCGGCGAGAGACTTGTAGACACGTGCCTCATACTCGAGCTGAGGGTGCTTGGCCTTGACCGACTCCAGCTTGATGGCGATCTCTTCGCCAGAGATGATGTTGGTGCCTGGTGAGAGAGTCAGTCGCAGTGCATCGATGCAGCACATCGGGCTTCATGCATACCCAGGTAGATGTCACCGAAGCTGCCACTTCCGATCTTGCGACCGATGCGGTACTTGTTCCCCACGCGGAGGTCCTAGGAGGATGTCAGCACCTCATGATTGTATGCGACCTGCTCGCGTGCACGTGTCCACCGTGCTGCTACTGCTGCCGCTGCTGCTGCTCTGCCTGCCTCCAACCTACCATGGTCGTCATGTTTGTGTGTGGCCTCAGCTGCTGAGGACGTGATGTGATGGCGTGGGTAGGATGGGATGAGGATGCTCAGTATCTCTACCGAGCGCAGGTGGTGTTGTCGGATCGAGGGCGAGGGCGAGGGCGAGAGGAGGGCTGAAGGAGACGGCAAGGTCAGCAAAGGCTTTGTACCAGGCTGGGTTGCAGTCGGTCGAGAGAGCGGGTGAGCGTCACAAGCGACAAGGGCGGTGTGCCAAGCTAGTAGGCGACGGGGGTGCACCGGCTTGCTGGCTTGTTGCTTGTTTGCGGGGTGTTGGTGAAAGAAGAAGAAGAAGCGAGGATGGGGAGGCGGGCGGGGAGATTGTTTGTTGTGCTGTGCGGTGCGGTGCGGTGCGGTGCGGTGCGGTGCGGTGCGGTGACAAAGGGATGATGTGATGCGCAATTGGCGGACGAGGCGTGAATGGGCGATTGTGCTGGCGGGTGAATGAATGGATGGTACGATGCAGGTGAAGGGAGCGATGAGGGAGCGGGAGCGAGTAAGCCGGTGACACGCCCGGGCTGCTGCTGTGTCCCGCTGACTACGTGTTGCCGGTCTGCGTTCCGATGATGGCAGGAGAGATCACGCACTCACCTGTTCGCGTGTGTGGGATGAACCTGCAGTGTTGTTGTTGTTGCAGTGTCTTCGCAGGGCGAGCGGGCGGGGAGGAGCCGGTGGGAGATGTACGGTTGTTTGGCGAGCCGTCCGAGGCGGCGGTCAGGCAAGGCGCGCAGCGCTTGGGCAGAGAGGGACGGAGCGGAGGCGGACAGCGCAGCGTCGTATTGCAGGGCCGAGCGGAATTGGCTCGGTGGAGTGGAGGGGGAGGAGCGCGTAGCTGCGTCCACGGTCTCGGGCGCTGTTGGGTGTTGGGTGTTGGGTGTTGGGTGTTGGGTGTTGGGTGTTGGGTGTTGGGTGAGAGGGCGAGGTGGATGTCGGGTGGATGTTTGCCCGTGCAGTAGTAGTGTGAGGAAGAGCGAGCACAGCGCGAAGACGCTCGGCTGTGTTGGGCAGATCAGGCCGTCAGGCATCCATCCGAAACCACACCTCGCCTCTTTCCAACCTTGAACGACGACGACGACCACAACAATCTCACCCACGCCCTACGCCTCCTACGCCTGAAGCGTCCTATCACCTCATTTCTCACTCAATCAAATTCACTCTACCCCCCATCCCTCAAGTGCCGTCCAGACGACGCCTCATTGCCCGCCTTGAGCCGATTCATGCCCAACCGCAAAGGCATCTTCCGGCCGCGGCTACTGCGCTTCGTCGTACCTAGATCTCCCAGCTCGGCTCCCGATCCCAATGCATCCTACAACACGCAACACGTGCACTCGCATAGCTCGTTCGAATTGAGTGTGTAGTACATGACTCTGGCTCTGGGCTGTGGAAGAAAGGCAGGGCGATTTGACAGATGTCTAAGACATATGAGACACTCCGCTTAAGTCTGGGCTCTGCTTTCAGCTTCCCTCCACCTTTGCCTTTTTGGATTTGTCTTGGGCTGCCTTCGGAAATCGGCGCAACAAAAGGCTCGGTACAGGTTGCACCTATTGCGGTCACGAGCCATTGTCGCTGTCAGACCTTGAACGCTACCACTGACAGCTTCTCCCATGGTTCGCAATAGCTGCTGCGCTGTCGCTGGCTATGTCACTGGACTCGGTCAGATGAGCAGCATTTGTAGCCGCGGATGGGTCAAGCACACGGATGAACTGCAATTGTTGTTGCCACAAATGGAACCGTGTCACTACAGAGATGAAGGCAGCGGACGAGGTCTGTTTCCCTTCGGTATATATGTACAGCAGCACACTCGATCCATCCGCTCCATCTTCGGATGCCTCATTTCATGGCCCAAAGAGCTCCGAGACGTCTGTCCTGCCCCTGCTTTCATCGCATCGCGTAATTGCTTCTAGTGCTTGTCGTTCGACTTTCCGGCTTTGGGGTTTCTGGGATCGTTCTTGTACTCGTCGGCTGCAAGTCGACCATGTCAGTATCCACGTCTCAACAATTCCATTGCAATCTCCTGTAGTGTTCTTTCTGGCTCCGTGACTCGTGCATTCCGGGAGGGAGGGACATACTGTTCGCAAGAACGGTCGCGAAAGAATTGATGCCGTACGCAATGATGAGGCCTGTGATCCATTCTCAGTATCCAGCTCTCAGATCTTCCACTTTCCCAGTCCTTCCAGATCTTTCGGTGCATCTCTCCGTGGGTTGCAAGGCATACCGGCGGTGTAGAAAGGCCACATCGGCCGGGCTGTAGAAGCAATCATGGTCAGTCTCTTGCTTCGCGCAGTCTCCCGTGGCGGGGATTGGACCACGTACCGACGGGCGTGGGGAACTTCTTTCCGAGGAGACCAGGCATCTTGAATGTGTGCTGTTCGTGATGCCTTGAGGTTGGGTTGTGGTATGTGGAGGTCGCGCTGGTGATGCAGAAGGAGCTTCACCAACGACACCCTCGGCAGAAGCCGGACGGACCTTACCTTAGGCTTGGCAGACCGGATATCCGCGAGCCGGTCCGGATAAGTGCAGGGGCCGGATGTGCCCGGTCTAACCAGCCCCCGGATTTGTAGCCGAACAACAACACCTCCACCAAAAGCTCAACCTGCGCAGCTCTCACAGCTACACAATCTCGCATGACGCACATGAGTGCACCGTCAAACGTTCCTCCAATCCCATTCTACAACAAAACATGTTACCACCGCCCTGTTTCTCAGAGCACCAACGAATAAAAACGGTAAAGTCCCAGCCCTCTCTCCCAGCCTCCCGCCATCTGCTATATCCAGCCTCTCGTTCATCCCACCAAGACTCCCATTTAGGTAGGCAAGGTACATACATCTGCGTTCCTGACGTTTGCTTCTCCCGAACATCCGATCCACGGTTCCCACCAACAGCACAATCCTTTCTTCTCGCTCTCTGACACGCACGTGGAAACCGAACCAACCCAAGTCAACGATCAATTGAAATGCAAACGACCATCTTGCGTCTGATCGTTTGAGCTTTCTCGTTCGACATTTGACCAATGTCGAATACGCTCTCTCCCCCCAGCGATGCCAACGAGGTCTACAGATTACGACAGACAAACGGTACGTTGCATCCTTGCTGCTTATGCATGCGAAAGAGGCCTTCACATGAAGTCGCAAGCAAGCACCCATACCCATGCAGCAGCTTCATGCACCGCACCTCCACCTTCTACCGCCGCCAACCTTTTCTTTCTCCCACCAATACTCCGTCAACGATCAATTCATCTCTCCCGCTAACATGTCACTCTTCTCTTACCAGTCTCCAACCCAAGCATAGTCCACAGCCGACCTTCCCAACACTCCATCACTGCCTCCGAGCACTACTACTCCTTCTCCGGCTCCAACTCCTCCAATTCCTCGGCCCGATCCGCCGAGCTCGCCAATGCTGCATCTATATCGCAACAGACGATAACACGATACCAAACTCCGCCTTCACGATATCGGACGCCCCTGGCATCGAGGGACATCTTGCCTCTGCCGCAGCATGCGGAGGAGCAACAGAGTGAGGAGGAAACCTTCAGAAAGACGCCAATGAGAGGCCAGGGGAAGAGACGACAGAGCGTTGGTGAGGGTCCAAGTACCAATGTTGCTACCACTGCTGCTGCAGCAGCGCCGTTGCTACGCGAGGGAGGGATCAAAAGAAAGCCTGTACCCAGCACGGTGATCGAACAAGAGTCTCGACCTGTGAGCGAGATCAGAATCTCTCCAACTGCTGCCCAGAGCTCCGTTGCGAGGGATATCAACCGAGAGCGAGATGCACCGACCCCTGGTGTGGATGACTCGCCATACATCCACTTCGCTCTGGATCAATTGACGAGAGACGAAGAAGTAAGAGGCAGCAGACGCTATCCAGGCATTGCACCTGGAATCGATGGCAATTATCCCTGCATTACACCTCCACATGTGCAGCAAGCGACTTCTCCCAGACGGCAGACACGCTACGAGCCATTGCCGCAAGAAGAAGAGAGAGACATCGTGGAACAAGCGCCTTACCCCGACGATCCACCCCCTGAGAGCCCGCGGCGAGGAGATGGCCCACCTTCTCTACCACGTCCACCACAATCCCGTCCCCAGAGACCACAGGGCCCGAAGATCTTCCTCTCAGTTCCCGCGGACAGATCACGGCAAGTGCCTCTCAACTTCAAGCCTGGCATCCTGAGACCTCTACAGCTCGGAATCTATATTTTGCTCGTGCTGGCCTATACCATCTGCCTCGTCATTGCAGCAGCATGGAGTAGAGCACACACAGGACTGTTGAACTACGGCACCTTCGGAGACGGTCGATATTTCGTCTTTCAGTATCTCCCCACAATGCTTGGCATGGTACTGCTGATGTGGCTCTTTGAAATCCAGAAAGCAGTTTACCGCGTTGGCCTCTACATTGCCATGGCTTCAGATCTGCCCTCGAGTCGAATCGCTGGCGCGACGCTCCCCATGCAGCCGAGAGGATTTGTCCTGCCATACTTTGGACACTTCCGTGCAAAACAAACCGTTGTGGGAGTCTTCCTGTTCATTGCGTGGCTGCAACTCTTCACTATTCCGCTGCTGAGCACGAGTTTCAACGCCTACCAAGACAACGGAAACTGGAGCTGGATCGCAACGCAGGGAGTGATTTGGGTCGTCATCGCGCTCTATATCCTCCTTCTGATGGCTTTGTCCGCTCTTCTCTTCTGGCTCTCCAGGCAGCCAACCGGGCTGAAATGGGACGCAAAGAGTCTAGCGGACATTATCGTCCTTCTCGAACGAAGCAACGCGCTCGATGGCCTCGGCGACGGCGTGCCTCAGCTAGGCTACTTCCGTACCACACACCAACCCAACGAAGTGTTCCATACTATTGGCATTGAAGAGAAACCGGCCCGCAGCTACGGAGTCATCGACGGCCAGATTCGCGAGAAGCGATACTCAGATCCAGACAACGAGCTTCAGCCCGGACGACATTCCAAAGACGCGATGTTGCCACGCTCACCCATCGACGAAGAAGGTGGCAGCAGCTTTACCCACAACGACAATGGCCTGCCATGGTTTCTCCGGCCTTCCTTGGCTCTCCTCTGGCCCATCATCGCCATTGTGCTGCTGCTCGCTTTCCTCATCGTCTCGTACCTCCCCAGCACCAACGTCTCCGCCGGTTTCCGACCCATGCTCTCTTCCGAAGTGAACACGATGGGTTTCAACAGCGCCAATTTCCTCTACAGCTTCATCCCGTCCCTCCTGGCCACGCTGTGCTTGCTCTTCTGGCTCGACATTGACCTCGCCCATCGTCGTCTCGCCCCATTCGAAAGCTTAACCTCGATCAACCGCAAGACGCCGTCGTCTTCCGACCCAGAAAAGGACGAATCAGAGGAAACAATCGGCGACAGACCCGAACGTACCCTCCTGCCCTCCTACCCAGCCGATTTCCCGCTTTTCGTCTCCCTCTCCGCCCTCTTCAATTCCCACCTCCGCGTAGCTTTCATAAGCTCCGTCAGCCTCCTCGCGGCTACACTACCAATCCTCGCCGGCGGAATCTTCTGGGCGGAATTCTACATCCCCGACCAGAGAGTCCTCATCTACCCGGATCTGCCAGCCTACTACACTCTCACGGTGTTCCTCACAATCTACGCCCTGGCGTACCTCACCATCTACCCCGCCTCGGCCCTCCACCACCTCCCGCCCATCGAATCCTTCAACGACATGCGCGACCTGGTCCATCAATCGCGCCTCCTCGACGACATCGCTTTCCGCAACCCCGTCAGCAAGACGCAACTGGTCACCCGCCTCCTGACCTCCAACCCGCTGGCTCCCCACGGCATCGGCGCGGAATCCAAACTCAGCCTGGCGGATAGTATCCGAGGCTACGGAAGGGCACGCGCTGCCGTGGAACAACAGCCGCCTCTCTGCTCCCCCTCCAACAACCCATCCCCGAATTTCGCGTTTGGGAGGTTTCAGGGACGGGATGGGCGGGAATATCTCGGTATTGATCGAGTTCGGCGATGATGATGATTATGATGATTACGATGATGAAGGAGGGGGTGCGCAGTCGCCTTTTTTTTTTTTCTCTTTTTCCTTTTTTTTTTCTTTTTCTTTTCTCTTTTTGGGAAATTTTTGGGGTTTTCGAGATGTGAAATTTGGGTTTTAGCGAAGGCGCTTTTTGGAGTTTTATTTTTAGATGAGTGACTTCGTCATGATGATGGAGAAGAAGAGCGAGTCCGAAGGGCCTACATACATACATACATACATACATACATACATATGATCACGGATGCCATGAGATGCAATGCAATGAAATGAAACGGAATGGAATGGAATGGAACGGAACGTGTATATATGACAATGGGGAAAGGAAAGGAAAGGAAAGAAATGGAAAGGAAAGGGAAAAGAAAGGAAAGACAATGGATCGAGATGTAATTCATTAATGGAGAATGGAGAAGGAGAATGAAAAACCCCACACGACGATGAGAAGAGAGAGCAACAATAGACTTCTAGAACCGTCTTCTACTCAGGTGCTTCGCGTCACTCTTATGTCATTTTAATGAAGCACACAACGTAGAAGAGAACGGAAGGCTGATGTCTCTTTCTCGCGTCATATCGTGCGTGGACGGAACCGAACTGACATTCCTTCCGCAGAAGAGAATACAAAAGATATCCCAAACGCCTTTTGCGAGTGCGGGGAAAACTTCGACGTGACTGACTGAGGAAAGAACAGAAAGGAAGAAAGAAAGAAAGAAAGAAAGAGAAAGTGAGAGGAAGAGAGAGAATCATGACAGCAAAAGCCCTTGCTCTTTTTTCTTGCTGTCTGGAGTACATACACGTGTTGTCTCCCTGATACCCAAGCCCGAGGAACTCTCCATCCATCCGATCCGCAAACCGTGTCAGATGTGCCAAGTACTGTACTAGCCCGTGAGAGCCAGACTTGCATCAGCCAAATGAGCCCTCGAGGCCGTCAAGTTACGTCGTAGTAGTAGTGAGTCAGTCAAGAGCACAAGGTCCCTTCACCAACCAAGTCGCATGAGAGTATCCTGCTTCTTGTCAGAGCCAGCGCGGCGTAGAGGCGCGCCAGCTAGCCTGAAGTCCGAGGAGGGAGGAAAGAAGTCGATGGTGATCTACCAGTCGGAGGCGCCAGTATCACCGCCGTCAGCGGTGAAGCTGGTGTCAGCAGAGGCTTCTGGAGCGGCACCCCGGCCAGCAGCAGCAGCAGGAGGCGCGTCGCCGGAATCGCCACCCCAAGCTACACCACCATCCTCGTTGCCACCCTCAGCCTCGTCGTCGGTGTCATCCTCCCATTCGATCTTCTTGGCGTCTTCCGGAATGAGATGCGATAGAAAGTCAGGAACCTCGCAATCGCACTCCACGAGGACGTTGACAAGATCCTGAGCGAGGTCCTCGTTACGGTCGTTGTAGAAGGATGTAGCGAGACCCTGATTGCCGATACGAGCGGTACGGCCAATGCGGTGGATGTACTCAGAGATACCACCGTACTGAGTGCTCGGAAGGTCGTAGTTGATGACATGCATCACATCCTTGACATCCCAACCACGAGCAGAGAGGCCAGTGGCAATGAGGATGGGAGCACGGCCGGTACGGAATGCGCGGCTGTATTGATGTTAGCTTGTGTGTCAAGACTCGGTCAGCATTGTACTTACATGGCGTCCTCGCGCTCGCGCTGGTTGCGATCACCGTGAATGGAGGTGGTGGGGAGGCCACGGTTGTACAGAAAGTCGTCGAGCAGGTCGACGGCCGGCTTGGAGTTGCAGAAGATCAACGTGCGGGCTGGCTCGGACTGGAAGAGGAGATCGTAGAGAGCCTGGCGCTTGGCATCGTAATCGACGTAGATGACGTTCTGGCGAATGTTCTTGTGCGACTGGCCAGCGCGGCCGACTCGAATGCGAGTGTAGTCCTGGGCCATGTATTCGCGAGCGAGCTCACGCGCGCCCTTGGGAAACGTGGCCGAGAACATCATGTAGACGTGATCGGCGTCCTCGTTGGCATCTAGTTCAAAAGTCAGCAGGCGTGTGGAGACCAATAGATGGGATATACATACCACCGCCAGCCATGATCTTGCTCAAGTCGTCCGACCAGTCTTGGTCGAGCATCTCGTCGGCTTCGTCGATGACGGTGTACCTGGAACATGTCAGTGTGTTGGACACGAGTCGCGTGTCGAGGTACGTACTTGACGCGCCCCATGGTGAGGACCTCTGGCTTCTCCATGAGGTCGCAGAGTCTGCCTGGGGTGCCGATGAGAATGTCGCAGCCCTTACTAATCTCGTCGATGTTCTGGCCCTTCGGATAGCCTCCGTAAGCGACACAGGGGCGGAGCATGCTACGATAGCATAGACGACGCGCCTCGTCGAAGATCTGGATGGCCAGCTCGCGGGTAGGAACCACGACCACCACGAGCGGCTCTGCACGAACGCCATGGACCTTGACGTTGAATCCAGGAGCGGTGACGTCTGGACGTGGCGCGCGCAGCTTCGCGGCCTTGCCCATGAGCTTCGACATGATCGGCACAAGGTAAGCGGCAGTCTTGCCAGAGCCTGAAATGCTTGTCAGCGAGTTCTCAAGCAGGTGTCCATCACATGTTACTCACCGGTCTGCGCGACGGCGACTAGATCTCGTCCATCGAGAATTGCAGGAATTGCGTAGGACTGGATGGGGGTGGGGTTGACGTATCCGCAGAGCTCGACGTTACGCTCGACGACGGGGTGCAGACCGGCCTCCTTGAACTGGGCGAAGGTCAGCGGGGCATCTGGGGAGGAGGACATGTGATATGACTTACCGACTCAAATGGCGTGATCTTGTCTGGTCCCTCCACCGCGACCTCCATGTTGAGGTTCGAGCGATGGGCTCCCTCGCGGGTAATGAGGTCGCTGGAGAAGAGGATCTTCTCGAGTTCCGGAACCTCAGGGGCGACGTCGCCGTAGTCGCCGCTCCACTCGTAGACACCGGCGCCGCCGTACCAGTCGCCGCGGTCGCCTCCCTGTCGCTGGTACTCGGCGTAATCGAACGCGGTGGTCTCTGTCCAGCCGGCAGATCGGGCACGGTCGAGAAGAGCCTGCTTGTCACCTTCTGGCACAGCATCGCCGCCAGCTCCGCCAGCATCGCCTTCCATTCCTGGTGCAGCGCCGCTATCCCACTGATTTGTGGGTTGGGCGTCGTCCGTCGAGCCCCAGTTGTCTGACATGCTGCTGATGATGCGGTGGTTTGCGGTGCTCGAGTGTGTTGGTTGTTGGTGGTGGACGCTGGTGCTGGTTGGGTTGGGTGTGGAGGGTTGGGGGAAGTCGCGTTGGTGGAAGGAACGGTGATGTTTTGACGGCGAGGAGCGCGTCTGCTCATGGTTTTGTTCCTGGGATTACGTCAGCTGCTTCTTAAAGACGGGACAACCCGCCTTGCTCCTGCCTAACACGTCAAGCGGCAGGCGCGAGGCACCAGTGACGACAGTAGCATGTGAATGAAGGTCCTGGACCATCCCAGAAACTCGCGTCGACCCTACGCCTCGATGATCCTATCCAGTAGCTCTGTCTGGCCTTAACTGCTCGGGTCCCTGGGAGAAGATGGTTTTCACATGATAGCCCGAGGGCCTGGACAAGGGGGGAGCCAAGATCCGGCCTCATCGCTTTCCTGGTATCCATGTCCTGGAGTGTCCCACCATGAGCGGCCATAGCGGACGCGTACGTGACGTGTCAGGCAGCGTTGACTGCCGCTCCAGGACGCTGTGCTGCAAGATCGCTTGTCAGGGGTCGAACTTGGTGGAAGACGCGTCTGATTGCGTTCCACTTGCAAGGCCATTGGAGAAGCTGCTATTCACGAGTGACAGGAACGCGACGCAGACTGATCTGACGGTTGGAAGGTTGGTCGTTGCTATCCTTGGTGACGCGTCGAAGGACGGGGTAGCATTGGTGAAAGACTCCTTGTTGTCCGCTTGGAACAGAAGCAAGCAACTGAGCCTGTTCCAGCGGTGCCAAAGCAACGTGTTTGAAGTTGTTTGCTGCCTAGTGGCTTACTTCGTGGCACGCAGAGGCAGCATCGGAGGTCTTACTCCAGAGCGCCAACGACATGGTCGACGCGTCTGGTGCTGAGTCCAAGACTTGGCGTTTGGCGAACGCATGAAGGCAGCCACCGCTTGGTGGCCTTAGGTGGTGGAAGCGTCGTTGGGAGTCGGCTGCAGCTCCATGAGCCATCGTGGGCCGCGAGGTGAAGAGATGGTGGAAGCCTGTCAAGCAGCCGCAGGTCCATCGTCGAGTTGATGAAGCGGCGGCGTCGACACCGTGGTGAGGCTGCTGAGGGTATCGAAGCGACAATGAGCGTATCGGCGGAGTCTGTGAACGCGTCAATCAATGCAATCATTCTGTTCATCAACACCTGGGCGTTGTAGGTACTCACGGTATGCCACCCTAACAACGAACGGTGACGGTCGACGCTGTTGGCCATCATGACCTTCCATCCCGTCGCTTCTACGCTGTTGCCGTTGATGTTCGTGCCGTTGAAGGTGTCCAGGCCCAGTGATCCAAGTTCAGGTCCAGGTCTAGAAGGTGGTCGATGGCTGCTGGTCGACCGCTTCTCATATCTCGCCGCCTTGGATTGCATCGTCGTCCAGCACAATATCCATCCGGCAGTTGCTGTCCGTGGTCTAGAATGATTCACAATGCTACTGTCGCCATCGTGCGCGCCGCTGAAGGCATGTTAGTAGGGCAGGGGGAGGGGATCACGTACCTCGTTGTTGTTGTCGAGCTCCAGAAGAAGATGTGAAACGAGAAGAAAGTCATGAAGGCCATACTGCGGCAGGCACGCTAACGTCGCTAGCGTCATATGGGGGTTGCCATAGAGCAACAAGGGTCCAGCTCATTGACCAGAAAGACCTTCAGTGACACCATCTCTTTCGGAAAAGAAAGATCCGTAGAAATAGACAGCGCTCTGAACGATGGCATCGTTGGTTTTCGCATGAGAAAGAAGAAACAGAACATAGCACAGAAGATAGGTAGGTAGACGAGGGTGAACCTCTCCCATGTGAAGCCAAGACTTCCCGAATCTCCTACCTTGAACTTCGCCCACATCTCGCGTACTCACGGTAAGAAGCCCCCAATTTCTCGCCCACACGCGCCGCATAGCACATTGTCCAATATAGGGAGCAAAGCAGGGCTACAGCGGCGGATAGTGGGGGCCATTGCGAGCTGCTTGGGAGCAAATTGCTTGCCAAACAGCCTGACGAAGGACAAAGGAAGAGACAGCACACCTACGGCGGCGACAAGTCCAGTGCATATTCACAGCGCTGATGAAGGCAGATCTCGCCGTTACGTTGCCGATGGCCACTCAGAAGTACGGTGGATCCCACCCCCGCAAGAGCAGACCACGCCCTCGACGGCACTCCAAGGCCAGATCAGAACCCGCAGAGAGCAGAGCCCCATTGAGAAGAGGAGGATATTTTGCGCCGACCGCAAGGTGGTACAGGCCATTAGCAAGCCAGGATACCAGACCAGCAAGTCCTCGAAGCAAGACGTCGCGCCCTTCTCAAAAGCTCACTAGCACGAGACTCACGCAGCCGGGCCTGAGACAGCTCTCAAGTCAGTCATCGGCAATGAGGCTCGAAGGGAGATGGCTCGGCGACTGACAGGGAGGCACTGCACCAACTCGAGGTTTGGACAGGGGCTCCACGAGGCAGAAAGAATTGTGCGCGCGACAAGCAGTAAGGGTTGCTCTGCTCTCCGGCCAGCATTGGGAAGCAGGAAAGCATGGCAAGAGCTACTGGGGACAGAGGCATCAGAGGCCGGATATCGAGCAGAGCGCTTCTTCGCAGAAGTCGCCCGTCCGAGACACAGTTGCGGGCAGCGTTCCGTTTCACACAACGAGCAGATGTGCGCGATGGCATAGAAGGCGCATTGGACAGCGGCGAAGGCTTGAGGGGCCCAGTCCAAACCGACTTGCTCTCGCCAGTAGAAGCAGTACCAACGACGCACAGGAAAGAGCAGATGCTTTGGGAGCCTCAAAGCCGAGAAATCTGCCTCGTAAGGAAAGACCTTGCCGGACAACCAGACCAAGCAGCTGGCTGCAGGACGCCGTGGCAATCAGTCCAATCCGGCCCACTGAGATTGAGCACAAACGTCCTGTTGCAGTGGTTTGCACGATAGCCAGGCACAAATTTCGACGGAGCGGTCTCGGTGGCGCGGGCAGTCTGTCGGTTTCTCTGGGCTCTCCAGCCTGAGCCTCAACGCCCCAGAGACTTCAATCAGATACCTGCTGAGGGTGGAGAAGCATCAAAACGAAGCAACATGATCCGCTCCCTAGCCCACCTGAAAAAGAATCTTAGAAGAAAATTGGGCGTATATGATCTTCAGCAGATGCGGAAACTCCGCTTGCACGCCGAGAGATTGCCAGAGGACGTGTTCTGCCATTTGATCTCGAACGCTGGACCGCATTACCTTGATACCGCCATGAAAGCAGGGCATTACGGAAAGCAGGGTGAGCGAGCGGGATGGGCTCGTCCAGCCGTGCCTGCCCAGCATCAATTAGGCCTTGTCTTCTCCAGCGCATGATGCCTTATCGGAAAGCCGCAGTGAAGACCTGTCAGCGCCACAGACTTTGGTCTTCGGAATGGACATCTTTCAGATGTTGGAAAGAGAAAATGGTCCGGTCAGTTTCCATTCAGGAGTTCTGGCGGGACGGCTGGGTTGTCTTGAGACGAGCGAAAGGAACCAGCACCAGGGCAATGTCGAGGAATCTCGACAGAGCCCTTAATATACCACTGTGCGCAATGGTATCCAGGCCTGGCTTCTCAGAGCATGTTCGTCTGCTCTTGAAACAATTCACAAATGTTATTTGCGAGGTATGCCGAACCATCCACGATCCAGTCTTTGGCCAACAGAGGGCACATGGCCAGCCTTTCAAATTGCCGCAATCTGCAGGTTCGCTGTCACCAAGACAGAAATCGTGATATGCAGAGACTCTGATGCCAGACGGACGATGGACCAAGAGCGTGGCCACTGCACGACTCTTCTCGCCGCCCCCGAAATGGAATCTGGAGCAATTTTGGCGACGATGTTGCTTTCGGGGGTGGAGATCCGTTGTACGATCAAGCGGTTACAGACAATGCGTTCTTGACCTCCGGAGTCCAGTCATGGATGGAATTTCCCAATGTCTTCCATCGAACTCAACAAGATGATGGTACGATTTTGTCATGTTAGACCGCACGCAGGCACGCCGAAGGTGCCACGATTGGATCGCCATGTCAGCGACTCCGAAGCCCGAGCCCAGGTTGACGCTCAGGATCTTGAGCGAGAGGATGATATGGAGACGACCATCCCACTGTAAAGTGCAAGTGGATCCCCTGCAAACCTGTGCCTCAGAATTGGAGTGCGCGGCCAGTGAGCATGTTTCCGGGACAAGTGGTGACCCCTGCAGCATCATAGCAGACAGAGTCGGTGGTGATCGCTACCAATCCAGGCAAGGACTGAAGTCGACCAGTGGAGACCGCTTCTGGGTGGTATGCGACTTCCGCGTGCATGCCTGCCATTGACGTTGTGCTCCCACAGGCCTAAAAGCACATTTGCCAACGACCAAAATTGGTCATAGACTGCCCCATGCGTTTCTGAGATATGGAAGCAGCGCCTTGGTTGTCGAAGAAGCATGAGCCATGCGCATTGTGACCGGAGCAGGTGGTTGTGGTAGCTGTTTGACCCTGCGGCGTTGCGACAGCCTGCTCTGGCTCGCGAGGGCAGCAGTGGCAGACTACGCTAGGGCAGGTTGTAGGGTGGAGGCAGCTGATCAAGCCCATTATCCATTCGCTCAGGATCTGGAATTGCAACGCAGCCATGGCAGCTCCACCTGGTATCGACAAATGCCAAATGTGCGCAAGTGGCAGAGCCTGTCGGGGATCCGAATCGTTATTGTTGACCCTCGGACGGACGACCGGCTGTTGTCTACGTGGCATGGATGTAGCGACCTTCAAGCCATCGGCCATGAGGGCGTGGCGAAAGCAATGGCATCAGAGGGAGCATGGGCTTCTCATCTGGAGGGCGTTTGCGGTATCGCATTCCTGCCGTCGTCCGTTGGGGGCCTGCCTTCTTCCCTGTTCGATAGCATAGCGGCCTGAGTCGCAGCTGAACAGAGGGCTGTCATCCATCTCCTACGCCTTCCTTGGCCCTTCACGTGCTTTCAACTGCTGTTGTCCGCCTCTGCGTTGTCTCGGGGCTGATCGATTGATGCGGAACGTTCGGGAGAGAATGCGGCGGCACGCAGGGCTGGCATGGCGTGGGATTCGGTTGAGAGGTCTTCTAGAGTCGACACGGTGCTCGAGTAGCCCGAGCTCGTCATTCTGGGCGGGTGTTGCGTGGTCAGAGAAGATGCAGGTGGACAGAGCGAAGATACCTTAGTGATGTGGGTGAAGTCGACCAGGCCTCGGCTGCCAAGCCATGCGGAGGGAGCCTCCTGCGCCAGTCTTCCTCGGAGGTCTGAACAGGTTCGACGCGAGCATCAGGGAGGTCGCAGGGTCATGAGGCATCCATTGGCGGCGAACGGGGAAGAGTGGAGAGGACGCAAGTTCATCGGCGATTGGCAGGTGTTGACTGCGGGTGAGAGCGGATACGCCTTCCAGCGAACTTGAACGGCGCCCTGCTCCCGTGCTTTCACCAAAGCAGGCGCAAATGAGAGGAGGGAAGAGCTCTCCACCACAGTAAAAGGACACAAGCACTGCCATGAGAAGAATGATATTAATCTATTTGATATCGGTGCCCGCGACAACACCCATCTGCGTTTCCACGCGTTGGACGTGGCGGGGGAGGACTAGGACTTCTTCGTCTTCTTTCTGAAGAACCGACTGGTGTCACCCATTGGGAAGCTGAAATGTATGCTCTCCTGACACATCAGATTCGCAACGGTATAGTACCCCAGCATCCCCGACGCAAAGGCAAACGCTCCGGCCGCTTTATTCACTGCTTTGGCCTCACTCACCAGCCCGTCCGCAGTCAGGAAATACGCTGCTGCAACGAGCGTAAAGGCCATCTGGACGGTGAAGAAGATGCCAATGTACACCAGATTGATTGGCAACGAGCCCAGCAGGAAGAAGAGATTCCAGACAGCCCACACTGCAGCGACGGGTTAGCTTGCTTCGAGAGGCAGGAGCTGAGGTCGACGACTTACTCAGGACAAAGAAGCCGACGGCATTGTTGTACTCCGCGCTATTCGCTCCACCGTAGGACTCGGCCACACCGAACGAAGGCGTTATGATGAACCCGAAACCAGCGTAGAAGAGACCGAAGGCTGCAAGCACAGTGTATGCGTATGTGTTTCCCAGGACAAGTTCCCAGTTGGCCGACACAAACTACAGGAGTCAGTTTTATATGTGCATTTGGCGCAGTCTCTGGGAGTACTACTCACCATGCCGATACCAGCAACACCAAAGAAGTCTCCAATGAAGGCATTCGTAACGCTCACACCTCGGAAACCCATCAGGGCGAGGGATAGGGTGGTCAACGTCGTCGCAAATGCACCAATTGCCAGCGCGGTCTGCAGAGCAATCCATCAGCCACGGTTAGGACCCAAAAGGCCCTCATTCTTTTCAAAGCCTACCGGACTTCCAATCTGCGACTTGATCGTGATCGGTACTGGGATGTAATACGGCTGAGCGGGCCCATTCGTGGCAACTCCATCATGATCGGAGTGCGACGACGCAGCGGATTGTGTCGTGGCAATCTTCCCGGATGCCAACTTCTCGTAGAAATCTGCATTTGTTTCGATGTTACGCAGGTTCTCCAGCTGCACTATACGATTTTCGTGTCCCATCTTGAGTATCGCCTGCATATGCAATTGTCAGCCCACGACTCACATCATCTTGGTGGTTGTGGCGACGTACCGAGGACCCGGTTCAGTGTCTCAGGATCCAATGCTGCGGAAGAAACGCCCAGGATTCAATGTGGATAAAACTGGAGAAAGGAAAGACACGGCAGCGGCTGCGACATTTTATAGCCAAGCAGCGTCTCACAGGCTTCTTCTCCTCGCTCGCATGGCGTCAACTGGACTAACATACGTTCCGGTGATTTTTGGCGTGGTAGTCGGGCCATTGGCGACGAGGATTGAGAACTCTAGGTTGTAGGAAATTTGGGGTCGAATTGCGTGCTTCGATGATCTGGGGTAGGTTGGTGGACCATGTCGATCATAGGACGAAGCCTGAAATGCTGTAGCTCTCGTGCGAGACCACATCTGGAGTCGTTGAGATTGAGAATTGCATTGCGATAGGCAGGTCCATTACGACAGCAGATAATCAAAGGGGTTAGTTCGAGGAGAGAAATGTTGGTGCCAAGATACAAGGCGCTGATTTCTTCAACGCCAGACTACTGACATGAAGGCAGAGAACTAACCACCGATTGCAGGAAGCATCTCAGTTTAGATGGCAGTGAGAGGCATCAGGTCATAGTGAGAGTCATTTGAAAAGAGGAGAAGAGCTGCTGTTAATATGTTCGAGCTTCATACAATGCCATCATGCAGCTCGTCCGCATGCGGCCGCCGTCGACCGCTCCTCAGGACTTGAGCTATAGATCCCGAATTGGCATCTTCGCCAACAGCATGCATTATTGGAGCCATTCGGTGGCTGGCGCTGACAATTGCAAAAGTAGACGTTGTGCGGTGCTGACAAAAGCCGTTCAGTCGCGAGACGGTCTTCGAAGCTTACAAAGCAGGGAACGAAGTACGCCTTGGTTTCATTATGGACAAAACCAGCTATCTCTCTGAATAAAACCAGCTGTCAGCTCAAATGTGAAAGAAGACCATGGCTCCAATTCGACTGGCTCTCATTGGGCTCTCTCAGTCCGCAAAGACGTCTTGGGCGAGGTATATGCCATTCTATCGGCCTCACCATGCTCTGCCACAGCTGACTTTTGTTGCAGCGAAGGCCATCTTCCATACCTGCTATCAGAGCGTGGCAGAGAACGCTACCAAATCAAAGCGCTTCTCAACTCGAGTGTCGAAGCCGCACACCGTGCAATCGAGTGCTACAACCTTTCTCCAGAAGTGAAAGCGTACGGATCACCCCACGAGCTCGCCGCGGATCCTGACATTGATCTGGTCGTCTGCACCACTCGTGTTGATGTTCACTACGATACCATCAAGCCAAGCATTGAAGCGGGCAAGGCTGCGTTCGTCGAGTGGCCTCTGGCTGAGAACGCGATCCGAGCCAAGGAATTGGCAGATCTTGCGCGAAAGTCGGGTTCGCAGACTATTGTCGGTTTGCAAGCTCGAGTGGCGCCAGCGATCCTGAAACTCAAAGACATCATCCAGTCTGGAAAGTTTGGCAAGGTGCTGAGCAGTAATGTGCACGCACATGCCTCCTACCTCAATCGGGACTCGATGTCCGAGGGTTTGAGTTATTTCCTGGACAAGAAAGTCGGCGGCAATCCCATAACGATTGCATTTGGACACAGTAAGACATTCTTGTATTCTTGCGGTTTTCCAGGAAAAAATTACTGATCACAGGACAGTGATCGACTATGTCCACTCAGTCCTAGGCGAGTTTCAAGCCAGCAACCATCATACCCAAATCCAACGTCCACAACAGAGAATCTACAACAAAGACACGGGCGCAGCCAGACCTTTCACCTCCGACGTCCCCGATCTCCTCTCCCTCCACGGCACCCTGAAATCTTCCCCTTACACCATCGACGGCGCAAGTCTACTCGTCCACTATCGAAGCGGCCCATCCTTCCCAGGCACCAAACCTCTTCTCTGGACCATCAACTGCGAAAAGGGCGAGCTACGAATCTCTAGCGATCGTACGCCTTCTCTGCAAGCGGAAGGAAGTGCCCATCCCATTCCGATCGAGGTACATGATTTCGAAACGGATGAGGTTAGCAGCATAGAGTGGCAGTGGGAAGATTGGCAGGTACCGCTCTTTCCTCGAGGAAGGAATATCGGAAAGTTGTATGATCTCTATGCTGAGGGGAGATTTGATGCTTGTCCTGGGTTTGAGGATGCTGTGGTGAGGCATGAGCAAATTGATGGGATGTTGTGGGTAAGGAAGTGAGAGGCATCTCGGCTTCTGCTGCTTTGCCAAGCTGGCCACGGCCGCCGAGCAGCTGAGATTCTGGCGGAGACCTCAGATCTCAAATGATTCTTACGCTCGCAGTGGCGCGGTTGCTTTTCTGTCAGCTTCTAGGAAAGTCGAACAATCGTCATGTGGTTCCTTCTGTCATCCTTACAAATATGTTTGTCTGTCCCCAGCGGTTCATTCTGAAAACTCGACCTTGATAGTGTTAGGAAGGCGATTGCGCGAGAGTCACGATGTATCCTCTCTCGCGAAGCCATGCCTCTCATCGTAAACATCTACAACAACTTCAAGTTTTGCAAAGTAATGTTCTTCCCTCACCCTACCCTACCCCGGCAAGCCTGTTGATCTGGTGGCCCGTGCGCGACGTGAAGTCAAAACTTCGAACTCAATTTGTGAACATCGCATCAACAATCTTCAGCACATCAACAACCTGCACCGGGACATGTCGGGCCACAAGAGTAAGGCGAGTTATTGAGACATCATTTGGTCGAGCTTATATTCTGACTAGAGGGCGCAGAAGCGGAAGACTGAAGCCAGCAGCAACGACCGCGATGGGGCTCCCGATACAACAAAACCCTCCGCCGTCTTCAAGCCAACGGGTGGTCGGGACTTCACGTTGAGCATTGCACTTCCGGGAAGTATCATTGCGAAGTATGTCGAAGATTCGACTTGACGTTTTCGTCTCCGTCTCGGTCTCCGCAGCGAGGTTCAAGTGCCGGAGGGAAAGGCTGACAAGTTTCACAGTGCCCTTACGCATGACCAAAAGACTAGCCTGGCCGGTCAAATTGCTCGGGCTTGTGCGGTATTCTGCGTGGACGAAGTTGTCATCTTTGATGATGGCCAAGCCCAAACTCGTGAGCCGGAGCGAGATGGATATACTGCCTTTGCAGACCCCAACTTCTTCCTGTATCATGTCCTGACTTACCTGGAGACACCGCCGAATCTGAGGAAGGCTTTGTTTCCCATGCACCCGGATCTACGGACTGCTGGCGCCCTTCCATCTCTCGACATGCCGCATCATATCAGGAGCGACGAGTGGTGTCCGTTTCGAGAAGGTATTACGACTGGCCCAGGAAAGACAGGCAGCTCGGCTATTGTGGATTGTGGTCTGCGGCAGAAGGTCGTGATTCCGGTGGAGATTGAAGCTAATACACGAGTCACTCTCTCATTGCCCACCGATCTACCCAACAGTCATGCCAGCACAATACATGGTGAAGCAGTGTCTCCGGAGACGCCTCGCGAGCAGGCGGGGTATTACTGGGGTTACAACGTTCGGCAAGCCTCTTCCCTTGGAACCGTCTTCACCGAGTGTCCGTTTGATGGCGGCTACGATGTTAGTATCGGAACGAGCGAGCGAGGAAAGCCAGTCAATGCGATCACCAACAGCCAAGATCCGAGCTACGTGGAGCTGAACTGGAAACATTTTTTGGTTGTCTTCGGAGGTGTATCTGGACTCGAGGCCGCCCTTGCTGCCGACGAAGAGCTTCAAGCCGCGGGAGTGAGCAAGGCCGAGGAATTATTTGATCGCTGGATCAATCTCGTCCCCGGACAAGGAAGCCGGACCATCCGAACCGAAGAAGCCGTCTGGGTTGGATTGACGGGATTGAGGCCCTTGATTGAGTCCAGAAGCGCCAATTGACACCTTACGAGTCGGAGCTGTACGAAGCGACTGCGATTCCGGAAGGCCGAGAGAATCAACGCTTCGGAGATAGCGGACACCAACTACATAAAAAGAAGCAGACACGCAGCTCAATGGGTGATCTGAAGATGCGTCAAAAAGCGTACTCATTAGCGTCCAGACCGGTGAGAGGAGACACTACCAGGGTATTATGCAAGAGCGAAACCCTTCCAAAGCCGGTGACCGGTGCTGACGTCCAATCTATTCATGCGGATGCCACGTGGTGGCCCACGGAATGGGAGACACGGCTTTAGGCGAGATGTTTAGCCCGCTGTGCACGACTCTGGTTCAGCGACCGCTACCACATCGCACTTGTGATATACGTATTTCCGGCGCCTAATAGCTGCAGCGGGCAATGCTGTGGAACTTGCGTCTTTCTCGCGACTTTCGCCTAGCACTGGTTGCCTTTCCAGCTTTCTCTCCTCTCCAGACCAATATCCGTGCAGCAAATCGACAGTGGACCGGGACAGTCTGGCGTTGGCGGTCGCGTGGCACACGAAATCGGCACCGCCAGCAAGACTCCTCGTGGCTCCTTTGCCCAATCATCCAGCTGCTCTTGTTTCTCGAGAATGTATCGTTGCATTGGATCCAGTATGCAGTCTCCAATCCGAAGCTGCAATCAGTACCTCGTGCAGCCATCACAGTGTGGCTTCGCGACGGCTACAACGCAGTGACAGCGAAATGACCTTTTCACGCCCACATCTCTTCACCTTGATGGAGGATTCGCGACCGGGAAACACCAGTGCTATGGCGACTCCAGCCTGTTGTCGTATTTCGACAATGCCGCATCGGCCAGTAACAGCACTCGTAGCGCAGCTGATACCTGGCCGGAAGTTAATCGTCTTCGCAGCTCGAGCTCGCCATGCCGGAAGCAGATATTGGTCCATTCATATCTCTGTTGCATGCCACTTGAAAGGTTGTAGACCGCCAGTTGCAACGAGATGACTGTCTCAGCTTCAAGGGTCCTCGAAATTCGACAGCTAGGTGGCTTCATTCGAGAGACTGTGCATGCGTTAGCTGCAAGAGCGACATGCAATCCAATGACTGCTGCGCTTTTTCAAACCCACGCGGCGCACGGGTGCAACAGAAGGCTTCTTGCTCCTACTTGGCCTGGGATGTCGAGGAGTCATCCAAATTGCTGGATGATTAACAGCCCTATGGGTATCTGGTCGTGCCACGAGGCTCCAAATTCCCAAGGCGCTCGCACAGCATGTATCGCAGCAACCTGCTGAATTGATCAAGAGGTACGAAGGAACGACAGCACGCTACTTCCCACAAAGGCAAGCTGTAAAGCTCCCGCGGATGGTGATGTGTCTCAACCACAGCCACAAGCTTGCACCTGTCTTTCGACGCCTTGACTAGTCGTGCCATCTACTGCTCTCTATTGAGGGCGCGATATCCTTCCAACGATCAGTGTTTGTTCTCGTCGTCCCGCAACTTCTCGACATCAGGAGAAGCCACTGGAAGCGCGACATTTGTGGTCTGCTTCACGATACCATTCAAAATCCTCTCTCCGCTCTCATTCCAGCCCTGTCTGCAGCTATCCTCTCAGCGTTCGGGCGCACAGATACCTCGGTTGTATGTTGGGGCGGGCTGTCGGCTAGCGCTACTGCGTTGCTTTGATGATGATTCCGCCTTCGAAGTCAACGAATCGAGATGAAGCCGTAGGGTCTGCCGGAGGTATACAGCAACTGATCGCCGCGCTGTGCTGTCCGCTCCGGACGAGGATGCCTGGAGTTGTGCCGGGCCGCGGTAACGAGCGGTACAGCAGGGAGCACGTTGGTCGGGATCTGCAGCTGGATTTCGGCGACGAAGCGGCTCAGCCAACAGCTCCAGCGACCTCGGGAGTCGGGAGAGACGGAAGGAAACGCTGACATGGGACTTCCAGTCAAGTTGTGGTGGACGGGTAACATGCAGCACCTGTAAGGCGTGCAGCATGGAGCAATACATGTAGCAAGGACCGTGTGATGATGGTGACGGCTGTCTCCGGCAGCTGGGTGGGATCAACATGCAGCCGTCGACCGCCTCGTGGGCTTCTTCTCCCGCCGGCTGAGCCCTTATTCCTTCGACATAGCGCTATGGACTGTCGGTCTGTGCCCGCCCTCTGGAAGGATTCATCGCTTCACGGCCCGTCTGCGTCTGCAGGAGACTGCAGGAGGCTGTTGGTGGCAGAGAGGATCGTCCAGCTTGTCTCTAGCGAAGCTTGTGCGTCGTCGCTGGCCATCGCACTATGCTGCCGTATCTGGTAGCGTGTTCAGGGCTGAGAGGCATGAGCCAATGCCGCTTCTCTGTTGCCTCTGGCAGATAGGCACTTGTATATGCCTGGCTCCATCCCGCGTCTCCCCAAGCCCTTACGCACCTTTCTATCTCTCTGCTCACTTGTGGAATCTCCAAGGCTCTACGCTCGCAAGTCAGATCTTCGCACCTACCGTGGGACATTGTACACTGATCAACCTCATCATCCTTGTCGGGCGTTGACTGAACGAGCAAAATGGAATCCATGGATTACAACTACTTCACTTCGGCGCCGCACTCTTACCACTATATGGGATATGAGGACATACTTCCCCAAAATAGCGGTAACGGATTGACTGCAACTCCAGTGTGTATCTCAAGCTGTTTGCTACCGTCAAGAGCTATACTAATAGGCTACCCAGAGTATGGAACCTCTCGACTCAGGCGCTTTCACCTTTGGCAACTCCGACTACGACTTCAACGCTCATCTACCTCAAAGCTACACCGTCACTCCACTTCCAACAGGCTCCGCATCTCCTCCACCGCAATCAATCTCCATCCTCCACCATGGTTCAGTGGACAGCGGTATTGCATTGGACCTCGACACTGAGCACGAACAACGTTCAGGCAGACGAGGCAGCAGTGAAGAGAAAGACGCCCTCACACCAGCGCAATCAAGGCGGAAAGCGCAGAATCGCGCAGCGTAAGTCACCTCACACTCACCCATAACCACTTCTCGAAAAACCTTAACATCTCTTCTCACACGAGTTTTAAAACCAAACAGACAACGAGCTTTCCGCGAACGCAAAGAACGCCACGTTCGCGACCTAGAAGCCAAACTCAACCTCCTCACCACCACGACGTCCTCCTTACAATCCGACAACAAACGTCTCAAACTCATGCTTCAACGCGCTCGGACCGAAAACGAAATCCTCCGAGCGACGGCTTCTTCTTCTTCTTCTTCTTCTTCTTCATCCTCTTCTTCCTCTTCTTCTCCCCCCACTTCGCATCATCCACCCAGTCTCGCGGCCGATCCTCGCATGCTCCCAAAAGCCGCCTCCCCGGAAAACCCCCTTTTGGACTCGAAGGGACTCTCACATGGATTACTATCGCCCGAGTCCTCCTCGTCACCCGGACGACGACAAGGCAGCTCGCCGCGCAGCGAAAGCCACCTGCTCTCCGCGAGCGCGACGTGGGATTTCATCCAGTCGCATCCTCTCTACCTCTCCGGGGCGGTGGATATTGGCGAGGTCTGCGAGAGATTGAAGACGATGGCCAAGTGTGAGAGGAAGAGGCCTATGTTTGAGGAGGAAGAGGTGAAGAGGGTGATTGAGGCAGTGGGGAGGGGTGGTGGTGATGAGGTGATATGATGAAAGCAGAGCAGATGGCGCGGGAAGAGAACATATTCTCGGGAGACTGCGTTTTGGGTGTGGTTTTGTTTTCATATTATACCCCACAGCAGGAATTGCCAGTTTTCTCTCCCCTTCCGAGGACAGGAGAGGAGTTAGTCACGATGAACGACAGGAAATTGTAAAATCACCTGCTCAATACTACAGTCAATAGAACTTCCTCCACTCCCAACTCATCCCTCTTGCGCACACTCAAAGGTCCACATGTCCTCATCAACAACAACAACAACAACTCCAGGCAGCCATATTTCCCCTAATAATACCATCAATCGTCATCAGTTCCCCTGCCCTGCCACTCGTACGAAAGAAACCCTGGCACGAGCGGGAATCCTTCGGCATCAATCCAATCAGACCGCAGCGAGAAAGCGTGCCAATCTCGTGTCTCCCACGCAGCGATCGACATTCGGCACCAATCAATCCGATTCCTGAATCGACTTTGCTGATCACGTTATTAGTTGCCAACTTGCCACGTGGATTGATTGAGGAGGATGAGATGGTGGGACACAAGGGCTTGGGAAAGTTGGTCGTGGTTATTTTCGCCACTTTGGTAATGAGGTGGAAGGGCGTGATGCCTGCCTGGATGGTTGTAGAGTAGTAGCTAGTAGCATGGGACATTCCTGCCTGCCTGCCGGCCGCTCTTAAGGCATCCAAGACGGGAACCATACCGTGACGAGGTGGTACATCCCGTGAGGCGGGAACGAATCACACATATGCGAAGACAGAGCGTATACCGCATTCGCATAAAGTCATCTGGGCATTCGTGTTCGTGGAGAGATGTTGGTTGGTAGGCGCAGCCAACTTTAATACGGAGGATGCAGACGCGGCTTGCTTCACATTGCATCCTTCGAGACCTGGAAAGAGGGCATGTTGCGGTGCCGGCAAAGAACAGTGACCATGTGGCTAAGCTGCTGCAACGATCCTGGTTCCGAAGGAAGGCCACATCTCAGTTCAGGATCGATTGCGAGAACGAATGAGGTGGTGTGTCTCGAATTTGCGAATGTGCGAACGAACGAAAGCATGCGACGCTCACAGCAAGGTTCCGAAAGGTGAAATGGAAGCTGCAGAAGTCCGACTAGTAGCTAGTAGTACATTAGGCGTAGCTCTCTCCGTCCTGAGTGTGACGACAGGATATTGGCTCCATCTCAACACGAGATATTTAGAAAAATTCCACAGGATCAAAGGTGTCCAAAGACATTTGCCAGGCTCGCTTTGCGAGTCGATTCGTGGGTTGTTGCGGAGTCCAAGATTGGTGTGTGTTGTGGCCAATCGTATTTCCAAAATAGCGAAATGACAAGCCGAAGGAAGGCGGTGTTATTGGTACGACTCAGAGGTCCGGCGCTGAAAGAGTTGCACCATGGATCAATATCAACCGCATGGCTGAGGAGCTTGCGTGAGTGCTCCGGGCCCGAGTTTTTAATGCGCTGTGTGCGTGCATTGCAGTACCCGCATCTTCTGCTGAATAACCAATCTCTCCGAGACTTGATGTGTTAGCCAAGCTAGAATGTTGGCGCGTGCTTGGAGTATGTCGAAATACTGTACGTCGAGTTGTGTCTTTATTCGGGGCTCGAGCATACCATATTCCCGCGTCGCGAGATCAGCCAAATGGAACAACTCCCGACACTGGACTGGAATCAAGATCTGCACGTTCTGCTCTGATATCATGCTAGATGGACGTCTCTAGACATTGAAGCTCCATACTGCTGTCACGTCGGCGAGTTTCCACAATCTGGCATAACTCCTCTAGAACCTCGTGCCAAGCTCTTGAGGTTAAGCTTGGAGTTACAGTCCAGTTGTTGCGGCGTCAAGGACTGTGCCTCGTTCGTATGCACAACCTCGTCACTATCGATATTGTCTCCAGAAGTACGTGCAAGTGTTAGGGAGCGTTCCCATCATGGGGCTCCACGTTTCGAGCAAAGCTTGGAGTACTCCAGCTCGAAGTTTCAATAGCGCTCTTCTCCGTTGGCTCTCCTGAATTTCGACAAGGCCACCGTTCGTCGGAGCAGTCTCTGGCAAGTTTGGGCGGGAGAAGGCTCGTCTCCAATTCGCCCTTTCTGGTTCTTGGTATTCGGTATACCATTGCCGATCTCGTGAGCACATTCTTCGACGTTCCCGGTTTGCGTTGGCAGCGATTCATCATGTACACTGCCAAACCGTCATACCGTGGTATGGGTGTGTGCGCCACGTTTGCTTATGTTTCATCGCGGACGCGCAGACGAAAGCCAAAAAGAAGATGTAACGTGGACGGAAAGCAAAGAAAGAAGCCACAGCTCGGAACTTCCCGGTGTGCCGATCACATGCTCGGAGGAATAGTTCCTCCGGGAGCTCTACCCAATGAGATCAGGGCATTCTTCTGCCCTACCTAGTCACCGGGAATGCTATACATGGCAGTGCTCATGAGCGCACGCACACAGGCTGTTCGAAGAGATACCATTGCATCGTCCAACCCTCGTTCAGCGGTACCACAGGGAAATCACTCTAGTCAACAGATAGTTTCCACTAACTCCTGCATAACAATAGTGCTTAGGGCAGCAAAATGGATCTATTATAGACCGTCAACTTCCGACATTCTCCGCCCTACATTTCACAAATTTCCCTTGATGAAGATCCAATCCGTCTACAGTCCTCGCTGAAAGCTTTGCCGACCTTATCAGCGGAGCTCTTAAGTGCGTCCAATGCAGGGTGAAGCCACCGAAGATCTCACATAAACGTGGATACCGGGAGATGGGAATGCGCGACACGAGGTGGCGGATTTACAGGGCAGAGATAGGCGAAGAGCGACTTTTTGGACGGCGACCAATAGTGATGCCTCAACATACTCATCATTGAGCTGCATTCGGCGGCCGAGAAGGGTCCAAAAAGGCAGGTCCGGTTGACTAACTTGTTTAAAGCTGTATTCCTGGTTCGTGCTCTGTGGAGGCACTTCTGCAGAAGTAACGTAGGCAGCTGTCTGCTGCAGTGTTCCATTGCATGTGATAGGCTGGTAGAGCTAGCTTTTGGTACTGGCAGAAGCAACAGCTAGCTGGTCTTCTTCAGCCTTGCATGGTAGATGAGCTTCCACGCCTCCACGAAGCTTTCTTATGGGGAACCGGCTTCGTTGAAGTACCTTTGCTCGGCTCTGTGCTCATTGAAGTGACCACAATCACTATCTGCAAGCCCCGAGAGGTGCATATGCATGCATACAGAAGACGATCTGCGTTCGAAGAGCCGAGACAAGTAGCTCTCGGCCGATTAGTCCCAATCGCTATCGTCATCGTCCTCCTTCTTCTTGGAGCTTTGGAAAATGCTGCGTTTCGGATGCTCTGCCTCTGCATCCTCGTCTTTCCTCTTCAATCTCGAATCGTTGTGCTGCAGTGCGCCCATGCCGAGTAGCACTTTCTCCATGTCTGCAATGACGCTCGTTAGCTTCCAGCATGCCAGTTGACGAGTGGCCGCACTCACCTGCTACACTTGTCTTGTCGCCATTCAACTCCTTCAGCGTAACAATCTGCCTCTTGATCTCTCCATCTTTGTACGCCAACACTGTCGGTGTATTCCGGTCTGGATACCCGTCTATACACAGATTGGCTTGCATCTGACAGAACTTGATGTCTCCAAACTTCTTCGCCAGCTCGCGCCATAGTTCGATCATGAGTTGCGATTCGACATTCGTGCCCGTGGAAGAGGTAAGGAGGACCAGGACAAAGGATTTCGACGAGGTCTCGGTGACTTCGCGGGAGTATTCTGGCTTTTGGATGGGGTAGACTTGGTTGTAGATGCTCGTCTGCTTGAGGGTTGAGAGTTCATTGAGACGCTTTTGTCTGGTTGAAATACAATTGGAAGTTAGACTGTGTCGGGTGCATGCAATGTCGGGCCACCATACCGGTACTGATCGAGAAATGCCTCGTCCTCTTCATCTTCTAGCTCGTCCAGTTCATCCAAATCTTTGCCCTCTAATCTGTTCTCGTGCGCCAGCTCTCTTGCTTGTACGAGTGCCTCCTCGATCATCGGCGTGGGTGAGGGCGGCTTCTCGGGAATGACTCCATGTTTCCGCAGAATGTCGTTCCTGAGCCATGTACTCAGTATCGCAGCGTGTCTTATGCTCCCGGACGTGAAAGGGTATGAAAATGCCTTCTACAAGCGGATTCGAGCGATGAAAAACAAGATGGCATGTGCAAGCCTACCATTCGGTGTCTGCGTTGGGGTCGTCGATGGGAACATTCACTGGCATGTCCATATTGGCGGCTGGGATATGTTCTCTTCAGTTGCACCGCAGACTTGTATACTAGTGTACACGAGCTTTCATGTGCGTGGGATGGGATTTGTGCCAAGAAATCCAGATGGGAACATGTGTATGTATGTAGGAGTGGTGTGGTTCGAACCAATGTGCAAGGGTATAGGGGCTCCCCACTCAGAATTTGGTTCGACTTGGTTGCGGCGAAGCAAATCGCATGGCGAGTTTGATGAGAGACATCCATCAAAATTTCAATAAGGAGATCCAGCTATCGATCGGAGCCACAACGCCGACTTGGGAAGTAGCTGCGGCGTCACTGGCTCCGACTTTCGACTTTCCCAGCTGGCCACAGCATCAGCACCAGCGACACTCCCACCACCGCTCCACTAAGCTTCCTCGGCGCCAATTGATACTCGACTATGGCGCAGTACAAGAAGGACGAGGACGATGCCGGCATTGTCAAGGTCGACAGGACTTCTGTCTTCCAGGAGGGTAAGGAGCGCAACCTCACTCCGCCCTTACTGTGGCATTTGCGCTGACCACGATATCTCTCCATAGCCCGAGTGTTCAATAGCTCGCCCGTATCGCCGCGGAAATGTCGAATTCTCCTGACCAAGATCGCCCTCCTCCTCTTCACCGGCGAGAAGTTCCCGACCAACGAGGCAACCACCCTCTTCTTTGGCATCTCCAAGTTATTCCAGAACAAGGATGCCTCCCTACGACAAATGGTATACCTGGTGATCAAGGAGCTGGCACACACGGCGGAAGATGTCATCATGGTCACGAGCAGTATCATGAAGGACACGGCAGTTGGAAGTGATGTTGTCTACCGAGCCAATGCCATCCGCGCATTGTGCCGCATAATAGACGCCTCGACTGTGCAAGCCATTGAGAGAAATATCAAGACTGCCATTGTGGACAAGACGCCGTCTGTGTCTTCTGCAGCTTTGGTATCATCATATCACCTCTTACCAATTTCCCGGGATATTGTCAGGAGATGGCAGAGCGAGACTCAGGAAGCTGCCTCGTCAGCAAAGTCCTCCGGCGGTTTCATGGGCTTTGGAGGCTCATCAGCCCATCAGATGGCTGCTGCAAATACGAATTACATGACACAGTACCACGCAATCGGACTGTTGTATCAAATGCGCTCCCATGACCGCATGGCTCTGGTCAAGATGGTACAGCAGTACAGCGCTGCTGGTGTTGTGAAGTCTCCCGCTGCAAGAGTCATGCTGGTCCGACTAGCTGCAAAACTCGCAGAGGACGATCCAAGTCTGCGCAGACCAATGATAAAGCTCCTCGACGAATGGCTGCGCGACAAGAGCGAGATGGTCAACTTCGAGGCTGCCAAAGCTATCTGCGAAATGCAAGATCTTACAGATGCGGAAGTCGGACAAGCCATTCACGTCCTGCAACTTTTCCTGACCTCTCCACGCGCGGTCACCAAGTTTGCGGCCATTCGCATTCTGCACCAATTTGCTTCCTTCAAGCCCGATGCAGTGCGGCAATGCAACCCCGACATCGAATCTCTGATCTCCAACTCGAACCGATCGGTCGCGACATTCGCTATCACGACCCTCCTCAAGACTGGTAACGAAGCCTCGGTCGACCGACTCATGAGCCAGATCAGCACGTTCATGTCGGAGATTACGGATGAGTTCAAGGTCACCATCGTGGAAGCTATTCGGACATTGTGCCTGAAGTTCCCTTCGAAGCAGGCCCGTATGCTTGCATTCTTGTCTGGCATCTTACGCGACGAGGGCGGCTACGAGTTCAAGCGGAGTGTTACTGAGAGCATGTTCGACCTCATCAAGTTCGTTCCTGAAAGCAAGGAAGAGGCCCTAGCCCACCTTTGCGAGTTTATCGAGGACTGCGAGTTCACCAAGCTTGCGGTTCGCATCTTACACTTACTTGGGATGGAGGGACCCAAGACAGCACAACCAACGAAGTACATTCGATACATCTACAACCGCGTAGTGTTGGAGAATGCTATCGTTAGAGCAGCAGCAGTCACAGCACTTGCCAAGTTTGGTGTTGGCCAGAAGGATCCAGAGATGAAGCGCAGTGTCAACGTCCTGCTGACACGATGCTTGGACGACACAGATGATGAGGTCCGAGATCGTGCGGCTTTGAACTTGAGGCTGATGAAGGAGGAAGATGATGAGGTTGCAGGTCGCTTCATTCGCAATGGTAAATATCTCACCCTTAATGATGCTGTGATGATACTGACACTTTGCAGACTCTATGTTCTCGCTCCCAGCTCTAGAAGATCAATTAGCGCACTACGTCAATGGCTCCAACGCGGAGGCCTTCGCGAACCCCTTCGACTTTACGAATGTCCCGATTGTCACCCGTGAACAGTCTTTGGCAGAGGATCGCACTAAGAAGCTCACAACTGCTACGCCAACACTCAAGGCTCCCAGCGTTGGGCCCAAGAAGACAGACACTTCAAGCGCGGCCGCAGCAGCAGAGAGCGCTACGTTCGCCACCCAGAAATACGCCCAACAATTGGCAGCGATCCCCGAATTCTCATCTTACGGTCCAGTGCTCAAGAGCAGCCCCGTCGTGGAGCTCACAGAGAGCGAGACGGAATATGTCGTCAGCGCCGTCAAACATCTATTCAAGGAACACGTCGTACTCCAGTACGATATCAAGAACACTCTTGCCGACTATGTCCTTTCCGACGTCACAGTCGTCTCGAATCCATCGCCCGGCGAGGAAGGGGAAGAGTCACCGCTTGAGGATGACGGCTTCATTATTACGGCGCCTCTGCTCAAGACCGACGAGCCAGGCACGGTCTACACCTCGTTCTCTAGGCCCGCAGATGCTCAGTTTGTGCCCGCGTCATTTACAAACGTCCTCAGATTTACACTCAAGGAAATTGATCCTTCGACACAAGAGCCTGAAGAGGGTGGCTACGAAGACGAGTACCAAGTAGGGGATCTCGACCTCACTGGTGCCGACTACGTGTTACCCGCCTTCGCAGGTAGCTTCGAAAATATCTGGTCTGGCATTCCCGACGCAGACGAGGCATCAGAAACGTTGCAACTGTCGAACGCGAAGAACATTGCCGACGCAGTGGAGCTTCTGGTGAAGGCGCTTGGTATGCAGCCTCTGGAAGCAACCGATGTTGCCCTGTCGACAAGCACACATACCCTCAAGCTCTACGGCAAGTCAGTCACAGGCGGCAAGGTCGCCAGCACTGTACGGATGGCGTACTCTGCAAAGTCTGGCGTAACTGTCAAGATTACCGCCCGCAGCGAGGAAGAGGGGCTGGCTGCTCTTATCGTCAACGGTGTCGCGTAAGCCAGAAAATTCGGTCGGGTTGCATCTGGTTCTGCTTCCATGACAGTTGCGTGAAGCATTGCGAGTGGCGCTGGGCTTGGCCTGCCATTATGGAGTTGAGGAGCGCGTTGTGGTCATTCTGTAAGTTCACGCCAGAGGGACGAATGGCATTGGTTTGGAGCGTGGGCTGCAAGAATAGAATAAGTCGTGCGGCAGGACTGGATGGGCTGAAATTTTGAAATCATTTGATTTTTATGACTGTTGTTCTGCCCTTCTCTCCAGGTGACGCGCACTGTTCTCTTGCTCGATGTGAGAAGACTGAAATACTGTGATGTCTCCTTCTAAGAGGCTTGGCACGTCGCTCGATCAGGAAGTAGGGGGCGAGCTGGTGATTGACTTCACCTCATCATGCTCTTGAGTCTTGGCATAGTCGTGCAAATGCACCAGTATAGGCTTCTCGGTGCGAAGGGCATATTCAGAAGACGAGGAGGACGAAGGACGTCGATCTCGAGCTCGGCGGCGATTGGAGAAACATGTCATCATCTATCCAGCCTCTTCCTCCAACCGTAGGATTCCTTCCATCCATGGCACTCACCCGGCTCGAAGCGAGAAAGTAAACGTCCAAGAAATACTGCACTTCTTCTGAGATTTCGACCACGTGCTTAGGAGTCTTCTAGCTAACGCGAGGGTCTGTCATGCTTGGCTTGTTGCCGACATCCCGAGACTTACGCGTTGGGCATCGGAGAGTGGGAGAGTGGCTGCGGAATGGTACAGTCTTTGGCGTTAGGAGGGGCAATGGCGACGGAGGACGCCGTTGCGCTGGCAGGGTGTGCGGTGATGGGCGGCGAAGGTGCAGTCGAAGGAGGAGATGGCTGGGGCGACCAGAACTCTTAAGAGGAGTAGAAAGTGGAGGCGTGAGAGGGCGCAGGCTACTGCTGGGAGGAATTGAGTGGCGATAAATATGCCTGATGGTGAGTAGGAGTGTCGGAACAGGAAGTTGGCGGGGAGGGGATCAGAGAGCATAAGGAGATGGATCTTAGGTCACTGATGGAGAGCAAATTTGGTGCGTGGCTGTCAGGACGCGGTGAAATTGCGTATGTGAGTACAGGGGCGCTCAAGTCTGTGGGATAAAGCTGATAGCTTTTGGCTACAGGCCAAGAATTTAATCGATTAAGACAATCTTGAAGATGTAGTGGTGACAAGCAGCTTCCCTCCCACTGAAGCGGTCTGTGAATCACATAATGAGATTCTCTCCGCCGCCCTAGTGCTCGTTTCAGCATCCAGTGCCATGGCGACACAAAGCCCACGCGACGGCGCGATTGTGTTTCCGACAAGTATCTGAGTACGTGTGAAGTTCAAGTTCGTGGCTGACGCGCGGGCCGAACGTCGAGCGGGCGTGCACGAACTATGCCAAGGGTTAAGCGAGCCGGCATGTGATTTGCAAGGAGAGAACAGAGGCCGATATGCATCTCCGCTTGTAGGCCGCTCCATGTCTACACAGACCCCATTCATGACCATTACTGAGCAGCACCGGCGGGATGATGAGTATATAGGAGTTATCTCGATGACTGCTCTTCAGAGTCTTGTGCTGAGCGACTCGATATTGGCCTGGATGTAAGCAGCATATTCGAGAAGGTAATAGAAGCGATTGAACGCTGATGCTGCTAAGACTGCACTGTCCGCCTCGTCGTAAGCCTGGCTTCCAACGAACAACTCGGCGTGGAAATGGCTCGACGGCGAGAGAAAGACACTGGCTCCTGGCACATCCAGGGATGCGTACAGCTATCGACAGTGCAGGACTTAAGACTATTGCTTTATCCTCGCCAGTCGACTTGGATGTATTCCTTGCGTCGCATCGGCTCCCGCTCCAGCTTGTTCCTCTTCCACAGGCTTGGCCTTCGCGTCCTCTGATCTAGGCTTCCCGCCCTCTTTCTTCTCCTTCTTCGCCTTCTCCACCTTCTCCAGCTCAGCCCTCCGCTTCCGCTGCTCCTCCAACCGCACGTTCTTCCCCTTGATCTTCTCCTTCCGAGCATCCGTATTCCCTCCACCACCCGAGGTCAACTCCAAATTGATCTTCCTTGTGTCCTTCTTCTTATCCTTCTCAGACCTCTTATCTTCTTTCCCCTCCTCTGGTCTCCCTGCGTCCAGCTCGCTGTGATGGTACAGCTTCAACACGGTCTTCATGCGATCGTAGTTCTCAAATTCCAAGAATGCGAAGCCTTTGCTCTTCTTTGTCTTGGGATCTGTGCGATGTCGTAGGGTGAAGGGTTCGAGTTTCTTGAAATGTGCGCGAAGGGCGGCGTCAGTCGTTTTGTACGGGAGATTGCCGACGAAGACGATGAAGCGTGGCTTGACAGTCTTTTCTGTCGCATCGTCGGGTTCGCCCTCCGTTGGTGTGGTCTTGGAGGTCTTCTTGCGCTTCTTTGGCTTCGGCGCATCCTCAGCAGGTGCCTGAGCTGTCGCTGCATCTGTTCCCTCGCCATCGTCTTGCGCTTTGCGCTTTTTCGACTTCTTCGTAGACTCGACCTTCGCACTCTCTTCTCCTACCGCCGGCTCTTGCGATTCCTCCGTCTCGACATGCTTTCGCTTCTTGTCCTTCGTTCGTCGCTCAGCATCACGGAGCGCTTTCTTCTCCTTTCTCGAGATGGTGGCCTCCTCCTGCGACATCTCTACCGAATTGTTGGGTTGATTGAGAATTTCACATTTCACATGCGCGCGAAAGACAAAGACGCAGGGTTCTCGGCGGAGTCCCGGCCCGCTGTGTCTTGGCGCTGTGCTTCCGCTTTCTCCTTCCTAATTGGAACAGCGACTGTACAATGTGAATCCTCGTCGATCCTTCAGTGTGTGGACGATAGACAGACTCACATCTCGCAGTAAGCACTCAGATTCTTCGCTTATCATGTGGTATACGCTTGCCGCTGATATACGCTTACCCCTGGTATTGTTTCTGTCTTCTTCGTCTTCAGGTGAAAAGATTCTTTGTATTGGAGGCATATCATTGTTCATCTCGCAGCTGAGATAACCTCAGCCAAGACATCGACATGTCACCCACGGCGGATCCGACAAGGAGAGGCGACTCCGTTGAAGGTGCGAACGAGACATCGCCACTACTCGCTGCACCTGAGTTTACCGTAACGAGGAGCGAGAATGGAAAGGCGATTCCATCAGATGCCAACGGCAAGGCCAGCAACCATGGCACCATCAACCGGCATGACTCCCAAGAAGAAGCAGAAGCAGAAGCAGAAGCAGGAGAAGAAGAGAAGCCAATGCCTTATGTCCAAATCCTGCTACTCTGCTACGCCAGTCTTTCGGAGCCGGTCGCATACTTTTCCATCTTCCCCTTCATCAACGAGATGATCTCTCGGACTGGCGATATCCCGGAAGAGAACGTCGGATTCTGGGCGGGGATCATTGAGTCTCTCTTCTCCCTCGTGCAAATGCTCCTGATGATCTTTTACGGAAGACTCGCGGATCGGTTAGGACGAAAGCCCGTGCTTGTGTTTTCGTTGGCGGGAGTGAGCGTCGCCTCGGCTCTATTTGGATTGAGTACGAGTCTTTGGCAGATGATCTTCTTCAGGTGCTTCGCCGGCGTATTCGCGGGGACGGTGGTCACCATGCGGACGATGATCAGCGAAAACTGTACCAAATTGACACAGGGAAGGGCTTTCAGTTGGTACATGTTCACGAGAAATCTGGGTATTTTCGTGGGACCTTTGATTGGTATGTGGAGATCATCTGGGGCTGGCTAATGGGGATAGTATCAGACTGATGATATACAGGTGGTGCGCTGGCAAATCCTGCTACCCAATTCCCAGGGGTGTTCGGCCACATCCAATTCTTCAAGGACTTCCCATATGCCTTGGCAAGTTTCGTCGCTGGAGCGATGTGTTTGACCGGCATGTTGTCCAGCTTGTTTGGCTTGAAAGAGGTGAGTGTATGATGCAGACCCCGAAAAAGCGTACACTAACATCATCCAAAGACCCTCAAGAAACACGACTTCGCCAGCGGCAAACTCGAACCTCCCATGTCCACCTGGGAAGTCCTCAAAGCTCCAGGCGTCATCACTGTCCTCTACATCTTCAGCCACACCATGCTTCTCGCCCTGGCTTACACAGCCGTCATGCCCACTTTCCTGTTCACTCGCATCGAACTGGGTGGCATCGGATTCGGTCCCGACTTCATCTCCTACGCCATCGCCTTGGCAGGAGCTTCGCAGGCTCTCTGGATGCTACTGGTATTCCCTCCACTACAGAGGAAAATCGGAACTGGAAATCTCCTGAGAGCGTGTGCCATCTTTTGGCCTGTGTTTATGGCGGCCTCGCCGATCTACAACGAACTTTTGAGACATGGATTCAATACTGCTTTTTGGGTTATTGCACCACTCTTCTCGGTCCTAGGCAGTGGGGTTTCGATGGCTTTCGGTGAGTCACGCCGGTCTACTCTGTCCTGGATGAGATTTTTTTCTTGCGCGCGGCTGTCTGGCTGACTACGATCATTAGCATGCGTGCAGCTTTGCCTCAACGACATCTCGCCATCACCTACAGTTCTCGCCACAGTCAACGCCCTGGCCCTCACTCTGAATTCCGGCGTGAGAGCCGTCGCGCCAGCTCTCTTCAACAGTATCTTCGCCACTGGCATCAGGATCCACTGGGCAGACGGACACCTCGTATGGTTCATCCTCGTCGCCCTCGCACTCCTTCTCAACGTCCCGGTCTGCTATCTACCCGAAGCAGCAGAAGGGAGACCAATCAAGCAGAAGAAACCAAGCCCAGAAGAAGCAGAAGGAGAAACTATACACTAGAACTATCCATCCAATTTACAACCCACTCTTATCCAACAACCCACCCCTTTTCTACTCATACCTATAGCAAAATACCCCACCACTCGGATCCATAACTTCCCCCACGGTCACATTCTCAAACACATCCGTAAAACTTATCACACTCTCCATCCCGACTGTATCCGCCAATGCCCACCCTCTATACTTCCTCGTACCGCTGTAATCTTCGGGTCTGGCGGTCGCATTGCGTCGCGTGGCTTCGTCGCGGCTTTGCCAGAGGGACCATACGCGATCGATGTGGGCGTGATGGAAGAAGAAGAAAGGATCCGAGGGCGAGGCGGGGATATCGTTCTGCAGACCGCCGATGACGGTGTGCGGGATAGGATGGATTCCATTGGGCCAGGATTCGAGTTGGGTGAAGAAGGAATTCGAAGCAGAAGTCGGAGCGTCAACTGATTGGAGAGTTTAGCTAGAGGGAGGAACGAGGGAGGAGAGGGGGAAAGGCGTACCTTGATAATTGAGGATGAAGTCTACGATGTGGGGATAGGTGATGTTTTCCATGTAGGATTCGTCGAAGTCGCGTTCTAAGCAGCGCGGATTGTAGCCGAGACCTGATGGGAGGGGGTTGTCTTTGCAGGAAGCGCCGTTGTAGAGTGGGCCCAGGTTGACAGTCCAGTTCGCGAGCGGACCGGTGGTGATGCAGGAACATTGTCCTCCGTCTTCTGCTGTTTCGACCACCTTTCCATTCCCAGAAATTGATGTGGAGGAACCATCGAAGAGCGGGTTGTCTGAGAGAGGTTTGGTGGCGGTGCGGGACCAATCCCAGTATGGTTGACCTAAGCACTTAGTGTGAGAGATGTTAAAGGGTTACGAAGGGGAAATGGAAGATACCTCCAGTCCAATCACATTCCTCCTTCAAAGCGCGCTCCCATTCCCACGTGAAACGTCGATGCCAAGGTAAAAGCCAAGGGGAGAAATGCACTCTCTGCAAATTCACAACATGCGCGGCTGCGAAATCATCCACACGATTCCGTGCCCCGGGAGCCAGAGTTGCATTCGTTTTCGAAGGAAGAGTCTGCATGCATTTGAGAGCTTCGAGGTATGCTTTCTTTTCGTCCTCTGAAAGTTCACTCCTGGCCGCGTCCATTAATTTTCTTTCATGGTATATTTTCTTCCGGGCGAACATACCACTCCCTCCTCACAACCATCTTCTCCCACGTACATTCTCCCCCAAGCTCTTGAACTCTCTTCTGCGTCGCAGCCGTATAGTTACTCTGAATCTCAGACATCAACCGCGCAGACACCGTCTCATCCGTTTGCCTCTCCACCAAACCATGCGCCAAATGATCATGATGTCCAAAATGTCCCGCCTCATAGGCTGCCGCCGACGAGGCGATCAAGAGAGCGAATTTGAGCATATTATTTCCCCTTCCCTGATGATGAAGTGAGTGTTCGGTGAGAGAGAGAGAAGGTTGTGCCATCCAGCATGGTCTCTGGTGGGATCTTGGTGCGATTAATGATCGGCATCGTGTTCCTGTGCACCGGGGGCGAAGTGGTGTGCTACCACAGGGGTTCGCAAATTAGGATGGATTGACGCTAGTTGCTTTGCATACCACTCTGTATACTATCTCTACCAAATATCATCTTTTACACGCTGTCCACTATTCAAAGTGAGTTGGTAGCACCTCCATTGCATGCTCTGTATTCTATGCCTGATTTGATCTATTGAAATCTTATACTAGGCACGAATGCAAGCTGATTTAAGAGCCTGATAGTCTATCTAATATAGGGCCTCTCTATATAGCTTTTTAAGGCTCTCTTCAAGCAGAAGCCATACTCCTTTAATTGGATTAAGGTCAGGGCTTTGTGCAGGGTGCTAGTAAAGCTGAATTAGGTGTTCTTGCCTAATCTTCTCGGGTAGATTGTCCTTTGATCTGTGACTATATAATAGATTATTATCTTCTATCAAAATAGCAGGGTAGCCTTGATTCTTTATCTATTTAATCTATTTAATATGCTTTGGAAGGATATGCTCTGCATAGTAGAGCTAGCTTATTGAATTGCCCTTCTTCTAGGTGTGTGGGGGCTCTAAATTAGCCCATTCCTTTAACTCTGCTTAATACTGCTTTTCTGTCTTCTGCCTTCTGTTTCTTCGTGGTTTTTGGCCCTTCTAGATTTCTATAATATGCCTGTAGTTCCACTATTTATCGTTATAGAAGACAAGCTCTAATTTGTGCTACTAAGAGACAGAAGCAGTAATATGGGCTACTAAATAGTTAGGCTCAGGTTGCTCGTATACTATCCCTTTATAATTGCCCTTCTTACGAAAGATTCGTTAATAAAGAGACATAGCCTTATTAATATAAGCCTCGTCTGTCTAGTGAATCTATTGCTAGAGGCTATCTACTGTCTCTGCCCTGTGTTAGTGCCTATATTCAATCCTTAGCCTCTTGTTAGTTTGTGAGATCTATATGGTGCTCTACCTCTTACTACGTAGTATTTGTGGCTGCCTTTTATTTATCCTCCTTCTTAAGGTTGCATATAAGCTTGCTATATGCTTTTAGAAGAAGGAATAGTCCTGTTTCCTCAAATCTTAGGGACCTTTAGCTATTATCTCAACCTAGTAGGATAGATCCTTCTTTTTAGGCCTAGGTGCCTACTTTCGTGGTAGTCTTCGGGTAGGGGATAGCTCCCCTTCTGCTCTTAGCTGTATACGTTAGTGGAGCCAATTACTAGCTGTTATGTAGGCAGGGCACTATTCTTCATGGCTATAGAGCTGGCAGAAGTATTTGAGTATGTATTGGTCTCTAGATGCATCCCAATAGTCAAAAAAACGCGTTCTGTGTGGTGTCTTGAATTTCCCTGGTCTCTTTAACCTTTCTAAATGATTTCTGAGCACAGGAGGCATGGTGGTGGTAATACAGAGCCTTCAAAAGAGGTGTTGGTAGGGAGGTTTGGTATGCCAAGCAACTAGCGTCAATCCATCCTAATTTGCGAACCCCTGTGCTACGGCTTCGTTTCCGTGCAACACCATCTTGCCCGAAGAGGAAAGGAGGCGAGATCAAGCTTATTGTTAAGCTATTTAGCAAGCGGCGATGCTTCGGGAGATCGGAGATACCCTGCTTTGCCGGAATTTGACAGATGAATCCCGGGGTTCTAGAGATGCGACGTGGAGGTCTTGCGAGCCTCTTGAAAGCCGCCGACGTTGTTGTGTGAGATGAAGAAAGACAAGATTCGAAACAGTGGCGAGCATCTGAGAATCTGTCGAGCAGGCGCGTCGCAAGTCCCATTCAGACAGATACATTAGCCATTATGACCAGACGTTGAATGAGAAAACTTCTGTTAAGAACATCGAATAGGGAACCCATCATGACCTCAACAATGTGGTCGCTGATCGTCATATCATCGAAGACATCCAAGATTTATCTCCCTTTGGAAGCCAACATCTATCGCTTGTCAGGCTTTGCCAATAACGAGCGAGCGCTCAGGCTCTGAACTGTGCGGCCTTTTCATCGAGCCGCGGTCCAGCAGTCAATAGTCGAATAGCAAGTTCCTTCTCTGTAAGGCCAGCATTTGAGGTCTCATGCCTCCCGGCGAGAAATTGAGGGATTAGCAGGCACTTTCACTCAAAACGTGGCGGGCTCTGCGGACGCCTTGCTGACGCCGACTTTGGCTTCATGACTTTTTCTGGAACCTGCTCGCATGATTTGTGTTCTGAAAGACATAGCCGAGTCTCTTCGATAGAGCTGCAGGGATGGATCGCGAAGTATTAGATTACGGAGACAACGGTAGGCTTCAACCTGCTGTATCCAAAGATTGTGGATGATGACAGCCTGAACTCGATAAGGAGCCACGCGGTGGAGGCACTCAGAGCTGCGGTCATGATAGTCTTGACAGGAGACGTGAGAGCAAAAGTGATGTCCATGTCACGAGAAAGGAGGAACTTCTGCAGATTCTCGAGACTAGCACCGCGCTGTGAGGCCTGAGAGCATTATTACGTGATGTTGGCCCGTGCGTCTTGGCACTTATGCTTACTGCTCCTTCCCTAGTCTTAGATAAGTGGTCGACCTCACCTTTCACATGTCGGGCTTGTCATCAGTAGTCTCCTTGTTATCAGCCTCACCTGCTCTGGCGTGCTGGCGGACACTGATCTCCTCTCTGCTCTAATACATGAGTCTCCGCGATTCCCGCCGACAGGACGAGATGCCTGCTTCCGCCATTCTACTTGAACAGACGAACCATATCCGTCGTCCCCCTCGACCAGAAAGAGATTGGTAACACAGCAGCGTGTGGATTCGAGTGATTGCGCTCTTGTGGGCTGCTGCTGGTGGATGTGCATGAGCGAAAGAGATGAGGACGAGGAAGAAGTCACTGGCGATCGCTCAGTATAGGCATGATGCGAGACCAGAAGCACAAGCGACCACAAGAGCTGTCGATCAAAGGTTACTACCAGCTATACCCGGCTTGCTTCTGCGCAGATAACGATATCGTAGATTCGTGCAGAGAAAGTTTCAGTGCTGTAGCCGTGAAGCGAGCGTTAGGCGAGGATTCACCGGGCAAGCAGTCAAACCCACTCCTACCCGCCAAGCGCCAAAGTTGGAAAGACCAAAGGTCCAGACGTCAAGAGTCCAAAAAATGCAAAGAATGCTCGATTGCAGCGGACTGACTTGGGAGGCACTTCCTCGGTCGGGACTTCTTCAGCGACGCGCATGCCATTAGCGTGGTCGCACCTTCCTTCACCTGCATTGCGGCTGCTCCCGCTTCGGTAAGCGGGTGGGTACCTGCCTGCGAAGCAAAGCCCACTCGACTTCACTCCACTCTTCAACGTAACTTAAGTCTCGATTCAAATTCGAACTCCACCTCGCAACCCGCCGACCGCACTGGCGCTACCAAGCAGCTCAACGCCGATTGCCATCGGAGCGGCACCAACTCGACGACATGACTACTCCGACATTGATCGGCATTCCGCCCGAAGTGTTTGAGCGGATCGCCCAGCTGTCGGACGATGCAGATCTGCTCGCGATACGACTGGTGTGTCGGGAAGCGGCCTCCAAAGTCCTGCGCACCTACACCGAAGTTCACTTCTCGCGCCGGCATATCTATCTCCACCGTGAATCAGACCTGAGAGCTGCGATACCGGTAGCCAAGCATCCTGTCTTCGGTGCTGCACTTTCGGAGCTGGTCATCAATGTGGACCAGCTGCAAGATCCGGCGACATCTGTGATGGTCGACAGGTCTTTGAGCGAAGAGGCAAGACTGGAGAGAGCAGACCAGCTGAACGCAATCTTCCAGAAGCAGGAACAGTTGAAGGATATCAGCACGCATCTTCAACTATTGACAATAGTGTTTGCCCACACAAGAAGGCATGGGAATCATCCGGTGGTCACGGTTGATTCAGACCCTCCCGAGCTACGAGCGAATCTCGACACCTGCGGCCTTTACATCGCTTGGGAGAACACTGACCACCATAAGTCTCTCCTAGTCATCCTTGAAGCCTTGGCCCTCAGTGGAGTGAAGCCATCGGCTTTTGAAATGGTCGATGCGGAAGAGCAGATCAACCTCAATACTCTGGTCCAGAAAGACCTGCATATCTTCCGTGAAGCACTCGACGGTACGAGCAAAGTGGTACTGAACATCAAATTCGACAACAAGGACGGAGGAAGCGTTGTAGACCACGGGGCATGGAAGTTCTTTGAGGTCATCGCGTCGAACCTAGCCTTGACGCATCTGGATCTGTTTGAAGCACCCAATGACTTGCCTCTCGGCCAGAGTTCTGTATTGAGACACGTACTCGACCAGCGCTTTCGGTTACTCAAGAAGCTTGTGCTCCGCCGAGCTTGTCTCCGAGCTTCTGCGCTGCTCAACTTCATCCAGCAGACTCCACAACTAGAGCACCTGAGCCTGGTCGATCTGGAGCTTATCCAACATGCGACCCACTCTCTGTGCGCAGAGGGCAAAGGTCTGGAAGCAGCTATTCAGCAACGAACTCATCTTTCCAGAGTGGAAGTTTCCGGTTTTGTATGGGAACAAAATATTTGAAGTGGGCAAATAAGAGCTATGTTCCGTAGCGAAGACGCAGGCTCACCATCAGAGGTCAATTTACACCACGCGATGCTTGCGACTGTGAGGAACGACTGATGACAACCTCGGGACTTCTAAGTGGTGGGAGAGATACAACCGACTTCAAGCATCAGCTTGTAACCTCACAAGAACTCGGCCAAGAGTTTCAAGATCTATACGAAGCCGACAAAAATTCTCATGGAGCTGATGGAGCGAGACTAGCGCTAATCGAGGGACGAAGGTGATAAGGAAGAATCGCTTGGAATTGGAAGGAAGTCACCGTCAAAATGGCCATTGCGGCTGGAGCAGACAAGGTAGTCTCTATCTAATCTCAAGCTCTGACTTCTTCCGCCTGCAGCAACGCACGCTGCAGCACAGGGTCTGATTCATTCGAGCACATCAACAGGTTGCTTCCAAAAATTCAACGCTTTTGTATTCGCAGAAATCAGCAGCTATTCGCAAGAAAGGATTCACATCATGCACAACGCCACTATCCATGCAAGTACTCTCCAATCTATATCCACTTCCTCAGCATGCCACTCCATAAGCGCCCCAACCTCCGCCTCACAAACTATATCCAGCAAAAATCTCCCCCTCTCCTCCTCCGTCAGCAATCGGAAAGATCTCCTCATGAACCGCGCAGTCTCCTGTCTCTTGTTCCTCATCTACTCCAGAAAACGCCTCCCGGACACGCATTTCCGGATCAACGGTGAGGCGGACCTTTCTGCTGCTGCTGCAAGAATCTGCAGGAGAGGTGAGGCGGGGACTTTCCGACTGGTGTGCCATTGCCATCTGGGATGGAGTGCTGGCGTATCGTGATCAGTCTCTTGCTCTGCGCTTGTCGAGATGGAAATTGTCAACTCCTGGCTCTGGCTCTGGCTTTGACTCAGGAGCCACGATGAACACTCCCCTTCGCTTCGGACGTGGCATCTCTTTTTGCGCTGATGAGGGGATCGAGAGCAAACCTCACCCGCTTGAAGGTGGAATTGCCTCCTGGTTGCGACGACTCGCACAAACCGGACCATCTTGCACGCTACATCGGAGACCTGCTAATTCTCGCAAACGGTAGGGAAATTGAAAAATCTCCTTGAACTGGTTCATTCCCCTCTAAAGAGGATTTACACGAACCGTCAAAGATCTCGTCAAGACGAGGTCCTGATCCTGGCTTTGCTCGACGGTGCTGTCTTCTTGTGCATCTATCAAATCTCCACCATTCTCGGCGGGGAGTTCAGAAATTTCTGCATGTCGGGCAGTCCCGTCGATCTCATCGCGCTCATGCTCATGGCCTTCAGGATCACGCCCCTGCATCTGTGACGAGCCGGTCGTATCGGCTGAGACTGTCTGAAGGTCATCCGTCTCCTTATCCTGCGGGGCGGCATCAGGTGCGAGTACCGTGTCCCGCTCGTCTTTGCGATCTCCGGCGTCATTTTCAGGTCTTTGTGGCGAGCCTCCTGCCTCGGCGGAAAAAGTCTCAAGCCCACCCATCTCTTCTTCATCTCGCGCGGATCCATCAATCTCGCTCAAAATCTCCCTTTCCTCCTCACCGACCTCCCCATCATCATCATCATCCCCGCGCACCTCAACATTTCCATTTCCATCTCCATCAGCCTCATTCTGCGCAACAGAACCCTTCCAATCCACCGAAACTTCAGACTCCCTACTCCCCTCCTCCACCTCCTCTTCTTCATCAGAAAACCACTCCCCCTCCTCCTCCACCACCACCTCTTCCCCCTCAACACCCGCATCCGCATCCGCACCCGCATCCGGCGCCCGCCCAGCAAGCCTCCACCCCTCCCTCAACATAGCCTCCAAAGCCCTCTGCCGTTCCCGCTCCACAGCCAGGAAACCCGCAATGACGTACTCATGCACCAGTTCTTCGCGGAGAGGCATTTCGCGCGTCCCCCGGAATCTTCGCCGCACGGGCGGCAGGGAGCCCTGATGGAGTGGGAGAATTTCCGGCTCTTCTTTGACTGCGCTGGTGGCGGTGATTGTGGCGGTGGTGGTGGTGGTGATGGTGGTAGTGTCGAGGATGGCTGTGAGATGTTCAGGACGAGAAGCCGGGGCCTCGGACGGGATGGCTGGATTGGAATCCATCTCTCTCGCCGGACGAACTTTCAGATTCCTTCAAAGGGAGAAGTGTGGTGATGTGGTCTTCTCTACTTGCGAAGAGCTATCACGAAAGTTACGTCGAGTAAAAGTATTCGCCAGCGTTGTGATATTTCGCGGAAAGAGAGAGGGGGATGTAGGAACAGCAAGAGTGCAAAGTGGGAAAAATCTTACTCTGAGATACCTACATATATTCTGCGATTTTCGGTGTCCTCAGGCTAGACGCAGCTCCACACACTAATCACAAAGGTTTAGTGGATTGAATGTTTGCCCCGAGGCCAAGAGGGATCAACACCATATCCAATGGAGAGCTTGCGCGTGTCGGAAGGTTTCCTGGTGCGCGGGTTCGCGGCGGAGCAAGATGCGGCGCCCCAGACCTCTTCTGTCAGAGAGAAGCCCTGTGAGAGATATGCCGAAGCTTGCGATGTATCCCGGGGCCACAGCAGAGGCATGAACTGTCTGCAACAACAGAGGGCCCGAGAGCTTTCACAGGGCCGAGTTGTGCGTTCCTTGCAAGCCCAGCAAATGATGTTGCTCCATTGCGTGAGTGTTGTAAGGCTCGACATGACGTACAACTTGCAGGTCCACGATGGATCTTCTTCATCCAAGTATCCGGCACGCCTCCTCCTGAATTTCGAGAGGCATGCTACCTAGGACGTATGAGAAGTCGTGTCCGCCTTGTACTGTTAATATCCCTAGCCCGTACCCGTTGCGGCCAAGATGTCTTGACTCCTGGTTGATATATCACTTGGCAAGTTTGCATTTGTGGCTGCGATCAACCAAACACGAGAGTGCGCGTCGTATCATGCCATAGGCCTATCGATTGACAGTCGCTCCAGGGGCTGTTTGCCCGTTGCCAGCTCTTAGGCCTTCCAATTTGGGATCCAGGAGCAAACTGTTGTGAAGTACTTGGCAGTATTCTAGGGACAATGAAGCGTCCTTTTCGAGAAACGAGTCAAGCCAATCCGCGTCTTCATCTCGACCTTGAAGTCTGAAGATGTGAGCAGCCCTTAAAGCCCAACGGTTTCGGGAGCGGAATGCACCAAGCTCATGTTCCACGGCCCCAGACCAGGCAGTCCGTGCCATGTCGAGAAAAGGGTCCGCGTTGGGGTTGGCAGGATGATACAGCGGGAGGGCCGACAGAATGTCCACTTTGTAATCGCGCGGTTTGAAAGCGAGGGTAGCGATATGCTTTTTGCGTAAATCATTGTATTGATCAAACAGATCCCCTTGAGCGGGTGGACATTCTTCCCTGAGCAGGATCGAGTCCAGAACATGACTTGTCTGGTAACAAAGGCCAAATGCGTGTTGGGGCTTGAGCTCCGAGCCGCATCGCATGCATTGCAGGGCGCATTCTAGCGCACTATTAGGGGATCCCTCTTCGGACCACTCACAACAAGCGGCTGCTATCCCAGCAAAATAAGCACCGAAGGCAGCTGATCGGTTCCTGCTCATACCGATTTGTGCAACAGCTTCGTACCATCGAAAGACGTAGCTATCCTGTCCTTCGCCAACAAGAAACCAGCCCAGGCTCCACTGGAGGATCTGTGCGGCAGTCAAGTTCTCTGGGCGGCGCATCGGCTTGTCGACTGTTCCGAGATCCCAAAGCCAGAGCAAGACGCGGCCTCCAATGCTGAGACGGCGACACTCCTCGCGCTGGCTCTGGATTGGCAGGGGCTCCAAGTCTTTCCTCAGATGCGTCAAACACGAGACGGCGTGGTGTATCGTGGCTCTTCCATTGCGGGACAATTCTTCAAACTCGACCGGGGTGACTCGAGGGGATTGAGGCTCGGGCCAAAGAGCTCTCCAGAGGGACGGCTTGTCACGCAAGGAGAGGGTCGTGGGTTGGAGATCTGTGGTGGTTGGGATAAAGCCGACGTTTCGTGTGTGTTGCGAGGAACGCGGTACCTGGATCGCGCCTCGTTGCTGCAGCTGACAGCGGCGCAGCAGAGACAACATCATTATAAGGGGAGGAATGCAGCAGATGGTGCCTTGGCGACTGTGCGGAGAGGGCGCGCAGGAAGGAGCGGAGAGAAGGGCGATGTACGGGTGTACATGGATTGAGGTGTGTATACTTCGCTGTCGTGGAGTCGTGGAGCATTGCATTGTACGTGACGGAGCTGAGTCCGCCGTGGCTTTCTCCTCATCTGATTGGGTCCCTCACCTTCCACCTCACCTTCTCCCTCCAGCTCGCTCTTCTCCCATCTCGCCGCTGCATCTTCTCACCCGATGGAACGTGAGGTGTGCTTCCCTTCCCCATCAATCACATGATGCGACAGGACAGGATCCATGATCAGGGCCCCAGTCTCGGATACCGAAGGAAGGAGCAGTACTAAGCCTCCACGCACAAGGCAAGAACAAGCCCGTATCGATATAACAAGGCAGGAACGAGCCCATATTGAGATGACAAGGCAGGCACGAGCCCACATCGAGATAATAAGGCAGGAACGAGCCCATATTGAGATGATAATGCAGGAAAGAGCCCACATCGAGATAACAGCATGAAGGCAGCAGCGATAGCATACCTTATCTGATTCATCTAAAGCGCACGACGGCACGACATTCACAAGAAGAATCTATCTAGCGGAGAGTGTTGCATATGGACTAATCACGTGCCAACTATAGCCGCGCCGGTCAGCACATGTTGCACCATTAGAGATAATCCTTGGCTAGTATCCCTTTCTTTGTCAAAAACAACACCATGCATTGCAAGAGTAAAGGGTACTCGATCCCTCTCTTTGTTTCTCTTTGTTCTTGCGGTGCGGAAGTAGGAGGTGTTACCCTTTTATCCGATAGAAGCCGTCATATATGAATCACGACTCGACTCGGCTTAAGCGAGGACTCTATTCACTTGCCGGATAGACCCGATTATTCACTCGCGATCCCTCCCTTCACGGTCCCTCCCTTTACGGTCCCTCCCTTCACCGGCTTACCTAAGGCATATTTCTTCCGCATTTGACGTCCCCATCTTCTCCTTCTCCTTCTTCTTCTCCCCAACTTTTACCAAACCTCCTACATCAAGCTACAGAATACAACCACTTGGCCACGTCTATCAGAGGAAGATATCGAGTCGGCGAGCGTCAAGCCCACAATCATGACGAGCGACGTCTTCTTGACCTCGTGGTCGCTCATCCACGTTCTTCTTGCCTGCTCGCTCGCGAGCATCATCCTCCTCCTTGTACGCACCCTCTGCGCCCGCAACCACCGCGGCAAGCTCGCCAAGAACCTCGGATGCTACGCCTGGGGACCAGCATACCCATACCTCGACCCCATCTACGGATGCGACTACGTCTGGGAGAACGCGCGCAACATCTTCGCGCACCGCTTCGCCCAAGGCGTACGTGAGCGCTTCCAGAAGTACGGACCCACCTACTACTCTCGAGTCGCCTTCCAGAATGTCATCCATACCATTGACCCGCGCAACCTCGAGGTCGTGATGGGCTCGAACAACCACCACTACGACATCATTCCCCACCGCCGCAAGCTCTTCCGTCTCCTGTTCGGCGACGGAATCTTCACGTACAACGGACCGGAATGGAAGCACTCGCGGCATCTCGTCAAGGGCAGCATCGGCACCCTCAAGGTCGACATGGGCCTTCTCGAGAAGCACTCCCTAATATTGATCGAGAACATCCGCAACATCGCCAATGCTACTCCTACCAAGGCCATCGACTTCGTAGCTCTGGCCAACACCTACAATTTCAACGCCGCAGCGGGTTTCATGTTCGGAAAGCTCTCGGGCCAAGTGCCAGACGACAAGAGCCAGTTTGCGGCTGACTTTGCCAGTCTCAACGACATGGGCCAGCAGATGACCATCTTCATCCGCGAGCACATCAATTTCTTCTTCGCAAAGCGCATCACGGCAGCACAAGAGCGCATCTTCGCTTTCGTCGACGATTGTATCGAGCATGCACTGAGCCTGCCAAAGAGAGAGTCCCTCATGGCAAAGCACGACTCCGTAGTCGAGGGACTCGCCGCCCGTGAGAAGAACATCGACCGCGTCCGAGGCGAGACCCTCAATCTCTTCCTGGCAGGCTATGACACCGTCCGCATTGGCTTTACAGAGGTACGTTCAACTCACACTCCCAGGAAAAGAAACTCCTACTGACTCGATCCACACAGATGTTCTGGCACCTCGTCCGTAGCCCCGAGTCCTGGCGCAAACTCCGCGCCGAGATCGCCCACCTCGAAAACCGCGCCCCAACGCTCGATGAACTCAAGTCCTTCCCCTACCTCAAGAACATCATCTACGAAGCCTCCCGTCTCTCCCCTCTCCTCGCCGTCCACGGCCGCAAAGCCCTCCGCGACACTACCCTCCCATTCGGCGGAGGCCCAGAAGGCGAAGGCCCCCTCCTGGTAGAGAAAGACACCTACATCGCCTATTCCAACTACGCCCTCCACCGCAACCCCGCTGTCTTCGGCGAAGACGTCGATTCCTTCCGCCCCGAACGCTGGGAGAACCTCAAGCCCGGCAATTACGAATACCTCGGTTTCGGACATGGACCTCGTGCCTGTCCCGGTCAAGACATCGGACGTACCGTGGTAGCTTTCGCCACCGTACGACTCGCCCAGGCATTCGAATCCCTCCGTCCCTACGATGCCGAGGAGAAGTGGGAGGAAGCCGGCTCATTTTCTTTCTACAACCGCCATGGTGTCAAGATCCTCGCTACTCCGGATGAGAAGTTTGAGGTGAAGGGAGACGGGGTAAACGTTCCAGGGGAAATGCTTGGGATGGAAGATGTGGTTGTTTAGGATGGGGAGTTGAAGCTCCCGATTTGAGATTCGCCGAGTAGAGGATAAGTTGTGAGTTTGGATGCAGAGGAGAAAAAGACAGAGAAAGAGACTGAGATCACGGGAGCTGTGTTTTTCCTTTGTTGCGGATATCAAAAAGTAGGGGCGCTTGTAGCTCTCTTTGGGCTTAAGGCGGTAGACGGTACTACTACATGGATAGACTGTACAATAGACACGAAGAAAGGCTTTTCACCTCAGGAGCGTGCTTGGGTCTTTCCCTTCGTACCGCCCACTGTTGCCGTCCATTATCACCTAGATCTCACCCGACGGCCAGAAATATGTGCACGGACTTTTCTGTCACATGGGCATGACTTGTTCGTCGACATAACTTATCGTTCCCCGCAACATGGACTCTCAGTGCGAAATTCTATGTACCAAATGCATTTTTGCCGGGCACTAGAGGTCTTCGTGGTCTCACATTCCTTTTTTTGTTTGGACGAAGAAATTTGATGCCTGAGGCAGAACTCGGCTCATCTCCGAGATTTCTCCATCCGTACCTTTCCCATCTTCTCTCGCACCGACATCACTCTTCCCTAACAACCCCTATCGACCCCATCGCACTTTCTGTCCCTGCTTGCGAACCTCCATGTTGATGAGAATGGCAAGAACATGCTGGACTGCGATGCGCCGAGAACGGACGAGAGGCAACGAAGGTGAGGGGGCGATCAGCATCTCTCCCTCGGTGTCGTGAGCTTAATCCTGCCTCGCGAGAATGTGAAACATCTTTGCCTGGCTGCGATCTTTTAGAGAAAGACACAGGCAGCGGTGTAGCACTTGCGGTGGCTGTAAAATTAATCGAGACCTGGATTCGAATACCGGACGACTGGGATAGAGGGATAGACGTCGAGTTCTATTTGGACGCAACGCGGCGCATGTTATGGAGCGCTGCATCAGGCCGGTCATAGGTGCGTCGTCTAGGAGATGGGCACTTACTCTGCCACTGTCTCTTCGATACTCACAGCAGACGTCGATCTCCGCTACACGAAAATCCCAATCCCACAGAACGTTCGCCACACAACCAGCCAGTCTCGAAATCGAAAAAATAGCAGGGAGCTGCGGCGCCATCATCAAAAACATAAACCTCAAAAACCTCGACCCCCCCAACACAAACGCGATCCGCCAATCTCTCCTCCAAAACGGCGTCATCTTCTTCCGCGACCAGGACCTCTCCCCTCAACAATTCCTAGACTTCACTTCCCACTTCGGGGAACCCGTCGAATACCCCTTCGTCAACGGAATCGAAGGCTTCCCGAAGATCATCCAGGTCCTGAAGAAAGAAAACGAAAGAACGAATTTCGGAGGCGTCTGGCATAGCGATACCACCTACCTGCCCGAACCCCCGATGGCTTCCGTCCTGCTCGCGAGGGAATTACCGCCTTTTGGAGGTGATACGATGTTTGCGGATCAGTACCTCGCGTATGAAGCTCTATCGGATGGGTTGAAGAGTCTTCTGAACGGGGGGTTGAGGTGTATCCAGAGTTCCGCCAAGGCTGCCGCTTCGAAGACGAGGGAGGATCGGATTGCCGATAGCGGGACGCAGACGGATCATATGGAACAGTCACACCCCGTGGTGCGCACGCATCCGGAAACGGGGAGGAAGGCGCTGTTTGTGAATGTGGCGCATACGGATCGGTTTGAGGGGTGGACGGAAGAGGAGAGTAGGCCGTTGTTGGAGTGGTTGTTTCGGCATCAGATTCAACCGGAATTTACTTGTCGATTGAGGTGAGTAGATGTCCTTTTAATAGGATCCGGAAAATCCTCGAAGATGCTGATGTGAACTTTGCTAGGTGGGAACCGAATACGATTGCTTTTTGGGATAATCGATGTGTACAGCATTATCCGCTGAACGACTATCATGGCTTTCGAAGGAGGATGTTGCGCGTCACTTTGGCCGGGGATAAGCCGGTCTGAATCTCTAGATGCTAGCTAGCTAGTTGTCGAGCAAACAGAAAACGTTCTAACGACTGTACCTTACCTTTCTTTGTAAGCTCACTTTCATAGCGCAAGACTGTACTGCACGAGTCGATCGGCATCCCGAAAGAAGAGATCCGGTGGACTACCGAGGTGTAGATCGGCAGGTCCTTCGCCTCCACCTACATCTCGATCTCTCACTCCACACAAAACACAACAACCCTACCCAGCTATCCAACCAAGCTCTTAGAGAAAACCGCAAAGATTAAAAAGGCCGCCCTTTGAACGCATGCCAATCAACACAAGAAAAAACCCACAAAAAACCATGACATCCCCCACCCCCCGAACCCTCGACCAAGCAAGAATAAACTCCCCCACCTCGCACCCAGACTTCCAACTCCCCTGGATCCAAGCCATCCTCTGCAACCCCACGACCAAAATCACCCCCCTCGTCACCTCAGGCTCACAAAGGACCTCCGAAGAAAACGCAACAAGGAACAACAACACCATGCTCAACCAAACCCTCACGCACCCCACCGGCCTGCGCGCCCGCATCACCTTCCAACGCCCCTGCACGGAACCAGACTCCCTGACCAAACGGGAATTCTGCTTCCTCCTGTCCCTGGGCACCGGCCTCGACGGGGCTTCCGGGCGCGCACACGGCGGCTTTTCCAGCCTGGTGATGGACGATTTGCTGGGGAATTGTGCGTACACGGAAGCGGAGCGCGGCGGGTATCCGCCGGCGACGGCGACGTTGACGGTGGATTACCGGGCGCCGGTGAAGACGCCCGGGGTGGTGTTGGCGCGGGCGTGGATGGTTTCGTGGGAGGGGCGGAAGATTTGGCTCAAGGGGGTGGTGGAGGATGGAACGGGGGGTGTTTGCAATGCGGCGAGGGCGTTGTATATCAATCCGAGGGAGGAGGGAAAGGCGGCTTTGTGAGGGTTGATTTTAGACGGGGGGGGGGGTTTAGTTATCAGTACCAGTGCCAGCGCCTGAAGGCTTCGAGGTTCAAATTTGGGGATGTCCAAGTTCTCTCTTCCAGGTCTCTCTAGAGCCGGCTGATGTTTCTGCTTTGTGCTTTAGATCCACCGATCTCCAATGCCTAGGGAAGTCATAGTCAAATCCACCCTCATCGGAAAACGCCCACAAATATCCTCATGACTTCTATACGTGAAATTCTGGCGTCTGGGCGAAGGAAGGAGAGACACGTAGTGCTCAGCTTGATGCCGGTTTTCGCAGCATGCTACCTGCTACCAGATCATCCCGAGAGGAAAGCTGATGGATGCCATACTGTCAGGCTCCTTCTCGTTCCCATGGAACTACATACTACGGCGGATATACATTTCACGACAACCATTGCAGAGCCTAGTCTTCTTCTTGATACGAGAGCTTCCTCATCTCTCCAAGTCTGTGCCGAGCTGCACCGAGAGCGTTCTCCAATTGCAAGATTTCGACCTGCGTCCAAGTTAGCTCCCGATGGCGCGGCATCCGCACTTGAGGCGCGAATGTCTTGGAGAAAGAAACTCACCTGCTGTTCCATCTGCCGCACCTTGAAATCATGCCCACTCAACTTGCTATAATCAACATCCTCACCTTCATCACGATTGCGGTTCTCGATGATGCTCTGCACCTGTCTCACCAAGCTGCGGCAAGCATTTGTCACCGCCTTGCTGCATTCTTCTAGCCTCTCCTGTGTCTTCGACATGAAGGAAGCCTTCACACGCGACGCAGCCACAAGCTGTGCCGTCGAAGCAGCGACATCGTTCGATGCAACGATGAGCTGCTCGGGTGAGTTACGCCCGCTGATGACTCCATCGGCAGTCTCGATGAGCATGTTGGTAGAGCTAGCCACCGCCTTGGATGCAGAGATAAGTCCCTCCGTCCATCGGTTATTCTTCTTGTAAAACTGGCTCTTGCTCATGCTTGATCCACGTCCCTGGTTGACGATTTCTTGTTGTGATGCAGTCGCAGCCTTGATGAGCTGCGCAATGGCGTTTGTCACGGCGATGGCTGCCTCCAAAATGGAATCGTGAATCTTCAGCTCATAAGTCGAGTACTGATCTCTCGGCTTGTTCATCAGCTTCGTTAGACGCTCAGTAGCCGCGTCGATGGCCTTTGCGGCATTCATCATCTCCTGGTCCACGAGCTCGCCAAGGTCACCAGATTTCGACGTCACCTTGGAATTGGGCGCGAATGCATCCGCCAACTTGCTGAGATTGTTCAGCGCGACTTGAACGTCATTGTTCTTGTTGATGACCACGTCGGTCTTCTGCAGGTCCTCAAGCCCATCTAATCGGTACGACACGATGCCGCGGAAGAAATCCACGGTACTGCTGGCCGACCTACGAGCAGCAGAAATGAGCTGATCACCCTTCTTGTCGTCACTGGCGAACCGAGTGAGACCCTTGGTGTTCGACAAGACATCCGCAATGGCGTTGGAGAAGGTGTGCACAGTCCTAATGACTTCCTCGTGGGTGCTGTTTGGTCCATCCGCGATGAAGTTGTTGAAGGCAGTGCTGAACTCCATGGCGGTGCTCTGAGCCTTTTCAATCTGAGACAGCACATATGGGCCGCTCGCGTTCTGGTTACCGGCCTGCATGGAACTGTCCAGCTCGTACAACGCGTCGTCCACACGCTGTACACCAGCCTGGAGCACGGAGTCGATAATGGCGTTGATTTTCCTGATATTCTCGAGAAGCATGACATCGATCTGCTCGTCCATGGCATTATCGGCGACGCCATTGCCGTTGCGAAGCTCGTTGACTTCAAGCAGAGCATCATCCATGCCTTGCTTGTAGACCTCAAGCTCTTCCTCCTTCTCTCGCAGTCGTCGCTCGAGATCGGAGCTGCCTTCTCCGAGCTTCGTCTGTATTTCCTCAAGCGCGCGAGTCTTGTTTCGCAGCGCCTCCTCGAGATCCGCGATTTCTCGATTGTGCCGTGAAAGCATTGCAGACAGCTCGCTTCCTTTGGCACGGTCTGCGTTGTCTGCTCTATCCAATGCCATGCGTAGCTCTCGTTTCAACTTCTCGAGTTCATCGCGATGACCTCCAGTAGAGCGATCTTTCTCGTGCAGAGCGCGGTCGCGTTCTCGGATCATGTCTGCCAGCTCCAAATTCTTGGTCTTCAGCTCGCGTTCAAGCTTCTCCCGCTTGTCAATCGCCTCTTGTGCCGAAGCAGCCTTGAGCTGTACACCCTTAAACTTCTGCAGGAGTTCCAGGTGCTCATGGCGGAGTTGACTATACAGCTTGGCGAGCGCTTCGTATTTCGTTCGCCATGTGTTGACCTGCTCCTGGAGTGCGCGGATCTGGTCATCTTTACTTTGGGTCTGCTGCAGGAAGTTCTGATTCAAGTTGGCAAGCTCGGCCTCCAGAGCCTTCATGCGGGCGTCATATTGCTGCAGCATGAGCTGATCGCGTTCGTACTGTGCACGAGCATTGAGGTTCTCACGCTCTAGCTCCGCCATGCGGCCCTGTGTCTGGTCCTGGTATTGCTGCCTCTGCAGTGCTTCCAGCTGCATCCTCTGTTGCTCCGCCTGCAGTCGCTGCTGTTCCTCGAAATCCCTCTGCGCTTGCTGCTGAGCAAGCTGTTGTTGTCTTTGCGCCTCTTCCCACTGAGCCTGTAGTCTCCGCTGCTCCGCCTCATACTCCTGTTGCTGTCGTGCCTGCTCATTCTTCCAAAATTCATTGATCGGCTCGGGGTCTGTAGAGGCTTGTGGTGGAGGCGTATCGCGGGGTTTCGTGACTTCATTCTTCGGTCTGGTGGGAAGGGCTGGCGCATTCTCATCCTCAGCCAGCAGATTCGGTGGGTCTTGAGGTAGCTTTGGGATCGTGATCAGAGAGGTAAGATATCGCAGGTTCGAGCATTCGTAGTAGAATCGCACAAGTCGGTAATGTTGCGCATCGTACCGGCCTCGCAATGGCGAAAGCGCCTCGTCGTCGCCTAGCGTCGTGTGCATTGCCCGAAGCATGCTTGTGATGAACTTATAAATGCCGTACGATTCTTGGACCAACGGTACAAGCGCGCTGATTCGGCATTCGTTGTTGGAGCCATGTCGGAAGTGTGCGAAAATCAGTTTCTGAAAGCTATCGATCTGATCTTGCAGCGTCATGAGCTCCGAAATGGTCTCATAACCTTCGTTTGGGTCGTTGATCGATTTGAGAGAGATGTACTCTTCATATTCGAATGTGCCGTTGAATTCTGGATGTTCTCGGTGGAACTAAGATTCGGTCAGCAACCATCCCCATTGATTCTGCACCGCATGTAGCCCCATGCCTGGCCCTGTGGGCACGATTTTGTGTTGACTTTTGGAGATGACCTAAACTCAATCCGTGTAATGCGCTCACCTTCAATTTGGACACCAGGTAGAAAATATACTCCTGAATTAGAGGCGCGTATCCTCTCAATCCCTCACCACCAATGCCCCCAACCATGCCTCTCGACAATCCCTCGAGCCATCCGACATGCTGCTGAGCCTCTTTCAATGCAATTGGATGTCCCTCCTGCAACACCTTATGAACAGTATAGAGAGCCTTGAAGGTCTGCACCTCATCGGCCTGGATCGGCTGCACCTTGATTCCATTCCAGAAGCTCTGTGACGATTTGTGATCCCAGGTATATACAATACACGCGCGGACGTGCTTTCGCTTAGGCGCGGTCTCTTCAATCGATGTCGCCTTTTTGATATTTGTGGCGAGCTCTGTTTCGGTCTTGGTCAGGTCGACGTTTCGGGTGGCCTGGCTGTAGAGGGCCATGCTGCCGCCTACGCTCGAATTGGAGGGTCGCGATCTCGAGGAGGGCGGGCTGTAAACGGTGAACGGAGCGGACGCCAGTATGTTGCGTTTGGGGTGAGTTCTGGGGACGATGTAGTAACTTGTTGATTGAAGGCAGGCAGCAGGAATTGTTTCTGTTGCATGCGCAATGGAGAGCTCGGGATCGCGCGGCGGAGCTTGCGTGGAAGTTAGGCATGACGACGGTTCGGTGGTTGCTGCCTCAGGCTACAGGATCTCCATCTCAATTCACTTCGTCTCGGCCAAAATATCATCATACAGTATCTGCCCATGGACGGCTGGACAGGCGTTCCGAGATGCCTTCCACTCTACTCCACCAAATCATCAGCCTGCACGCTCACGGCTAACACGCGAGCTACCATCCGGGATGGACAACCACTTCTTCTTGACCAACAGTTTCAGAGCCACCTCCTCGTGTCGAACGCGCTCCAAAGGTGCTGAGATTTAGCAGTCTATTGGGCCACTACCGACTCTCTCATATGAATACGGCCAGTGTCCAACGGCGAAGCGAAAAGCGCATAGGTTACACCACAGGCATCAAGTGTGGTTGCCTTGCTTACCGGCTTTATACAGCCGCATCCGCCACAGATAGAGATTTTGGCATGAGACAGCTCACAGACTTCATGTTATCATTGTACCGTCGCAAGTATGGCCCGCGCATTCAACTACGGCTCGTTGGACAGCAGCAAAAAGTACATCCGACTATTGCGGGCGTGTGAGGGCCCAACCCAGACGTTGACATTCAATATTGAAACCGTATCTCTCGAGCAAGATCCTCTACCAGACTATTACGCAATATCTTACTTCTGGGGAGATGCAAATACCAAAAAGGTGCTGAGGGTCGACAAAAACCAGCTCGAAGTCCCGGAAAATGCAGAGAGGGCACTCAGAGCAGTAATCGCTCACGGTTTCTCATGCCCAGAGAATGAAAATGTGCCAAAATCTCTCCAATCATGGCCTGCCCTATGGATCGACGCTGTGTGTATCAATCAAATAAACTCCAAGGAGCGGTCAGTACAAGTCGCATTTATGCGGGACATTTACGCAAAAGCGAAGGAAACCTTCGTATGGCTTGGCGATGCCGCTTCTCAGGAGTCGGCTGCTGCGGTAAGCAGCGTATGTTCCCTATTCAAGATTTGCAAGTCAAGCTTTGACGGAGAATCGTCCTCTACCGGCTACTCTGATGACCCCTTCGAAACTGCTCTTGCCACATGCAACTGGCATGCAAACTTTGACGGAGAATCGTCCTCTACCGGCTGCACTGAAGACTCCTTTGAAACTGCTGTTGCCACATGCGACTGGCGTGCCATCAGCGGCATATACAACTCTACTTGGTGGCGCCGCATCTGGACGGTTCAGGAAGGCCTTCTTGCACGCAAAGCGACTTGCATCTTCGGCAGTCACGTCATACTATTCCATGAACTGACTCGACTTGCTTACGCCTTATCGCAGAGACACTACTACCATACGCCTGAGCACCTGCGCCGCCTGTCTGATGGGTTAGAGCTTGCGACGTCACGCTTGCGCTTGGAAACGCAAATAAGATCGCGCGGCATAACCATGCTTGATCTGGTCAAACAGGCGGAGAACCTCAGTGCAACCAATCCAAGAGATATGGTCTACGGGATGCTGGGATGTTTCCAAGCGCCCCAGCCTGGCTTGGAGCATCGTACCTCCCTCAAGATCGACTATGAAAGTCCGGTTGAAGAAGTCTACGCACGAGCAACCGTAAAATGCATCCAGGATACTGCGAGCCTGGAGGTGCTCCAACTCGCTGCACTTCGGCCTCGCAAGAGTGAAAGCGCTAGCTTTCCCTCCTGGTCAATACCTCTCCCTACGAGTTTCCCTCAAGAGCCACATCCACGGCCCATTCGGAGCCAAATAGACACATCCGATCCCCACTTCTACGAAGCCGATTGCATCCTCGAGGTACCCTCCAGCACCAATTGGAAAACATTGAGACTGAGCGGGTTCACATATGATCGCGTAGAATCGGTCATATTGTTTGAAGGCATCTGGCCCGACCTGGATAGCTCTGAATTCCGAGCCAAGATAGAAGACATTCGACATCTCGTTCAAAGAAGGACCACGGCACAGCGGACATTGACTCCGGGCTCATGCTTCAACACAGAATCAAGCCACAATGCTAATGTAGCCAGTGATGCTATTGCCGGACCCTCCATTTCCGACAACACTGCTAGCAATTCTTCTGACAGCCCTTGCTCAAACAGTACCTCCATCACCGACGTCGCCACCGCCGCGGACAAAATGTCTCCTGAAGTAGCTGAAGCCATCGCCAGCGCACTCGCAGCTGCCATCTATACTTGCGACGGGACAGCACACACACAACTCGTTTCATCTCTGCGACAGTTCATCTTTCTAGCCTCGAATCGCAGACGCATTTTCGTCAGAAAGCTAATGAGCTACGCTTTTGATTACTCCAAGAGGATGAAACGTGCCTTCTTCATCACAAAACAGGGCAGATTCGGTGTTGCTCTTCCTGCCACGGTAGAAGGGGACGCGGTCTGTGTGTTGGATGGCGGACCAGTGCCGTTCATTCTGCGAAGACACGAGGATCGGGAGCATTGGGCTTTGGTTAGTGATGCTCATCTTGATGGTGTGGAAGAGTTTGTGAGTGCCACAGCAATACGCCAAGAGTAGACTACTTGCTAAAGGGCTTCAGGCACGGACTCATGGCTGCGGAACCTTGTTTCCTGTTACCGAAACTGGAGACCGTCCCTCGCACGGAGAAAGCAGAGAGACATTTGACTTGCTTTGACGCACAGGTTCAAATCCTGAGGGACTCAACGGAATGGCACTGGTATCGTTCTTTTCAATTCGTCGCTGCTACGGGAAGTTTCCTCTTTCCCATCGTGCAACGTACATGCGGCTTTTCGCCATCTCTTGAAACCACAACCCGACCAGAACTCCGTCGCCTGCCCAAAGCTCCAGCAAGAAACGCTTAGTGGCCGGCCAGGGCGTAGGCACGTCTCCGGTCTCTCTCCTCTGCGATGCTGAGCTTGACACCCTTGCCCTTTGGCAGGGAGATCCAAGGCTTCTCGCGGCCGATGACGAAGACGTTGGACTCACGAGTAGCAAACTCGTTGTCAATGGCGTCCTTGATGTGCACGATATTGAAGCCTCCGTCGTGGCGCTCACGGTGGGTGATGACACCGACACGACCCATGTTACGTCCACCAGTAGCCATAGCAATGACACCAGTGTCAAAACGGATGAAGTCGTCGATTTTGCCTGTGCAAACATTAGCCTTGCGAATCTTCAGGAGTATCCGTAGAGACACGTACCGGTGGTCAGGTTGATCTTGACGGTGTCGTTGACCCGGATGGCGGGGTCTGGGTAGCGGATCCTATATCCAATGTCTCAGCATTTATTTCTAACCAAAACTTGGTCCAACGTCTGATAGACGTCGCAAGCCACATAAGATGTTTCACTTACGTGCGCGCGTCATGCGTAACCAAGAATGGAATGCCGCCCTTGCCCAATTGGACTCTCTTGACCTTGCCCAACTTATATTCGGCCTCCTCGGTGGTGATGCGGTGGACGGTGAAGCGGCCCTTGGTGTCGTAGACGAGGCGGAAGTTCTCGCCAGTCTTCTCGATGCCGATGACGTCCATGAAGCCGGCCGGGTAGGTTGGGTCAGTGCGGACCTTACCGTCGACCTTGATCAGGCGCTGCATGACGATGGCCTTGGTCTCGCGGGAATTGAGGGCGTACTTCAGTCTGTTGGAGGAGCACGGTTGTCAGTATTTCCTTCATGACTGGCCTGCACATTCTCCCAAATCGGCTATTGAGGGACGAGAGCGTCGTACCGGTTGCGAATGAAGACGATGAGAGGCATGCAGTCGCGCAGCTTGTGCGGACCTGGGCTGGCCTTGGGCGCATAGGCACCGCTTAGCTTGTCGAGCAGCCAGTGCGATGGCGCTGACAGACGCTTCTGGTGCTTCTTTGGTCCTCTTCCCATGTTGGCGGTGTTGGGCGAATGTTGTCGACTGCGGTGTCGAGAATTTCGGAGGCACGCGATGAAGTCAAAGAATTGCTGTGCACGGGCCCGTTGTGCGTCGGCCTTCTTGGCATTCTCGTTTCTCACGTGATCAATCTCAAGTTCGGTCCATTCTCAATTCTACATCGAAAATCTTCACTGCAACACTTTCTCGAGCTTCTTGCCACCAAGCAAGCCATTACTACATTGTATGTGCTTTGCGGCGATGAGATTGGGCGAATGAACACGAAACGGAGGAGTGCGACCTCCACGCAAGGCAGAAGCACTGCGAAAGTTCCCATTCCTTCTCCCAACAGGAAACAGCGTCTTCGCACATCGGTCATCTTGCCGGCTGCTACCACCAACTTGACACTGTTCGAGGCGCTGTTGCCTCCAGTCTTGCTAGATTTCTTGGAATGACGATGACACTCCGCTGTGAGAAGACGCTGCACTGCTCGTTGACTGACTGTAAAGGGCGAGTGAATACCGCCTTCATCATGACCATTCGACCTCAGTCAGGTATCGCTATTTGACGATCAAAGATGCAGCACCAAACCGTGCTTGGTCTCGGACAAGAACCTCTTCAACAATTCTCAGCGGACCTTTTCAATACAGAATGGATGTTCTAGCTGAACTTACTTGTAGAACTTGCTATATGCGTACTTGTATCCGCGATCGGTATTGCAACATGTATCCGACTTCTTGCCCACCGTGCAGCCGGTACAAAGACAGCACTTGGTCCCCTCGGATCTAGCACGGATTGTCAGTCTGAACGCTCGCCCCACACGTGGGGTTTACCGTTTGGACAATCTCCATTTGAAGTCCACCGGCTACAAGTCTTGTAAGCAGAGCATGATCCCGTCTGCTAACTTGCCTGGAAACGATACATCAGCCTAGGAGCCCATTTGTCGATTAGCTGCTGCTAAATCTGCATATGTCGCCAACAGCACGAGGATAAAGACGACGAAGAAGATCGGGAGGACGAAGAAGTTGAAGAACATGAAGAGGATGGAAATATTAAATATGATTTCCACGTCGTAGTCAAGACCGCCGACACAGAATCATGTCTCGGGAGTGAGACTTGGAAAGACTTCGCTGGAGAATCGCGACTACGCCGGTTAGTCTTCGAGCCAAAGGGCTTGGGATCTCAGAGCCCGATGAGTCGACATAAACTCCGGGAGTGCGAAGTATGCTCTCAGTATTGTGGCTTGGATGTACCTCGCAGTCCACAAGATATCTTATGACGAGCAAAGTATTAATGAGAAGACTGTGGGCTACATACGGAGCTGCAAGGAGTGTCAATGGATCTCTGAGATGGTCGATGAAGAGGGCGCTATCAGTGTGTAGAGGTGGCTGAAAGCTGTATACAGCATCTTATCGCATTGGAAAGTGATCTCAACGGACACTACAGCTGGTTCGCCGCTGTCCGACTGGCCGTTGCCCCGTTTCCTCTAGGACACTCGGGAAGAGAATGGTCTTCCAATGCGAAAAGATGCTCTACTCTATTCATCTGCTCAGGGGGATAAGCACACTATGTTTAATTTCTCATGTGGCAGCCTTTGTGTCCGCATAGAGTCTCCTCACCCTCAACGCATCACCTGCAGTAGGGAATCCATTCCTCTCGATCGAGTCTCCATCCAATTTCACGAGGGTGCTTAAACCCGGAGCTGCTCGAGCGGTCTTGGAATTGTATATCATGATCGAATCCATGTCGAAGGGTCCTTGTACTACGAAGGCACCCCCTAGATTATTCGTGTACGGGAGAAAAGTGGCTGCGCTGAAGCTTTGTTCAGTAGCGTATTTCTTGTTGGTACAGACTTGCTCAGTCTGTTCAGGTGAGTGGGTCTGAGAGAATGATGCGTAGTCGAAAAGATTGGAGCAGAGGAGTTTGACATAGGAGGGTGCGTCCGGTCCTGGCGCCAAGTCAGTGAAGTCGTTCACTTCACCTAGATAGGGCCCGCTTACTCTCATGCTCATGGAGCAAGCCCATGACATGGCCAAGTTCGTGCGCCAGAGCTCCAATAGTATTACCGTCCCAGTCTGCTAAGGGGTCAAAAAGCAGAGAGTGAGGCTGATTGGGACCACGGTACCCAATCGTTGACCAAGCTATGTCTGGTACATGTTTGATGACCACCGTCGATAAGAATTCGGATGGACATATCGTTCCCGTATCGCTTGCGAAAGGGATGAACGACACGCCGTCAAGTCCTCCTGGATAAGAAACATCAGTCTGAGTCCTCTTTGCTTTCTCAAAGTGCCGCCAACGGACCAGGAGAACTTTCCCAGCGCTGTATGGAAGCTTCCATTATTTTGTCGATCTGATTTTTGGATTCAAGGTCCGAGTAACAGTACGGAATTTGCCCATTTGGCCCTATCAACTTTCAGCATCGTTTCTATTGTTTCGCAGGATCAATGGTGATGAAAGCGCATACATGGACGTGGTGTCGCCCATGAGTTGACTAGAGAAGGTGATACAGAGAAGCTGCGCCGTTCCACGGTGTCAAGTCCGAAGAGAAAACCCATTGTTGTTGCTCTAGAAGGGGCGACAAGTCCACATTTAGGGTGTGGAACGTTCTCCAAATGCGGGAGGCGTGCAACCCAAAGAGGCATCCAGCTGGCAAGAGCAGCTATCTTTGGCCCCAGCTAGGGTGGTTGACCCCGTCCATCTTGCTGACCATGGCTCTGAAGCGAGAGGGTTGACCATGTCTGTTGTTGAAGACTCCAACATTAAAAATAGTTTCCAACATAATGTGAGGGGACATCGTCTCCCGCGCGGCAAACAGCTTGCAAGGGCTGAGGAGATACAGCGTCCAGACGCGTCGGAGGTATTTTTCGACGGCTACTATCCGACTCGCTGTTGTCCTGGATTCCACTAGGATTCCCAGAAAGACAATAATATTCCGCTGTGAAAAGACGCATGTAGCAACGTGTCGACATAATGGCCCGTATGGAAAGAATCGGCGTGAGCGTGATCAAGCCGGCCAAGCGGTCACGTCGGCATATTATTTCGTCTCATCAGATTAGAATCAATGGGTTGCCTCGTAACATGGAAGATGATTGGGTGTGAAACGAGGAGATGCAGTCGAGGAAGTTGAGGTTGGTGATGATGGAGGGTGAAGCCCGGGAGATCTTCGGGCGGGAACCGCCGCGCGCCAAGACGGACACTCTTTCCCACGACCGGAGGTTGCCTTTTTCCAAGACTGTGAACTTCGCGAAACGCCGGAGACTGACGTCCACGACAACAACAGAAAAACTCGGCCAGCACCGCCAAAATGAGTACGTCGACGTTACACATACGGACGAGTGGATGAGGGGGAATGGAATTGCTGACAGACAATAGCGAAGGGAACGTCCAGCTTCGGAAAGCGCCACAACAAGTCGCACGTTCTGTGCAGACGTTGCGGTGAGTCGAGCCCGGGAAAGAACTGAAGAGAAGGAAAGCATGTCTTTGTGAGGAGACGAGACGAGAGGCGCGAGATTGAGGAGAGCAAGAGGACAATTGCTGATGAGATGTGATACTCAGGCCGCCGCTCTATGCACGTCCAGAAGCACACCTGCGCCAACTGCGGATATCCAAGCGCCGGTATCAGAAAGTGTACGTCTTCATACACGTCGATCACACGATTGGAATTGATACACCAATCTTGGACGACTCCCGCGTATGAGGAACAACTACTAACGTGTGTGCTTGCAGACAACTGGGGTGAGAAGGCCAAGCGGAGAAAGACCACCGGCTCTGGACGCATGCGATCGCTCAAGCACGTCGCACGCAAGGCCAAGAACGGATTCCAGCTCGGCACGCCAAAGGGCGCCCGTGGCCCGGCCAACCAGGCATAAATCGCATCAGCAATGGGAAAATGAGAACTGGGGATGAAGCATGATGTTGCTGGGTTGCTTGGAGTTCGGCGGACTGAGAAAGGCATGGTCATCGTTCGGACTTGTTTTCAAGGCGAGCAGACGGAATACGCACTGGTCTAAAGGCATGACCGAGTTACCGCTGCTTCACTGGCGGATGTTGCAGCTCGAGTAGCTAGAGTATGAGCGAAAGGCTGTATTGAGCGACTGCGAACGACAACACGGCTCCTCCCCAAAAGAACTCCTCCGATCCGAACATCCGTCGCAAGCTCTATGAAGACACATAACTGTCACGTGATGCTAGACCAATTGCATTTCGCCGGTACGCAGCGAGCGATCAATGTCTTCACACAGGCCCCTCCCAGCGTGCCGAATAACAGTGTAATCTGCGGCAGAAAGAGTATGAGGTCGCAAGGCTGTATAAAGACAAGGTTTGGTAAAGTGAAGCGAAGGGCAAATTAGGCCCTGCGCTGGCTGCTTTTCAGCTTCCTCCTTTGTCAGCTTCCATTCCAATATTGATGTTGCTCTTGGCATTCATGCGACATATTTTCTGCTCTCAAACTTCACAGCTGCTTGCTCATTTGCTCTTCCTTAGTCATCTGCATCCCACTCATACAGATCCAATAGACAAGCCGCCCCGCTAGATTCAGCAGCTGGGCACTGGGTTGATACATGGACGTCCATGCCACAGCTGACAGTGTTCACCAACCTGCTGCCAACCCTATCTGTACGCCTCCAAACAACCGGACTACATATCGACTGCTCACAACATCCCCTCAGAATCAAATCAATCTCGTCTTTCCCAATTCTACAATCCACCAGACTCTCCACGTCACTCGGTCCTTCCACACCAAGCAGCAAGCGGGAATCGAATCCTCGAAGATGGTCTATGTCCTTCCTTCCTCTCCCACCGAGGAGGAAAGTTCGCAGCGGTGTTCGAAGGCGTAAATGATTTAGGTGAAGCAGACGCTACTTCTACAAATCAGACAGTCACGGGCGGTCGTTCGATACAGGCATACCGACAAATCATCACGAGGCAGCATAGTTTTAAGATGGAGGCTGCGAGTACGCCGTTTGGCGGTAGTAATACTACTCTGCAACCTTACTCTAACTCTTTGCGGGAAAAGACGAGGGTGAGAGTTAATGAGAGGAAATCTTGGTGAAAAGAGACGGGTTGATGCGCTTGTGGATTTCGATGCTTTAGTGAGGGATCCGGAGAATTTTACGCGGTTGAAGGGGGGATCTGATTCGGGGTATTGTTTGCATCATAGCGTGGAAGGGTTTAGAGCTATGGCTGATGCCTTTCCACTGAAAGTTTTGAGAAATTTGAAGAGGGTGTTGGAGGATTGTAGTTTCAGGGCTGTATAATCTGATCATATTGCGTCTAGATGAGTTTGATGTAATGGTACCTGGTCACTCTCCGTCAGTGATATTCTTGCTTCCGTCGGTCAAGGGATGATGTGTGAGGGTATTGTTGAGGATATCAGTAGGAACAATTGGATAAAAAGTTTGTGTCTGTCAGCGCCGCTTTGCGACTACAGATCTAGAGCTAAAGGTTGTTTCATCATGTAAGGTGAGGGGAGGTGGAAAAGGCAAAGGCAACGTACCTCTGCAGAATGCGTGATGTGTCGGAGAGTGCGGCTCTACTGGCAGATCCGTAGTCTTGAAAGTTTTCCTAGAGAAGACTCAAACTTGGATGGTGATGACGGTGCGACGTCGAGGATGAAGATGGAGTGGTGTTGATATTGAGGAAAGAGGGAGGCACTGCAGGAGACGAGAGAAGCTGAAGAAATTTGCTTTGCGGCCGTGCTCCGGCTAACTCGGATATTTTAAGCTTTGACGCTAAGCTGTCTGGATAATCAATGCCAAATAATATACCCGGAGTTGCAAACTTCGATTCTGCTCCGACAAAGATATTTACCAACAACATCTGCAGCATCTCCCAATGATGCTCACGGAGTACTTCATCGCCTCCGTGGGCGTGCCACTAAAGCCGCCAGGGACGAATGTGGCCAAGGATGCCGCCATCTTCCTCCACGAATACCAGCCTCTCTCCCAGCAGCGAGCAATCTATAAGAAATCTGCGACGCCTCCCAATTGCCTTGCTGTAAGCGAACGACACATCTTCGCGGCCCAGTCCGACAAAGGCGTTGTTCATGTGTACGATCGACAAAAAGGAAATCAGACAACGACTGTGCCTTTTCCGGACAAGATCTCTTCCGTCACGCTGGCATGTGACGATTCAGTCTTAATTCTAGGCACAGTCGAGGGCAAGATCTTCTTGTGGGAGACTTTTTCTGGTCGACAGGTTACTACACCTCAAGCGCACTTACAGGCTATCACGGCTCTGGCGGTAGATGCTACTTCAAACTTCTTACTTTCGGCTTCCAAGGACTCGACGATTCATGTCTGGTCTATCCCGAGCCTGCTTTCGTTTGCGAATATGTCTGATGCTGCCCCGCTGCGAACTTTTTCGACCCATCGTTCAGAGATTACTGCGCTGGTATTAGGGCATAGCACTTCGCATTGCAATTTCGCCGTCTCTGCTTCCAAGGATAAGACATGTCTCATTTGGGACTACCGGACTGGCCATATTCTGCGGACATACCTTCTCCCTGGTATACCGCTTTGCATCGCATTGGATCCAGCGGATCGAGCTGTATATCTGGGATACGAAGATGGCAGCTTACAACAGCTGGACATGTTCACCTCTTCAGGCGGGCATTTGGATTCCATCTTGAACGGGAAGGCAGCAGCCGAGCCTATGCAGCCTTCCAAGTCTTCACTTTGGAAAGTTGTGGATTCCTCGCATGCCTCTGTGCTGAGCATGAGCGTATGTTTTGACGGAAGCACGGTCATCACCGGACACCATTCTGGCTCCGTCTTGGCATGGGATGTTGCAAGAGGAAGCTTCACATCGGCTTTGACGCAAGCTCCTCTGCCTGCACCTGTCAACAACCTTTGTTTTCTCCCTATCACGGGCTTCCCGTCCAAATTGCACGATATGGGGATCCGGATAAACGATGTAGTGAAGCCAAAGTTCGCTGCTTTCGACAACGGAGACGGCGGCTCAGTACCTGGCAATTACGCGCTCAATGCTCAGCTCCTTGATAATCTTGATTCTCAGTCTACCGATTTTCAGACAGCTTTGAGCGCATCGTCTTTCCCGTCCGCTTTGCTTGATGAAGGTCTGTCTGAACTGGCTTCTTGGGGTAAGAGCGGTTCGGTCAATGAAGAGTCGAGTACTGCTCAGGACGACGGATACATGGCACTTGATTCTGAGCTTACGCAACCTGACCAGAGTGCTCTTCGCGAAGAGAATGCAACTCTCAAACAGCAACTGGAGGCGTTACGGAGACTGCAGAAGAAGAGTTTTGAAAAGATTGAATCTTTGAGCACGGAGAAAAAGGCTTTGCTGGAAAGAGAGCAGAAGAGACTTTCAGGCGTGAATGGTACGCATCGTAATGAGATGGATGAGGACAACGAAGAGGAGGAGAGCTCTGGCGATGAAGAAATGGGCTGATTATATCCTTCCCCGCGGATCCGTACCTTGGGACTGTCACGAACATCGCATTTCCGACACAATGCTCTTGGCAAGTGCACGAGCGACGCAAGGCCACGAGAAAGGAGGGCTTTTATTAAGGGCCACCCCTTACATTCCTCACGCTGGGCTCTCCACAGCCACGTATTTGTTTTGCGTTTCGTCCTGGAATGCAACGACTTCTCGAGTGTATGGACATCCTCCAGCCCACCAAGCACTGATTGCGCAACACCGTCCATCGTTTGTATCTTTTGCTTCTAAACCCTACGACGCCAGGAAAGCGCCAACATGGGGCACCATTTCTCACTCACTAGTCTGTTAATTTCCACACTTGCTTTCAACGCTGGAGCACGACACATTCATCCATACAAGCATGAGGCTGTCCAGATCGCGCGGCGACAGGTTGGGCCTCCTATTTCTGCAACGCCCACCGATATGGCCGCCGCCACAACATCTCCAGCAATCCTGACGTACATTACGCCTTCACCCGGAGCATCACCCGTTGCAATTACAGAACAGAGCCAGCTGGTAGAATCTTTCGTTGCAGAATACACAATTTGCGAGCTGCCACCACAGGCACTCATCCCAATCACTCCAGTCCCATCCACCCTTGCGACGACAGCTAGATACCATAACTATTCGATTTCGATTCCCCCCGGCACTGGCTCTTGTACGACAATCTACATCCCAACTCAGACTATGGTCTGTGCCACGACCTTGACTGCTCTCGTTGAAAAGGTTACCGTTACCAATTGCGCTCAGGACATCACTTTCTCCTCCGAGTACGGCTACGTTCTCGCCTCTCCGACCGCTGCTTCTAATTATTCCGGTGTTGCAAGCGCTGGCACCGCAATGATCACCCCCAAGCCTACTGTCCAAAGGCTCACAACGTACTTCATTGCCCCATGGGAGGACGTCACAGCCGGAACTGCTCCTTCGGACGTTCGCCTCAAAGTCTGTGCGAAGTATGCCAATGGAACGAACGAGTGCATCGAGCAGTATGAAGTCTGGCAGACTTCTCTCGTCACCAGGACTGCCACCACCACGACCTCCGTCAACATTTCCACCACGATCCATGGACCGTCGCAAGTCATTGTGGAGACTTTCGCTGCAAACATCACCAACCAGATCTCCACATTTCAAATGTCGACGGATATGGTGCTTGAGTACCAAACCGAAATTGAGACGACCAGCAGGAGCAGTGTCACTCCTACCACCGCGCCGACGAGCTATATGACTGTGACAGTAGAGAATGCTAGCGATGGAGTTCCGGACTCGACGTGAGTTGGACATTCGCTATTGCACAGCGACATGAGCTAACGGTTTTTGCAGGACGACTCGGACATCGACCATTCGGCGAACGAGTACTACCACTGTCTTCGTCGGCACTTCAACTGCTACGCTGCCAGACGATCTTCTTACGGCAGCAAGTGCAGCAGCTTCTGCCCTTGAGACTGCTCTGCCAACTTCAACGTAGGTCTCAAAGTTGCATATTCTGTATCACGTCCCTAATCGAATCATAGTGAGTCGGTCGACTTTGTGAGCATGCTCGGTATTGCCACCGCTCGATGATGGAGTCTTGGGCGATGAAGTTTCTACCTACGATGGGACTACTGCTGTGCTTTTGCAATTCACATTTATTATGTAACTATCTGCCTCAACACAATGCAGTGCCCCGACAGTTGAGGAAGGTCGAGACTCGACAGTTCCGCAATTTTTCTCGCCTTGGATTGTTGAACAGGTTTGCGCTACGGAAGTTGATTCTGGTTGCTTTTCCGCGAGTGCAAACGCATCTCGCCACATAAAACAGATCACAGACGCAGGTCTTCCAATCAAGGAGCGTCGACGACTTCGTCTCGCCCTGCCGTCACGGATCGTAATTCTTTTACCGAGAGCCCAGTGTCTGCGCCTGTACTTGCATCCTGCACCTCAGTCAATCCTGGCATACAAAAGCACCGGCAAGTCTCTAACACAATCCTCCAGCTTGTACTGCGCAAGAACAAAGAGACTGTTACGCAAATGCAGGTCCTGTGTGCAAAGCGGCGACCTCTTGCGAACGCTGCTGTGATGCGTCAAACCTCTTACCAAGCGCAGCAGCTACCAGCTTTCGCAATGGTACAAACACTGATTCTCGGGTATCGTACTGCTTCAAGTCTTCACGTCGTCGTGAAAAGTTACAATTGACAAAAACTTGCTGCAAGTGTCGGCTTCTGTTGCAAGTCTTGTGAATGGAAGTTACCAAGATTCGGAAATCCCCTTTTCCGACAGAGGGGAAGGCAATGATATAAAGACGTCCATCCTACTGGCATTCTTGTCGATTCCTGACCGACAACAGGACAACTCTGCAATACACTTCCAGCTCAAGCTTCTTGGAAAACAAACATGCTCGCTCTCAGTCTCGTCCCGTTGCTGGCAACTTTCGCCACAGCAGCTCAGTATTTCAACCTCATCGGCCTTAGCAACGATGAAGTCCGCATCCCATCAGCCGACCACCTGATCACCTTTGACATCTCCAACCCGGACGCGGACTACGACCAAGGCGGCTCCGACTACGCAACCTGCAAGCTCGAATGGTAAAACATCCCCTTACCTTTCATACCTCTACAATGCTAATATGGGGGAACCCCTAGGGATTCCGAATTCCCCCCAACCTGCTGGACAACATGCAACAGCACCGGACCCGCCTGGTACGCCCGCATCACGCCCTCCTACCCATACTCCTACACGAACTTCTCGCTGGATATCCAGGAATTCTACGAGACGGTCGATGCCCCGGTGTTGAACAACGTTTCCGTGGCGATTGAGAGTGGTGAGTGAGATTGTGTCCCCCGATTTGTATTCTTTGGATGCGAGACTGCTTAACTTTTCTTGTGTGTGTTTTTGTAGGTGCCGCAGGGTATTATTGTTCGAATGGAGCGCAGACGAGTCTTTGTGGGCAGTGGGGTGGGAAGTGGGGGATTTATGGGAGTAATTATAGTTACTATAGTTATGTGGGTGGGGGAGATATAAAGACTCTTTGTTAAGGGAAAGAGATGGGAGCTTCCGTCACAGGATGATTGATTGAAGCAAGATGCTGTCGGATGATGGAAAAGTGTTAGTGATGATGATGGTGAATTGGGAGTAGAACTATCCATCTATGCATTAAGTCAGTATGCTACGAAAGCCACCCCGCTCGTAACGGTCTCTCATCACTGCTTCAAAATCCCCGGCACAAACTCCTTGAACTCCTCCGCAAAGGCACACTGCCTCGTTCTCTCCGTAACAGGCCCCTCCCATTCCTGCCTATGCTTCGTGAAAACTTCAAACTCCGGCTCTGGCATTCTTGGAAACAACCCCAACGCCACCATTGACAGTTCCGGCACCACGGCCGGGAAAACACCCACCGCACTCCCGCAATTCGAACAGAAAGATCTCGGAACCACGTTCCCGTTCCCAGTATCTTCGTCCTGATAAGTCTTGAGGTAGGATTTCGGGTCCACGACGGTGACGTTCTTGGTTGGTAAGGCGAGTATGTTGACGTGTGATGAGCCTGCGAAACGGCGACAATTGAAGCAGTGACAGACGTGACCGTTGGGTTTGTCGAAGAGGCCTTCTTGATTGATGTGGATGGTGATGTTGCCGCAGAGACACGAACCTTTCATGCCATTGTTTAAAGTGCTAGGGTCTTGGTCTGATGGGTTACCCTCGAATGATGGCGCCATTTCGGAGAAGTCTATGTCCCTCGAATTGGAGGATCAGAGCGTGTTGATGGATCTGAACTGTTAGCGAGACGCTCTTGTTATGTTGTATAGGCATGGTCGTTCTCGGTTGACTGGAGGTGGAGGGCGCAGTCAGCTGCGGCTGACGTTCTGAGCACCGCAGGTGGGCCTCGCCTGACCCTTGTCCTATTCAGCTCTGTCCGCCCGTAAGACTAGCTCATTGCAAACCTCAATGGTAACCTTTTGTAATAGAAGCAAATCAGCTGCCGGGATTTGATCGTTGTGTTTGCAGCACTACCAGTCATACTCCCACCACTCAGCCGACATCCTTGTCCTCCTTACCCCTGAGGAGCAGAGAAAGGTGCCTGCTGAATCTGAAACATCCAATCGATTTTCTCCAATATGGCTTTGCGTGGCTTCAAAGAGTTCTCATTCGATTGCTCGGCTATTAGTTGCGGTTGGTAGAATTCCAACTCATTGCGCTGGGCGAAACATTCCCTTGCATAGGTGATTTGACGATGTTTCAAATCGATGTGGAGCGTCACACCATTAGGCCGAACCGAATATCCACATAGGGCAACGTCATTCGTCCAGCCGAAGTCCGATTTGGGAGTCTTCGCCAGCCATGGGTCGAAATTTCGAGGTCATGGATCTTCGCCTTCGACCGACGGACGTCCGTAGCCTTCGGATACAAGGTGTTGTGGACTAGCCACAAGACATTTTGGCGATAGGTCAAAGGTTGAGATTCGCTGCGAAGTAGACGGCAGGTGAGTTTTACGGGTGGTTGGGCCGGCTTGTCGGGAGTGTCGTTACCTTGCACATCGTGGTTGCCTGGGTAGAAGTCCCTTGGGCTGCCCAGGTTTGAGCGTTTGTCTTCATCCTCGATGCGACCGATGAGGAAATGTCGCGTTGAGTAAGTATACAGCGCGGGAGAGGATGAGGAATCGTGACTCTGGTGTGAGGGGATGAAGTCGTGATTCGTGCGGCTCGATGTTGACATTGGAGATCATTATGGCCCCGCTTGAATTCCCTGGGTTAGTGTGGAAAGCTGAATAAAGGTATTCACATGCAGTTGTTCATAATTTGGCAAGCAATCTCTAGGCCTGAGTACGACGTGGATACCTTTGAATCTGTGCTAACTTCATCTTTTTCTCTCTCAGGTGTCCACATGCTTTCTCCAAGGACGGCTTGCGAGACAACGCAGGTCGTATATATCAGCACCAAGATCCTGAGGGAAGTCAGCTAGAATTTCGTGAACAAGAAGAATACGAATTCGGAAATTCGAAGTTCCTCCTTGACTGGTGGCATGGGCAAATGGTCAAAAACGAGCCAGAGCTCTTTCTCCTTTATTTTTCTCGGAAACCACTTGTCAGACGTTGACATCAGTGATATGATGTATCTTCTCTTTCGACTATTTGCCCTTCTAAGAACTCTCCATCTCATGGTCTGAGGTTCGCGCTCGCTTCTAGTCAAAATCAGAATCGTCAGAGAAGTGAGAGCCTCCCAGTCTCGCGTTGTCAGCTCGAGATTCAGTCATCAACCACTCTTCACGGTCGATCACCGGGAGTGCAAGTGATGGAGCATGACTCCCTTCTACTTCGTCCTCCTGGGCAGGTATTGTACTTGGGCGGCTCTGGGCGGAGTCCTGTGCGAATTCGAACCGCGCTGTGCTTCGCCGACGATCTTCTTCGATTTGTTCCAGGGTTCCGATACTGTCGCCGCTACTACTGCTTCGCTCCCCCGCACGCTTTCCACTTCCACGATCATGCTGATGAGCAGCTTCGTCGCGAAAATCCTGCTCTAGTGTACCCGTTGGCTGGTGCTGGGATGAAATACCTTCCAAGCTTGAGGAGCGTGAGTTGTTTCTGGTAATGTGCGATCCGTCTGGATAGACTGAACGATGGTCTCCCTGTTCCGTGTTGTATCCTGGGGAGTCAAGCGGGCGTTCAGGTGTTGCGTAGTCTTCAGCATGGTGAGGCGGACGAGCCGGGTCTTGGAGTTCGGTATCGTTTGATGGCTCAGCTTGCCGACGCCTTTCTATAGCAATAGACTCATCAGTACCAGAGTCGCTGGGATATGGGGTTCTTGGCTCCGCGCGCCAAGGATGATGCTCGCCGGAAGATGATGACCGATTCTGGCGACTATTGCGTTCAATGGCTGGAGTGTTCGAGGGCACAGGACGTAGTACCCCTCGTAATTGCTTACGACAGCAGCTAATGCAACTTCCCATTGAGGACACCGTGGACTATCAGCTTGATGGAGCAGAGAATTGTTGGGATCAACTACCTGCAGTGGATGTCATATAGCATTGCACGGTTTGCTGCAGGAGCATTGGAGTAGGCCCACGCCTTTCGGCAAAAGCAACAAGTCTTCCGTGAGTTGGCGAAGTTCTCCTAGCAATGTAACAGAACAAGGCAGGGGCGCTTTCAGACATTGTAAGCCGACGAAGGATTCAATGCGTTGACGTTTGCCAGTTTTCATCGTCAATGAGTTGAGCTCCAGGGTGTTCCGTTGAAGGCCTGAAAGCGTACCGTGGTTTTGTATCTTTATTGAAAGATCCCCATAGAAGATCCCTTAAACGACAATGTTCAAGATGTCAGTGGAGCATGGAGGCGCTTGAGCTAGCTCTGAAGTCCTCATCTTGGGAACATGGAGCTTCGCATCTCCCGAGTCTTGAGCTTTCTTCACATTTTCGCTGAGAAACAAGGGCCACTTTGTCGATGAAGGCCAAGAACTCACGGTGCAGGCAGCCATGAGTGATGGTGCATGTGACCGGATATGGAGGGGTACCGGGAAGCATTGAAGACTTCCATGTTGAACTTGTCTCAAGACGGTCACGGACCGTGAGTATTTAGTTGGCTCTGACAAGTAGACAAGACGTCGTTTGACGAGAGGCTTCACCAGGTCCGAATTGTTGTCGCGGCTGAGACGATTAGAGTTCGGCGCCAAGACCGAGCTTCTCCGAAATATATCCGCCATCCGACCTCACTTTTATTCTCTGCTCTGTCGAGTAATGTCTTAGGACGCACTCGAACTACTGAACCTCGTCATGTCAGACTCGGGCGATGACCAAGCGGGCGTTCCGCTCATCGAGGATCTCTCAGACTCCCCAGAGCCCCCAAAATCGAAGACTACGAAGCGAAAGAGAGAGCCGGAAGAGGATGGAGTAGAAGAGAGCAAGAAAGCCGCGAAGAAAAAGAAGAGGACGAAGAAGAAGCCACAAGATGTGGACGATGAGGCTTTGGATAGCAAGCTCGGGATCAATCATGCGATCGCGCACATGGACAGCAGGCTGATGGCGGATCATATCGCTCAGAGAACGAGAAGGTTCCGACCAGATGCGAGCTTGGTCGAGATTGATGATGTGAACGTGTCAGGTATGGCGGTCTAAGAGATATGCCGCATGAAGCTTCCTTACTGATTCGGGATACCAGAGAGTGCAATCATGGATACTACAGCTTTCTCGCAAGAGCGCGTCACGGAAAAGCTTCCCGATTTCCTCGAGCAATTTGCTGGTGCGCGGCGGAAGAAGAAAGGCAAGAAGCTTTCAGACGCATCCCAAGAAAAAGGAGCGCCGCACACACTAGTTGTCGCTGGTGCAGGACTGCGCGCTGCAGATCTCACTCGTGCACTAAGGAAGTTCCAGACGAAGGAAAGCATGGTTGCGAAGCTCTTTGCCAAGCACATCAAGCTGAAGGAAGCTATTGAGACGGTGAAGAAGACCAGAATTGGTATCGGAGTTGGAACGCCGCAGCGCATCATTGACCTGATGGAGGATGGCGCGCTCTCATTAAAGCATCTGGAGCGCATTGTCGTCGACGCTTCACATATTGATCAGAAGAAACGCGGAATCCTGGACATGAAGGAGACGCAGGTGCCGCTGGTGCAAATGCTTGTGCGGCCAGAGCTAAAAGAGCACTATGGCAGCGGCGAGGGAAAGATAGAGCTGCTATTCTATTGAGCTCCCCGTGCTCTAGCTAAACTAGATGAGACTGCTGCTGTGCTCGGACTGCTCTGGATAACTTCAGATGCCGGTAGTTGAAGCGCATGTGACATGCATTCGCGCACATGAAAATTCAGTCCGCGCGCACAGCTCACGAATGACTTTCCGCTCGCGTTCATTTTTCCAGCTTCATCAAAGCAAGCACGAATCCTCTCTCATCACCCCCTTCAAGTCGTCACACAACACAAGAGGTCAACAAATATCTGCCGAATCAATAGCAGTCTAAAAGATGCCTACTTCCATCTCGAAATTGATGGCTCTCCCGCTCCTCATGGCACCACTCATCATGGCCGCTGCGACGCCATCTTCCGCTGATGTGTTCGCGACCTCACTCGACAGTGCGTCCAACAAAGTCATCCGTCGTCATGCGTTCAATCTTGCTAACCTCCACAGGCTGCCAGGAATGCTGGGTCAACACGGCCACCCATGCGAGTAGCCCGGCTTGCGGGGAGAAGAATGGCACCTTCATCGACGCTTCCAAGTGCCTGTGCGCGGACGGGAACCAGCAGCTCTTCGCCACGTGCGACAGTCCATGCTCTCAAGAGCTAAGCATCAGCAGCCTCTGCAGCGAAGTCGAGAAGGCGTACGGCGCCGACAACACCAATAATGTTGCGATCATCATCAACGACGCGGAAGATCCATCGGGCGCTTCGACGACTTGTCCTGACAATAGCTACTACGAGGTTTGCTGTTTCTGGGGAGGACCTTGCAGGTTCAGCAATATTCCTGCATAGTGTGAGATGAGTGCGGTACAGGAGAGGAGAGAAAGGCGGAGAGGACGACGTGCTGATACTGAATATGCTGTCGTGAGATTCAAAATCCCGGATTAGTAGCAGATAGTAGTGACAAGCCCTTGCTGCTTAGCCCGAGTCAAGATCGCGTTTGCTGTAGCTGCTCTACCGCCCACTGTCCAGGGCCGTGGCTGACTTTACCAGAATATGGTTGATCTACGGGAAACGTCCTTGAGATTAGGATTCTGAGCTGTGTATTTGAGAGTTCCAGCCATGAGATCGTCCGCAGAGGCAGCAAGCCGAGAATTCCGTCGGATCTGATACCAAATTCCACCAGCAAGTTGAGCCGATGCAGCCCGATGACCCGATGGTGGCCGCGTCGTGCCCAAGACTCCGCTGAGGCCTCAGGAACGTCTCGCTGCCCATTCTGACTGGCCAGGAAAGTCTCAACGCTAGTCAATGTTCGTAACTCTAAATTTTTGCATGTGAATGGGATGAGCTGAGGCCGTGTGACTTTCACGTAGACTTCCCAAAAGGCCTTGAGCTTGCCAGGATCTTGCTAGAGTCCCTTTCAAGACTTCCAGCATGTCTCGCGGCCTGCTCTGACTGGCAAGGAGACTCTCAACGCTAGTCAATGTCCGTAACTCTAAAATTTTGCATGTGAATGGGATGCCCGAGGCTACAGCAATGTCTACATGGACTTTCAAAAGGCGCAATGCACGACCGTATCAGGGTCGTAACTTCCCCGGCACGCCGTACATCTAGCTCTCGGGAAACTGACTGGCCAGACAACTCTCAACGCTAGTAAATGTTCAAAACTTTAAAATTCTGCATGTGAATCTCGTGCCTGAGGCAGAATCGTGACTTTTCTGTTGCTGCGCATCAAAGCCGTGACTCTCATAGCGGGTCGTTATTAGAAAGATGGCGATTGCGTGGGCATAGTGGATTTTCCAATATATTCTGCAAATGTTCAGTCCTTCATTATCGAGTCCTTCTGTCTTCCGTGCAAATTACCCACGCTTATCCCAAGTCACGCCGGTCGTAATGGTACGATTACGAATCTTGCCGTACAATCCATCCTCGAGCGACTATAATTAATCTCACACCGTCTAGTGTGCTTCTATGGCTTCCAAACTCTCCTTTATCCTTTGTCACTCATTCTCCTTTCTCCGGGCAAGCGCTCGTCCACCCCCTCACGTCTTCCTACTGCGTCTTCGCCATCTCCAACACCTGCTCTCTCCCCTTCTGCCGCATCTCCCAGGTCACTCCCTGCTGTCTCCACAACTGCAGTGCTTGACCCAGAGAGTTCTTGTCCTCGCCCATCAATCTAGCCGTCCCACAATAGAATCCCTCTGCCGTAGCTGTGCCGCCAATATTGCAACGTCCCAAAGTGCGGCATCTGGCCAAAGCGTAGGCGATGAATTGTTGAATGCCTTGCAAAAGCTTCGGGCTCATGAACGCTTTCGCGAGAAGAGCGGAGATGGAGGCACGAACTCGCGGCTGGACGTGCACGAGCGGGTTTCCGTATTTATCGCAAAACGAAACGGTGAAGCTGGCGACTTTCATGTACCCGCTATCTGAATCTCGCATGAAGCTGAGGTGACCATTGTCGAAGTCGAAATAGAGACTTCGGATCAGCTTCGCGTGTGCGCTGCCCATCCGCTGAAGCCAATTCACGGCGCCTAGGTCTTTGTGGATGGCGAATAGGGGCGAGATGGTGATGATGAAGTCTGTCGAAGCGTAATAAATTGGTAACGACTCGGAGAGGATCTGCTTGTTGACGTGACAGAGTGCCGGTGTGGTGGAGAACGCGCTGAGAGGGTAGACGGGTTTGGAGGAGCGGGCGCCGATGCAGAGGTTCCAGATTCGGGCGCGCAAATCGGCTGGAAGGTCGAGGATTGTGGTGGGCATCTGGAATGCGAGGTCGAATAAAATGTTAGCTTAGGAGAGTATTCTTGGAAGATGCTATTTCGCACGCTCGTGGACTGAATGACCGAAGGCCTTTTCCACGCAGGCGAATTGCCGGCCGATGCGCAGAGGTGTTATCTTTAGAAGTCGAGTCTGGAACCTCTTTGTCGTCTGTATGTAGCAAAGCGTATGTCTCGTCAGGTAGGTTGATCGACGTTGTGAGACTTGAACTCGCAAAAGCGCGACAAGATTTAGACTTTTTACGCACGGACTAGAAAATCAGATGATTCAAACCGTGGTAAATGTGGGTCGCCAAGAATTCCAACCTCCTCAGACAGGTGAATGAGCGAGACACGACTCCGCCACGTTATTTATTCCACCATGATTTCACGTTTTGCGGTCTTCTTCCTTTCAACATCCACTCCCTCCGAGCAGAGCAGACATGCCCTCCACCTTCTTCGACCTTCCTCCGGAGATTCGCATTTCAATCTACGAACTTAAGCAGCTCCGGAGGGAAGCTATCCCAGTATTCTACGCCATCAATAAGTTCCGCCTCGACTTTAACATCGTGCACCTCTACCGACCTAGAATCATCTTCCGGTAGTTGAGCGCAATTGGCAATTATAAAGGGGGCCTCATCAGAAGCTTGATGGCAGTGGGTAGCGAAGGAGAGAGAGCTCCATCTGCCTCGTCCGTCAAAGAGCGCGAGCATGAAGAAAGCAAGATTCCAACCTTTGCTCCGCGCTGCTCCCCGTCTGAAGTCGAGAGCAGTGCCTCGGTTCTGTGTCTTCCGATACACCTTAGGTGTTTCTGAACTTCTCAGGAACTTCAGCGCCGATGTCTCGAGCGGTGGGCGGAGAGCGGGTCAGAAGCTTCCAGAGAGTTACGAGAGTGAGAGGTAGGATCAGGACAAAGCAAAGATGCGGGGCAATGCATACATAATCTTTGGCAAAAAAAAAATCACAAACAGTGATCCGGATTCCCCGCGGGATTTCCCCACCAAGTAGGAAAAGCATGAGATTTCCCGCTCGCGCCGAACACGGCAAAGGACAAGATGAAAATCACCAACTGTACACCTCCATCCAGCGCCGCACCGATCAGATAGTTATACTTGTTGAAAATTTCCGGAAACCTCTTCCGCAGGTACACCTGTGAGAAGAACCCGACGGCAATCGTGGACCAGATCCAGCTCGTGCTGCCGACGTAGTACAGGCCCGAGTAAGCCGCGATGATAGCCGTGTTGATCGGTACATCTCGCAATCTTGGAACGAGCTTGATGAGGCCCCAGTGGAGAGCTGGAAGTGCGAGGCCGATGACGAGACCGAGAGGGACGATGATGTATCGGCCGTGTGCACCGTAGATTTCCTTTGCGAGGGCCCAGGTGATGGCTTGAGAGTTGAGACTTTGCATGTTCGCGCCGCTCCAAACACTATTTCCAATAGGATTGAGGAGGATCTCTCTTTTTGAATTGACGATCGTGATCATGATGGCGTAGTTGAGACCGGCGCCGAGGAGAGTGGCATAGATTTGGGTCCAGAACATGATGCGGTGAGGGACCTAAGCAGAGGCGTTAGCAGACTAGAAAGAAACTCAGCAGAGCGGAGGCATGCTTACCTTTGTGTACTGTCCCACCTTCAACCAGTTGGCCAAATTCACAGCCAGCAGAATGACCTGATGCGACCACGACGCAAAGTACAAATTCGCCAATGGTCGTCCGGGATGTACGGCTCCGGCCACCATCTTCGAAATCAAATTCGTGCTAACTCCAGTTCCGTACAGTCCGTACAGGATGCAGGAGAAAGGCGCAATGAAAGCCCCCAGTAGAAGCGAGATGATGTATCCCCAGACTGGAAGACTCGTCTCGCCTTTCGCGTTGACAATGATACCGGCGACGAAGCACAGCACGAACAGAGTCACGTACCACCAATATGGCACTTCCTTGTAGCGGAGCATAGCTTGGTAGTGAGGATCTGGTTGGGCGCGATTGCGAGCTTCTTTCCAAGCGCGAACCATGTCTTTACCGTAGAAGATTGTGACATGTGTGATCAGAGCACCGATGGCGACTGTCTGTGTGAAGTAGCCCCAAACCGAGCTCGAGGTCAGATGCGGAGTGCCGACTTCTGCCAGCTTCGCGTAGTCGACGATGTTATCGGCGTTGACGATAGAAGTTACCTCGAGCACTGTGCCGTTGCTCTGGAATAGAGAGCTCGACATGAACGGAAATTTCTTCGCATTCCAGACATTTCCATAGAAGAGTGCGGCCATCATCACATACCAGATTCCGTAGCCGATCCAAGTGTTGACTTGCTGCTTCAGTGGCAAAGAAAGGTAGAGACTCTGGATATACTGCCAGTCTAGCGAGAAGTTGAAGAGTCCCAAGCCCTCGTTGGAACTGGCTCCGCCGAAGATGGTGGAAAAGACGGTACGCGTATTCTCTGGTGCATTGATACTGGCAAGGCAAAAGACCGAAAGACCTCCAAACCAAGTGACAATATATGCCGGGAAAATCTCCCACAAAGCAGCCGCCCCAAGAGCCCATCCGAACTTCTTCAGACGATCTCTGTTCTGCTTCCGATCAAGATGGAGGTTCTGGTAAAGCACAACCTGTGGCAGGGTACTCCAATAGACCATCTCGGCTGGATAGACGATAAGTGGTCGAAGGATGCCAGCCAGAACGAAACCGCAGAGCGAGATGGAGAAAGTAGCCAGAACGACCGTAGAAGCAGACACGGTTCGATCGTAGAAGAGGCGCTCGACAGCGTACACTTCCACGCCTGCAAGTCCGTTGTTTCCCGAAGAAGCAATGAGAGCGGCAACAACGTGTTCCTTGATCCCGAAAGGCTGACCGAAATTAAGGAAAGTTAAGAGCCGTTGAAGCGAAGGCCATTTGAAGCGAGTTGGTTTAGGAGTGAAGATAGCCCAGGCTTCTCCAAAGACGAAGACGAGAACTGCGAGAGCATTCAGTCAGACTTGGCCATCAGCGCTATGCCGTGGAGAGAGGGAGACTCACGCTGTATGAAGACCGCCGATACCTGCACCTGGACTGGCTTGAACTCATACAGCATCGTGATGACACTCGAGAGAGCCGTGAAGATCGATCCAAGGACGATTGCGCGAAACGTGAGTGCGGGATCGCCATTATCCTGCGTTGATATGAGGAAGCGCGAGACATCGAGGCCTGCGTGATCAGCCAACAAGAAGTGATCACTAGCGGAAGAGATGACTCTCACCGTTCTTGATGACAGGATGTCCCTTCACGTACTCCGCCTTGTCTGGTTCGGGAAGGATTGGCGACTCGGGTCCGTCGTTGTCGAAAGCGGCAACACTAACAATCTTCTTGTCATTACCGTCCTCGCCGACCTGCACGGCGCTGGTCTTGGCGACATCTGCCATGGTTGCTTTGTTGGAATCCTGTCGGGTAAAGTCGAGAACCGAGAAGCTTCAACAAGCTTCCCTCCTTTAGTACTGTATCGCTACGCGGTGCGACAGCGGGGCATCAAGAATGCCAACGCGATAATAACGTGCCATTGCACCGTGCTGACCACCTTTCAAGCCTGGGCCGATCGGCATGGGAGGGACCACAGGGACGAAGCGCAGCTCGCCGCCAACGGGATATGACAAAGGAAATTTTTCCCTCTAGCTGCGTTGACGTGATTTTGGTCCCGGGTGTCGCACAGAGAGTCCGGGCTGCCGCTATCGCGGCCGATAAGCCGGGAACAATCGTAAGAACAGCGTCTCAAATGCTGCCAGATGCAGTAAAAAACATTCATGTGAATGACTTCACAGGTCTTGCGTTTGGAAGTGCTCACAAGATCGTAATCCACTCGAGTAAAGTATGCTTTCTCCTCCACCAATAAGCGTCACGAAGTTCTTGCCGCGCTGTACATCTAAAGCAGACAGATTGATGACCTGATATTCTTTTTCATTCGCAAGCTGCAAATTGCAACCGAGACTTGATTGAGTGACATGTGCAGGGTAGTCGTACCAGATCCAGTCTTCTTGTATTTCACTTGCGGAGTGGTACTTTTCGCATTCTCAGAGTAGACACCAGAGAAAGCGACGCTAGACTCTGCTTAAGAGAGACCCATGACTGCTCCGTCGATAGTCGCTTTGAAACGCGTGTCGAACGCGTGTCGAATACGACTCGCGCACCAGTTCTCAGAAGAGCATCGGCAGCCAGGTGCGTAGAGATCGGGCTGATTTCTAGACTGCCATCAGCACGAGGCACAACAGCGAGAAGTCCCCCAAGAGCATTGCTAGCGAACGTGGAGTGCTGGTAGTGCTCCGAGTGGTTGTGCCAGTCCTGCGACCAGCCATTTTGGACGGGTAGTGTAACTCAGCGACATAAGGTATCCCGTTCTTGAGTTGTGTGATGGCGAAATTGTGTAACAATTTAACGTATTGGTCGGCAATACATCCGCCCGTCCGATTGATCGCTGCAAGCGAGAAAGCCAGGTGCGCGATGATAAAAGACCAGTTTCTGCCTCGCGAGAAGCAGCAGCCAGCTTCGCACCGTTGTAGAATTCATTCTCCACTTCCAGTGTTGTAGGATAATATTCCGTACGGAAGACGTTTGGATCAAACAAAGCATTCACACTCAGCTTTGTATATTTGTCGTCCAGTCCGATGCCATATCTAAACGGAAAGAGACCAACGACCTCACGACCCTGTACCTCTCCTGGCCCCGGGCAGTTCGGTCTCTCTCGGTCGACGAAATTTGCTAGCTGTCATGCGACACACTCCGGTACATAGTCAACCTCAAGGAGTTCGCATTTCCAGTGAAGTCCGAGGCAAGATTGCTGTTGCCCACAGCATTTGCGACGAACGCAATTTTCTCCGCGTTCGCTACCATATACGCATTATGCGAAGGTGGGTAAGTATTATTGCCCTCTCGCGGCTCAATGGTGCACGAGGGGTGCGCCGCCTTCTGAACAGACCAGGGCAAGCTGTTTTCTTGTGCGTCGTAATTGGTGCTGTACCGGTAAAGACCAGGGTCGTCGTCGAACACTTCGTCCTACAGATGCCAAGTCCGCACCATGCCATCAAGCTGACTATTGGTGAATTGCGCATTGCCCGAAATCTGGAGGGCGCTGTCAGAAAAGTTGGGTTGCTGCCTCAAATCCTTGTACCCACAGTGGCATCCTAACATAGCCTGTAAGATCCAGTGAGTGTCATAACTAGAGCCCCCAGATTCTCTGGTGTGTGTGCATCCAGAATAGAGTTTACGTGACGTCGATGCAGGATCCGCTAGAAGAGGAGAACAGCTGCTTCATCCTTCTCGCCTAAATTATTAGCCCTATCATTGTGACCGGAGACCTGCAATGTGACCTCCTAGATTCGCAGGTCGGATAGAAGCCGTCGCCTTGAGAGAGGGTTTATTTGCGAAGCTATCCATGAGCCCAAAGCTAGCTTGTGGTCGCGAGTGAGTGTGTTTGATCGTAGTGAAGTCCATGAGGAGCACCTCAGGCCGTCAACTCTTCTCGGGCTATGGGCATGCGCGATGTATTAAAGAAGATCCATTTCTCGAGCCTCTGAAGCGTTTGTAGACTTTGCCATGGGACTAAGCAATGAGAGGCCTTCCGGTAATGTTCTCTGCGCTGCTTCGGCGAGGCGGCGTGATACTCCAGCGGTCATCGCTTTGGCTCGCCCGAAAGCTCTACAAGGCGCTCTTTCGTGGGCAACTCTGCACGTATGTCGCCGGCAGGTAGCTCCGCCAAAGTGCCCGTCTTTCTGACAGACGCAGGATGGTCGCCGGGCAGTTCGGCCTTGGAATGGGCAGGCAGCTCGTTACGCTCGGCAGAGTCGGCTTCAGATACTCCAGAACGATTGTGGGTAGTAGCTCCATCAGATCGATAGTATGACGATGCCGACTTGCGATTTTGTGGGCACGTTTGGCTGTCGTTCTTTCGATGCTCCTTCACGAACGCCTGCCGGGCTTCTTCGGCGGTGGGGAACTTGGCGGCGTCTTTGTTCTTATGGCCAGCTGACAGGCTGGTGACGACCAGTATCGCTTTCCCGAAGACCATTGCCGGATGGGGGGATATCTTAAGCCGTGTTTCGCGTTAGTGTTGTTGTTGTTGCTGTTGTTGTCAGAAAGACGAACTGGACCATTGGGGAAGCGTCCGAGAAAAGTCGAAGATCGGCAGTATGAGATCTACATAGTACCAAGGACCATCTTCTTGCGTCACCGCCCAACTTCTGGATGAACATTACATGTATCCTCTTCAACCTACATGTATATTACATTCAGCTCTCACTTGCATTGAGGATGCTCGTTCACGTACCATTTGCCCGACTATTGCTCTAAGCCCACAATCCATGCTAGACGAGGAGCAGGGGAGCATTTCCACCTCCGTTGTACCTCACGTCATCTCCTCAGCACCATACAAAGTAAGGTAATCACCCATCAGCATGTCGAACGCGTGGCAAGAATATCGGGATCGCATATCAGGAGGCTGGAAATGCATCTCGTATGAAATGTTCAAGATTTCCGGAGCGGAGAAAACACTCGTCGCCAAACCACATGGCGAAACTCCGCTCGGCCGCGTCTATATCTCACCCCAAGGCTGGCTCGCCGCTCATCTCGCCCGGCCAGAACGAATGGAGAAAGCGAAATCAGACCAGCCGTGGCAAACGGCGTCTGACGAGCAGGTCGCTTATGTTGGTCGTGGGCTGGCCATGTATTGCGGCGCCATGCAGCTCTTCAAGAATGACGATGGCTCTTTGTACTGGCAGACCAAGGTCGAAGTAAGCACCGGTATGTCGTGTGACTGGACTTGGAATCGCTGAGTGGCGCTGCTTGCTCATCAGACGCCATTGGCAGATCCGAATCGAATGGGCGGCATCGAAGAGCGGAAAGTGATTCTGTCACATGAAAATGGGAAAGAATATATGACCTTGGAGCCGAAGCAAGATATGCTTCTTGATGTGGGTGAGACGACAAGATTCGAGCAGTCGAAGCGAGCTGAACATATGTACAGGACGGTACGCCGACTAGAGCGATCCTCAAGTGGGAGAAGTTCGAGTAGACGAATACGACTCAGACTAAGATGCACTCGTCGCCTTCCATCGACTTACGACACACTGTTGTCGAACAGTCCGGGCTGGACGTCCGAGCTGCTAATGAGCATCACATCTTTCGTATTGGTATACGAAATCGAAGTCCGCTAAAAGCCAAGTACAGCATCAAGATTGTACCACCCTCCACTAGCATCGCTTCCACCCACCACTTTCCTCCAATTCTTTCGGCAGCTGACGAATCGCTGCTGGTACCTTCACAGGCCTCCTGAGCTTAGCTGCTATAGCGCGGAGATAGTTGTTTAGACTCGGCGCCATGAGCTTTGCTCGAAGGATTCGGCTGCGCTGAAGACGTAACCTGAAGAGCGAGACATAATCCTTCCTTATTTCATTCAGCTCTGGAAACACTACATAGCGTCTCTCACCGGAACCTGAAAAGACGAGCGACCTTCGCACCTCTGGCAGCCCGTCGGTCCTCCAAGGAAACGAGCCTACGAAAGACGAAGCCGCTCACGTTACTCCACTAGACTATTTAGAAAGACACCCACCCACCCATCCAGCAACCACCTCCAAAAACAAAATGCCCCGAGAATACGCCCAATCCTGGCTGGAGTGGGAAGCTGCCTCAGGCGGCCGAGCCGTCCTCAAAGGCACCGTCGAGGAAATCAGAGCCATGTCCGACAACCTCTCCCAAGCGCTCCTGCCCATGCTGCCACCCTTCACGGACAAAGTCACCGTCCAAGAAAGCGAAATCGAAGGCACCAAAGTCAGAATCTACAACCCCAAGGGCACTTCGGGACCTCTCCCGACCGCCATCTGGACCCACGGTGGCGGCTACATGCTCGGGGATCTCGACACCGACCACCACCTCTGTGGTCTCGTCTCGGAACAGACGAAATCTGTGGTTGTGAATGTAGATTATCGTCTAGCGCCCGAGGCGGTCTGGCCTGCGCAGTTGGAAGATTGCGTCAAAGTATACAAATGGGTAAGCGAGAGTCTCCAAATCTTCCCCTGCCATGTTCAATTCCATCAACGCTGAATACATTCCTTGTCCAATCAAAGGCACATAGAAATGCGCCTTCTTTCTCCAGCGATCCCCAGAAATTCTACACCATAGGCGGCTCAGCAGGCGGCGCTCTGGCCCTGCAAACCGCAAACCAAATCCTCCGTGACCCGGATCCGGCCCTCAGATCCTCCCTCAAAGGCATCTGTGCCCTGGTGCCCTCCACGGCACATTGGTATTCCATCCCGTCGAAATACGCTTCCACATACACCGCTTATTCCGAAAATGCATCCGGCGTGCCGATTATTGACAGAGAAAGCATGGAGATCTTTTTTAAGTACGTACTCTCCCAACCTTCCCTACCTCCCTCTCTCTCTCTCTCTTTTTCGCTGGTACTAATAGCCTGTTCCTTACAGAGCCGTAAAAGCCGACCCACAAGACCCTTCCCTGTTCACTCTCCTAGCGACGGATATCCATCCTTCGTTCCCTCCCACCTATTTCGCGAGCTGCGAATTCGATCCTCTCAGGGACGATGCGTTCGTGATGGAAGCAGCGCTCAGAGACGCCGGTGTCCCGACCAGACATGATCACTATAAGGGGTTTCCGCATTACTTCTGGATTATACCCGCTGTGCCGGAGGGTCGGGAATTTATTGGGAAGTTGATGGATGGGGTGAGGTGGTTGTTGGGACAGATGTAGGGGGGAGTGTGTCTGGCGTGTGGTGAGCGAGGTTTTTCAGATGGACGAGAGTTTTTGAGAAATATTCGACGGTCGGTAACCTTGCTTTCGGCCTCGTCTCGGCTCGCTCAAGCATTCAATAACATGCCGTCTGTCTGTTCTTGCTTTCTTTCAATCCTCTAACATCGTCCATCGTCACGTTGAAAGCGTTTTCCTTCATGCGCGCTAGATTCCTACCCTGCCTTGCGGCCCTGTTGATGATGACTTTGGCCTGCTAAAGGCTCTTGTCCATATGCCTGGATATGAAAGCTCAGCCAGAATGTATTCGTGAGCTTAGGTCAACTGAGACTTACAGGAATGGACGCGGCACGCCAGGGGACACTCCATAGAATTTTGCAAAGGGTAGGGATCAACAAGATCGCAACGTCGAACTGCAGTGTTGGAGAGATAGATTTATGTTACTGCTTCTGTCCCGTCGCATATAACGCTTTTCGATAAGACGGTTAGTCCATTTCCACTTCTCCGGAGGAGCTAGTTGCTACGTTGCCAGGCTTGAATCCGAAGGTCCGGTTGTATATTCATGAACCATATCCTGACTGGGTGAACGATCGCTGTGCTTTGCTAGAAGATGCTGCACACCTTATGATACCGGATCAGAGCCAGGGAGCTTCTCAGGCGAAGTGAAATGCGGGAGCGTTGGGGATTGATTCCGGCGAAAAAGTCACTGCTTTGGATGTTACTGAACGGCTGAAGGTGTATGAACTTGAGCGGAAACGTCGTCGCAGAGAGTCTTCGTCTCCGTCTCACGAGCAATTGAGTCGATGGCGACCGGAACATTTTCATCTACCCCAAGCGAAATTCAGGGCCAGGAGGGGTCCAGAGTCTTTTCACTTCTGAAACAAAGCGAGACCAGGTACCGCTATCTCAGCGAGACTCCTCATCCGATCCTCATTTGAGCCAAACGCAGCAGCGCGGCCGAAATCGTTTTCGGCGAGGAGGTATTAGGCTGATGGCACACAAGATGCTAGTCTGCAAATGGCGAAGTAGGTGTTGGCTGAGCAGACCCCCTGCGAGATCAGATGCGATGCCCAGACGGCATAGTATCGGATTCTTCGACCAAAGCATGGCTGAGAATGCAAAACAGCAACGCGCTAGTGTTCGGCAACGACAAGCAGATGGAGAATACCCCGTGAAGTAGAGGTACCTAGTATCTGAGTGCGATTCGATGTGGTGGGGTGGATCCGGGAGACTCATATCGAGGAATGATAGACTTGTGTTGGAAGTTGCAGGAGAAAAGTGTATCTGTGTATCCATAATCTGTGCTCATTCACCTGCATGTTCGTGTTTCAAAAATAGCTGCGACGACGTCATGGCGGGCTGGCCCAAGCGTGGCGGCTCTTCCCGCAGGACTCCGCCAGGCCAGGAGCCAGGATACTGTACACGGACGGACTTCAGCATACGATACGCTACGCCGATGACAACTACAACGACAGGCCCTCACTTGCACCATTCTGTAATTCTTAATCGACACCCTTCGAGATACACGACCATCTCCGCCTTGCAACGCCAACTCCTTGCCCCTCCAGCGCGGTGCAACGAGCAGTCAGCCTTGGGCGCCCGAAGCGACTTACGTGGACTTGCTGTTACAGCTCAGCATTGCCCTGCGCCCCGACTTGTACCATCGGCGTACACTGCCGCGCCATATCATGATTCCCTCGCTATAATCGACCATAACACGTCTCACATGCCCCCACCTACGGCCGCCGGCAATGTCGCGTAATAACCAGACACCGCAGAACCCCATCTCCTTCAAGACCGTGCCCGGCCGTCATCGCACCCAGAAATGGAGCAAAGCGCCCACCTACAGCTACGAGGGTGATGACTGGGGTGGTTATGATCCCTACGATGAATATGGTGGACCAGATGAGGAGCCTCCGCCACCTGTACCCTCAATGTCTCCCTACTCCGCTCAGCAAGGCAAGCCCCGAGGTCGACAGAGCTTCGACCGTGGTGATGAGGCTCGACAGTTCAGCGCGCCCGCGGGCTCCGCGTTTCCGTCCTTCGACCCGGGAGAACGCGATCAGCGACAGATGAGCGCGGGTCCAAGCAGTGCTACCAGCGTAGAGAGAGGCAGCACTGATCTCCCCCGAAGTGGTAGTCGACCGCGAGACTTTACCAACCCCGACGCGGCCCCTCCACCGCTCATGACAAAAGCTGCTGCACCGCCAGCACAATGGTTCCCACCGCGAAAGAGCAGTCTGCGTGGCGATACTCCTGAATCTCGAGCGCAGGCGGAGGAAGCGCGAGCAATAGCTGCTGCCTTGGGAGAAGCTCCCCACACAAGTCCTGTGACAAACACGGACAAGCCATTGCCGTTCATCAGGCCGAGTGACATTTATAAGAGGATACCGGATGAGATCAGAAGGCAGTCTGAGGAAGGCTCCAGACCGTCAACGGACTCTCTGCAGAGAGAGGTTTCGCCCTCACAGCCCGCTTTGACGCCAGTGGAAGAGAGCAGGGAGTCGAGGCTTCTTGCAGGCTATGAGGTGCCGAAAATTGACACCGACGTTCGCAAGGCTGCACCAGAGCGGACGTTGAGTCCAAATTCGAGAAGCCAGTTGCCATCCATTGCTGCAGCTCGTTCTCGGGACGCTAGCCCTGCGCCGAGAAGCCAGCCTCCAAGCTTGCAGACTGATTTCAACAGCGCTCAACGGGGATCGAGCACGAATTCATCTTTGCCCGAGCAGCAGTTCCCTAGTTCGGGTGCCGCAGTCGTGGAGACAAACAGCCAATCGGACATGCAAGGTCACGACGCTCATAGCGTTGCGGCGAGGGTATTCAATGCGCCTGTGCTGAACAGTGCAGCCGCAGCTCCAGCGAGCTCAATCCAGAACACACCTACCACTAGCAGGGCTTCTGCCCATGATAGACCCGTAGGTGCTGATGCCGAGCCGAATACAATCGGTCTGCAGCATCAACCTTCTGCGGGCTTTCGTTCTGCTGTGCACCAAGCATTTGACCGACCCGACGACCCAAGTTTGTCACGAGATGGATCACAGGGAACCAGCAGCGGCGTAAGCAGAAGTGACACGAATTCTACCGCAGGGATCAGCCCGATCATGAGCCGCGTGCCCTCAGCTGCCACGGCACAGCTTCGACAGCAAAAATTGGACGGACAAGTGCCACCGATTGCGGAGGAGTCCACGGTTACACCTACGGGCTCTCGGCCAGGATCAGGGTTACAGGGCATGCAGCGCATTGCCCGAAAGCCCTCTCCTGGCCATAGTAGAAATGCTAGTGGTGAGGAGCACCCCGGCCTTGAGTCGGGCTATAGGAGAAGTCTTGACCCTCCCTCGAACGGAACTTCTCCTGCCAGGACACCTGGCTTGCAGACGACGGCTAACAGACGCCTGAGCACTCCTATGTCTGCAGTCACAATGGTGGGACATGACGATCCCGACGTTCCCGAGCCTGAGCTGCAGCCTGCTAGCGAGGTCAGTGCAATTCTTGACCTTGAAGAACCGGTTACGTCGAAGCCATTGCCCAGCGTCGGCAGAGGCAGGAGTGGAACGGACTACAGCACTCGCGAAGCTGACATCGCCGACACTGTCAATTCGTCTCCTGATAAAGGTGTAGCTTCGCCTAACATTGCACAGGCGCAAAGAGACAGTCAGAAGCTCTTCCTCGACACACATGGAACACCGGCTTCGCCTCCGAGCCCTGCAATCAAGGAATCTAACCGGTCAGTGACTGGAATGCCAACTCATGGCAGTAGAGCAGGAAGTCCAGCCAAGGGTCGCGTACGGGAGATTGCCGACAAGTTTCACGAAATACATCAAAATTCGCGACGCAACTCTGCTGCGTCTGTGGCGTCCTCTCAATCCAGCTGGAGTCAATTTGGGGATGCACCAAAGGTGAAGCGACAAGGCACATCACAGTCTCAGTTGGCGACGGATAGCGGTATCGCTGACTCGGGAGAGCCAGCTAGGCCCGAAATTGGGAGAGAGGAGTCATTCAGGCCCGATCTGCCTGGCGGTTGGATAAGTACAGCTCCAACGCCGGGAATAGAAACTCCTCCCGAACAAAGCGCCTTGAACACACGCAGTCCTCGAATGGCCACGGAAGATGGAAAAGTTGACCTCACGCCGACCACTAAGAAATATCGACTTTCACAAGGCCACGTCGCTGGCGAGTCTAGGCCTGTTCCAACGGACAAGGCCGGAAACAGTGCCTTCGACGCTGTTAGGCATGCAGGTGATCAACTTGCCGCATCGTTACTGGGAAACGTCGGCATCGGCCACCAGACACGAGATTTTGTGTCGACAGAACCTGCGGCGCCTGTTGATCAGCCAGAAATGCAGCCGAAGCCTGAGCGCGGTACGCTAGGACCCCACCCGCCACTGTTGCGTCAGGAGACTGACAGCACAGAAGCACCCAGCTCTGTCGCGGCTTCTATACCACCATCGCCTCCAGTCCAGGACACGCCGGAACAAGATGCGCTTGACGTGACCGGTGGTGGGTATTTTGACACTGTTGCACCATTGCGAGTGCGCTCTCGCGAGTCGTCCCCCCAACGTGCAGGATCTCTCACCCAGCGACCAGCCGTTTTGCCAACCTTATCCACTGACGCAGACGCAGGTGGCTTTGAAAGCGACCGCTTGCGCAGAGAGATTGCACGCAGCTTGGATTCTATCAAACGGGAGGAGCTTGAGCACCATACTATGCTCGAAGATACCGAACGAACGCAAGATGCACTCGATGCACCCGGTAACGAACGCCGAGTGGAGCAAGAACGTCCTACTATACCAGCTGCGGAGGCAGATCCACCTAGACCGGGGCTCTTGACCACCAGGTTCAGTTGGGAAGATAAAGGCGATGGCCAAACGCTACCGAAGGTCGTGGAACCTGTGCCCGAACCGGCTAGCCCAGAGATCAAACCTGAAGCCGCGTATGAACGGCCACGCAGTCGCAATCTCCATGTCATGAATGCGGACGCTTCAGACTCGCCTGTGGAAGAGAGTTCGCCTATAATGAGGGAGCCACATTTCGCAACAAACGCTTTAATGGGCTCACTTTCAGCTGGCGGGGCCTCTGATACCGCGAAAGGGGTGTCCCCGATCACCAAGGGCCAAGAGCATCTTCTCCCAGAGACCATCGTCCAACCTGGGAGCCCTTCTGAATCTCTCAGAGACCTTGCGCCGTCACCTCTCTCAGAACACGCAGAAGATCTCACTGGCGCAGCCTGGCGGCTCCCGTCCTACTACGCGGGCGAGCATGACCAGGAACTATCGCATGCCCCCGAAAAGGATCATACTAATGCCTCGGCCATGTCGCAGCCATCAATCCCATCATTACCAAAGTCAGCTGGACCAATACCGCCTTTCCGGAATATTCTAGCGTTGAAAACGAGCGACGAGAGGATCAAGACCTACAATGACACGAGACAAACCTTCGCTGACATGCATACTGGGTTGAACGACTGGCTGAGTCAGATGCTTGCCGCACATCCCGAACATGCGGAGGCCCTGTCCTCGGGTGTTTTGAAAGCACCGGCACTGCAGTCACAAACATCGAATTTCAAGCGTGGACATCGACCCAGTCCTAGCCTGGCCAAGCTCACCAATCGATTTGCGTCGGGTGAACGTCAGCGATCGACGTCGGTGGGCACCACAGAAGACGGCCCAGGACCATCTGCTTCCGCGAGCGCCGGTGGCTCTCGCATCGACACCGAAAAGATGCAGCAACGAGGCAAGGACTTCATGAAGTCTGCTGGCGTTTTCGGTGGAAAGGCGCAAGCGGGCGCCAAGGGGCTATTCGCGAAGGGCAAGAGTCGATTCGGCAGTACCAGGGGAAAGACTGGAAACGAGGTAGAGTGATCCCCTTCTCTTTTGGAAGTCTCTCCTCCACCACACAAGCACCTTTGCACTTCATCTGTATATCTTTAAGAGGCCTTCCCCTCCATTTTGAGAGCTCTAGCGTTGTGAGATGGAGATGTGCTTGTGTCGTTCCTCTTGATGCTCACTTTTCTGTTGCTGAGACTTCTTATCGCACCAGGCATCTTGAACGAAACTGGGCGCGGGAGAGTTTCTGTAACGGCAGTGGCGTCGAGAGAAAGCATGGCATCAGCATGGCAGGACTGGAACAAATTGTTTTGGGATTCTGTACGCTCTGGTTGAGATCAAGAACACCACAATACCCTACATTGCTTTCTACTACGTTATTTTCCGCACACAATCGTTCATCATCATTCACACCGCTCAACACTGTGGGGAATGTAAGCTCATTGGTAAGTAGGCTCCTCCTTCATCGCTGCCTCCGTCTTCGCCCTCGTCTACTGTTTTCCGGATGGTTCCTCCCGCTGAAACGATTACCACTTCACCCCGCGAGGTCGTCGGGCCTAAAAGTCCGCTTGCGATCCCTGTCATCCCCAGTGCTAGGAAGAGGGAAGCTGAGAAGAGGCAGGAGAAGATGGTTTCTGCTAAGCCGAAAGGAGGGGAGGAGACGAAGGTCTCGCCGCCGACTATGGTTGATTCTATGGACCTGCTTGGCCAGAAATCTGCCGGAGATGTGGATGCGAGGCCACCTCTGCTGGCTACTCCCTCCCTCGGAGATACAGAGCTCTTCTCACAACAGACCTTTGCTGTCGCCGGCGTTGCACCTCCGGCCATGGATCCGCCTACTCATACCGTCTCCAAAGGTCCAGTCCCGTCTCCTAGCCCCAGTCCCGGACATCGAACGCCCACTTCCAATCTCTCCAGGCAACCTTCCACTTCCACTTCCGGCGCGAGTCCTTTCCGTCGACCGAGATCGGGGACCCCGTCTGTCAGAAAGACGGAGAGTAAAAGGCCGATCAGCCAGGTTTTCGAGAGATTGAAAGATAAAGGAAGGTCTTTGAGCAGGGGTTCGACGAAGAGTGAAAAGAGTGGGAGAAGTCGGAGTCGGCCTGCGAGCTTGGTTCTTACGAATCCGGATCTACTGGAGGCTGAGGCTGAGGCTGAGCGTGAGGATGCTGTTGGCAACCTGAAAGATGAGGGTTCCTTCAGTGTTGTTGGGGTTAGGAGTACGGAGAGGAGAGTCGAGAGCTGGGAGGGACCGAGAAGTACTGATCCCACTGAAGAGGAAGCGGTCTCGGTAGCTCCAGGCAGGAGGGTCATGTCTATGGCATCTCCTCAGCGCACAGAAGCTTGGAATGAGCCGGAAGCTGTCATTCCACAAACACCTCGTACTCCTCGGAAGGATAACGATGACGAAGATATGGACAGGCTGGGCGTTTTACCAAGTCCCGCTCCTACTGCTGCTACCTTTGATAGCGGTGGAAGGAGAACGAGTTTGGATGTCGCGAAAAGAAGGAGTAGCAATGCGCCTCTTGGATCTGTCGGTAGCTCGGACTTGGTGAGACACGATTTGGCCTTGGCGCCGGTGCCAAGTGCCGAGGATATCGGCGAGGAATTAAATAAGACATCAGCCATGGGCGAGCAAGCAGGAGATCAGCAGGAGCAGAGGCCCAAAGCCATCAGGAAGAGCAGTGATCTTGGAGGCTTGCCGAGTCAGCAACAGCAGCCGCAGCATATGACGATCATGACTGCAAATGCGGAAGAACAGGGAGGACAGGAACGGAATGCGGAAGACGTCTCCCCTAGCTCACCCACAACAAGTACTGGGAGAAGAAGCGTCGAGCGCCCGCGAAAGCATCTGCCGCAACACAAGAGGCGAATCAGCGACCTTGCTTCCCTTCCGAGCCAGAGAAGGACGTTGGATTCTCAGCAAGCTCCGTCACCCACGACACCTGAAGGCCCTCACACTCCACAGTCGCCGCAGAGTCCTGTCTCGCACACCTCACCCAAGACATCAAGGAGACCCGATAGTCAGACGCTTGTCCCGCTGACAATTCCAAGCAGCGAGACGATTGACGACGAAGTCTATGAGGCCAGCCCGGTCACTATCAGGCCCATGAGTCCTACTCTTCTTGGCGCTCGAAAGGCGAATCCGCTAGACACCCAAGCCGTCGCAGAGGCTGTAAAGGAAGAAGACGAGCTGTATGACAGCACGCCTACTGCTGCGAGGACCCAGGCTTTGAAAGAAGAGGATGAGCTTTATGAGAGTACACCTTTGGCTCAGAGATCTAATGCTCCATGGAAAGCCGCCACCGGAACTGAAACTGGTCACGAGGCTGAAATCGCAAAGATGGAACGCGAAATCCAGCAAGCTGCTGCTGCTGCTGCAGCTTCTCCTCCTGCGGCGGCTGAACCGCAGGACGCTCCTTGGCTCGAAATTGAGGAGACTAGGAGCGAGATCTCTGCTGAGGGCGGCGCTCAGGAGAACAAATTGAAGCCTGTCGCGACTCGCTCCAGGCAGAGCTCTGTTTCGAGCCTAGGAGTGCAGGACACGGTTGCAATCAAAGATGAGAAGGCCGGCTTGACAAGTGAGCAGGCATTGCAAAGAGTTACCTCGGCTGATGTTCCGGTTATGTCTTCCCAAGCTGTTCCCGCCGGTCCTGTCACGGCGCCGCAACCAACTCAACCGCAGCAAAACACACCGCTCGAAGTCGTGAACGTTTCCAACCAGCAAGCAGCTCCCATGCAAGGAGGCCTCGGCTCCGAAGCATACCAACAGCGATTCGCAGATCGATCTTATGGTGGAATGCAGACATCACAGATGCAAGATCGACCGCTGTCGTACATGCCCCTACCAAGAGATTCTCAGGGCAATCTAGTAGATGAGACGATCTCTACTAGAGCGGATGCAGAGCAGCACACTCCACCAGTGGACTTGAGCGCTATTGCTGGCCCACCGCCTGGAGCGCCGCCGTTTCAGCAACATCCGCTATTCCGCAACAGCACTGGAGCTGCAGCTGTGCAACCTACAGAGTACGAGAGGCTACGATCATCCGTTGCTAGTGCTGTAAGCCCTGCTCATTCCCGACAACACTCAGGCGATGCGAGCGACGCAGCAGCAAAGCGTACTGTGGGCTTCTTCCGAGGCTCACGACAACGTCCCGAAGAAGGCAACGGCTCTCTGCCTCCCAGCGCCAGCAGAATCGGCGATCAGCATGGCTTGGACGGGGTTCATGGATCTGAAGATCTACCCACCAACCTGCCTCCTTCACGGCAAGGTGAAGAGAAGCAGGCTAGACGTCGCTCGGGCATCTGGGAGGCGTTGACGTCGAAGAGGCCTTCTAGTGCTACTAAGATGGATTCTAGTCGAGATAGCTCTGTCGCAGCTCTCGACTCGCGTCCGCCAAGCGCGCCGCAGAGACCTGCCCAGGATAGCTCTCGGCCAGGTACGTTGCGCAAACCTCACCGAGCGTCGACCGGCACAGAAGAGCTGCAGCCGGCGAAGAAGCGATTCTCTAAGCTAGGCTCGCTCTTTGGGAGGTCGAATACTACAGGCCAGGCCAAGAGCAAGCCTAAACGTCTTACGAAGACAAACCGGCCCGAAAGCTCGCGACAACCGGACACGATTGAAGAAAACAAGCCTGCCCCCTTCGGAACGGTCACCGGCAGCGTGCGAGGCTACCGAGACTATGAAGCGATGCGCCAGCATGACATGCCTGCGTTGCAGGGGAATTCCACAGCGGAGCATACAAGTTCGGGCAACGCGCCGCCACAGCGTCCACCTCCACCTTCTCCGGGCCCTAATTCTTCCGCTCCTCCGGACATGCAGCCGCCTCCCGGTGGTTGGTATGAGCCCGAACACAATAGAGAGCGCGACATGACCGGTTTTCCACCTACGCGAGGGCCTCCTCTGCCAGAATTCCGAAGGCTTCATAGCGCGGGAGAGAGACCGTCCCGACCTATCGCGCAGGTTGGCGAGGCTTTCAGGCCGGTTGAGTCTTCTCTCAACAGGACCGTGAAGGCAGTTGGCCCATCACTCGATGATGCGGCGTTCAGAGGCTTCTCTAGCTCTAACGTACCTACGCAGGCAGCTTTTCTCCCGGACCGGCAACCTTCGTATAGTGGACCTCCAACCGGAGCCACGCCTTCGGAGCGAATGGATACGATGATGGACCCTTCACGACCCCGGAATCCATCGCATGGGTCTGAGATCTCGTATCTCTCGCGTGACGTCTCCGGACGGTCGGAATACTGGCCACCTGGTTCCCGACCTTTCGGATCGATGGGCTCGATCTCGCCGGTCCAGTCGCGCACGGGTTCGGAAGGATATCCTCCGCCGCACGACCAGCGGATGGGCTCGATTGGTCACGAAATGGGACGGGGTCCGGTGCAGGAGTATGGCGATCAGCAGACGCCTTGGGCGGTGACTATGCCGCTCCGTGTTCCGGAAGGAGATCGTCCACCGTCTTGGTCTATGGGAGCAGACGAAAGGCGAATGTCTGGACAAGCTCAGGGAATGATACCCCCACCGTTGTTGCCGCCGCAGCAGGGATATCCCCACACTCCCCCATCGCGCGACCATGTTCCTCCCAGAACCCGAGACGCACGCATACCGTGGGAAGACCACCAACCCGTGCGACAAAACACGTATCCCCCTCCCCGACCACCGCTCGCACCCACCGCGTACCCCTCCCCTCCCTATGCCGCGGAATCGCCACCACGAAATCACGATCAACGACCTCCTTACGCATACGCACAGCAACCGCAACCGCAACAGCAGCAACGACTCCCACCACCACCGCCACGAGCAGGACCACAGTACCAGTACCAGTATCACCAGTATCATCAGTATCCGTACCAGCCACGACGACCAGCAGCACAGAACCGCTACTATGCCCAACCACAACAACAACAACAACAACAACAACAACAACAGCAAAACCAGCAACAACAACAATCCCCCCTACCACCCCCTCCTCGCTACCAGGGCCCTCCTCCACCGCCGCCATCGGCGCAGAGGAGGCCTTCTTCGGGCTACAGTGGACGCCGAGACGATCCGACGGTCGGGGAGGAGGAATTGATCATGCGGGGCGCCAGTTACCCGGGGCAGGAATGGACGCCTGCGGGACTGGGACGGCCCGGAGGGTGGGATTAAGAAGAGAATGGAATATGAGGTTTTTGTGGTTGATGGGATTGGGCAGTTGAGCAATGTTGAACAGATTCATATCTTTTTCTTTTGAAGAGAGTCAGAGAGAGAGAGAGAGAGAGAGAGAGAGAGAGAGAGAGAGAGAGAGAGAGAGAGAGAGAGAGAGAGAGAGGAGAGAGAGAGGGGAAAGGGGAAGAGAGAGAGAGAGAGAGAGAGAGAGAGAGAGAGAGAGAGAGAGAGAGAGAGAGAGAGAGAGAGAGAGAGAGAGAGAGAGAAGAGAGAAGACGGGTTTTGAGGGAAAGGGGGAAAGGGGAAGGGGAGAGAGGGGAAAGGGGAAGGGAGAAAGGGGAGAAGGGGGTTCCTTTTTCGTTTAAGATTGAGAAAATGAAACGGGATGGGATGGGATGGGATGGCATGGGATGGCATGTTGGGTATCATATCATATCATAGGGGAGGAATGATGAAAACTGATGGAAGAATGATGTAAGGAAAGAAAATTAAACCCCCCCCCCCCAGAATTGACAATTTCTATCTATCCATCTATCCATCTATCTATCGGTTTCCACCACCCGTCCGACGACCGGTTTTCATATTACGAGTCCGTCCTCGAGCGATTCCGGGCGTCGTCCCGAGTATAAAAAGTAGGGTAGTTACTATACGTTGCGGTCGCTAAATAATACTCGAGGGAGCTAGCTGCCCGGTGCCACCGAACTAGTAGGCCTCTACTAGACCGACCGATTTCGGACTTTCTAAATAGCGATAGCGATAAAGCGAAGCGTCGCTTCTTCGAGAGATAAGATCTATCTATAGTAGTACTTACTAGTCGAGTAGTAGAGAAAGCGGGGAGAAAAATCGCTTCTTTCTTTCTTTTTAAGGCTTTTAAGATATAATAATATAGTTAGTCTTATCGCTCGCTTATTTTTTTTAGAATCTAAAAAATTTTTTTTCTTTTCTTTCTTCTTCTTCTTCTTCTTCTTCTTCTATAGTTACGAGTGTATCTTAATTGTAAAGTTTTATTCGCTAATTTAGATCTTACGGGACGGACTAGGACTAGGACTAGGACTAGGACTAGTATTATCGGTTAGACGTATAGTATAAGATAATACGACATAAGATCTATACTAGTCCTCTTTTTTTTTTCTTCTTCCTTTTTCTTTAAGGTTGCCTCGGGAGAGATTAGAGATTCGAGATTAATTAGGAGCGCTAGATAACGCTAAGTATTAGTATCTAACCTCGTTAGGTATTAATTATTATTACTATACAAATCCGCTATATTCCTATTCGTTTGTAAGTATATCGATACTATGCTTCTATGTTCTTTCTTAGTAAACGATACTCCTAGCGACCCTAGTCGAAGAAAGTCTCCGAGAGTAATATTAGTAGTATCGTTATTATTCTCCCCTTTTCGATTCGATATCCGGACCGACTCCCTATTATACTAAAGTAGGGTTTAAAGATACAAGCATTCGGCGCTTAGAATAGATAGGTAAGTAAGTATATATTGTCCGGGATACGTAGGTCTTAAAGCTAATGTCGGGAGAAGAAGAAAAAAGGGGGGAAGGGGGAGGTTAGATATTAGAATTACCTAGATAGGTAGTACTCGAGAGATATATTAGATTAGGTACCCTGTAGCGAGAGATCTCTCTATCTAGGTATTAATTAGTATTCGGAAAAGGGGAAGGGGATTAGATGTCTAAATTATACGGATAGGTAGTATACTAAGAGATACATTAGAGAAGGTTACCCTGTAGTAGAGACCTCTGTATCTAGGTATTAATATTCGTATCCGTATCCGTATCCGTTATTAGTGCGGGAAATCGGTATACCGGGTTTGTATAGTTAAAGTCTAGATAGCTAGCATGTATGTGTGCACGGAGCACTCTTCTCATTTGGTCCTGTCCCAATGGAGAGTAAATGTGGCGTCTAGGAAGGTTGTACTTGATGGATGGATGCCAGGATCGATGGGATGGATGTTGCATTGCAGTCCGTGAAGAGATGGAGTGAGGTCGAAGTACGGCTGAAAGTTTTGCCGCGCCGAGGAGGATTACCTTCCTCCTGTCGTTTTTTGAATCTTTCAATTCATCAACTCCACGATGCTGAGCTGCAGACAAGTATCCTCTCCCAGACCGAAGCGAAAAGTGAAATGATTCCATCAAGCAGCAGGAAAGGAGAAATTATCCGGCATGATGCCTCTTACACAGTTGTACGGGAAGGCTGGATCAGAAGAGAGAAAAGCAGCCGGGTCGTCCTTTCTCCCTTTTCCCCTCCCTCTCGAACGGATTGTTGACACTTTGATACAACCCACTGAACCCAGGGCGGCAGAGGAGAGATTTCGTTGGGGGAGTGGGATGAAGCTTGCAGTGTCATGTGAACGGATGTCGTGTCAGGACGGGATCCCGGGCCATAGCGGTCGGCACCAGTGTCTCGTGGTTTGATGTGTGATGTGTAAACCGAGGACCAACAACAACGCGATTAATGTGATGATGCTCTTGCATCGTGTGCCGCGTTGTGCTCGAGAGTGTTGGTGTTGTGCAGATGGGCGATAGCAAACGGTGATGATGGATGATGATGAGGTGAATTGAAGGTGAAGATTTGGGAGAAGAGGTGACGCGACGTGCCGTGCCGTGCCGTGCCGTGCCGTGCCGCGCCGTGCCGTGCCTTGCAGCAGGTCGAGCTCTGCGAGGGAAGCTCTCTCATCCATGATATGATTGGAGGGATAGCCTCCGGACCAACCAGCGAGTGGGCTGTCACCTGGTCGGGGGAGCAGCATCACATGAGGGAGGGAGGGCGGAGGGCGAGGGAAGAAGGTCTTTCTTCTTGTGTTCTTCTTCTTCTATCTTCCTCGTCTTCTCTCCCAACCGTCATCTTCATCCGGCTTGATGGATGCTGTCGACCAACCATTCCCCCCCCCCAAGCGAAGGCGGCCAAGCAAAGGGCGTTTGAGGATGCAAGGGGAGATTGGAGGAGACAGGGAGCTGGGATGGAGTGGGAGGTCGTCGACGGGACTGTGGGAGGCCATCCCATCCCATCCCATCCCATCCAGCTCTCACTCTACGCGAGGGGACGTGGAGATGCAGACGGAATGCCGCGGTGCCAGCGCATTTGCCATTGCCAGTGCCCATTGCCCATTGCCCATTGCCCGACTCTGCACTGACTCTGGTGAACGGGACTGCCATCATGGATGCTGACTCCCCCTCCAACATCGACCACTGCAGCAAACGCGACTCTCGCTCGTGTCGTGTCTCGACGGCGCGTCGCCTTTGTTGATCTCTCATCATTGCACTGCTCGACGACGGAAGTGTAGACATAGCATCTCCTTCACGTCCATAACAACAACAACAAGACCTTCCTCTCCGCGGCGCATTGGCTGCGAGCGGGACGCGCAACGGCACACCTGCACCACCGATTCGAATCCTTCCAACATGTGCCAACGGCCATGACATGATGAGACTGGACAATCGCGACAACTCATCATCGCGCCTCACCATCGCCTGCCTGCCGACTCCACCACGATCACGACCTGTTGAACACTTCTTCCAGCAATCGCATCCCTCGCGTCGTCGACAGCCTCTTGGCCCCGCGGTGCATCGTCGGAGAGGACCGAGAGGCAGGATTGGAAGGCGTGTGCGAGTGCAGACGTGGACGGGCGTCATTGCTGCTGTTGTTGCTGCTGCTGCTGCTGCTGCTGTTGCTGGTGCTGGTGCTGGTCGTGCCTGCAGCTCGCATATCCCGACCGTCTCTATACCGCCGCCGCATATCCCCACCGTCTCTATACCGCCGCCGCATATCCCCAGACCGAGGCCGCACACGACAACCGCGCAACTCCCTCTACAGCAGCAGCATCATCATCATCATCATCGCGTGTCGAGACGGAAATAGAGAGGTGAGTGAGTAGCGCATCGTTTTTCCAATCCTCGCCCAGCCACTCAATTTCTCCCTCCCTCTCCTCTCCTCTCGCCTCGCCTCGCCTCGCCTAAGCCCTGCCAGCCATCTTTCTCTACTCTCCCTGCCATCCACATTCTTCTCCCAAACACAATCGCCCATCTGCCCATTGCATTGCCCATCGTGCGCGTCGCGTCTTCTCCCGCTGTACCATGTCTCTCAAACACTCTCCCAAACTTACCATCCACGACTCCAGCGACCGCGACCGCGACCGCGACCGCGACCACCACCACCACCCCGGTCTGCCTCTTGCGCTTGTCCACTCCTCCACCCGCCCAGCTACCCATTCCCCGTCCGCGCTTTCCTGCTAGCTAGCAGCAGCGGCATTCGGCTGAATTCAATCCATTCAACCCATTGGCCCGTCATCGCCCACCGCTGCACCACACCTTCTACCGCTCCAAACACCAAGTACACACCCCATAATTGAGCAACACGCACAGCAGCCGTGTCCGCCCCACGGCCCCGCCTGTATAACGACCGACACGATACCCACGACCGGTATACCACTTCTTTAATACGCAGCCAAGAGCAGGCCTCGGCACTCCATCGCCACCACTCACCACATCCATCACGACCTTCTTCCTCCTCCGACGGCACCCCTTCCGCCAGCCCTCACACGCTCCGCCGCACTCCCGGTTTCGAAGCCGTCCCATCTCGTCCCCGATCATCCTCCCTCGACTCGCTCCCCCGCGACTCTTCGCCGCCCCCGCCGCGCGCTGCCACTCTCCCCCCGCCGACTGCCCACAGGCGCTCCCGCAGCGCCCAGTACAATCCCACCGCTCCGCACCCTGCCCTCCGCATCTCCAAGCGCACCCACTCTGCCATCCTCTACGCGCTCGAAGAGGCCATCCGCAAACCCCATCCCTTCACCCTGGACGAGGCGGAGGAGACCGCTCAGATGTCGGATCTCGGCGGCGGCGGCGGTGGGAGTACCGGCCGAGCAAGCAATGGCGGCGCAAGGACCGGAGGCCCCGTGCCCGTCTCAGGAGGCACTCCGTCGGCCATCAGAACACCGCGTGATGTCATGAGGGATCGCAATGCCCGAGAGGCACGACGACAGGAGGCGCAGCGGGAAGAGGAGCAGAGGCGCTTTGTCGAGGAGAGGAGGAGGAGTGCGGAACGGAGGGCCGCAGCAGCTGTACCCGGTGCCGCGCCGCGCTTCAGTCAGGCTTCATCTCAGTACAGTCCGGACGTCTCTGCGCCGCAAGGTCAATTTGATGGGCCCAGCGAGAAGAGGCAGAGTCGCGTCGCGGGCGAGGTCGCCGGCAGTAGCGTTCTGGGCGATCCTACGGGTAGAGCTTCGCAGGAGCCCACACCCCGAGCGCGAGGTCCGAGCATGTCTCAGTCCGATCAGCCACGACCCGTGCCGACCTCTGCTGGCGCGACACGACGAACGCCGACCAGTCAGTCGCAGTCGCAGCCGCGACAACCCCAATCCGCAGCCGCGAGTGGTGCACCGCCCGGAGGACTACCGCCCTCGGCATCGGCCACGATGCCCGGAGGCGATGGGTCGCAACGGAATACACAGTCCTCATTCCCGCACGCGTTCGAGAGATGGGAGACGTTGTCGTCGCACTGGGAAGGTCTCACGTCGTACTGGCTGCACAAGCTCGAGCAGAACACGGAAGAGATCAAGGATATCGTGCCCAATGCCTCGACGCTCAACCGACAGATTACGGATCTCTCCGCGGCAGGCGCCAATCTCTTCCACGCGGTCGTCGAGCTGCAGCGACTCCGAGCCAGCAGCGAACGCAAGTTCCAGAGATGGTTCTTCGAGACCCGCGCGGACAACGAGCGCAATCGCGAGGTCCAGGCGAGTCTCGAGAGGCAGATCAAGGTCGAGAGGCAGGCGAGAGAAGAGACGGCCCGCTCCACCACGGACAACTCCATCGCCATCGAGAGTGCGAAGAGAGAGGTCGCCGAGATGCGGCGAGAGTTGATGATCGCCAAAGACGAGGCCCGCAGGGCGTGGGAAGAATTGGGACGGAGGAATCAGGAATCACTGGACACGGCTCAGAGCCTGAAGGAGGGCAGAGTGACGCTGGTCAGTGGTGTCCAGGTCGTGCCGTACTTCGGTGCTCCTGCGAGTCGGAGTGGCACCGCGAGTCAAGGCCAGCAGCGTCCGCAGACACGGGATGGCCCAGGCTATGGCAGCACGGGTCTTGCATCACACGCCGCAGCTTCTGGCGTGCAGAGTCCCGGTGACGCGCGACAGTACCCACGAGAAGGCCCATCGCCCACGAACACGGACCCGTTCACAGACAGTGGACGCCAACAGCCTCCGCTCCATCACGAAGGGGGCGCGCAATCATTGGCAACGGGAACGTATCAGCCCTTCCCCGAGGTTCCTGCAGCATCCCATTCCTCCGCGATTTCCGCTGTTCCCCCCGAAAGCGCTGGCTACCCGCATGGGACGTCGACCGCAGGCGGCCAGCAACGAGAAGCAGGCCAACCTTCGACTGCCGAAGCCCAGCGCTTCTATCAGCACGGCGGCCAGGCGGCTTCCCCCCTGCACTCGGGAAGTTCTTCCCAAGGCGCCGCCCAGGGTACCGCGGCGCATCCGCATCCCGTTCCGAGGGAAGACATGCGCTCGGAAGCGCGATCCGAGGCGAGTTACGTCGATACCCTCAGCGAGGGCGACACGGAATACGCCATCGATGCCCGAGGCAACATCCGACATGACGACCTCGGTCAGCCAATCGTCTTCCGTCGCAGAGGCCCCGCACGCTCTTCCGAGTCTGAGGACGACTACGATACGGAAGAGGCTGTGCGTCGCGAACGCGAACTGGCTTCGAGGTATGGCAGTAGCCTGATGCCCGAAGCACCATCTGTTCCGCATACCAGTGCGCAGGCCATTGCCAGTGTGACCGCCGCTGCGGGTGGGGGTGAGCAACCGAATTATGAAGGCGAGGGATATGACAATTATCAGCAGTACGTCCCGAGACATCACCATCCGACACGCCTCAGCGATGTCTTGGAAGAGGATGAAGACAGGAGCTCTAGGAGGACTGGACCTGATTGATCCGCTCCCCTTCGCCTTCCACCGACACATTGACAATGTCCGGGACAGCTGGATTTGACCATGTCCTTTTCTTTCGCCTCTTAGCGTTGCAGTTCTGCTTTGGGATTTTTCTATTTCTGGAAACTAAAACATGGATTGGAAAGAGCATACTACGTACTACAAGGCAGGAGAGGGAGCCAGTACCCGCATCAAAAAATCCGGGAAATTTGAGGGCACACCATAGCATACCAGGGACGGGACGGCGAGGATTTTCACTTCTTTCGACGACGACGGCGAACGACTCTTTCGCATAGCGGTATGGCTCTGCCTGCATGCTGCGAAAACGCGAAATTTTCTTCTTCTTCGATGTCTTCTTCTTCTTCTTCTTTTTCTCCGACGATGTATACCCGACCGGCATGATCATCATCGTGCTCTTGGTCGAAAGGTTTTTTTTCTGGGGCGGCGGAGGGTTGCTTTGGATTACTTGTTCTGTTCCGTTCTGTCCTGTGCGAGGGATGCATGGATGAGATGGATTGATGGTTGGATGCATGCATGCATGCATTTAATGGACGGAGGGGAAAGATTAGAGAGAGTTGAAGAAGAGAGAGTTGAAGAAGAGAGAGTTGAAGAAGAGAGAGTTGAAGAAGAGAGAGTTGAAGAAGAGAGGATTGTTGTTGTTGTTGATTGTTGATTGTTGATTGTTGCTAGTATACTTTCGGAGGCGTGAAGACGGATTGCATGTGCATGTGCATGTGTATGTGGGACGGCTTGTCTGGATGTATCTATGTAGTAGTAAGTAAAGTAGTAGTATGGACATGTTTAAGGTTTTTATGTTTTTTTGTTCTTTTTCTGGGAAGGGAGAGGGAAAGGGAAAGGGAGGGTTTGGGGAGATGTAGATTTTATCTTCCTTTTTTTTTTTTTTTAATTCCCCCAACTTTGGTTGTACTGTACCCAACTAAACTGGTCATGGGAGGAGGGTTCAGAGTGATACCACTCACCTCTCTGTACCTATCTCATCTGCCTGCAGGTATGTATGTCTTTCTCCATTCGAAAGCCGGAAAACTCATCCCGCTCTAGATATACACGCACGCATTCATCCTTCCTCCCAAGTCTTCACCCTTCCCACCAGCCAGCAGGGAGGATAATTCCATCCTCCTCAGCACCTGCTTCATGCATCTCAACATCCCCTTCCCGCAGATCCGCACAATTGCTTCCTTGCCCCTCAGCCTCAATCTCCCCCGACCCTGCATCCTCCGCCCCATCACCCCTCTCCTCTTCCTCTTCCTCCTCGTCCTCCTCCTCCTCCCGGATCAAAAACCGATTTTCCGCCCGATACCCCTCATAATCAAACGCCATCAACCTCATCGCCCTCTCCAGCGCAGACTCCTTCACCCAGGTCTGCGTCTCGGCCAACAGAGCGGGAATCCCGGATCTCGGAACCGGTATGACCTCCAAAAGCGGAATGGCAGGGCGATGCCCTTCCTCCGCCGACCACGAAGACACGGGATTCTGCTCTTCGAGAAGCCTCCGACAGAGGAGATTCGTGACGTAGAGCCGGCGCGTCGCGGCATCTTGGCTCCTGCTCTCCAGCGGTCCGCCTTGCAGCCAGAGCTGGGCGTGGCGGACGTAGGACGGATCGCTGATGCGCAGGAGCGGCACGAGGGAAGGCGGGAAAGCGAAATTTCCGGGAGAAACGTGGTCTTGGACGTACAGTCTTGCGGTCATGGAGAATCTCGATGGGATGTGTCCCTGTTTTTGTGGGAAGAAAGCCAGGTAGTCTTGCAGAGATTCCTGATGCCGAAGGATGCGATTCGCGACGAAAGCGCGCACGACGGGGAGGCTGAGTCTGTGCCTCTGCTTGCTTTCGGCCAGCCATTGGGAGACTCCGTCCATGTCGAACATATCCTCCGCGGCTATGATTTCCTCCAGTTTGTGGGAGATCTGCGAATGCAGAGTCTTGATTCTCGCCTGGTATGCTTTCAATGGGAGAGGTGTCGTTATTGTCGGCGTAGGGAGCTTACAAGGGAGTGGTAGGGGCTTGTAATTTCGAATTTCAGTTCGGCGCCGATGGATATGAGCCAAAGCGAGCCGGCGGGTTTCTGCCATGCTTGACAGTGTTGGGTCGGCGAAAAAGAGGATTCGGAAAATCACTTCGAATTTGCCTTCCGATCGCCACTCTGCAAACTCCGCCATCAGAGTATCCAGGAGGAATTCCAAAGGACTCTGAATTGGTGCGACCATCTGGCAGAGGCCTGCACGGCATGCTGCTGTCATCGCCATTGGATGTTGATTTGGTGGCATTGCGGAAGCCCCTCGAGTCCGCCTTTCGAACGCAAGATTCTGGAGGTAAGCATCTGTCCACATACGCGCCGCTGGCAACTCCTCTCGTATGCCCTCATGAGCGAATAGTCGGGCCAAGGCTAGAGACAGATTGCCTACATCTCCTGCCCCAAGTTGAGCGACCAAATAGTCGAGCATCGAAGATATGGGGAGTCTATCGGTCTGGGAAGATGCTGGGATGGACGTTATTGTCGGCGGAGGGAGTTCGGCGAATGTACAGACCCTCCGAGGCTGCGAGGGAGATGGGACTCGTAACCTCTCCCGGATTTGATGTATAGAGAATGCCAGGAACAACAGCCGAGCCTGCGGTCGATCGAGTAACGGTCGGCGTATCCTTTTGGCCTGTCGTCGCATCAATGCATTCGAGTTGGTTTCCAACCTGTCAGACGCAGTTTTCAGACTTGAAGCTGTGGGTTTTGGTGTTGTGCACGGTACTTGGGGTTGCTCGAGTCCTGGGCGCGCTGGTGGGTGTCGTGCAGCTGGGTGAGGTGTACAGGCCGCGCCTCCTTCTTTCCGAGCTCCAGCTAAATTTGAGTCTATCACAGCTGCCATCTTGGGGTCGTAGGCTGGGGTCGAATTCCTTTGTTGGTGTGGTCCCTGGTGTTGCTCTTTCCGAGCGTCAGGCGCTAGAGGATCTGCCTCAACAATGACCTTCTTCTGTGCACTCAGCGGAGCGAGGGGATCTGGTGCCGGTCTCTTGACGCCACGCATCGTGGCTGACTTCTCTTCCCTTAGCATGTCTACATCGTCGCTTTCAGCCAGGGAGTTGATGTCTCCAGTCCGTGACTGCACGCTCCCCAAGCCCGGATGTTCCACGCCGTGCAATGGACGCTCCTAGTGCACTTGTTTCCCGGCATCTACGTCTGCTCTTTCTCCAGAAGACTGTCGCTCAAAGGTTGGCACTTCGCATTTCTGAGGAGGTTCTCCTAGCCGTTTAGAGCTGGCGGTCTCCGGCTTGTGGTCCCTGTTCTGGTAATATTCGAAATGCTGCTTGGTCATGGTCTGCTGTCGAAGCTGCTCTGCGAGGAACTGCTTGCGTGTGGTGTTTGGATGTTGATTGTGGCTCGACATCTTTACTCATACGAATGATAGGTGCCAAAAATGATCGAGTCGTCAGATTTCACCGACGTTGATGTTGATGAAGTTGTTGCAGACGAACTGTAGTCAGAAAGAAAGCAGGGACGAAGCCACCGATATGAATGCAAAAGGGGAATGCCGGTATTACCCGAAAGAAAACGAGGAAAGCGCGACACGTACTTGCCATCTCAAGGTGAAGTTTTTCTGACATCATTTCATTTCATCTCATCTAGAAGGGACGATCCTGCATCCCAATCATTTCCAATCGCTCCGAACGCTTCAAACAATGGAAACTGAAAAATCAAAACTCACCTCTAACTCCCAATCTCCATATCGGTAGGACAGGAAAATCGGATCTCCGGATAGGCAGCCCTCATCGCCTCATTAGCAAGCGCCAGATTCTTCTTCTTCATATTACTCAAGATGGTAATCTTGGTATTGCCGTTCTTCTGCACGCCCGAGCATCTCATCGCTTCGACTTGGAAGCCGGTGGATTCGATCTTGGACTGGACGAGATCGCAGTTCTTGCCGCCGAGGTACGGGCGGCCGATGTAGACCTCGTAGACGGACTGGTCCCAGTCGAGCTGGACGTTGTTCCAACCTTTGCATTTGGATTGGTTCTTGGGGACGTAAGCGACGTCGCGGGTGTTGAGGAGGGCGATGTTGGTTGTGACGGGCGGCGCAGCCAGTGCGCTGGAGAGCAGGGAGGCGGTTTGGAGGAGGGTCGTGATGCGCATTTTGAGTTTCCTGTTGCTTCTGCTTTCGCTGTTCTTGTTCTTGATGGGCTCGGGTGGGTGCCTCAACGTGTTGTCGACTTACCTGAAGTCGGATATACTGATGACAAAAGAGATGACTGGGCTTTCTTGAATGGTGGATGTGCTGTTGGCGGTCAACAAGGTATTGTCCTGTGGGCGAGGCTAGTCTTATATGGTGGCAGCTCCATTGGACGGTATGCACAAAGGATGCCATCGAACAAAGGCTCGTCCACCAAGAATATCGCGACGATAACAACGAAGGAGTGGCGTCGCATTGTTCTTACTTTCTTTCTCCTTGGAACAATTCTCTTGCTCTTTCTCGGATTGGATCCCATTATTCAGAGGTCCAGACCGCACTGACGTGGGCCGTCAAGCTGAACGACGGTCGACATCGAATAGCCTTCAATATTGTCCTTGATACATTGAGGAATTGGTCCATCGCATCCCGCCGACAATCCCATATGCAAGCCCTAAGATTCGTCAGATTCGTCTCCGCAAGTGCCGGCAACATCCGCCTCTGAAACGTAGGTTTGCCACCAGCATCCAGGATAAGCCTTACGGACCCGGAATTCTCTAACTGCACCTGTGCCATCTCTGTCGCCCTTTGCACGAAAGCGTTCAATCCTCAGGATCTCGATCAACGCAGTCCGCGCGAAAATTGTCGCGAGCGCCTCCCGTCAGCGAGCGAGCGAGTGACTAGGAAGATAAGCGCAAAGATGCAATGGTAGTATAGTCGTCGGCATTGCTGTCGAAAGGGTTTATCAGCTGATTGCACTGTTCACTTAAGCAAAGTGGAGCCAATCTGTCTCAGGTGGCTTCCCATCTCATACATCTCCTCCTTACGAAACGCTCGGGATGACCTCCCGAAAATGGATCCATCCTCACGTCATCAACCCCAATAGCTCAGAGTCCTCATCACAAAGTGGTCCAAGCACTATCAGTTCATGATAGAGGCGCCAGATAGGCATACCAAAGTTGGTTCATCCTGTGCCCATGAGGTCGTAGGTAATAGTTTGCGACGCTGCCATACGCAAACCGACGCACGGTCCCACTCTGCCTTTCGTACGCGGACGAGTAAGGAGAGCGGAGACCTGGGTGGCCGGAGTATATCTTCCTGAATACTTCCACATTTGACGGTTTTGATGACCTGTTCAAGATCCATTCCTCCTCTGATAATTTTTCTCCTCTAATAATTTTCTCCTCTCATCCTGCCCACAGCGCTGCTGCCGGCGAAGGAGAGATCGTTGCCGCGCAGGCCACCAGTCTTCCCGACAAGCAGGTAATTGTTTTGTTGTACATGCCTTGCATGCAACATCAGCTCCGGCGGACCCAAGTGTATACTATCTGAAACACTATCACCACATCAGTATCAGCGACAATGTTCGGCAAAGCCAACGAGAAAGACCTCCGTCGGGAGCCGGCTCCTGAGATTCCGGAGCAAGTTGGCGACATCAATGACTTGGAGAAGTACACGACCACCGAAGATGCCGTCTTTGGTGCCATCGTCGAGGGAGGACCGAATTATCGCGCTGTAGGCACCGCTCTTCCTGCTTTGTCCCGATAAGCATCGTGTATAGATACAAGTAGCTGACGTCCTGCAAACGTAGCTCGGATGGATAGGCACGGCGGTGTTGATGATGAAAACACAAATCGGCCTCGGTGTCCTCTCTATTCCGGTCGTGTTCACTAGTTTGGGCTTGATTCCGGGAATCATCTGTCTCCTCGCCATCGCTATAATCACGACTTGGTCGGATTACATGATCGGCACGTTCAAGCTGAAACATCCTGAAGTGTACGGAATCGATGATGTGGGAAGCTTGATATTCGGACGCATTGGTCGTTACGTTTTAAGCATCGCTTTCATTCTGTGTAAGTCTTCGTTGTGCAGGATCCTCACAGTATCGACCGAAACTGACTTCCTTCTCTCAGACTGGGTCTTTGTCGCGGGCTCCGGGATGCTCGGCATTTCTATCGCCTTCAATGCGCTATCGTCTCATGGTACCTGCACGGCCGTGTTCGTCGCTATAGCTGCGATGCTGGGGTTTCTCCTCGCCAGTATCCGGACGCTGAGCAAGATCTCCTGGCTCGCATGGATTGGACTCTTCTGCATCCTAGCTTCGAGTAAGTCCTCATTCCCAGAGAAGTCTCATGCAAGGCTAATACGCCGGGTATAGTCTTTACTCTCACGGTGGCAGTCGGTGTCCAAGATCGGCCAGCATCGGCGCCTCGCAATGGTCCATGGTCGTCTGACTGGCAGGTTACCTCTTCTCCCACGCCTGCCACGGCCATGTCAGGTCTGGCCACGCTCGTCTTTGCGTATGCCGGTACGCCGGCCTTTTTCGCGATCGTGTCCGAAGTAGGTTCACGGGATTCCCTGCCTTGCGAATAGACAGCATGATTGACCCAATGTTAGATGAAAGCCCCAAAGCACTATACGCGGTCTCTGCTCGTCTGCCAAACTGTCGTAACAGTCACCTATCTGGTGATCGGTATCGTTGTGTACTATTACTGCGGAACTGATGTCGCAACACCGGCACTTGGATCCGCCGGTGCCTTGGTCAAGAAGATATGCTACGGCATAGCTTTGCCCGGGCTGGTCGTGACGACGACAATTGTGGTACACGTAAGGAGACGGGATCGTCTTCTCATCATTTATGCCAGGCTGACAAAGTTCCAGATTCCGGCAAAATACCTCTTCGTTAAGATCCTGCGCGGCTCAAGACACCTCAACAGCAACTCGCCAACTCACTGGGGTGTCTGGCTGGGCTGCACTGCTGGCATCGCGGTGGTTGCGTACATTATTGCTAGCGCGATCCCAGTCTTCGGTGACTTGGTGTCACTTATCGGTGCTCTGCTCGGTACACTCATGTCATTTCAACCGATGGGTTGCATGTGGCTCTACGACAACTGGGGCAGAGAGAAGTCGCAGAGGAATCTCAAGTGGCAGCTGATGGTCGCTTTCAGCGTTTTTGTCATCGTCTCGGGTACTTTTCTGATGATTGCTGGCACCTACGGCTCGGTGGTGGCAATCATGGTTTCGTATAACAAGAGCGGCGGATCGGCAGCGTGGACATGTTCAGACAACTCCGGCTAGTGTACCCAGCAAGTCTTCAATACGAAGAAACCGCGAAATCCCAATGACAGCAGATCGCGTAATCAAATGCGTAACCTCATTGCAGCGCCTTCGACGTCAAGCGTGCCATTTCTTTAGAGATTATGTCGTCGGACAGGCAGACATTGTTACGATGCTCGAGATATTTCCATCTGCATGAACCTTTCCTGCCGTATTGCTGCGAAGCGGCGACGGACTTATACGCCGGTTCGACAAGTCGTGGTAAAGCCGCCGCAAGTCCTGGCACGGCATTGATTTCAGTCCCGGACTTTGCCGTCGTAAGCCGCCATTTCACGAGAAGTCTGAGGAGGCAGGACCGGACGGGGAACCGAAGAGCACCTGGGAGCCTTCGCAGTAGAAAGGAAACCTTTCTTTGATATGCGCACAGTCTTTTCCAGAACCCTCACGGAAGCAGGTGGACTTTGGCCGAAAGTCGGTAACACAAACGCTGCGCGTCTGGTTGTTTTGGCAGACATTGACCTGGAGCTGTCCTCGCGGTCTTGCTAGAGCTCTGCAGCAAAGCAGAAAGTCTCATCGCTACGTCTCACGCTGCAGCTGTTTCACGCCCAACGAGACCTCAAGCGAGGCGTGAGATTCGGCGTATGAGGAAACACAGCCATGGACGAGGTGGCGTGTGGCGGATTACTTGCTCGGCTAGGGAACCCTCGAGTGACCAGGAGATGTGGTGTAAACTTGGGCATCGTACTCCGCCCTCAGTCAAATTGCATGGCATTGGCCGTCAGCATGACTGTGATTTCATGAGCCATCCAGACCGATTGCATGTACCCTTCGCACGATGATGTGCAGCTCCTGCTGATGGTGTGGAACGCCACCTCGAAGCCACGAAGTCCACGGATGCAATATAGACGTTTGTACTCCTGGGATTGGTTACTTGGTGCCAGGATTCGACTTTCATATGCGACGGAGGCCTGAGAAATTGGGATCAATGTGACCGGGTGCACGAAAGCCAAGTTCCAGGCCGTAACTAGCCGCTCACGGCTGTGCCTGTGGTGGTAAATCGCTCATCGTTACCTTTGTGGCGAATCGATGGATCGAAGCCCGATCTCTTCCTTGTGAAGGGCCAGATTCGATAGGACGAGGCGCGGGTGAAGGCCAGGGGATGCAATCCACGCGTGAGTGGTTGAGGGAAAAGGGAGGAAAGAGCGAGGGCTGGTGAGCCCGACACGTGATTCCCTACAGGGCTTGGCGTACGCAAGGTTTCTTAGCGCGGCCACCCACTTCGCCCCGCCTCTTCTTCTTTCCAAGCCTTCCAACACTCTTGCAACCAGACAACAACTTCCAACCACAACACTCTCCGCTCCCCAGCCAATACCAAACACCACACGCAGCCTTCTTAAACCCACACTCACCCTACCTTCATCCACCAAAACATCCCCACCGACCCCGAACAGCAGCTGTTTATGTCCGGACAGATCGAAAACCTCAAGTCTTTCGGTACGTGCGCCCAACAGCCCCCCACCGCTACAGCCGCACTCGCCTGATAAGCACCCGTCCACGCGCTACAATACTCGCACTTCTTCACATGACAGATAACAGACCATACACCGCGGCATGGTAGTCGCGTGGACCACAGGAGCATGTCGCGCGCCGCGGCGTAGCAAGAAGGCACGATTGCCCAAGATGACACACTGCTAACCTTATGTCGCACAGACCCCTTCGCGGAGGCCGATGAGGATACAGGCGAGACCAAGCAGTCGCAGAACTACATCCACATCCGTATTCAGCGTAAGTCAATCATCTACATACCGGCGCGCCCGCTGTTCCGACCTCGCTGACTCACATCTTCCGCAGAGCGCAATGGTCGTAAGACGTTGACCACCGTCCAAGGCCTGCCAAAGAAGTTCGACCAGAAGAAGATCCTCAAGGTGATCAAGAAGAAGTTCGCCTGCAATGGCACCATCGTCAACGACACCGAGATGGGCGAGGTGATCCAGCTCCAGGGCGACCAGCGCAAGGATGTTCAGGAGTTCTTGGTCGATAAGAAGGAGGGCCTGGAGCTTGATGCCAAGACCATCAAGGTCCATGGTTTCTAGACACTCCACGACAGCGTTTCGTCCGTCCTCATAAGGATGATGGAGCTCGTCGTGGTATAACGCCTCACGCGCAGGCCGGACAGCGACGATTGCTCTCACAGAGCGCGTTGCGGCTGGACCGGCGCGCCTTGCGACGACTTCATGATCATGACAGCCAGCAGGCTACGATGAGATACGGCGGGCGAGCGACGCGGTCTGACGAGCGACTCGAGACTCCCCGACACTACACTTGCATTTCCTGTTCTTGCGTGACTTTCGGCAATGGCTCTCTCGTCGCTCATGCTGGTGATGCACCGGAGACGGTAGTGCGTTATCACGAGGGCATCTGCGGCGGCGAGGAGTGCAGAGATTGCTTTTGGGTCGACATTCAATAGTGCGTACATATCAGGTATGCACCGGTTATGCATCAGTAATTTCCAGACTCAGTCACAGCAATGCGCTTATCGTATGTCCATCATGGCATACTATTGACATCTAGATACGACACCGGTCGGCCCTGCATCATGTTTTGGCCTGTGCTCGCCACATTCCACGAGTTCACGTACTCGCTTAGCATTTCCATCGAAGGCCGACACGAACACTGCTTCTAAGCCTTCAGCCAAGTTCTCAGCGAGCAACTACTCGACCCAGTGATCGAAAGTCCAGCAGGATGGACTGCAGCGAACTTAGCATGTGCTTGTGGGCATATGCAAGTCTGATGCTCGAGACAATGGAGGAAATTGCAGTAGCTTTCCACTTGAGACGCGTTGAGTAAACATAGTCGCAAGCATGATCACATGTAAGAGGCCCGTGCGTACGTAATGACGTTCCAGGTTGCTAATCACTCTTCGGCAGAAAAAGCTTGGACAGACGTCCACACAAAGTCACCACTCCAACACGTAAGACTCGCGACACCGGCGCGCAGCAACAACACCGTCATGGCAACCGATCTGCCCTCCGCCGCGGCGCGAGTTTTCGGTATTGTCGAAATTGCCGAGAAGATATTCCTCCAAATCGACTTCGTCGGCGTCCTCAAGTGTCAGCGCGTCGACAAGCAATTCAATCGAGTTATCAGAGACTCGGTGGCCCTTCAGCAGAACCTTCACTTGGCTCCGATACCTGGCAACCCTCCAAAGGAACTCCTCCCTGTATTGCCTCAGCACATGACTCTTTCGAAATCTGGCGATGAGTTAATCGTTAGTCCTCTCAGCGAGCTGCGATCGAGAATCCCAGGTAAGACCGTCAACAAAGAAGCGATTGCCTACACGCTCGCTTCGTGGAGGAAAATGCTAGTCACGCAACCGCCATCCCAAGCCGCGATATACGCGCATCGCTGTAAGTTCGAAGACGACTGGCGCGTGGATCACGACATCGGCGGGACTGTCATTGTCGGCTGGCTCCCATCCGAGGCCGATATCAAGCTCGGAGATGTGGAAAGCGTGGCGAACGAGCTGTTCGAAGAGCGCGGAATACATTGCGAAGACTGTATCCGCCCCTGGCCCTCCATGATCACTGCTTTCAAACTGTAGCTTGGGAAAGGTGGTATGCGAAGGCATGAAGCACACTCTTACGGCCTCAACAAGGTGGTGCACCGGGATGCGAACTGGAAGGGAATGGATCTGAGAATCTGAGGCTATCGGTGGTAAGACTCAATACGGCGACAGGTGGAGCGTCACTTGCAGAGGCTATCGTCTCTCCACCATGGTGTCTGCGAAATAGGGGCTTGTACGGTGGAAGCTGCGAGGTGGCTTAGTTTTACTACAGACAGAGCGGGAGAGCACAGCAAGCGCTGTCGTGTGTAGCAAAATGCAAATTGATCGCGTACCAGCGGAAATTCTCCACACGTCTCTCGCCGAATGTCTCAATCAGCTTGTGCGTGTCCAAAGCATTCACTCTCCACGCGCGTTTTCAGGAGAGAAAGGGCTGTCAGAAGATGCGCATGGAATGCGAGATGCTAAGGGTATTTTGTAGGATCTTTCAGGGGCAAGAGTGCATCATGTTGTCTTAGATGCCTGAGGCGTGATTTCACGGCGACACGTTAACCAGACCTTAGGGGCAGCTAGAGGTATCGAGGAAGGACTTCGCTTCTTCTTCTGACTTGATGCAGCCTCGTGAGAGAGGAACAGCCGCGGGGAGATCTACGGGATGTAGGGACGGCATATGGTTGTGGGAGTGGCGTGGTAGAACGCTGCAGCCTGGATAAGGTAAGGTAGGGTAGCATGCTACCTTACGCATGCAGATATCCATGGAAGGTATGCAGACGGATCCTGAGACTGCAGTGGACATTTAGAGGAAGGCGCTTGGAAGTTGAGCCGAAGATGGGAGATGGGGAGGAACGAACGCCATTGGGGCAAGTCCGGTGGAGATCGAGATTGCCATACCCTCCTGTGAGTCTCGCTGTCTCTTCATTCCACTTTCCATGCTCGCATGGCTGCCTCGACCTCTTGATCACTTCTTTCCTATGCTGATTGCGCAAGTCTGCTGATTTAGGATTTGCGATATATGTACTGCAAGCCTCGCCCTCTCCATTCCACTTGTCCCCGAGCGATTACTGCCTTCGCCGTTTCATCACGCCTGCCCGGTCCGCGTCCAAACGCCGCATCGCGTCGTCATGGTAAGCGTGGGAGACAAAGCCCAAGTTCCTTGCCTATTCCAGGGCTTGGTTGGTGAAGAACTCAAAAACAGGATACATCTCTCGCCAAGCCGTGAATGGGGTTGTGAACTCGCGAGGAAAGGCAGCCAAGCTTGCGGAAGGGAGCAGCCTCTGCGGACCTCATTTTCCTCAAAGAATTTCGTAATGGAGGCTTCTTAAAAGAAACGTTCGCCAAGCTTTGAGCCCGATTTGATGCGTTGCTTTTGTTCCTGGAGGGAGAGCTGGTTTATGGAGGCGAGGGTGAAGATATAGCGGTTGACTTTGGTGAGCCATTTCTTCTGGAAAAATGTTTGGGGTCACTTGCTGCACTTGAGTTGGTCGGAGAAGTTTATACAGAGTGGTATTGAATGTACTTGCCAGACAAAAGCAGTTGGCTAATCGCCTAGAACGCGGTTCATAGCTGCGGAGGAAAGGGCTCAGAGCTGTGGAAGCGAGCTGGGTTGGAGGAATGAAGGGGATTACAGGATGTATGGAGACCAGCCGCGTGAGACATCCATGCGTTGTTGGCACTTTCTCGTCAACAAAAGATCACTACAGTGTTGAGCAAAAGGCAACCCCTGGCGGCTTCGAGCAAGCTGGCCAAAGGGTCGATTCTTGGAGCTTTTCGTCCCACGCAAAACCCATCGAGGATGGTACCGGAAGCCTTGCGGTCATGCGGAATAGAATCAAACAGCTGAAGAGTGAAGTGAACTGAGGATGAGCGAATCTGAACTGACTCATTAATTTCTTGTTGCCGTGGTCCTCACCCTCACCTAGGCAACCACTTCATAAGCCCACGTCAACAACAAAACATCACTCTCCAAGCATCGGTGTCGACTGCAACTTCACCTTTCCGAGAAGAACTAAACCACTCCAACCAAACTTAGCTTTTCAAACTCAGCTTTAACACCAATAACACAAAACGCGCAAAAAGGGGCAGACAGCACTATCCGACACCATGGCCCGAAAGCTTGGCAAGAAAGCAGCCCAAAACAAAATCGCCGCCTTCATCAGCGAATGGCTCCCGAAGCTCGAAGTCCAAGAGAACAGCCTGGATGCCCTGAAGCACTACATCTCCTACCGACCCAACCTGTTCGAAGACTCCCACCTCAAACAAGCAGACGCAGTAGCCCAAACCCAATCCCTCGTCGTACAATTCGACGCCGAAGCACAACCCCTCCAAGACCTCGACATCCCCCAGGACATCTACACCGACGTGCACAACACGTTCGTCCTCGTGCAGGGCCTGAAGACGTTTGTGTTTACGTGGTGCGATGAGTGGCAGAAGATCAAGAATGCGAGATGGAGGCCTTATTCGAAGCATTCGCCGTGGATTCGAGAGTTGAAGCAGAAGCTGAGCCCTGTTTTGAAGATCAATCGCGGGATGAATCCGGATGCGGTGCCGGATACGATACGAAAGGGGCCGCGGAAGGGTGTCGGAGGGAGAAAGCCGAAGAGTGTCAAGCAGGTGGTGAAGGGTCAGGTAGATGGGGAGGAAGACGAGGACGAGACAGAGTGGAAGACGGATTCGGACGAGGACTTTGAGCCTTGAGGTGCTAATACAGTCCGGTGGATGTTGGTCAGAGCCTGGTGTTACGAGACGAGGCGGATACTTTGGACGATCTTGGAGTCATGGCGTTCCGGCAAGGCTGGCTTTCGGAAGAGATGAGATACCCTGTGGTAATTTCAAGAATCAGGACTCCTCTATCGGTGCTACTGTTTTGTAAAATCCGTACACAGCCAGAGAAGTGAGAAATGTTTGCCTATCTTCTCTTACTGTGTTGACCACTCAAAGGGCTGAGTAAGATTTGCCAAGCGTTGAACACCAGAGATCCAAGGAATCGAGCATCAAGCTTGCGCTCAGCTGCGTGAAATTGCGGCGTACTGCCATTATCCCCCGATAGATCACGTCAATCACATGCAAGTCTCGCTAGTGGAAATTCCAGCGCACGGACCTCGCGCCAAGCCCAAACGCGCATGTCGATCGAGAATGATCCTCTATTCCTTTTGAAGTCTGTCCTAAGCGACAAAACCAACCTCAATCACGTTCCCCCATCAACATGCGACTGGACAGGATCATCGCCATCAGCAGCACCCTGCACTCGGTGCGCGGCCTCGCCTACCTCCCTCAATCAACCTCAGACACTCTCGCAAACGCCGCAAAAGATCACTCCATCCACACTCAAGCCACAGCAAGATGCAGCGCCCCAGCCTCCTTCTCGACGACTGCAGCGCCGACGCCCACCAGTGCCGTCTTACCGCAACCAGCAGCGCAGCGGCAGGTCGCCACCGAGCTTGCCGGGATGATCTCAGAGCTGCTCTTCAAGCACAAGGAGCTAGAGCAAGATGTGCGATCAGGTGTTTACCACCGGAAATTTCGCAACGATGAAAGGCATGATGAAGAGACTTTCGAAGCCCAAGCCACTACTGAGGAAGGGGTGTCCCTTGGCTTGCCACGGCCCCCTGAGGCTTCGTTCCAGACCTGGCCTCTGAGTCTCGATCTTGATCTTGATGAATACCATCGGGCTTTCATGGATTGGGGCGACGAGATGAAGCTGTACTACGTTGAGTTGGATGAGTACTACGAAAAGCGCCGAGAGATGTGCGGAAGTAGACAGCAGCAAGGTGCGTGAGCGCGGCCTTTCCAGCGGCTGATTTTTGTACTCATCGTTCAGAACGAGACGGGAGGACTGGAAATCTACTGCAATCGGCCAGTCGAGCCGGTTGGAAACAGCTATCGGCAAGGGAGAGTGGTCCGTAAAACGCAATGAGAACGGCGAATGATGCAGGCATTCGCCCATTCCAGTATTCATGTTCTGAGCTCCATGACATACATACTCTGTCGTTCCATTTGTCTTCCCAATTTCAATACCTCGAATCCATACCCCAACCCATTTCACTACCCGCCCTTCCACCACCCTGCCCACTCACCGAGTTCCAGATATCAGCGCCACCCTGCATGAATCTCAGCGCAGAATTCATGTTCGCATTCCCCGTATTGACCTCTCCCCGCCTGACTTCCACCTCCGTCGGCAGATCCGTGCCATCACCTTCAAACTTCTCCAAGACCAAATTCAAGAGGAGATTTCTGTGTTTCTGGAGCCATTGCGTTTCGCGGAGAGAGGCCCAGGTCAGGACATTCCGTCCTGAGCCCCCGCGATGAGGGCTAGAGAACTTCCAACACACGCTGAAGGCCTCCCAGCGTTTGGTCATGAAGAAGAGAATGGGCCAGGTGATGATCCAGAGGAAGGTGAGGTAGAAGATCCAGCGGACCCAGGAGATTCGAGCTCGGTTGATCCAGTGTGGCGAGTAGATATCCACATTCCTGTCTCCGACTGGGAAGGAAATATCGAGGTGGCCCCGGTAATGTGTAGACCGAACGAGATCCTCCAATCCCTCTCTGATCTCCTGCTCATTCAATCCTAGAAGCCTTCTCTCTACGCGGAAAATCTTCAACCAGCTTCTGTCTTCACCGAATTCTTGGCACCAATGCTTGAGGTCCGGCGTTTCTTGCTCGCCGACTTCGATATCTTGTGTGTAGCCCTTCATGCGCGTCTTTCTGAAACTACCACGGTATGCCTGCTCTCCATTTGTAACCACTCGATCTTCAACCCACTTCCCATCGTCCATATTCTGAGAAGGCAGGAACTTCTGGAGACTCATCACAATATCAAAGTCCGTGACTCTCTCCTACTTCTTCTCCTTTTCCTTCTTCACTGTCTGCCAGTGCCACCCTTGAATCCTCACACATGGGCGAGGAGGAACGTTGCGTAGATATGTCTCAATGTATTCATACAGGTGCTCAGGATGCATCAATGCTTCATCCATGCGGATCGATGTTTCGTTTCCCACTGCGGCTGAGGGGCTTTGTGTGCAATCGCTTCGCTTGAAAGCAGCCCAGTTACGAGGTTGTTTGGGGGAGATGATGGAGGCGTATTGATCGTGGCCAGCCGGGAGAAGAGCACTATGGCTTGCCCTCGCTACTGTCTCTCCATCCGCAGCTACACTGCCACTATAGCTCGGTAATTCGGGCAGATCGTCGTACTCATAATCGCTACGCGTCGTGTGCATGGAAACGGTATCTGGATCGTCGCGGTATCCGCTGCCACGGCTGTTCTTTGAGAGAGGAAGAGAAGCGGCTGCTTGCTTATGGTCGACAGTGTTGCACGCCATTTTCGTCTGTGATATCAGTCGTGTCGCAGTAATCTCTGAGAGAGGGAGAACAGGTGCAAAAGAGCAGAGAATGCGGCTGATCCATCCCACCTATATTTGTACAAGCAGGAGAGTGCGGCATAGCGGCACAGGCACAGAAGGCATCCAGTGCCACTTCGAGACGCGCTCCGAACACAATGAATCCAAAAGCAGGTTGGTTGACCCGATGTAGGATAGACCAATAAATCCTCCCGCGTTGAAGTGTCGATGTGTTGATTGAGGGAAAGCGTGAAAGCTAATTAAGCGAAGAACAAAACCATGGCATTCTTGACAGGTTATCAACCTGTCTTTTATGTAAACTTTGATAAAGGGGGCTAAGCCTCAACAAGTAAGGCTCGCTTTTGACGAGTTTTCCTTTCCACATATTTGCCGTAATTTACGGCCGTACGCCATGACAATTCTGGCTAGCTACGGCCGAGAACTCTGGCACTACCGACACGATGTCGAACAATGACTCAGCAGCAACAACACTAAATCGGCATCTCAACATTCGCAATGCTAGCTAGTATTCAGAGATTGACATGGTGCAGGGAATACCGAAAGGGAGATGAGCAGTGATGTATCTGTTCAAGACGGTGTCATTGTTTCTCGAGCTATGTCTCGCCAGCTATCTTCGCCTCGATCGTGGTGTGACTCTCGGCCACTCTATCAGCCATCCTTTCATTGGAGACCTTATCATACACACGCGAATCGTCTCAAGCCCTGTCCAGGTCCTCACGCCTTCGCGGTAGCCTTCGAAGACTTCGTCTCGCTTGGCTGGATGCGAGCCATCATCTCCTCCTTCGTGATCAGGTGATCAATCCTCTCTAGCAAGCCCAACAAGCTCTTCATATTCCCACTCCACTCATTCAGCACCTCATCCGCATCTCGCTTCTTCTCGAAGCTGACAACCTGCGCCGGCCGATCGATACGAGCATAGATTGTCTTGCTGGTGACGAGATCGGAAATGTACTTCTCCGTCTCCCCTGCTGGCAGGTCGAGCAACGATGTGAGTCTCGAAAAGTGAATGCGGGTATAGTACTTGGCGATCACGCGCACATTGTGTTCGATGACCCGCTTCCGGAAATCGAGCCAACGTCGGTGTGCCTTGGGATCGCTCTTGTTCTCCGTCTTGTCGAAGATGTCGGTGCTGGTGAGCTGCGAGCCGAAATTGGATTCAATAGCAGGCCATCGCATCAACTCCGGCACGGTGAAACGCTTCAATAGCTCGCCCTCTGTGGGACACGAGGAGCTGATGCGATTGTCTTGTGCGATCCGGTGAAGCAGATCTGATTGCTCGTTGTCGTATGGAGCGAGGAGAATGAAGAAGACGACGCGCTGCAGCGCCGCGCTCAGCTTGATTGGATCATTTTCCACAGCCTCCGTATCCAGAACTTGCCGGTAGTGCTTGCAGGCCTCCAGATACTTGTCGTCGTGCTTCGCGAGCGTGATCTGCTGCTCGTAGTATCGTAGCTTCAGATCCGTGACGTCGTCTTCTTCGGTGTCTTCCTCGCCAACTGTGCCATCTGCTCGCATTCGCTCCTTCTCTTCCTTTTCCTTCTTCTCCTTCTCAATCTGCTCCGCACTCTTCTTCGGCTTCCGGTTGAAATAGCGAGTGCTAATCTTACGCGCGAGAATCCCGGCCTGTGTGAAGTCTCCGTCCTCAATACACAGAGATACTTGATCAAGGATGAACTCCGTCTTCTCTCGCCGAGCCATCGAGCCGAAAGTCTCCACTTGCAGCTCGCACAGAATGTCCTTCGCAGCAGTGATATCTCCCTGTAATCGCTTGATGTTCGACAGTATCCGAGTAACGCGAGCTCTCTCGACTTCGACGAAGATCTGTAATTGTGTCCGCATTAGCGTACGCTCCGTACCAAATCGGCAGCTGCCTCAACGTACCTTTCCCTCAGTCACCGTCCGCAGCGTCTCAATTACACTAAGCTTCGTCTCCATGTTCGGCGTATCATCCAAGAAGCCCATCACCACCTGCACCATCTTGGTGATGGCCTGCTTGAGTTGTCCATGCTTCTTGCTGAGCGACTGTACTTGCTCATTCAGCAAGCTCCAGTCTCCCGAGTTTTTCGATATCGTGACGATGGAGACGAGGATTCGCGAGGTCGAAGGCAGGTCTGATGCTTGGCGGGTTTGTTTCTCTAAGCTGAGCAGCTTGTCAATGGCTTGCTGTGTTTGTCCATTCTGTCACATCATCAGCAGCGAGCTCAAGGCTATCAAGTCTACAGATGACATACTTGCGCGGTCTTCTCAGCTTCTGGCAGCGCGGCATCGACCTCCTTGGTAAAGTCCTTGTCCGCCTTGAGGATGCTGCCGTCGCTGGACATGGCGGCTGCGGGAGAAAACAGATGTGAAATGAGTGCTTTCGAGCAGAGTCTCGGTTTAGTCGTGTCCAGAAGACTGATTGTATCCGAGATGGGGAGAACAGTGGAATGGAGGGTGTAGCTGCTCTCAGGAAGGTGGGCGATGTCGGTGTTCGAAGATGGCAACAGCTACAAGAAGCACGCGCCTTCTCCGATGCGGCTCTGCGGAATTTGCCGATCACGAACTCTATTTGATCACCTACAACTTCACGTTCAAACATATTGAACCCATCTCAACTGCTATGGGATATCTGGAGGCCATGGGACCTGGACGATGTACTCAGAATACCACCCGGCAGTCAAGACATAGACTACACCCAGCCATAGCCCGCAGCTCCAACCACATCACTGGCAAGAAGTCGTTAATCATTACTCGTAAGGACGGTGCTTGGAGCTGCCTCTCGCCTCTTCAAAGTCACACCGCGCCTCACGAGACGCCACACGCCATGTCTAGGCTCCTCGTGGACACCATGAGCCTCTCGTCGCTCTGACCTCTCGTTGCTCTGGCCTCTCGCCGCTCTGGCCTCTCGCCGCTCTGGCCTCCAGGGAGCACGGTATGCCTATACAGACACCGGACCTTATGCGAACCATATGCTTTCGATTGCTAGGAGTCCGTCGCGTCTTGTTGGAAAGCAAACAAATCCCCTTGCCTTATTGCTACCATACGTGAATGCTGTGCTCAATACACCCGCTCCGTAGGGCATGTCCAACTGGCCGCTTCTGCTACTGGTCCATCTTTATACTCCGCCACTGCCGGCCACCTACAGATTGGCCGCTCAAAATCCACGCCTAGACTTGCCGTGTCGTTCAAGAACTTGGTGCCAATGACCATCTCTGGAGCTTTGCTTGCCGAGCCGTTGGAGCTCTTTCCAGCGCCTTCCACCCAGTCGACAAGAGACCACAGCATTGAATGGTCTCTGCTGTAGTCAGCCGGAATGACGCCTCCCTGACTGGCAGCGTCGATTACCCAGCCCCCAACGCCACCGTTGCAATGACCCATGCCCGGCACCAGAAACAGCCGATAGAATGCAGCTACCTCGTCTGCCTTGTCGATGCTACTGTAAAAGAATTTCAACGTATCGTACCAAGCAGGCGCTGTTAAAGATGGAATCAATGGGTCGGCATATCCGTGATATTGGATCAACTTCCCACCCGCATCCTGGAATGGTCGCATGTCTGGGTTGTAAGCATTGCATCCTCCCGGATTGATGTTGTTTGCGAATGCAATCGTGCTGGCATTCGTCTCTGCCCAGTTCCAATTAGAAGCGTTGAAGACGGCATATCGATAGAATTCTGGGCCAAAGGCTGGCTCGTCCCCGTTCATAAGGGTTGCGAAACTGAGCTCGCCGCTTGGAGAAATACCAGGATTGATCAAGTTGCTCGACGCGTCTAGCCATGGCCGGTACATCCTTTCCAGATTCTGGACTTGATCCGCATTCAGACAAGCGCTCGAATTAGATATGCTCTTCTCGCAGAGCAGGACCTCCGCGTGAAATGCGCACTGTGATGGATCCATGATGATGCCATCCTGAATCCCATCCAAATGATCACATTGCTTCAAGACAGCTTCATGGATTGTTGGCCACATAGAAGCGGGGATATAAGAGCTGTGATTGTTTGGAAACTGGTTCAGAGCGACGTATGTCTGCCATCCGGAAGTGTTGGTTTGAGAAGCGATGGCTGACCCCACGAGAACACCATTATAATCTTGCGGATAACGCTGTGCGGCGCTGAGACCCTGTCTGCCACCTGCGATGCGCCATAAGCAAAAACAACTGGACAGGGTGCAACGCCCACTCACCAGTCGAACAACCAGCATAGTACGCCCACTCTGCTTCTGCTGAATAATACCCCTTTACGATATCTTTCGCAGCCACGGTCGTCGAATGCAGGGCCCTATATCCAAAGTCGATGAGTCTGTCCGGAGAGTTCAGCATCCAGGTCCCATCCAGCTGCGTCGAATCATGTCCCACATTCGTGCTCAACGTGGCGAAACCTTTCCGTACTCCCCAGACAACGTCGGGGTAGTTTATACCGCCTGCGAACCCCCCATTGCCTACTGCGAGAAAGCGGCCGCTCCAGGAAGAGGGAAGCCACACTTCTGCTTTGGCGGAGCTATTGGAGCTTGTTCGAGTTGTGAATTTCACTCGGCAAAGTTCTGGGAGATTTGTTTGAGCGGTGTCGTAACTTGTCTCGACTGATGTGCCGGTAAAATTTGAACCGGCTGAGAGGAGATCTACGGAGGTTATGGTTGTTGCGTTAAAGATGGTGGCGTTGAGAAGGGTCCTGCAAAGCGTGTCGTTCGGAGCCCTGCTTTCTGCTCCGGACGCGAGAGCTGCGCCTACCAGCAACCATGAAACGCACTTGGATACCATCTGGAAGGATGACAAGCTTTCCGCGGCGCTGTACCTGCGTCAGATACTTATGAAGTTGGACATGGACGACGTACACAGACTGCCTATCTGGTCAGGAGATAGGCCAGGATATCATCGGCCAGCAGTATCTATGTGGTCCGGAGCGAACGGCTACAAGACAAGATCACTCCGCAACTTCTCTGACAATCTTCACAGCATTACCGTAAAGAAGCTTGTGTGTCGAAGCTTCTCGCTCGAGACTGACCCACCCTTGGGATGCCTGTACACCCAGCCGGTTAGTGTTTGTGTGGGAAATCACGACAAGAGCACGTGAATATTCGTTTGGACGTTGCACTTACGGCAGGGTACGCCCTCACTATGATCGAGAACTACTCGGTGTTTCTGAACGACGGTAACATGTCCTACGAACCTAGAGCTTGGTTGGAGAGGCTGAGCACAAGACCCTTGCACGAGCACTACTAGTACCTGGCTATTGCATCGAAGCGTTGAAGAGGCCCCGAGATCCCGTTGCAGCATGAAGGGCAGAATTCAGCGGCACTGATCACCGAGGATCTGCAAATTGCAGAACACCTACGGAATCCACGAGTCCACGAAGTTGAGAGATAATCTGGATGACTGGAGCTTGGATCTTGAACCATTTCTCATTCTCTCTGACCACTGACCACTCATATCGACATCTACGGAGAAGCCACAATGCTATCTGGCGGGTATCAAGTCCATCTAATTCTCATCTCCAAATTCTACAAGGGAACCCTTTTAAGTACGCTGAGCGAAACCAATGCGGCTGTTGGTGGTGTCGAACACGGAGTAGTATTGCTCCAAAAACTTCTGGCCGATGATGGTGTTGACGCCAGAGCTGCCACCGTTGTTGATCCAGGAGTAGTACTTCCCGGAGCTGAGGCCGTATTCGGAATACTGAGCCTGTGGAACCAAGTACTGCGATGGGGTCAGGTTGTAGGTAGTAGAGCCGAACTTGACGCCGAAGTTGCTGGTTGGCTTGGTGGTGAAGGATGCGAGGCCAGAGCTGCTGTCGGTGGTACCACCAGTGGCGGAGAGGAAGTTGTTATAGGCAGCAGATGGGATGTAAATAAGGGTAGTACCGGTGTCAACAATACCCTGGGCGTTGGATGCCAGCGTGGTGGAGCCGTAGGTGAAGCTGGCAATGGCGATTCCCCAGTATGGAGAAGCAGAGCCGCTGGTGAGGCGAGGGAAGTAGGTGAGAGAGCCGGTGTACTTGGAGCTGTCGGTGCCACCGAGGGTCAGTTCGCCATTGGCATCGTCGGTATCGCTGCCAGACTCGGGCTTGAAGTAGACACCGAGGACCTCAGTCGAGATGGACTTCTGGCTGTAAAGGTTGTCCATGAAAGTTGGGACGGTGTTGGCGTTGGAGACAGTGTTCTGGGTAAGATCCTGTGGACCAAAGCCGATAATGCCATCGACACCGGAGAAGCCCTGCGATTGGGAGGCAGAACCGATCGATTGGGACTTGACCGTCAATCCACCGAAAGAGACCTGGTCGGTGTATTCAGTGCCGGAGAAGGACCCGCTTCCGTAGGAGACGGACACGGATCCGCCGGTTGACTTTCCGGTCGAAGTCTTCTCGCAGGCGCTCTGCGCACCACACCAGGTGTTCGAGGCTGCATTTCCTTGTCAGCATGGAGTTCAGAAATTCTGCCTACAGGGCAACTCACATCCAGTGTCAACGATGAGTTGCCAAGTGTTGCCACCGATGGATACAGGAGCAACGTAGGTGACGTCCTCATTAGTGACGGTTCCGGAGCTGGCATAGCTGTTGCCAGCCTTCTCGCCGCCGTTGATGTGGCTGATCTTGGATTGACCCTTGGAAACAATGCTGGACATTGACTTGGCGGTGTTGACGTGAGACAATGGCAAGCTCATTGGCTGGGCCTCGCGCGCAGTTGGCAGCGCTGAGACCACGGCAGCAGCCGCAGCAATGCTAAGGAAGAACATCTTGGTGCTGGTGCGAGTAGAGAAATTGATGGATAAAGCTGCTGGGATTGTTCGATGACCTGGTAACAGAAAAAGGCCTTCATCGATGGGGACGCGCAGCTTTTGTATACGGTCGCAGGTACGTCCTCCGTGATAGTCCTCGTCGACAACATCGTGTTCAGGACATGTTCGCGTGATTGATCACATCTCTGTTGATCTTCGAGATTGCAGATGCTCTACAATGACACCTGCCCCAATAGGAAGCTCCCCCAATCTACAAACTCGTAGCGTGTACATAGATTGCCTTAGCCTCGGGTTTCTTGGCCCCCTCCCTTCTGGTCTTTCGTATAGCGGCGAGCTGTATCTGATGTCTCCAGACCTCCGGTTGGAGTCCAGACCTCCGGTTGGAGAGATCCTTTTGACAAAAAACATTGTTGATCATCGTGGCGCACGCCTCAGCCAAGCTTGTGCTCACTTGACAGGTGCTTATCGTATCGCCCCCTCGCACAGGAAGCACGATTAGCGGCTACGCTAGGTAGTTTCGAGTAAGTGCCTGCAGCTCGCAGATCTAGAGTGATCACCAGTGAGAGACTTGTGGACTCACCTCACCCACGACCTGCAGGACTCAGCGCTCCGAGGTTGGCTGAAAGTTGGACATATGCGCTCTAATTTGTCGGTTATTCGGTGATTATTCCTCTCACGGGAAAAAGCTATTCGTCTGAGGAAAACTACGGTATACACCCGCGCCACACTTTCCCTCCCCGCGCTGCCATGGCTCGACAGGCTACGAATGCACTGCTGTTCGCGGGAAGTTCTGGAAACGGCAGGTCCTCCTCACATGGCACCTTGTCTTCCAGATCGTACCCCCTCTCATCTGGAACATGGCCTTCAAGCGAAGGTAACAGTACTGTCGGGACATGCAGCGAGCCGATAAAGCGGCCGTAAGTCACATCGGATCTCGAACTGGTTTCGTTCAAGGTCTCGGAGTGCGTCTTGAAAGAGGCGTTCATGGCGGTGCCATGACCTGATCGATGGGAGCCCCGGGACAGCACACAAGCCAGACTTGAATTATCGGAAGGCGATGTATCTTGCATCATTTGGAATGGGTCAGAGTGCTCTCTACCCCCTGTAGAGCTCGAGCCACACTGTGGTTATTACTTCGCGCATGTGAAGACCCGACACATTTCCGGCATTGGGGCTCCACTCTAGAAATTAGCATGCGCAGCACTTAGGCCAAACGCATATCTGCTATCATGTCCATCTCGTATTTCTGCATCTTGCAGTCTAAGGTTGCATCGCAATGTTGTGGAGGGCATCTTCCTCGACCGAAACGGCCTTCACCAGAGCGAGCTTGCATGAGGTTTCGGTGGTCATGAGGAAGTAAACGATGTCTAGGATCTGGAAACGAGAGACACAAGAGTTGGAGAGGTCTGTTCCTATGGAAGCCCCCATGCAGTTACCTCAACGACGAGGCCGTCGAGGGCTGCGATACGGATGGACAAGCGTATAGTATTGATCAAGCATGTCTTTTTGGATTCTGTTAGTGAGGTGTTCTTTCCGGTCAACTGTTCGTTCTCGTTGCCGATATCGACTTGGTTTTTGAAAGCTGCACAGGGGCTCGGGATTCCATATTTGGCGCAGGGGGTTGAGAGTGGAAGGTTATTAGGGAATGCGTGGTTTCCTAGTTCCATTGATTTGAAGAGTGGTGAGAGGAGTACGTCTCAAGAAGCTTATCTCCGATTAGGAATGGAGACGGAACGATTGACGGTTCATACCCATACAATGGCCCAAAAGCTGCGGTTCAATGGAACAACGGCCACAGGCGTGGATGTTGTCGCCAAGGATTTACCATTCACTCTGACTGCGAAGAAAGAGGTGATAGTTTCTTGCGGAGCGTTCCAGAGTCCTCAGGTTAGTATTGCAGAAGACCTTCTCCGGCGAATGTGCTGACCTTATTTTCCCTAGCTCCTGATGGTATCCGGGATTGGCCCTTCTGATGTCCTGAAGAATTTTTCGATTCCAGTGATAGCGGACAAAGCGGGCGTTGGCCAGGACATGTGGGATAATCCGATCTTTGGTGTAAGGACCCCTTCCAGATCTCTCATCCTATCGTGATGAAAGTTGACAGAAGCATAGATCACCTACGCCGTCGACGTCGAAACCTCCAGCGCGTACACAAACAGCCCAGCAAGAATGGCCCGGGCCGTTCAACAATACAATTCCAACAGAACAGGCTATCTCTTATCAGTACGTTCCCTTCCGAAGTCTCCAGGACATAAATGCTAATACTTCCCCGAACATGCAGTCCGGCACAGAGACAATAAGTTTCGAAGCCCTTCGAGACATCCCACACCTCAACCTCAGCGCCTCCGCAAAACAAAGCCTTTGCCAATTCCCATCCGACTGGCCAGACGTCGAATTCGTCTCCTTGGCCACATGGTACGGTCCTTACATGGGTTCTACGCCTCCGACAATGAACAACTACGAGAGTCTCGCAGCTGGTCTCATCGCACCACTAAGTCGTGGGTCCGTTTCCATCAAATCCGCAAACATGTCCGATTCACCTATCATTAACCCCGGGTGGCTTACACATTCCACGGACCAGGAACTCGCTATAGCAGCCGTCCGGAGAGCAAGGGAGTATGCCGCTACACCCGCTTTCCGGTCCATCACGATTGGAGAAGAGGCTTTCCCGGGCAAGAATGTGACGACCGATGCGCAGATTTTGACCGTGCTGAGGGAGCAGACGAGTACCTTCTACCATGCCTCTGCGACTTGTAAGATGGGTAGGAGTAGTGACAGCATGGCGGTTGTGGATAGTAAAGGAAGGGTATTTGGGGTCAACAAATTGCGTGTTGTGGATATTTTTGCGATGCCCTTCTTGCCACCGGGTCAACCGCAGGCTACCGTGTGAGTACCGTCGTCCGAAGTGTTGCCGTTGTACTGACAAACGACAGATACATGCTGGCCGAGAAGATTGCAGATGAGATTTTGATAGAGGCTTCCAGGAATGCCACGAGTGGGAATGCGACCTATGCGCTGGTTTAGGATGGAATTGGCGTAGATGTAGAACATCAGGTAGATGTGAGCGGTGCTCATGCCACCGTCAAGAAGGGCCCTGACTTGAGTCTTGTTGTACTCGTCCGCGCTCGGGACAAGTCCGGACGTAATCAAATTGTAGCAAGCCGCCCAACAGGCGGATTGTGGTATCGAAACCATCGATTCGTGGGTCCTGTGTTGTGTTGAAGTTTTGAACAGCGATGTGTCCAATCTGGCGGTAAACGATATCTTGTATCCCATTACGATCGCAGTGTCGATGCCATCGATGATAATAAGGCCCCAGCTCCCAGAGCCACCACTGTCAGTCATAGAAACGGAGTTGCAACCATCGCTGCCGAAAGCATACTGCACATATCCATCCCATGCGTCGACATAGGCTTGCTGAAGCCATTTCGGCGGACGTTCAGTCTTAAAAATGATCGACGTACCTTTTCTGCTGCAGCTCGGCTGGTACTACCACTGCTGGGTCCATTGGTGCTCCACGGAAGTTTGTTATGGATCTCTACGCAGTTGCTAGGTCCATGTGGATGCTGTTCCCAGCCCGGTCGATCCCCACGCCATCCTTGCCCAGGACTCCGGTGCCACCCACCTCCGTGACGACGCGAGTCTAGTGGACCGGCTACGGCGACATTGAAGTTGATTGAATTAGCGACAATGCTGTTGGCTGGACTCGCTACAAAGCTGCCGTCAGTTGCGAAATGCGAGTTACTGGGTGTCAGAGTAGCTGCAGAGCCCAGAAAGAGCTGGATTGAAATTGGTGGCCACATGATGACTGTAGCAGTCAGAACGCTGGGGCGTTGCCGAGCAGAGGAGTCTGCGGTCAGGCATATGACCCTTTTTATTGCTCTGACAGTTGCATTCGCATCGATATTACAATCCGTTCCGCCGGTACGAGAGCCTTAGCATGTGCTCCTTTGTGGAGGGGACTTCTCTGAGAATAATCTGAACGGAAGTGGAGCCGGGCTTCAGGATCAACCTCTAATTCAATGACTAGCTCTTCGCGGAGCAAGCACGCCAGGAACAGGCAATCGTTGAACCCTTTAGTCAAGATGCGAGACTCGCACATAGCGTCGTGCATGCCGTTAGCCGCGTGCGGTCGAGTGACTGCCTGCAATGGAACCTGCTGAATAAGCCGAAGGAAACAGTCGTCGATGCAGCAGAGGAAAGCCCGTTCTCCGTTTCCGAACGATGTCTCCTAGCAAAGCGAACTGTGTTTGACCAGGCGGTGCAATGAGACCGTCAAGAGAAAGTGCATATGTTGTGCCGAGTGAGTTGATTCTGCGGTGGCGTGAATGTCTACCGCGGTCTTCTCTCGCCAAAAATCCACGCGCTTCCTTCCAAGCCGGATCTAGGAACTGATTTGACATAGCTGAGTGCACACGACGTTGTCGATGGGATCGACGCATGATGTTGGTTGTCGGTGGGTGATGATTGGTGGATAGAGGATGGCAAGGGGGAAAGGAGGGACAAGTGTGTGAGTGAATGCTTCGGCTTACTAAATCAAACGGGCCGAGCCGATACGGGGCGAGCCCAGCCGAAAGCGAAAGCGAAATAATTTTAGCGTTGTCGTTGGGAGACGCCTCACTCGCTTCACTGCCTCTATCCTTCTCAACATCGATATTTCGCAGCCTTCGGCAGACGGTAGTCAAGTCAAGTCATCAGAAGCCAGGCCTATAAATCGCATGTCTCAGTGCAAAGCAGTCGACTTCCAATTTCGGGGTTGACTCACTACGCCAAGTCTTCTTGTTCGGTATCTACACGCGAGGACGTCAAGGTCGAGTCCTTGTCGACAACGTGTACATTTCCCACACCATCTCTCTCAAGAGCGTTACGAAGATCAACGCCATAGACAGAGGGTGCCTCTCTCCAGACCATACTATCTTTGATGTAAGGCTCGACTAGCAAGGCGGATTCCAGCTTATGGCGATGCAAAAATGCAACAAGCTCCGGCATCTTTAAGAGGAAGTTTCTGAAACACACGCTCCTCAATGAGGGAATGTGCATGTCCATGAGTTCGCTGCAGATATGACCCCCCGCTATGGCCTACGAAAGCTCGCTTGGTTCGTCGTCCCGAGGATAGGTCCTGAAGTCCACTGTGAGTTGTTCCAGTCTGTTTACACTCTCCAAAGCCGCGCCAAGTAGTTCGTCCACACCAAAATACCAATTGACATGATCCTCCACGCCGACTACGAACTTCAAGCTCAAAATCTTGAGATGCTCGAACACCGAGAGGCACAGTTCGTATTGACGCTCGCTCATACACCCAATCATGTTGAGCATCATGTCGTTTGAATCAATTTGTAGGCAGCTGATTCTAAGTTGACTGAAACAGAGCGCATCAAAAATCGTCGTGAGAGAGTAAGAGCTAGAGCCCGTCGGGACATCCAGCAGAGCATGGCAATGGGGGAAACCAACTACCAGAGGCTCGTCGTCCTCTCCGGCGTCTTTCACTGTAGCCGTTGCGATCCTCATGGTCCGAGCATTCTCCAGTCCTGAAAAGATGGTCCCGAGAAATAAGAGATCGCGGCCATACTTTTTCATCTCTATCTGGCTATATTGTACTTCAAAGAATCTCCAGATATGCTGTCCTTCCAGCATCGTTGTGGCATCAGCAATATCTTCTCCACCATCAAATCTATCGGTGAGGATCTTGATGTCCCGTACCAGGCGGCCGAATTGATGGTTCCTGCTGATTTCAAGTCCTCGTTGAAGACTTTGGTCAAACCCAAGCACGAGTCTGAGAGTGGTGAAGTGAGCGGAAGCCCAGACCCGGTCGGTTTTGACATAGCATTCTCGACTGACCTGGCGCAGATTGCTGAGGTCCGTTTTCGCTAGGGTTTGAGCAACGAGTTCCAAGAGCTCCGACTGCAGGTCCTCTAGTGTCTTCGGCATGTTGAATCTCATGGTGCTTTCGGAGAGACAGATTTGCTTGTGAGGGGCAGCAGAGAAGAAGACTGCTACCGAGCTGACCACAGCTATGCTGAGGCCAGGATCAGGATGCATCCTCCTGGTCAGTACAGGGAACGCTAGCATCTCCCATCGTTGCTTGAAAGCAGCCGGAACTGACTTTCGCAGGTACACTGATGACGATGATGATGATGACGATGATGAACACTCTTCGAAAAGTAGAGGCTACACTCAATCGATGCTGCAAAACGCGCAGCTGTTCGAATCTTGCGATCATGGGCAGAATCACATACAGAAAACAAAGGGGCCATAGTGGGATGGAAAGGCAGTGAGATCCAGTCGCTGAAGTCTTCGAAGTTATTATCCAACAGAGGCACTTCAGACTGCCCTTTCGGTGCCTCTGTCTGATCAGGAGGATTGTGACTCCTTGTCCGTGCTGCTTCTGACGCGGAAAATTCGTGTCGCAACCGTCCGACGTGGGTCTTGAGCAGAGAAGCGTACGTGTGTGCAAGGTGAACGTCGTCTGATACACTTGAGCTCAGCGCAGTCACGAATTGGTCGAGGAGACTCAAAGCTCCCCGCAGCTGTGTATCGCGAACACCAGTCGCCAACGCTTTGAGGATGAAGATGGATTCCGTCGTCCCACCGACACAGATCCTCTCTGGGACAAAGCGAAGAGATCCTCGCTCTGTCAACTGCACGACCCGGCCAAGTAAGGCACAGGAGCTCGTTATCACCTTCTGAACATTGTATCGATCGTCGAAAGAGCTCCATGTATGCGGTGGAGAGCAGTTCCATTCGAGATCAGGACAAGTGCCTGCATTGAGCCGAGCGTCCTCGCTTTTGCCAGTGAATTCTTCTCTTGCCCAAACATTAGACGCATGATGAGGCTCTGGCAATGACGCCAAAACCATCCATGGACGAAATCTCCTGCGACAAGCTAGCTGGTCCGAGCAATGCATGGTATCGTCAAGATAACGCAAAAGTCTACAGCGGAGAAGGGTTCCCGAGTGGCCATCTCGAGATGACCGTCTGTGCGTTCCGCCGCCGATGCTGATGAAGGCATTGATGATTCCCTGTTCTCAGGCGGTCGAGACTTGGGTCAGACCCTCTCCTCAGGAAAGACGCACTCGCGGTGCCCCCGGCGGCATTTTCGACCAGGAGGCCCCGTCAATTCTCGGAGCTCGCAGCGACCCTTCTTGTAAATGAAAGCACGCCGTGTAGGGGCGAGTGATGGGATTGGAGTCAGCTTTTTCCTTTCGATCATCCGGCATGATAAGACTGCCACTGATCACTGACTAGCCTTGAGCATGGTAGGACGTCCTAGACGTCTTCGGGAGCAGCCCCTCAGCATCAGGTGGCGCCTCCTCCATTGCACGCGTCGTCCATCCGCCTTGCAAGCCTTGATGGCAAGACTAAGAGTGTATGGACAAAGAGACACGTTCAAGTAGTCACGTGCGTGTGCCAAGCGTTGTCATCAGTTCGGTGACCGGGTGAAGTGAGTTATCGTGTCCGACGGGACAAGAAAACGCTTCGTGCTTCGCACTTCGCATTCGGATTCGGATTGGGACGGGGCCGGGCGGGGCGGGGCGCGTGAGTCAGCCAGCGCAGGCCGTCCCGGCATTCCATCGTCGTTGACCTCGTATAAGACGCATGATATCGTTCGATACTCACTATCCTCATATAGTTCCTGGTCGTTTTCTGCCCACTCGCAGACTTTTCAAAGTCAATGACGCTCATCCCCGGGCCAACCGCCTCTGCAGTGGCACGAGAGGAGCCTTCCATACTCTCCCACCGCCTTGCCACGTTTCTTGATCGTCTCCCCGATTCAGATTTCTCTACAGACACTGCGAAGTCATCGGGCGACGGGAGACTCACAGCTAGCGACTGCAAAGAGTCACGCCTGTCACTACCGCCTTCCGTTTTATGGAGAGATTGAAGATGCCGAGACAATATTCCGTCGATCGATCCATCCTTCCCCGTCACGCAGCTGATATGCAGGCTCGTCGAAGGTGATACACGCGACACGACTCAAGGACCGACTTTCTACAAGCATCAGGTCTTTGTCAAATTGCTCGAACTTGCGATCGACCATCTGAATCGAGACCGTTACGTGATGATCTGCTACACTGGCGAGAACGTGAAATACATTCTGGGTCGCTTCTGCCCCAACCTCCTGTCCCTCGCAGACGTCCATGCGGCAAGGCCGTCTTGCGTCTCATTCTCGGCTCAACATGAGGCTCTCCAACAGTATTGCAGGCCTTTGTCTGCTTACATTGGCGTCAGGCGCTGCGGCTCGAAACGCAACTCAGCAGCAATCTATCAACAATGCGACAGCCTTGCCATTGCCTCTTTGTGGTGTAAATTCAACCTCAGCTCCCGATATCTATATCTAATCCCTAACAAAACCTGTAGCAACGCTGCTACGCTCAAGTGCTTCCCACTTACGACTGCAATTCCGGAGACGCCAGCTGCATTTGCCCCAATGCCAACCTGACGACAGCCCTGTCGGCATGTTCTCAATCCAATTGCACGGTCCCAGAACAGCTTAGTATGTTCGCAGTCCAATCCATGCATGATCGCATTCTGACACCTTCCTCAGCGTTCGAGAAATTTTCGAAAGACAGCTGCGGGGCCATCAGCCGCAATCATTCTAGCAACACACGGGTTACTACATGGACGCTCTTCGCTCTAGCACTCGTCTTCGTGGGGGCCCGTTTCATTGCGCGCCCCGAGAGGCTCAAAGGGAGTGGCTACGGAAGTGATGATTGGACCATCGCTAGCACACTTCTCGTTCTGTTGCCCCTGAATGTCCTTGTTCAAGCAATGACGAACAACGGTCTCGGAGCAGACAATTATACCCTACAGGCCAGCGAGATCACGGCGTTCTTGAAAGTGAGTTTTAACTTGCCAACCGACTGGTAGCATCATACTTATCACGTCAGGAATTCTACATCTTCGAAATACTCTATACCCTTGTCGTCTTTCTCACGAAGGTCTCTATCCTGCAACTCTACCTACGCATCTGGACTGTCGAAGCAGTCTCCAGGTGGTTTCGGCTTGCCGTATGGTCTCTGATCCTTTTGAATCTTGTCACCATGCTGGCATTTGCGTTGAGCTTGGTCGCTCAATGCAGTCCGATCAGCTATGTAAGCCCTCCTTGTGACACGACAAAAGCGCGAAGAAGTCGCTAACAAACTTGTCCGACAGGCATGGCACGACTGGGACCTTCTACACGTGGGCCACTGCGTCAACCAGCAAGCTCAGATCTATGTCCTAGGTGCTTTCAACATCGCCTACGACGTAGTAGTCTTCATCTTCCCACTACACAACTTTCTCAAGTTGAACATATCTTGGCAGAGGAAGTTTGGCGTTTGCTTAATCTTCATGGTCGGCTTACTCGTTACCATCTGCAGCATTGTACGTGGTTCCAAATCTCGCACATCCTCAAACGCCGCTAATGCGCTCTCTAGGTCCGCCTTCAGTACCTCGTCAAAATCGGCGTCAGCGGTAATCCAACCTGGGACTACAACTCCGCCGTAGTTTGGAGCTCCGTGGAATGCAACATCAGCGTAGTCTGCACCTGCATGCCCGCCATGGCCGGTCTCCTCCAACGACTCTGGGCCGCCATGTCCGGCCAGCCGCTCACCTCAAGTTCCGGCTCGGAGTCGAAAGCGCCAATGCACCCTACCGTCATCGACCCCGAGAACCCCGTTCGCGACGAAGAAATGCTCCGCATGCGTGACCCAAATTCCATGGATGAATGCGCTACCGAAATGGCGGAATCCGATCGTGGAGCTCCGACCGAGAAAGTCTTCCGTCATAAGGAGAATGCAGCTACTTCGAGGGGGATCGAAATCAAGCATGAGCCTCCGAGCGAGACGACAGCGACGCGGATGTCGTATCGAGATAGTGAGGGACGATTGCATGAGGTAAAGGTGATTGACAAGCCGACTGAGGACGTTGATCCAAATTTTGAAGGGCGTTCGTGCCACAGCGGCTAAGGACGGCCCAGGGTCGGGCATCACAATCTCCGGAGGCTAGTGAGAGGCAGGCGGATGCGTTGCAGAGTTTGAGGGGGTCTGATCACGTGGAATGTAAAGCTGAGGCGGAGGTTGTGTGAAGGCATTGGAGGAGTGGTGGGCCGGGGAGGAGGTATTTAATGGAGACAAGTGGAATCTTGTATCGGAATCGGGACAGGACAAGATGGGGAATCTTTGGGACATCGACAAGATAACCTTTGAATTGTGATACCGACATCGAGACCTTGGCCATCTTTCCGGTCACGAACGAGGTGAACGATTCAACGTTGACTTTCGAGGTTTGTCATCTTTGAGAGCCAGGTCAAAGACCGTTTCTGAACAAGAATCGATTTTCAGAGACTCTAGACGCTTGGATCGTCATCTCGCTCCCATGTGATCAATACGTCCGTGTTGGTCTTGGCGAAGATGGCGCTTTCCCTGGAGAATGTGCATTTACCGGGATCCTCGGATGTTTCGGAAAGCGGATCGGTCGGCAAACACAAGGAACGTCAGTGCAAGATGTGAAGTTCAACAAACTTCCACCAAGACAATAACATCAGTCCACTCCAATACTTGCAAGATCACGCGGAATCTATCCAACACTTGCCAAGCTGCGATGTGGACATTGGAGATGGAATGATGGCGGCATGTCTGGACTCACGCCGATTACTGTCCAGTTCTGCTTGGGTTTGTACTTTGATGCCGTTGCTGGTCGTTTGGCTTGCCGACGGCAGACCTGTGGATCCGGACCAGAGCAATCCAGATGTCGCGTGAGAGCGAGAGGGCATTTATTGATTACGGGCATCGGCTAATGTTGTCTCCCAATCTCATCTCGGATGTTGGAGCCTCTTCCCGCCTGCAACCCTGGTTCGTCATCGGCTGCTCGGTTGCTGGAACTTCCTACGTCCTAGGTGACCCTCGAGGCCATATACTTCCTACAATAGAGCAAAATTGCGTATGCCGTCGGAGATGCACGGTCGCGGAAGACGATTTCGATCCTGGCTGTCTTGCGCTCACACGTTGCCGGTGTCGCTCTTGCGCTCTTGTCTGTTCATGATACGTACGACGACCACCGCCTGCACGCAAAATTACTACTCATCAGGTTCATTCGGGCTCGCTGTCAGTGCGCGCTGGGTCATTTCGCTGGACATGGAGAACCCATTCATGAAAGCAAATCACTTCTCCCAGAAGAGGCTTCTGTAGGTCATTCTTCTCGAAATGAAGGCAATATTGTTGACTAAGGACATGCAGTTCTGCTGGCGGGTCGGACATTGCCGCAGTCGGATTCCCTCTGAGCGTGGTATTCTTTGCCTGCTTGTGCACAGATCAAATGAGCATAGCAGGGATCTTTGAATGCGTTGCCACGATTGTTGGTGTTGGTTATCTTTTGACTTTGGTTGGCTTCGTCATGTTGGTCACTTTGCGCATCCACTTTCTTGGAGAATTATGTAGTGTGGCCTGAGACTGACTTCTCCGCAGCCCTCCGCGTGACGAAATGGACAGCGCAATGGCGCCGCTGTTGCGCTCGTTGCCTGTCAATTGAGCTTCAGTGGCAGCTGCTGGCTTTCACGTGAAAGCTCTTGTTTCATGCCTAGGGCGCGCGCGCGGCTTTGTCGAGGCCGCCGCTTGTGGCCGGACTGTTTGCGCGACAAGTATTCACGGCGTCAAACACCAACTGCTGCAAAGCGCGCTCGAGCAACGCCCTTCTTTCGCAGCAAACCATCGGGGAAAACTACTTAGCGGCCGGCACTTCCGCTTTACTGGCCCAAACCCTACAGTGAACAGCCACCTGCTCGCTCTCCAGGACATGAGTAACCCCGATCCTGACCAAGATACAATCGAAGCAGTCCGCACTTCCCGCCTCGTGGCCTCCAAACGCCGCTCCGCGTTCCCCTCCGCAGCAACTCCGCGCAACCCCGGCGAAGCCCAAGGCGTCAAAATGGTCGTCTTCCGCATCCGCCACTTCAACCAGCGAAATGACGAGCCCTGGCTCACGGCAACCTTCACCAGCACCGCCAACGTCCGATCCACCATCCAAGGCCTGATCGAGCAAGTGTCCACCAAGCCGAACAGCGCTCTCTATCTCAACAGCGACTACAACAACCCGGGGAAGCAAGTCACCCTGGACGAGCTGGTCGATCTCGTCACGAAGGAAAGCGTCCTCGTCGGTGGAGAGGTGGATGATGTGGAAGTCGTCGTGGGCGAGCCGAGACGTTCTGCGCTCGTACAGACGACACCTCCGCGAAGGGAGGAACGCAGGGAGCGGAAGAAGGAAGACACGAAGTGTTGCGTCGTCCTCTGATGGTATGATCTCTTCTTCCCCGATTGCGGTGTGTGTGTGTGTGCGGTCTCTGGATTGCGAATTGATACCCAAGCATGGGAATCTTCCGGTCAGGATGGTGTAGACTAGACAATCACACCAGAGATGTAATGGTAGTCTTCAATGGATACAAGACCTGGACATGGAATTTGGATTTTCCAAAGGTCGGCTGATCGAGCTACCGGATAGACGGCATCATGATGACTGGCATGTGAAAGCCACTACGGTTCGAAGACTATCCGAACTACCGACGCTCGAACGTATGAGTAGCATAAAGCCGGCGATGAAAGAGCCAATTCAGAAAAAAAATCACAAGATCTCAATAAAAATTTCCAGCCTTCGATGTGAATTTCTACGTTTGAAATATGGATTTCTTCTTTTTTTTCTTTCTGAATCAGTCAACTGACTAAGCATTTCACATGCAAAGACGCTACCCAGCTAGCCCACATTTTCACTTTTCGCTGCGTCTACTCTCTACACGACGCTTCGCTTACCACGAAATTTTACTTGAATGTAGATTCCGCACGAGACACGCGCGTTGGTCAAGGCTGTAGCTACCTTAGCGAGTTTGCCGCCACGCTTCCGCTCCACCATGGCGCCCGCCCGCCCAAAACTTCTCGGCGATGCGATGTGATCGGGGAGCATGTATGGACGGGTGGGGATTGTTGGAAAGGAGCTGTGGGAGTGGGTCGGCTTATGGAAGTCCCAGTCTAAAGATCATCAGCGTAGGCGTAGCATGCATGCATGTATAGCGCTCGAAGGGACGGCATGGAGACCGCAGCAGTGCGAGTATGCGGAGAGAGAGAGAGAGAGAGACAGGGGAGCCTCGCGGTCCGCGAGAGAAAGAAGTATAAATACAGGAACCATATCGTTTTGAAAAAATGCCTGCTTGCTTGGAAAAAAGACCCCACAAAAACGACAAATATCAATCCCTAGCAACTAAACGGAGCCGTGATGGTGCCGTCCGCATACGCATCCACAATCGCACGTATAGTCACATACATGCCCGCGACGCAGATGAACAAACCGACAACGATAGTCACAACAGCCATCCCAGTGCCGAAACCCCTACGTTTCCAAGCGCGAAACCCCTCGCCGTCATGGTAAGCGTCATGCAACCAGAACATGCCGGCAATACCGTACGTAAACCAAGCGGCGAAGAGCGAAGCGATGATACCGATGAGGTAATTGAAAATCGGAACGCCGACGGCGAGGACGAAAGCAATACCGCTTGTGAGGGCGATGAGGGCGATCCAGACGGTCCAGCCGAGGAGCGTGTGGGAGTGGAGGTGGCGGGAGTGCCGGAACAAGCGGATGAAGAGGACTTTGCTCGCGGTGTGGATGTAGAGGGAGCCGGCGATGAGGAGGTTGGGGAGGGCGATGCCGTAGGCTGCTTTGGACCAGACGGGGGCGAGGGAGGAGAAGGAGGGGGAGAGGACGGCGCTGCCGAGGAAGCCGTACGTCACGCCCGCGAAGAGGGCGTAGTAGGTCGTGGCGACGCCTTGGAGGGTGTAGGCGGCTTTGATGGCGTCTTGGGGGCGTTTCATCTCCGACATGAGGGCGAAGAACCTGGTGGTCTTCATTAGTTCACGTGCAGGCTATTGTTCCGTCCCTGGCTCAGCTTACATGAAATGTCCACAGTAGGCAAACACGGGGTTGGTGATGGAGAAGAAGGCCGTGTAGAAATCGCTCGGAAGAGCCGCGACCACCGATCTCGGCTCCACGGGGTGTAGTCCCGCTCCCACCATCCCAACAACGCCCGCAATGATGATGCTCAGAACACTAGCCACGGAAATCCACCCGAGTCCATCGAAAGTCCTCGGCAGAGCCAACAGGAACGTCGCGGCGGCGAAAATGCCCGTGAAGGAAACATTGCACAGTCCCTTGTCGCTCAGAGCAGACAGAGCAATCTGCCCCGACAGCATCTGCCCTCCCGCCAAACAAACCGCAAAAGCCAACGTGCCCAGCGAGAAAATCTCCCGTCCGAGGGGTCCAAACATGATCCTGCCCGCGTCGCCCATGTTGTGCACTTCCGGATGCCGCAGCTTGAACCGCACCAGGAGCACGGACGTATACGCGGCAAAGACGCCTAGGAAGATGATGAGGATGAGGCCTGGTGCCATGCCGACGGTCGCGAGCGAGGAAGGGAGCGAGAGCATGCCGTTGGAGACGATCTCCGCGATCATCAGGACGGAGACAATCTGCCATGAGAGCGTTTTGTATTTGATATCGTGGCCTTCTTCGCGGCCGAAGACGTCGTGGTCGTGGTAGCTGTCGAGCGGCGAGCTGTGGCCATCTTTGTCGTAGCGGTCGGTGAAGGAGACTGCTTCGATCTTCGACATGATGTTGTCGGGCGCCCGGTTGTCGTCCAGCAGTGAGAGCGAGAGTGAGAGCCAGAGATGGAAGGTAATGATTCTTTGGAGATGTGACTGAAGATGCACGTGTGGTGGGCGCCTTGCAGCGTGGCAGTGGGGACGCCGGACGAAATACAAGAAATAAGCTCGACCCGTAAGAACCTTCCTGTCAGCCACGCATTTCCAAGGAAGATCTCAGCCCCAAATAGGCAGGTCGTCTGTCGGAAATCGACCGCTCCTGTGCCGGATTTCTTGTCATCAAGACTCGCTTGTGGAGATGAAGGATCTCTATATGTGGTCGCCGTGATCCCAAGACGAGGTACAAATCAAGGGCGGTGCCGGAGGGTGCAGAGAGAAGAGAAAAAAAGAAAGACAGAAAATGACTATGATATCTTTTGCATTGCAGTGACGATCTCTCCGCAGTCGCGTTCAGCGCTACGTTCACGTGGCTCCCATACACTACGACGATACACCGAAAGGAAAAAAAAAAACCAGGAAACGTTGACGCCGCTTAGATGGTACAGATTTAGCAAGCATATCATGTCCGCATTATCGATCTATTTGCGGATATTCAAACATCAATCCAATTTCCGCACATATTCCACGGGTCCTGTGCAGAGCAACATTAGCACCACATTCCAGAGTCGAAACACGGCTCGCAACGGAATACTTGCCGACGTATCGATATCTCGCCCAGAGGAAATAGAAAACGACGCCCCAGAGAGCGACCACGCTGAAAACCAGCGAGGACCAGTTCATGGATGGAAGCGTGAGGGAAGGGAGAGGTGTGGGTGGGAAGAAGGCCTGTTTTACTGGTCAGCACTGAGGTGGCGGCGTGTCTTGGAAGAGGCATAGGGGTGGGTGTACCATGACAAACACAACCACGAGGAACGCCATTGCTAGCAGATTGATTGGCAGCCCCAGGGCGCCGAGATTGAACTTGGACGGCAGCATCGGCTGGCCGGACAGTCTTCTCCACAGGAAGCATCCGACGCAGACGCTGTAAGAGACCATGAGCACGCCATTGGTGAGGGAGACCAGGCTGTTGAATGCGACTGTGCTTCCAATGTTGATCAAGGATAGGAGGCATGATATCACGGTCGATGCGATCACGGCATTGACGGGTACATCAAGGGCTGGACTGACTTCGGAAAGCCATTCCGCGAAGGGTGTTCCGTTGTCTCTTGCAAAGGCAAACATCTGCCGGGAAGCGGAGGCCATGATGGTTACTGCACTGAAGCCGTCCATGAAGACGATGATCGCAGTCATGGCGTTCGTCGCGGCCAGTGATCCGGTGGAATTGTAGAACATCTGAATGAAAGGGTAGTTGGTCGGCGTTTGGAGTACTGTAGCCAGGTCACCGATGCAGTAAGAGGCCGTGATAGCGGTGAGCCATCCCATGGCGCCGTTGATGAAGAGCGCCCACATCATGGAGCGAGGCAAGGTATACGCAGCATCCCGAAGCTCCTCCGACATGTGCACCGAAGCATCTGCACCGAGCAGAGGTACTACAGCAGCCTGCATGCCAATCAGGGCGGATACTCCAGGGCTGTTCCATCCGGGGTCTTGGAATTTCTGCCAAGCGAATTCGGAAGTGGAGCGTGGGGAGAGAATCCATAGTGGTGCGAGGACGCAGATGATTCCATATACGTGTACGATCAGGATACAGCCTTCGACCAGATGAAGGCGGGTGGCGAGGAAGATATTGAAGAGCGCGCCGAATACGAGCACTGCGATGACGAGTAGCGTTCCATGCCATCGTTCGTAGGCGTAAGTGTCTGGGTAATTGAGGACCAGAAGCCCCTGAATGATGGTGCCGGCTTGGAAGGCAATGGATGCCTGCAGAGCTTGCCACCCGAGGACACCAAGCCAGCCTTCGAGAGAGATCAGCTGGCCGAGTAGCGTCACGTCTGATGTTCCTCTCATCTACTCACCAACAATGTAACTCAAGAGCTTCTGGTATCTCCTCGGCGAGAACTCGGATACCCAGTGATACTGCCCTCCGGTGGTGGGAGCCATACTGCCCATCTCGGCCATGGACATGTAGACGCATGTGAATCCAACCCAGACAATGAGCCAAGTCCAGATGAGACCCGCGGTGCCGCCATTCTGGAGAGCGATACCCATGGTGCTTAGTAGAGATTCCCAGGAGCACATCAGGATGGCACTGAATCCGAACATGGTGACGAGGCGGAAATTCCGTTGCAATCTGGCGGTTTCCTGCAGTCAGCGCATGTTTGCGGAAAGGGCGCGTCTAGCTTCCATCGCAGTCACTCCAGAAGATTCCTCCTCCTCCTCCCAAGAATGCTCTCTCTCATATCCGTCGCGTGTCGAGATGGAGATGGAGATGGAAATGTGGGCGGTGGAGAGGCGCGGCGCTGGCTTCACTCACTTCTGACTCTTCCCCATCCTCGCCATGTCGCGCAAATCACTCGCCGTGCCGCCCCTCGTGGCCCTGAACGCCTTCTCATCCTGCTCATCGGGCGGGCGCGACTTCGACCCCCGAGACGGAGCCCAATCCGTGGTCATCATGACAAGACCTCAACAGGTCGTGTGCATCAGATCAGAGTACCCAAGTCGCCGCCGCTGTCCGGCTCCGAGCTCTCACGAGGAGGTCGGTCGGTGTCCGGCATCATCATGCTGAATAATCGCGGTAGAGGCCGCACCGCATGGGAGGATCTGGTGGATGGGTGGATGCGCGCCAGAGAGGGAATCACAATTGTGAGGGAATTGGCGAGAAAGGATGGAAAGGGTGGGAGATCTTGCCCGGGATGGGATCAGGCGTCTGGCGCCAAGACGGACGGAGGAAAGTTAATGCGAGACGTCCCACCAATCTAATATATCATCCCCCTCCACCGCTGCACCGTCTACCGTCCACGAGCGTGAATATTGGCACCGTGGTGCGAGTCTATTCACTCCTAGCGCCATCTCCATCCCCATCTCGCAGCAATGCAATGCAATTCGGCTTTCCGGGTCTCGTTCGTCCGTCGCTTTCTTCTGCCATCTACCATCTACCATCTACCTGAGATGATGCTGTGCCACCTGCTGGCAACACGTACACCAAGGAAGAGCCTGCTATGAGATATGAGATATGAGATGGCGAGATGATCCGGCCTGGAGAGATCGGATGAGATCGGATGAGATGGCCGTCCCCTCCGAGCTCCTCTACCCGCCACTCGCGGTCATCACCCCCCAGGACCAGCGCGGAGTCCTCTGGACCGTCGGAATCATCTGCCTCGCCTTCATCTTCTTCACCTTCGCCCTCAGAGTCTTCGTCCGCTGGCGACGCTTCCGTCCCGACGATTATGCCATCCTGAGCGCCTGTATCTTGGTCGTCGCCGAAGCCGCACTCTCCTTCGCCGCTGTGGGCTTGGGTCTGGGATCTGCCGGCATCAATCAGAATGAGATCGATGCGGCATGGCGAGTGAGTGGCATGGCGAAGAAGAAAATGCTGGCGTTCCCGAGAGGCTAATGTGTACCACTCTAGCTGTTCATCGCGAGCGAGGCCTTCTTCGTGTTGGCCACGTTTGTTGCCAAAGCAGCGGTCCTCTTGACGTTCGAGAAGCTGCTAGCACCCGACATGCGGGAAAGACCTCTGTTCCAGGTCACAATAGGCCTGGTAGCACTTCTGGGCCTGGCTTCACTCCTCGTGGTCACCGTAAATTGCAGCGGCAGGACCTGCGACCATGTGAGCATCCTCTCTCTCTCTCTCTCTCTCTCTCTCTCTCTCTCTCTCTCTCTCTCTCTGATTTACAAATTAGAGCAGTCAACTAAACATGATGCAGCAATCGCGCTGGACTGCCGTGGCCGTCATGGACTCGATCAGCGAGCTCTGGGGTTTCTTGCTGTTCTGCTGGGTCGTTGTGAGACTTCAGATGCGCATCACGTTCAAGCTCACCGCGATTGCGATTATTGCCTTGCGTTTATTGTGAGTCCTCTCACACCTTCTTCCCCTCGCATCTACTGACTTGGAGCAGCTGCATCGCATTTGCGGGCGTCCATGCATACTACGTCTCAGTCTTTCAGCAAGGTACTGACCTTTCCGTGGATGTCATACGCCCGCTGGCGTGGCAACAGCTCGCTCTTGCATGGGCGCTCCTCTCGGCCATGGCAGTCGCTCTGAGACCCTTCATCCGTGAGCTTCACACGGGCTTCGGAATGGACGTTGCCCATGTCTCGGAGAATCGCTATGGCAAAGGAAGTCCCGAGGCAACCAGAGACGGATATCAGCTACAAGACCTCTCGACACCATCCAACAGATCCAACAGGCAGAGTAGCGTCCCCAACAGAGATGACGGTGGCGAGAGTGGAAGAACAGAAGAACGCTACCGCACAGACGATGCGCAGTATGCTGCTAAGATTTACCACGAGGACCGGACAGGTAGCGTGGACAGCATGCTGGACCCGATCATCCGGAGAGAGGTGGAATATACTGTCACCTATCAATCATCACGGGCGAATACTCCATAACATTTGGCCACACAAATGAAGCCGAGCGAGAACTCTCGAGCGTAACCACGATCCTGCCACCTCTTCACGGCGACGCACAGCCGGGACCAGACCCACCACACACTAAAGCACCTGCCCGTTTAGCGCATGCGGGGCGCATGTCCAGGCCTGGAGCTCTATAAAGCTGGGAGCCTACCACATGTTGTGCCGTTCAGCTGGATCCCATCCACCACCGCATCAACTCGTCAACTCCTGTACCATCATGTCGTACAATATTCCAGATGCAGACACCCCAAAGCCGCCGGGCCAGATTCGACCATACCCCAAGCCCACCTCCACCGGCAAGGTCGAATTCACTGTCCCATCCACGGGGGAGAAGGGAACGACGATTTACAGGATCTGGGGCACTCTCTCTCCAAACACGACACCTTTGATCTGCTTGCACGGCGGACCAGGAATGCTGCATCGTAAGACACATGCCTCATATGTGGTAAAACATCGCTGAGAATGCCCCAGACTATATCCTCCCCATCAGCTTGATCCACCAGGACTACGGAATCCCAGTCATCATGTACGATCAGCTCGGATGCGGTGACAACACCCACATGCAACATCACAAAGGTGACACATCCTTCTTCACCTTCGCTCTGCATATCGCTGAGCTGGAGAACCTCCAAAAACATCTCCAGATCAAGGATTTCTACTTGCTCGGTCAGAGCTGTGGCGGCATGGAAGCCGTGGAATATGCAGTGGACTACCAACCTCCTGGCTTGAAGAAGCTCATCGTCTCCAACTCGCCTGCGGCAATGCGCACTTGGTCGAAAGTCTGCAATGGCCTGCGTGCCGCTCTCCCCAAGGATGTACAGGATGCGCTGGACAAGCACGAACAAGAAGGAACGACAGACTCCAGGGAATACGAAGAGGCCACCTTCGCCTTCTACCGTCGCCATCTCTGTCGCATCGACCCTTTCCCGCCCGAGATCGAAGCCAGTCTCGCCGGCATCGCCGAGGATAACACGGTGTACGCGACCATGAACGGACCGAGCGAGTTCACCGTGATTGGAACGGTGAAGGACTGGGATTACACCCACAAGCTCAAGACTCTGACCAACGAGACCGTTCCCGGCGGCGTGTTGCTCATCAACGGACATTTCGACGAAGCGCAGGATGAAGTCGTCTGGCCCTTCTTCAACCACATCGCCGCGCGGACGAAATGGATCACGTTTCCCTTGAGTTCGCACACGCCGTTTCTGGAAGAGACGGAAGCTTACATGAAAGCTCTGGGAGAGTTCTTGATGGCCAAGTAGAAATGAGAGAGAGAGACTTTACTTGAGAATCAAGTCAAATTAGATCTAACAGGGGCCATCGAAGAGAATCTTTCCCCAAAAAAAAACCCAGAAATGCTTGCCCGGGTATCTGTTTACAACAACGCTTCCACACATCGCTTCATCGCCGCTGTTCATTATTCTTTTCTTTAATCCAAATGCTGTGGTGTCGGAGGCACGGTCGGAGGAACTGGGATGTTGAGTCTCCTGTCGTCGGCCTTGTACTGGTCTGTGTCTCCCTGTCAGCACATAATATCGAAACCATCCCACTTCAACGGCGGAAGTAGAAAGAAAAAGAAAAAAGAAAGAAAGAAAGAAGAAATCTCACCTTTATCCTCATCCAAGCCGGGCATCATAATCTGCCTCTTCCAAATCGCGCGCATATGACTCACAAAGACAAACCCCCAAACCACGACCAACAGCACCGTCATGGCAGAAGCAACCCACAGAATGCCCTCACTCCCCAACTGCTGCCCGATCTTGATCGTGGCAATGGTAAAGCCGACATTGGGAAAGACAAAAGCCCACCAGACGAGATGAAACGACATGTCGCGCGCGCGCCGCAGAACGGAAAGCAGCGCGACGCAGAAGAACCAGAAACTGAGGCTCCACAGAAAGATGGCGAGGCCATCGGCGAGGGTTTGCAAGATGGGGATGATGCCCGGGCGGGGGCGGAAGTAGCTGCCGTCGGGGGGCAGGGCTTGGCTGAGGCCTATGAGGGCGAGGCCGGTGAAGGCTGGGGGGCCGACGGCGATGAACATTCCCGGGCGCAGGTCGGGGGCTGGGAGCCCGAATTGGATCAGGCGGTGCAGGTAGATGGCATAGATCATGAAGGAGAGCATCCAGCCGAGGCCTTGGAAGGTGAGGCCGGCGATGATGATGGGTTCGCGGTGCCCGATGGGTTGGCTGGGGGCGATGAGGGTGGCGAAGGTTCCCGCGAGCATGGCTATAAGATATCCGTGTCAGATTGTGCTTGTTGTAATAAGAGCGGGCGAGGGAGAGGGGGCAGGGGGGGGGGGATAGTCTTACTGGGAAACATGGGCAAGATCCACCCGGGCGTCATACTCTGAATCGTCAATTTCTTCGCCGTAAACAGATGGAGATACTGCAGCACGCCCGTGAGGAACGTCAGGGCCACGTAGATCCAGAACGCCACTCTCAAGAAAACAACCAGCCAGTCGCCCTGCACGTTCGGAACGCCATAGTCCTGCATACACCCCAGGACGTCCACGAGCGCGAGCCAGAACGTCGCGAAGAACAAGGCCTCGGTGGGATGGACGAGGGATTTTTGGAAACTGCCCGGGTTCATGATGAAGCGGGCGGCAATGCCCGCGCAGACGACGAAGAAGATGACCAGGTCGAAGAGGAAGGCGATCTTGCCGAGGGTTTCGAGGCCGCGGAAGCGGTGGGGGGTGGCCGTGAGGAGGAGGGCGATGCCGCCGGTGGACATGGGGAAGGTGAAGTTGGCCCATGTCAGACTGTGGCAGGAAGTCGTTAGCGGGAAGAAGAGTTGAGAGGAAGGAAGGAAGCACTACACTTACTGTCTGATCCGATCCCGGAGACCGACCTTGTTCCACGCGTTTGCGGAAGTATCATGAGTATCGTCCGTTTCCGGCCGTTTGGCTTCTTCTTCTTCTGCCTCCTCCTCCGCCTCTCCTCCGGCAGCCGGCGTGACCGAGAGTGAAGGCGCGGGGGAAGGCCTATACCGTCTCCAGAACATGCCGTTGACTTCGAGGCCCATCGCGACCAGCAGCTAGCAGTAACAAACGCAGTATGAATCAACGAATGAACGAAGAAGAACTCGAAAAGCTAAGAAAGCCCCGGTGTATTCGCCAGTAGTAGGTTGTCCAACAACAACAGAACGAACGGGTCCTACTATATGAACTAGTGATCCGAGTTTTGCTCTGTGCTCTGTCTGGCCTGGCGCATCCCACGTCATGGACATACGTGTGTGACACCCGAAGTTCCACGCTTCTGCTGCTCGTTATAGGGGGTTCTGTGTGAGCCTCTGACCATATCAGCCAACACTCCTTACGTGCAACATGCAACAGAAGATGATTGTCCGCCAGACGCTGCACGTGGCGAGACGTTCATTTTTCTTGCTCGGATGGCTCCGCTTACCAAGCACGGCACGGTCCGTTTGGCGGATGATGCATCAGAATCCCTGCTAGGTTGGTTTTGAATGCCCGAATCATTTTTCGTTCTCTCTTCTGATTTCCACAGTGTCACGTCCGATATCTTCCGATGTCAGGAGAGGAACACTGACCAGAAAGATGATGGCTCTCGCAGCTATTTGACCCGGAAAGTTCCGAAAGGCGAGGGATGGACAAACGACTGAAATTCACCAGCCTTCTCTCCTTGCTTGATCGCGCTCCAGCAAACACATTCGCCGTCGATCAGAGGTGAAGTCTGAGTAAGCTTCTTGGCTCCTGGGCAGTGAAGAAACACGGCCAATCCTTTCCTCTCGCTCAAACACGGCCGGAAGCTTGAAGTCGTGATGAGGCTCAGCACTCCGGGAAAATCGAAGATAATCAAGTCTTTGGGATCCTACACGGGAAGTGGTACCTATCCTCCCACCCGGATCTCCAGCTCAAAAATCAAGAAACCATAACAAACTGACCCATCCCTGGAACCCCATCCAGAACCACATAAACCACATACGGACCCGGCGGAGCCACATTCCTCGTCGGCGGCATCGTGACCGAAATCTTCTGTCCCCTCTCTCCCGCCTCGAAACCCTTCGTATCCAGGAACGCCATCCGATGGCCCATGTGTAGGGAATGCGTAACGAAACCCCCATGATACAGAGCCACCTTGACCGCTTTCGCATCCTCCGGAGCCGTAAAGGAGATCTCGAACGTCGAAGAATCGGCTTTCAGATCCATCGTCGAGAGTTCAATGTTGCTCGGACGACGCTCGGCATTGTCTCCGGAGAGATAAGGAGGCGTGTAGATTTCCACCTGGAACTGCGTGACATTCCCTTCATTCCCTGGCGATTGCTTTAGCACGGGCATTTGAACGGGATTGCTACCCGCTACCATCACCGTTCCATCCAGAAGTAACAGTGCCACGGAATGATAGAGACGCGGAATGGTACTCGAAGCGCCGGAGGTCCAACGCTTCCCCAAATCTGCGGTAGGGTCGTAGATGAGAGCCGTAGTGGTTGGGTCCTCTGAGAGCAAGAAGCCCTGCGCACCGCGATTCGCGCCGTTGAGCCAGAGGACGGTTCCGTCAGGGAGGAGGATGCTTTCGACCATTGTGCGGCCTTCAGGCATACTGTCCATCTCCCAGACCGGATCATCGCGGAGGGGTTGGATTCTCCCACAAGAAGCATCTGTAGGAGCGGAGATATCCTGATAAGCGCAGCCACCGCAGATGACAACTTCCGGCTCCCATTCGTTCTCCGAAGACAGAGGAAGCAGAACAGAACCCCCCGTACACGGATACGTGCGGAAGTCCCCCGCCAGATCGGGAAAAGTCTTGACGGTCTGATTCTGTCCCACGTTGAAAATCTCCGAGGTTTTCGATACGAAGACAAAAAGATTCCCATCCCTCAGGAGATGCAGAAAGGGATACATGTAATATGGTTGGGTCTTGATCAGAATCTCCATGGGAATGGATTCTCCCCGCGACACACCGTTGATATCCAGGATTTCGTAGGTGGGGTTGTTGTTTCTCACCTGAGCGGGATCAAGACCGTTCAGACTCCCAGAGGAGACGAACACCGTACCGTCGGGCATGATCTGGCCGCTTGCGTACCAGCGTGGGGTGTCGAGTTGATGCTCAGCGTTGATGATCTCGAACCACTCTTGACCGTCGAGGGAAGAATCGGTGGAAGAACGAGTGAGCCACCTCAAGCCCCGAAACCCATCGAGGATGGAATCGTCCGTGTCGTTCAGAGGGCCATTGCCGCCGATACTGATCAGAGTCCCATTCGCGAGGAACGACCCACCCGCACAAAACGCATTCGTTCTGTACGCCAGGGGAACCCTCTCATTCGTCACGGGATCATATTCCGCGCTATAAGCGAAATGTGTCTCGGAAACATTCACCTTTGTGAAATTCTCCACCTTGTCCAGAAATACGACTTTCCCATTCGGCAGCAGGGCGGCATGCATGGCGGGGACTCCGGAATCCCCCACCACTCTGAACGCTCCCGGGTTGGCGTTCAACGGTGCAGGGGAAGGACTCGGGACTGGTATGGAGGGCGCTTGATCGCAGGGTCCGGACTGACAGCCTGCACCGCAATGGGAGAGAGTGTTGCCGCAGAAGCCGTACATGGAACAACAGCTGCCGAGATGCCAATTGCCACAGATCGTGTCGCCATTCTTGGCGCCGCAGGTGCCGTCGGCGGTGACCGCGCCGGTGGCCGCCGCCGTGCCGCTGGCGGTGGGAGAGCCGAGAACGGGCTCGCTCTGGTGGTGGTGGTGCTGGGACGTGGTAGGCGAGATCGCCGGAATCGAAATTTTGGCCTCCGAGTCGCACCCACCCCTCTGACATTTCCTGTCGAGAGGAGAGCGATAATGCTCGGAAGAAGTCTCACCACAGCGTCCGTCAGGTCCTCGAAAACCCACGGCGCGGTTGGAAATCCGCGCGTCGATGCATCTCCTCAGTCAACCCGTTAGCTCTCCTCTGAGATTCCCCATCCGAGTCTTCTGACACACTCACGTCTGATCTGCTAGACAGGTCTGTCCCCTCAAACACCCCGATCCGGTCGAGGAGTCACATGTCGGCTGGATATGAGTGAAGATGAGATTCGCGGTAGTTATATGAATAATTCCCGCAGTGAGGAGGAAGAAGAGGGAGAAGAAGAAGAAGGAGAAGGATCTTGCCATGATGATCGCCGCGATGGTCGGTTCTTGGAGCTTTTTAAAAGAAAAAAAAAAGCAAACTTGTCGAGACAAGGGAGTTTCTTTTTCAGAAGCGGGGAGGAAGTAGAAGAAGAAGAAGAAGAAGAAGAAGAAGTAGAAGAAGAAGAAGAAGAAGTGAAGAAGAAGTGAAATCGAACTGTACCTGTATCTGAAGCGCCAAGGTATGCGGCAAAGGACCCATCATTTGGCAAACAGCAGTGAATGAGGTACATGTAGAAAAGACAAAACAAACAAGTGAGCAAATAACCGAGAGGTCTTGGAGTCCAGTGTCAGGGAGTCCAGTCTCCTAGTCGAGTGAGTGCCATGGGACTTCGCAGGAGAACCTCCAATCGTCGGGGTTAGGAGTCTCTCGAGTCTGGAGATAGGTCAGTTCGTTCAAAAAAAAAAAATCACAGTCGGAATATGGGAACAACGTAACATAAACCCCCCCCCCGACGCTCAAGAAAAACAAGACGAAATGAAGTCCAATGCCAAGACCTGTCAAGCATCACATCAACACACACGCAAGCCCGGAATCAATGCGAGAGGTATACATGGCACCGTGGGGCTCTCGATCAATAATTTCATCACATTAGATCTCGAAAAACAAAACACATTACATATTTCTTTCTCTCTCTCTCTCTCTGCTCGACAAATCCTGGTATCGTGTGCGCATGTAAACAAAAATTTTCTCCTGGCTGTCACAGTACAGTAGTACAGTTCAGTCCTTGGCTTTCTTCATCGTCTTTTGCATCTCGGGGGAATCATCATCAGACACATCAAATGGTCAAAAATGTAAACGTTACGAGATCTCTCCGTCTCTTTTCTCCTGTTCCAGTTCTGCAAGGCGGTCTCATCCAAGCAAGGATCCGGAATGGTGCGTGTTTATTCATACCTGTGTATAGCATCTCCCGTCAGCACACGCTTCGCTGGTGGATTTATGCTTGACTGTAGACTGACTCGTCCTTGACGACTCTCCTGTCGCTGCTGCTGTCGATGAAGCTACCGCGGCTCCTCGTGCTCCTCTTGCGGCCAAAGTATGAAGACTTCTTGGAGCTCTTGTCCTTTCCAACGCTGCCGCCGACGCAGAAGAAGAGGGAGGCGAGGAAGAAGGCGGCCCACGTTGCCCAGGTGAAAGCCATGGCCTTGACGCCGATGCTGGCGTCTTGTCCGTTGCCGCGGAAGGCATCACGGCCCTTGACGACCCATGTGCTACGCCCATGTTAGCGAGGGGGACTAGCAATCCAGTGGGGGACCGACTCACGTCATGAGCGCTGCGGCGAGCGACTGGAAGAAGACCGCGATGATGGAGCTGAATCCAGTGAGGTAGGCGCCCAGACGCGCGAACAGGGCGAAGACGCTGAAGAGGAAAGCGACGACGGCGAAGAAGAGGGCGATGAGGTAGAAGGACCAGGCGAATCGGCTCAGGTAGTAGTAGTAGTGCGAGCCATCGAAGGTGTCGGGAAGGCCAGTCGTGGTGCCAAAGTTCCTTGGAGGGTCGAATGGCAGATCAGCGCGAGTAGCAGCGCAGTTGGCGTTGTTGCCGTTGGGACCAACACCGCAGATATTGAGGTAGGTCCATCGCGCCGGATTGCGGTATTGATCGTTACCGCCTGTGACGCCGGAAGTGGTGGCTTGCAGGAAATAGACCTGGTTCAGTGGTGAGTGGTTCAGGCCGGAGAGGATGACGAGAAACTGCATGACAATGCCACCGGCGAGAAGGAGTATGGCGAGGAGGCCGAGGATGGGACCTGCAGTTGACGCGTCAGATTCGCGCTCCGTCGAATGCGACGCAAAACATGTTGTGTGGAGGACTCACGTGCAGCAGCCATTGTGGAGGGTTGTGTTGGAGCTCTGGAATCCGCAGGGAAGATGCTGGCTGGCTGGCTGTCAGAGGCGCTGATTCGAGCGATGCAGTGTTGGTGTAGAGGAGTGAACAATAAACAGGACGTACAACGGCCACGCTTCTCCTGAAACGACTCTTCGCACGCGGTACAGCCGCAGGAGGAAGCTCTTATGTGTGGTGCAGAGGGTGCAAACAGTCGGACAGGGAAGAGGATTGCGAGGCCGGCGCAGTAGGGCAGGTATAGGGATGGGATCCGTGGGCGTGTGACGTGGGAGAGCTGGGCGGTGGAGGAGAAGGCGCTTTCGCGGTGCGGTGGAGAGAGGATGTGGTGATGATGATGGTCTGGTGCTGCCTCCCTCTCCCAGCCTGCGGACGGAGGCTGGAATCTTGATTTGAGCTAGTCGATCCTCTAGCTGTGTAGCACGGCGCCGACGTCACTGCCAACTCAATCCTCTGCGTCAATTTCGATTCGTCGACGACTAACGCCCCAATTCATTAGCCGGTCTGCCGCGGAAGAGTGTGCACAGAGGAGAAGGGTCGAGCTGGTTGGCACGGAATCGATTCTCAAGCCCCGCGTCGGTTGCGTTCATTGTGCATCGTTGCTGGGGAATGCTCCTGAGTCATCATGCCAAGTCCATGTCCGCAAGCGGATCCTTCCCGGCCGCATCACATGATAAAGCTGGCCCGTGCTCGTCGGTGCATACGGTTCGGCCCTCTCGGTGCGAGGGAGCTTCCCAAGCCCATGTTTCTCGACACGCACATGCGCTGGCAGGACAACAGACATGTCCACCCTCATCTGGCCTCCCATTGCGACGCAAGACCTCCTCAAGGAGCAGGAGAGCGCTCTCGAGCGCGAGCTCCAATGGCTACTGACCCACGTCCAGGACACCTTGCGATCCCTCAAGGAAGGCCTGGACGACTGCGCCGATTTGCTTGCTCCAAAAGAGCCGGGGTCGACACTCGTGCTGTCATCACTGCGCTCCGAGAATCTCAAGGGCTTTATCTCGAGGGTGGGTACGCGCATTGTGAAAGGCGACATCCAGCTGCGGATTCCATCACTGCCTCCACCAAAAGGCCAGAACAGCTATCGACTGTCTCTGTCGACTCTGCCAACTGCGCCAACGCTCGTACTCGACCAGCTCACCACTACGCGTACACTGATCAACGCTTGCCTTGACGTAGTAGATGCAACCAGATGGACAGGCGACAGCAGCAACGCCAACTTCATTTCCGGCCAGCTCAAGCTTCTGCACGACAACATCCAGGACGCCAAGTCTGCGCTGAAAGGCTGGACCGACTCTCAGAAGCCATGGCATGAGACGCCAGTCGACGAGAACGCCTTCGATCCTCCTCTGCCCGCGAATGTCTCTTTTCACCTCTCCATCTCAGAAGCAGCCGTCCTGCTCAACGTTCGCACGCTCGAAGTTGCATCCCCAAATACCGGTACGAATACACCGCTGTCACTTACGCAAAACTCGGGCGCACAGTCGTACAGCGGCCTTTCACTGAGAGAAAGACTGGCGAGTGCTCTTGGGGGTGGTAGACAGGCCTTGCACGATGAGGCGCACGAGGTGTTCATGTACAAGGGCCAAGAAGTGCGAGTGCGAGACAAGGTGAGAGTGGAGAGTCAAGATCCCAGCCTGATGGCTGCCATGGCCAAACTGGGTGCTCTCGAGAGGAATGTTGCCTTGTCCCGGCGCGCGCTGGACGTCGTTATGGGCAAGGAGCAAGAAGAGGGTTGAATCTCCTAGCTTTTGCCATTATTATTGAGAACATCACTACTAAGCCACAGTATCTGCGCGACGCTGAGAATCCATTGCGAGATTGCCTGCAGGTCCTGATAAACATCTTCAGTTTCGAACAGCTGACCTCCGTCTTCTCCGCGGCGAGGTCTCCAAGTCTTGGCATTACCCGAACTGATTGAGACTCCCGGTTACTTATCGGAGCGGAACGTTTACTGGCAACTCATTGGTCTTGATTACCAACATCTCATATATTGACGGCGCCCGTGGCAAAAACAAAATGTAATCGAGTGGACTGACCTCGACCTCACATTCCCTTGAGTGTCCTTTGTGCTACACCCGCTCAACCACTTCTTCAACAACTTCTGGCGCTTCGGATTCGCATCCAGTGCTAAGTCGGCCACGATGTCACCCGCTCTGTTGACCGCGATTGATTCCACGGCGCATGTGCATTTGATTGTTGGCTCGAATCCTCTCGCTGGAACCAGATGCAACAAGTCGCTCGAAGTCGGCGCCACGCCCATCCTCATCGCACCCGAGAACGCGACTGTCCATTATGGCCTTGCGAAGAGAATTGAAGAGGGCGCAGTACAATGGCTCAAGAAAGAGTTTGATGAATCCGACTTGACAAATCTAGGAAGAGAAGAGGTAGGGCATGTAGTGGATGCCGTCTTCGTGACCGCCGGCAGCAAGAGTGCAGCTAGCACATGGATATCCACTTTGTGCAGGAGGTTGCGGATACCTGTCAATGTTGCAGATGCGCCCAACCTGTGCACCTTCACACTCCTCTCTACACATTCGTCAGGCCCTCTACAAATCGGGGTGACCACTTCCGGAAAAGGATGCAAGCTAGCCTCGCGGATCAGGCGGGAAATAGCTGCTGCGTTACCGCAAGACTTAGGTGTTGCTGTGGAGAGACTGGGCACAGCAAGAAGGCGTTTCTGGGAGCAGGACCATGCAGATGAAGGCGCGGACATGGAAGGCGAGGAAGAAGATGTTGGACAAACAGCAGCTTTCAACAAGCTCGTACTGCCATCTGACGCCGAAGCAGCGAAGGCTCGGCGCATGAGATGGCTCTCGCAAATCTGCGAATACTGGCCACTGCGGAGGTTAGCAGCAATTACAGACCACGATGTGGAACAAGTACTGCAGGCATACTCGAGTACAGCAGATGACAAAGCGCCGCTCGACGCTGCTGTGTTGGATGCTCGGAGAAGTCGAGGCCAGATAATACTGGCGGGATCAGGGCCTGGTCATCCGGACCTCTTGACCACCGCGACACTGAAAGCGATCAGAAGCGCAGATTTGATTCTCGCAGATAAGCTTGTGCCAGCTGGCGTGCTTGAGTTGGTCCCCCGACGAACACCGATCGAGATCGCACGCAAATTTCCAGGCAACGCCGACCAAGCGCAAGACGAGCTGCATCGAATGGGCCTCGAGGCGCTCAAAGAAGGCAAGACTGTCCTTCGCTTGAAACAGGGAGATCCGTACCTCTACGGTCGAGGAGCAGAGGAGGTGGCTTTCTTCCGAGAGCATCACTTCGAGCCGATAGTTCTACCTGGCATCACATCCGCGCTCAGTGGACCTCTCTTTGCACAGATACCTGCGACGCATCGCTCCGTCAGCGACCAAGTCCTCGTGTGTACTGGAACAGGTCGCAAAGGCGCTCCACCGAATCCACCAGCGTTTTTGTCAAATCAGACTGTTGTGTTTCTCATGGGTCTACACCGTCTCCAAGCCCTTGTGGAAAGCCTCGTCGACCGTACAACAGCTCCCTATCCGCCTACGACGCCATGTGCAATCGTTGAGCGCGCTTCTTCGCCTGATCAGCGCGTGATCCGCACGACATTGCAATCCGTCGTCGCTGCTTTCGAGGAAGAAGGCGCGAGACCGCCGGGTATACTGGTCGTTGGAGCTTGTTGCGACGTCTTGCAAAATGCACCGCAGAAATGGGTCGTCGAAGAAGGCTTCCACGGTCTCGACGCACTGGATGCGCTTGGGGAAGGCGGTCGAGGCCTTGACGGGTTACGGGAAGCTCTTGTTACGACTCCGGGGCTTGAGGAGGATGTCAAGACGCTTGCTGCGCCTGTTACGATATGAAGTCTTGCTTGCTTGCATGCAATTACATAGAATTACGATATCCAGAACATTTTCGTTTCGAAGATCACTCTTGACCAACTTCCATCGCTACTTCCCGAACTGAGAATCCGAGCCGACTCGTCACTTCGAAAGTGGCTTTTGCCGGCCGAGATTGACATTTTGATCTCTCCGTCTGAAGTCGATATCTCTGTATGATGTGAGTGAATGTTCGCACAAGTGGAAAGATCATGCTTTCGGGTAGCAGAACGGACGAGATTCCAAGAACGGGTTCGTTCGTTCGTCCGTCCGTCCGTTCGTTCGTTCGTGGAGCCGCAGCGCATCACAGCCATGAACGGAACGGTGAATGAACGCCTGACTGCACTGCCCACCTCTTCCTTTCCGTTATGCGATCCGGACGTCCGTCACCCGTCTTGCTCGTTCAGCTTTTGCCGTCCGATCTTGCATGGCATGGCGCAGGCTGACATGCCGGAGATAGCTCCTCCGAAGCGAAGCGAAGAAAGAGGGGAGGGGAAGAAATATGCGAGTGCGAGTGCGAGTGAATTGTTGGACGGGAAACTGAACTAAATGGAGTATTCCATCATGATCGGAATCTAAGAGTACAGTAGATACGCTTTTTGGAAGGTGAAAGTTAGGTAGATTGATTGCTTGCTTGTGCTGCTGCTTCAAAGATGCTGTCGTCAAATGCAAAACGACATGTAGGAAAGAATTAAAAGACATTGCCGGGCTCAGTTTCGTTAGATAACGCCGTCGCTCGTCGTAAAAAGAAAACACGAAAAGAAAAGCAAACAACAAACGTGCCCTGCCTTGCCTTGCCTCTGTCGCTAGCCGGCCCATCTTCCATTCGTCTCTACCCAGCAGCAAACGTACTCTTCTTCCTCAAAGCCTCCCCGTACCACCACAAAAAGAACGGAGCAGGAACTCCCACCGCAATGCCCACAAACGCAAGCGTACTATTGCCCCATCCGTACCCTAGCGCATTATACATATAAGGCGCAAACAACGGGAACGCAAAGCCACCTAGCGATCGGAACACCGCGGTCGCAGCGATCGCGGAAGCTGCGAAGCGGGTGTATGAGTCGACGAGGTATGTTTGGCAGTTCTGGAAAACCAACTGGTTCCCCGCTGCGAAGATGGCGGTTCCGATGTTGGGAATGATCCAATGGGTGTGGTATTGCGCTGCCCAGCCGTAAATGATGAGGCCGCTGGGGACCATGAGCGCTCCCGGGAACATGAGCGGGACGCGGAATTCGCTGCGTCCGACGTCGTTGTTCTTGGCTTTCAGTTTCTTGTAAATCCTGTCGGCGAATTTGGCGGCAATCTGGGTTCCGATGAAGAATCCCAATCCGAGTGAAATATACATGAGTCCCGTCTCTCCCGGCGGGAGGTTGTAGATTCTCCTCCAGACTTCCGGGAACGAAGCTAAGACGATGTAGAGGACTCCATAGACGTATGCGATGTAGACGGCTAGGACTTGTACGATGGGTTGAGTGAAGAGGAGAATAAAAGGACGCTTGAACGCTACTCCGATGTGGTTGGCGAAACTGCGCGAAGGGTTGTCGAATTCGGTGTGTAGACCTTGATTGCCCGTGATCTTGATGAGAAGTTTCTTCTTGCGGGTGAGGATGGCTGCTGCATAGCTTTCGTGGAGGAAGAAGTAGCCGAGCACTTGTACACAACCGGCAGCGATGGTGGTGGACCAGAAGACCCAGCGCCAGGTAGAGTATTCCGTGATGAACCCGCCTGCGACGGGGCCGATGGCGGGACCCAGCAAGGGAGCGAGTGAATAGAGAGCCATTGCGCGGCCACGTTCCATTGGAGTCCAGATGTCCGCGAGTACACCTCCTCCGATGCCGAGCGGTGCACTACCACCGACACCGGAGAGGAAGCGGAAAGCGATAATTTGGCCAACATTGGTAGAGAATCCCCCGACAAGGTTGAAGACGATGTAGAAAAGGTTGCTGAGCTGGAGGATGATTCTCCGACCAAAGAGTTCTGACAAGGGACCCAGGAAGAGGGGTCCAACGGCAAAACCTAGAATGAAAACCGAGAGGGAGAGTTCGGCTTCCAAAGCACTTGAAACATGGAGGTCCTGTTGTATCTGGCCGAGAGCCGGAGCGATCATGGAACTGGAGACGGGCGAAATGAAGGTGAAGAGTGATACCGTCAAGGTGGCCATCCACTTCTTTCTTGTCGTCCAGTTCTTGGGGTTCTCGTGGTCATCCGCGCCATCCCAAGTGACCAGGTTGATATCCTTCTCGCCCTTGTTCGACTTGTTGGAAGGTCCGCGCTTCAGGGTGCCGTTCCTGCCCATCTTTGAAGCCCCACGAATGATTTGGATCTGACCAAAATTGCCATCGGCTTGGGTTGAACGCTCGTGGTCACCAAGAGACATCTTCTCGTCCTCCCATTCCTCCTCTTCGAATGCTTCCTCCTCGGCGACCTGGAAGTCGTGTACGGCACCAGCATAGTAATCGAGGTCGGAGACGATCAAGTGAAGATCGACGATGCTCTCTCGTGGTCCGCTCCGTACTGATCGTCCTGAACGTCCTGAACGTTGAGAGGAACCACTCTCCAGATCTTTGTTCGCGTTCTGTCCTTCTCGATACCATTGTGGCGGACTCCTAGTTCTCGCATTCGGCACTCGGATGGGTTCGAATTCTTGCGATAGCCATGGGAATTCCTCATTAGTGTTAGGTCGTAATCGGGCCTCTTCAACTTCTTCCAGTCCCTGATTGTGTGCATTATATGACTCGTCGGTCCAGCCAGTTCTCTCAGTCTGACGACTGTGCCAGGACCTCGCCGTACCAACGGTGCTTCGGGGCGTTTGTGACATATCGCCTGACAGACGCGATGAAAGGGGAGAGAAAAACGAGCAGAAAGGTGAGAGACCAACGCCTCCGTGGAGCCAAGGCGGCCGTCATGTATATGTTGCAGCAGCTTCTTTGCTGACTGGGGTGCCGAAAACATTCCCAGAAACATGGCGTACGACACGCTGTGCGCACGCGATCCCACTCCGTCACGCTGGGCCACGTCGAATACTGTGCCGCATGCGTGAGAAAGCCCCCTGTATCCTGGTCAAGACTCAGTGGGCTTGGAGTCGGGTGTACGAAGATTAGCAGTCGGCTGCTGGCCTGATGCAGTGCTATGAGTCGGAAAGGTTATTCATGGGAGGCAGACGGGACTCCTTACAGGCTGAGATGTGTTTGGAGTCGTGTAACATCCTTCCCAAAGCGGCCATGCCCGCTTATCTTCGGTGAATTGGAGCCGAACTACATTATTCTGACTGAGTCTCGCTGAAGGATGCTGATAACTCAGACGGAGTCGCCTTGAGGCAGAGACTGCTGACAGCCCTCGAACGGCAGCTTGAAAAGATGGCTGACATGAGTTGGGCTTGCTGTCAGACTTCTCGTTGCTGAGGGTGTCGTACAACGCGCTGCAACCAGCATGGTCGGCACTATAGCCGAAGCTCTAGCAAAGACGGAACGTCGCATTGCCAGGGTCGATATTTTGCCGTGAAAACGCATGGGCGATCTGGTTTCCTGTATTTTTGGCGAAAGCGCAACATTGCGACTGATCCGGCAGACCAATCTCGTTTGCTGGTGGCGCACCCGCTCTGTACTACATCTTCGCGCAATCGAAGCGAGTGCGAAGCGGACTTCTCTTGTCAGTGTTATCCCTCGCTGACTCGCTCATTATCCTTTGCGACAGTCTCCATTTGAGTTGACAGCGTGACATCCGGCAGTGCAGCTCGCTGGGTATCAGGACACGACGTGAAGTCCGGCGGCGGGAGTCAAAAGCGCAGAATCTTTAAGCCGTCGAGCTACAGCACAGTATATGCCTGCAGCAAAGATGCTTTGCAATTGATTCGAATGCTCGGTGGAGTATGATGCAGATGCGTGCGTTTCAGACGTGAAAGTGCGGTGGGTCGGCGAAGTTAAGACGAGAGTTTCACTCACGGCACGTGATGCGCCTTGGCGGCGCTGAGGGCTTGGCATCTTCCACGGGTCCGCAACGAAGTGTTGTTTTATCACGACCGAATGTGTTCTGAAGCTCTTGCGATTCTCGCGATCTCATTCGATGTCCCAGATGGCGAAGAAGCTTGAGTATGCGAATGGATCCAACGCCAAAGCTCAGCTGCGACGGCGACCATCCGTAACGCAAATACGTGCAATAATGGAACAGTATCATGTTCTTGTATATGGAATACATGAATCGCAGACTCCTCGATGGTCTCGTACAACTGTGTCTCGTGTTAATGTCAAGCTAGCTAAGGTGAAATGCCCGAGAGACCCAAATCCCACACGCCCACAACCCATCGTTTCACATGTTCAGAATGCAAAAGAATGCGCACTACTGGACCGAAAAGGGATCGGCCCGTGGATTGAACTCGGGGACCTTAAGGCGGACTTTGAATTACAACTGTGGCCGGGCCAGGTGTGGATGAATATGGGGTCCGCTACTAGAATGAGTTTATGGCATTTGGGGTATCGGCCCGGTTTCGTTTGGTGGGGCTGCAAAGGTGTGTTCTTCGCCTTGTTGTATTGGGCGAGGAATTCCACCCAGCATCTCCACACTCCACCGTACACAATCGACCAGGGAAGGATCCGGCAATCTTGCTGTCTAAGCCAGTCCAAGAGGTGCGCCTTGACCGTATTATGGCTGTTACGGTATTCCTCTTTGCAGCCGTCTCCCTTCGACGATAACGAGCTCCGCTATAGACAAGTGCTTAAGTCCACTCTGGACTGCGATCTCGTACGCCGGCATAGTCCAGAAATACTCATCCGGCTCTCGGACATCGAACGAGTTGATGAGGAAGTAGCAAGCGTCCTGGTTGGCAAAGCGTGCGCGAAGTCCATTCTCGCTGTCACACCGCGACTCGATTACCGTCACTTCTTGCCGTCTAAGAGCAAAGCAGATGATCAGTCCTTACCGAAGTTCTGCGTACGGATAACTCCAATGCTATAAGCACTGTAGAGACAGAGTTTGGGCATCATGCACCAGGCATCATGCATTGGGCGTCATGCGTCGGGCTCCCCAATGCTCACTAGGGCATAGCCTTTGGCTCCAGGGTGAAGTCCGTAACAAAGTGACTCGCCAGGTTGATGGACTGCCAGCAGCTCCTAGGCTCGTGGTGTCAAATATGCTCCCAACGTTAAATCATAAGTACTCCTCCTCATCCATGTCGTCGTAGACCCAGTGATCCCGTACTGCGACTTTTTCGAACTCCGTCTCCGCCTGTTCCAGACACATGTCCTTCATGCGGGCAATGGCTTCTTTGACAGCCTCGTAGTTGTCATTCGATACCCAGCCTTCTGGGCCAAGACCAAGCATCTCCATAGAGCCCCTCAATTGTTCCGCCGCCTCACGCTCGAGCTCATCTAGGCGAAAACATTCCTGCTCTTCCTCTTCAGCAAAGGTAACTGGACATGGCACATCAGGCCTAGCGGCGATCTGTGCCCATTGCTGCTTTATGAAAATTAGGCTCGAGCGGAGCGGGATGTTATCGCCTTGCCACGGGGCACTTGCTAGATCGTAGACTTTGCGTCTTCCAACTGAGAAGGGAAGGGTCAACGCTTCGTAGTGTGCGGGATTGTTTGCCGATGTCTCTATCATGTAGCGATAATGGAGATGTCGCTTGCGGAAAAGTTCGAGCTGCTCCAGTCTGCTGTCCTCGTCTAAGGCTGCTAGATCGTCAGGTAGTCGAGGCAGTTCGAGCGAACTTGAGATTGGATCGAGAGAATTGTCAAGGTCATCTGGAATGCCAGAGTGTAAGAACAGAGGGAGAGCCGTAGCGTTTTGCCAGTCAATCAAGGATACGATCTCGTAGTTATCTGACACAAAGATGTTGCTGGGTCGGAGGTCAGGATGTCTAATTACTGGTCGGATGAGCTCTCGGCTCTCTTCAGGAATCAAGGCGCTAGAGATTTGCAGGTACTTCTGAAGGCTGTCGAGATGGACTGAAGGTAGTTGTTTCTCCAGATTGAATGTCTCCCTTTGCATACGGTTGAAGGGGAATAGTGGACGTCCGTATCGCGCCAAATATTGGATTTCTTTCTTAGCCCCGGCATTCAAGACAGCCTCCACTTCCGTAACTACTGTGCATTAGTACGACTCGCCTAGCTGAAGAGAGAGAGAGAAGAGGAGGGGTGGAAACCTACAGGGACCGCGGTCAACATCGAGTTGATTTCTTTTACCATACCAGAATGGCAAGCTTGTACTTGGACCAACGTAAAAAGGAGCCGAGCTGCGAGATTCGTCAGACTCCACCGCAACTTTTGTGGAGGCCGTAGTCAAGTCTCGAGAGAAGTAGAGACTACCACTAGCTGGGAGACGAAGATTGAATATACGACTCTCTAAGGCGACGAGACTCCTAACGAATCGAAGCCGATGATGCTCGTTCATGTCGGCCCACAGGGTTCCAAGGTTCCTTCCTGGACTGTATTCCATGAAAATGTATTCCGTTTGAGCTGAATTGTCTGCTGATGCCGAGTACCCGTATATATCTGGGACTGGTATACCTTTTGAACGAAGGAAAGCCATCGTGGCGGCCTCACTAGCAACAACCAGCTGTCGTGGCTCAGTAACCGGATACGGAATGCGAGCCACGAGCTTGAAGCCATCGCGAAACCGGATAACGAAGGCGCGGTTGGCTGCGCCTTCGCCGAGTTTGTTGATAGAAAGAACGTTATCAGCCTTCCGGGCGACTGCTTCAGCAGCTAGCCGCTGTAGTTCGGCGGTATCGAACGTGCGTTCTCTTTCTTCGAAACGCTGACTCTCATTGTATCTGCCCGGATTGTTAGCAGTAGAAACGGAATACTATCGATATACCCACACCCATCGACCAGACGTGTATTTGAACAGATCGTGAGTACGGCTCAGATCTGGAGGATGCTGACAAGAGCTGGTCATTTTCGAGAAGCGTTTGACGAAATCTCGGCGTCTAAACAGCCGTAAGATTTGGGTCGGTGTAGGGCGGAAGTACAGCAAGCAATAGTGCTTCATGTTGACAACAAAACGTGTTTGTAAGACCGAAGGGTAAGAAAGTGGAAGACGCATCGGCGTCAATCTCGGCTAAGCCCGATTGGCCGCAACTAGCCCCACAGTCTCCAACACCAGTAGGGCGTGCTGCTACCTAAGGTAAAACCGTGGACAATCCCTAAATATTCAGCGACTGCAGCATCTACTAGTCGCGGCTGCTTTAGAGCAGCTGCAATGGCCAACGAGAAGAACTCGTCGGACCCTAGCGGTGCGGAATTGAACGATCAAGACGAAGAGGCGCTCGGCCGCTGGCGGCTCAGAGAGGGCGCTTACAGCAGGAGCCTTCATACCGTCACATTGCATGCGATGCGAGATCTGAGGAATGAACGACGACGTAGAAATCCTGCGCCTCATGCGGATCAGAGGGCATCGTCTAATTGAATACGCTTTCTCTGGTCGACTTTGCTGTGCCGTATGCCACAAAAAGGCGAAGACCCGCATGGGAATTGGTTCAGACACAAATATATATATGCCTCATTCTCCGCCTGCGCTGAAGTAGCAACCTCTATTGTTCCTACGTTCAGACAATTCAGTTCAGCCCTTTTTAGAGAGAGAAACGATTACCTACATCGCAGCGTAAGCTCTGTGAGCCTGATTGTTGATTGTGTCCCTGGCTAACATTATACAGTATTCATCACTATGCAGAAAACTTTCAAAAACGTTACAAAGAAAGCCGTCGAGGGCAACAATTACACAAAGTTTACTCATCCAAAGGTCTCTCGAGGCAAGACAGCGTTTCCTTCTGGAACACAACTTTAGAAGCAAATGGGCGTTCGCTACGACTACGATGGAGAGGTCAAGAAAGATGGAGTCGACTGTCACAAGTACAACTTACAGCCTAACGCCGGGGACGATATACCTTCGTCCATCAAAAGATGGAGGAAGGACAATGGCGGCACTCATGAAGTCATGGCCGTTGTTTATGTGAAGAAGGACGGCACTAAGGATGACGTCGAAAAGGCACTCCACGACGCTCACAAGAACGTCAAGGGATGAAAGACACGGTGAACTTGTTACTTGCAAGCCCCAGAATGTATACAGCTGCGCGCGTACGTATCACAGTAACTCATCTCGTGGAGACATCCCGACCCAGGCACAAATTCTCTCCCGGCTTTCGGAGTCCAGGGGTCAATGCATGGCACCAATAACACCATTAAAGCTAAACATGTCGCCATTATCTAGGCCCCGCGTTTTGGGATCATGGAAAGCTTAAAACGACCTCAATAAAGCATTGCCAATGCCGCCCAGGTGCATGGCGCAGAATACCTCAGCGAGGAACTGCAAGTTACCCTGGAGCACAATATGGCATCAATGAGAAAGAACATCCTGAGCGTCGCCACAAAAGCCAAACCGGTAACAACATTCACCACTGGTCGGACCTTTGCATCGACAGCAACCAGACTCAACACCATTCCATTCGAAGTCGTAGGAGAAGGCTCAGGAGTAGCCCAGAAAGTCCAAGTCGCAAGCAGCAGCCACGTCATCAACACGGACGCCTACCCAGCTTTCGGCGGCAAGGATTCGTATCCATCACCACTGCACTTCAATCTGGCAGCACTATCTTCTTGTACCCAGGTGACTGGATCTATCGTGGCCAGGGATCTAGGAATCAACATCAGCAAATGGAACGTCTCGGTCAAGGGAGACCTCAATCCTTCGGTATTGGTCGAAGGTGTGGAGGGCAATGCCAACTGGTCGGCTATCACGTTGACTGCACAGATTGAAAGTGATGCGGATGATGCCAAATTTGCGGAATTTGGGAGAGAGACGGAGCGGAGATGTCCTGTGACTCAGCTTTTCAAACGAAGTGGCGTGGAGTGGAAAAGTAGTTGGAAGAATTCGACGGCGTGATGATGAGGAGTCTTTCGTGGGCTTTCGAAATCGACGATGCCCCCAGTCCTTTCTAATCTTCTCTATCTGGCCGTAGTGTTACACGAAGCTGTTCTCCAGCCATAGATTCGGTATCAAACACAAAGACGAGCCGGCTCAGAACCGCTTCGCATTGCACTTCCCGTCTCATTAGCAGTTGCATCTCCAGCACCTGTGAAAGCTACACTCGATCCCCCAGACTCTTCAATACCACCAGCTTCAGTGTACGCAAAACTGTAGCTCGAGTCACAAGTAGCCGAAGTATTAACAGCAATCGTGAATAAACCAAAAGTCCATCCGAAAGATCTTGGCCCTGGTAAACATAGTCGGAAACAGGATCTGATGTAGTACCTCCCAACCTCCCAACCTCTCGATCTTCCACAAGACAACTATTCGTTCTGATCCCCACTCCTCACCAGAAACAGACTTCCCATCAACGTCTCCCAAATCAGGAACCATCTCCGTATTCTCTTACGAAATACGCACTTCTTCTCCGGCTCTCTTCATCGTCTCACCCTCAATACTCCTTCACAGCATCCTCCAATTTCACCTCACCCCTTCTAAACCTCCCCAGAGCAGCCGTTTTCGCAACCTCGCAGTACTGGAGACATCACCACACCCAAGACATCAACAACCAGCTTATATTCCCCTTCACATATCAAACTACTGTCTCATCCGCCCCACATATCCGATCAAAATCCAAAAGACCCATTTCGCTTCCACTGCACATCTCTAGATCCAAATTTCCTCGCCTTTCACATGGAAGTCACTAGCACAGCCCACTAGAAACCCGACTAACCCGATCGGGAAGGAATGTTGTGACGGACAGCCACCCGAGTAGTGAGGGGCGAACCTGGCCTGGGAGCCGCGCGGCTTCGGTCTGCTTTCGATTACACTCCTTCACAACTTACTGAGAGGAGACAACACGCGGAGCTAAAGCCATGACGCGTCACAGGAGCTATCTGTATTGCTCCTGCATTGCCCTCAAATCCAGATATGACCGTGCCGTGCGACGTGCACAGAAACCACATCTGGCAAGAGATGTAGAAGACAGCAATGCCCACCGCCATTATTCCTCACAGGCTGCAAACGCGGCATCGGCCATGGAGATAGATCTGAGGCAAGACAGGAAAGTTCTAGTCCTGCCTCTTTCCTTCTCAGGCGGTTTCTCAAAGCTGCGGGCAGCCGAGAGTTTACGGATCAAATTTTTGGTACATAGGCGTTATGCTGAGTTTTTGGGATATGGTGGGACGAAGTGTCAGCGGATAGACACAGGATGAGGCAGAAGAGGGGAAGGATTGTTTTGTTTCGAAATGTATGTGAGTAATTGCATATGTTGTACACTTGGAATAGACTGTGATTTGAACGTACTGCATGCTTCACTTGCAGGCCTAGCAAGAAGTCGTACATACTGGCCTTCCCGTGCCTCTCGCCGATACGAAAAGAAACGCCATAGCAATGCATAGATGCAATATGAAGAGGCCGTAGAAGTGATGGGCGTCCATCGAAAGTCTGTGTCGGAAAGAAGATCTCATAGCGAAAAGCAACACACTGCATCCCAATCTGCATCCCGTGTCATCGCCGGAGCGCCATGCTAAACCCTCAAAACCCCACCCCTCGCATGTGCCGACGTTTGACCCTCACTTCCACTCGGTCATGGTCTTATGCCCAGGCCAATCGTCGACAACTCCACCGTGCTTCTCTCCCACGCCTTCTTGCACGTCACATTTGAAAAGATTGACATGGCCATCATTGACCGCCCCACAGGCCAGCATCATGCGATGCGGATGGAAAGCAGTAGCAGTGATGGGCGCCATCCGGGGTGTATTCAGCGCTCGCATATAACTCATATAAGGCTCAAAAGAGCTGATCGGCTTCTTCCTCGAGACGTTCGTCGTGCTGTATACACGTATGACGTGGTCTTTGCCTCCTGTGGCGAAGACAGGCGCGTGCTCATGGACTGACAGTGTTCGGAGACTTCTAGGCGTCCGGGAACTGCTGGGATTGTATTGGTCCACAGAAGCGCGCATGCGAATGTCCCACAGACGAATACCGCCATTGCTTTCTGCCGATATGAGCTCGCGCATGCCGCCACGCTGGAGGTGAACGCCAACAACCCAGGATTTATGCTCGTGCCAGGACATGTGCATCTGATCACTGCGCGGCAGACGTTGGTCGAAGACTTTGACGCTGCCATTACCAAAGCCCGCAACGAAGACATTGCCTTCGACTTGATCAGAAGTGAGCGAGGTGATGCAAGCAGAAGAGCGAGTCTGAATATCGCTGACGCAGAGTTCCTGTCCGACTTGCCAAACACGGACAACACGGTCATCGCCTGCTACTAGGGTACGACCTTGACCTTGTTGCCAGTCGAAGACGAGACCAGAGCTCTGCCGGTCGCTCGGAATGAGGTCGTTAAGAGCGCGGAAGCTTGAGACGTGTTGGATTTGCTTGGGGTCTTCATAATTTCGGAAGATTTTCATGACGCCGTCGCTGGAGCCAGTCATTAGCATCGCAATGTCGTCCTCGTTGATGAATTTCACGTCCGTAACCCGGCTGCCTTTCGGGTTGCCGTTGCTGAAGCGATTGAGCTGCTTTTCCTCCTGCCAGTCCCAAACTGCAATGCTATCACGGTCGTCACTTGTGATGAGGTGGTTCTCGAATTGATGGAACACCATCTTCACCGGCGCTGCTCCGATGCCGAAGTATCCGCACGGTTTATCCCATCTCTGAGTGCCAGCAGCCTCCTTCAATGGCTGGGTCGAAGCAATGATCTTATCATTGCGGTTTCGCCGCCATAGTCTCTCGTTGTAGTCCTTTGAGCCAGGTTCGTCTGCTTCTGATGGCCTCATCTGCGGTTCGCGGAAATACGACGCAGACCAGTCAAAGAAGTTGGACTTCAGAGGTATCATAGGTAGCACCGAAAGATCTCGTTCTCTGTAGTGTGGCGTTGGTGGAACCTTGGCAGGTGGCTGATGTGGCGGACCTGGGATGTTGTCACCCAAGTCTGGCGGCAATTGAGCAGCATCAGCAGGCGTCAAAGGCCGTGATCGATAAGGCATATTGTGTGTACTGTAAGCCGAACCTCGGCGACCGTGCGTTGGGGATGTTGGCGTGGAAGGTACCTCACCAGGCGGCTTAGGACCCCAACCAATGAAGCTCTTCATTGCTTGCGCGACGCTGGCTGTACGAGAAAGAGCGAAGTATCCGTCGGGCTTCGATGCTGTGGAAGGCACAGGGCTTGGTGGGGTGTCTGGTCTGGCCTCGCGTGTACGCTGTCTGGTCAGACCATCCCCAGTTATACTCGCTGTATCAACTGCCAAAGCTTGCGCCTGCGTATGCTCCAGAAGTGCCTCAGCGTGGGAACCGAGAGGTGATTCGAGAAGGGCATTAAGGATATAGTCAACCACAATACCCGCATTCCGCGCGACCTCTGGATGAGGGTCAGCAGATAAGCTCATCAGTTGTCGCCATATTGTTCGGTAGATGGTTCCCATGGAATAGTCCTTCTTCACTGCAGGCGGACTGAACGCTGATATAGGACCCTTTTGAGACACCGGAGAAAGACTGCGTTGATGGACAGAACGGACATTGTTAGACATTGTCGATCCGTTCATGCTCTCGCCTTCTTTGGACTCTGGCCTCTTTTCTGAGATCGTGTCGTCCGTTACGTCGGACTTTCCCAGTTTCTTAGACTGTTCTTCGACAAGCTGGTCCCACGCCGCACAGATAAAGCGATTCTCGTACTTGTTGACAAACTCTGAGTAGAGAACAGTCAACTCTCTGCGAACCATGATGGATCCGTCCATGCCCATGGAGCACACTACCCCCATAAGTTGATGTTCGATCTCCATTCCATCGCGAGAGTCCATGTCATGCGTTGCAATAAAGCTTGCAAGAGTGTGAAGGACAGCCGTGCGAACCTCTGGAACTGGATCGTGGGTTCGATCAGCAATCCGATTATGCGCTCCTTGCTGGACGAAAGCTTCTCTGGCTGGTGGATAGTCTCTACAGAGATTGCTCAAGCACAGCAGACTGAACTGCCGCAGCAATGGGTTCTGCATATCCATGAGATTTTCGAGACAATGATCGATCAACTCCGGAGTGTTTTCCAGCACTGCCGACTTGCCCTGCTTGAAGTCTTTACAAAAGACCGCGATGATAAAGGTGCACATGGCACGGTGTTCCGCGATGTTACCGGTCGGAATGCCGCTGTTTGCCACCAGTATGTTGGTGAAGTAGGAAAAGCCTGCATCCTTGAGAAGGTCGGTCTGACAAGTTTGGTCCACCGCTAGGATTCTAGCCCAGATGAAAATCATAGGCGCCTTGAGCTCCATGGCCTGTGATTGAAGAAGCTTGAGGACGTAAGGAAAGATGCCGATGCTGAGGGCCAGATTTACAGCCCATGGTCCCAGATCTAAGAACTTGGATAGTAGTACAAGAGCGCGAAGGCGGTGAACTTGTGAGAGGAGGACCTGTAATACGATGGGCAGCTGCTCCGGAGGCCTTGCATAACCAGGCATTGCAGGGTCGCAAGGCGCAGAAGTCAGATACACCTCGAAGGCTGAAAGCTGGTCTGCGAAGAAATCGGAGTGTTGATAATCTAGCTCCGGGGTTTGCTGCGGCTGCTGAGGAGCCTGAGGTCCGCTTGGCATCTGCTCGAGAGCGGCTTCGTTCGCCTTCTGCTGCTCGATGAGTTTGGGCAGCTGCGCGAGGATCATCTCCACAGCGAGGTCCCAGCTCTTCCACAAAGGATGATCGTGCGTATCCGGAATAAGAGGATGTGATTGTGGGTGGCAGTGGTACATGCGCATCACGCGCTGGGCAAGAAGGAAATTTCGGAAGAGGGCCGCAACCATGAGGTCCTGGCGGAACAACTTCTTGAAGAGTGGCTTGTCCAAGCAGTTCCACGCGATCGTATCCGTTATGGCAGTGAAGATCCAGTTCAGTTCTCCCAGTGGCGTCCTCCGCTCGCTGACCTTGCCTGGGATATGCCGAGCTTGTGCGAGCGTCACGCCGTTGGTGGAAGTCAAAGGATTCTGAAGGATGAAAAAGCGGACCGCCATCATGATTGGAGTCGTCAGACATGATGTGAAGAGATCTGCGGGAAGATCAGGATTGGTTGGAAGAACTTCATGTTGCTTGCACGCCGCAAGATGTATGCAGTCTTCCCACTTGACCAGAGGCTGCTGTTGAGTGCGGTTCGGATCTCGTTTCAAGGCTTCTTGCTGGTTCAAGGCGTGTTTTTGAGCGGCTTCCAGGAATCCGGTGATGATGCTACTGGCCGCACTACAATCCCAGACCCAGAGACCAGGAGCTCCCACCCATTCCTGCAGATCCATCAAGCTAATGGGAATATACTGGGTGTAGCTGCGATTAAAGCACCACACCTCGCCGCTCGCCGTGGGCTTGGGCACACCGTGACCATTATAATGAAAAAGGATCCGCTCCTGATGCGCCGTCCGCCTGAGCGACTGGGTGTACTTCTTGAGCTCCTCAATGGTCGGGTCCAGGACGACCTTGTATCTCGAGCGCAGAGATAGATTCTCATACTGCGATTGAAGATTCTTCCCTATCTGAGCATTGGTGTTGTTGGAGTTTTGGTTCGTGCTATCCGGAGGTACAGGATCCACCCAACACTCCATGCGAGCGCACGGATTGGTTTTGATGACATCCGGGGGATCAACGCCGACATTCAGACATACGGCCAGCAACGCGGACACAGTCTTGAGACGGTCCTTCATGCGCCACTCGGTAACCAGCTGCTTTGGATCGAAGTCGACTGGAAGGTTGCCCGCCGTCTCATGACGCTTATCCTCGTAGTACATGAAGAAGTTCTCGGAGAGATTCTTGGTGACCTCCTCATTCTGCAACTGTGATTCCCAGCCATGACGCATGTTCAATAGATCTGGATCTGTCTTCTCGCTCCTCGCATGCTGCTGGTACCGTCCATGCTCATGCTCGCTCTTGGCACGTGACAGCGCTGGCCTGCCCGGTCTGTTAGCGTTGCCATTGGCGGTATAGAGCTGCAAGCCTTCTTCTTCGGAATCGCTGCCATCCTCCCTGTAGTGTCCATTTGGCTGAGAGCGCGTCGATCCGGAGGTTGACGGGCGGTAGAGGGTATTCGCGGAGAACGACTGCGACTTTGCGTGGCGGCTCTGCTGCTGCATGTCGTCGAGGACAGGCTGGGCATGTTTGGAGCGATGTCCGTTGACGACCTCTTCCGGCAGCAGGCCGGCAGTCGCAGCTCGCGTCATGGTTGGCGGTGGTCGGAAGGGAGACGCATGGCCTGCGGTAGAGAGGCGGCGGTAGTCGTTATAAAGGTGGAGGAGAGGTCCTCGTGGCCACGAGAGTGAGTAGTAGTGGTATTGCCGGCGTTGGAGGTGTGTTTGTGTTGTTGGCGGCGGTTGGTGCCTCAGGCCGAAGGTCGGTCAGCAGACCGGCAAGCTTTCCTGGAAGGCGCGAAACCGGCGATCTTCGGCCCTCCGGTTCGATTTCCATCCTTCTCGAACATCTCCTATCCACTTCCACCACGACTTGTCTCCGCCCAACGACACCACCACTCACGGAAGCAACACAGTATGGGCAAGGTCGCCAAACAGCACCCGGATGAGCAGATCACGTGCCAGTCACTCGTCTGCCTCCAGCCGGCCTCACTCGTCCCGACTTACCGGCTAAACATGTTTTTGCTTCTCGAAAGACTTGCAGCATGCACGCGCCTCCTACGATTGCGAATCCTGCTCGTCAAAGTGGACACTTTTGGCATCAGATGAACGGTCTCCCGTTTCAGGTACTTGGCTCGTCGAGAATGGGCACGGAAGGCACAGTATGCGCACAAGCAGGCATGATGGCTGCCATGTGCACGCCCGGATCACACCAGGCTCTCCGCAAAATAGTACAACACGAACATATAACGCCCACCTGGGCTCCAATATCTCATCGACTATATGCAGACGCGGCAGACTTCTCGGAGATGGTATCTCCTCTCCTCTCCTATTGTCATCCCAGGTCGGATACGGCAGAGCCGTGCGATACGTCTCTGGACTCGGCATCCTCCCGAGCGGCTCCTGAGAGCTTTCCAATGCCGGACGGGATGTCAGCTTCTGCAGAAGCACTAGAGAGTCGCGCGAGATGTTCATCTCCTGTCCACAGCCACCATCAGCGAATGGAGGGACGCCTTTCGCGAGGATTGCGCATAGCTCCAAATATAGAGCATGTGTTTCCTGCCTGGGACACGGGGTCTCCAGTTTGGCGGACGTTTGGAAGCTCACTGGTGCCAAGCTGCGCGCCGATCTGCGTCAGAAACCCCTGATTAGATGTAGGCACCTATTCTAGCGCACCACCGGCACGGTAGATGGGTTTCAGGGACGTGCTATGTGCTGCTACTGTATCTGCTCGCACCACATGTGGTACACGGGCGGACACTTCACTATCCGACCGCTGGTGTTGAAGTGGTCGAGGCATGCGCGGAACATGCAGGTTCCTCGCTTGCCATGCAGAATCTGGGCTTCGGTTCTTCATCATCATGGAGGAGAGGTTAGAGTTGGTCAGAGGAGGCGGTAACGTATGGTATCTTAAGATAATCGACTCCTAGTGGATGCGCAAGCGAGTGTGAAAGGTGCTGCAGTAGTTTGGTCCGCTATAGCGCAAAGATGTGGATGGTGCCGCTTGACCGTTCGTTCGCTTTTGCGCTGCCCAGATTATTTTCCTCGTGCTGCATTACGCCTCCTGCCCTCCGGACATACTACCACTATCTCACCTCGTCGTTGCTGTGTCGTTGTTGGTATCCAAGATCGAGTGTGCGTGCGCGCGGAGTGCCATTGGGAGCGTGCTGCGTGTTTCAACCCGCTCGACTCTCCCGCCGCCGCCTCACCCAACGATCCATTCCAACATCCCAGCCCAGCCTCCCTCACCACGCCCGCCGCGGCGACACCACCTCCACTCCTCCTGCAATAATACCTACTGTACACACCGCTGTGCATTAATCCATTGACCACACTCGCTCCTGCTGTCACGATTTCCTGCACGCGACGGACTGGATGACCGTGTCGCCGCCGTCGCCTGACCCTCCGCCCCCAGCGCCGCCGTCTCCTGGAATCAAAATCACCTAAAACCTCCACCCAGCCGCCCGGCGCGCTCGAAACACGCAAACAGTTCGACTTCACGACATGTCCTTCTTGTTCAAGTCTTCCAAGAAGGGTGCTCCCGGTCCACAGCCTTCCACATCAAATGTCTCCGCACCGCTGCCACCTGCGAATAGGGGACTGCGATCATCAGATGGCAGCGGTCCTGAGAGCCAGATCCCTACGCTGAACGGAGTCGCGCACATGGGACAGAGCAGCAAGCCGAGCTCTCCCACGCCCAGTCATGGTGTGAGCAACAGCTTGGACTCGCTTGCGAAGGAGAGAGGCGCTTCGGGACAGAGACCACAGGAGGATCGCGTGGCCAGTCTGAGAGAAGATCGTTCGCGCAGCGCTGGACCGCCGAGCCCCGAACAGAAGAGCTTGAGAGAAGGGAGTAGGGAGACCAGTCGGGATGCGGTGAGTTCACATCCACAGACGCCTTCAAATCTCGGCCGGAGTCGGGAACATCAGACTGATGCGTACTTCCACGAGCAGCAGCACAGACTCCCGATGCAGACGAGACCTACAGGAGATGCCTCGCCCTATCCGTGGTCTCAGCGACGGATTAACTTTACAGTCACGCACACGAACCCTTTCCCTCGATACGGCGCAGCTGTCAATTCGACCGCCAGCAAGGATGGCTCGATATATCTCATGGGCGGTCTCATCAATGGCAGCACAGTCAAGGGCGACCTGTGGATGGTAGAAGGAAGTTCGCCAAGTTTGACTTGTTTTCCAGTTGCGACCACCAGTGAAGGTCCGGGTCCAAGAGTGGGACACGCAAGCTTGTTAGTTGGCAACGCCTTCATCGTTTTCGGTGGAGATACCAAGATGGACGAGGGCGATATGTTGGATGACACCTTATATCTTCTCAACACATGTACGTGACCTACTTGACCCATTGGAAGAGATTGCACACTGACACCTTCAAGCAACCAAGCAATGGTCAAGAGCGCTACCAGCCGGCCCGCGACCTCCAGGAAGATATGGGCATACCTTGAATATTTTGGGCAGCAAGATTTACATTTTTGGAGGTCAGGTCGAGGGCTACTTCTTTAATGACCTGGTCGCGTTTGATCTGAATGCCCTGCAGCAATCCTCCAACAAGTGGGAAATCTTGATCCAGAACACAATCGATGGAGGGCCACCGCACGGCCAAATTCCGCCCGCGAGAACGAATCATACCATGATCACCTGGGGTGACAGGTTATACTTGTTTGGAGGTACAGATGGCGTGCACTGGTTCAACGACGTCTGGTCATACTCTCCACATCAGAATGCATGGACGCAGCTGGAGGGAATTGGCTACATTCCATCGCCGCGTGAAGGCCATGCTGCCGCTCTGGTCGGAGATGTCATGTACGTCTTTGGTGGCCGGAATGAGGAAGGCAATGATCTCGGAGATCTTGCAGCTTTCCGAATCAGCTCAAGGAGATGGTACACATTCCAAAACATGGGACCGAGCCCTAGTCCCAGATCAGGCCACAGCATGACGACGATTGGCAAGCAAGTGGTCGTGGTCGGCGGAGAGCCCAGCAGTGCACCGAGAGATCCTGCAGAGCTCAGCCTTGGATACTTCCTCGATACAAGTAAGATCCGATATCCGCCTGACTCGGCCTCGCAACAATCCTCAAATGATCGGATACAAGGCACGAGGCGGCCGAGCGGGGAGCGTCCTCCTGCCCAAGCCAGAGGCCAGCCTCCCAGGGAGGTCATGGAGCGTGAGCGATCAGGCAGCACAGATGGACAGCGAATACGATCTCCGGACGGATCGCGTCTACCCAGGCCGGGTCAAGTACCCGCGCCATCTGGACCACCACCACCTCGAGCGCCGCCCGGACAGCCGATGCTGCAGCCCGGCACGAGGCAACCTAGTAGACCAGAGCGGGCTTTCAGTCCGAGTAACGAGAATGACCGACCTCAACCATTCCAGAACAACAATATCGCTGCGTCAGAAGGAGCTAGGGGCTCGCCAATGCACAGTCACATGCCGATGTCACCTTCGTTGGGCGACCCTGAGCCTGGATACTACGATGATGGCGATGAACATGCCGTGGGACAAGCAACACAGAAGCCAGAAACCTATCAGCCGTCGCAACAACAACAACAACAACAACAACAACAACAACAACAACAACAACAACAACAACAACAAAAACTACAACAAGAACAAGAACAACAACAACAGCAACAACAACAACAACCCGCTGAGCTCTACCAGAGGACAGACTCGCGATCACAGGGACATCGACCAGCAGACACGGTGCGCTTCGATGAGACGCCGCGACAATCGGAAGATACGCAAGAGCCAGTGTCGAAGGTGCGGCAGATGTCCGAGGACACTGATGGACCGCAGGATTCGGGCATTGGATCTTCGCCGGCTTTTGCGCAGCAAAATCACCATGATTTGGCACGAGAATTGGAAAACGCCAAGAAGCAGAACGCTTGGTATGCTTCCGAGCTGGCCCTGGCGCGCAAGGCGGGTTATCAGACAAGAGCATCCGACTCTCCGGTATTCGACGAGCGAGGCAACGAGTCTTTCGGCGACGACGACCGGCCACTCATTGAGGCCCTCCTTAAGATGCGTGCCGAGCTTGCAAGAGTGCAGGAAAAGATCGACGAGCAGAGCAAGAGTGCGGCCGAGAGGGTAGCTGAGATTGAAAGGCAGCGCGATACCGCCATCAATGAGGCTGTGTTTGCAAAGGCGAAACTGGCTGGTCAAGGAAGCCCTCAGCCGGATGGCACAAGCACACCAGACCGACACATTGAGATCAGCCGGCGGCTTGCTTCCTCTTTGGAGGCCCAGAGCGGAATGAGCAAGCGCATCGACTCGATCATCCAGCAGATGGAGGCAGAGAAGAAGGCGCGCGAGCTCGCCGAAGATACTGCAAATGCTGCTCAGAAGCGCGTGGCAGAGCTGGACACATACCGCCAGCAACACAGCGCCGAAGTCGAAAGCCTACGGACCGAGTTGCACGAGGCGCAAAAGGAGGCTCGTGAGGCATCTGCGAATCATCAAGAAGTTCTTGCGCAGCACCGATTGCTTAGCGTGGACAAGGACGAGCTCAGCAAGAAGCTCGAGAATGCATCAGCGGAAGGCCAAAGCCACATTTCGATCCTAGCATCTCTCAAAGAAGCCGTGACCGCCTCCACGGACAAAGCGGAGCTGCTGGAAAAGAAGCTTGAAGAAGAGCGCCACCAGCGTGAGGACTTGGAGCGCAACCTTAGGGAGCTCCGAAGCCAACACAATCAACGCTCGAGCGAGCTAGAGAGTACGACCAGAAGACTGCGTGATGCCGAAGAGTTGGCGCAGAAGCATGCTGACGAAGCTCGCACCCATCGTGAGGTCGTATTGGCTGGCTTCGGCAAGACTCCGGAGCGTGATGCTGACTTGCCACACGCGGACCAAGGACGTATCAACATCCTGCAGCAGCAAGTCGAAGCTGCAAATGGCATGGTGCGACAGAACCAGGCCGCAGCCGACGCTGCCTCGGAGAAACTGCGACGTGCTGAAGAGCGCATTGCTGGTCTTGAAGCCTACCAAGAACAGGCCAGTCGAGAAGGCCTGTCAATCAGGAAGCAACTTCAGACTTACATGAAGGAGAATCAGGGCCTCGCAACCGAGAAGGCCGAGCTCGAGCAGAGGCTTGAGAGACACATGCTCGAGACGAACGCGCTTTCGGTGCAACACGCTTCTTTGAAGGATATCCTTGGCGAGCGTGGCGTCAATGCCGCAGAAAAGAGAAGGTCGAGAGCACTCGATTCGCCGATCAATGCTCGCTTCAGTACGCCTGACCTCCAGCGTGTCAAGGAGCTGGAGCAGCAGCTCGAGACCAACATGAAGAGTCACGAGGAGCTGAAGACTCAATTCGAAGAAGTCAATGAGCGCGGCGACAAGATGAAACGTGAATACGAAGAGAAGCTCACTGCTCTCGACAATGATCATCAAGCGGCGGTCAAGTACCTCCGTGGCACCGAGAAGATGCTTTCTAGGATGAAGCAAGAACTTCAACGGGTCAAGAACGAGAATGGAGAGCTCAAGAAGAAGATCGACAAAGCCAAGGACGACAACGAGACCAGCCGTGCGACAACTCCTGCGCCAAACTCTGAATGGGAGACGGAAAAGCAGAAGATGCAAGAGGAGTTCGCCTCTACGCAGTCAACTCTGCAGAGCTCGGTCTCGAACTTGGAGAGCCAAATCAGTACGATGCAAGAGCAGATGAAGATGACGGAGTCAGAATTGCAACAGGCAAAGGGCTTTCACACTTCAGCACAGAAAGACTTGTCCGAGCTGCAGGCGTCGCACTCGCAATCGCAGAACGACATCGATCGGCTGCAGAAGGAAAATGCCCTGCTGGAGGAACGGGCCAAGGATGCAGAGAACAAAGTGCAGCTCCTGCTGGATCAGGTGGAGTCTTCTGTGGATAACTACCGCAGGCAGTCCCGGATTTCACAGAGCGGAGCTCCTCTCATGAACGGCACTGCACACCAGCGTCAGCCTTCTATCAGCGAGAACAGCGAGACGAGCGGCGGATCAAATACCCTGACGTTGAAGACGCACAGTCGTAACGTCTCCGCGGGCGGTGATTCGAACTACTCGTCCAGCCAAGATCCCGAATCTGCAGGTGGAGATGCTCGCGACTCGCTAGCATTGGACTCCCTCGCGAGCGAACTGGATGCTCTGAGGACGCACTGGGAGACCACGAACAAGAACTATCGTCTCTCGGACCGGTTCGATTTCGAACGCACGCCTACGCAGCCTTTGACGCCCGCAGGACCGGGCGGTGGGCTTGCTGATTGGAGGAGAGGTCTGGAACTTGATGATGATGAGGATGCGACTCGACCTGGGACCGCGAAGACGGCTAGTTCGGGCGCGCATAGTCGGGGACACAGTATGGAAGAGCCTGCTGGAGGCTTGCCCACGCCTACCGCCGGCGTAACCTCCACATCTGGCCACAATGGGAGTGAAGGGGTGATATAATTCCGAGATGTTTGATATCGTTTGGCATGGACATGCAAGGAAAGCCAAAAAAAAAGCAAAAATTCTGGCCGGCAATTTCTGCCGATCGTGTGAAGAAGAAGAATGCAATGGATTCAAAATCCCGCGAACGAAAAGACAAAAGAGATCGCGAAATGTGTGTGGCTTGTTTTCTTCTTGGAAGCCTCTCTGCATTGTCTAGAGAGGCTAGTTTATGGAAGCACAGCTTATCATGGATGGATGTAACGGGGCGATGGCGAAAGATTCTCGGGACTTTGCTAAAGCTAAAGCTGAGGGACTGTCCGGACGATGTGGCGTTCTGGACTGTGACTGTGACTACTGAGGGTGTATCTCATTATTTGTTCGTTATTCTTGGGTGGGTGGCTGCCTTTTTAATTTCGAGCGGAAAGAGGGAATGGAATGGAATGGATGGTGGGTTGAGGGGGGGGAGGATGGCTGTAGATATGTATACCCTCTTTGCAGCCGGTTGTTTCTTCTTCTTCTTCGATCTTCGATTGGAAGAAGACATGACGTTACATTACATTACCTGTCTGCTCATATCTAGCGAGGACGACGGACGTGGAAGAAGAAGTGGGGGGGGGGGATGGAATGGAATGTATAATATTCCAAATACTTCAAACACGACTTTTTGGCTTCGTTTGACAACTCTCTATCCTTCTGACATGCTCAATCAAACCCCAAAACTCTCCCCATCTCCCCCAGAACGCCCAAAACCTCACTATCCCGCCATCGCCTCCCCACCAGCTGTAAATTCACCGGCGCCCCTTTCCAGCCCAGGGGATCCGCTTCCCAATCCTGCTTGACTTTCCTACACCTCGCGCTCAATTCCACATACTGCCGCTTTCCAGTTTCATATGTCTCGTTGCCCGTGACGACATACGGAGTCGGAAAAACGACGGCCGGATAATCCAGATAATTCCACAGGGCGGTGTAATTCCAGAATTCCGCCGTGTCGTGTTTCGAGGCCGGGCCTACGTAGCATGGACTCAGGACGTAGTCGATTTCTTGGGCGTTGTAGGAGGCGAGAAATTGGGAACGATAGGCGTCGCGGAGGAGACGCATTTGGGTGATTCGCGTGGCGGGTTTTTCGGAAGTGGAAGGGGTGACGGGTGCGAGGCAGGAAAGTGTGAGGGGGTGCATTGGCTCGCCTGTTTCCGCCAGGGATTCTTTGGTGGGGAGGCCCATATCGGGCCAGTAGGCTTCTCCGATGTTTTGGATTGCTGAGGGGACGTTGTAGGGTGTGAAGGGTTTGAGGTCGAAATATGGATTTCCTTGGAGTTTGGTGGTGACCCATTCTAGGGCTTTGAGGACGGGAGGTTGGGGTGTGATCATGGTGTCGTTCCACATGACGCCGATTCGGATCGGCTTGGGGAGCTCTGGAGTTGGATTCCATGGGATGGGAACGATGCGAGGATCGTGCATATGTTGATTAGCGGATTTGAGGACAGTCATGAAGAGTTGCATATCCCGAAGGGAGCGGGCCATAGGGCCTGTGGAGCAGAGGACGTTGAGTTCGGCAGGGAAACCGAGGGGGATGAAGTCTTGCATGCTGAGGGTGTAGGTTGTGGGTTTGAATCCGAAGATACCCTGGGAGGAAGGTAAGTACTGGGCGAGGTGAGGAGATTTGGGACTGGGGGATGTTACGCAGAAAGCGGATGGAGCTCGGATTGAACCGCCGATGTCTGTACCTGGACCAAGCACGGAACCTTTGAGAGCAATGAGGGCGGACTCGCCTCCTGAGAGGGTGTCAGAGAATGAACAAGGGATCACAAGTAGGTGTTCCCTCACCCGTCGAGCCACCGGATGAGAGATTGATATTGTAGGGATTGTTAGTTCTACCATACCACGAGTCTGTTTCCAAGTGCATGATGCCTTGTGGTTGGTTGGTCTTGCAGTAGAAAACGGCGCCAGCGGCACGTAGATCTTTGATCAAAAGAGAGTCCCTGTCATTGTACGTCCGAGTCGAGAGATATCCGTAGCTGGAGTAGTGACCCGCCAGCATCATATGCTCCTTGACCGAGACTGGTACACCATGAAGCGGACCGATCGGTCTGCCTTCTTTCTCCAGGTAGTCGTCCAGATAGCGTGCACGTTCCAGAGCTTCTTCCATAAAATACTGAGTGAGACAGCAAGTCAATTGATGAGCGATGGCGGCTCTCTTGGCAAAGGCTTTCGCAACCGCCACAGCTGTGTACCGCTTCCGAGCAATGGCCTCGGCAAGAGATGTAGCATCATGATCTTCTGTGATCCTTATTTCTTCCTCGCAGAGGATGCCGCACGACGAAGGAATGCTAGTAACATCCGTCGGAGCATTGTCGATGATGTCTTGGGGCAGGTGATACTCCACGGGAATGGATTCGTTAAGCTCTTGAATTAGCTTCTCCCGCTGCCTCTCGAAGCTGTCTGTTCCTTTGGGAACTGGGACGGTCTGAATCACTCTGAGTGTTCGTTTAGCCATCGGCACGATTGCCTGAAGCCGATCAGTAAGTCTGGTGGACATGATTTTGGACAAATGCTGTGTCGGCTTAGCAGGACGATTTTCTTCTCAACAATACTACACAACTGCAAGTGCGCCCTTCTCGCTGATGACTTCTTATAATCTGTCGACCCCGCTGCAGTATCGTTATAATTCCATCCAAAATGCCTGGCGTCTCGAAACTCTAGATTAGGGCTCATGGCACGAAGAAAGGACATTGCTGCCAATCTATTCGTTGATATCGTTCAGGTATTAGATACGGGTCTGATGGGGCGACAGCTTCCCCTGCAACGCTCGTCCGCAGCTTCCCTGTCGCAGACATTCGAGCGTCTGAGGCAGTTCCAGCCCAGAGCTTGAGGATTACAAGTAGCGAGGGCAGGTGAAGTGATCGGGGTGTCTTCGGTCGACAGCACAAGTCGCGAGGAACTCCACGCCGATAGCATCCTCGCTGCGGTGATGCCAATCAATCCAATCGTAGTATCCAATGTAATCTAAGCCAGACGCTCGTTGTGAACGACACATCTGGTACAAGGCGACAGACTAAACGAACGCGACTTTGCACCGAGGGCTTTGTCTCCTGTCCGCGTGCCGGTGATGACTACAACGACGCCAAGGCAGAGTAGGTCTCGCACTGTGTGCAGAATAGCCCTGTGCATGATAGCTTTGGCGAGGAAATGACGAGAGTAGTGAGAAGGAGTTCATAGATGGGTGGAAGACGTCGGCGGACAGGAATTGATAAGGGAAGGAAAGAAGGAGGTCATTGCTCGGGCTCGGGCTCGGATTCGTACCTCGGCCCGTGTACGGCTGGTCCCGTTGATGGGTACGACATGACACATCAACATGGCAAGTACATGCATTCGCCTCGAACACCACAACACCACAACACCACAACAACACATTCCCCATCGAGCACGCTATTGCGCATATATCATCACTCGGCACTGCATCTGGCGATCGATGTGACAAAGATCACATGACGCTAAGCCACTGCCACTGCTACACAATATACCGATACCGATACCGCACGCTATCCCCTCCATGCCACGCTTCCCACTACTCCAAGAGCTGCCCACAGAGCTGCGCCAAGATATCCTCGAGCGTCTCTGTAGGGCAGACCTCCGAGCTCTCAATCGCGCGTCAAAATGGGCCTACCAACAAGCAACCCCGTTGTTATGGCGCGAGGTCGAGCTGATGGACTGTACGACATACTACGAAGACGGCAACGACGACCACGACGATCTTCCTCTCATACGGAAGCTGCTCCTCTTCGCCAACAACCCTTGGATCGCGTCGTGCGTACAAGAGCTGACACATCGCTGCCATCTACCACCACCGGCGATCTTCCGCGAATTGCCCTTCATGAATTTCAACTGTCAAACGCTCTCGACAGATGCTCGAACGATCAAGCTGGTGCAGCTGGCTGCCAAGAATCTGAAGAACGTGCACACGTTGCGCATTATTGCTGGTCATCCGAGTCTAACCGATGCCATTCTCCGCTGCTTCTTTGATGCTGCCCGGCACGGAATCTCTGCAGATTTCGTTCGGATACGAAGGCTGTGGTTGGAGAATTGCCGAATCAGTATCGGTCTTAATATGCAAATCGACGAGCATCCATACGGGTTGCCGCTCGCCTGCAATTTCGAGGCTCTCGAGGTCGTGCGGTTCCGTCGTCTGCCCATGAAGCCCGGAACGCCTTACAGCGATATTGTACCAAGATTCCATTACGCGTATTCGAGAGGTGGGATTCCAATCGAGATGAACGATGGGCTCGGTGGTACATTCAGTACTTCCATGAGCGAGCTGGAGACCGAAGTGAGGGCCGGAGAGGAACAAGTCATTTGGCTGGAAGATCAGAGGAATCGACCGTCTGCCCATGATCGCTCACCTCTCGAAAAGTTCTATGAGGTTGCGCATACGTTTGACGACAGTACATATGAGAGACTCGAGAGCCTGGACTTTCCGTCTGAGGTGCTCGAGCTCTCTTCTATGACACGCCCTGAACGAGCCACTTTAGCCTACCGCGGAAGTTGGCTTGACCCAGGTGCCCAGATACCAATCTCCAACAAACCGTTCTACTTCCCCTTTGACTTGAACAAGAGCAAACTTCTGATGCGGACAAAGAGCTGGAAGCGGATGCAACGGGAGAAGATTTCGTCTGCAGATGCTGTCATGCTGCTCCTCAACAATGCGAGCGCAACACTGACCTCTTTGAACATCGATTGGGCGCTGACTATTCCCTCCATTCTCGGACATTCGAGAGAGCATGAGGCTTTCGAATCGTGGACCTCCATTTTCTTGGCACTTTTCAGATGCCGCTTTCCACATCTTCGATCCTTTCAATTCCGAAATTGCGTCGTGCCAGAGACAAGGCTTCCGAAGGGTCTCTACCTTCTGGACCACTCGTCTCCGTATCATGGAGACCCTAGCAATGGATCCGTGGCTCGCATGTCCAAGGAGGATGAGTCCGCGGCTGCAATGGATCTTGCCGGGCTGGAGTTCATGGAAGCGCACCCTAATCTCAAATGCCTAGCCTGGCCAATGGACCATTTCTTCGGGCCTAGCGAGATATCCGCGGATATAACAGATCGAGTAGACAAGGTGGTGGCAAACCTCGGAAGAACATTGCTTGATCTGAGGGTTGATACGCTGTACGCTGGCCCTGGCAGCGACGAGGCGCAGACGGAGGAGGTGGTCTGTTCTGACCCAGGTATGTGGATCTGAAAGACACGTTTGGTGCTGTCACTGACATTTTGCAGCGACTCGCGCAAGTCGACGCCAATTCATCACGAGATTTGCGAACAAGATGACACGGCTGGAAAGTATAAAGATCGAAGGCGGAATGCCACGAGACGAGCGTCGAGAGGTCGTACGAGCGCTTCATGCCTGTCCCTTGCAGAAAATCGTGATGATCGGGACTTCATGTCCGGTTGGCAATACGTGGGGCGAGAATGGGCAGTACATCGGCCAGATCGTCGAGGAGAACGAACTCGTGAACCTCGAAGGCGAAGACGAAACTGCTGCCTACCGTTACGGGGGCCAAGATCCCGAGTCGCCAGGCCCCGAGACTGAGTTCTCGCCTCGCTGGGAATGGAAAGGCTCTCCGCCCATGCTATATACCCTGGCATCTTGTCACGCCAGCACGATTAAAGAGCTCAAATTCTGCGGCTACAAAGGTTCGCCGGTGCTTTTCACGCCGACGGCTATCACCGCCCCCCTCCTCGGACCACTCAAGCACTTCCACAACCTCGAATCGATCATCATGAGCCTTTGGCTGACCACGCTCTTCGAGAACGGTACCGATGCCCGCGACACGGAAATCATCCAATACTGGTGCAATGTGCGCTCGCCTGCTTCCGCCGCTCTCGTCGTCATCAACGACGAGGAACCCGAAGAAGGTTCATGGGAGAGGGAGCTCCGAACCAAGTATGCGCCCGACGCACTTGCCTGGCGGATCACGAACTTTTTGGGTCCATATCTGAGCGAGAAGGCTAAGGCGAGGAAGGGAGGTGTTCATGTCAGAGCTAGTTTCTGTGTGGGCGATATGGGTGGCATTTTCGATATGGACTTGATTGTCGGGAAAGGCAGTGTGGGGAGTGATGTGTGCAAGACGTTCAAGGGGCCGAGGGAGGAACTGGAAGAGGATAGGAGGGTTGCGAAGTTGAAGGGGCGGAGGTGGTTCTGAGTGAGGCATGCTTTCTCTCCACTATCCAGCATTGGACCTGATGGCCGAGAATTAATAAGTGTATTGGCCTTGTGCCAATGTATCATATCGCAATTGACTGAATGAGTAATGGTGCATCACAGCAGGACTGTTTTTGCTTTGTCATATGACTTTCTCTTTTTCGCCACTGAGAATTCGATGATGGCGTTATCCCGTCTCCCGAGCTCATCATCGTGAGAGTCGCTGTGTTTGCAATTTCGAAACATTTGACTTTCTCGCTGCTACTTCGACTCTTGCCATGACGCACGCAACGCAAGGCCTTTGGAACATTGAAACATCTCAGTTCAGATGAGGATGATTCGCAGACAGGACAAAGCAAAATAAACGCCAAGACCAGGAACATGCCACCTTTCGGATTCGGACTCGAACGGATTCCTCCCCGCTAGGCTTCAGGACACCGCACAACCGATAACATCGACATTTGGTTCACCTGACGGCCATCCCTCAAAGAATCGAATCTCCAACTTCCAGCGGTCTGGAAACGAAACAGAACAGTACACAGCCCACCTGATCGTCCCTCGTCGCGGCTGGAGACTGGACGCGTAGACAAACTCGGGACGTCGAGGCGATCATCCGCCACCTCTCGCTGTCCCACGAGCCATCTTCCATCGCGGTAGGCCGGACAGAGATTGCTCTTATCGGGCCAGAATTTGCTCTTACCGGGAGAGAGAGGATACAGATACAAGTCGAGCTCGGGGGGTGCTGCAGGTGCAGCGTGCGCTTGGCGACCGCAATACCCTGCCACGTTGAGGGCTTCCCGCGACTGGTTGGATCAGCATGTCTTCGATTACCTGGAACCGCTCCGCGCGGCTAGCGAGTATGGAGATGGGTAGGATACGCGTGAGCTGTGTCGCGGCCCCTCGCTCTGGGAGAGGGCTATCTACGACTGCGTTTTCTTCTCGGATCGCTGCTACTACATTCTACTTTTCCACCACCAGCAACAGACCTCAGAGACAGACTCGGAATATGACTTCCGCATCATCGTTCAGTACCGACACTCGGCCGGGTGCCATGCGAGTGGACTCCGTTGTATCTTTCACCCAATCCCGAAGAGCGAGCACCAATTCGGGTCCTTACGAAGCCGTGGTGGTCGGAGCCGGACCTGCTGGCATCACTGCTGTTGGAAATTTGCTGGAGAGCAGGATAGAGCCTGTGTTATGGGTTGATGATGCTTTCAACGGTGGGAGAGTGAACAAGTACTACCGAGAGGTACCTTCGAATACCAAAGTCAAGCTCTTCATCGACTTTGCCACTGCGGTGACACCATTCAGGAAGATTGTCAGCGGCGTGCCTTCTCGCGACAGGTGGGAAGAACCAAGTGCGAGCGATGGCGTTGCGGTTGGCAATAAGCCGGACAGGTTACAGGATCTTCGTCAGTTGGATGCAGAGAAGGGCTGTCGGCTGAGTCATGCTGCGGATATGTGTCTGTTGCTCACTGAAGGCTTGAAGAAGACACCTGGAGTTGTCGCACAGCAGGGCCGAGTAGCCGAGGCGTCTTTGGACGAGTCCTCTCAGATCTGGACAATCAACATCGAACGCCAATCGCATCCAGTACAATCGAAGCGAATAGTCCTCTGCACAGGCGCGTCACCCACAGATCCGCCACTCCCCGTCGAACCGGAAGGATTAGAACATCTACACCTCGACACCGCCCTCTCACCCACGAAGCTCTCTCAGATATTATCACCCCTCGGCCCAACTACAGTAGCCGTCATCGGCGCCTCTCACAGCGCCGTGCTAGTCCTCATGAACCTCTCCCGCCTCTCCCTCTCCAGCAAACCCGATCTCAAAATCAAATGGTTCACCCGCCACCCACTCCGATATGCAGAATACGAAGAAAGCTTCATCGCCCGCGACAACACCGGTCTAAAGGGCCAAGCAGCCCAATGGGCCAAAGACAACCTCGAACCGGAAACCCTCCCCAACTCCCCTGTGAGCCAATGCATCACCAAGATTGCCCACGACAAGGGCGGCGAGAAGGAAATCTACGCCGAACACCTCCCCGGCTGCGCTTTCGTCGTCCAAGCCATCGGCTACCGATCCGATCCCACACCGATCCTCAAACTCGGCGGCGAGGCAATCACCCCCGTCTTCGACCACGAAAAGGGCATCTTCCACCACGTCAAGAAACTCAGCCACGAAGGCGCACCGGAAGGTCTCAAACCTCTCCCGGGCGTGTATGGAGCCGGCATCGCCTTTCCGGAACGCGTCGTGGATCGGAAATATGGGCATGAGGAGATGAATGTGGGGTTTTTCAAATTTATGAAGGCCGTGAAGAAATGGGTCCCTGGATGGAAGGCGGTGGGGGGGGGGGAGGCTACGGTATAAGCAAGGGGATGTAGTGAGGTTGTTGTGTGTGTGTGGTTGGAGGTCTAATCAGACAGACAGACAGGCATGATGTAATCTGCTTTGATCCGGCCGCCGCACAGGCGCCTTTTTTTTTTCGATATCTTCATTTGATGCTCTTTTGGGCTGATTATGATGTTTTCTTCGTCGTATCGATCGTTTTCGGATGTTTTGGCGGATTGAGACGGAGGGTTGAGATGACACAACCGGTATGGCAGGAAGAGAACTATCGAATGTCTTCTGCTCGTGGTATGTTGTTCTGTTCGTTCTGTTCGGTGGGAATTCCTAGTCTGTAGCTCGGTCTCGTCAAGTTTTCCATACCGGTATAGCGGAGCGTTCCTGTTGATCAATCAATCAATCAATCCATCAGTCAATCAATCAATCACTCCATAGTCATGGATGGGACAGAAACCCTCTCGGTGTGGAATGTCTAGACCCTATTTAATCCGGCTAGCTCGCCAGCGAGAGCGAAGCCAGCACCTCACATTGGAGTGTCGAGTGAATTGAATGGGAGATAGCAGCATCCGAATCCTTCATCAGTGTGACACCAACTTACTTTACTTACTTACTCATCATTCGGGGTCCAAAACGAGGCACAGCACAGCACGGCGAGGCTGAGAAGAAAAGTTCCAGGAAAAGCATCACACCTCATCCATCCTTCGTTCATCATGTTGATCGGGTCGGGTTTGGCTGCATTGTTGGTGGGCGGGCGGGCGGGAATCCTTTGAACATATTTATGTATGTATCTATGGATGACTGCGTACCTTAAGCGGCTTGTTGTTGTTCGAGCGAGTGACGCCACACCTTCCTTTCCTTTTCCATTCCTTCCGGTCAGCGCTGGCTTTTTGCTCCTGTCTTCTTCCCCTCCCTGACATATGATCTGCGCGTCAGAAAAGTCCCCAAAACGAGTTCTGACTGAACAGTAATTCCCATCAAGTTTCAGCCTGCTTCGGAACCAGCTTCGTGAAATTCGGCTTTCGCAGTGGCCGAACGTCAAAGGCTGCAACGGCCGCGACGGGCATATCCCCATTGTTTCCCTCGACAAATGTCACAACCCACAGCTCTAGAATCCTTTCCTTTTTCTCCGACAGAGACTTTTGTTACAGCCTCACTCACTACTCACTGGCAGCCTCGCCTCGCCGAGGTGGAATTTTGGGGAAACATAATTCCAAATTTCAGGTCAGTGAGGTGAGGTGAGGTGAGGTGAGGTGGTTGAGAGCTCTGCTTCGCCTCGCCTTAACTAACTTTTCTCAATGGGATGCGCTGTCGGTATCTGCTTCGTTTTCTTCTTCTCGTTATCATCCTCTCGTGGCATGTGGAAAAAGGCTGACTGTCGGTGCACATGCACGTCAAGCAGTGCGTGCCTCGGTTCGGTTCGACGATGCACAGGACTTGCGTTCCACGACCGCCCACAGCCGTCCATGTCAATGCGTGCCCAAGTGGTTTGCCTGCCTGCGAGCTGCACACACATGCGCAACTTGGAAGTTCTATTAATGCAAGCATCCGGCATGAGCGCTGTTGGGGGGAGAGACGGAGGGAGCCAGGAGCGTAGCCAGAGCGCTGGAGCGGGCTCGATGTTTGAGAAGATTCATGTGCCCTCCCCCCCCCCCAGCACACGGTGTTGTTGGGTCATATCCCCGTGGAGGGGAGGTGACAATGTAGCAGCACCTTGGGTTCCTTTATTAAAAGCGGCTTCCCGTGGAGAGTTTTGAGGAAATTGGTCTTTCGTTTTCTCTCGACTTGTCGCCGACGAAGTCTTCCACGGGCTTGCTTCGCTTCGCTTTGCTTCGATTGTTCACTCGTGCTAGAGCATTCGATCGGGTTGCTTTTCTTTTCTTTCTTGCTTCACTATTTTTTCACGTGCTTCACGGGCGTGACTGGCTAGCGTGTCTTCTGCGCCATTGACGGGTGTAGGACGAAGAAATCAAAAATCACCCTCGTCAAGACCACCACCATCAGCCGCCATTGAACCCACCCCAAGAACATCGACAAGATGCGGCAAAGCTCCAAGTACGCCTCAACACTCGGCTTTGCCGGCGTTCTCTTCGGCAGCTTGCTCGTAGCCATCGACGCGGTGGCACTGGCGCCCTCGCTCCCCGTACGTCTCCCGCAACTCACGCTCGACGAAAGAAAAATCTCCCTAACAATTCCGCACAGACTCTCGCCGATGCCCTCAACGCTCCTAGCATCGAGATCTACTGGGCCGGAGTAGCCTACACCCTCGGCAGCGCCACCTTCCTGCCTCTCTTCCCGGCTGCGTCGAGCGCCCTTGGTCGCCGACCCGTCGTCCTCGCTGCTCTGCTCCTGTTCCTGACTGGGACGATCGTCTGCGGGACTGCTCACAAGATCGCCGCCATGCTGGCGGGACGCGTGCTCCAGGGGATCGGAGGCGGAGGCATCGTCGGCATGCTGTACGTGGTCATTGCGGATCTCTTCGATATGCGATGGCGACCCAAGGCCCTGTCGATTAATGGACTCTTTTGGCTGGTCGGAACGGGATGTGGGCCTGTCATCGGAGGCGGATTCAGTGCCTATGTTTCTTGGAGATGGTGAGTGTCAGCCGTAACAGTCCTCTTGGTGGTTCATGCATGCTGACGAGATGGAACTAGGATCTTCTGGATCGTACTTCCCATCAACGGCATCGCCATCGTTCTCGTCGCTCTCTTCCTGGACATCCCCATCACGGCGGCAAATGAAGTCCAGATCGACCGGAGCAAGGCACCGGGGCTGGCTGGAAAGAAGAGTATCCACAAACTGAGCTGGAAGCAAATGGACTACGGCGGTGCCGCTCTGCTGGTGGCCTCGCTCAGCTCCTTTCTCATCCCCATTACGTGGGGCGGTATCCAATACAGCTGGTCGTCCTGGCACACGCTGGCGCCTCTCAGCATCGGCGTGTTCGGCCTCTTCGCGTGGCTGGCGTACGAGGCCTTCGTGCCCGCCAACCCCATCATGCCGCTTTCCATCCTCTCCGACCGCACGGTCTCGATCGCCGCAGTCTCCACCTTCGTCACCGGACTCTGCCAATACGGCGTCGTCTTCTACCTCCCCCTCTACTTCCAGATCGTCAAAGGCTACTCGCCGCTCATTTCCGGTCTGGGAATCCTGCCTTCGACCCTCTCCGGAGCACCTTCTAATATTCTAACTGGCGTCATCATTTCCAAGACCGGTCGTTACAAGCTCGTCGTGCTGATCGCTTGGGCCATCTTGGCAATGGGAATGGGCGTCCTCACCCTCCTCGACCGCGACACATCCGTCCTGGTTTGGATCTTCCTGGGAATCCCCGGCGGCTTCGGCTTCGGAATGGTTCTGCCCGCACTGACCGTCGCCTTCACGGCTCCGGTGAGGGAAGAACACATGGCCATTGCTTCGGGTCTCTCGCCCTACACACGCGCCATCGGGCAGTCGATCGGCATCGCGGTGGGAAACTCCATGGTGCAGAACCTCCTCAAGAACCGCCTATCTTCCTCAGCCACAAAGGTCCTCTCTGCCAACGCAGACCTCATCTCCAAGAACATGGCGTCCCAAGACCTCCTGAACACCTTCATGCGCAGCGCCGCCGGCAAGCACGAGCTCCTGAACGTCTACACCAGCGCCATTCGCGATTTCTGGTGGCTGCTGTGTGGACTCGCGCTGTTCTGTGGGCTGCTGTCGTTCTTCATCCGCGACGTCAGTCTGGATCGCGACTCGTCGTCGGTGGTGTTCGAGAAGCGCAGCGACAGCGTCACCAATTTGTCCACCTATCCCAAATCCGACAGCTCCCAGAGGCGAATCCGCAGCTGCGACGACGCTTCGATTGTCGCTTCGATGGCTTCGAACGGTTCCAAACGCGTGGTCGGTCCGTTGCGGGATTCCTTCGTTGCAGGATAGAAATACAAAAAAACCCGCGCCCCTTTCTACGTCAAGCGGAGTTTTTCCCCCCATTCTATCTATACAGAGTATCCTTCAATTTACAGGTAGCATAATATTTGTGAAAATTTCCCTTTGCGTTCATCGCGCCTTCCCAGCGTTAATTCTTTTGGGTTTTGCTTCACAGCGAGAAAAACCATCGAATCCATGCATCTCTCAACACCCACCCCTTCGATCTCCCATCTCCATCTCCGTCGATTACCGCACCGCGGAAACTGTGATATGTAGAACCTCTCAAACGTGGCAGTGGGAAATGCCGCGATCCGAAACCAGACTTGTTTCCCTTTGGACCCAGGGAGTTGGGAAGTCGACGTCTGTGACGGATCAAGCGATGTGGATCTCCTAGCATGTGATGATGATACTAGCGAGACGCCGAGGTAATATCATCACGAGCTGTAGCCGCGCTAAAGTTTGGAGTGGGTTTCGTTGAGCGGGAAAGTCCGGCTTTTGTTGTAAGGTAGAGATGGTCGAGCTGACGGGGCAAGCAAGTGAGGACCGGGTTGAGGCCGGCCGTTTTGCTGCAGGGTCGTCTGCTTTGTTTGATTCAGTTGTGTTCTTGGCGGTTGTGTGGATGAAAGGGAGACCAGACCGGAATGCTCTGTTTCGATTGTGGCGATACGATGGCCATAGTCATATTCGTAAATCTGCTGTTTCGGTTCCGAAGGGAGCCTGGTTAGAGGAGTCGAGCCATTGGAGTAGTAAGGTACGCAGGACCGATGGTTTGATAACATAAGCTCCCCCTTCGAACTCTCTGAGAGAGTCAAGAGTTCTGTCTTTGGATCTTTCCGAATCAGCAAAATCATCCAGAGTGCGATCTCTTCTCCTAGAAATTGTAATCGTCCTGGCGTGTCCCTGTCGGGCTTAGGAATGGAGATGCTATGTCTGTCAAGTTAGAGATGGAAGGGATATCAAATATCCGGCCAGAGGTAGAATGCGCGGAGTGGCACCGTAAAGTTGCTGCCTGCATGAGCGGGCACTAGACAGGTGCACTGAGCCACTTGCCACTTGAAGACGCCACATGATAGAATTCCTACACCAAATCAGCACTCCGCATCATAGCTTCAACTCTTCCATCGCGACGACACAGAAACGCCGGAATTACGTTCGACAACGAGACTTGTCGTCGTCTCTCAAGTCAAGCTCTGGCAAAAAAGAAGGAAAAAAAAAAAAAAAAGGAAACCATCACCGTCTGCAGGTTCCAAGTTGACAGGTAGGCAGCTGCCCCTTCAGGAAAAAGATGTGGAGCGGGGTAAGGTAGGGTACCTAGGGTTTCGGTCGTCGTGTTCCGGCGACGGGTGGGGGTGATATTAATGTAATGTAAGGTACCTTAGGTAAAGGTAGACCTCAAGCAACAGAGAAAGATCTACCGTGACCGTGACCGGAATGAATTTCCTCCCCATCCTCTTTCGTTGCATGTGGTCTTCTGCTCTTACCAACGAAACTCCTTCGATTCCGAGATCAGTGTAAGGTACCGCCCTCCGGTTGATCCATCCAGGCAGAACTTCAATAAATCCCGCGTTGCTTTCGACGGAAGAAGAAGAAGAAGAAGAAGAAGAAGAAGAAGGAAGAATCGTCGTGTCGCCGGCGGCGGCGGAAAAGATGGTTCCAAAGTTCCAAGTTGCTTCAAAAATGCGCGCACGCATCTAGGGTATCATAGTATCATACGATATAGAAGAAGAAGAAGAAGAAGGATAGATCCGAAGTTCTTAAAGAATTTTTTTCAATCCGATCCCGAAGTCTTGCTCTTGCGTGTAGTAGGAGGTCCCCCGGGGGCCTGAGGAGTTCCTAAGAGATCGGACGGGTGTCCACGGATCAGGTCCGGCCTGCCGCGAAAACCAGACAGCAGGAAGGAAGGAAGACATCGAGCCTTCATTCATTGCAAGCAGGCAGCCGTTTGGCGACGACCAGGGATGGTTCCAAGATGATGGAATCTAGGATAGTATCGTATAGCAACTCTCTAGATTCAAGTCAGTTCTCGTAGAACTCCAAGAGAAAGCAAACACACACCTTGTTTTCCCTCGATCGATTGATCGATACCTGATTTATTTCAAACTGGCCCTTCTCTTCCCGGTGCGTACGGGGCCCGCGCTCTTCCTCATAACGTACTTGAGCAACCACCAGAGATCCCGAAAATTGTACGTCGAGAATCGCATCCTGAAAATCCCAGAAAGATTTATATATATATCTCTCCCATCGATCAACGAACGACAACGAACGACCTAGATTCCCTGCTTTTGTGGATCGGGCGGTGGTGCGGAGGCGCGAAAGGGGGAAGAAAAGACGTCGATTTCTTGCTTTCTTCCCAGTGTATAATACTTGATGATGATGATGATAATACAATCACAAGAGGCATCAATCGCGCGGATCGAAAGAGGTATTAAGGTTATCCTTGTGATTGCATAAAGAGTCTTGGCGAGAAAACCCCCTGGTCACATGAGCGCCCGGAGCTTCCGTTGCGGAACGGCAACGCTGGCAACCCGAGGCTTACGTCCATTTCAGGTGTCGTGTTCGGAGTCGACTGTTGACGTGTCTCCCGATCGTATGAGTGATTTCAATGGGTATGTTTGTCCTGGGAGCCTTTGATTTACCTTGTTGCGGTCCTGGTAAACATGGAGCCCAGCTGGCGTACGATATGCGGCCCGGATGGGACTTGTCCGAACGCTTTGGGAAGGCGGCCAGCATCTGTGATGGCTGAGAATGCTGTTGAAATTGTCTATAGTGGGATGTAAGCGCTGGATGAACAATTCATGGAATGAGCTGTCCTCAGATTCGTCACCATACGACCAGTTGAGGATGTAGCCTCGCAGAGTCCAAGTTCTTGAAGAACGATGCCTTGCTCTATGTCGTACAGAAGGGAAACCGGAAGTTTCTGAAGCCTGCCACGTCAGGACACTAGTGAGAGCCGATGCCGAAGAGATGCGGCCAGCTCCCTGTCGACGTTCCGAGGCTCTGCATCTGCCAGAGTTCTATCAGGGAGTTGGCCGGGACGCTGAGCTTCGCAGTTCGCAAGTTGGCGATAGAGAGTCGAATATATAAGAAGCGGACGTAATCGAGAAGGTCGGGCACAGCCCAGTCAATTCACCGCGAGCGCGATCTGGAAAATGACAATAGTAGGTCGTCGAGAGGTCACGTGTAGAACCTCGACGGATTTGACTCTTCTTTCAGACCGAAGCTCCGCTACCAAGTGCCGAGAGGTCATTCAAGTCCACGGAATACCTCCTTCCAAATGAGTAATTACTCGTCCACACAACGTCCTTCCAGATGACTAAACGTGGTGTAGTGCACCGGAACACGTCCGGCTCGAGAATCAGGATGAAATGTTACGGGTGTTCATGAACGACCAACAAATCCATACGCCCTTAGATCCGGACTCGGTACGCCATGTTGTGGACATTGGGTGCGGAACCGGCGTCGTCACCGACCGGCTCGCTGCTATGTTTCCAAAGGCCGAAGTACTCGGTCTTGATATGTCACCGGTTCCGAAATTGAGAGAATGCCCTGGCAATGTCCGATATCTATCCGGAAACATTCTATCTCAAGGACCGAGCGAGTGGGTCACTGAGGAAGGAAATGCGGTGCTCCAGGAGAGTGCAGACATATTCGATCTGACATTCAGTCGATTCCTGATTCTGGGTATGCGAGACTGGTCTGGATATATCCATAAGCTCTATCAACTTCTGAAGCCCGGCGGCTGGGCCGAGGTGCAAGAAATTGCACCTCGTTTGTATGATGCAAACGGCCAAGACCTCCGGGGCAAGTTGGAGTGGCACAATTGGCATCAACGGTATTGGAAGTCCAAAGGCCTGGACTTGATTCTTGTGGAACAGGTACCGGAGATCATGAAAGAGGCTGGCTTTGTGGATGTACAAGTGAAGAAGTACCGACTTTCTGTTGGAGGCGAGGGCGAACAAGATCCAAAGAGGAAGAAGGCAGGGGATTTCTGGCGCCAAGATCTCTTGGAGGTCTTCACATTGGCTTTCTCGCGGGCAGCGAAAGACAGTGGGGATGAGGCCGCGGGGCGAATGCTAGACCAATTCCGCCAGGAGACAACGACCGTGCAGGGAAGGTACCATGAGGTGCTTGTATTTTATGGCAGAAAGCCAAATTGAAGCGCAGTTTGGAATGGGAGATGTCGACACCCGATGACGTCCAGACCCGAAGTGGCTCAGGTCAGCAGCTTCGACATGTGAGTGACGTGGAAGTTGAAGCCTTGGCCGCGGGGGAAATCGTAGTCCATTTGATATCCTCTCTTCGTATAGAAGGCCTCGTTCAACTCCTTGGCCGTGGAGAGGATCATCTTCACTGCGCCTAGGGGAGTAGGATGACGTTCCTTGGGCACCTGTTCGGTCTGTTGGACTGATCTCCGGATGACTTCACGTTCAGCCAGGTCCAACATGAAGCTCGCCAAGCCGTGGCGCTGCGCGGACGGATGCGTTGCCATCAGCCCGAGCATCCATTCTGTACAATCTGGTTGCGGCTCCAAATTTCGCACCCAAGGTGACGAGACTCCTTCCGGGGGGCCTCGAAAAGGCGCGCAGCTGGCGGTGCCAAGAGTCTCGACGCTTCCACGCGGGGACAGCACAATGACGAAGGCTGCCGGATCGCTTGACGTGCTGGACAAGAAGTCCTCCTCAGAGGACAAGCGACTTTCTGATGATTGGACTTTTAACTCCGGTTGCAGCTTGAAGCGGTAACGGTACGCGGCATTGATCGTGGTAACCAGGCTAGGGAGGAAGCCAGATTGCTGGAGCTGGTCTGGCGAGAGTATGAACACGACGAGCGGCTGACCGTCGATGAGTGACCCTTCCGCTACCTCGCGGCTTGCGGGTGTTGGAGTTGCCATGTGTCATGGAAGGAATCGGTGATGTCGTGTTGGTAGAGTACGACGAAATGCGATGTCTTGGACCATGGATGTGACATGAGGGCTCAGCACTGGTCAATTTCTGGGCTGAACTTGGTGCGCGGGCAGAGCATGCACAATGACTTGCTATGCATCTCTCCGGTTGAGACGTCCGTTGGTGCGATGGAAGTTGCGAGGTTCAGGCGGAAGATTTCGTTTTCGGTCTCGGGGCGGTATATCTCGTTTTCGGTCTCGGGACGGGAAGGGCCTTTCTTGGCACGGCGCAAGATCTTCACCAAAGCAGCACTGAGGCCAGGACCGAGTGCTTCATCGTCAGTAGAGGCATCCCCATCTTCGCTCTCCAAAATGCTGGTCATCTCGTGCCTCAAAAAAATATCATCATGATGATTGTACTTCACAACCAACAGTTACATGTATTCCTTTTGAAGGCCTGCCATATCGCACGGGCCGAATGCTAGCATGGAAGGTATATCAATCGAAGTGCAAAAAGCAAGAAATGAAGGGCATGATGTTGGATCATCGTAAGTTGAATTCGGATACCGGGAGTCGAACCCGGCTCTACCCGGCGCCTCCTTCCTCAGCTACAGGAGCAGAAGAATTGAAAGCGGGTGATGCTAGCCGATACACCATATCCGATTGGCTGGTTGATGGGAGGAGGACCAATGCGCAAATATATATCACTTGGACAAACACCGAGGTAAAGCCTACGAAAGCTTGAGCCACAGCTTCGGCGACTTTTCTGAAGCGTAGCGTGGCTTCCCACATCAACATCCCCATCTCTTGTACACGCCACCACCCACCTTACGAACACGGAGAGGAAGGCGCTGAACGTGTCAACCACCGTTTCTTCGCATGCTCCTGCTCCCAATGTGTGATCATCGAGACAAGCATGAAGCGCTGAGAGGAAGGTAAGTGCATGTGGTCCCCGGTTCCTTTGCAAAATAGACTCAGTATCGACATCATGATTCCCTATACAAACAAATGGCCTCTCAGAGCCGAGAAGAAGTACTCCACCATCACAGCAGCGCCCCCCTCCGACGCGTCTCGACTTTTGCCATCATCGCATGTCTCATGGGACGTAGCCCTCCAAGTAAAAAAATAAACCACACCCGCTCATTGGGCCCTCAATCCTGCTTCGGGGATATCATATCATATCATCTCATCTCTTCCAGCCACCCAACGCCGAGCTCCAACTCCTCCTTCGGGAGAGACGGCAACATCTTCCAACGCCTCGGACTGCCCTTCGCCGGCGGCGGCGGCCCCTCGTCGTCCTCACTAGAACCAACACTACCACCACCACCACTACTACTACTACTACTACTACTACTACTACTACTACTACTACTACTACTACTACTACTACTACTACTACTACTACTACTACCACTACTACTCTCATCCTCCAGATAACTCCTCCCCACCCGCCGCTCCTCCCCGAGCAACCGATGCGTCTCCAGAACCTCCTCGTAATTCGTAAACACCACATTCTCCGGCGCCGTCGCCTGCCACGGCCCGAGACACCTCTGCTCCCCATGCGGCTCGTAAAACGCACTCTGCGAGTGTAGCAGCCGCTTGCGCGTCTCCTCGACGACCTTGCGCTTCCATTCGATTTCCAATTTCCTCCAATAGAAGCGCCGCAGATGCGGCAGCACCCAGACATTCTGCAGGCAGAACTCCACCACGTCCGGGCGCAGCGGCCGGCGGTGGAAGAGCGGGCACGTGCCGCCGCGGGTGGCGTCCAAGAGGGCGGACATTTTGCTCTGCGCGATGATCCACGCCGACCGCTGCCGGGGGCTGAGCTCGTTGTCCGCCTGCACGCACTTGGCCAGGCTGTGCAGGTAGCGCTTGGAGAAGACGTAGCCCGGCCGCGACGCGTTCTCCATGAGCTGCACGTCCTGCACGTTCTGCAGCCCGATGCGGAAGTGCGCGTACAGCGCGTCGGCGGCGTTGCGCAGGTCGAAGAAGACTTTGGGGATGCGTGGCGATTCGAGGATCCCGCGCAGCGTCGTCACGCCCGGGCCGTACGTGGTGGTGAAGGCGCCGGCTTCCAGCTTCTGCACGTCGATGATGTAGGCGTGCTGCTCGGGAGCGACGAAGAGGGTGAGCAGGGAAATCGTTCCGTGTCGGCACAGGTTGTTGCCCTGGAGATCGAGGAAGAGCGACGGCAGGTCGGTGGGGAGACTGGAAATGCTATCCAAGAGGTCCATCAACGACCCCGGTGTCTCGACGACGCTCCGCGTGGGTCCTGAGACCTGTTGCTCAGAGGGACGACATCTTGGAAATGACGCTGTGGCCTTGCTCACTATGATTGGTCTGGAAACCTCCTCCCCTCATGGCTCGCTATCGGCAGTGTACGATCGCTTTGTGATCCAGCAGGACATTGCCCCGTGAGAACGGTGAAACAAGTCAGTTCCACCTTCCAGTCTCGGGGGCAGAAAACTCCCTAGCTATAAAAGACAGAAATCCTAATGAACATGGCCTTGGACGATGCCGGCCGGTCAGATTTCTTTTTGCTTTTGCTATTGTTGGTAGGTAGATATTTCCACCCATCCAACCCTTCCTCCCCCATCATTAACGCAAAAACCCTCTGTCCTATAAACCCGTGTCTTGTCACTTATTTAGATACTGGTCCAATAATCACTCCCGATCCACGGTAGCAGGTAGCTGGGCCTTTGCCCCTCGCGAGGAACCCAGAAGGGTGCGTTCCGGCTCTCCTGGACGCGCATGGAATTCTCCCACGAAGATCCTAGGAGAGAGAGATTATGTATGGACGTGTGATGATGACGTCTGCCTGCAGACGACGAGAGGAGAGAGAATTGAAAGAATTTAAAAAAGGCATGCGATGCGAAAAGCTCGAGATTGGGCGGTTTCCGTTGCGATGGATGAAGTGATGAATGATGTGGTGATGATGATGATGATGATGATGATGATGAACTTGTTCGAGGTCTTGAATGACGATGATGGTGAAGGAGGACGCCCGTCCAGCTCAGCACCCTTTCCTCATCCCCAAAATTTCCCGGGCTCGTACTAAGAATAAGAATCAGTAAGTAAGTATCTACCCCTTGAAACAACAACAAGAACAACAGGAGACCAACCAACCAACCAACCAAGCACCCCTTTCACTTTCCACTTCCCCTTCATCACATCCCCAGCCCAGCCCTCACCCACCAACTTTCGACCCCCGAAACCAAAATGCCGCTCCTCCTCCTCCTCCTCCTCTTCCTCCTCCCCCCCCCCCTTACTCGAAGAATCTCAACCATAAACGAACGAAGAATGCGCAACAGATCTGCGTACATACATGCACGCCGAAACCCATCAACCAACCGACCGGCGTTACCTTCCCTGCTTCCAGACGATTAGATATATGTCTAACTAATGACAAAATCTATTCTAGCCTCCTCCTCCTCCTACTCCTCCCTCCTCCTCTCACATAGATAGCACATAGCAGTTTCCAGGACAGGAAAACGCAACGCACGAGGAACATTCTCGCGAGCGAGCGACTGATGATGAGAATTTCCCCGGTTTGCACTTATAAGACTGTTTGCCGGGCTAGCGCCCGAGATTGGGGCCTGCTTGCCATACAGACCTTCTTCTTCTTGTGGTTGGGGGAGGGGTTGAAATTGTGGACATAGAAGAAACCCTCATGGCACCGTTGTTGATATTGATATCTGTATGTGTGTGTGTGTGTACGTTGCACCTGCTATGATGTGTAGAGCAACAGCGACTATGCCAAATCATTTCCTTTTCCATATCCACAGAAATCAACCGCATCTTAAATGCTCTAGAGATCAGCAACCCGTTTTTACCATCTCTCCCAGAGACGGCCAGAGACGGGGTTACTTTCGACTGCATAGATGGCGTTGATGATCAAATCACCCCTTCGTCAACCTCCAACGACGTCCCCAATCTAAACGTCTCCCTCGCCGATCCGGTCTTCGGGCCTGTCTATATCCAAGGAGCCGAGCCAGGAGATGCTCGAGAAGTCCAAGTCCAAGTCCTGAAATTGGAGATGGACGGCGATAATACCGTATTTCGGACTTTGAGCAGATGAGTTTTTTGAGCCGGAGCTGAAGCAGCGGAAGTTGCCCAGCAGCAAGGCGGTCAATGGCGTGAATGGGGTGAACGGCAGTGGCTACTGGCGGTGCATGTGGCGTGGTTCAGTGGTGATAGCATTTCAGTTCTGCCTTTCATGGAGACGATGGGAGTGGCTCCGAGAGAAGATATAGAGGTTTCTGCTATCCCGCCGCTGCAGACCGGTGGAAATATCGATTGTAACACATCACCAAGAGGATCCGATTGATCTTACCGGCTGGAGCTTCCGGGGGGCCTATTCAGCTGTGAGGATGGCCATGCCGCGCAGGGTGGCGGGTAAGTGTGCGGGTGGATCGAGACTCGATGAAGGTGGCGCTCCGATATAGAGTGCTCCAACAACACAGCTGGGTGCTGTCGCCACGCCGTTTGACTCTTCCAACCTATTCAGAGGACGACCCGGAATTGCCTGATCGAGGGAGAGATTCGACAATGGGCATCGACGCGAGTCTACTGGATGCAGCGCGGAAAGCTGTGCGAGCGATGATAGACTACTTTGGCAAAGCTCGTGGCCTATCGAGAGCTGATGCATACATGCTCTGTAGTGTCGCCGTAGATGTGAGACTCGCTGCAGTGGTAGACATGCCAAAGCACATCACTACCGCTGACCATTTTCGTCGAATGAAGGCATGTGCGTGGAGCGCAAACACTCTACAAACTCTGCTGGCCAAGGTTCTTGTTCGGCAGCAAAGCAGTAGTGAGAACGCAACCTAGCGTTAAACCTCCAGCCAAGTACAGGACTTGATTCAGAGCCGGATCATCAGCCGACAGTCCCTTCTTCGGAATGAGCGACTGAGCCGTAAGTGGTGCCAGGATGGAGAAGAGTCGACCCCAGAAGGCCGCGATACCAGACGCCGTGCCACGGATGTAAGCAGGGAACGCCTCCGGAGTCCATCCGTAGAGGACCGCATTGAACATACTCTGGAAGAAGTACTCCATCATGTTGAGACCAATGTTAGAGGCCTGGGTGTTGACGGTGCTGAAGATGAAGATGGAGGCTCCCATGAGGCCGGAGGCGACCATCATGGCAAGCTTACGTCCAATTTGAGGGACACGGTACATCAAGGATCCAGCTACGACTCCCACAATTCCGGGCGCATAGATAGCGATGTAGTTCCTGTACGTCTGCTCCAGCGGAACGTTGATGCTGGAATTCTTGATAGCCAAGATCTGGGGCAGATACGTTCCAGCAAGAGTGAAGCCCCAGAAGTCGAAAGCGTACGTCAGCCATACCAGAGTAGTCAGACGGATCATGGTGAAGTTCTTGAACAGCTCCCGATACCGCGCGAGCTGACCGGCTATCTTCTCCTGCCGCGTCTTCGGCCGCTCCGGTCCTGGTGTTGCGTTTGTCAACTTGTGCTGCTCCGTCAAGGACTCGAAGTCAGCAAGCGAGACTCCACATTCTCTCTTATTGACCTTCGCGATATGCTTCAACACTTCGATCGCCTTCCTGTCGTGTCCACGGGAGACCAGAAACTTTGGCGATTCCTTGAAGCGGAAAAAGACGAATCGGCAAATGAAGACGAAGAAGCTGATGCCGCCTAGAGTGTACAGGGTGTACCGCCAGCCCATATTGCTCTCCTTCGTGCAGCATGCTTGTCCTGCGGCAACACTGTTACACGACGGCAACGCTTGATCCCCGGCGGAGAAGTTTGGCTTGCAAGAATAGGTTGGCACAAATCCGTACGCGATTGCGCATGTGAGGACGACACCGACAGGCTGAAAAATGGACAGCAAGGCCAGCATGAAGCGCTTATTCTGAGGGATGAATTCCAGCGTAATGGTGGTGTCGATGGGGATATTGCCTCCGATACCGAATCCAGTGAAGGCGGTGATGACCAGAAACTGATTGTATGTGTTGCAACCACCCAGCGCAGTGCCGAATATGGCAGCCACGAGCACGGTGAGGTTGAAAGCCCACTTCCTACCGATAATGTCCACGAGGACTCCCCAGAAGAAGGCACCGGCTGTCAAGCCAGCCGAGAAGGCGACGGAGATGTTTCCTGACTGATCGCCTGCAAACCCCAGCTCTTGCTCCAGCGGATTCAGCAGCAGGCCAAACGCCTGTGCCCAGAGGAGATCCAGCATGTATCCGCAACCACACAAGCCCCAGATCTGCCACTGGTAGCGGCCAAATCCATTCTCATCAATCTCGCGGTTGATGAGCATACACTTCTTCTCGAAGAGCACCTGCTCGCTGTTTGCGCCGACATCTTCCACGGAATTGGGGCTGTCGGGCGGCGACTCGTTGCCCTCGGGATCTTCGCCTTTGCCCATTTCGCTATTCGATAAGAGCGGCCGATTTGCTTCTCCCGTGTCGAGTCTCCGGAGTCTCAGTGGCCTGGGTCTGGAGGCAGTACCAGGCATATCTCGGACCGGAAGAGGAGCAGATAACCACCTGTTCGCCTTGGCCGGAGACGAGTGTAAGGATCCGCCTGATGTCCGAGAAAGGTCTTACAAAGAATTGTTGCACGACAGAGTTGGAATCGGTAGCAGACGTGAAACCAGACGGGCGACAAGACGGTGAAGGAATTTGGTTGGCTGGTAGCAGAGTTGGCATCGTGCGTCTCGCTTCCAGTGTTGCCACGCAGGGATGCGACCGTGTAGCCAGTCGAGCTCCCCGTTGCTGGAGAGGTTGGAGAGGGTGCATGTGTAGCTGCGGGAGTGAGTATCAGCTGGAGCACGGCATTTTGCTAGCTCTGCCTGTGTGGGCGAGATGAGTGTGATAGCGCAATGAATATTCGATCTGGTGAGAGGGCGTTGGAAGTTGGCCGGCGCGCGATGACACTTACATCATGCAACATGGTCAGGGACATGAACCTTTCCGCACGTGCACACGTGCATGTGACTGAGCGCCACAACAATAATGTGATAAGGTAATAATGTGCAAGTGGGAGATCTCGGAGACCGCCGCACGTGAATGAGGACGGACAATTTCTTCACGTGATATTGCATTCCACAACCTGACGGGGAGCGGACATTTTCACCATGATACCGTCAAGCGTCTCTTTTACGTCGGAATGGTCCCCATGATGTGGATATCGATCGAGCTGGTACTTCTTCGGATAGATTTAGCACATTCTCCTGGCATCCTTATATCAACGCCATCAAAGCTTGAAGTCTCGTAGACCACCTGCCACTCCCGCCAGCGTCTCGAGATGGAAGATACGAAAGAGAGGGCCGTGCTATCACGGTGTGCCCTTCACGCTTGCCATTGCATCGGCGTCGACCTGACGGTAATGCTACGAGCATTTCTCCCCGAGAGGATACATGGTCCTCAACCGCATGCTAGCGTGAATGAGACCTTGCAGCTGCGCAAATGAGCATGTCTGCCTTGCATCTTCACTCGTACTCCTGGACCACAGAGTATCGAGCGACTCTCAAGCATAAGCCTTCCGTCATCACCACCAAGTCGACGCTGTCGTCGTGCGTGGAGGCACCACATCACATTCGTGCCCGCGGTCCCGCTCAGGACCTCACCACAAGCACCACATGACAATCTCAAAAGTTTACCCGCAGTGCTCTTGACATTCAGTCATACCGCCTTATCCTTGGCATAATGTGGTCTTCTCGCCCTCAATAGCATCTCTCACCTCAGCGCAGCCATGGCGCTCATCTTTGACCGAGTGACAAGGCCAGAAGCTGCTGGAGTCGTCTACTTTTGTAAGTCATGACACACCATCGATGATGAGACAGCTCTCGCAATGAAAGCTAAACCAGATTTCATCTCTCCCCTCCGTCTTCTGTTGCTGTACATTACATGGCAGCCACGCCGGCGTTCATGATTGCCATGTCTCATCTCCCTCCTTCAAGCATGACAGATCGTCGTACTTGTTTCCGCGAAGCTGAGGATGCTTGCGAAGGATTCGAGATCTACAGGCCAGCCATGAACGCTCTGACTTTTGGTGGGTTTCACGCTGGAGAGGAGGTCCCTTCTCGCTTCTTCGCCTTCGTGCATACTCCGCACTCGGGGGGTTATGGTGAAAGCGCCTCGGGCCAGGATATGGCGGGCTGCTCCTTTTCTAAGGCCAGTGTTCGCGCTTGTGATGAGGAGAGTCCTACCTTTGATGGAGGATCAGGCAGGGCGGTTGAGTCTGGTAAAACAGTAGACCAAGGGGACCGCTCATGTTGTCTTGGAAGAAGTCTTCTTGACTGATGATGTTTCCAACCAGGCATGTTCGTTCGTGGAGTGCGACGCCCTGGAATCTATTTCTATGTCACTGTTTAGACGCAATGAAGTGACCTCATCTGGCTTCTGGGCGTGCCAGACAAAGTGCAGTAGTTAAATAATGAATAATGCCCCTTTGCGTCGGCGCGGTGTTAGGCTCATTTCCGGCAGCGGTGGTGGTATTGGACCGTGTCTTCCCAAGGACTTGCAGAAAGATGCCTGGAGTGAAGGTTTGCATGGAGGTAGGCCGGTATTTACCAGAATGACGAAGACCGACGTCTGTTCCGATTTCTCTCCTGGAGCCTAGAAGATTGTTCCTCTGGAGGCAGCAATTCCAAGCCAATTTGGAAGATCTAGTCTCGGTTGTTGAGCTTTGGTCTTCGATAGAAGTGGGGTGTCTGAGATGCATTCTTCTTTCTGTACATGGTATTGCTACAAGCGACTCTGCGTCAGCATTCAGCACATCATTGCGACATGAGCACCTTGTCTTTCCCCTTCTGATCCCGCGCCAGCTTTGCCATTGTCGTCTCCTCCGCCATACCCCAAAGATGCCACGGACCCTCTTTCCCAGCCTTCAGAAGCTTTTGGATAACCAAGTATTCCGTAGTATCCTTTACATCCCGCAACTTCGACTCTTCCAATTGAGAAAGCGGTATCCTCTTGCCATCGCTATTTACCGGCACGACTTCGATGCGGCTCCTTCCCGTCTTCTCATCAATCACCCTCATCTTCATCATCTTCTGCAGTGATTGTCGTGACCTCACGCGCACAATCGCTTGCACGACGCCATTCCGTTCCGTCTTGGGAGTTTTGAAGTCGATGAGAGCGAACGTCATGGACACGCATCTCGGTCGTCCCAGATACTTGTGCAGCGTCCACTTCAAGCTCGTGTTGGGCTGTCTCTGCGTAATCCTACTCCTCAAACTTCCCAGCAACCCCGACGACACGCGATCCTGCAGCACATCCAGATCGCCTTTCGCGAAATTTGTATAGAGGTCCTCGTACAGGCTCTGGGCGATCTGGGGTACTCTGCTGACTTCCATTTTCAATCTCGGCTTGACCGCAAAGGTGGCTAAGAGAACGCCCTGGAAGTATCTCAACAAATTCTTCACTCGGTTCCACTCGACTTTCATTCGAAGTTTAGGTTTGTTGACGAGGCTGGGGAGATTTTTCCCAGTGGGAGGAACGTACGTGCCCTGTAGGATACCCACGTAGTCGAGTATGCTGCCGTCTCGCACGGCTTCTTCTTGTTGCTTCTTTTGTTCGACTGCCATCGATGGCGCGGATGACGATTTTCTGCCATAATCTGATACGGCTGAGGGGCGGAGGCACCGGGGCGATGAGGAAAAGTTGCGCCGCTGTATTCGAGGAGGTGTGCGGCGGGTGCGAAGGTGGTCACCGCGGGCGGTGGACATGGCGAATTGTAGACCGCATGGTGGCAGTAATGTGTATGTTCGCTGAGACGCGCGGAGAAGAGGGACGCACAGCCGTTTCGACATTGGAGATTGAGTGTGTCGGCGCAAAGGAAATCGTTGGTGAGTGTTGGAGATAGATCTACTTCTGGGCCGAAGAGGTTCGGGATGGCCCGTGCTCTGCATCAACTTCTTCCCTGAACATTTGTGTCCTCTACTCTCGCGCTACGGCACCAAGACACGTGAGACTTCATGTCAACGTACGTCAAAACCGGCTCCTGTCGATATGGCTTGTATCTAAATTCTATCCCTGATCATTGTCGGATCCTGTTCGCTCGCCGCATAGTTCAAATACCGATACGGGTCTGCCGTGCCCATATCCTCGGCACGAGATCCAAGGTCCGATATCAACTCCAGCATGATTCGATGAACCAGCCCATCATCCTTTCCGTCTTTCCAAGCCACGTAGGCAACAACGACAATAGGCGTATCATTCGCATGGCGATTGTCCAATCCTAGGACATTGGGCCTGCTTTTCCCGTAACCGTCGCTGAGAGAGATTGAAAGACAAGCGACCAGACAGACTCCTTCCTTGATATTCTTGACCCCCTTCAACTTCTCATCATGAGGCTCCCCAAAAGCGTTGAAAGTCTCCGATCATTTTTTTCATGGTCGTCATTGCCTGGAACCATCTCTGTCCGAAGGCGCCATAACACTCTATTCCTCCGTAGCATCCGAAAGAGAGTGTACCTCGCCGTACTCCAAACTCTCCACAAAGCGATGAATTTTTGGTATACCAATGTGGATCTCCTCGCAGAGCCTATTCCTGGTGCCCGCTCCCGTGCGCTTCTGTATGGTGTACGAGAATGAAACAGATTGACGCGGATCGGGTTGCGGTAGATTCTTGGACGGTATAGAAAGTCGTGTCAGGCCTGTTATTCCTATGAGAATATCTTAAACCCACCTGACGCACTTTTCTGCCAGGAACCATGCGGATCGTACTTCCTGGAAACAAAGCGCAAGAAAGCGTTGTTTGCCGGACCGTAACTGCTAATGGACTCCTGACTGCTGTCTGCGTAATTGAGAGATTGAAAATCGTTCGACTTTCCGGCAACTCTGGCAACACTTTCAGTATCTTCATAAAGCCCCTTCATTGTGCCGATGATGCTCTTGTCGTCCATATCGTTCTTCCAACTCGCCCGCAGGAGCATAAGCATAAAGGACTTGGTATTTCCCCTCTAGGCCCAGTACACTTCCGACCTTGGCAAGACTTCTGGACGTCAGTTGGACCGGAATGGCTTCGACTGTGAGCAGCCAGACAACGCCTGTCGCATTCTTGATCCGCGGCCTCGTTGCCCCGAATAGAACATAAGCTTCATCCAGTCATGCGTAGCCATTTCGTATGTCATGCTCATCTCGAACCCTCGCTGTCCGTTCGCGCTACTGCCCCGAGCTCGATAAGGTTGATGTTGTATACAAAAATTTCTGCTCTGTCGCTACCAAATGATGCACGAGTGTCCGATAGATGGTCAGGAAAATGCCGGTGAGGCACAGTCTCATGATTTAAATCTGCCCTGGTCAACATCGTCCAAGGTCGAAGGTGATAGGTGAGCCCGACTTAACATGGCCTTGGTAAAGGATTGGAGGAAACAGACAGCTTGAGGGGTGGCTCAAACACCAGCGGCTGCTATCTCCAGACTATGCGAACTCATCTTCGAGATCAAGTGAGCCACACTGCAAAGCTTCCATGAGAAGAGATATGTCTTGTGTCGTGTGTGAGGAAGAAGTCACGGCGGTTAGGGGACGTCGTTGATGGTGCACGTGTTAGGCCGGGGCGGAATAACATTACACCGAATGCTGTCATCTCCCGTCGCCTCGAACGGCGCTTTCATCCTCATGCTCATATCGTGTTATTGACACATTCGAGTGCCATACTCCGGACCTCTATACGGAAACATGATACATCGGCCTTGTGCTGGGTATGAGCATGGCAGCGAATCCCCAAATCGCAGAAAAGTCAGGATTGCTCCTTCAGGTCGAGATCGGACGCCGCTCAGCGAGCTTACCTGGCGCAAGATGACACCTACTGGAAGGGGAATTCTCACATACAGCTGAGGACTTTCGCTTTGGCATGCGTTCCAGTGTACGTTATGCTTGCTCTCGCGTCCTCACGGCGGAGAGAGTAGGATCTTCCCACGAAAGATGAAAACCACAATCTGTCCTGGACCCGATACCTTCCTTGGCACTGCGAGAAACAGGGCAAACTTCTGTCGGAGATTCACAGTCGCGGACGATTCTTCCAGACGCATCAACCTCTGACACCGTCATATTCCACTACCCGCGACCCACGAGGAGTGTCACACCATGAGCGGCCTTCGAGTGCTGTGCTCGCCGGCGCAGGTACCAGCGCAGAAATCTGGCAGGTACAGTCTCGTAAGCTGCACCTCATTCCCGAATGTAGAATGCAGTGCGCATGTGCTGATGAGCTCCCAGAAGCCTTTCGCAATCTGCTCCCGTCCACCTGGAGATATCAATTCTATGACGGAGGAGAGCCATGTGAGCTTGCCGATGGCATCAAGGAGGTCTATCCTGGGCCCTACTTCTGTCTCTACGATATCCCCAGCTTTGAGAATGTCCAGGCAGCTCATGATCTGGTATACGAGATTATCGAGGATGACGGACCCTTTGACGCCGTCATGGGCTATTCGCAGTTTGTCACCCTTGCCAGGACTGCTTCTTTACAGAGCTAATCAGGAACCAGAGGCGCTTCGCTGTTAGCTTCGATCTTGCTCCATCACCAAGCAGAGAACCCCTACGGACCTCCGCTTTTTCGCTTTGCCGTCTTCATGAACGCTTTCTTGCCGTACTCAAAGAACTCCGACTTTGGTATCGATGTAGGTCACATGTGGTTCGAGGATAGCGGAGGGAAAGTCTTCACTCCAACGGATGACGATACTGTCAAAGGAATCGAACGCTACGGCGATTATATGGAAGAAGGTCACAACTTCAGGACTCTCCCTATTCGCCGGTTCAACCCCTCTTTGCACAAGGACAAGATCAATATTCCAACCGCGCATTTGTATGGAGCAAAGGACGCCCACCGTCCTCAAAGCCTTCGACTTATCGAGATGTGCGATGAAAAGCAAGTCGCGACGTTCGAACATTGTGGCAGACACGAGGTACCACGGACGCCGAAACAGGCAGAGGGAATGGCTACAGCGATAAAGAAAACGTTTGAGAAGGCGCAGTTTATCATCGCATAGGAGTGGACAACGATGTGTGGCCGCGTGCGAATTGTCTGGCATGATGAAAGACCATATCACTTGATGCTTTGCAATCCTAACCCAGCTTCCCGCAATGCAGGAGTCCGCCACCACCAGAAAACGACAATTTCTTGAACGCTGAGCTCGTCGTCACTAAGCGGAGAGCATTCAGCTTTAGAGCTGAAACTTTGATTCGAATACTCCATGGAGCAGTAACCAAAGGCGATCCGCATCGCTCTCAGCTACACGTTCTGTTTCCAACAGCAACTTCCAGCGTCTTGCAGCTGCAACTTATCATTGGAAACCTTAGCTGGATCTTGCTGGCTGACATCACCCGGAGAGTAGATGGAGCGAAGAAGCACCTCTCGTGCAGCTAGAGTAAATCATTTGCGGATCAATCTTCCGACAGATTGCTCCATATGTCTAGCGTCCACTCCAACACCTCTGGTGTCGTGGGTTACACCATACGCTCTGGGGCGAAACACTGACGACCGCAGTGACTGGCGAGGACGCCATTTGCCACATCGCGTGGCATCTGAGGCACCGTGCGGGTTGCGCCGCCTCCGGATCGCAGATGTCTTCTCAAGATAGCCCCGGGAAGGACCCGTCTGCTCGAATGAGCAAGAGAACAAGCAAGTGCTTTGCTTTTCTGCCAATCCGAGTTAGACCTGTGCATCTTGCTTTCAAAGAAGTCGCCAGCCTCCGAGGAAATCAAGAAGATTTCTCGGCCAACATGTGAGATCGACATCCATCGTGGGCCCGAGAGCCATGCTCGGAAGGCCTTTTCAGACCGCGCGAAGACACAAGAGAACTTCCTTCCTACCATTGTCTGTCATATCCGGGTTTTCACACCCGTCTTCCATCCGTTTAAGGCGGCCTTGCCAAAGTTCGGTCCTAGCAGGCTGCCATAACCTCGAAGGTCTCAAACGTAGCGTTGTTTGCCTTGAACTGTCGAAAGACGGACGAAACGGTATCAACTTCTCGTATGCGTTACTGCTTGTAACATCCTGAACAAGCCATGGTTGGTCCAACTCAAGAGCCTCTGGCCATCACTGGGCTTTCATATCGATTGCCTGGCTCTCACGATAATGAACACAAGTTGTGGGAACTGTTAAAGAATGGCAAGGACTGTTGGGGCAAAGTCCCGAAGGACCGATACGACCAAGACGCCTACCATCACCCTAATCCTCAGCATGCTGGAGCCATTGCCGCAAAGGGCGGCTTTTTACATGAATCGCGACCCGGCTGCTTTCGACGCTCCCTTCTTTGGTATCAGTCCATCTGAGGCATCAGCTCTGGATCCGCAGCAGCGATTCCTCTTGGAGTCCACCTTCGAATGTTTGGAGAGCGCCGGTATCCCCATGGAGAGAATAAGCGGCAGCAAGACTGGCTATTTTGCGGGATCTTTTCTCACGGACTACGACACGGTCACATCATCTGACGCTCTCAACATTCCGACCTATGCTGCCATGGGCAGTTCCGGGAGTCTCATTCCCAACCGCTGCTCGTGGTTTTACAATCTCAAAGGACCGTCCGTGTCTTGCGATACTGCATGTTCATCGTCTCTAATTGCGTTCCACCTGGCCTGCCAGTCCATCTGGTCCGGCGAGAGTGAACTGGTGAGTGAGAATCAAGCCTTGAACAAATCTATTGCTGATTATACAAAAGGCTTTCGCTGCTGGAGCCAGCATGATCATGATGCCTAACATCGCACGCGCTCTGACGCAAATGCAATTCCTCGCCTGACGGCCGTTGCTACAGCTTTGACGATCGTGGAAATGGTGAGCAGCTTCAAAAGCGAAAGCACCAGGCGTCAGCCGATGCACTTGCTAATAATTAATGTTATTCTCAGGCTACGGTAGAGGTGAAGGCTTTAGTGTTATGCTTATGAAGCCTGTTTCTGCCGCAATTTGAGATGGCGACTGCATCCGTGCAGTCGTCCGGGCTTCTGCCAGCAACCAGAACGGACGCAGTCCCGGTATCACCATGCCGTCTACTGAGGCTCAAGCAATACTTATTCGCACTGCCTACGAGAACGCCGGGCTGGACTTCGATCCTACCGGCTATTTTGAGGCTCATGGCACTGGTACAATTATCGGTGATCCCCTGGAGTTCAATGCCATCGCACAAAGTCTGAATGGCCCTACAAGGACGTCTCGCCTTATCGTCGGCAGCGTTAAGTCCAATATTGGGCACTTGGAGGGATCGGCTGGTCTTGCCGGTCTGCTCAAAGCCATCCTTACCGTCGAAAAAGGAGTCATCACTCCATTGGCTGGGTTTGGAAACCCGAACCCGAAACTGCGGCTGGACGATCCAAACTTGCAATTGGCAACGAAGCTCATGGAGTGGCCTTCTTCTGGTATTCGCCGTGCCTCTGTCAACTCTTTCGGCGCTGGTGGAAGTAATGCTCACGTGGTGATTGATGATGCGGCTTCTTTCCTTCAAACACATGGCCTGAAAGGATTCCATCGCACACTACTTGCCGCTCCAGTACTCCGCCCAGCGACTCTGGTGTGGAGTCAGGTAACTCCAGCGACCATGAACCAGCGGCTCCGTACGAGAAGGGTACTACGCCACGACTCTACGCCTTTTCTGCTCCCGAGCAAGCCGGTCTTCAAAGAATCGCAAGCTCTTACTCGAAATTTCTCAAAACCAGAATCGAAGCTGGCACTATTGACGATGGTTTCCGTGCCCCTGACGCTGGCAATCGCTCTTCAGACATTCCCAAACTTCACCTCGATCAGCTCGCAAACACCCTCAGCAACCACAGATCCGTCTTCGACTGGAAGTCCTTCTCCATCGCTTCATCTGGTACAGAGCTTAGTCTTAGCCTTGAAGGCGGCCTCAAAAAGTTCGTCAAACCTACAAAGCCGTCTGGAATCTCTTTCGTCTTCGGGTGGCCAGGATGGTCAGTACGCACGCATGGGCTTTGAGCTCTTGCAGTACCAGGTCTTCCGCCAGCACTTGCTGGATGCTGACGCCTATCTTCAAACGCTGGGATGCACGTGGTCTCCTGTCGAAGAACTCAGCCACAGCGAGGGCACCAGCAAGGTCGATAACGCTGCATACGCTCAACCACTGACGACTATCATACAAACTGGCCTCGTTGATCTGCTGCGATCCTGGGACATTATACCTAAATCTGTGGTCGGCCATTCGTCTGGAGAAATTGCTGCAGCGTAAGCAGCCGGTGGTCTTTCGAAGCAGGATGCCTGGAAAGTAGCATACTTTCGCGGTACCTTCTCGGCCGCTGCTTCTGCCAAGAACCCCGACTGTGAGGGTGGAATGCTGGCAGTCGGTCTCAACGAAACCGAAGCTAGTGAATATCTGGCCCAAGCTGATGAGCCTGTCGTTGTAGTTGCTTGCGTCAACTCACCGCATAGTGTCACGCTTTCCGGGTCAAAGAAGTCGCTGGACAAGATTGCTGCCTTGCTGGATGCGGACAATGTCTTTCAAGGCAGCCTTCGTGTTAGCAATGCCTACCATTCTCTTGAGATGCAGTCCATTGCGGATGAATACGCCAAAGCTATTGCGGACATCGAGCCCCTTGCAGGTTCAGGTTCGGTGATGTTCTCTTCTGTCACCGGCGAGAAAGTCGAACCGGGCTCTGTGGACGCAAGCTACTGGATCACCAACATGCTCAACAAGGTCCAATTTACTGCGGCTGTAGAGCACATGCTTACCCCGCCAAGAAAACGCCGCAGGGCCAAGTTCGATGTGGACTGTTTCTGAGAGATTGGTCCTCACAGTGCTCTCAAGACCCCAGTGCAGCAAATCATTACCCAAGAAGAAGAGAAGACCAAGCAGGATTGCAGTCTGTCTTACCATAATATTCTATCTCGCGGCAGAAACTCGGTCGAGGCCGCTCTCGACGCGGCCGGTCAGCTTTGGGTTGCTGGACATCCAGTCAACCTCGCTAGAGTCAATCAGCCCAACGGATCACTGCAGATCTTCCCTCCGATTACAGACCTGCCATACTGTCCATGGAACCATTCCGAGAGAAACAAGTACTGGCACGAGACACCTATAGCTCGCAAGATGCGACTCCCTGCGGGAACTAGAAATGACTTTCTTGGTACACCTGACACCGACAACATGAAGGCCCCTGAGTACCGCAAAGTTCTTCGGCTGGAGGAGCAGCCCTGGATCGCCGAGCACGAAGTTCAAGGTGTGGTTGTTCTGCCTGCAACAGCATTTATCGTCATGGCCCTCGAAGCTGCCGTAAAGTCGGCCGCCGAAGGTCAGGTCGCCGAACGTATTGAGCTGCGCGATGTGGCCATTGGGCGCCCATTACTATTCCAGGACAAGTCCAAACCTGCAGAGACTCGCGTTGTGCTCAGGCCTCATAAGACTAGCACGCGAGGAAACACCGCTTCGTGGATCCAAGTCACCGTCACCTCTCGCTCGGTCATGGACGATTCCTGGATTGAGCACGCCAATTGCTATTTCATCATCCACTATAAGAAGCAGCCAAGCGAAGTTGAGGGAATCAGCGAGCAGCTCCGTGAGAACAAGTCTTATCAGGATGCATATCAATCCTTCAAAAAAGACTGTACCGTTCGCTACTCCGCGAGCTCGGTCTACCTTCTCTTCGATGATTGCGGATTCAAGTATGGACCGCTGTTCAAGAATCTGGATGAGCTCTACTGTGGCAAGCATGTGAAGGATTCGACTGGTACGATCAGAATCCTGACACGAAATCCGCAATGCCAATGGAATGGGAGTCGTCGCACGTCATCCATCCGATCGTTCTCGACAACGCCATGCAAATGACAAACCCGGCATTCCGATACTTTGATCTCAAGGACCTCACAATGTTACCTGTGGCAATGGAGAGTATCATTGTTGATCTTGATGTACCCAACGCACCAGGCTCGGAGTTGAAAGGATACACAAGCTATGAGCTCCTCGGTGATCACGAGATCTTGGCCCAAATCACCCTGGGCGCTGGAGACTTTGAAAAGCCACTCGTTACCATGAAGGGCGTCCATTTCCGGGAAGTTGCTGGTGGCATGGATATCAACATTGCCAACGCGGACCAAGCCAAGCCAATTGCTACGGCATTGAAGTGGAAAGTAGATGTTGATCTTCTTTCCCCAGACGCTCTACAGCAGGTCTTGAGCTCGAAGGCGACAAGCTCGCAGGGCGCTTCCAGAGCTCATGAGATCTTCTTGGAGCTTGTTGATTTGCAGTCTTTCAAGGATCCTTTCTTGACTGTCTTGGAGCTCGGATGCAATGGTCCAGAAATGGCAGCAAGCACTGTTGCTCGCTTGACTGATTTGGGCCGGCATGTTCACATCGATAAGTATATAGTGTCGAGACCCAGTGGAAAGCCGGAGTGGGCTATCGAATTGATCAAGAAGCAAGGTGGCGTGGTCGACTACCTGCTGCTCGATCTGGAGAAATCATCTGGAGAGGACGGAGAATCAGCCACGGCGACCAAGGCCAATTCGATTGTCAGCTTCAGTGGTCTTTTCTCCCGCGAAAACGTCGGCGTCCTGGCGAAGAGGGCAAATGACCTGCTCCATCCTTCCGGTAAGCTCTCTTTCACAATGGAGATTCAAGAAGGCATAGAGGCCGCCAGGGCCGAATTGGACGCCGTGCTCAAGCAGGTCGGGTTCTACGGCGTGAATGCCTTGATCGGTCTTGATCCAAATTCAGCTTTTATTACGACCACCAAATTGCGAGAAGACAAGCCTATCGCTGAGCGCGAGGTCCTCTTCGTCGAGCCTTCTCAGCAAGACAATCGAGTCTTGCGGCTCATGGAGAAGCTCGAGAAAGACTTCACGGCTGCTGGACATACGATCTCCCGTGCCACACTTGAGACTCTCCCTGACACAGAAGGCAAGGCAATTGTATCTTTCATCGGGCTGGGTAATTCTACTCTCGACCAAATGACCGAAAGCGAATTCGAGGCCTGGCGGATCATGATGCTGAAGCACTCTGGATTGATGTGGGTCTCTGCTGGTGCTGTCAGCTCTGGCAAAGATCCCCGCCGTGCCATGGATACTGGATTGCTCCGGGTCGTCAGGTCTGAAGAAGCCGCTCTGCGTATTGTGCAGTTCGATTTCTCGGAAGCGATGGATCTTGCTTCCACCCAAGCCGCCACGCTACTGTCCGACGCAGCTCGCCCTTCTCTCTTCCCGGACATTCACGAGACGATTGTCGAGACCGAAATCACCGAGCGTGACGGCAAATTGTTTGTCCCACGTCTGTTTACCGAGCAGGCGGCTAACGAAGCTATCTACTACCACACTCACCATCCAGCAGCACGCCAGCAAAGAATCGGAGACTGCAGGGAGATCATGAAGATGCACGTGGGACAGCCTGGCATGCTCGATACTCTCCGCTTCGAGGAGAACAAGAAGTTGCCAAAGACTCTGGAGAAGGGCCAGGCTAAGGTCCGGGTGCAAGCTACTCCAATCAATTTCGTCGACATCATGGTTGCCATGAGTATGGTCCCAGCTGCTTGCCTTGGATGCGAATGCTCTGGTATCGTTGAAGAGATACACGCGGATGGCCGCTTCAAGGTCGGCGACCAAGTCGTCGTCATGACTGGAAACGCTTTCGCAACCCATGTTATTGAGCACGAGGCTTTTATGCAGCCCATCCCTCAAGGCATGACCCCCGAGGCAGCAGCTTCTTGTGCGACAATCTATGTTACGGCATACATCGCTCTCATGGACGTCGCACGCATTCAGAAGGACGAGAGTATTCTCATCCACGCAGGTGCCGGTGGTCTCGGACAAGCTGCTATCCAGCTCGCCCGAATGGTCGGTGCGGAAGTCTTTGTCACTGTTGGATCCGTTGGGAAGAAGACTCTATTGATGGAGAGATATGGCATTGCAGAGGATCATATTTTCAACTCGCGTGATTTGACCTTTGCCCAAGGTACGTGTAGAGCAGCTTCAGCGGTTGACAATTCTAACAAGGACGCACAGGTATCATGCGCCAAACCGAAGGACGCGGAGTTGATGTGATCCTCAACTCAACATCCGGCGAGGCCCTTCGCCAGACTTGGCACTGCATCGCTCAATTCGGCCGCTTCCTCGAGGTTGGAAAGCGGGACATCATGACCAACACTGGACTGGACATGATGCCCTTTCTTAAGAACGCCAGCTACTCTGGAGTCCATATTGATCAGATGGTCGGTACCTCTCGCCAGCGGGTAGCTGTCGCTATGCAGAAAGTCTTCGATCTTTTCCAGGCTGGCAAGATTGGCGAAGTCTATCCTGTCACCGTCATGACTTACTCAGAGATTGAAGAAGCTTTCCGCCTGGTTCAGACTGGAACGCACACCGGTAAAGTCGTCCTTACTCAGTCAGACGACGACATTGTGCCTGTAATTCCTCCGATCACGCACACCGCCGATCTCAAAGGCGATGTCACTTATGTCATTGCTGGTGGCCTTGGGGGCGCTGGCCAGTCTATGGTCGACCGCATGTTTGACTGCGGAGCAAGGAACTTTGCTTTCTTCTCGAGATCTGGGGATTCGAAGCCTGAGGCTGCCGAATACCTGGCTCGTCTAGGACGCAGAAGTGCCAATGTCAAAGCTTACAAGGCTGATATTGCGAATCTGGAGGCATTGACTGTTGTTTACAACCTGTTGGAGCGAGAGATGCCACCGGTCAAGGGCTTCGTGAATGCCGCAATGTTCCTGCAGGACGCTCTCCTCGCCAAGATGACCTATGAACAGTGGAAATTCGGCATCGCGCCCAAGGTCATCGGTCACTGGAACTTCCGTAACCTTTTGCCCAAGGGTCTTGACTTCTTTGTTTCCATGTCTTCTATCAGCGCCATGATTGGAGTCCCTGGACACGCCAACTACGCTGCAGCAAACACCTACGAAGACGCCTTCGCTTTCTGGCGCCGTTCCCAGGGCGAAGAGGCCATCTCCTTCAACCTGTCCGCTATCTTTGGGGTCGGCGTCATGGAACACAGCGGAGTTGAGAAGTCTGCCTGGTACGAGATGATCTCTCTCAACGGAACGGAGATGAACATCCTCCTCGGCTTTGCGATGACAAAGACTACCTTGAAAGATGTCCCGTGCCCGACACAATTGACTACGGGTGTCAATCCTCAGATGCTGAATGTTCCATCCATGCATTGGGCACTCGACCCGAAATTCCGAATCCTCCGACGACTTGGTTGTAAGCGTAGCATCAGCTCTGACGACGAAGGCGCGAAGAGCAAACTTCACGACGAACTGCGCGAATGCACAACCATGCCGGCTGTGACCAAGGTCATTGAAGAGAATCTTGTCCTCGAGCTTTCAAAGAGTATGATGTGCAACCCGGAGGATATCAATGCCAGCAAGCCGCTGCATAGCTTTCGTGTTGATTCTTTGGTTGCTGATGAGGTGAGGAGTTGGATCTTCAAGGAGCTCAAGAGTGGTGAGTCACGAGACATTCGATCTGGTGTCTTGAAGCGTTTGCTGATTCACGTGTCACAGAGGTCACTGTTTTCGACATCATGGATCCTCAGCCATTGACAACACTATACTTCAAGATTGCAGAGAGAGCAAGCTGATTTCTGCTGCGATCAACGCGCAGGGCACGGAGGAGCAATAAACGACGCTCTTTTTTCTTTTTCGATACCTGATTCTCTTGTCTCTAATGCATGTGTTTCTGTGCATATTCATGACGGCATCGATAATGTACGACAATGTTCGGCAGATGACCTCCAGGGTTTCCTGAGATTTGACAAGGCTTATCCTTTCACGTTTAAAGCATATTTTGACGTCGCCAATGGCCGAGAGATACGGTTTGGCCGTCACGCGGAAATGTAGAAATGGTGAACAGTTCTGAGGGCGATTCATAATTTATAGTGCCCTGACGGACAGTGCTGGACGATTGAAATTGCTAATTTATCGTAGACGTATTCCTTTCCACCGTACCGACGTTCTGGTGTCACGCTGGTCCTTCCCCATCTTTCAAGTCAACAACCTTGCCTCCAACAACACCTCTTGCTGCGTTCGGCAAAATCGGAACCTTCTCGTGCAGCCTTCAACAAGCACAGCCCTACCTTTTGAGTCGACATCGTAAGGTCGATCAAAAATGAGCGCAATCTCTCCATCTTCTTCACTCCCAGCACTACGCTTCTCAAAATGCTCCTGTGTCGTGTGTTCTACTTGACAGCGCTGGGACCTTTTGCACTGGCTCAATTCCCTCCAAAACCCAAGGACGTTACTGTGGTTAATTCCAGTCTAATTGAGGATGCTGGCATTAGCTATAAGGAGGTACACACCGTCCGTAGAGTAGCAAGATGATTTCGAGCTGACTTTACTTTTTAGAACTCCTTATGCGAAACGACGCCCGGTGTCCGTTCCTGGGCCGGCTACGTCCATCTTCCACCTGGAATCCTCTCTAACCTCGGGGTCAAGAACCAGACTTGGCCCATTAACACTTTCTTCTGGTTCTTCCAAGCCCGCGATAAGCGTCCTCGCGATGCTCCTACCATGATCTGGCTCAATGGCGGGCCCGGTTCATCCTCGTCAGGCAACCCTCTAGGAATCGGCAGTGGGACCTGTACAGTCAATCCTGATGCGAACTCCACCGCATTGAATGAATGGTCCTGGAATAGGGAAGTCAACATGCTTTATGTTGATCAACCGGTCGAAGTTGGCTTGTCATATGACAGCTTTCAGAATATTTCGTATAATTTGATCAATGGCAATGTGACCATCCTCAACGAGACGACGGGGATCCCGGGGCAGAATACTACATTGCAAGTTGGAACATGGTGGGTGATTTGACGCTGCTCAGCATCGCCTTAGAGCGACTACGCTAATGCGAAATCCTGCACAGGGCAAGCACAGATACCTACAAGACATCACCCGGCTCCGTCAACGGCGCTTATGCAATGTGGTACTTCGCTCAGGTATTCTTCAACGATTTCCCAGAGCACAGGCCCCGTGACACCCGGATCGGTGTCTTTGGAGTTTCATACGGCGGCAAATATGCCCCAGCCATCGCCTCTTTCTTTGAGGAACAGAACGAAAAGATCCAAACCGGCAAATGGAAACTTCCAGGCAAAGAACTGAACGTGGACACCCTGATCGTCGACAGCGGCTGCGTTGATCTTCCAGCTTCCTGGTTCTCGTATCCCGTCATGGCAGTCAATAATACCTACGGAATCAAAGCCGTGAACGAATCAACTGTGCACAAGATGTTGCACGATCTAAACCGTCCCGGAGGATGTCTGGATCAGGCTTACCACTGCGGCAATCTGTCGTTGAAATATGATCCATTGAATGTGGGCATCAACGAGACGGTCAATCATGTCTGCTTCAAAGCTGGCAAGTTCTGCGATGATGAGGTCCAGGGGCCTTTCGACAGGTCTAATCGGAGCTTTTACGATATTACTGTGCCTGTAAGCGCATCACTCGAGATCTCCATGGTTATTATACTTACTTTACCGTGTGCAGGACTCGCTCTCTCGCGTGCCTCCTTTTCAATTTGCTTATATGCAGCGACCTTGGGTACAAGAAGCGCTTGGTATGCGCATCAACTGGTCGAACTACTCCCCGTGGGCCTCGGAAGCAGTTCGCAGAGAAGGTGATTTCGCTAGGCCCGGCTGGCCAGACAAGATGGCATATCTGCTTGAGCGAGGCAAGAAGGTTGCGTTTATGTATGGGGACAAGGATTACATCTGCGTAAGCCTTCACAGGTTCTTGGTATACAGTGTTGCGCTGACTTTGACTCCAGAACTGGTTTGGTGGAGAAGCAGTCTCCCTCGCCATCAAATATACAGATACTGCGAAGTTTCACGCAGCCGGTTATACCGGTATCCACACGAACGAGTCTTACATCGGCGGGCAAGTTCGACAGTACGGCAATTTGTCTTTCTCGCGGCTCTACCAGGCTGGACATGGAGTAGCAGGCCAGCAGCCCGAGACTGCGTACAAGATCATCAACCGAGTCTTTTACGATCGCGATGTTGCAACCGGTACCAGATCGACGGCTAAAGGGGAGTTTACTACTGAAGGCCCTTCCAGCTCTGCTGGTATAAAGAACGAAGTCATCCCAGTCGAAGTACTGCAGGTATGCTATCTGCTGGATGTCAACGAGACTTGTTCGGACGACCAGCAGAAGATGATTCAGAATGGGACGGTCGAGATTAAGGAATATATGGTGGTGGATAAGAATTCGACGCAGAGGTATCCGCAGATTGTTGGGAGTGGAATGGGCATGGGTTGAGGGTACTCATCTAACGCACAGTGGTCGACAATGATCACTTCATGTATTGGTCTCGACAGTGGTTGACTCCTATGGTCGAAGGTCATTGGCGGCAGTACAACGAATGCCAACAGTCTTCGTATCGGCGACCAGAATTCTTGCTCCACTGATTTCTTTAATGCTAGGCCAACGTGTACATGAATAGCATCTCGAAGTAGCACTCGCCTCTTACGCAATCTTATTTCGCCTCCAGCCCAACGGTTCAGCCCATACGGTTCGAGTTTCAATCAAACAAATCTCGAGAGTAGGACTCCGACGCATGTGTTCTACTCATACATAGGTTGCCTGACATTTGCAGATCAGGTCAACGAATAGAAGTCTTCCTCTTCGGCTGACCAGAATCCGTTCGCCATCGACTCGGCATCAGACGGTATGTAGACAGAAATGACCTTGGCAAAGTTTTCTTTACTCACCGGTGTCCGTCATGTCGCACTTCGTTGTTCAAACATCTTTGGAGCTCGATCTGAAGCCTAGGGAACCAACCAAACGAAGAAAGATAAGCCATCCGAGGACGTTGTAGCAGCGGGACTGGAACACATCTTTTCATTGATCGTGTATGCGTACAACACAGGAGATCTTTCGCCAGCTCCATTTGGCCGGTCTGCTTATTGCAACCCAGACTACACCTCCGAAGATTTGATATTAGAATCGATTGCCGGGATCTCGACCACTCTGGATCTCCCTGGACACTTGAAGGCTATTCGGGCAATCACTCGACGGTAATCAGGATACAGCGTCGAGATCCTGGAAGTTACATCTCATCTGAACCTGAGAACTCTGCGCGCGACGTGTTTCTCCAGAGAAGCGATCCAAGGGCATCCGGCTGGAGTGGCAAGGGAGAATACGAGTCGTTGTTGGTTTAAGTGTACCGATGGCAAATGGATGCAGAAGCAGTATCGACCCGCGATCGGTGGCTTACACATAGTAGGACGTCGCCGACATGATCAAAATTGGCTATCCGGATAGAGAGCTCTCATTCGCGCGTTCGCTTCTCTGCAGCCGCGCGGGTCGATGGCTCATTTTTAGCTGTCCTGAGAGGGTTTTTTGTCCTTGAGATGCCGTGGTAGTATTGGGTAGATGAGCGCGATGTTGATATTGGTATATGGGATCAGGGATCGAGGGGAAGGAGAGGGCGAAAAAGAGGAGAGCGTAAAAGAATCCAGCCAATCATCACCCGCCCTCAGAGGGAAGCACAGACGACATCACGTGGTCGGTCCGAAACTCAAAGAGCTAATCTTGGCTTCCGGCTTCCAGTCTTTCTTCCTTTTGCTGAGGTACCGCCAAGCGACATCAACAACTTTCGCGACAGGTCCAATGGCGCACAATACCTCATACGCCATGAGAGATCGCATTGAGGAGCATAACATGCCTTCTCTCGCCGCCGATGGCCGGCATTTATTACCAGCACATTACCCGTGGCAACATCCTTAGACGCGACCTCGGCCAATGCAGAGTATTGGGGCACCTGAGCCGACTACCGCAGCCATACGGACTACTGCACGCAGCAGCTCTACACCATGTGGCGTATAGCAATGACTTCGCACTTGGGGAAGAGCACGCGCGATGTCTTTCTTCGCGCTGGAATTGTCCCTCACTCTCTTTGGACCTTTTGCAGGCACCACGCTCCACTGCTGGACTTGATCGCTTGAATACCGAGTACTCGACGATCGCAGTGCCGGTTGGGCGGCTGCGTCGCTCTCACTACTCACGAAGGCCATGGCTACCCCGCTTACCACCGACATGGCAGAACCAAAGTCTTCGACAGCGTCATCGAGCAATGCGACAAACCACGAGGATTCTCAACTCCACGATCGGGACTGCGATACGTCGTCTAGCGAAGAGAAAGCACCTGCCACGGCGGTAACGTCAGTCGCTACTCTTTCAACACTCCAGGATGGCGGCACGCGAGCGTGGCTCCAGGTTCTGGGCTCATTCATCGTCTTTGGCAACCTGTGGGGCTTTACTTTCGCGTTTGGGTCCTTTCAGTCCTACTATGAACTCGACTATTTACCTGGCGAGACAGCGTCGTCCATCTCTTGGATTGGCACCGTCAGCGTCTTCTTGTTGATCTGTATCGGCATCATCTCCGGCCCTCTTTTTGATTTGGGATACTTCAAGTCTATGCTCCTAGCTGGTGCAGCTATCGAGACGCTTGGTGTCTTCTTGACCAGCATCTGCAGCTCATACTGGCAACTCATGCTCACTCAGGGTATCCTTATGGGACTAGGGAATGGTCTCCTCTACTTGCCAGGACTCGCATTAGTCGGACGGTCGTTCAAGAGACACCGCGCTATCGCCATGGGCATCACGACATGCGGCGCTCCAGTCGGCGGCGTGTACTACACTCTCATCTTCGAGCAACTGATATCCAAGATGGGCTTTGGCTGGACCGTCCGAATCATGGGATTCGTTATGCTGGGATCTTATTGCATTTCGTTTCCGCTTCTCCTATGGGGCGCACGCAACATTGGCGACCTAGCATCTGGAGCGCCTCGTAAGTTGTTCGACAGAGGTGCTTTGACCAACACACCTTTCTGGACTTACTCCACGAGCAATTTTCTGATCTTCTGCGGCTACATGGTGCCATTCAACTTCATTCCATCATACGCGCAACTTGTGCTTGGTCTGGACCGCAGTATGTCTCTCTACATTGCGATGATAGCCCAAGCGAGCAGTGTCGTGGGACGTCTTGTAGCCGGCTATTCCGCATCGAAGATCGGTGTTTTGATTCCTTGGATAGTCTGCGCGTCCAGCAGTGGTATTATCTGTGTAGCTTGGATTGGGGCCCATACCACTGGAGGCTTCATCGCCATAGCTGCGCTGTACGGATGCTTTTCTGGCGCGCTGATACCTCTTCCTCCCAGCGTATTTCCGGTAGTCTGTCCTGATCCCAAGGTGTTTGGTGCTCGTCTTGGGATGGCACAAGGCATCGCATCGATTGCAAGCTTGATTGGACCTCCCATCGCCGCTGCGCTGGCCTCTCTCTCAAGTACTCCAGGCGAAACGAATTATCTGGGACTGCAGCTGTTCGGTGGACTAGTCATGCTAGCTGGAGCATGCAACCTTGGGGCGCTCTGGATCGTACTGGCCAAGAGAAGAGAGCAAGGATCGTCGAAGCTGATCTGAGAGGAACCGCAGACGGCGAATAAGGTCTGATCAATGAACACGAGCTGCTTGTTCATCGTCGGAGCACGAAATGCAAGTTAATCACTAACAACAGACGGTACGTATCATACCGCTGAAGAAATGGCAAAAGCACACCACGAACCTCGGTCGCGCGAGTTGCTTAGTATGACGCTCTGAATGGGATCGCACAGAAGGATCGTAAATGCCGCAACGGGCGTTGGTGGCTCCACGCTATGGGGTCCTTCGGGCCACTCGATGACCTTTCAAACGTCTGGAATTGCTGGGCAGCGTAACAAGACCATCGTACAGGAACAGGCCACCGAGAACACGGAAGCAACTTCGCGGCGTAATTGGTTATGTTTAGCGCATGTCACTGTGTCCACCTTCACTGCTCTTGGCATCAACGAATGGATATGGAGAGGCAAGTTTTGCTCATCAAGTTCGTGGAAGCTACTCTGCGCCTGGATGTCGTCGATCGATAACCTCGAAGCAGCAATCGAGGGCTGCCGGATGTGCCGAAGGCGTTGAGTGGGCACAGCATTCTCACGCGCGGCAACTGCAGTTGATCGCTGCTAAGCCCCAATATTCTGAAGAATGCAGTATCCTCCGGAGTTTAGCATGCATCTGGTGCGGACGAACCAGGGGTTACTGCGCGCGGACTCTGGCAGACTCGGTAGTCACCCTCACTCACAAGTGCGACTTGATGTCCATCTCGCAGGGTCGACACATAGAATGCCGCCAGCAACGATTGCCATTGCGTAATAGCTGCAGCCGCGGCATGAATTCGAACTCGACGGAAAAACTGGGTTTCTTCGTAGCGGATCTACAACAGCATACGATGGTTTCATGACAACTTCGCAATCCAGACTGGCTTGTCCCGCGAAGTCTGTGAGCATCTTATCCACTCACAGCGTCTATGTTGCACGCATGCTATGGATGCCACGTGCGCCAAGGTATACACCATCCTCGAAAATTTTGCTGGGCATGGGATGATTAGGTACACTGTTCCAGTTTTGTGGCTATATCGACGTCGACGGAGTCGTTCACGACTGACAAGGGCTGCACGTGGGATTCGAAGTCTGGCCCGGATCGTTCGGCTTTTGGCGGGTTATTGCAAGGTAGCTGAGGAAGCACACGACCGAAGCAGAATCCATTCCGCGGTGTTGGCCAAGATATGCAGTCCGGCAGTGGACGCAGTTGGTGAAAGAGTGAAGTCGAAGAAGTCGCTGTGCGAAATACACGTGGACGTGCTCAAGCTTTTGATTCGCACGGGTGGCGAGATTGGCTCACACTGCCCAGAGGCCGCCTGCTCCGCCAAGGGCGCGGCATTGCCAAGACAATTGCCCTCCGACGCCTGTCCGCACCCTTCAGCAAGCACCGCGTATGGCACGGTATGGGTGGCCGCGCCCGTGCGACAAGGCTGCTCGACAAGGCCGCTGGAATGCTGTGGCGCCCTCACGCGCGGTCTTGTCGACGCCCACTTCAGCTGGATGATCTCATGCAGAGACAACACAACGACGGGACGAGAAGCTCTTGTCGTCTTCTCCATCGTGAAGGACGCAGGTCCTCATGATGACTCGAAATGTCACAATCATGATTGGATTGCGCTCATCAAGGAACATCATTTGATCCAGCATAGAGAACTTGCAGCTCAGAACACATGCCGTGTTGGAGCGGTGCGGTCGAAGTATCAGCATCCTATTACCGGCAAAGCACGAGTGTTAGACTGCAGCCACCACTACTTGCATGCCCAGACGACTAGAGCAGGTCTGGCTCGACCTCCGGGATCTTGACGATGGTCTCGTATATTCTCAGTCGCCCAACCCGATCCAATTAGACTGGCTAGTGACCGATTAAATTTTGCTATCGCGTCTTACACAGCGGAATATATAGTCCTGGCTTGTGCTCGTCCGACTAGAGTTGGATTGTCAGCAGCAACCGACAACTTTCCAGTACATGCCTAAGCAGAGACCCCTGCACAGTCGTCAAGATGCCTACTCTTCACCAGTACGACTATGTCTTCGCGATCGGCACCTTCTTTGCCCTTCTTGATGCGTATAACAACGGTGCTAGTAAGTTCTCCATGGCAGTACCGGGTTGTGGTATTTGGATGCTGACATGATCATAGACGATGTTGCCAACGCCTGGGCTACCAGTGTCTCCTCCAAATCCATCTCTTACCGATGGGCCATGGTCCTCGCTACCATCTTCGAGATGGTAGGTGCCATCACTGTCGGTGCTCGGACTGCAGACACGATTAAGAACGGCATCATCCCGAACAAGATCTTCAACGACAACCCTGGTGTCCAGATGCTCGCCTTCACCTGCGCCCTTGCTGGTGCCTCCATTTGGGTCATGTGGTGCACCAAGCACTCCGCTCACGTTTCCTCCACCTACTCGCTTATCTCCTCCATTGCTGGTGTCGGTGTCGCCGTTGCTGGAGCGAGCCAGGTCCAATGGGGGTGGAACGGAGGCAAGGGATTGGGAGCCATCTTCGCTGGTCTCGCTATGGCACCTGCCATCGCCGCTACTTTCGGTGCTACCATCTTCATGCTCATCAAGGTGGTCGTCCACATGAGGAAGAACCCGATCCCATGGTCGGTCTTCACGTCGCCATTCTTCTTTCTTATCGCCGGTACCGTCTGCACGCTCTCCATCGTCTACAAGGGTAGCCCGAACCTCAAGCTCAACGCCAAGCCATCTTGGTACATTGCCTCCGTCACTGTGGGAACTGGTGTCGGTCTCGCTGTCCTGGCCGCCCTCTTCTTCGTTCCATTCCTGTACTCCCAGGTCATCCTAAAGGACGCCTCCGTCAGATGGTACCACGTCTTCAAGGGACCACTTCTCATGAAGCGCACAGTTGTCGAGGGTGCCGAGCAAGCTCGCGTTCCGGACTACGCCATTGGCCACCACGATGAGGAGCAGTCTGACGGTGATTCTGGCGAGACTTCCGTTGATGGCCCTGGCTACGGGGACAAGACTCTTGCCTCGGCCGAAGTCACTCAGCTTACCTACAAGGAGCGCGTCAAGGCCGGACAGGACCGTCTTCACGCCAAGCTTCGACAAGGCCGTGGCCCTCTCGGCTGGGCCATGCGCAGTCTCCACGACAACCCAATGCCCGCTGGTGAGATCTACGAATTCAAGAACATGAAGGTCTTCCTCTTCAAGCGCGTCCCTGCCATGATCGTCTGTGGTGCTCTTTACGGCGCCCACTACGACATTCACGCCGCCCAGACTGGTATCGCCGGTACTCCTGAGGGTGATCGCATGGCTCGTGTCTATGATCACGCTGAGAAGTATCCCAACGAGGTCGAGCATGCCTATTCTTTCGTCCAGATCTTGACTGCCTGCACTGCTTCTTTCGCTCACGGTGCCAACGATATCGGCAACGCTGTCGGCCCATGGGCTGTCATCTACTCCGCCTGGTCGACTGGTTCCGCCGCTGGATCTAAGGCTCCCGTGCCGATTTGGCAGCTCGCTGTCGTTGCCGCCACTATCTCTGTCGGTTTGATCACCTACGGTTACAACATCATGAAGGTCATGGGCAACAAGATCACCTACCACTCCCCAAGCCGAGGTAAGCCTGCCTCTTCTTAATGCCCAAATGCGCCAATGCTAACAAGTTCTCAGGCTGCTCCATGGAAATGGGAGCTTCGATCACTGTCCTCGTCTTCTCGCAGTATTCTCTCCCTGTGTCGACTTCCATGTGCATCACTGGTGCCACTGTCGGTGTTGGTCTCTGCAACGGCTCCTTCAAGGCCGTCAATTGGCAGCGGGTCGGTCTTCTAGTGATTTCCTGGATCGTCACCATCCCAATTGCCGGTACCCTCGGCGGTGTCCTTATGGGATTGTTTCTCAATGCCCCACACTTCTCATAGGCGATTACTACTATCTGAAATTCTTAAGAGAGACGACTTGACGCGAACAGAGCGCATGCATCCAAACTGAGGTGCACTGAAAGATAGACCATTCGCTATTTGCGGGTTGGGAGTGGCAAAATTTTTATGTATACCCTTTGGCTTAACTTCTGTCTCGGTAGTGGAACAGAGCAACCACTTCAATGCTTCGAAGCTTTTCCCTGCTCAGTGGTTGAACATGCTTCCCTTCTCAGCATCACATGCTCGTCGAGTGGCAAGGCCGCCGCCGATAGAACTCTAGAAACTCTGGCGAATTTGACCTGCGTTGTGCCGCGATACTTTCCGGCTCGAGACGCCGGCCTTCAATACCAGGTATGCGAACGAGCAGATGACTCGTTAATGTCGAGGAATCATACAGAAGGGCTGATAAGGCGTTTTAAGTCGGACAGAATATTATCAAGGATGGCGAGGGCCCAGCTTTTGCTCTTGCCCGAGGACATTCTCGTCCTTCTTCCGGGGTACCTGCACAACAACTATATAGGCCTCTCCTTGACATGTCGGCTTCTCCAGGCACCATCTTGATATGGTAGAGACGACCATTCTTCCACTCAGAAGACCTCTGTATCAGATCGAAGCTCTACAGACTTATAATCGTCAAACCCAATCAAGCCCCGAACTTGATCGGAGAATCTTGATCGCCATGATTGCCTTCGACTAGCCCTTTGAACCCGAATCCAAGGCTGTTCGAAATCAAATCTGTCCTGGCTCACAATTCCTTCTTCTCGTCTCCACTCTCAGCTTGAGCCTTCAGCGCTTCAGTCCTCAACTGATTGCGTTTCCCCAGAAGTCTGAGTGTGCTCTTTCTCTCCGGCTCCGTCATCTGTTGCCAATTCGAGATTCTCGAAAGGCTTCCGTCCTGATTGACGACTAAGGGTCCGAGATGATCCATCCTCACCGATGCTTCGCCGCTCGACAGATCCAGTTTGTGGGCTTCTTCGCCATTTGGGGGCGCTGGTAGTGGTAGTGGGTGGTTATGGGCGTCTGTTTCAGGGGCTTCTTGTTGGCTGTCCGATGCTGATGCCATTGCCGTGACCGTGATGAATCTTGACTGGCGTGGGATGGATGAGAGCAGGAGGTACAACGGTGCGAGGTTTGTTGTGATTCGCATTGAACGTTTAAAATGGTGGTATCCTGACTGACTTTACCGGATGGATCTGTCGTTGTAGGTTGTAATGTTCAGATGCATGACGACAGGGTATCTAGTGTGATAAGTCTTCTGATTCCAGAATCTTCTAGAAGAATCAAATTGCAAAAGTAGGGATTTGTCTTGCAATCCATTGATATCTGATCTATGAGATTCATAAGCCAGTGTAAGTGCCTGAGCCAAATGGAACCACTCTTAGGCACTTGCCATTCACTTACGCCTCTGGCTCGGCAATTCTTCGGCATCCCATGATGCTAAAGGCGCTCCACGTGCGGGTTTGAAAGGCTCATGATCCAATTTCCAAGTCATCTCAATTGATGAGCCTCATCAATTCAACGGGCGAATGTACATCGAGTTGTTCGCGTGACATTCGTTCAACGGTATCTCATTGTGGCGCTAGCCTAATACGGTTAGCTCCATGGCTTCATCCCCTTTGCCTCGCTGAACCTCACCACAACTCCAAAAGCACCCATCTCACTTTTCCATTACCTTATGCATTAATGCATGCAAGGCATCGTTCGAGGGGTGGTGCGCACATGATGAAACGCTGAAGTCTGGCACAGCAGCCACGCGAACGCCATCATATGCACTCCGCAAGACTTCTCCGCATCTCCCTAGGCCTGCTGGAGGGTCCTACAGCAAGTGGGCCTATGTCATTGGCCTCCTCAGATGTACTTGAATACAGCTGCTCGTGAGAGCTCCAAGTCTGGACTTATACCCGTGAGCTCTCCATGTGCTGCTTTCTGAAAGCGAAGCCACGCGAGAGGCGATCTGGTCAACCACGTACAGCGGCTGCTGTATCCGCCAGTCAGGAGCTCTCGACGGATACTCCTATGGAACGCTCGGGGGTGTAATACGACGGGCTAGGGCGACTCGAGACTGTCGAGAAGATGTCCACGAGCGCTTCTAGAGCATCTTGGCGCTACGAGGCCGTTGTCCTGCTCTAGTGATGCGCGCTCCCCCAAGCATGGATTCATATATGTGAGGCCTGCCAGATATTCGAAGTTCTTCGCGCTTTGCACCCGGACGGTCCATCTTTTGTATCATTTCACGATATGTCTCAACCAACCACAGATTTCGAAAAGGGCGGCCTCGAGCGCATCGAGGCCTCGGAGACAAGGTCCGACATCGAATCACGAGCTGACCCCCAGCATCTCGAGAAGACGCAAACCCACGAGACTCTCGCTGCCGTCGATATCGAAAATCACCAAGCTTTCAAAGGCGATGATTCTGATGGCAAAGTCGCTTGGACTGTAAAGAAGTTGTTAGCAGCCGCCTTCTTGTCAATGCTGTATTCCGGTCAGTACCCTTCAAACACATGAGGCTCATATTCAGACGCGACTGAAGGCTCTCCAGGAAGTCAGATCCCACTCTACTTCACTGGAGGCACACTCACGTTCATCGCGGAGGACCTACATGCTCATGATGTTATTGGCTGGCTTCCTGTAGCCAACACACTCGCCATTGCTGCAGTATCTCCCTTTCTGGGCTATCTCCAGGATCTGTTTGGAAAACGATACATTGCCCTCTTCGGTGCTACGCTCCTCTGCGTCGGATGCATCGTTCTCGGCACTGCTCATCACTTGGGGCAAGCCCTTGCTGGTATGACGCTCGCCGGTGCCGGAGCAGGAGTCGGTGAGCTGACTGCATTGGCTGGACTTGCTGAGACCGTGCCTGTGAAGCAACGTGGGTATTCGCTGGCCATTCTGACAGCCTTCGTTCTGCCCTTCTGTCCCTATGTGATGTATTCGCAGCTGTTCTCCACCCGCACTGGGGAGGGCTGGAGGTGGGGAGCCTGGATCTCACTGTGAGCATGGCTGAACCCATATCGTGTACTCGCAAGCTGACATAGTGTGATAGCATCTACAACGGCATCACGCTTCTGGGTCTAGGTGCTGTCTATGTTCCACACGGCCACCGTCGTGCCGATGGATTGTCTCGAATTGCCGTCCTGAAGCGCATCGACTATGTCGGAGGGTTTCTTTCGATCGTCGGTCTGACACTTTTGTAATTCTCATGTTCCCAGATAGGGTTTGGTCCGCTGACAATACGCCCTCAATAGCCTCGTTGCCCTCCAAGCAGGCGGTTACACTCACCCATGGACCTCAGCATACACCCTTTGCACGCTTCTCATTGGTATCGCATTACTTGTTGCTTGGTTCGTCTGGGAGTGGAAATTCGCCAAGCACCCCATGGTACCTTTCGAACTCTTCAAAGGCCAGCGTGTCGTTGCGCCGGCTTTTGCGGTCGTCTTCGTCGCCGGTATGAATTTCTTCTCTCTGTTGAACTTCTGGCCTCTCACCATCACCAATGTCTGGAATCCGGAGCCAATCGCCGTCGGCTACCGCGGTCTTCCGGTCGGCTTGGCTACCGCCGTCGGTGCGATGTTCTGGAATGCTCTTCTCTCGACCTGGCGAGGCCGCAGCAATTATGTGCTATTTCTGGCCGCACTCATGCTTACTGCCTTTGGCGGGTCACTGGCCAGTATGAATGCGGAGAACGTCTACCAAACGGTCACCTTGGGCTCCCTTGCGGCCTTTGGTCTTGGAGGTGTGCTCGTACCGGCTGCTACCGTTGCCATGAATGCTTGTCCCGATGCGCTCATTACGACGTGCGCCGCACTGTCACTCTCGGTTCGTGCAGTGGGCGGTGCGATCGGATACTCCATCTACTACAGCATCTTTGTCAAGAGACTTACCAAGAGACTGCCCGTCCTTGTTGGACAGTATGCGGTCAAGGCTGGACTGCCTCCTACCAGTGCGCAGCTGTTTGTCCTCACGTACCTCAACGTCCCCACCAAAAACATGACGGTTCCCGGTGTGAATCAGGCGATTCTGGTTGCTGCTCTGGAGGGCTATCAGTGGGCCTACGCGGAGAGCCTGCACCTCGTTTGGTCAGTCCAGGTTGTGGCCCTTGCGGGGGAATCAGTGCTGAGGTTCGTCCAGGTATACTTCCGTGGCCTTTGGTGTCTGCGCAATGGCATGCGCTCTTCTGATTCCGAATACCAAGCGATTCGAGACCAACAGAATCGCCGTTGCATTGTAACATTTCTGGGCAGCGGCACGCTGCATCGATCTCTATTTGAGGATGCAAGTTCTGTTCAGGCTTTCGACTTCTTTTTGACTTTCATCAATCAGGATGTGAATCGTCTGAACCGCCAAATTAGTAGCATTAAGGTTTCTGCGGGCTTTGGTCATTGCGGCAGTGTTGCCACTCGATGCCCGGGTTCTCCTGCTCAACTTAACTAATCAGCACCGATGAACGGCCAAATTTCGTAAAAGTCGTTCGAAAACACGCCGTCTCTGATATTCCTTGCTCTTTGACGTTGGCAGTCAAAACTTGCGGGGTTGAAGTCGCTGATGAATGTTGCCTAGTTCACAAACCGGCCGTGTGCGGCCACAATAAACAACTCTCTTATGATGCTTCGAGATGCGGTGCCGTACGACCATCGGGCAGCTACAATGCAATATGGGCTGTCGACAGCAAAAGCAAGATGAAACCTAGCCGACGACGAAGAGCGCAGTTATCTCTTGGCTAAGACCGGCATGGTGCGGTGAACTGTGCACGGCTTACGGATGACGACCGGAGCTTCCGGCGGCAGGTCTCTTGCGCTAAATCAGAGAATACGAGAGTCGAAGAGAGTTCAGTCGAGTCTGTGAAGGCCTGTTCCGTTTCTTGCCCAGACTGCCACCTCACCTCACCGTCCATCTCCTTCGGGTCGATTTGTCGTTCGTTCCAATATCATCACCACACTCACTTCTCCGTCGACGGCCACCACGCGTGTTCTGGGAGGATAAACAACAGAGGCCATTGGAGTGACTTGGGGAGGATGAGGATCCTGGAACTTCCGTCCGCCGTGCTGCTGGCTATCTTCACATACACGAGGTCCTTTGTGGAGGCCACAGATACACCGCCATCGAGAGCAAATGCCTCTGGTACTCCCACGAGCAGCAACAATGAATCCCTACCGTCCACTGGAACTGGATCGAGTTACGCATCTGCCTGTTTTTCAGCACAAGCGTCCTATTCGTCTGCGTATACTTCTTACGTCTCAGCGCACGCGACCATCCAAACGTCAATACAAACGCTGGGAGGCGTCGGGTTTACACGAGTGACCTACTACGAAAATGCGACAACACTATGCGATGGCCATCCTCGGGTGGCGTCTAGCCCAGCAAAATCTCTATCGACGGGCTGGGTAACGACTACAGCTCCCATCGCTGGAACGACTACGGTCCTTGCAACCATATTCTCCGCCTATCCCTCTCCATCGCCGACTTGCATAATTTCCGCCGACGACTGTGAGCCACTGTTGAGCTCGTTCAGTAGCTCTGTCAGCGCTGGTCGAAACACGACTGCAATTCCTAGTCCACCGTGCAGGGGAGTGGTAGCTTCCCAATCCCTTGCCTCTGTCGATTCTGCTCTGTTTGGGTGCGGGAAATGTACGATCTATGGTGAAGGCGTCGAGCTGGTGTACTTCCCGACAAGTGCATCGCGGAATATGTGTGCGAGTACGCCCACGGCGACTCTGACGCACTATGGACCGAGTGCAGTCATTACGGCCTACGCTGGGAAGTCGTTCGGTGCTGGCTCGGGCGCAGATCCGCAGGGGAAGGAGACGGCTGTGGTTGATGGACATACCTTCACATCGGGCACAGCGTATATCTCTATCAGCAGGGTGTCTGCAGTGGATCGTTGCTCTTCAACCTACGGCAGCATTGTCAGCGACGCGATTCTGGCCCTACCTTCTGAGAGCGTTCTCAGCCTGAGGTACTCTCAGGACCATTTCCAGAGACTACTTGAGACGGACAAAATCACGGGATACCCAGTCTCGTATGCGGACTTCAACACTCCTGTGCCATGGTCTGCCTGGAATGGAATGGTAACGTGTGATCCCTATGGCTTTGGAGGACTCGCGTGCGACGTGATCTATGACGGCCAGTTCCGTCCACAACTCGCGATTCCACCTCAGATCACAGACCTTAGCCCGGACTTCAAGGGCTGTCAAATGTTTTATAACGGCTTGTGGGACCCGCCTCTGGCGTTACAGCCTGCAGAATCCGCTGCTCTGGCCACACTTCCAGGAGGTGGAGAAATCGTCTCGCCGACATCGTCAGCACAGCCAGCGTCCACAGTAAATAGCCCTCAGGTTGCTGCGACTGCTCTGCCAAATCAACTTGGATCTCCGACTAGCAATGGAAATGACAACGCGCTTCCTGGGCCAACACTGCCAGCAGCAACCCCATCGGTCTATAAGCCTGCAGCGGAGCCGTGGACCCACGAGATCTCCATCAACGGCAAGACATGGACTGCGACTGGGACAAACGGCGAGGTGCACATTAATCAAACAACGCTGAAAGCTGGAGGCTCAGCGCAAGACATTGATGGCTACCAGGCTAGCTACGGTGCTAATGGCCTCGTTATCAAGGGAAGCAGCACTATTCCTTTTGATGCGCCGGATGCGAACAACAGTGTCACTCCCGGCTCAAGCCGGACGATCACTGCTGTTGTCCCCATAGTTACCGTGGTGACTTACGGAACGCAGACATTCACCGCTCTTCAAAGTGTTGAGGGCGGTCCCATCGTCTACGGATCGACTACGTTGACACCTGGTGGACCTGCCACTACTGCCACCAACGGCCAAGTCTTGAGCGCTGGGAAATACGGCCTAGTTGTCAACTTTGCGACCACAGTCGATCAAGCGGATGCCACAAGTAATGGCAACTCCAATCCCGATGTACTGACGTATGGAGGGAAATCGATCACCGAGGACTCCTCCAATGCCTTCAGCATCGGCCCAAGTCAGGTTTTGACTCCAAACGGAGCACTCACCGTCTCCGGAACAACAATGTCCCTCGACAAGAATGGCGGCTACGTTGTCGTTAACGGCGTCACGCAGACTCTAGTGGGCTCAACCGGAACGTCAAGTGGAAGCGATCAGTCCGGGGCATCAAGATCCTCCACCGGAGGAGGCGAAACGTCGTCTACAGCTCCGACAGCAACAGGATCCGCAGCGGCGATGTCTTCTTCGCAGGCTTTGAGTTTCTTTGTTGCGCTTGTGGCTGTTGCGTTGCTTGGCACTTGAAGGATGGGATGAGGTTTTACATGCATTAATAATACGGGGGAAGATATGGCACAACGGAGAAGCGTGAAGGGCACCTGGAGCCATCGATCATCACTCGACCGGTGGTATGGACATGAAACTTACTTTGGAACCACACATAACGTTGCAGGCACATTAACCCCCAAGGGTATTTCCAGGAATTTGCAGATCTGCTGCTCACTACGGTACGACATACCATATGGAAGCGAGCAAGGCAAAGCTCCCAGGCAAGGCTCATGAGTTCTTCGCTGTGATAACTTTGCGGAAATGTGCAAAACGCTATAGCCCATCAGGCAGCATCAGGTCAGAGAACACAGGCTCTGCGTTAAAAGTATTGAAGTTTTAATACATATATATATAGACACGTACATGAAAGACGCTTGCAAGTGTCGATACATCAACATCACCATCATCATCATCATCATTCTCATCATCATTAGCGACTCCACTCATTTGGCGACAGTCTTAAAATGTTTAGGAATTCTAGGGATCAAACACCCAGCTCCTCTCGGCCCCATTCATCTACAGATAGCAATCTCCACTCTATCGAAATGTCAAGACTAATATCGTCGGCGGTCTCGAACGGCAGCCTGCGAACGGCATCAAAGTAATCATCATCTTCGGAGCAGCCCTTTTGCTACTAAAGCGTGCATACAGGCCGATACATCTTCCTCGGAAATCATAGCATAACACACGCTCTCCCGCGAATTTCGAACCTCAGATTAGAAAAGTCGTCACCGTTCTAGGGATCCTGCCGTTTGCGACTTTGTTCGCCAGACGCCCGTTGATATCGTCGACTGGCGTCTCGTGTGGCGTGATGGGATTGATCAAGTGGATTTCCGAGTCGGGTCGTGATTCTGAAGCTGGACGATGATGCTCGTGCTTTTCGTACCAACAGCAGGTCAGTAGCAATAATTGGGCATGTAGCGTATTGGCTAATGTCCGTTTCTCGGCAATGGCGCCGTGCAAGACCTCGAAGACGGCGTCAGCCTAGGGAAATGTCTCCGCGTTTGTGGATCAAGAGAGAAGGTCTCTTGGGCAACGCGGGTACACAATAGACTCCGCTATCAGCGAGTCGCCGTGCTCCAGCAGACCGGGCTCCTGGATCGAGAAGAAGTCCATCATTCTGATCTTGCCTCCATGGCGAATAAGGAAGGGGAGCCGGAGATCGGCTTCGTCAAGATTGGCCTCTGGGTCTGGGACCACGATCCAGACCTGCACGCGTGGGAGCAGTATGAAGCCTGTTCGAGACACCTGAAAGACGGAAGAAGTGATCAATTGCAGACCACGAGCCTCGCTCGTGGACATGTCTGGAAGCCGTGGACAAAAGAGGAGGGAATGCAGAGGATGAAAGAGGGAAGGTCGAGTGATTTAAGACGAATAGGGATTGGAGTTACTGATTGCATATACTGCGTTGCATCTCGGTGACGGATGTCCTTCCTATCGATAAATTTCCAATCGAGTCGTTCTCCTGATCGTTCCCGAAAGGAAGTGATCCCCTGTTTCTTCCTTGTCGGTCCGAAACGAAGAAGTGAAAGCAGAAACAAGCTCGTTGCATGCTGAGATAGAAAAGCTTGACGTAGGGAAGCATTGCACTCCCGCTAGTGCCCGTCTTGCATGTGCGAATCGTTGTGCGTGCCACTTTCCTACCTCCTAAATCAGACCCGGCAATCGAGGATATTTGGTCGGCGGAGCCGAATCCTCGCAAGCGAGGATTCGGCTTTTCGCGTCTGTGAAATTCGCGGTTCGGACGCGAGCAAGGTTGAATTGCGGGAGTAGTCGGAACGAATACCACTTTCACATTCCCATCTTCTGCACCAATTGGGACTTGTTGCGCCCATCTATCGGGCAGTTGGAATTACGGAGGAGGGGTCGATTCGTTGTGACACGCAGCATGGAACCTGAGTATACCTTTTACAACGCCCTTGGGAGAGCGTGCAGCATCCTTCGAAGTCGGACCTTGCAGAGGGCAAATAGCAGAACGCAGTCGCGAGACGAAATACTGGACATCACAGACAAGATCAAGAGCTCTAGTCCTGGCTGCCAGATATCTTTTTCCTCGGTCTGGAGGGAACGCTGCAAGACTGTGAGCATGCCGCCGGATACTCTTTCAGCTGACGCTCTGAGAGCTCAAGCAGCTGGAGGGCTGTACGCCGCAATTGGAGTCGACTGGAGAGAGAGAGATCCAGGGAGTCGTTACTGGCCCAGTGTGAAGACTCGGTGCGTTTCATGACCCATTCTATCGAATAGCTGTGAAGGAGGATGAGCCGATCTATCGACAATGGTTAGAGAAGGATGACAAGTTTATTACCTCCCCTTTCGCATGCTTCGAAACAGGGAAACGGGTTTTTGGGATAAGACAAAGCTTTGAACCTTGACCAAGAATTACTTATTGATAGCTTTTTCGTTATTCATTTCCCTCCCATAGATTGAGGTATCTGTGTACATTTTTCCACCCAAAATATCGACATTAAACCTGCGAAATAGGATCATAAGCCTTAGACGTCCTAGTCGCCAGTTCATGTATGGTCCCAGAGGCTTCCAACTCATATATGCTTCCTTCTCGTTCAGCTATCTCCACGGGCATTTGGGTACCCATGACTTCCGCTCTCACACTGGAGGCATCCAACTCTCTTGGAGATCTTGAAGTGCTCACCGGCCGGCCGGATAATTCTGCTTTGTCGTCTACAAAAGCACTTCTTGGTGCTCCGAGCTCTTCGGATCCTCTGGAGCTTGAAACGGACTGGTCTTGTTTTCGTCTGCGGACTCGGCGGTATAGGAAGAGGGCCCATACGATTATGCTGATTATGCCGACGACGGCGAGGACGGCCACGGTTACGATGCCGGCTATTATGCCCGCGGAGAGGCCGGAGGCTGGAGGATTAGGAGAAGAGGGTGCGGCATTTGATGGTGGCGTTGTTATAGTCGCAGTAGCGGTTGCCGAGGGCGAAGAGGGCGAAGAAGTTGTGGGTGATGAGAGAACGTTATACTGCGCAGCTGGAACATTGGCGCTGCTTCCAGCTGCTGCAGTTGCCGCTTGAAGGTATTGTGCGGCCGTGTTGCCTGTTAAGTCGACCAGCGTGAAGCGATTGCTGTAGTTGATGACTTGATTCCCGGTCGTGGTATTGCTGGTCATCTTCAAATAGAATCCATTCTGGATACTCTGCGCAACATTCGCATCGATCGACTTGGACACAGATCCGTCTTTCACATCTCCAGCTTCTTCAATGGTCTGCAAGACCTGGGAATTTCCCGGCGAATTCCCTCCCACGATCAGCTCCAGCGTATACGTAGATAACGCGGTTATATCCGGATTTCCACCTCCATCTTGCCACCGAAAGACGATCTCTTGTTCCACGGATAATGTCGCTCCTCCGGGCGGATTTGTGATCTCGACTCCTAGGGAATGTGCGTACTGTGTATAGAATGAAAGCGCGAAGACGATGAAGGACAGTGATCGGATGTTGTAGTGGTGAAGCATTGTCAGCCGTGAGTATATGGCATAGCGAATGGAAGCGCATGCGAAGCGCGAAAGGAGCGTCGAGTTGCGATCACGTCGCGGACATGCCCAGGAAGGGCGTGGTGATGGTGGTGGTATTGTTTTTGCAAGGGGATCCGCAGATGAAAGGAGAAGGTGGGCCATAGGCCGTGATGGAGGTGGCTGTGTGGCTGTGTGGCTGCGTGGCTGTGGGTGCGTGGAGAGATCGTCAGGAACACGATCCGTGCACGCCGCGTGTTCCTACCGGCGCCGAGCTTGGCGTCAAACTCTCCCAAACCACATCAACACCAACACAGACCTAAATTCATCAACAAGTCTACAAGTGCATAGTGCCCCGCAGCTTCATATTCGACACACAGGACGAATGGTCTATCAGAACGTAGCTCTGGAAGTCTTAATGCTCGCTTGTCCGACGACGAAGACAGGCCTCCTTCTGCCGCTGCTCATTATTAGACCTGTCAACAACGCAGAGCGTCCGATACCTCCTAACGACCGGAGAAACTAGTCGTGAAAAGTTTGTGAAAGGACACGCCTTGAAAAGTGCCATCCTACGGCCTCACCTCGATAGTCTGGATGGTTGCTCGACGTCTACTCGAACAGCGATTCCGGGATTGAAAATTGGAATCCCACGATGATCCACCGCTACGTACGCACGGGTACTCGGTCTAGACTTTCCAACCAAACACAGACCCTTTGCGATGATAGAGGTTTTGCAGCTCTCATTTCCTCCTGGACTCTAGTCAAAAGTACATTTTGTCGCCAACCGTTGGGAGTTGTACGGTCAGAAAGCCCTGTCTTACAAATGAAGACTGCTCTTTGATCATCTGTTTAGGCAGACGTCCACATACTAGGCTCGCAAAGTTGGACAGGGCAGTCAATAGAGAAGACATTACGGGTGAGGGCAATACAACGTACTGCCAATATAACAGCCAGGCCTCTCTAAGAGACGCAACCCCACTACCAACCGACCCTTCACACTCTCCGCATACTTGTACTTCGATGCCCGCGAGCAGAGTCAACACCTCTCTCCACCGACTCCGAACTTCGTAAATATCTCTGAGCTCGCAAGAGAAGACCCACGACAGGACGGATTGCGAGAAAGCGGTCAGTCAAATTGGATCTTATCTGCCTACGATCGTTCTCAATAGGAAACGTCTCCATCGGATCTTCAGGATGCAAACTAATCCCGTACAATACTCAGGCGGGACCTCCGATCCCACCGTCCTCTCCGGCAGCACCGAAGCCGCGACTTTACCTCCATCCATGTCCTCAGCTAGGCGACCTGGGCCGACTGCCAGGAGAACTGCGCAATAGAATCTACCAAATGCTTCGACCAGCTGGCTATGTTTCCATCGAGCTGCCTAAAAGCTTAGCGCGTGCCATGCCAGGCCTTGCTCTATCGCCCACCAGCAAAATGATCCAGCACGAAATGCATACCCTAGGTGCTGACCGCCGTCTCTACTACTTTCATGTGCCATTGCTGTGACCTTACCTGAACAGCGTGGAAGAATTGAATTTCCGCATTGCCCGAAGTAGAAGCGATGCGTGCTCGCGGCGCAAGATTCCATAGTTGGTATTGGAAGGTAAAGGCTGATTTCGGTAAGAACGGAGATAGGTTGAGGGTTGCATTTCAGTCGAAGATGATGCAACCCGGTGAGGAATTGGAGAGGGTGATCAGAGAGGTGTCGCCCTATCGCATTGGCAATGGAAGCGAAGTTGAGATCGCGTTAGGATATCTGGAAGAGGCGATTCTTGGATATACGGAAAGAGGAGGCCTTGGGTACCAAAATTGATCGCTGGCAAGCATGATCGCCATTCTGAAACCTCGCTCTAGCCGAAAAGTCAAGATGTAGCTGCCTTGCTCTTCATAGGCTTGAGAGACATTCAGTATGAAAACAGTATCTTATTGCGTATGAAGCATTCATTCCATCGTAACTTCTTCCCACTGGGTATCATATCTTCGCTACACTGTGAAAACTCCACCCTCCCAACTTCTCACTGAGCAGCCATACTTTTCCTCAACTGCCTCTGCCGCTGACTCGCCTGCATCTCCAGCCTCCCAACCGCATAACTCAACCTTTCCTTCTTCTGCCTCAACTGTTGTAATTTCATTTCTTCCAAATGACCCAGTCCCCCTCCACTCCCCGACGCACTTCTCGATCTCGCTGGACTCTTTGATACCCTCGACGGCTGTGCCAATCTCCCTTCCTGAAGCTCCGCCTTCGAGATCAGAGATTTCTCCCTCCGTTCTAGTTTATCCAAGTACGTTTCCACGCGGGACAAGAGGCCCGTGACTTCGGGTTGGATTTCGGATAGGAGGGTTGACTGGGCTGTTGCTAGGTCGTGTTCGGAGACGAGTTCGAAATGCTACTTCCATTCCTCCCAATTAGCTCGGGAAGTGGAGGTTTAGGGGAAGAGTATACATACTCGTGTTGTTTGGAGGACTTTGCCTAGTCTTGGGTAGTCGTTGACGCCGGAGTCGAGGATGTTGATGCTGGATTCTAGGAGTTGCATGCTGGAGCGGAGAGAGGTCACGCAGCCCTGGAGGGCGCTTTGCGTGCTGTTGTCCATATTGGGAGTGTTGTATCCGTGATGTTGTTCGTCGTTGTTGATTGACGTCGCGTGCATGTCGCGTTTCTCAGCCCTACAAACAAGAAGCTTTCGGAGTTTCAGGCGGCCCGGGATGTCCCGAACCCGAAAGCGAAAACAGCACACGACTCCTCTCATTCTGACTTCACTTTTGTTTCAACCTCACAAAGACACTGTCACCACGATTTCCGAGCGACACAGCAATGGCCTGGGCGCGATATTGAGCTGAAATCCGCCTCCGCCCAGAAAATGCTGGAATTCTCATACAATCACAATTTCGTTTGCCTGCGCTGACAGCATCCCGTCGCTCGTTCTGGAGACTGTCTCGACTGAATTGATATTGGACTAAAGTACTCGCGGCGAGTACAGTCTTGCTAGACTGCGCGAGAAGATGCCTTCCAGTCGGGAGCTTGAGCAAGCAGGTACGATATTGTCTCTAGCTATTCCCAGCACATCCTCAGCTCTCTGAGCCACTGAGCGGCCTTCCGCTTCTCTGTTCGAGACCTTTATTTTCGAGGTCTTGTCACTAATCTCACGTGCTTGGTACGGTAGCGTCTGAACTTCAGGAGTTTCGCCTGCAGTCAGAGCAACACAACCGAACACATGCCGAGATACTCGAGAAATATGCCGTGCTTATGGATGACTATAAGCGCCTCCTGAGTGACTTCGAAGAAGCACGTGAAGCTCGGGAGAAGTACAAGCAATTAGCGAGAGGTTCCGAGGCAAATCCTTTCGCATTGGTCCTAGTCGACGGCGACGGCTACCTGTTCGAAGACGACCTTGTACGAGATGGCAGGGAAGACGGCGGCTCCAGAGCTGCCAGTCTACTGAATGACTTCGTAAAGGCCAGTCTGCGCAGCCTCGGTTTGGAAAACTGCAGAGTTATGGTAAGTCCGGTATACCATCTCTGGAAGCTGGGTCCTTTTCCCGGGAAGCTTTGCAGAGACCGAGGCAGTAGGGAGATCGAAAGACCCAAACCTTGGTTCGAAATTGTCGGGGATCTCAGCAACGGCTTTACGGTGTTTCAAGCCCAAGAACGAGCTAATCCGTACATTCCTAGGTTCGTGTCTATATGAACCTCGCAGGCCTTTCGAAAGCGATGTCACAAGCAAAGATTCCGAACGTCGGGGCGGAAAAGCGCTCCCTGGCCCCGTTTGTTGCCAACTTCAACAGATCCAGCGACTTATTCGATATCGTAGACGCTGGCGAGCTGAAGGAAAATGCGGACTTCAAGATACGAGCCATGTTTCGCCAGTTCGTCGAGGCAAGTCATCCCCGCTTTAACCTGGGTCTCTGAGCCAATAGCCAGGCTCTCACGCCCGGTCGCTAGCCCACCAGTTTCTGAGATAGGCGCTGACACCTTCCGCAGAACTCTCAGTGCAAGCATATCTACTTCGCGGCCTGCCACGATGTGGGTTACATTTCGGAACTGGTGCCCTACCGTGCGAACCGTGACAGAATTACGTTGGTTCGATCGAACGGATTTCACCCGGAATTTCACAAATTAGGTTTCCGCACCGAAGACTTCCCACGCGTTTTCAGAACTACAGGACTGTTCTCCGGCGGCGCACCGTCTGTCGACAGAGCCATCGCGCAGCCCGTCCAACCCACCAATACGCCCTCAATTGAGAGTGGTATCTGTACCTTCTACCCGCATGGGTTGTGCAAGTATGGCAAAGGCTGCAAGTTTCTGCACATAGATCAAAATGAGGATGGGTTTGGCCCCGGGGCATCCTCCTGGCGCAAATCAACAGCCTCACTCAACAAATCATCTAATCCATTCAACACGTCCAGCCCGACCAAGAGCAACAACGACTTTATGAACGGCCACAAGAGTAACCTGAGCCTGGACGGGTACGACCTCAGCATTTTACTCCCGAAAGAGAAGGGCGTTCCGCCTACCAAGATTCCTGTCAATAAGGATCAGGAGCGGATTGATTACTACATACCACTGCCTTCTCCGGAAAGCAGAGCGTTGTTCAAAGCACGGATCGCAAAGGCAAAGCTTTGCAATAGCTTGCACATTCTCGGATCCTGCATCAACGTCGATTGCCAGTATGACCACAACACAATTACCGAGGGCATCAGGAGTTGTCTCCGTCAAGTAAGTCAGAGTCAACCTTGTCCACGCCGCGGTGCTTGCAGATCCACGAAGTGCGCTAGCGGTCATATTTGCCAGAAGGATGATTGCAAGTATCGAGGCGGTAAAGCCTTCTGCAAGTTTCCCGTCACAATGCATATGATGGACTTGAACGTGGCGGACTACATCGCCATTGATGAGGCCAGCATTGGCGAGAACGAATCCGGACAAATGTCGCCTGCGCTAAGTATGAGCGAGGCTGACGAAAACCGCCCTGGAGTACCTCTCAGCGGCTCGGATGAATCGCTCGACTAGGAGTCGATCCTTCGAGATGCCATCCACATGTAACGTACGACCAGCTAGGTGCTGAGGGGAGATAATGCGACGAAGAAGCCGCCAACTCCCAGCACATGGAATCATTACAACGTTCGAAAGAGCATCTCGGTGGTTGCCGCGCCATCAACCCTCTGTCGGGTCCACTGTGAGCCTTGACGATTCGAGAAGATTTGTTCTTGTGGATGGAATGGTTCTAGCATGCGTTCAGTGTGAACACAACCGCAGGCATAATCTTGCCGGAAAAAGCTGAGCGTATGGCGGATAAAGCCCAGATACGGGCATACATGCATACGTAAATAGGTATCTTGACTTTACAGCCACGGCTCACTTGGACCCGAAGACTCTCCTGCACTTCCAATTCATATCCATCTCACCTCTTCGCACCATCGCCCTGAAAGGAGAATCAAGAGCAATGAGAGAAATGTCATACACATCTCTCGCCACCATCTCACACCCGCTTGGCAGTACATTGGCTTGCTTTTGCACGAATGCGCAGGAGAGAAAGCATATGCTGCAGCCAAACCGCTTCCTAGCCCCCGCGCGACAGAACTTCCGCTACAGCTCTGGGAGCAGCCAGCCCATCCTGGCAGCGACAGACGAGAAAGGCCATGAGATCCAGAGTAGCCGTCTTTTGTCCTTCCTCACCTAGGAGGAGCTGGAGGCTTTCAAAGGTGGAGTGGGGTTGGAGGGCGCTGAGGAGGGGGAGGAGTGGCGATAGGGAAGGCAGACACCATAGAATATTCGTGCTCTCAAGGAATGCTGTGTCTTGCAAAAGACCAAATTTGGTGTTGTGATCCTTCACGGCCATGGTTTGAGGTGCGACAGCGTGATTGTACCCGGCAGCAAGTATCTTTACATCTTTCCAGACACAGATGATTCGTCCTCAAGGCGAGCTTTAAGACGATCGGCTGATGCGCGTATTCCCCTAGGAACACACCTGCGCGGAGATGAAGCATTATCGCAAGAGACAAAAGCTGATGGATCCTTCCGTCCTTTCAAACTATGCCGCAAAGGCAAAACTTGTGTGTCGTATTTGGTATGATTTGGTTTGCCTTGTTCTCATTCCATCTTCTCGAGCGTGCGGCCCGAAGATGGCATGCTATCTATCCTCGAAACGATAGCCCGGCCTCGAGCCAGAGTACATCGTGCCATTGCTCGCGAGATCACAGTGCCTGCTACGATGCAAATGATGTAGGCTTGAGCAGTGACTACGATTTCAGCCAAGCTGCTCGTTCGGCGATCCTCTTTGTTGAGGACAATGTACAGGCAGAGATTGGAAATCTGATGGCTCAGCTCTCGGAGAAAGTTCCGCTATTGATCGAGGAGAAGGATATCGATGTGGGCTCCAAAGCCGGGTGAGAGAATTGCGGTCCTCGCCGTCTGATCCTGTTCGATCAGATCTCGGGGGCGAAGCACGGCATTTGAAGCTCATTCGAATGCTGAGCTGAAATTCATCGAGACCAAACCGACCGTCCAGAATACATCGAGCTTGGTGGTGATGTGCGAGAAGAGCGAACGTAGATGAATGGGATAGAGTACCTATGTGGTAGCAAGTCGCCTTCGATTGGCTGGGAGCTTTGTCGAGGCACCCTAGGCGAAGAGGGCTTGACAGGATTGTTCACAGCAATTGAAATATCGACGTTTTCTTCTTCAGCTGCTCTGCTGACAGCACTGATATAGCTTCTCCGTCCATGAGCCCGTAGACACAAGCTTCGCCGATGAATTTGTAATGAACTCCATCAAGCGGCGTATCAAGTGGCCGGAGGACACAAGGTACGCTGCATCCGAAGAGGACGCATACCCTGTCTCCTGTCCGTGTAGCTGCTGGAGCAAAGCCGTAGAGTGGTTCTTCTAAGTCATCGCCGGCGACTTCGACAATGCAGCGGTCCCACGAGACAGCTTGCACGCGCTGCAGGAAGCTTTTCACAATCGCTGGCTGTGGCTGCGATAGAAGGTTTTCGGTGTTTAGGTGTCCATTTGGCGTCTTATGTATCATACAATACCGTGCGGCACGTTCATACCATGTTGGAGGATTGCGGCCATCGGGCCCCCTCTCGCCGACTAGTGTACGCCACAGCTTTCCTGGCGTGATTCGAGGTGTTGTCCGTGGTGTTGCCTGAAGCCTTTGGAGCGCTTCGCTCGGAATGACACCGTCTTCTATAGGGTCTGTAGCCCATGTGAGCATGCCGATGGATATCCCTTCAACTGAGAGCTGATAGGCCTTTACGCTCGGCAGACTGAACGACGCGTCCGACGCGGGTTGCACAATAGCGCTGTCCTGTGTGGGCTTGATCCTCTTCGACGCGTGTTGCTCAGCTGATAACTCCATGGTCTCTTCTACATCAGCTTCTCGGGACCTTTTTGGCTTTGGATGAGAATCATCCGCAGAAGCGACAGAATCCGCCAGATTTGGAGGTGAAGAGATATTCAGATTGTCTTGCTCTTCCCACGTCCACTCGTTCGGGTCCAGCCGGGGAGCACCGACAGTGAAAATTGCCAAAACATGCTCGCTGAAAGTAGTTTTGCATCGCAAGCCATAGCTTGCGTTGTATGGATTGCGCCCAGGAAGACCGGCAAAACTTGTACTTTCCATGCCCCGACGAGATTTGTCTTCTTGCTTGGCTATTCGGATCCATGAAGGCAATCTTGAAATGGTGCGATGCTTACGACCGCCTTGCTTTCGTTCGGCCGGTGCCCAAGGACGACATAGAATGTCAATTGTACCAGTAGTGTCCACCACCCATTTTACGAAATCTGCGTAGACTTCAAGAACTGTTTTCGTGTAGTCCGGCTCCGGCGGCGGGTGGCCGTTACTATCGGTAGACCTTGCAAGACAAACTTCGGAAGCTATATTTCTGAGGGCAAAGATAGTATCGCGTGGATCGGAATTCTCATATATGTACAAGGTCGAAACCAGAAACTCCAAGCCATGAACGGGCACCGAGCGGCTGCCTATTTGGAGCGACTTAGGTTTGCGAAACATATAGTCTAGGACGTCAATGAAGACTTTGGCAGGTAAGCCGTCAAGGTTGTTCTGCAGAAGAAAATCCAGACGTCCCAGGTTATTGTGAAGTAGCACGCCGTTCCCTAGACCAGTAGACAGCTCCAGCATAGGATTCAACAGCCCTCTGATCTTGTCAGCATTCAGCACGAACAAGCTGACCGCATCTCGGAATCGACTCCATGATATGGCAAGCTCAGACAATTGTATTGTAGCTTTCTGAGCATGTACCATCTCTTGTATGACCTGCATGAGATGTTAGATCAGTCACACCGATGAAATACTCGTCACGTACCCATCGTCTGCTGAACCAAGGGTTTTGCATGAGATACGCCAGGTCTGCCCAACGTTTGACGCTTGATGGATTGGTGAGAATCTCATCTATGTCATCCGCATCAGTGACATCTTGAATGAATTCGACAGCACTCCGAGATCGAGGGTCGTCATCGCCCAGCCAGGTCACTACACGACTGGCACTGGAGTAGATTTCGACCATTCTCGCTACCTGCAGGCCCAGCTCCTGGCTATCACTCTGATCGATGCAAAGCGCATCGACCCATAGCAGGACCGGTCGCGTGTTCAGTCGTAGATGGCGGAGAGCTGAGTAGAGGTTTGCCTTCACATGCAACTTTTTCAACAGTACATCCTTGGCAATCATTTGTAGGCTTCGATGTTTTGCAGAAGCAGGAGATTCTTCCCACTCATCGTGGACTTTGGCATTGTCATCAGCTTCAGTCCGAACGTAAATTGGTCTGAGATCCGACTCTCCGCCCCAGTGATAGGAGAGAGCTTCGTATTTGACTTTGGCGCCAAGATCTGTGAAGGCCACAGGGATCAATTCCACATAGAGTTCGTCCGGACCACTCCTCGGGGGATGAATCACCAACAAGCGCGTGTGACTTGTATCAAGTCGTCGATAACGGTATCTGCGGCGGACTTCATCCAGAACCAGCCTGATCTTCCGAGCCGTCTGTGCAGGTCCATTTTGCGCTCGTTTCCTGGCGGCTGTCCGCTCGATTAGGCTGACTGTACTACGTTCCGGAACCGACAGGTGCGAGGCATCCATCATGAGATCATGAGGATGTGCACGCCAAAGTAGAAGCAAGAGGAGGCGTTGGGTGTGAGGTTCAGCTCCCCGGAAGGAGCCGTGAGAGTGGCTGGGCTTGCATGCTGTGCAACCTCTCCTTTGCACTGCCGAGGGCAGCTCTCCATTCTCTTAAGCACCCTCTGAAGCATTCTGGTGGATAAGCTGCTGAATTCGAGTACATTCAATTCGCTTCTTCCGAAGAGTCTGGATTGACAAAGGCCATTTCGAGAACAAGGAAGGCTGTCGGCTGGTCATGCCGTGCTACGGCCATGCTACGGCCATGCTTCTGCAGCACCACAGAGAGCTATCGAGAGCAATACACCGAGATCTTGTGGTCGAGGCAATTTGGTATGGAGTTGTCGACGAAACTTGGGAAGATCCGGAGACTTTCACTTCGGGTGTAAGCTAACTCCGCTAGCGCCATAGCTTATCGGGTCGCCGCACCCTCGGTATTCGAGCTTCCACTGCCACCTTCTAATCGGGCTCCAACATCACCGGCTCGCGACGTTTCGTCTCTACACCACCTCTGATTGTCAATCTACACATTCTCTGGAGCCTAACCATCAGACAGGACACTAAGGCACAATGTCCACATCGGAGAACGATTTCTCGCGGGAAACGTCCATGTCGACGGATGCAGAAGATGACGACATGGATTTCGAGGTGGGTGAGATGGAGTCACAATGAGGGACCAGACAACCTCAGAGACACATCGATTATTCTGCCGGCAACGGATACTGATTTGTCAATTGCAGTTGGCCAGCGACGAAGTAACTCCTTCGGCCGAAGAAGAGGACGAAGAGGAAGGGGAAACAACGCTCTATTTTGATGCCGAGGAGGGCACGTTCCGAGATGCGGACGGCGATGAGGTCCATTTCGAAATGGGCGAGGACGAAGAAGAGGAAGTAGAAGCAGAGCAGCAAGAGCAAGAGCAAGAGCAAGGAGAAGGCAGTCAAACACCACAGCCCACACAAAGACCACAGACAATAACAAGTACGTACATAACCGACCCAATGCAGACGTCAGGCAGGAGCAATGTGGTCTGGTCGCAACTATCTGGACATCACGAGCCTTCTGATCGTCTGGAAATATGCTAACTTTGGGTCTCTAGTAACACAACAGCAAATTCTACAGCTACTATCGTCTGCTGGCATTCGTGGCATCTTTCAACCGTCCGGCATTGCAACTAGGTCGCAAGCAAGGCGAGCGCATATGCAACTGGATGAGGACGAAGACGACGATGATGAATCCTATCTAGGCTACGGTAGTCATCGAAGATCAAGAAGAAATCGTCGCCCACCTGCGGAAGATCGATACCCCAAAATACCCTCTGAAGATGGCAAGAAACTTATGGAGCGTGGCATGTTCGGGACAAACGACCGGTGTCAACATACTGCTTGTGGAATGCCCTTCGCAAACGATGCTCTGCGAAAACGGAACAAGCTCGCCAGACGAATGTTCGACCGCGAATTGGGCGTTGAGAATCGAGGGCGTGCCCGCGCGTTGAACGGGCTTGCGGCACAAGACCTGATTCCAGACTCAAAGGCGGATCTGATCATTAACCTTAACGCGCGCTGTTACTCCGGTCAGTTCTCCGAAGACGGCAGCTTCTTCTTCGCCTGTGGTCAGGATTTCAAGGTACGAATGTACGACACGAGCAACCCTTACGATTGGAAGTACTACAAGACCGTGCACTACTACGGCGGCCAATGGACCATCACAGATGCTACACTCTCCCCAGACAACAAGTTACTTGCGTACAGCAGCATCCGAAGTTTGATCTGCCTTGCGAACACAGAACAGGGCGATCATTCAGAACCGCGGCATCTCGACTTCTCAGACATGGGCTCCGGTGGACACGGTAATCACGGTGGCGGTGGCTGGGGTCGCTCTAGAGGCCATTTCGGTATTTGGAGCTTACGCTTCAGTGGCGACGGTAGTGAGATTGTAGCCGGAACCAGTGATCAAAGTGTGTACGTTTACGATCTGGAAGCGCAGCGAAGTATACTCCGGATCCCAGGACACACAGACGACGTCAATGCTGTCTGTTTCGGTGACAAGATGAGCCCGCACATCCTCTACTCTGGATCAGACGACACCACTCTCAAAGTCTGGGACCGGAGATCACTCGCAAGCATGCGACCGGCCGGTATGTTCTTGGGTCACACAGAAGGCTTGACCTATATCGACAGCAAAGGAGATGGCCGCTATGTCATCAGCAATGGCAAGGATCAGACTTGCAAGCTCTGGGACTTGCGTAGAATGATCGATACAGGTACTGGGGAGCGCATCAATCCACAGGCAAGTACTGCTCGTCTCACAGTGCAGAATCGCAGGAGGCTGACTTTGATGACAGGACTACACTACAAATTTCGACTACCGGTTTTCACCTTACGACACAGATGACCACAGACCACATCCACATGACTGCTCGCTCGTTACCTTCCGTGGCCATCGTGTCCTCAAGACGCTGATCCGCTGCCATTTCTCACCCCCTGGCTCCACTGACGGAAAGTATATTTACTCCGGCTCTCATGATGGTAAAATCTACGTCTGGAACATGGACGGCACGGAAGCCAGCAAACCAATCAACGTCCTTGCCGCGACGAAGAACTCACGTCCAGCGTCTGATGAGAGATACGTCGATCGATACGACTATTACGGCCGGGGTGGTCAATGGAAGACAATTGTAAGAGATTGCTCTTGGCATCCTTCTGCTCCCGTTATCGCAGCTACTTCTTGGAATGGCTGGGACCATGGACTTGGAACTTGTACTGTTCATGCTTGGAATGATGGCTCGGACGGCGATGAAGTGGGCAATCCAGATGACGAGGAATGTCAGAATGGAGAGGCGTACGCAAAGGCTTCGAGTCTGGGTAGTTCGCCCATGGGCGCCAGAGTCACGGCGCATTTGGGCCATGACTCGAGATATTACGGGCAACATAACAGCAATGCCACCTCTGCGAGGAGGACGAGACTGAGAGATCGTATGGGACTTGGTGCGCTTTTGGGAGACGACGACGATGACGACTGACTGGCCGGCAACGACGAATTCGATGAGGCGAGGTATGATGATATGTCCGATGAACCAGACAGCGAGGAACTTGATGAGGAAATGCCGGATCTCATCCCGATCGAAGAGGTGGATGAGGCGTAGAGTGTGCGATGCAATGCTGAATGAATGGGGCAAGACCACGACAGATAAAATGATCAACGCGGCGTTGGAAATGGCTGTGCAAGATCGCGCAAAAGACGGCAACGAGAATGTTGTAGGATATCAGAAAATATGATGAACATGTGGACTGTAAAACTTCTTCTTCCCTCGAAATGGCTGTCTGATGTTGGCGGCGCTTGATACTGCAATTTGTATATCCTCTCTGCCGTGGCCAGTCATGACTTTGCCGATATTGTGATATGCTTTCCATCTCACTATGCCTCCCGCTTTTGCACTGTAATCGTGACATACTGGTCTTGCCGACCAAGAGCTGTTGCTCGTATTCACACATGCTCCTGCTTTTATCCCCCTTGCCCGACCTCCCCAGAAGCCATTATTCCTCTTTAAAATCGCAATGCTCTTTCCACTTTCTTCGATCATGCGCCACCAACCAGGATATTGTTAACGGGGATATGGACTACATAGAAATCTCAATCAGTCTCCATTTCATGCCGCTTTTCTCTCGAAGATCTATACTCACTCAGTTTGACGATGTATCCAATCACACCCATGATCAGGAAACCCATTCCTACTGCTTGGGAGATACGCAGGAATTCTCTCTTGTCGGCTGCGAGAGGTGTTATGATTAGCACGTGAACGCAGCGAGAGGATACGGGTATAGGGAATATCGCCGTACGTTTTGAGCAGCGCGTAAGGAATTGACGACCGTCTTTTGCGAATTCGCGGGGCATTTCGAGGAGTTCTTTTGCTTGGTCCATTTTGGCGGTTCTCGTGCGCGTATGTGTGAGATGAGGTGTGGTACGGTGTTCTTGTCAGAAACTGTTGTGATCTTTGAGGAAAGTGGCCGTTGCGCACGAAGGACAGCTGTTCGGGGATGGACAGGGATCTTCTTAGCCTGTGGTCTGTGCTGGCTTGGCGGCAAGCTAAGTGAACGTTTCGTCACGTGGGAGTTGCACTCCATCCTTTCGATTCTGCCCGTGATAGACATCATACCAGCTTCAGGAGGTCTCTTCATCCGTTTGTAGATGGTGTTTGCGTTGTATAGAGGAACATCCACGTTAAGGTGCAATCCTTATTGCTCTTCGACATTGAGGCACATTCTCATCCGCACACTCACCAAAATGGCCAGTGCAAACGGAACATCGACACCAACTGCGGGCAGGAAAGTGAAGATCCTGATGATTCATGGCTACACACAATCCGGCCATACATTCGAGATCAAAACAAAAGCCCTCAAAAAATCCCTTGAAAAGCAGTTCCCTGCGGCTCCGAAACCCGGTCATTTGAAGCAATATCCCGGAGGATTCGAACTGGTATATCCTACTGCTCCCATACGGCTAGACGTCACGGATATACCTGGATTTGATGTTGATGGACCTTCGGATAGCATTGAAGCGTATGGATGGTGGAAACGGAGAGGCGATGGAGAACCGTATACGTACGAAGGAATGGAGCTGGGATTAGAATGTTTGGCGAAGGTGTTGAAGGAACAGGGACCTTTTGATGGGGCTATCGGATTCTCGCAAGGTGGTGCTGCTGCTGGTATGGTCGCGGCATTACTCGAAGACGGACGGCGGGAAGCATTTGAAAAGCACCAGGCGAAGGGCGGAATGCGGTATCCCGATGCTTTCACGCAAGATACGGGATACATGGAGGAAGCGATACACCCTCCCTTGAGATTCGCAGTCTCTTATTCCGGGTTCGGGGCTTCGACACACCCGCTTTATCATGCATTCTATGATCCCAAGATTAAGACGCCGATGATGCATTTTATTGGGTCAGTCGATACGGTGGTCTCTGAAGACCGGAGTCTGAGACTAGTGGATGCTTGCGTAAATGGGAGAGGGAAGCCTGGTGGTGTGGACAGAGTGGTGTATCATCCTGGTGGTCACTTCCTACCAAGCAGCCAGAAGCAGTGTGTCAACGCGCTTGTGGCCTTTATCCGCGAAGTAATTGAAGAACCTCTGAGCACCTCGAATGCACCAAGCGGGACTGCTAAGCCTCAGAGAGGCATTGGAGACGAGAAGGCTGAAGATATGGATGTCCCATTCTGATTAGGTATGTCAATTCAATCATGACAAGTGAATAGATTAAACACAACAGACGAAGATTATCAGCAGATGGATGCGTACTTTGCGCTTGTTGGGCTAACACGCACACCTACACTTCTTTTCTTGTTCCTACTAAGGGGCCGCAATTCTCCTTTCTTACCGCCAAATCCCCACTATATCATCTGTAACAACCCCCTTGCATGCACTCCGATGCAACAAAACTTGGGCTACACTGTGGAGACAACTTACCCATTCACCCGCTTCGCTCGCCTCATGGCAGATGCGCGTACGGAGCATGTGACGGAGCTCTTCAACATGCACTTGTGATCGGCAAGAAGGTGTGGTAGGGAGGCTCTATCAGGTGACTGTGGGCATGGGCGGAGGAGGGACAATTTGGTCGAGCTTTACTAGCCTCTTCCTTATCCTACAGGCCGCAGACGCAAGCATCGTCTAAATCGCGGTATTGAACTCGCAGTGGTGAAGAGTGCTTTTCAGGATCGCGTAGATGGAGGTTCAAGATAGACAGACTGTCTTAAATAATTCATGTTGCTCTCAGTCTATTCACGGACTGTGCCACGCTTGTCGAAAGGTGATATAGCTTATGACTGCAAACCCACGCGGAAATGACTTTGACAATCTTCACAACTGCATTGGTAGTCCCACATAAGGCAGTTGAACACTCCATTTCGAACACCACATCCAGCGCAAGAAATTCGTCAAAGAAGGCCCTACTCTCAACCCACACCTCCAGACCATTTAAGTCCAAAATGTATTCCCAATTCGCAAGAAATCTAGGAACCGCATCCGTGAGCAAGCGCCAACGCACCACAGGCGAACACGACCTTCGTGCGGCAGCGGATGCCTGGCCGTTCCAGTATTCTCTGCATGATGGGTTTTACGGTCGGTACTATCCCATGCGCAACGGCTTCTATAATTTGTGGAATCAACAGGCAGCGCAGGCAGATGATTGGTGGGGCGGACAGGTTAACCCAGTGGCTTTGAGTCCGAGTTGGAGTGCTTGGGGTAGTCCACAGGGGTATGATTTCGATTTTGATGATATTTTGTTTGATGGAATGTGATTGGGAGGTTCTAGAAGGGAGCATGAGGCAATAAGTGCCCTTTCTTTCTTTCCGAATACCTACCTACACATCTATTTTCTTGACTTCGACTCGCTCTTTCCCGGTAACAGCCAAAGCGTTATCTAAATTTTTCAAAAGACACTGTCTTCAAACCGTAGCAAGCGAAAGGACCACAGCGCTGTATCTTGAGATTAGCAGCGTAGGGTTCACTTGACTATTGCCTTCTCCTTGTTGCAATGCTAGAGCAACAGCATCCCTATAGTGAGCTCTGGCAATCGCCAAACACGTAAGTTCCGGTCAGGCTTTCCGAGAGATTGCTTTCCGTTTCAAGAAAAACCGGCTTCCGGAGCTTGAAAAGGTTTGGCATTCGATTCGGCACTTCGGTGATGACGAAGAAGAAGCGCTCTTGCGTGTCCTTCTAGAAGTCGACAGCTACGAGGAAGGGTATGAAGAACTCCATGGGATCGTAATGGCAATACAAACCCCATATACAAAAGCGCATGGGATCTAGTCATTGCTGGCGCGTGTTCGTAAATCGTGTGACGGTGAGGAGAGCGTGAAGGTTCTGTGGAAAGGATGAAGTGAAGTCAACCGCTAGAGCGGAACTGGCTCCGCGGGACTCCCGCCCGCCGACGACATCTATCTCAGCATCAATTACAAACACCACCTTCTGACACTTTGATATACAACAATGGATCGCTCACGCCTACTGTGGCGAGCGCTGGCTCAGACACACCCAAATCGCTCCGTATCAACGATATCAAAGCAGACACAGCCGTGGGTCTGCACACATTGTCTTCGGCAGAAACCTCAACTCCGCCCATCGAACATCCTCCGCCAGCAACGGCGACATCAATCCAATCCCGCCGACCAGCCAGGATTCACATCCATCGTCGATAATCCGCCAGTCCTCGTTCGCGCGGGCCGCAAACACAACAAGATCGGCCTGCTCATTCTGGCCACTATTCCCGTAACGGCGTTCATTCTAGGCTGCTGGCAGGTCCAACGTCTAGGCTGGAAAACGGACCTCATAGCCAAATTCGAAGATCGTCTCATTCGAGATCCTCTCCCGCTACCGCCGCAAATTGATCCGGATGCGATCAAAGACTTCGACTATAGAAGAGTGTATGCCAAGGGACGATACAGACATGATCAAGAGATGTTGATTGGGCCGCGAGTCCTGGATGGAGAGGATGGGTATCTTGTCATTACGCCTTTGGATCGAACAGATACGTTCGGGTCAAAGAAGAACTCCACAATATTGGTATGTCGGGGCTGGATACCTCGAGACAAAGCTTCGAAGAGCTCGAGGCCGGAAGGCCTGGTCGAGGGAGAGGTAGTCGTTGAGGGACTGCTAAGAGAACCTTGGAAGAAGAATATGTTCACGCCCGATAATCGGCCTCAGGAAGGCAAATGGTACTTTCCGGATGTATATCAGATGGCGGAACATACGGGCAGCCAGCCGGTCTGGATTGAGGAGACGATGAGACCGGACCTATTGCTGAGCTATGACAGAAGTGCGAAGGGAATCCCAATTGGTATGTTTTGTCTCGGCGTTTCTGAAGGCAGATTCTAATACAGATCCAGGACGACCCGCTGAGGTCAACTTGAGGAACAACCACACACAGTACATTTTCACGTGGTTCTCGTTATCTTTTGCAACGAGTATCATGATGTGGATGGTGATTAAGAAGCCACCGAGCGGTATGTCCAGGAGAGTCAGACAGAACACTCAGTGGTAATCATAATTGAGGGGAAGGCAAGAGCCCCCAAACCTCCGGTCCAGACCATTTCATCCGTACGTCCTTGGTCTCATCGAGCCACGTGCTGCAACCTCCAGGCTGCACCACATAGCTCATCTACAAATTCATCACACAGGTTTGAGATCGGTCAAATATTGGACCGCAGCTCCAGAAATGTCGGCAAGCGTGAGCATCCATCGGTCGCGTCAAATTTGGACCCATTAAGCCTTCATTGAACGGTACTTCATACTACCTGACCCATTCTCTTGGCGGGAAGTTGGGCAATCTGATCTAGAGGAACGGAACATGAAAGCTGCAATCAACCGCTTTCGCGCCGAAATGGCGTCTGCCAACACGTGCTTCTTGGAAGCCCGAATTGCGGAGCAGCGCAATGTGCCATACTCAAATTCTCAAGGTGCTTTGACCATGGCACGCCGCTGGCTCCGCTGTACAGAAATGCACAAAAGATGGCAACACGATCCGCCCCGCGGAGACCAGCCGGATGCACTGAAAGAACAAGCTCGCACACTCGACGATGTTGAAGCGTTGCTACCCAATCAGTATATTCTAGACGGAACTCAGCCTCCTGTCAACGAAGAATTGCGGCTTACATACTTGGACCTTGAAGGAGCTTTTGAATGAGCACACTGATAGGGAACTTCTTGGTTTGAAGCATTGGATTGATTTGCCTGAAGAAATGGAAGACTTTCTTTCACTGACTAACGAGGTCTTGGATGCGGAATGTCGGCGTAGTGGCATTTGTGATCTTGGGACGATTGAGCCGCATTGGGATCCACGATGAGGAACTGCTCCGCGATGAGCTGGAAACAACCCCTGACCCAGAGACTTAGATCACCATTTGCGCATGGTGCTTCGACGGAGAACTTGAAAGTGTAGCGGGTGTGCTACGCGACGAAGCAGGACAATGGCCTGAGCTCCGCCCCGAATTTAAAAACAACAGCTGGAGCAGCTTGTATGCCCATTGCCGTCCCATTCCAAGACGAAGATGGCAAACGAGAGAGCAAGAGGTTTGCTGGAGAGCGATCTTCTATCATCGGACGAATGAGGTCAATCGCGAGGAACGGCCTTTTCGAACTGATTCCACAATTCTTGGATCGGTGCGCGGCTTGGGATGAGAGTATGGATATGGAAGCGATGAGAAGGCCTACATCTGGCTCTGGGCGCGAGGGAGATGCTGGTGGTCCAGCTCTGTATCCTTGATTCGTGGCGTCTTCGTGATGAACCGCTACCCCTCTTGACGTCTTTACAAGCAGCAATGATGTTGTGCACATATCCCTCTTCAAAGAGGGAGGGAAATATCATGGTCAGTAGTAGGATGAGGATACATGATGTATAGACTGTATAATGTACACGCCACGACTTCTCTGTGTTGGCCTTTCTCGTTCTCGACGACGAATGAAGGGGGACTTGCGTGATGCATCCATCCGAGCCCACCGTCAGCCCGGTATGGGTATGAGATGTAGCGGGTGCGGCAGCATGTTGTCGAGTGTCTGATCTTTGATTTCCAAGATGCGATTGCATGTGAGCACCAACATGCGTCAACGAGGCCAAGAGGCGCTCTGCAGCGATATCGATTCCAGAAAGCAGCCGTGAGTCCAAAGGTACCATTGCTACGTGAGCACATCAATCCCATAACCGTTCTCTTGGATCATCATGTCTGGCTCGACCTGCTCTCCTACTCCGTCGTACGAGATCTTCGTGGTTCCAGAATGCTCGCATCCGCTCTAGCTTCTTGGAAGACATTCCCCATTCCTCCTCACCGTGACACGGCTCAGACCACCAGGTTGGAATCTCCACCGTCTGATACTTGAAGTCCTCGGATCTTAGTACATCTTGTGTCGGGTGGCGGTCCCAATCGTAGAGACATTCTTCGTCACACATGGCCTGGCGAGCAGTGACGGCAGAGAGGAATGCTATGCTCCAGTTGGAGACTTTGAGCATCATCATGCCTTTGGCGTGGAGCAGCTGGACGTCTTGGCGTTCGTCTGGAGGGAGGAGGTCCTCAAATGAGATGCGGCTGTCGAGTATCGGCGCGTCTAGGTCGTTCCATACGAGCCATTGCAATCGACGACTGCCAGGTCCGGACAGTTCTTGTTCCAAGACCTCTAGTAGAGCGGCTTCCTTTGACCACAAGCCATCCAGGATAGGCTGCGAAACGAAGAACGTTGGATGTCGACTAGCATAGGTGAATGCTGTCTGAGTCGGGGGATTGTGTTCCTCGACAACTGTACATACCCCTATCCTGGGTTCGAGTCTGCCTGATCGATCGATGCGAATGACCTTGGTGGGTCGATTGTTGGTCGCTTTGCTCTGCGTAAACGTGTACGATGTCGAGTCCTGAGGCGTATATGACGAAGGAGGGTACTGTTGCATGCGTCGATAGATACTTGCAAATTGCCAGAAGGTCAGGATGATCGAAGTTGTGAAGATGAGGGCAATGGCACATCGTCCGAGAACGTTTGATCGCATTGTTGCGAGAGATGGGGGTAAATGAAGGATGTTCCCATCCGACCTTCATGCATTGTGCTTTATGGATGAGAATGTAAGCAATCTGAACTGGTAGCACCGGTGTTTAGTAAAGGCTTGGAAGGGACGTAGTCCTCAGTCGAGCCAAGAGTGTCAGGCTATGCTGCTGCACGGCGTGGCATCGTAGTAGTTCCTATCCTCGACTGCCGAGAGACTGCAATTTGCTAAAGGATTTCATGTGCTTTCGGCCATGGATCTGTGAGTTGCTTAGCAGACAGAATTGCTCCTGCTTGGTTGATATTTTCAACTTGGGTAGGGTAATGGCCTTCGACAGCAGACCAACAAATCTACGCTCCATCGCTCACATCTCGATAGACACAAGTTCGGTCGTCATTCTGCCCGGGCAGACCGCAGTATTACCTTTGGGCTCACCGGATGTTCAAAGTTTAGCGCTGCCAATACCCGGGTGACGCATTAGCCAAGAGTGTAAGACGAGAACATGGTCTGATGGTTGAGTTTGGCCTATTGAGGAAGGCTTCGGCGACCGTTTGCAGGCATGTATCATTCACGTGAATGGTGTGCAACTTCGGTGGCTATGTTAGCGTTTGATGGTGTGATGCACTGCAGCGAGAGAAGTTGTCTTTAGATGGACGAGGATGGAACATGGGAGAGAGATGAAGGGAATTGGTCGGCTCATGTGGTGGTCTCAGCTCCTGCAGCATCGACTTCTTTACTCTCTCCTTGACTTGAACATCGACATCGACATCGACATCGACAAACATTTCGTACCGCCATCCAATATCAATCATCTCCTGCGTCACTCCTGCTTTTATGGCCTTCGAGATCAGCAATGGCTGTTCGGAATTCAAGCGCCGATTCTCTCTCACGACCAACCAGCCATGTACAGTAATGGTCGGGGCAAAGAGCATAGCGCACGCCATGAGCGTCCCAAGTGCCGCATAGAAATATCGGTCCGCACACCAGAGAGACTTTGCCCGAATGTTGGATGTCCCACCAATCGCACTCACTAGAGCAGAAGCTGCCGCCCGCGCTCCCACGGAGGCGGATGGTAAGATCATCTTTGAGACGTATCGAGCTCCAATCTTTACCGTGGCCATCGGAAAGATGTATCCACCCTGGAACAGTTGGCTTGCCAGGAAGGTCTGTTGGAGGCGGGTGGAAAGGGGTTGACTTTGACAGATCGACAAATTACACAAGGCTGTCTGGTCCATCGCTGGCGATGATCGCAGGAGATAGACCCGAGCTGCTGTTCTCGCAGACTATGTGCGGTGCCGGGGAACAGAGAGAGGTGTGCCATGCTGTCCTCCCGCGTCGGGATCACTGATAGACGAGTCACGACGTCTCGACGTGTCAGCATCCTTGGGGCCAGTAAGAGAAGAAATGCAGGGGCGTTATCCATTAGTTGAGATTTCCGTCTTTGATGGTATAGTACAAATATACACGTGGCGAGGTGAATAGGCTCTTTGGTATAACTTGATCGAGCCCATAGGCTGGGCGGTAGCGCATTGATGGCGTTTGCTCGGTCTTGGGGATGTCTTCCAACACCATTCTGTCAGTTCGCCCGCATGAATGACCTTTGCAGCCTTTGCGGTGTTCCTCTGTCAGGGTTTGTGTCTTTCAAGATATGGCTTTGAAGGCGCCGTTTTTCGCCTTGAGACAGAAGCGGTACGCTCCCGCCCAGAGTCTGGTCGTTGCAACCAGCTCGGGCCCGATAATGGAGAGGCCTACACACAGCGCTCATCTATCGCCCTTCTCCTTCTGCATCTGCTTCACCCTTTCCAGCACTCCCCCCTCCTCGCCCTTCGACTTCTTCTCTTTTGCCTCCAACTCCGCCATTTTCTCAACAATACTCTCTTTCAAGTTCCCCACTCCATCCTTCCGAGCCAAGACCTCTGCCATCCAAGCCTCAATCTCGCGATCCGCTTCTGCGTCCCGATCTCCTCCATAGATATCCTGTCCAACACCTTTCCTGACAAACTCTCTTAAATCCTCCACATCCGCGATATCGAAGTATTTCATAAAAGCTCCGGTCGCTGTCATAAAGAGAGATGTTGTGGTGAGGGTAGCGATGAAGAGCGCCTCCGCTGCATCGAGACCTCCTTCTGCTTTTGGTGGGGAATTGGATTGCGCGAAATGGGGGATCTGGACATTTCCGGATTTGGTGGAAGTGAGGGATGGGTAGGTTGCGAGGTGTTTCCGTCGCAGAGCACGGCGGGTTATGACGCCTGAGAGGAATGTGAAGGCCAGACCGCCGAAGAGCAGGGCATTTTGTCGGCGAGCGCGATGAGAGGCGGAGATGCGAGTTGGGATTTCAGGCGTAGAGGTGGTTTCGTTAGAGGATTGGGATGGGGATGGAGACTCCGGCTGTACATTTCGGGCCCGGATGTCACCGGGCGCCAGGTATTTGTCCCACCACGACGACATCCATGCAGACGTCGATGGTTGTGGGAGGGTGTGCATGTGAAAGTTAAGTGAGTGAATGGGACGACTAGATGGACCTCCGAGATAGAGTTCGGGGGATCGGAACTCGGACAGATGTCCGGCGAGATCGGATAAAGCCGGCTGAAAGATATCGTGATATCGATGACCGAACTCACCTCATCTCAATCATTCGACCTCAGTGAATCCCTACAATTGAAATAACGCTGCTCTCGCCCCATACCACACTCGTTGCCACCATGGCCTCCCTTCGTACCCCCGCTCGCCGTCTGTTATCCACTGGAGTCTTCGAGACGCGATCATCGCTCTTGATCCCACAGAAACGCTCCTTCGCCACCACAGTCGACAATCCTCCGCCTCCCTCAACAACCGCCACAGAACCACGACAAGCGACATCTTTCACAGACCGTCTTAACACTGGTCCTGCATTCTCAGATTTCGTCAGCGGTGGCGCACCCACAGAAAAGTCTCTATGCCGCGAAGAGCTCTATGAGCTGCGAACAGTCCAAGTAGGACCTGAGGGAAAGAAGAAGACACATACCCGCCTGCCAGAATGGCTCAAGACGCCCATTCCCTCCAACGACAATTTCAAACGGATAAAGAATGACCTGAGAGGCTTGAATCTACATACCGTCTGCGAAGAAGCACGATGTCCGAACATCAGCGATTGCTGGGGTGGAAGCAACAAGAGCGCGGCAACGGCCACCATCATGTTGATGGGAGACACATGCACACGAGGCTGCAGATTCTGCTCCGTCAAGACATCCCGCGCACCGCCGCCTCTCGACCCGCACGAGCCAGAGAACACCGCAGAAGCATTGAAGCGTTGGGGACTGGGCTATGTCGTCCTCACCAGTGTCGACCGCGACGACCTCGCAGACGGCGGAGCAAAACACTTCGCCTCCACCATCATGAAAATCAAACAAAAAGCCTCCCACATCCTCGTCGAAGCGCTGACAGGAGACTACGCCGGCGACCTCGAAATGGTAAAACTCGTAGCCCAGAGCGGTCTCGACGTCTACGCACACAACGTCGAAACAACCGAAGAGATGACGCCCTTTGTCCGCGACCGGCGGGCGAAATTCCGCCAATCCCTCGACGTTCTCCGCGCCGCAAAAGAAGCAAACCCAAACCTCATCACCAAAACTTCCATCATGCTCGGTCTGGGCGAAACCGAAGACCAACTCTTCCGCACCCTGCGCGAACTCCGCAACGTAAACGTCGACGTCGTGACCTTCGGACAATACATGCGTCCTACGAAACGACACATGAAAGTCCACGAGTACGTCACCCCGGATCAATTCGAACTCTGGAGACAGAGAGCGTTGGATCTGGGCTTTCTGTATTGCGCCTCGGGCCCCTTGGTGCGCAGCAGTTATAAAGCAGGCGAAGCTTTCATCGAGAATGTCTTGAAAAAGCGAGCGAGACATAACACCCTTCTCAGCGCCGAGAGAGTGGGAGATTTCAAGGATATGGAAAGTACATGATTGTGCAGGAGAAAGCCAACGTCCGAGATATTGGGTTTTCAACATCATCTTCATATTCATTAGCGACGGAGTCTGAACTATCGCTTTCCCTTCCCTTCCCACCCCCTCGTGGGGCTAGTAGATAGCACTCAACAGCACTATTGAAAGCTTGTAAAGTTTTTTTTGAACAAAAAAGAAACACCCTTTCACTCTGAACCATCTCCATCTCCATCTCTGCCGGACCTGTGTTATTTAGCTTCTCGATCCTCCTCCCGCCAATCGCGTTGCCGTAATAATATCCTTACCCATCCATACCTGCAGACAGACGTCTCCCAGGTCCCCAGACCAAAAATCTCGAAACTCCAACTTAATTAACTTGGAGTTAGAGGTAAAAGTAGAAGTATCTATCATAGCTCAGGTATGATATCGAGAGAACACATTCTTCCTTCAAACATGCACACACAAAAAAAAACCAATATGATAGGAAGGATATCTAGATAAGCTACATACATAAAGAAAACACATATGATATGATATATGATATAGATATGCCAGCGTTCTTCCCCTCCAATCGTGCCAAAACTTCCCACGAATCTCTCCAGGAGAAAAGTTTCCCCATTTCACACATTCCACACATTCCCGTCTTCGGCAGACGACAAAACGCAAAAAATGACTTTGGGAAATCCGAAATGCATATGATAGGACCCCAAGGCAATAATCCCCGCTTGAACGCAGCAAAAAAAAAAAGTCAGCCATATCTCATGCCACTCGTCCACATGCCCATACATTGCCCAAACGAAACGCCTTTGAAAACACCTCATCGATGGAGAAATGATGACTACATCTTCAAAGAGACGGAGTGTCATGCTTTCAAGCTTCCTTCTTCCCGCCAACGTGAAACCGGATTCTAGATGCGTACGCACAATGTCGAGATCCATGTAGGTGCGCTATACCTTCCTCGCCCCGAACAGAGCCAGGCTCAGACTCGTGTCGTTATCTCCCATGGCTGGGGTCGCGTCGCCCATGATTTCCCATCGACGTAGTGGAAAGGGCACCATCTTCGTCTCTCCCACTGGACGAACCGGCGCCTTGCTTCCGGATGGGGTAGCGGAAGCGGGTTGCCTTCCTGCTTGTTGCTGCGGCTGCGACTGTCTCATCATAGCCCTTTGCTGTTGGGTGCCGGCGGCCTGAGGATGCGAGGCAAGATTCAACCAAGCATCGGGCGAAGGCGTGATTCCGAGAACAGAAGCCAGGCGCGGGTCTTTGGCAGTCACGCTTTTCGTCAGGGCAGACAATGTCTCGATCGGGAGGGTATCCGCCACGGCAGAGGCAACATCGTAGATGTACTCCAGTAGTCCCTGTTGAGTCTGTAGATTTTCTTGAAGCATGAGCGAACACAGCGTCGAGAGCAGATTCGAACGACTTTGCTTCAATGCATCACTGTCGTCGCTAGGGCTCACAGCATAGAGGATCGACAGATGCAGGAGGACTTGGAACGAGCAAAGGAGCGGCGTCGTCGAGTGATTTCCAAGCTCATAGGGCTCAAGGCTTGAGAGGCGATGCTCAATCGCTCTCATCTTGTCTGTGACAGAAGACACAATTCGAGCATTGTCGTCTCCCTTTTCCGCATGATAAGCCACATCGAGGATATCCAAGCGGCGTTGGATCCGGTTCTGGTCAGGCAGAATTGTCCCATCGCTTCCAAGCACGCCGTTGAGAACGTCGTCCAGTGCCCATTGATAGATGCCTCGTATCGTCTCCTGTCCGGCAGCTTCCAGAAGTTGGGGCCAGACCTCGCATCCATGAGAAATAGCTTCCATAATCGCACCTTGTATGTCCGTCTTTGGCTCGGTTCTGGACGACATTGCCAAGGCAGCTGAGCAGTGAACAGCGGAAAGGGGGTCCGCAAGCGCTATCAAGGATCGCACGTCACAAGACGCCGCATCCTGGTTGCCGCTGCGTTGCAAAATGTTCTGAACCAAACGCTGACAGTTGCCAAGATAAATAGAGGACTTCTGTAGAGCATTCGTATATATCTTGGCGAAGTCTCCAGCATGAGTGCCAACTGCATAGTCCAGGACCATGTCGACCAATCCTTGATCATGCGCGGGAAACCTGGGGTCTTCCATACTTGTTGTCAACAGAGCAATCACTTTGGCTTCGTGCTCCTTTGCGAATTGTCGTTGCCGCGCGCGGAATCGGAATGCCTCCATCGGCCCCAAGGTCTCGTTCGAAATGGCGCACGACACCAATTGAATAGCTTTCGAAGAAGCCGCAGGTGTCTTCAGATCTCGTGCCACTTCTACGACTGAGTTGAGGTGCAGGCATGAGCTTGCGATGAGCGAGGCAATGACCTTGATCGAATCCTCGTTTTGTGCCGAACTCTGCAGGGAAGTCCGAAGATATTTCTTGACGAGCTGGTTGAAGCCTGTGATATCGACGGCCCTCAACTGATTGAACCAGCTGCAAATCCTGCTGGTCTCGTCACCTTCAAGGAGTCTTGGCTTGCCAGCTCGCTGCACGATCCGTGAGAACACCCTTTGCATCAGTTGTTCATCCATGGTGTTACCACTAGCAAATACGGCATCCATGTCGTTATCAGATTCGAGTGAGGATGCCTGCATGCTGACAAGGCTGTCGGAAGCTGGTGAGCAAGCCGCCATCGAATTTTGCGACTCGCAATACGCCAAGTCGCTCTCCAGCAGTTGCAGATACATGGTCTGGTCCGGTAGTTGCCGCGTCAAGGCTCCAAGGGCGAGAATGAAAGTTCGGTCAAGTGGTTGTTGCGACCGCAGAGTCCGATATCTGACCCACAGACGGTCGAACTTGGGCGGCAGACACCCAAGAGCGGCGAAGCTCTGCGAGTGCAGATTGACGGTGTCGCATACAGCAGCCAACAAGATTGGGTCTTCACTTTCCATCGCCGCATCGACTACATCTGCCAGAGCTTGCAGATCCTGACACCGCTCCAGGGTATCCCTCATGGAGCAGAAACAGCCAATGGAGAGACCGGAATGCTTCGCCCAGGCCATGACACGCGTGCAATAATCGCGAGCGAATCGCATTCGAGCGGAAGTGGAGATGTTCTCCAATTGAGAGAGGGCCTTCGCCACTGGGATCTGAAAACTGCCATTCTCCAGATTGATTGCGTAGTTCAGTTGGCGGATTGCGGCAGTCTCGTCGGGCGACTGGCCGAGACGTCCCATCAGTGCCTCTCTTGTGTTTATGAGGTTCTCCGAGAGTGCATCTACCGGTAGCGCTGTAAGCAGACCCGTTATCAGTGATGCGCCCTGGCCAGCAGAAAGTGCTCCGCTAGTCATCAATCTTTGTAGGTATCGGCTTGCTGAAAAGCAACGAGCTCGCACCAGCTCTGCCACAACCCGATGTACATTGGCGATGGATATGCAAGTGGTGTTTGCGGATGTCAAATAGTGGAGAACGACGGCGTCAATGTCATGTCCACGGGAGTGAAGTTCTTCGATAATTTTGGCCACCAAATACACGCGACTGAGACCGGTGCGATACACAGACGCGGACCAGTCCAGCAAAGCGCATACTAGATTTTGAAGATATGGAACTTTCAACAAACAGGCAGAGGTTAGTGCCTGAATGTCAAAGTGTATTCCAATCGTGTCCAGTGCAGAGTAGAGCTCCAGGAGCGCGCAACGGGTGTTCTGAGACGTCTTCAGCAACGGTCCTGTAAGCCGCTCGTTCCGCCTCTGCACGTTCCGCGCTGGCGTCTCTAGGGGTGCAGCTTTGCCTGAAAGCGACATCGGTTCGAGAAGATATCGGTACTTCTCCCACGCCCTTGGCATGATAAGACATCCCCGATTTGTCACAGCCAGTATCACGATTAATTTCTTCAACCTTTCTTTGAGCGAATCATTGAGTTGTACAACCCCGGTACTGACTTCGTGGAGCTTGGCCAAGACCGCCTCGGCCAGCTGTCTTCCTCTTCTGCCGAATGCAGTGATATCTTTCCAGTAAAGTTGCGCGAGAATGACCCAAATTGGGAGTCGTGGAATGGAAGTCTCTCCAAGAGATGTAACGATCCAATCCAGATAATGGTCTCTTTCCAAAAGTCGTTCTGAGTAGAAAGCGGTAGCCAGTTTCACTGCATAGTCCATCTTCGCCTGCCACTCTGGCTGTCCGCACAGAGCAATGACCCCTTCCAGAAACTGCTCGATGTTGACGGTCCAGTCACGAATCCATTTCTGCTCTCCACTGACCGCGTTTGCGCCGCTGACGCCTTTTCTTCGAAAAGCACGCAGCTCGTTCGCTCCCACGCACTTTGCAAGCCAGACTGCTCGTGGCATCGGGATGTCTTTGCCAAGACATTGTTCCATGAGCACTTTACCGCGAATGCCATGTGGTATAGTCCTACTCTGCTTTCGAAGTGGCACTTCTGGATTTGCAAGGTCCTTCAGCCATGCTTCACGCTTCGTGTCCGTGACGGTGACACGCGGCGGAGGTTTGAAGGTGGATGGTGCTGTGCGTTTGCCCATGGCCAGTCGCTTCTCCATGATAGATGTGAATAGATAGGATAATGTTTGCAGTCCCATGTTGTTCTTCTGGCTCAAGTTGGGCCAGATTGCCGGTTTGGCAGAGTTGGATTCGGTGGAGTTGGGTCCAGGAGGTTTGTCAAAATAGCCAGCCTTGACGACGGTCTCGCTGAGGATATCTTCCGGGTGGTGACCAGTCCATGGGGAGAAGTCGGCCACACCACGAGGAGCAGGTAGCCTGGTAGCCATGGCTGGCGGCTCCAAGCCATTTGCCTTGCGAGCAAGCCTGTCCACCACCGGACGACTCCTCCTCTGCGACGGATTCCTGTTGGCAGATGCATTTGGCTTGGGCAGCTGTGGCAGAGGCGATCCCGGAAGTGTCAAATGTGCCGTATCTGTGCCATGCTCCGGAGTCCCCTCTCGGCCCTCTCCACCACGAAAGCCATGCCCACCAATCTTTGCTCTTTTCGCAGGGCGTCCGTTGTCGTCCTCATCTTCCAAATTCATGACATCCGGGGAGCGGGAGACGTCGTCGTGGTTGCTCAGGAAAGCTGCAGTGTTCTTGGCGTGGGTGGATTTGGGCGCATCGCCGGTGAGATCGACGACGTTGTTCGGGGTAGGCTGGGATACGGAGCGGACATTGCTGAGTCTGGAGGGGAGCGGGGGTCGGCGGAGGCCCTGCTGGAGGGTGTATGAGCCGCTCACTGCGCGATGGGGAGGCAGTGGTCTCTGTGTGGCGGGCCCATGTCTATGATCCATCGCACGCAAGCCGAGTGTCTACGCTTGCACCTGCTAGCCGGAGCATGTTTGGGCGCGGTGGTGGTATGGATTAGCTGGCCATTCTCTTCCTCATGACTTCCGGTAGAGTGGGAGAAGGGTTGGTGAGGTGGTAGGAGGGTGAGGGAAAGTCGGAACAAAGGAATGGGGGCGTAGGTGGTAGGTGGTAGGTGGTAGGTGGTAGGTGGTACAGGGTAAGGTAGGTGTAGGACGGCGAGTCAGGTAGAGCTGAGCACAGGTGAGAGTAGGCGTTCAGAGGCCGGCAAAGCAGGCACGACCCAGACCACAAGACGGAGATCCATGAGGAAAGGACAGGAACAGAAGAAGGTGTGGGCGGGTTCGGGGAACGGTAACTTACGCGGTGACTTAGATGAAGCCCGTTATTATTACCGACCATCTTGGGCTGCGCTGCGCTGCGTTATTATTATTACACTATTATTATTACACTTGCGGGCCGTGAGCAGCGCAGCGCCCATCTCCACCAACAGACGCCGGCATGCACACATGATAGTAGACCGGAAGATACGGCGCGCACTTGCATCGGCTGCTACACGTCCTGCCACACCTACTACATGCAGACGGGACGGCGAGGCCGGACACTTCATTCACCACGCGACCATCCATCGAGCATCGAGCATCAACATCGAGCACCAACATCGAGCATGGGGCATCGAGCGTCGAGCGTCGAGCGTCGAGCGTCGAGCGTCGAGCATACAGTATGCCGGCACCCGAGACAATACCACAATACATCAACCACTCCCTCAGGCCTATCGGAGGATTGTTCACGAAAATGTGCGAGAGAAGGGGTGGCGGTGGGCTGTTTCATCACCTCATCACCGGCTTGCAATCTGCTGATGTGTACCGTCACTCACTTTAACTCGTTGTGAGGTCATTTGATTGAGAATCGCCCGATGAGCCGACCATTTGATTGAGAGCGCGCCGCGCCGCGCCGCGCCGCGCTCCCCCTGCTCGGGAGCCGCTCCAAGTGGTCAGGCCGGGAGGCGCCACGAACGTGCACACGTCGGACTTCTTCCTTCCAGCACTTCTCGGCAACATCACCTGCTGCACACTACTGTCATCAACCTCGTCCACACACACAGTAGTAGTGCACAGTGCCACACACACCCGAACCCCTCCGCTCCCGCTCTCCTGTCATCATCGTCGCCATCGCACCAAACATCTCCTGACGCTCCGTCCCCGGCATCTTCTCCCGCGCGTCCTTTGCCCGTATCTCCCGCGACAATCATGGCCAGCAACAAGAAAGATATGCGCCGCGAGGATCTCAGTAAGCCAGCCATCTCCCACCCCACCCACCCACACACATCATCAGACGCATGACACATCCGCTGTCCAACTGATGCAGCGGCTAATCGCCTTGGTGTCACGCAGTCGTACCTTATATGGAGCCCGAGAAGGACAAAGAGAATACAGACTTCCAGAGTGAGTCCATCACATGTCATGCTGCCGCTCCGCTGCTGTGCACGCTAACACCCCCGCGCAGGCACCATGACCAGCACCCTGCCCATGGCTGCTGTAAGTTCACTCAACCCACGTGAGAGCTTACGCACCTCGAGCTAACTTGTGACCCATCCAGATCTTCACTCGAAACAAGTATGCACTCCAGATGCACCTGCACTGCATATTGCATCTCCATCTGACCTTCTCTCAGGATGCTCGCTTGGACCGCGGTCCTCTTCTCTATCCAGCAGTGGCTCTCCGAAACTCCCGCCCAGAAAGCTGTTGCGTCCTCGCCTGCTTACTTCTCCGTTGGCATGGCTGTTCTTTCATTAGCTGTCGTGAGTACATTGAGCACCTGACAACCATCCGGACGGCTCGTGCTGATGCGATTGTGCTAGGGATACATGCCGTTCTTCCTGCCTCCCGCTCCTGGAGCTCGTCCAGGGCCCGGCAGCGGTACAGAGGCGCCTGCTGCGACTCCGCCGTAATTGTAACGACGTTCAGAGCTCTTTCACTTCCATGTATTTCATCTGTTTTCAACCCACTGATAACCCAAAATCGCACTGCAGAGGAACGACCAAGCTGTGAAGCTGCAGCATGCGGCTGGCCGCAGCGTGGGGCGCAGCCGGTGCCCCCATCCCTAGCACAGTCAGCCCTGATCTGGCTCATCGTGGCGAAACAGAAGACTACTTGTCGAGCAACTACTACCATTCACACTTCTTGCAGGCTCGATATCCAACAACATAATCCGAGATGCGGCTCATCAACACCCACACCTGGGACAGGAGAGAGTTCTTCGGTGCCGGCATTACTGCCCATCCGTACGCCATCCTCTCCCATCGGTGAACAGCGATGAAACATTTTCAAAGACTTTAATAAAGGCAGGCGAAAAGAATCACCTTCATACGAGCAGATTCTACAATTCTGCGAGCACGCCAGATTAAAGGGACACCGACTGTGCCTGGGCTGACACCGTCTGCATTGACAAGCGCAGTAGCACCGAGCTGTCCGAAGCGATCAATTCCATGTTTCAGTGGTATCAAGATGCTGAGGTGTGCTACGTGTACATTGTCGATGCGGTGGACTCACAACCAAGCAAGTTGTCCGAAGACGGCGATAGTGTCAATTCGTACTTGGAAGGTCTTGTGTTCTTCCTGGGGCTACGCTTGCCGGTGCCCCACTCTTCGCATTTGAATACAACGGAATCACCCACCCGAGGGTGTACACTGCAAGAGCTGCTAGCTCCCAAATGCGTTCTCTTCTCTCAAACTTAGACGCGGCTTGGTTCAAAATGCGACCTGCTGCTGAGCCTCGAGCGATACAATCGGCAGTCCGTGCCAATTCTCACACAACAGATCTCGAGCATCACTGAAATACCAGACGTTGTTCTTGCCAGCAAATGACCGCTAGTCGAGATAAGTGTTTCTGAGGAAATGAGCTGGCTTCACGGCGCCAGACGACTCGCGTGGAAGGCATGGCGTATTGTGCAATCGGCCTGTTTGGGATGTACATGTCTCTGTTGTACGGAGAGGGCCGACACGCCTTTCAGCGCTTGCAAGAGGGAATCATTCAAGTGTCAAACGATGAGTCCATATTTGCTTGGGTCATGGCTCCCCGGCCTCAAGGAAACCACCTAATCCTGGCGGGGGATTGTTCAAAACTTTCAATTCTCGGGCAGAACCCAAACTACCATGGTTCATAAACGTCCACCTCTCCATCACAAATCAGAGTCTGGAACTCCGGACAGAAGGGCTCGGCTTGATTCACAATGTCGGCTGACGCGGAACGCCTTCGGTACGGAATCCCCTCAACTGTATTACTGCCTACACGGTTACTGAGAAGGAGTGCACATGAATGCTCGTACTTCAAGAACGACGCTGTGGTCACTTCGACCGAAGCCGGGCCGATCAACTCTACATGCTCCAAGTCATACGGGCGGGACACAGTCTGATAGATGATTAAACAATCTATGTTCACACGCACTACGAGTGCTGGATCTCCACGGAGTCGAACGCAGAGGCAAGACGTCAAAGGAGACTTCCGCGGCTTACTGGATTCACGCCGCGTTTCTGCTCTCCAACTACGACCTTCGGTTCTTGGCGGAACGTCGGGTTCGAAAGAGCCATGTTCACCTGTCGCATTGAGACCAAGTGGTGCAGGATATGCAGAAGACGAAAAGGAGGAACAAGAGCCGGCTTTTAGGTTCCTTCTCCACTCTTTTTGGTTGTCGAATAAGAGGAAAGTGGAAGTGGCTCTTTTATGTGGTTGAAATCGCGCATGACACTGAGGACTGCGGAATCCAGCCGAGTAAGAGTTCTTCTAAACAAGTCCATGTTTCTTTTCTTATACCGACATTTCTTTCGTCTTGGCATACTTCACATCTTCCGCATTGAGATCTTCACTCCTTCCTTCTTCTTCTTCTTCTACCCCGTCTAACACCACATCCTCCCTCTCCTCCACCACCATCGGCCATACTTTCCCCAACCCCCAATACACCATCCCGCTCACCACAAAACTCACACACCAACTCAGACTATACAGATCCGTCGCCCCGGCCCCGATTTCCGAATTTTCATTACACGCTCTCGCCAACCCGGGCAAATTGGGTGCGATTCCGCAGGCGAACGCCAGGAACGCGCGCAGATTATTAGCCGTGGAAGAACCAGTGTGCGCCTGTGGGGGGCTTTGGTGTAGAGGAACGTGAGGCAGAGTCGGCGACGGCGGAGCAGCCAGTAGTCCGTGGCGAGGATTCCGGTGAGGGCGCCGAGGAAGGAAGAGGGAATAGCCGTTTAGGAAGGAGGAGAGAAGGATTCGGCAGCTAAGAAGGGTAAAAGAAATTAAAAATCCAGGGCGTTTTGGGCGAAATTCTTGCGCGGTAAGGGGAGGAGGGAAGGTGGACAAAGGGGGGGGGGGGGGACGTACGAAGATTGGATTTCCCAAGGCACGGCACGGCACGGCACGGCAGCGACGGACGCAGAGCGACGGCACAAATCAAAGCGCCCCGTCGATTATGGATATATCTCGGAAACCAAGAAGGGCAAGATCCTTCGCGAAGGAAAACGGGATTCGCGGCGATGTTGGTGCCGTCGTCGTCGTCGTCGTCGTCGTCGTCGGCAAAGGCCCAGCAGGCGCCGGCGAAGAACTGCGCGGCGGCGGTTCTCCCAGAGGCGCCCCGGGCTACTTGTAAGGGGGATTCCAGGTCGTCTGTCTGGCCGTAGACGAGCTCTGCGGCGGAGCGTGACGGTGGCGTCGAGGACGCCGCAGGAATATATATATATATATATATATATATACATATATATTATATCCGCGTGTCGTGTCGTAAGGGATCTTCATGATGCTGTATATAGACAGACTAGACTATATTGATATTTGACAGACATTAACTAACCCCTCTTTCTTCTTCTTCAATGTCTGTCTCCTTGCTTTGCTTTTCTCTCTGTCGTCGATAAGATAAGAAAAAACCGAAACACAATATGCCGCGCTCGAAGATGTGTGTGTGTGTGTGTTTCAATCCATCACACACACGCGAATCGGAGACCGCCTTTTTATTAAACCGTCGCGGAATACGCCTTCGTCAACGAGATCTGCTGATACGACTTCACCCTGCTGGAAGCGGTACTGTTCGACCCACTATTCTTCCCGAGAACCGTGATCTGAGAAATGTACACGCCCGGCTCATAGCCGAAATGTCCGGACATCTGAAACTGTCCGGTCGCGGCGGAGTAGGAGAAGTGGATGTAGGAGTAGCTCGACTGGACCAAGCTGTCTCCGTCGTCGAGGTACAAGTCTCCCTCGGCGGTGCCGTTGGTGCCCGGCGCGATGACAATGTGGAAGTTCTGCTTGCGGAGTTCTGTCGTCGTGTTGGCGCTGTTGACGCGCTCGGCGAGGATCTGGCCGCCTTTGTAGTAGAGCGGGATGGTGCTGTAGGAGACGTTGGTGAGGGTGTAGGGCGCGCCGGTGCCGCTGATTTTGTCGTGGCTGTAGTAGTCGTAGAAGACGTCGTGGGGCATGTAGAAGTTCGCCGTGGTGCTGTTCTCTTCCGTGACGGGGGCGACCATGAGACCCGGTCCCCAGAAGAATTGGTAGCCGAGCGGGAAGGTGTTCTTGTCTTCGGGGTAGTGGAAGAACAGGGGCTGGACCAGAGGAGTGCCGGTTTGGTTCTGCTGGTACATGGCAGTGTAGATGTAGTCGAGCAGCTTGTAGCGGATGGCGATGGCGTTCTGGGCCGCCTCGGTGACGATGGGCCAGAGGTAGAACTCTTGCGGAATGACACCGTTCTGGTCGTGGTTGCGGAAGAATGGCGCGAAAGAACCCAGACTAGCCCATCGAGCGCACAGGAGCTCGTTGGTGTTGCCACCGAACCCGCAGACATCGGAACCGACGAATGGAACCTGGTAGAGAGCCGCGAACTCCATGATCTCGGTGATGGAAATGAGGTAGTGGAACCAGTCGGACAGGTTGTCACCCGTCCACTTGCCGACTTCTCTGCCGGAGCCAGCAAAGGTGGACCGGGTGATGATCATAGGACGCTTGGTCGGGCGACGGCTGAGCATGGCGACGCGAGAGGCCTCGGACATCATGCCACCATACATGTTGTGGGTGTCGTACTCAACCATACCGTTGTACAGAACAATATCAGTGTCGGCGGTTAAGTTGCTGAGGCTGCCTGCTACGTTCTGAATGTTGTAGGATGGATTGATGAGATTGCGGCCAGGGAGACCCTTCTTGTCTCCCGGAGCGGAAGCATGGGCCTGACGTTTGTGAAGCGGAGCGCTGTGCGCGTGGAATGAGAGAGATCGCTTGAGCTTCGACTGTGACTGTGGTGGAGAAGAAGTCGTGATCGAGTCACCAGTCTGCTGCACGGTGCTGTTGCAGCCGCCAGTGGTGAGTGTGCGGTTTTTAGCCTCGTAAATGTAGGTACCGTTGGGCTCCGAGCGTACATATTGGAAGGACACGACGCTGTTTGGCGGCATGTCGATGGTAGCACCCCAGATCGGGTAGTTCGTGGCGTCGAGTGGCGCAGCGTTCATAATGTCGTAGTTGGGACCTCCGATGGTGGAAGCATTGCCGAAGACAATGATGTTTTCACCGAAGAACGTGCTCGCGTTCACTCCGAAGACAACCTGCGACTTGCATTGAGGCTGGAAGTCTGCTGGGAAGCCGGCGATCGGTCGAGGAGAGCCAAGACGAACAGCTGGTGGTCGTGGTGGATCGCCCAGGGTCACGGCTTGCTGCTCTGCGTCCTCGGTGCCAGGGTAATGTGCGAAGTTGCTGGGCTCGTTCATGTCGATCCACAATGCGTCAATGTCCACACCTCCGCTGGCATTGAAGAAGTCGGCGAATTCGCCGTTCCAGTAGGCCTGGGTGTCCGGGTGGAACCAGTCCGGGAACGCAGTAACACCAGGCCAAACAACGCCACGGAAGATGGAGCCATTCTTCATCATGAAGATGCCATCGTCCTTGCCATTGTTGAATGGTGCGTAGTCCTGGTAAGCAACGGCTGGGTCCACCATTACGATGTAATGCTGCTGGCGGCTGTGGAGGGTGGAGACGAGCTCGCGCATGAGCGGCAATGGGAATCGCTCAGGGTCCAGGCTGAAGACTCTCCGCAGGTACATGTAGTCAATGTCGGTCCACATGGTCTCCAGGGGGATGTTGGCAGCGGAGTAGTTAGCCACGACCTCGGCGACCTCGTAGACGTCTCGCATGCCATAGCGGCATTGATGGAATCCAAAGCCCCAGTACGGCATCATGGCGGCCTTTCCGGCAATTTCCGAATACTGCTGAGAGGCCTCAACGGGCGATGGGCCGGCCACGAAGTAGAAGTCGAGAACACCGCCAAGGAGATCGTACTCGAGGAATTGACCATCCGTGTCATCGATCTTATAGTTCATGCCGTTCGAGTTCAGGAGGAAGACAGCGTGAGTGCCGTTTTCGCCACGGTGGTCGTAGTAGATGGGGTGGGTACCGTACAAGTTGGTACCTTGAGGAGTACCGTAAGCATCGCGATCCCAGACGATGCGGGTGTAGTTGGTGGTGTTCAGCATGCTGTGCAATGTGTAGATTAGCGAGCATTCCTCGGCAGTTGAGATTCGGGTACTTGGTACTTACAATGGATCGGTGTGCTCGCCGGTACCGTACAGACTGGGGCTCGGTGGAAGGGCAGTCCGCAAGCGCACATACTGGTCTTCGAAGATCAAGGACGCGGCAGAAGTATCGAACAAGATCTCGCCAGTCTTGCGACGCTTGACGGTGAAGCTGAAGGGCTCGGCCTGGTAGTCGAAAAGCAGATCGCTCGTTCCGTTCTCGACGCCGGTGAGAGATGGACGAGGAAAGACGGACTCGGGGACCTGGTAGACCTGTTGATTGGCATCTTGAATCAAAACGTGAAGGCGCTTGTCTGGCGAAGATGTCAACTCGAGTTGTGATTCATTGCCCATGATAAGATGCGGACGTACCCGTCTGATACTCGACGGTCAAGGTCAGATGGTGGAGATCGTTGCCGTAGACGTTGCATGGCTTCCCGGCCAAGGTAAGCGTCGCGGTCATGCCATTGGCGTTCTTCTGCACGTCGCTGGCCTTGTAGCCTGGGCAGGTGGAGCCGGAGGTGCCATTCTGGCGGCGCTCGATGGCGACGGCGGAGGAGGCGGAGACTGAGGCAGTGACGAATGCCAGAGACGCGCACACGATGCGTGCGAGAGGCGCCATGATGGGCGGAGAAGGGGAGGGAGGGAAGTGTGACGGGAAGACGGGCGACTTACACGACAGTGGGAGTGACGCTGTTGTGCGGGCAGGGTACTTACTTTATATAAGAGTGCAACCCAGCAGTGAGTACAGTAGTATGGGGCTGGGGTTGGGGCCCCAGAGTGGAGTGGGTCCATCATCACGAGCGCTTGGTCGTGCCGTGCGGGCGCGGCGTGGTGTGGTAAGGGTAAGGTAAGGTAAACCTGTCGCCTGTCGCCTGTCTCCACGGACACGACGGAGATGGTCGAGGGAAATTGGGCTTGACTTGCGGCATCAACCTGCGCTTGAGTCGAGCTTCCGAGAGTGTGTGAGACACTCGCCGTCTGGCGTCACTTTCCCCTCCCGACGGCGCCACAGAGGCCCGGGGTTTGCAGTGAGCACTGCATGTGAATACCGTATGGAATTATTGCAGACTCGGACTGCGCAGAGATTGCCATGCACATGCCATACAGATGCGGAGTGCTTCGGACCGTTTCGACCCCTCATCCAGCGCATCGCATCTGCTGCCGATCTCCCTCTCCCTCTCCCTTCTCTGAACTCACGCTGCACTGCACTTTCCATCGTTGGTGCTTGTTCCAGACCAGACGCATGTCGGCGCGCGTGGCAACTTGTCTCCAGTCTCATGATGACGACGGAGCGCTGCGTGCTGCCTTGCCCCCGCCTTCTCCAGATCCATGCGACAATACATTATGCGACAGCAGCGTCGAGGGCTTGGCAGTGCTGCCGTGCGCCATCTTGACCTTGTGCTTGTTGGTGGGCAGCGGATCGTCATGACATGACTTGTGACTGGGCGGTTGAAGTCTGCCCTGGAGCGGCTAATAACAAGTCAAATTTCGGGATCGGGCGTGCTTAGTAAGACATCAAGGCATCCAGGCACCCGGCATCGGCATCGGCATCGGCATCGGACCGCCCGGCTCCATTCCGCTCCGTCCAGCTTCACGTCCACACGTCGACAAACAAAAAGTGAACACACCTCAACATCAGGGCACCGATGGCTGGTCGATCTCCATCAACCCAACAATGACAGCCATCTTGAGATTTCGCGACCATGGCTAGCCGCGATACCTTTCGTGTCCGCTTGAACTGCGTAGACCATTACCAACGAACTCCAACACCCCTCGACGCGCCGCTTTGGGGGCCTCATGCCCTGTCATCCTCCACCCCACGCGACAACTTGCCTCAAGTCCCCGTCATCCGAGTCTTTGGCTCTACAGAAACCGGCCAAAAGGTATGCGCTCATATCCACGGCGCACTCCCATATCTCTATGTGCCATACCACGACTCGATCGAGCAGGACCAGGTCGAAGCCTACATCTCCACATTTCGCCACTCTATTGACCATGCCTTGGCTATATCATATCGACGAAATCCATACGAGAATCCAAGAATGGCCACTTTTGTTGCTCACGTCAGCTTGGTCAAAGGAGTCCCGTTCTTTGGATACAACGTCGGCTATAGGTATTATCTCAAGATCTACTTGCTCAATCCGCTCCACATGACCCGTTTCGCGGATCTGCTTCAGCAAGGCGCCATTCTGAAGCAAGTCTTCCAGCCCTATGAAGCGCACATGCAGTATCTACTGCAGTGGATGTGCGACTTCAACCTGTACGGCTGCGCCTACATCGAGACCGAGAAACCGCACTTTCGAAGTCCGGTGCCCGCTTGGGAAGAGCTAGATGATCCCGCGCATCTGTGGCATGACCGCTCGATACCGAATGAGCAGATGCTCGATGCCGACAGATATCCGCGACAGAGCCATTGTCAGTTGGAACTGGACATCCGGGTGGAAGATATCCTCAACCGCAATGTCATCCAGGCGAGGCCTTTGCACCATTCATTCATCGAGCGACTGTCTTCTCTCGATAATCTGCCTCCGGAGGAGAAGCTTGTACATTCCATGGCGGGCCTCTGGAAGGACGAAACTCGTCGGCGGAACATGCGGATGGGCATCACAGACCCGTCTTCATCACCGTTTCCGCCTGAAGTAATGGTCAGTATGTCTGCAGATCCGCGCAACGACAGCAAGGGTGGCTGGATCCACGAGGAGGAATTTCGCGAAAGTGTGGCCCGTCTGGCAGAGCAGGAAAAGCAAGCTCGCGGTGGTAGCACACTGTCTTTCGAGAGTTTCGGTAGTCCAGGCTCGGCAGAGGATGGGATACAGACCGTATTCGAGAGTGTTGTAGAGCTATTTCAGAGCAGTCTGGAAGCCAAGTGGGCGTCACAAAGACACGAAGTGGATGAGGCGATTGACGTGGACTACGATTTCTCCGATGCATATGCACCAACGCCGGCAAAGCTTGCTTCTGCACCTGTCGTTGATATGAACAGAATCACGCAAATGGCTGAAGATGAAGAGTTTGGAAGTGACGAGGAAGCTGCGAAAGAGTTAGCACTGACGCAGCGGCAGAAGTTGAAGCGGGCTGGCCTTCACGAGGCTATGGGAGATGCTAAGATTCGAGGTAGCGCTGCCGACATTGAGGCCGAAGCAGAGCGAATTGATGCGGATACACGAGTACCACCTGAGACTGTGGAGCAGGTCGAGAAGGGATCACTCAAACGCAGCGCGCCTTCGACCTCCACCATTCCTTTCAAGAAATCTAGGCCGGAAGACACAGATTCTAACGGCACCAGGCTGGGCAGGTTTCGCATCAAAGACGTCAAGCCTCAACCTCGAGCTCTGGTCGAGCCTATCAGCAAGGACGATGCCTTTGCAATACCTCCTGCTGCTCAAGGCGCCAAGTCGGTATCTTTCGACGACAAGATCGCTGAGGTACCACCTTCGGCGCAGCCCGCGTCGTCCCAACGGTCTTCGCAAGGCTCTCAGAGCATTACAACATCATTTCCGCTCGTCAAGAACGATGGCAATGATACCGCAATGAGGCTGAGCCAACGTGATGATCTCTCTCACGTACCGCAAAAGAGCTCGCAGCAAAGCCAGAAGCGTGCGTCTTTCAAGTCGCCGACTGCATCCCGTGGTTCGCAAGCCACTTTGACTCCCTCGAGCACGACTCAGTCAACGATCTCACGGGACTTAGTCCAGAGTTACGGCAAAGCGTGGGACTTGAAGGCGAATGCAAGCGTCTTCCTCTTTGGACGTCGGCCTCCCTCGCATGACGAAGTTCGAGACACGATGGAGCCGGCGGTCATCTACCAGGATGCGCACTACAGCGACGAGAAAGACGTGCCTGAACGAGCGCGGGAGTATGCTGGCCAGGAGTTTAGGCTTGTGAGCACGAGCCTCCCGTATCTGCAGCCTTTCCAAAGTACTGGCCTGGTGCAAGAAGGCAGGCCGCTTCCAGACAAAGCCGCATCAGACCTCGCCGAACAGAGACGAAGGAGGCAGTGCTCACTTAAGGCGTGGGAGATAATGCGGCCGCCACCAAACTTCAAAGAGGTCGAGCGGTGGCTCCGCGAAGAAGCGCCCCAGGCCACGGATGACTTGGAAAGGCTAGAGGTAGATGATCCACCGTCGGCTTCTCCGCTCAAGCGCAAGAATCGACCTGCGCCAGAACTTTCTCAGATCGAGGGCCCTACTCAGAAGAACAGGCACGGCTTCAAATACTCGCAGAAGAAGGCGAGCACCAGCGTTCAACACGAGACTGGGTATATGAGTACCATGAGTCTGGAAGTGCATGTCAACAGCCGAGGAGAGCTTGCTCCAGATCCTGAGCGAGACGAGATCAACATGGTCTTCTGGTGTGTATTCGATGAGCAGATGGATGACTCGACGAAGTTTGGCGTTGCAATGCTCAACAAGGACGATGATGACGGATTCGTGGACAGGGTCCGCCGCATGGTTAGAAACGACGTGCAGATCGATTCTGAGGATAACGAGTTGGATCTGCTCAACAAAATGGTGGACATAGTCCGTACTTACGACCCTGACATTCTGACTGGATACGAAGTCCACAACGGAAGCTGGGGCTACCTCATCGAGCGTGCGCGGCTGCAGTATGAGTACAACCTCCCAGACGAATTTTCACGAATGAAGTCGCAGTCCCACGGGAGATTTGGCAAAGATGCAGACCGCTGGGGCTTCACGCACACCTCGACCGTTCGCATCACTGGTCGACATACCATAAACATCTGGCGAGCGATGCGGTCCGAGCTCAATCTGCTTCAATACACGATGGAGAACGTGGTCTTCCATCTGCTGCACAAGCGCATTCCTCATTACCCATACCAGACCCTGACCCGCTGGTATCAGAGTGACAAGCCTCGAGACTTGGCCAAAGTGCTCGACTATTTCATCAGCCGCTCGAAGCTGGACTTGGACATTCTGGACGCCAACGAGCTCATATCGAGGACATCTGAGCAAGCTCGTCTGCTTGGAGTCGACTTCTTCTCGGTCTTCAGCAGAGGCTCGCAGTTCAAGGTCGAATCCCTCATGTTCCGTATCGCCAAGCCGGAATCATTTGTCCTCGTTTCACCGAGTAGAAAGCAGGTCGGCGCGCAGAACGCCTTGGAGTGTCTGCCACTCGTCATGGAGCCGCAGTCTGCCTTCTACACCAGCCCCTTGCTTGTCCTTGACTTTCAAAGCTTATACCCGAGTGTTATGATTGCGTACAACTACTGCTATTCCACCTGCCTTGGCAGAATCACGGAATGGCGAGGTACCAATAAGATGGGCTTCGCAGACTTTCAGCGTGCGCCCGGTCTGCTCGAACTCGTCCGCGACAAGCTCAATATTGCTCCCAATGGCATGATGTACGTCAAGCCCGAGATGCGCAAGAGTCTCTTGGCGAAGATGTTGGGTGAGATTCTCGAGACCCGCGTCATGGTCAAATCCGGCATGAAGGTCGACAAGGATGATAAGACTCTTCAACAGCTTCTCCACAATCGCCAGCTTGCTCTGAAGCTCATCGCGAACGTCACGTACGGTTACACTTCTGCTTCCTTCTCCGGCCGAATGCCTTGCTCGGAGATTGCCGACAGCATTGTTCAGACTGGTCGCGAGACCCTGGAAAAGGCCATCGCGCTTATTCACTCGGTCGAGCGATGGGGCGCCGAAGTGGTGTATGGCGACACGGATAGTCTCTTCGTCTATCTGAAGGGCCGCACCCGGGAACAGGCCTTCAAGATCGGTGATGAAATTGCAAAGGCAGTGACCGATACTAATCCTCGACCCATCAAACTGAAATTCGAAAAGGTCTACCACCCGTGCGTACTTCTCGCGAAGAAGCGCTACGTCGGCTTCAAGTACGAATCCCCCGCTCAGACCGAACCGGACTTCGACGCCAAAGGAATCGAGACTGTGCGCAGAGATGGAACGCCCGCGGAGCAGAAGATTGAAGAAAAGGCGCTCAAACTCCTCTTTCGGACTGCGGATCTCTCGCAGGTGAAGAAATACTTTCAGGCACAGTGTACCAAAATCCTGACTGGGAGGATCTCCATCCAGGACTTTTGTTTCGCGAAGGAGGTTAAACTGGGGACTTACTCGGACCGCGGACCCGCGCCACCGGGGGCTCTGATCGCCACGAAACGCATGCTGCGCGATCCAAGGGCCGAACCGCAGTACGGCGAACGCGTTCCCTACGTCGTGATGGCCGGCGGTCCCGGCGCGAGACTGTGGGAGAGATGCGTGGAGCCGGAACGGCTGGTCTACGACGAACAGGCGGAACTCGACGCGGAATACTACATCAACAAGAATCTGATCCCGCCGCTGGAGCGCATCTTCAATCTCGTCGGGGCGAACGTGAGGCATTGGTGGGACGAAATGCCCAAGATCCAACGCATCCGGCAACTTGCCGGTGGGGCGGAGGGGGGCGGCGGCGGCGGCGGCGGCGGCGGGGGGAAGAAGACGATGGAGAGCTATATGGCTTCTTCCCTGTGTCTGGTCTGTCGGACGAGATTACTGCCCTCTGCTACTACTCCTCGGGGCTTGCCGCCAGAATCTTCCCCGGAAATCCCGCTCTGCGGGCGCTGTCGGTATGACAAGACGTCGCACACGCTCCTCACGCTGCGGCGGAAGGTATCCCAGGCGGAGAAGAAGAAGAGGGATCTGCATGATGTGTGTCGCAGTTGCGCAGGCGAAGGCGGAGGAGGTGGCAGTGGTGGAGGTGGTGGAGGAGGCGAAGTGCGATGCGATTCGAGGGATTGTCCCGTCTTTTACAGCCGCGTGAAGGCGGATACGCAACTCCGTGTTGTGCGGAATGGAGTGGGTAGGGTTTTGGAGAGATTATTAGAAGCGGAAGCGGAGGATGGAGGGAGGGGAGGGTATGATTGGTAGGGTAGGGTAGATATCGTATCATATCGTAGGGCTGAGAAGCTTGGGATTTCTCTGATCGGGGGAGAAGAATTTTCCTGGAACTCGACTGAGGTATCACATGGAAATTCCAGGACAGGATAGGAAGCTGCGTGGAAAGTGTGGCTGGTCTTGGTCTCGGCTGCGGCGGCATCACAAGGTGACATTCTTCTTGGCCGTGTGTGAAGGGAGAAAGATGCACGAGAGAGGCGTTTGTTGTGGGAGGCACACAACATCGTGCAGCTTAGCTCAGCTGCCAGCCTGCCTGCCAAGCCAGCGAAGCCAGATAGATAGATACGTTCGCTCGTCTCGTCTCTTCGTGTGCGGTGTACTACTGTGTAGATATGATATCAATCTAACCACCCACCTCAGCCAACAGCCAACAAGCGACGTGATCACATATCATGTCGTCGTGGTGTATGGTGGTGGTGGTGGTGGGTGGTGGGATCGGATGCTCGGATGCTGGATTGCTGGGCTGGAAATAGATTGCAACGTTGATATCTATCCACAGTGTGTATCTGTATCGAGATCTCGCTCCGCAGCGTGACAGGGAGCGCAGGGAAACGAGCGCAAAAACTGGGGTCCCCCCCCTGCTGCTGCTCTGTTTGGGAGAGCTCGGTGACCCTTTCCATCTTTAGGTAAGGTAGGTAGTAGTAGGCCGATGAAAGTATCAGAAGGGTCACCGAGGTATTGTTGTAATATACTATCGATAGTATACTAATATACTATCGATACTACTAAGGTATATTAATTTTAAGAGAGAAAGTTTATTTCTTATAATATTAGAATATATTTACTAATATAATTCTACTAGTATAATATTACGAGTAAATAACGTATGTACTAAGATTCTAGATAGTAGTGTATAATAAGATCTTCTAGTAGTATAACTCTATTCTAGAAGACTTATCTATAGAGAAGAAGTAAGAGATAAGTAAAGAGATTTAGATTTAGTAGATTATAGAATTAGCCTAAAACTATCTATACTACTAGATAGCTACTAGTAATTAGCCTTAGACTTTAAGAATAGTATAGATTACTAGAATTCTAATTAGAATTAATAGTAGTATTAGTTAGTAGTATGTTTGTTAGTATAGTAATAAACGGTTAGAGTGCAGCCAATAGTCAAGAAAAGGGTCAGTGACCCTTACGTAAGCTATAACTTCCGCTAGCGGCTTAACGCGGGAGGTTTCCGCAAAGGGTCACCGAGCTCTCCGGAGGGGTCACTGAGCTGTATACCTTACCCTTACACTGCTTCTTCACGGTTGCTGGTTGGCTATCCATTTTCCGCCCGCGATCCCTTGGCATTATCATCGCATCACGGAGCAATAATGCTGCAGCCAGCTGCAAGAGACAAGGCGTGAAGGGCTGCACACTGCCCTGATATGCGAGACTACGGCACTGCTCGGAGGTGGCCGCCGAGCCGCGGGCGTGGTTCATCAAGTGTGCCAAGGGAACGCCATCGATAAGGTAACGCCATTCTGCCTCTCCAGTCGCTCAGCTCAGCTAATCGCCCTTATCACTCTCCCTGATGAATCTCCGAGGCCTGGAACGGCGCACGTCGCATCGCTTATGCCGGACGAACGTCCTGCGAACGTATTAACTCGTGCCCTCGCAGGCCATCCCTACCCGGATAGGAAGGAGTCAAGACGATTCGACTCTTCTACTGCGCTCTCACTGGTCAGCCCGCTCGTAGCTCCATGTCATGTTCGGGTGGTGCAATGCTACACCGCGGGACCGTCCCCAAGCTTCCCTACCACCCGGTCCTTGCGAACATGACCGTATGCTAATTATTATTATTCTTATTACCCTCGTCTCGCCCATCCTGGAGCTCACGTCTGGAGGTCCTCTCTTTCTTTCGCGCGTCGTGTCGCATTCGTACGAGATCGTCCTGCGTTGTCTGGAAGCAGATCTCCTTCGTCCGTCACCATGGCCAACGTAAACGAGGTCATCGATCGCCAGATCGATCCTATGGTACGTCGTGGAGCTGCAAGAGCGCTCGTCCTCCTCTCCCAGCTGACCTCGCACAGGGACACATCAATCCGGATGTCCCAGCTCTCACCGAGAAGCAGAATGTCTTCAGCGTCCCCGACGACCAGTCCTCCTCGGGCAATGACAAGGAATTCGAATTCGAGAAGACGACGACCACCTATGTCGGCGAGCTGGAGGAGGCAGAGCTGAAGGCGGAGGACCTCGAGCGCAGCACAGACCCGTTCACTCCCTTCGACGACCTGCCGGAGGAACGACACTACATTGTGACCGTCCGTGCCGTTCTTCTCGGCGTCGTCTGTGGCGCCCTGGTGAATGCCTCCAACATTTACCTGGGTCTGAAGACGGGTTGGACGTTCGGTGCCTCGCTCTTTGGTGCCATTATCGGTTTCGCAGTCCTGAAGCCGCTGGGGAGAGCGCTGCCCGAGTCCTTTCCCATCTTGGGAGGCGCCTTCGGTCCTCGCGAAAACAATATTGTCCAGACAGCCGCGACTGCTGCTGGTGGTCTGTCCAGTGTCTTCATCTCGGGCATTCCAGCTCTGTACCAGCTGAACCTGCTCTCGACTCCCAAGGAGGACTTCACTCGTCTCATCACCCTGACCATCGTTGGGGGCTACTTCGGATTCGCCTTCTCCACTCCGCTGCGAAAGTTCTTCATCATCTACGTCGCTCGGGAGTTGAAGCTGGTCTTCCCCACGCCATCGGCCACCGCCATGACCATTCGAAGCATGCACATGGCCGCGACGGGTGAGGCGATTGCCAAGCTGAAGATGAGGGCTCTCGGCTTTGCCTTCTCCGCTGCCTTCCTGCTCCGTGTCGTCTCACAATATGCCACGGGCATCCTGTGGGACTGGCACTTCTTCACCTGGATCTACATTTGGTCTGGCTACAGCGACTCTGCTCTCGCAGCCGAAAACTGGGGCTGGGTGCTCGAATGGACTCCAGCTTTCATCGGCGCTGGCATGCTCGTCGGCCTGAACACTGCCATTTCTTTCTACGCTGGCTCTGTTCTCGCCTGGGGTATCATCGGGCCGTCACTCGTGGCCAGCGGCGCCGCCTTCGGTACCCAACTCTACCCGGAGAGCGAGTACCCCGACTCGTACCAGCACTGGCGTCCCCTCATCAGCTACGCCTCTCTCGGCACGAAAGCTGCCACCAAGACCACTCCCAGCCCGCGCTTCTGGCTGCTGTGGCCTGGTGTCTTGCTCATGATCGTCGTCTCCTTCGTCGAGCTCGGTCTTCAGTACAAGGTCTTCTTCTACGTCTGCAAAGCCGTCTACCGCGGCTCCTGCGCCGGTGTCGCCGCCGGTCTCCGCAAGATGGGCAGGCCAAACCCCAGCCTTGAAGCCAAGGGCTCGCAGAGCAAAGATCAACTCGTCCAGGACTTCGCCCGGGAGGAGGAACTCGTCAAGTGGTGGATGTGGCTCCCCCTCCTCATTCTCGTCATCATCTGCACTTGCGTCGTCATGGCCGTGCAATTCGACATGCCCGTCGGAATGTCCCTGCTCTCCATTTTCCTGGCCTTCTTCTTCTCCTTCCTCGCGGTGCAGTGTACGGGCGTCACCGATATCACCCCTCTGACCGCCGCTTCCAAGGCCTCTCAGATCGTCCTCGGAGGCGCTACCAAGGGCGAACACTGGCAGACCCAACACGCTCAGCGTCTCAACCTTCTCGGAGGCTCCCTCGCTTCCATCGGCGCCGGCCAAGCTGCCGATCTCACATCGGATTTCCGCGTAGGCTTCCTGCTCAAGACCTCGCCCAAGCAACAATGGATGGCACAGGGTCTCGGCACCATTGTCGCCGTTTTCCTCGCCCCGGCACTGTTCATGCTCTTCGCAAAGGCATACCCTTGCATCCTGGACGTCAACGCGGAGACCTGTCCCTTCACCGCGCCCTCCGTCTCGGCCTGGAGAGCGGTGGCCGTCGCCATGACGGATAAGACCTTCCCCGTCCCCACCTCTTCTGGCATCTTCTCCATCATCTTCGCCATCTTCGGCGCCGCCATGATCGTGATCCGCCATTATGCCTACCGCGGCAAGTGGGAGAAATACCGAGTCTACCACCCCAATATGATGTGTATCGGTGCGTCCTCCTTCCCTTCTTCCACACTGACACACATGCTAACGATTTTTTCCCTTTTCCAGGCCTCGCCTTCGTCCTCCCCCAGACCTACTACGGCCTCGCCATGGTCATGGGCGCCCTCCCGTGCTACTTCTGGGCCAAGCGAAACCCCAAATCCTTCGACATCTACGGCTACGCCATCGCCGCCGGTCTCATTGCCGGAGAGGGCATCGGCGGCGTCGTGAATGCGATTTTCCAGGTCGCGGGCATTGCCGGTCCCACGCCGTATGGGACGCAGGTGGGGTGTCCGGCGTATTCTTGTTGAAGCATGGATTGGATTGATGCATGGAGATTTTTTTGGTAGACCGAGGAAAACAGACTCGCTTCTAGATTTTTTTTCTTCTCTTGTTGATGATTATGATGATGATTATGACGATGATGAAAGATCTGTTTGTACGACCGACCTATCTTTTTATTCTCGTCGTTTGTTGTGGTGATCCAAATGCCATCTGGAACACCGGCGTGAGCGCCGGTTTTCCCGCGAAAGCCTGCCTACCTACATGCCTGCCTTTTGTCAGATCAGATCAGAGCAGATCAGAGCAGAACAACGGAGTCTAACAATAAGGCCAAAAAAAAATCCCCCCTACCTCTACCTTATGCAGTGAAATGAAGTGAAGTGAAATGAAGTGAAGTGGAATGAAGTGCGAATAGACTTTCCTTTCCCTTTTTATCTTTCTCAATGATCCGAGGTTCCAAGAGGCAGGCAGGCACTGGTGAGAGAGCGAAGCGAATCCGAGGGCCGAAGGCCGAAGGCTGCAGCATTCTTATTACGCTCACGGGAGGATCACGGGAGGAGGAGGAGGAGGAGGAGGAGGAGGAGGGGGAGTGGTATGATGGTGAAGGTATGCGTGGAGGGAGTTGTAGATAAGGTAGGTGGTATCTAGGTGGTAGGTGGATTATTATTGGGGTTCTGGGTTGGTCGGGGGTTCCAGGTTGTTGTTGTTGTTGTTGATGATGTTGTTGACGAGGGGAGTGGGAGTGGGAGTGAGGCGGCGGGCATGGATGGATTAGGTTGGGTTCTTCAGGAAGGAACAAGTGGACGGACGGCAAGTCGCGTTGGAAACCTCTTTCCTAGTAGATAAATATTGTGAAATCGATCTACTGGATCTTAGACGTGCCGAGGCACTACAGGGGGGTACGACTGGTCTCGTTGCCTCCAGCTCTGGTTTTTCATATCAAAAGACTGACTCGGCGTGAAAAGGCAATACATGTATCATTTATTACACATACTCCTGCCCCCTCCTCTCCCTCCCCACCTTCGAACTCTTCCAAACCCCCACCTTACTCGTCTTGCCCCCCGTTTTCACCATCCCCGCCAAGAGCTGCACGCCAGCAACCACCCCATCAACCACCCGGACCCCATCACCCCCGACCGCGTCGTCCAGAGCACTCTTCATACCCGTCATGCCCGCGCATCCCAACGTCAGCACCTCCGCGCCCTGCGCTACCAACTTCCCCGCGACCTCTCGCATTCTCCGCACGACGTGCGCCCGCGGTAGACGTTCCAGATCCAGCACCCCGAGATCGCAAGCTTCGATGCCGGCGCAGAAAGGCGTCATGCCCAGCGCGCGCACGGCGTCCGCATGCATCACGACGCTGCGCTTCCCGGTGGCTACGATGCCGAATCGGCCGCCGAGGAGTCGCGCGTGCAGCAGGCTGGCTTCGAAAATTCCCAGGACGGGGATTTCGAATTCTTCTCGGAGCATTTTGGTTAAGGGATGGTCGGAGTAGCAGGCTACCAGGATTGCGTTGTAGTTTTCGCTTTCTTGGAGGGGGATGAGGGCGCGGGCGCAGGCGGCGGAGGAGAGGACGGCGTCGAAGTGGCCCTCGATTGCGGTGGGGGCGAGGTTGGGAGGGCCGGTGAAGGGGTGGACGGAGACGTTGGGTGGGAGGGTGGGTTGGACGGAGGAGATGCAGGCTTCGGTCATGGACTCGGTGGCGTTGGGGTTGACGAGGAGGATGCGGATTTCTTTTCCATTCCCACCGTTGGCAGTGTGTGCGATGGTGTTGCCGTTGGTTTGAGGCTCTTGGTCGATCTCCACGATACCGTCGTTCTTCGTGGGAATGGCGACCACGGGCTTGGATGGTTTCCTCTCGTGGAGCTTGGGAGGTTCTACGACTCCCGTCCGTTCCGTGATCCTGCTATAGTGTTCCACCCTCCTGTGTCGTTCAAAGTCAAAAGTCCTCTTTTTCCCCGGTTCACACCTGTCCAAGTCCACCTCTGCAACAACAATCTCATCCTCTTTCGTCTTGGCCTCAGCAACTATCCTGCCGTTTGGATCGATAATACAGCTGCCTGCAATGAGATTATACCTTCCATCGTCGAAGCCACATCTCGCCGCACAGACTGAGAATGTGGAATTCATGTACGAATTACTCTGCATCACGAGCTTATGTTGAAATAGGGCATCTTCTTCCGCGGCTTCGGGTGTTTGTGAAGGGTCTGATCCCCAGAGCTCAGGCGCGTAGCCAGCAGTGTTGTACCCACAGAATACGACTTGAACGCCTTGCAGTCCTAGACACCGCCACGCTTCGGGCCAGCGGCGGTCATTGCAGATCAACATGCCGACGATGGGTTCTCCTTCGAGATCTGGCACGCGGAAGGCTTCGAACCCTAGATCGCCGGGTTTGAAGTATCTCTTCTCCAGTTGATTTGTGGCTTCGGGATCGGGAAAGGGCTCAAAGTCGCCTGGGAGGTGGATCTTGCGGTACTTGGAGAGGATCGATCCAGATTGGGCGTGGTAGTAGATACATGAGTTGAAACGGTCATTATTGGGACAGAGCTCTGCGAATCCAACGACGATGTCGATGTTGAGCTCTCTCGCCTTTTGGAAGAGGGGAGCGGTTTGAGGTGATGTTGTGATGTCGCCTTGCTCAAAGAAAGAGTCTAGCTCCGTCTGGTCGTTGATGAGGTGTCGAGGGAAGAATGTGGTAAATGCGATTTCGGGGAAGAGGAGGATATGTGCGTCTTGGGATGCTGCTTCCTGTAAGAGCTTGAGCATTCGTTGGAGTGTTTCGGATCGAGAAGAGGTGAGATGTGTTGCGCCCATCTGGGCTGCTGCGAGGGTGAGTTTGCGTGACATTGTTGCTGGGTGGTCAGTCTATGTCTCGGATGATATTGTTGCCTGAGGTTCGTCAAGACAGGAAGCAGTCACAAGAGCTCCGGTAGGGTCAAGAAGAGCTGGACTAGGCTTGGCCAAGACTTCGCTTGATGAAGACGTATGGACTATTATCTGGACAGGACAGGCACATCTGTGCGAGGCGACCAATGTCTCGTCGAGCCAAGAAGATGCGATGGTCATTTGGGTTGCAACGTGCCTGATTGAGCTGGAGCTTGCCATTGACAGCTCTCCGGGTGAAGCTATCATGCAGCACTGCTGCCCCGCTACTCCACCCTGGCTGCTCTAGAGGCAAGGGAGGCAGTCTACGGCGGCCAGGTTCACGGGCCGGTGTCCTTCAGCATTGAGCCGGCGGCGCTGATATGCGCGATAACAGATGGATCAGTGGCGAATGGGAGAGCGCGAGGTTTGCCGCGGTGCCGACGGTCGCAGGAGCCGTTCCGTCGACAGGATGCTCACGATCAGACATGATCCTGGCTGCGTCTTTCCATCAAGCTGTCGAAGGGATGTTAGTATAAGAGGAAGAGACTGGGAAGAAAGCGAGAAGTTCAGGTGGTTTTGCTCATTCGTTCGTCTGATTCGCTCGGATCTCGGCTGTCCCAAGCGAGCCGCCCCGGCCATGTCTCGGCACGTGCTTGGGACCCGCGTGCGCTCGCGTGGTGATAAGCGGGGCCGGTGGCGCTAGAATCAATGGGGCTTCCCGATACTCTTCCAATTGTGGAGTCGAGTGCGAGCGTCGTATCGCATCTCGTCCTCGCCCTCGACGTGTACAGTACCTTATCCAAGTACTGTCCAACGTTACGCCCTGCTTCTCTCCGCGGTACGGTACGACGCTGCGACTCACTCGGCACGCCGCCTCTGACTCCTTCTCTCTCCCCGAGACAGACGCGTCTGAAATGCCGCTCAAGGAGCCGTGCATGCAGCTAGATTGTTTGCGCATTCACTCTTCCTCCTGTACATCAATCAGGACCACAGGACCACAGCACCACATAGCCCAGCAACGGCCATGCAGCCCTAGCCCCGGCAGTAAGAGCTGCTCGTGCTGCCGCTATCGGCCTACACGAGTGGAGTCGCCGTCCTCCATGCGAAGCTGGAACGCGCTGCTTTGCGGACGCCCTACACCTCCCTCCCATACTGTATTAGGGCGTACATACGACCCCAGCCAGTGACTAGGGCTGCGTCTAGCATCTGTAGCTTGTCGCGGCCCACCGTGTTGAGGACCACCAGCACCAACCTCCAACCGTATATCCTCGCGCGACCAGCCCGGCAGCCATGGACGGCCCTCATGTCTCCCCCCTCCATCATTATCCGCCGCCGCCCTTCACTCACTGCTCAAATATGCCCTCCTTCCACCAGTCCAGCCAATCTCCAAAGGCCACCACCAACGGCCAACACAAGCCCGGCCACCAGCCGAGTCAGTCGGTAGACAGCAACACTGACCGCGCTCGCGCCTACAAGTCGCGCAACAAGAGACCGTGCGACTTCTGTCGATATAAGAAGGCCGCCTGTCACCTGGAGACTGCCCCACCTTGCGAGCTGTGTATCAGGTATAACAAGGAGTGCACCTTTGTCGAGTCGCCCGCCAAGAGGCGCAGACCTAACGAGCAGAATGGACATGTCCACAAGTCGGTCGAGGGCCTGTTCAAGCACTCGTCGAATGGCAGTCTCGACCACAGACACTCGTTCAGCCACGGAGGCATTGCGAGCATGGGATTACAACACGATCTCATGCCATGGGAGAACGGAGGAATGACTACGCCCTTCGAGATGCCCGGCATGAACCTGGGCGGCAGCATAGCTCCGGACTTTCCCTTCGATCCACAGCTATATCAAGAACCCATGCAATTCGACACTTTCGATCCCTTGTCGTCGGCGTCGACGACGACCATGAACAGCAACAAGATGGATTCAGGCCATCAACAGACTCGATCGTCCATGGAAACGACCTCTCCTCAGTCACAATCCGCTGCGTTACCCGTCAAACTCTCGCTACCTTTCGACTCCACCTCCGGTGAGCCCTCGCTCGATCGACAAAACTCCTCCAATGCCCAGATCGTGGGCGTCAGTGGAGAGTCAGATCCGTATCTTCTCTCCAAGTATCGATATGACGAATACAACGAAGCCACCTTCCAGTCAGTCCGCTTGCGCAAGATGAGCAGCGGTCCTGCAGAATGCGATAGCAGTGTTCCGACCTTCTTCATGATTCAACCCAACGCTCTAGCTTCCAAGGCGCAGCCACAGCGCAAAGAGGACAGTCAAGACCGATGGCGAAGAGAGCTGGAGGAGGTCGTCAGCGAGGATATAGGGAAGAGATTGATACGACTATTCTACAGATACGTGCAACCGTACTTCCCCATTCTCAGCAGGGAGGATGGCACGGGGATGCGAGAGCCGAGAGAGCTGCCTCCTTGTGTGCTTGCGGCAATCTACGGACATGCTCTGCCATTCTGTCCATGGGACGAGCAGCTTTGTGTGGAGGTGTATACGCCGCCGTCAGCAGATGCGCTCTTCAAGATTGCATGGCTGTCCTGTCAACCGCTGCTGCACACACCGAACATCCCCGCGATGCAGACGCTGCTCCTGCTTGTACAGCGCCGGCCTACCAACCGGCACGTCAGTGACACACCCTTCAAGTGTGTCATCATGACCACGGCAGTGAGCATCGCCCAAGCTCTAGGCTTGAATCGCGACCCAACAGATTGGCCGATTCCTTCCTGGGAGATCAAACAACGGAAACGCCTGGCCTGGGCGACGTACATCCAAGACAAATGGATTGCTTTGAATTTCGGTCGCAGTAGCCACATTCAAGCAGACGACTGGGATGTCCCCCCACTCACTGAGGATGATTTCCCGGAAGCAGATCGACGATTCGACGATTCGCCTGAGCAGACCGCCACGTTTACTGCGCATCACTTCATCAAGCTGTATGAACTGACGCTGGTTGTCGACGACATCCTCCGCGACCTCTTCAGCATCAAAGCCACACGACGACTCCACAGCAGTCTCGAAGCAATCCTGGAAGTAGCCAAGCCGCTCCGGATCCGACTGACGGAGTGGTTTCAGAGTCTCCCGCCGGGGTTACTTCCCAGCCAACCGAACGGCGGTTCATCGATTGGCTCTCCTGAGAGCGTCAGCCGCAGGACATCCCTCCAACATCTGGAACTCGATGGCAATGGCTCCCTTCAGCTGGCATACATCACCGCAAAGATTGAACTCTTCCGCGCCATGTTGCGACCCAAAGTCACCGACGCCAACGCCGCCGCCGTGACGGCTCTCCGGACGGGCGCGCTCGCCGTGGCGAAGGAAATCTCCGAAGTCGTCGAGAGCCTGCAAGCGCGAGAGCTCGAGGCTTTCTGGGCATCCTGTAAGTTCTCCCCCCTCCGAATCCCCCCCCCTCTCCGCATCGCATCCAGTCCGCTAACGATTCTTTGTTCTGTTCTGTCGCATCGTAGACGCCCGCACCAACTTCACCATCGCCAGCAGTTTCATGGTCCTCCTCTTCGTCACCTCGCCTACCGTGCCGGACGCGAAGGAATGTCTGGCGGTGCTGAATGCGTGGCGCAGCCTGCTGCGCATCAAAAGTCGGAGTTGCGATCTGTTGAATCTGGCGCTGCTCCGGCTGGATGGGGTTTTCGTGAAGGGGATGGAGCGGTTGGTGGAGTTGAGTCCTAGTGCGGGCCAGGCTTGGGCGGAGAGTGGGATGAAAGGTTAAGGTGAATGGATCGATGGATGGATGGTGACTTGTGTGTGTGTGTGTGTGTGTGCGCATTTGATTGATACCTCTTCTTCTTGCATGCGGGCTGCAGGCTCTATGGCTATGGGATGAAGTCGACGACGATGAAATGATAGCATGATAGCATGATCGGAGGTGCATCGCCCTCTTTTCTTTTCTTTTTTTTTTCTTTTTTTCTTTGTGGTTTGGCTCTTGAGATGTGAAATGTTTTTACTGTCTTGTCTTGTCTTGTCTTGTCTTGTCTTGTGTGTCTCACTTTGCACTTTGCTATCCCGGTCACTGGTTCTTTGCCCTGCCTTAGCTTGCCACACTACCTTAACGAGTATGGGACTTTTTTCATCATGAAGGACTTTGTTAGGCGACGAGTGCTGCCTTTGACAAAGATCCAAAAGGGAGGGTGTACCCATCCTATTGCCACGGTCTCTGGTGCGTACGGTCATGCTGTATTCTACATGGATATTTGATTGGTCTCGGACGAGAGCGCGATCAAAACTTGATGAGAGCCTCAACAAAGTTTGATGAGCAACACCTGGGAGGCCATGACTTGAATTCACCAGTAAAGCCGGCTCCACATTTGGAGGGGTCAGGCCTGCTCCGGCTCCGGCTCCTGGTCCGGGTCCGGTGTGCTGGAGCTCGTCTCGCGGTTTGCTCCGTCGCGACTTCATCTCCATCCACAGCACAGCACACAGCCACCTTGTCTACCTGCTTTGGGGGCCGAATGCGACGCATCTGCACCTGCATCTCATATCTCGTGCATATACCGCATACATGTACGTGACGACAACACTGCACGCACAGTCTCGTGAGTGTGCGCGGTAAGTTGAATCTCCATCTTCCCCTCCTTCCAACTTCCTTTCGGCTCCTCAGGTCTTCCCGACCCTCATCAGCTTCCGTACGGCGGTGAGTGAAGTCATTTGTTTCCAGCTTACCTCTTCGAGACGGAGGCAAGAAGCATTGTCTCGTGCCACGACGCTAGACTAGACACTAGAACCATTCTTCCAGCCTGGGCACCAGCGCTCGGGAACACAGCACCGCGCACGACCTCAATAATCTCTCCCATCTCTCCCCTACCCGACCATTTCCTCCCCGACCTTCAACATGAAGCTGCTCGCCATCACCACGCTCGCACCCTGCGCTTTCACCGCCATGGCCACCAGGCTGCTGGTCGCCGACTACGGCGGCAATGTCACGACTCTGACTCTCAGCGAAACGAATGGCACGTACTCGCTCCAGAAGACCGCCGCTTCGCAGGCCTGTGCGCCGAATCCGTCTTGGTTGACGATTGACGCGGGCAGGGGAGAGGTGTATTGTTTGAACGAGGGCTTGTACACGGTGAATGGCAGTTTGAGTAGTCTGCTCATCAATGAAGATGGGAGGTGAGTTATCCCAACAGCGAGAGCATCGATGGATGGATGGATGGATGGATGGATGGATGGATGGATGGATGGATGAGCTGACGTGTCCCAGTCTGAAAGCCGTCCAGAACACCACCACGCCCAGCGGCCCCGTTTCCGGCATCATCTACGGCACTCCCTCTTCCCAGCAAGGCATCGTCCTCGCACACTACAGCGGTTCCGCGGTCTCGTCCTGGTTGCTGGATGGAAAGGGCAATTTCTCCAAGAATCAAGAGCTATTCTATACCCTGGAACAACCAGGCCCAGATCCCGAGAGACAGGACGCTCCACACAACCACGAAGCCATCACAGACCCAACCGGAAAATACATCCTCGTCCCAGATCTCGGAGCAGATCTCGTGCGCGTGTACAAATACGACCAAGATACCCTCGAATTGAAAGCTCTGGAGTCATTGAAAGCGGAAGCAGGTTCGGGTCCACGACATGCCGCTTTCTATACCCCCTCCAGCGTCTCCGGTGCCACGACGTACTTCTACCTTGTCGCGGAATTGGCTGCCACCGTGACAGCTTACAAAGTCACGTATACCTCTTCCGGTCTCACTTTCACACACCTCCAGACGTCTCCCACCATCCCCCTCTTCAACACCGCCCGCCGCGTCGCGCCCGCGGGAATTGCCGTTTCGCCGGACAATCGCTTCCTCATCATCTCCAACCGCAACGATACCTCCTTCACCCTCCCCACTCTCGGCAAGAGCGATTCCCTCTCCACGTTCTCCCTCGACCCTCAAAGCGGAAATCTGACTCTGCATCAACTCTGGCCGGCCGGCGGCAATTACCCGCGACACTTCGAATTGAATGCGGTGGGAGATCTGGTGGCGGTGGGTCTGCAGAACGATCAGGCTGTCACGGTGCTGAAGCGGGATGTGGGGACCGGGTTGGTCGGGGAGCCTGTGGCGAGATGGCAGACGAGTGGGAATGTGACTTTTGCCGGGTGGTATGAGGGTGTTGGAGGGAGGTAGCAACTCCTTCCTCCTCCTCCTCCATCTTCTTCTTTGCTCGAGCCGTCTTTGCTGAAGCAGGATTACTGTGTGGAGATCAAGGACTCTTTTGACGACAGAAGAGACAGAACAGAACAGACTTGGCGGTAGCGCCATCGCAGGCATGGTCATTGCCATTGTCATTGTCGTTGGCATTGGCGTATCTAGCCGTTTTAGCCCCCTTCTTGCCGCTCTGGTTTCTCTTCCTTTTCGTCTTCTTTGGAGAATCGCAACACAAGCGAAAGAGCAACAAAGCAGCGGAGGTAAGTCTAAAACTCCTATGGCCGAGGCTGCGAGCGGCGATGCGTCGGGTAGAGCAGCAGAATTACTAGGAGCTGATATGGCTTTTGGCGGAGTCAACTACCTGGGCATTGGAAGCAAGAGCGGGAGAGGCGGTGGATCAAGAGCTGGTTGAATTGTACTGTATGGAGGGACTATATGTACCTTACCCGTACTGGGTAGGTGTCGTACGGAATGTTCATGTTCATGGTTATGGATACGGATACGGATGTTCCGGATGGATGGATGGACGTCGCTTATTATTATGGTCACTACACTACAGTACACGCTTGGAGAGGTCTGAATGCTGGACTTGGAGGTGCGATGTGGAGTGTTGAATTAGACCTCGCCAAGGCCAAATCACAGGGATTGATGTTGTTCGGGGGATGCTGGGAGAAGGGAAACATTAACACACGAGGTTCAGGGCAGAGTTCGTGTCATTTTGCTGACATGTTCCTCGATTAGATCACCACCGGACTCGTCATCGGTGCCTTCTTCTTCAGGATGCTTCGGTCGACTGCTGGTCTCTCTTTCATATCAACCTGAGCGGCGACGCACATTCGTTGAGATATAACGAAGATGCTCTGCCTCACGCCTTTCCTCCTCATCCTCCTGCCTCTCGCAGCAGCGCAGATCCGCGGCTTCAACTCCAACGGCATCGGTCCTAATGGCGTCAAACACGCCGCCGACTTCAAGAGGGAGTTCAACAGAATGCATAACCTCGAGGGCCAAGCGCCCTTCACCTCCGCTCGTCTCTACACGATGATCCAGGCCGGCACGCAATCCGACCCGGTGGAAGCGTTCCAAGCCGCCCTGGACACCAAAACCAAACTCCTCCTGGGCCTCTGGGCCTCCGCCGGCGACGCGGCCTTTGAAAACGAACTCGCGGCTCTCCGGAAAGCGAAACAGCGCTTCGGCAAGCAATGGAAAGACGTCGTGGCCGGGTGCAGCGTGGGCAGCGAGGACATGTACCGCATCACACCCACGGGGATCAAGAACAAATCCGGCGCGGGCGCCGGCCCCGACGTGCTGGTGCGGTACATTTCCAAAGTCCGCCAGATCCTACAAGGCACCGGCACGCCCGTGGGCCACGTCGACACGTGGACGGCGTGGGTCAACGGCAGCAACAGCGCCGTCATCCCGCACGTCGACTTCCTCGGCGTCGACGCATACCCCTACTACGAATCCGACCAGCCCGACAATTCCATCTCCCAGGCCCCGCGACTCTTTTTTGACGCCTACCACAAGACCGTCGCCGTTGCCCACGGCAAGCCGGTCTGGGTCACCGAGACCGGGTGGCCCGTCCGGGGCCCGAGGGATTTCGCAAAGGCGGTGCCGAGTGTCGCGAATGCGAAGACGTATTGGGACGAGGTGGGATGTCGGATCTTCGGGCGGATTAATACGTGGTGGTTCACGCTGGATGATACGAAGAAGGATCCGGGGGAGATTTCGTTTAGTACTGTCGGGCCTAATTTGGGGAAGCCGTTGTTTGATTTGCGATGTCCGAAGTGAGATGATCGGAGAGAAGTTTGGGGCGCAAGTTGGAGGGATTTTCTGTTAATGTAGATGGATGTAATGATGAATGAAGATGGATGTATAATAATGGGAAAGGAGTACATGTAGGCGGATGTTGACATATTGACTGTCTAAGGCATCAAGCGGCCCGAGCTTCTTGTGGGCGAAACAGCCGCGCTAGAACCTCGCTCGCAGTCTTACTTTCTTTCCTTTTCCTTCTCTTCAACGACAACAATTCCAAGAATTTCGCGCCGCCATGAACCACGTCTTTGACGTCGAAAAACGCGCGCTGATTTGAAGGCGATCCTGGAATCGCCGTCTCCCCTTCATCTTTTTCGCGGTGAAGTGCTTCTTCAATTTCTTATACCCGTACTAACAACATATCGTGTGATTACGCAATGTTAGCCAAAGATCGCATTCTCTCGTCCTTCTAGAAGGTCAGTTCCTTCTAGAAGAGGGACTTTCACGCCAAGCAGCATGCTCGAGCACAAGCAGGCCTTCGCGCATTATTAGGAACCTGCAAGAACACCATCGTACCGTGCATCGGGCCGAGACCGCAAAAAAAATCTTGGTATGGCGTGCTCGTTGACAACATCCACTCGGCCCACCCGTCGCACGTGTATGAGACCTCGAGGAGCGTGAGAAACAGCCCGCCTTCCCTATAATAGCAAACTCTCTCGTAATGGGTTTCATGCCAATGTTTCCCAAGGATGGGCCAGGCGGGCGGTGATGTTCTCATAAAAGGCCAAGATGTGCAGCCATGATGATGGAGGAGTCACGACTCCATTATTGCTCTCTTCGCCTGACCGCAGGATGTTTGGACACTCCACGTCGAAAGCAGCGGTCGCTGTAGAGGGCAGTCTATCGGATGCGGACTCGAGGAAGGTAGACGAAGACCTTGCGGAGCAGGGTAGGTGGCAAGATTGCATTCGTTTGGACAGAGAGCGACTGCTGACATGTGCTGGAAGACTCTCAAGGTGGCCATGCCGGGGAAGCGAAGCGCCAGATTGGCGTGGTGTCGGCGACGTTCCTCATCTTCAACCGCATGATTGGTACTGGAATCTTCGCAACGCCGAGTGGAATCCTCTCGTTGAGCGGAAGCGTTGGGCTGGCACTGTTCATGTGGCTAGCCGGAATGCTGATCGCTGCAGCTGGCATGGCAGTCTATCTGGAATTCGGAACTGCTATCCCACGAAACGGAGGCGAGAAGAACTATCTCGAATACGTCTTCCGCAAACCCAAATTCATCGCCACCGGCTTCTACACTGGCTACGTGATCCTTCTTGGCTGGGCTGGGTCGAACTCTGTCGTCTTTGGAGAGTATATTCTGAATGCGGCCAACATCGAAGTCGGCCGATGGAACCAGCGTGGTGTCGGACTGGCTTGTGTCACCGCTGCCTTTCTCATCCATGGCTTGGCGCTGAAATGGGGCCTGAGACTGCAGAACCTGCTCGGCGTCATCAAGCTACTAGTGATCCTCGTCATCGTCGTGTCCGGCTGGGCAGCTCTTGGCGGTGCATTGAAGGTCGAGAAGCCCCACAACTTTGACCACGCCTTCGAAGGCACGACGGGCAGCGCGTACGGAGTGGTGACGGCGCTGTACAACGTCATCTGGTCATACCTGGGATACAGCAACGCGAACTATGCTCTCAGCGAGACGAAGAACCCCGTCAAGACGCTCAAGTTTGCAGCACCGCTCGCCCTGGGCAGCGTGGCTATCCTTTACATGCTTGTCAACGTTGCTTACTTCGCCGCCGTCCCCAAGGCAGAGATTCTCTCGTCTGGCCGTATCCTTGCAGCTTCGTTCTTCCGCAACGTCTTCGGCAGCCGTGCAGAGCGAGCCCTGTCCGTCTTCGTTGCCCTCTCGGCATTTGGCAACGTGCTCAGCGTAATCTTCTCGCAAGGAAGACTGGTTCAGGAACTGGGTCGAGAGGGAATCCTACCCTTCTCGCGTTTCTGGGCGAGCAATCGGCCTTTCAACGCACCACTGGCTGGACTGTTCGAGCACTGGTTGGTGTCTGTCATCATCATGCTTGGTCCCCCGCCCGGCGACGCATACAACTTCATCATCAAGTAAGTCCCACAGAACTCTTGAGCCACGCGTTGAGACTAACCATTCCACCCTTTCCCAGTGTCATCTCATACCCCCTGGCAATCGTCAACTCCTTCGTCGCCCTCGGCCTCCTGTACCTGTACTTCCACAAACCCGCCTGGGCCTGGAATCCCCCATTCAAAGCCACCTGGCCCGTCGCCCTCTTCTTCTTCCTCAGCAACGTCTACCTCGTCTTCGCGCCCTTCGTGCCGCCCACGGAGGGCAACGACATCTACGAGCACCTGCCCTATTACTTGCACTGTGTGGTGGGTTGGGGCATCATCGCCGGCGGCGGAATCTACTGGTTGCTCTGGGCTATCGTCCTGCCCAAGTTGGGGGGTTACGAGCTCGTGCGGGAGGCATACGTGGATGAGATTGATGGGTGGAAGAGGTGGCGTTTTGTTCGGAAGAGTTTGCGGTAGGGAGCGTTTGGATTTTGAGCGGAATTCAAAATGTTTTTTCTTTGGTCTTTGTCTTCCAGTCCCGTTTTCCTTGGCTCGGAGCATCTCGGAATACCTCGTTGTCGTCGTGCTCTTCTCCGTTTTGCGCAGATTCACCGAGTACCTTGATATGTATGAACAACCCTCGAAAATCTCAACAATCGCTTGAGACGGCCTTGGAAAACTAATCATCTTCCTCCAAGGGCGCGACCTGCCGACTCCGGACGCTAGGTGTGCTGCAGACAGCAATCGATGCTTCAAGCAGGATTAGCAACTTGACCTTCCCTCGAGACTGGCCGGCCGCTTAAATCAAGCCTGTAAGACATGACACAATAAGAAGAAAAGGGAGACAAGACGATCTTCTTGCAAGATGTTGATCTTGTTGGACTCAGTTGGGGATGGCTCGGCGCAGGTGCTCCTGCTTGCGGCGATGCGTGCGTCCGGCTGCGAGGAGGGAATGTTCTGATGTAGTGGGATTCATACCGTGAAGGACGGACTGAGTATAAGTGGCCACGCAACGGAACGGAAAACACCATGCGATCTCCACGCAAAATTGAATGATTTCGTGCTAGATAGGGAGAAGAATGAATCGTCGGTCGGAAGAGAGTTTCCGCTTTTTGGTTGGTAGAATGGCGTTTGTTATTACTGGTGGTGGTGTTGTCACTTATCATCAGCCAACCAATCCTGGAAAAGGCGCCTGGAAATAAAGGGCTGCTGGTTTTTTTTTTTACAGGAGTTGGAAGGGGTATGGATGGGCGGAAATCTCGCCGGCTGCTTTTGGTCTTCTTGCTTTTTCTTTTTCTTCTTTTCCTCTATGTTGGAGGGCGTGCAGAATCTCTCTGACGAAAGCATGCAGAGCTACATTTATGGCGTCCAGAGCAGCTCATCTATGAGTAGTGGCTTCAGAGCCCGTGGCGAAGGTCCGCGCGACGGACGAGAGACACAATAAGATGCGGAAACGGACAGGAAAGTAGATGGATCGGATACGCTCGCTACGGACTCCATCAGGATTGCCTCATCTCGATCCTGAGCGTGCTATCCTGGCTATCGGTGGGTCGGTCGAGTTCTCGACAAGAAGCGCTAGAAGACACCGGACCCACAGAGTCTGAAGCACAGCAACACAGAGACGAGGTACAGTATTGAATCTTGACGGACAGGTATGTATGTCTCCGCGACAGCGTCTGGACATCTTCTCCCGAATTTGCCCGCTTATTGATTCGTGGGCACGCCTTTCACCAGGTGCATCCGAAGTCTCCTCTCCTCATCTTCGCTCCGAACATGAAGGACTCCCTTTTGCTAGCAGCAAATCCACGCAGATGGAAACAGCAATGGATTCCGGTGAGGTCCTCTCGGGCCATGGTACCACATCCGTACTGGGTCGGCGAGGAACGATCCGTTTCGGCAATTAATGCTCTCTTTGGGAGGGGATTGGGTTGTACAGGGATCGGTTCTTGGCAAATGCATGTTGACTTTTGGGCTGGGTTGAGTCGAGGTTTCTGGCAATGCAGAGGTTCTTATCTACGCTTTTCTGTGAAGGCTCTCCTTACGGTGTATGGGAGGATGAAGAGGACGAGTAGGCTTGTCTGTATTTGGGAGAGGATTTGAACTTCGCGGTCTCAGAGAGACGCCTTCTAATAATAATAATACTAAGGGTTGATTTGTCTATCTAGCCGGGCGAGCGGAACAGATTAGATCAGCCGGAGATATTTGCATAAGTCATGTCAGACAGTCACGTGCGGCATTCTGAATCAAGTTGTGAGAGCTTTAACTAACAAAGAAGGTTTATAGCCTAGCTATCTATATAAGGTTTTAAGGTATTTTTATATCCCCTCTACTTAGCTACTAAGAGTAGAGTTTTTTATACTTAGGAGGCATAATACTACTTTAGCTAGTATAGTATAATTCCTTAGCATACAGGCCAAGGATCTCATAAAGTGAGTGACGTCGCCCGGCCATACGTACACGCACCCGACAATATTAATCAGCTCCATCCGGAATCAGTCCTATTATTATTATTGTCTGCAACCCGCCATAAGGCTGAGTTTGGGTTCTACATCTCCCTACCGAGCTCTCAGCCGCAACGAGCTGGCCGCGTCCTGGACCTGCATAATGAGATCTGATCTACGATCCAATTGCAATCTTGTAATAATCGAGCGCAAGATCGATTTTCTTTTGTCCCGTCTGGCTAAAATGGGTTGGCCGCACTCCGCATTCTCGCTCGTATTAATAGTAGCAGACTTTGGGGTGGCTCGTGACGGTGGAACTCAATTCAGATTAGCCAGCCGTGCCCAGCGCCACCAACTTGCATGGTGATCGTATCCTACTAACTTCATCTCCGCATTGCGGGAATGGATTCTCTGGTGGAGACGAACGCGCAGACAACGACAACAACAGCAACACCATATATATAACTGAGTGCCGCTCCCACGTCTATGCTCTTGTTGACAACGGATAGACATTCTGTCTCGCAGCCTGGCAAGCAAGCACGGTTCCAGATGGCTCGAGGCTGGAAGGCGGTGGCATTGGCCGGCTTGGTCTCCGTCGCCCACTCACAAACCTCGAATCCGACAATATCGATTGCACAGATTACAGATGTGATCAACAGTACAGGCATCGTTCCCGCAAACCTCCTGGGAGTCGCGGCCACTTTCCTCTCCGCACTCCTCAACAGCACACAAACATCCATCACGAATGCCCTTTCACAGCCCGGTGTCGATCCGCAGAAGCTCTTGAACCCCGAACTATACTACTCATATGGCCACTCTCCACCTGTCTACCCTTCTCGTAGGTTCCAAGTCTTGCAGAAGAGAACGTTCGACATGCTGATGTCTTGCAGCGCAAGGAAGTGGAGATGGAGATTGGGCGCAGGCCTACACCCGGGCGAAAGCGTTAGTGGCTCAGATGACTGCACAGGAAAAAAATGCTGTCGTGATACCGGCGAAAGACACAAGAAGCTGTGCCGGATTCGTTGACAGCATCCCTCGCCTCAACTTCTCTGGAATCTGTTTCAACGACGGGCCCGCGGGAATCCGTCTTCCAGACGATCTAGTGAGCGGGTATCCTGCTGGTATCTCCGTGTCGGCTTCATGGGACAAAGGTCTTGCATGGCAGCGATCCAACTCGATGGGTGCAGAGTTCAAAGCTAAGGGCATCAATGTCGCACTCGGACCCGTAGTGGGTCCTTTGGGAAGGGTAGCTCGGGGTGGACGGAACTGGGAGGCCTTCGGGAATGATCCGTATCTTGCGGCAGCCTTGGTCGAGCCGTCGATTCAGGGCCTCCAACAGTCTGTCATTGCTTGTGTGAAGCACTACATCGTAAGTGGCTCTCAAGGGAGAGCATTTCATCCAGGCTAATGGCTTGCTACAGGCCAACGAACAGGAGACGAATCGAAACCCTTTCCTCCAAGGATTCCTCGCTCCGCTTGGCGTCAACCTCAACAACTCAGTATCTTCCAACCTCGATGATCGAACAATGCACGAGCTGTATCTCTGGCCATTCTACGACGCAGTCAAGGCTGGTGCTGGCTCGGTGATGGCATCATACAATCGCATCAACAACAGTTACGGCGCACAGAACAGCAAGGCCCTCAATGGCCTTCTCAAGACCGAGCTCGGCTTTCAGGGCTTTGTTGTCTCTGACTGGGACGCACAGCACACCGGCATTGCAAGCGCAAATGCAGGCCTGGATCTGGTCATGCCGTCCGACCGTTACTGGGGGAACAACCGGTTGGTGACCGCTGTGAACAACGGGTCGATGAATTCTACCCGACTAGACGATATGGCTACACGTGTTCTGGCTTCATGGTTCCGCTATGCCAAATTCTCGAACCCAGGTATTGGGCCGAACAAGGCAGTCGATGCTAGGAAATCAGCCTCTGCACAAGTCATTCTACAATCGGCAGTCGAGGGCCATGTCCTGGTCAAGAATATCAGATCTGCACTGCCTCTGAAGAAGCCCAAGACCATGTCCATCTTCGGTTGGGACGCCCCGAGTGGACTGAACACTTCCGCATCCGATGCAAACCTGTATGCGCTTGGGTTGGCCAACACCCGCAAATATGCCGATGGCTCGGACTTTGGTGATATTCAATTCCTGACGTCTTCTGCCGCCGTCGGTCCAGCCGGCACGTCCTTTCCAGCTATTGCATTGAACGGCACAATGATCGGCGGTGGTGGCTCGGGAGCCATTACTCCGACGTCAATGATCTCGCCGCTTGACGCTCTCATGCGACAGGCGGCTAGTGATGGAACCACGCTTCACACCGACTTTGTCTCACAGAACCCATCAGTACAGCCAAGCGATGCTTGTTTGGTCCTCATCAATGCCCAAGCATCAGAAACGGCGGACCGAGGCACACTTGCGGATGAGTATTCCGATTCTCTCGTTTGGAATGTGGCTTCGAAGTGCTCCAACACCATTGTCATCATTCACAATGCCGGGATTAGGCTCGTGGATCGCTGGTAAGTAATGTCTTCTGACGGCCACGCTTGTTCAAATGTTGATGTGCTTCACCAGGATCGATCATCCAAACGTCACAGCGACAATGTTTGCGCACTTACCCGGACAAGCAAGCGGCGACGCACTGGTCGAAGTCCTCTACGGTCGGCAATCACCATCCGGACGCTTGCCATATACCATCGCGAAAAACGAATCCGATTACGGCGTTCTGTTGAAGCCGACCTTACCCGATGCTCAGAATCCGCAATATTCCCAGGTCAATTTCACCGAAGGCGTCTTGATCGACTACCGCCATTTCATCCACCAGAACATCACCCCGCGTTTCGAGTTCGGCTATGGCCTCACATACAGCACGTTTGGATATTCCAACATCACCATCACGCAGAACACCGCCGTGAACCGCGGTCTGCCTCCTCCTGACGCCGGATTTAAGGCTCCCTCGGGTGGTCTCGCTTCTCTGTACGACTACCTCACCACGGTCTCCGCGACGATCTACAACACCGGCTCCGTACCCGCCGCCGAAGTCGCCCAGCTCTACCTCGGCATCCCCAACAGCGGTGTTGTCAAGGCCCTGAGAGGTTTCGAGAAGCATTGGATCCAGCCCGGTGATTCTACCACATATACCTTCCCACTAAGGAGACGCGATCTCAGTGTCTGGGATACTTGCAAGCAACTGTGGATGTTACAGGAAGGCGAGTATCAGGTCTACGTGGGCAAGAGTGTTTTGGATATTCAGCTTTCGGGGAGGTTTACGATTAATGGGGGGGGGGGGGGTAGCTTGTTAGAATGAAGGAATTAATGAATGAATTAATGGCAGAATTCTGGATACAGTACAGTACAATCGAATCGAATCTTTTGCGTCTGGTCTTGCTGCGGAGACAAGCATTAGGGCTCACGCTGAGGGTTAGTTGTGTTGTCTACATGTACATGTGCGAAGTGGAGCCACATGGCTTTGGATGGATGATCGGTAAGGTAGGTATGTATTATCCTCAGCCTCTTCTGCTCTGCTCTCCTCTCTTTTGTTCTCTCTTCGACTCGACTCGACTCGGCAATTTTTCTCGAACCTGGAAAGCGAAATTCAAACCTTCTCCGACTGACAGACGGCTAACTACAAACTCGGGTAGGTCTACCGTTCTTTGAAACTCAAACCAGCAGGAAACCGACCGACTGACCGAACCTGCTCTTCATACCTTAGTCGGTAGGGAGGTAGGTAGGTAGGTAGGTAGGTCGCACTAATCTTGAAACATGTTTTTTCCCAGCATCTGGAAGTAGCAATCTTGAGCCAGCCAAGCGTTCCAGGTGTGCATCATAAGACGTGCATAGAAGAGACTATACCTGTCTGCCTTCCGGAGGAGGAGGAACGAAGAATGCCACTTCTTTTCTCTTCTTCTAGCCACGACGAGGGAAAAAACGGTCTGATCGAGAAAAGGCAAATATAAAGATGCCGTCGCCGCGAAGTTGAGCTGAGCTGAGTTGAGCTGGACTACTGCGAGCAATTATCTACCTGAGCGATGAAGAAGCGGGATATATAAGTGTATCTCTCTCTCTCTCTCGCTCTCTCTCTCTCTCTCCACCCCCCCCCCCTCTCTAAGGTTTCTTTTCGTGGGGACTAGAGCTCTCCCGCCTCGATCGCATCTCAACAGGTCATCTATCTATCTATCTTCTATGAACAAATTCTGTTTCCTACCTACTTACTTACTTAATCTCCTCCTCTTCTCTTTCCTTCTCCTCAACGAGACGAGAGAAAAGTTTTGGCGAGCGTGGATTGTAGGAGTGTACATGTGTGTATGTATGTATGCAAAACACGCGAGCGAAGTGACCCTTTAAGGTGATTCTCGAATTACACTTTTTTTGTTACCATTATCATCGTCGTGTTCTGTCTGTCTGTCTGGTACGAGTGGGGATTTCTTTCTTCTTCAAAAGGGAACAAGGGAAATATTTGTATTTCTGGTCTTCGCGGTTCGGTTTGGAGGGCGGTTTGGAGCGGGGTTTGAGTAAGGTGGATAGGGCAGAGGAAGTGAAGATATTACAAGGGGGCCATTTTTCATTTGCTAAGAAGTATACGGAGAGCTCTGCGGGAGACAAGGTACCACGTCCGAGAAGACAGAAACGCGAAAGCTGGAATCTGACGAAGATTCGGGTCTTCTATTCCTTGCAAATTCAAGGACTGTTGACTTCTTTGATATCCACCTGTGTCTCCCTCCCGTCTTCTTTCTTCTCACTTGCGGGCTTGGAAAAGACTCCGCTCCCGACGACTACAATGCCCGTACTCTCCATAACACTCGGTCCTAATGCTGTCCATGTCTGTAACCAGGTATCGTACCGATGGCCAGCCTCACACCCATGGACCCGTGCAGTGGTGCCTCTCGCTCCCTGTGCGCAGAGGAAGCCGCCCTTCTTGTCGAGCCAGAGAACGGCGTATCGATCGACTTGCCATTTAGCCTCATCGATGGGGTCCCATGTGACTTCGAAACCGTCCGGCGTGGAGTATACCTTGCCATTGGAGGGCGGAGGGGCTGTCGAGCGTTGTGCTGTCCCCGACACGATCTTGGACCAGGAACCTTTCTCCGATGGACGATCGCCTGCTCGACAGCGGACTTGGTATTCCCATTTTTGTCCTGCGGACGTGAACATGTTGTCGACCTGGTTTGTCGCTGCGGGGAATTCGCTCCATTCTTCTTGCCCTTTGTTTCGCTGGCGGATGTCGTAGCCTCGCGAGCCGTAGACTTTGTCGAACGACAATTGAATTCCGTACGGAACACCATGGGCTTGGACATTCTGTGGGACAGGTAGAGGTCTTCTGGGAATGTGCTCCGGTATGGCGAGTGGTGCGTTTCCGATTCCAAACGCTTGATGCAGAGTTTGGGAGAAAGCTCTGGCGATCTGGAACTCTCCCAATTCGTTCGGATGCACATCGTCGAAAGTCCCTTTACACTGATCCGGAACATACCCATAACTCCTCTCGATCTCCACCGGCTCGATCCTCATCGTTTTGGTACTCCATTCCGGAATCGCATGGTGCAGGAAAGAATTGTATCGCGAAGTCCACCAGACCAACTCCTTGTGGAAATCCATCGGACTTCGCTGGGGTACGTTTCCGAGACAAAGATGGATATTTGGCTTGGCTGTCTTGACGTTTGTTACAAATTGAACCACACTTTTGAAGGTGTCTTCGGGTCCGCTGACGCACCAGGCCATGTCGTTGAAACCGAGCATGACGAGGAGCATGTCTGGTTGGTGTTCCCTGACGGCATTGGAGATGATGTCCTTTGCCTGAGCGATTTGGCGGCCGCTCTGAGAGAAGTGCCAGGTAGGGAAGTCGGGGGATATGTCTTTGGCATAGCCGCCGGCGAAGACTGGTGTGTGGCGTTAGTTGAGGAGATGTAGAGATGGGAATGGATAGACTCACTGTCCCGTTCGGGCGGATCAGGATCATCCGGGAATTTGGGAGGCTCCGGAGGATGTGGCTCCTCTGCAGGCACGGTACCTTTATATGGACCTAATAATATCGTCAGATACGCTGCAGGGATGCTGTGGATGCACGGACAAGATCTACGGACCTACAAACGTCACCCTTGTCTTCGGTGCGGCATTCTTGAACCATTCCCATAGCCTATATCGCCATGTGAAGTCGCCCTCGGAAGCGTGGGTCATGGAGTCTCCCACGATCATAATCCGGAGTTCATCCTTGAGCGATAGGGACTCCATGATGTCTGTCTGGGGTGTGTTGAGGCCCGAATCGGTCTCATTGCTACGCAGATGGATGGATAGCGATGAGGACGAAGTGATGTCGGTATTGTCTCGTCTGTGCGCTGTCACATGGTCCATTAGTGTGGTGGACGGGGAAAAGTGGCCGGGGATGAAGCTGCGGCAAACCTGGAGATGATATGGGTTTGCTGGTGACGTCAGCGTTTTGCTGTGAAAGTCAATCTCTCTCCCGGCTGAACTGAACTTCTATCAGCAATGCATTTCTTTCTAAGCCATCATAGACTACATTACCACGAGAACTCCCGGTCTATCCTAGGAGTGGAGAAGCCGCCCCCATCTTGCATGCTTCTATCTCGCCGGTGATGGTCAGCCACGCCGGGTTCCCGACGGATTATATTCGCCGTCATCAAAGACATGAGAAATAAAGGCATCGCATGTCTGGTCCACACGGGATGTATAGCCCCGTGACGTTCATCTCAGTCTTGACCGGTGCAGATTATGCAACCTACGGCAAGGATGCCTGGGTCTCGGAAGGCTGTGAAGGATGCGGTCTCGAGGATCTTCCGCAGCAGCTTCCCTTTAATGGCTTGATTTCCGTCTTTAGTATGGAGCAATACGGGGGAGACACGCCTCTTCGGGTCTATGTCCGTCTTCAAATGTGCAGCAAAACAAAGGCATTTCGTGCTCAGACGAATGCTGCGATCGTGTGAAAAAGGCCTTCCTTCTGCGGCAAAGAGAAAAGGCCCCACCGTAGGGGATCTCTGCAAGCTCTGGACTTGCGTGCAGAAGAACAGGGACTCACCTATCAGAAGAAAAGAAAAGTGTCTCATCCTAGCCGGGATATAGCTGGCTTCGTGACCGTGGACTTTCAGGCGGTACGCAGACCGGAAATGCTGTCAAGCGACAGAATGACTGCGTTCTTCCCGTTTCACAGTGTGCCCTACCTCCGAGTCCTTCTAAGACGCGGCGCCGGAACAACCTTTTCCCCGGTTCCTGAAGAGGCCCCAGCGGAGCTTGTATCAGGCTCGTTCAGATCATTCCCTGCGAACGCTCGTCTCCTCCGCTCTGCGTCTTGAATGAAGCTTCTAGACAGTCTTGGTCCGGTCCAGAGCAGCAGAACTCCGAGAAGCAATTCCAGGGGATCACGTATACCTGCGTGCCATCCGCCGGGTGGATAAGCATAACGAGTTGGAATGGCCAGGAGAGCGAGTAAATCCTGTAGTGGACCGGCAGCGGTAGACTCACGGAATTAGTCCTCGATGGTGCTATGTTGTATGAACGTGGTAGATGATGACAACAACCCCACGAACTGCTCTTGCTTTCTAAAAGTGTCAAGGATGACTGGAACTCTCCTCTCTAGTCTATCCTACAACACCTCATACTCTAGAGTATCAACATTCCAAACACAATCCGCAAGCGTACACGGTACAATGCGTTCCATTCTGGGACTAGGCAGAGCCCAGTTTCTGTGCGATCCCGCTGGCTGGATGCTTAGAGCATGGCGACAGCGATCGTACCAGCGCCGAGGAGACCTCCAATGGCAATTGGAGCAGCAGTAGGAGCGGCGAAGTTGGTGGACTGGCTGGCAGGCTTGCTGGAGGAGGAGGAGGAAGCGGCCGCGCCGCTCGCGCTAGAGGTACCTGTAGCGGAGGCGGCGTTAGCCGAGGAGGAAGAAGCGGAACGAGAAGAAGAACTGCTGGAAGAAGCAGAAGATGAGGAGGCGGAGGCGGGAGCTGTACCTCCGATTGGGTATGTGGCTACTGCAGAGCCTCCGACGGTGAGCTGGACATCATTAGTATCGTTTTGGACATCATAGGGTAGCTTTGTGTTATATTATCTTACAGTGGTGAGCATCTCGCCAGGAGGAGCAGTGTTCTGGCCCACTGGGTAGGTAGCCTATCATACAAGGTAAGTAGGCGTCTCACGTGTGATTTCCAAGGCTTACTAACCACTGGCTTGCCAGAGACAGTGAGGGTAGTCAAAGTCTCTCCAGCAGGGGCAGTCTGTCTCTTCTCATTCTCCTTGCCAATGGGGTAGGTTGCCTAGATGGAGATGAGCAAACGTCTCAAACATAGAGGGATACTTTCCATTCATCAGTCTACTTACCACCGGGCTGCCCATGACCGTGAGGGTGGTCAGTGTCTCGCCAGGGCCGGCAGTGGGACCGCCTTGTGGATATGTAGCGACGGGCGTGCCGTTCTCCGTGAGCTGTTGAAGTCTGTAAGCGCAGTTAAGAGCATCGTGGAAGGCATGGTCGTACGGTAGTCAACTCGGCCGATGCCATGGCGGCGGCGGCGGCGAGGACGAGAAGCTGCTTAGGCTGCATCGTTGTTATCGGTGGCGGGACCGTGAAAATGGAAGGTCCCTAGGATGAAGACGAAGAGTTCTTGAACTTGTCTGGGCTGAAAGATTGATTGGTACGAGGATTGAGTCTTGTGCTTGTGGATTTATTGTTGCTCAGAATGTCCTGCGATACAGCAGAGATTCCAGGCGGTATATATGAAGCAGGATTCAGGCACACGAGCCATCACTGACGTCTTTCCTGAGCGACTAAACGAGAGCATTCACAGCGCATTCTTCGTCTGCATCTGCATCACGGCCACCGACGACCCGAGTGGATCGCTGCTAATATTAGCAAAAGTCGAAAATGTAGGAACAAGGCGCAGAGCAGTCATCGCCGTCGGTGGCCATGGAATGGCGAGCATCTCCGGCCAGTGCTAAGCCTTACGGCCCAGGTAGAAAGTTCGACATGATGTTTGATGTCCAGATGTGCTTCCGAATGGAGGAATATGGCTGTGGCACAGACGGAGGACTCTCATGGCATGTAATTGGTAGTTCAGGCCCAACATCATGATGAAAGCGCGTATTCCTCCTTTCCATTTGATTGATAGCGAGACAAAGAGGCAATGAGGAAAGTCTACTTGCCTCTGCTCCGGTCTGAAATCGGATAATAATATTGGTTTCTTGAGCGATGTTGGATTGCGGCGAAGTTTGGCTTTTGGTTCGGTGTGCCACGTCATTTTGTTGATCCTTCGGTCGACACAGTGCTGGAGGAACCGAAGCTGAGGTCGGCTTTCCTTTCGCTTTTCCGAACTGCTCTCCGAAAGCCGATTGTCGTTTCAGGCCTGTTGTTGACCTTCTATCATCGTCTCTTGCATGTGAACAGCGGACACCTCAGCTTCATCTCACCACAGCGGCCGCCGACGCAGGAGTACGAGGATGTGACGAAAGGCAACCGTCAGCGAACCCAGATTTTCCAGAAACATCAAGGAGGTATTCCTAGGAAAGATATACAAGCGCCGTAGGGTGTGGGGCGTGGCCTCAGCACAACGTTCAAAATGGAGCTTCAGTGACCTCGGTAAAGCTGGGGCGGAGAGATTGGTACATTTCCGACGGCAACACCATGATCATTTAAAGTTGCTTTGGAGCTCAGTGAGCTTGAGTTCGCCTCCTCTGTTGCGACCTGAGGCCATCAAAGGCGAGCGTAACGACTACAGCCCTGGTTCTTGACCCACAAGAAAGGTCTGCCTTGGACGCAATCTCATCGCCAACATGAGCAGACCGGCGGATCTCAAGCAAGCTCTGATAGACTCCGGCGAAGAATGGAATACAAGCTGGGACAACGTCCTGCAGGCATCTCCATCCTACTTAGCAGCGTACGTCAAGCTCCGTCAAGTCCCAATACAGAAGCAAAAGCTCCCTCGCAAGATCCAAGAGCTCATCCTCTTGGCTATCGATGCGCAGTGTACTCACTTGCACGCTCCGGGCGTGCGTCTGCACATCGAAGAAGCTCGTAAAGCTGGCGCCTCAGTTGGCGAAATCATCGAGACACTGGAAATGGCATCCGTCCTTGGCGTGCACTCCGTGACGGTCGGCGTGGAATTACTCCAAGAAGTCCTAGCTGAGAAAGGCCAAACGTTGTCAGCAGAGGACAGAGACCTCTCACCACGCCAGCAAGCGCTCAAAGACAACTTCGTTCGCCAGAGAGGCTACTGGAGCGGAACCTGGTCTCCCGTTCTTCAGCTCTCACCGGAGTTCTTCGCGGCGTATACGGAGTATTCTTCCGTCCCGTTTCAAGAAGGACATTCGTTCCTGGAGTCATATGTGAAGGAATTGGTGTACTGTGCGATTGACTGTGCGACTACACATCTTTTCGCGCCGGGTTTGAAAATCCACATTCGAAATGCCATTGAGAAGGGTGCGTCTGCGGAGCAGGTGCTGGAGGTCTTTGAGCTGGCTGCTTTGATGGGCGCGAAGACGGTGGTGATGGGAGTTGATGCAGTGGCTGAGATTGAAAAGGGTTAAGAGCATATAATGGAGTGCTAGGGAAGAGAGTATTGAAGAGTATTGAAGAGTATTGACAGAGGGCAAGGTTCGATGCTTGGCCGGGAGGCGCCAATCCAGCCAATCACGGCAGGGCACTGACCGAGGCAGTGACATTTCCGACGAGGACCCGTGGAATGCTTCCTTCAACGTCAGCTCCTAAATTATTACAATATCTACCTACATTACACTCTCAGCCTATCAGCAGACATTACAGAACACTCGCCTATGCGCCCGTGAACAAGTGTTGAATATCAGCGGCACAGAACTACTGCGCCAAATGTGACTATGACCCCCACTCAGGCACCATCGCATCCATTGCCCTCTTGATGCGCACGTGAATCTGGAGCAAAAGATTCTGGGACTGGTTGACAGCCGCCTTCATCTGCTTGGCCATAACCCATCATCATTTGGCTTGTCGGGCTGTACATCTGCTGTGGAACTGGCTCAGATGTGCTCATGGGTGGACTTGGATATACGCTTTTGTCCCACGGGTTTGAGAAGTTGGTGAGGTCTGTCGAGACATCGAAGAATGCGAACGGATCCTGTTGTTGGAGCGGAGCCATCGTCGAGACGTTCAGGTCCTCTTCTGGAATTGAGATTGCTGAATCTGTTCGGACGGCGCAGGGAGGAGACCTTCGCGCGGAGGACATGTCCGAGGCGGCTGTGAATGGATGTCAGGGCATGATCAATATTATGGGCCTGTATCGACTTACATCCACTTGGTGTTGCTCGGAAAGTATGTTTGCTGTGCCCGCGTGGCCTACCTTGTCTTCTCGTCTCTCGTTGGCGACATTCGATCCGGTTCTCTTTGCAGGCGCGGCAGACTTTGGAATCGGTCATGATACACTTGACCTTGCGGGCGTAACAGAACTCGCAGGCCCTTGAGCCTGTGCTGGCATTGCTCATTTTGGAATCTTTGGGCAAAGACTATCTCGACTATGGTGCTGGAATCTCGTCTATGGTGCTGGAATCCACGAAGACCGAAATACTGAAATCTGCTCACAGAAATAGGTATGGAAAATGATCCAATATGGGTACAGAAAAAGGCCTGCCGTCCTTACCACCACGAGGCTACGCATGTCGATCTCACAGCTGGGATCACGATCTGAGGCCCTATGAAATGACACTGTGGAAGGCTAACTCCAACTTTTCAGATCGATTGCATTCTTCGATCGTTGAGTGCAGTGAGAGGACTCCACTTGTTGGCATGGTTGTACACTTCGTTCGGCGGCTCTGCGTGAGCACCGCTTTCGAAGGTAGACACAGGCGAGCTCGCGTGGCCGAATGCCTTAGGGCCACATCCCGGCAGCGACCAACAGTCCGTACGGTACCTATCAGCTCAGGTGCTTGCCTGTCGGTCTTGGAGCGAGTTACTGAAAAAGCTTAGCAGCTATCTTCCACGTTGAACCATTGGCCCGGAGAGAAAAGATAGACAGGAAGGTGCTTCAAAATTCGCTGGTACACGAGCGAGCAGATCTACTGTGAGCTTGAGTACCTATCTGCAGATCACAACGTGCAGCCACGTGCTTCCTTCGGCAGTTTGTCAGGGAACCACTCAGCATTATGGGTTGTCCCCAGATCCGAGACCACATGCTCTCGGATCTGATCTGCAGGAGTCATCAGCCCGGAGGCCCAGATACAATCATCGAGACCGTTGAACGTTGATGACGATGACTGGTCTGACAACGCTTCACCAGGTGGCGAGACGATTGCCAGTGGCAGAAATCGTTCGTAGGATTATCCTTGACTGCTGTCGCAGAACGTATCCAGTTTGCGGCGAAGGAAGAGACGTAGTGCAGAACTGGGCTAGAGGGAAGTTGGATCATCCAAATTCCCAATGTCCCATTGCACGAGATAGCAGACCGTGTTACAGAGCTCGACGCTAAAGCAAGCTGAAATCCTCCAGAAGCTCGCCCAATTTCGGATTCATGCTCATGCTCTTAGGGCTCGGACCGCCCCGGCCATCGAATCTGTAGCGGCACGATGGCCCACGTTGCTGCTATGTTTCAGGATGTTCGCGGAGATATGTCCAGCGCATCCAACACTGACTGGTTCGCAGTTTTGCTGCGAGATAATGCACAATCTCTCAACAGGCCAGCGCAATGCAGCGACGAACGTAAGTGCTTTACATATCTTATCCGGCGATGTGAACTCTGATTCTTTTTTAGGCCATCTTCGACCCATTCGAGATGGGGAGCCACGTGGAGTTGCTGCCCGTCGCTGTACCACGAGGCTGTCGCGTTTGCGTGGTCGTTTCAAGGTTCTACCGACGGAGATATGTTGCCTTCATCATTTGTCGTTTCAATGGTCATGTCTGCACGGGCCACTACAGCATCGCATGGCGTTGCAACACGCCACAGTCTTGCACCGGCTCTGATCTTCACCAATGCTCGATGGATTCGTCTGCGGCGTGTTGGTTGATCACTGGACGGCATGCGACCTCGTGGCGGCTCTGCGTGGCCTGCGAGGTTGGCGAGCAGTACGACGCGTCTCTGCAATACCAACAGCGCCTGCTCTCATCGATTGAAACTCGGGACCGATGTCCTGGCTGCTCTGCAAGACCAGTACCGACTTCACCATGATGATGTCGACTGTGACAGAATAGCGGACACGAGACTTCGAACAAGACAACCGCTTTTGCAGCAAGCGAGCGAACACGGAACCCCTTAAAAACCCCTCTTGTGACACTCTCGCCGCAGACTGTGCGCGCTGACCGAGCTTTCGTATGGCATGAACGCCTCCAGCGGTAATACCACATTACCGATCGGCTTTAACAGCTCAAGAGCTCCTTCGCCCGGAGAAAGCTTATCGGGTAACCCAAAGGCGCCTCAAGGCGAAAAGACCCTTCCGGTAGGATTCTGCAGTGCATGTAGGAGCTGATCATAGCTAAGGGGCATACCACGGCCGAAGAGGGCTCCGACACACTGTTTCATTGTCGGTGCGGCTACTCCAGGGTCATTGCGACGACTCGAGGGTCAGTGCGAAGCCATCAACAACACCAACACTGCGTCCTCTAAGTTCGACTTGCTCCTCACTACATCGATGATGAGACAAAATGATGAAGTCGGTACGGACGAGATCCTAGCATACCGGAGAGCGAACTGCTCGGCGAAGCGATAGTTGCCGTGAAGTATTCTATGGACTGGCGGCGGAGACGTGGTAGTGACGTGGTGCATGAACCCAAGCCACTGCCGTTCGGAGCTAGCTCAGCCATGAGAACCTCCTTTCGTGACACGATCATCTGATTACTGCATGACTGTGGGTGAAAAATACTGATTGTAGATAGGACACCTCGACGCGTCAACTAACACTTTCAGAGTATTTTACAAGCCTCCAAGATGTCATTTCCGGAATACTCTACTGGAGCAATCCACACTTGTCCACCATGTCATTAATCACCGGCGCAATCTCCTTGATACTCTTCTTATTCCTCGGCAACGTATGTCCATCCCCATGATGAATCGCGGTCGCATTCCGACACAGCTTCGCAAGCTGCTGATGCTGTACCCGCATGTAATCCACATCAGTCGGATCAAAACAATGCACCGTCGGAATCTCGATTCGCAAACTCGTCTCCTGTGGAATAAACTGCCAGCAAGGTCCAGAAGGTTCCTCCATGTCTTCTTTGATCTCATTGAAAGCTTGAGGGTCGAGGCCAGCGCTTTCGAGAGCGATATCGGCAGTACACATTCCGAACCCTTTCGTTTCGTCACGGCCTGTGCCGATTTCTTTGGAGAAAGGGAGGGTTCCGCTGAAGAAGACGCCAAAGCGAAAGGGCTCGGGCTCGGAGATGTTTTCGAGCGAGTGGTGGAGGATCAGAGACCCGATGAGCGCTGCACCCTGGCTGAAGGCAAAGACGCCGTCGAAGGGACCTTTGATGCAGCTCTTAGCCAAAGCTCTCTTGCCCGTGCGTGCGGGTGTAAAAAGAGGCATGTACCTTCATCTTCGATGACTTCCTTGATGTATTCGACGTTCTCACCGACGCATTCTACGTCGAAAGTCTGACCGTGGCAGTAGAAAGGTCCTTCGCCGAAGAGCTCTTGGATGCCGGGTGCTGGAATGCAGGTTGTGGAAGCGTCGACGAAGACGTATTCCCAGTGCTTGGGAAGCTCGAAGCGGAGCTTGGCTGTGAGGGTCTCGTTGACTTGAGAGTTTTCTCCCATGCTAGCAGCGTTGTCAGTAATCGTATTCTTGTCGGAAGAGCAGTCCCTTCGCACCCATGAAGGCAAAGAATTCGAACGCTTTCAGATGCCATATTGCTGGTCGGATTGGAAATTGGTGATGTTAGGAACAAGTTCTGATATGATGGAAATCAACACAAAGAACTATGAAGTGCTTGGAATCTTGATATTCAAACGCCTCGCCGCAGAGATAGAAGAGGGATGCATTGTATGACATTTGATCTGGGAGCAGACGTCATGCCCATGTGAAGCCGCTCTAATCCTAATGGAGGAATTTTCTTGACCGCTTTGCTGTGAAGTAATCTGCACGGCCGCAGATCCGTGCAGTATCTGGGCAATGCGGTCTTCGGTCACGTCTGCGCGTATCGAAGATGCGAAGAAGACCGGTTGAAGCAGGTCTCGATTTGGAATGGACTCGTATTGATAATGCCCCCGGGATGGTAGCCAGCGAGGACGGGGTGTGGAAGCCGGGAGATGTAGGTGTTGGTGTCAGTCAGGAGGACAGCTCCACCTTCGAGCCTCCGGTCAGAGCTTGGTACTCTGCTTGAAACAGCCTCAAGATGAAAATTAATGCAGAAATAGTTTTGGAGAAAGACTTCCATCGTTTAGTCACTACGCTGAAGTATCATATAGTAGACAGTCTATCGCCTGCAATCTGATCACCCAGACCCCAAAGCTAATATACAATGCCGTCAAGTCATCATCATCGAAGTCATCACCTCTCCCTTACAATCCTATCGGCTTCCTGGCAAGTCACAGAGCCGTCTGAGATCATCTTCGCGACCTCCAATCTACGCTTCAGAGCGATAGGTCGTCTGGTGAAGGTAAGAAAACTCACGAGCAAGACGATTGCCGCACAGTAGGTTGCCATCCGGAACTGCTCCACGAATGCATCAGCATACGCGTTTGCGACCGCGGCTTGCTTTTCGGGTGAGAGCTGAGCGCTGTGATCCAATGATTGTCGCAACTCCTGTAGCTCGTTCGGCTGTAGCACGCCGGCCAGATATTTGCTGAAAGTCTCGTTGAGTACGACCGTCGTCAATGTGAGACCAATGCAGCCTCCAAGGATACGACACTGGCTGATGATCCCGGATGAGAGCGCTGGGAAGTTTCGTCGTCAGTCAATGCAGAATGTAGAGGGCACGGGGTCAACATACCGTAGTCTTCATAGTTGGAATTCAAACCCGAGATGTACGCCGTGCTTGACAGAAGACCTCCCGTGCCGAGACCATAGAAGATTTGGAAGAAATATGTCTCAACGCCGATCTTGCCAGGAGTGGGTTTGATAGAAAGCAGGCCGGAGCCGAGCAGCAGGAAACTGCTCGCAACCATAGATAAAGCAAAGGTCCAGTTTCTTCTAGCACTGATAATTCCAAAGAGGGTCGATCCTATGGCACTGGTGGCAAGGAACGGGAGGAGGCGGATACCAGCCAGCAGAGAAGAGTCGCCGTTCAGGACCTGGTAGCGTTGAGGCAGCGTGACAATGGCCAAGAAGAGATTGAATCCGCACAGTGTGCACATCCTGCGAATCCAATTAGCCCTTCAATTCTGCGGTGTATCTTTCTTGGGACATCTCACATGAACGATGCACTCACAAGACGAAGTGTCATGAGTCTTCTTGGGAATAGAGGCAACGGACCCTTTTCTGTCTTGCGGAAAGTCACATCTCGGTGATGATTCCATCCGAGAAGCACGAGGAATGCAGTCAGAGCACCCACAAGCGTTCCCACCACAGTCGCAGAAGTCCAAGGAGCGTAGTAGGATCCTCCAAGCTGGATGCCGACTACAGCACAGCAGGTCGCCGCTGTCAGGAGTACCAGTCCCAGAAAGTCAAAGTTGAGCGCCTTATGCAAGCGTGTCTTCAACGTCTCGTCCAGCTTGGTATCTTTCCATGCGATCAGTAAGATCGGGAGGAGAATTCCGCATCCGGGAAGATTGAGGTAGAACAACCATCTCCAGGTCGTCTGGGCGGAGATGACTCCTCCGAGTACAGGACCCAGAACATTCGAGATGGTGAAAATGCCTCCCTGGGCCGTCACCATGTGCGCATACCATTTATCGGGTGTGATTTCTGGCAACACAATGTTTCCCAAGCTGTAAATTCCAGATCCGCCCAGTCCTTGTAGTACACGGAACACAATCAGCTCATTCAGGGTTTGTGCGCGACCGCAGCCGGCGGAGAATCCAAGGAGGGCGAGTAGAGAGATAATGAAGATGGGTTTGCGGCCGAAAATGTCGCTGAATCGAGACCACAGCATCGTGAAAGCTAAGAAGACTGGTGTCAGCAAGCTCCATTCCTCCAAACCAAGCTCCTCCGGCGACCGCATTCTGTGTTCGATACACTTACTCATGTACGATAACAGATACCCCAGTACTATCCATATCGTTTGCGCGAAATCGTCAAAATCGTTTCCAATCGTGACCAGAGCTGTCGACACGATGGAGGAGTCCATTGTCGCCAATAGCAATGCAATCAAAACACTGTACCGCCAGAGTGATCGTCAGCGGCGCCTTGCATACACCGCTATCATGCGACCTGCAACGTGCATCATCAACATACCTTGGTAGGGTGAGCGCCAATCTCCAGCCAGAAAGCTTGAGAGCTTGTCTCGTTTGGGCTCTTTTGATCCCCTGCTTGGGCGGTGGACTCTCAGAATCATAAGATGAAGGATCCTCTTTTTCATGGTTGTCGCTGTCCTTTGCTTTCACATCCCGTCCGTTCCATCCCGTCGATCGATGAAAGGCCTCGACCTCTGAGATTTCTTGCATAATGGTGTTGTCCTCATGTCCCGGACCTAGCTCGAGGCCAGACGGTGCAAGGGATGAATGATTGGAAGAAGTCCATATGCTGCCTCGTTTGGAATGGTCCCAGGAGTCGTAAAGTCCCATTGCTGCGGGCACGACTTTGAAACGAAAAACTGATGGAAACAACAGAACAGAACAAGACGCTTTCTTCGAGGGTTTCTTCCTTCGCAGGCCTCCCATAACTTTTGAACCGTGCTCGAACCACGCGAGGACGCACTTCGGAACAGTTTGCAGACCAACACCGCCCAACTCGCCCATTGCTAGCGATCACTGCCTGCTACCCGTGAACCAACTCGACGACCAACTCTCCTCGCAAGTAAAAATAGAAATCCGACGTCGCATATCCATGAGACTGTCGATCCCGTTTCGGACGTATAGCAGTCAAACGTGATCGTGACGTTCACAAGGAGTGCTGAATTGTCCGTCGGAGCCTCCAATCCGAATGGGGCAATGTTGAAAGCTGCCGGAGCTTCGTGGCCATACCAGACACCCCAGAGCAGTAAAGATCGACACCTTGCTTTTGGCATCACGGTGCTGACCACATTGGTATATGAGCAGCTCGAATGCAATGGAGTTGATGGTTTGACAACATCAGCTGCGTCCAATAGCTTCATCCTGGGCCAGTGAAAACATCATTCTGAACCCCCAAGCATCCACAATCTCACACCTCTGCACCTTACCTTGAGAGGTCCATCAATCAATCAACCAGTCAATCTCCAAACACGCCGCAAACCTGTATCAATAACCCTTCACCTACCTTGTATTACACCATAGATCGCAGACATGGCCGCAGACGACTCCCAACAGACCGGCTCCCACGGCCAAGATGTCCCCATCGCAATCGTGGGATACGGGATCCGATTCCCTGGCGACGCCACCTCGCCAGAGAAATTCTACGAAATGCTCTCACAGGGCCGTGATGCCTGGACGGAGACGCCTCCCAGCCGTTACAATGTCGATGCCTACTGGCATCCTTCCACAGAGAGAATCGGAACCACCTCAGCGAGAGGCGCTCACTACGTGGAGCAGGACCCCTCGGTCTTCGATGCTCCATTCTGTAAGAACGAGAAAATTCGGGCCTGCAACCGATCAGTACTGACAAAGGGCATGCAGTTTCTATGACCGGCGCTGAAGCGGCAGCGATCGATCCGGCACTCCGCATGATGCTCGAAATCGTCTACGAGTGCTTGGAAGACTCCGGTATCCCCATGCAGTCCGTCGTCGGGAGCGACACTTCCGTCTTCGTCGGTACTTCCTCGTCCGAGTACCACGATCTGGCCCTGAGCGACATTGAAAACGTGCCGCTCTACGCCGCCGTCGGGATCGGCAATTGTATGCTTGGGAACCGCCTGTCACATTTCTACGACCTGCGAGGAACATCGCAGACGATCGACACCGCGTGTTCGGCAACGATGGTTGCCATGCACCAGGCGTGCAACTCCCTCCGAACCGGCGAGGCCAGAATGAGTCTGGTCGCTGGATCACAACTGATGATGGGTGCCGGTGGGAACGTGTCACTGACCCGTCTCGGATTCTTGTCCCCAGACGGACGCTGCTACACTTTCGACGAGCGAGCAAACGGTTACAGCAGAGGAGAGGGCGTTGGCTGTCTCGCCATCAAGAGACTGGATGACGCTATTGCCGACGGAGACACAATCCGCGCTGTCGTCCGTGCCACTGGTTCAAACCAAGATGGCAAGACACCTGGGATCGTGCAGCCCAGCGCAAAGGCCCAATCTGACTTGATCAAGCAAGTCTACAGAGCTGCTAAGCTCAACCCAGACGACACCCAATACTTTGAAGCACACGGCACCCGGACAACTCTGGGAGACCCTCTCGAGGTCAACGCCCTCGTCGAAGCAATGGCAACCAGAGACCGAGCCGAAGACAACCCAATGTACATTGGAAGTGTCAAGACCAACGTCGGCCATTTGGAAGGTAGCGCCGGTCTCGCCGGTCTCTTCAAGGCCATCCTGCAGCTGGAGCACGGCCAACTCTTCCCGACACTGAACTTCAAGAAGCCAAACCCCCGTCTGAAGCTGGACGACTGGCACTTGAGGCTTCCGCTGGAGACGATGCCATGGCCCGGCAAGGGCCAGCGCAGAATTTCCATCAACTCCTTCGGATACGGTGGAACAAACGCCCACTGCATTCTCGACGATGCATACAACTACCTCAAGTCCCGCGGACTCAAGGGCATGACAGCCACAGTGGCAGCGCCACCAGGCCTGCCTCGCAGGTCCATTGACTCCGAGGGCAATGATTCGGCCATGGGCTCGGAGACGATCACGCCAGAAAATGAAGCCGATTCCGGACTTCCCAAGCTCTTCGTCTTCTCTTCGCCAGAGCAGGCGGCCGTCGACCGAATGACAACTCGCTATGCCGAGTGGCTGGAGCGCGAGAGCAAGGCCATTGGTAAGGAGGACATCAACCTGAGCGACCTGGCTTTCACCCTCGGCCAGCGACGAAGCATGTTCCAGTGGCGCTACCCTGTCGTCGCCAAGAACGCCAATGAGCTCCGAGAGACTCTTGCGAAGCAGACCAAGAGCACCCGAGCTGGACAGGTTCCCAACCTTCTCTGGGTCTTCACTGGTCAAGGTGCGCAGCACGCCGCCATGGGCAAGGAGCTCTTGCAATACCAGGCATTCCGCGGAAGCATCGAAGCGGCCCAACTATTCTTCCGCGAATCTCTCAAGGCCGACTGGGATGTCTTGGAAGAGCTCACTCGATCGCGCCAAGACTCTCGCATTAATGAGGCCGAATTCTCGCAGCCTTTGTGCACAGTCGTCCAGGTCGCTCTGGTAGACTTGCTCACTTCCTGGAAAGTGCAGCCACAGGCGGTCGTCGGCCACTCCAGTGGAGAGATTGGTGCCGCCTACGCTGCAGGCGCTCTGTCTGCCGCCGATGCCTGGAGAGTTGCTTTCCACAGAGGCCGACTCTCTTCCAACATTACTAACGAGGCACCAGAGCTCGAGGGCTTAATGGGTATGATGGCCGTCGGCAAGCCAGCTGAGGAAATCGAGCACTTGATTCCCGGCGCGGACGCCGAGAAACCAGTCGTGGCTGCTTGCTACAACAGCCCACAGAACGTCACCCTCTCCGGTAACAAGCCAGTCCTCTCGGAGCTTGAGCAAAAGCTGAAGGAGGACGATGTCTTCGTTCGCCAACTGAAGGTCGACATCGCATACCACAGCCCGTACATGAAGGTCATCGCCGATCAGTACCAAGAAGCTATCAAGGACATCAAGCCCATGGCCGGCAACAAGGAGATCACTATGCTCTCTACCGTCACCGGCCAGCAGATAGAGGCTTCGGAGCTTGACGCCAGCTACTGGGTCAAGAATATGTGCTCTCCAGTGCGCTTCGTTGAGGGTATCCAGGCTGCCTTCCCCAAGCAGAAGACCTTAAGCCGCCGCAAGAAGCGCGAGGGTCTTGCTATCGACGGACTGCTCGAAATCGGTCCCCACGGCGCCCTCCAGGGCCCCATCAGACAGATCCTGACCGAGGAGAAGAAGTCTGAGGAGGTCTTTTACGCATCCATGCTTTCCCGTGGAAAGGACGCCACAGTCACGTCGCTTGAGACTGCTGGTATGCTGTGGTCCAAGGGCCTGCCATTGGATCTCGAGAGAGTCAACAACTCCTTGATTGACGCTCCTCAGGGCAAGGTCCTGGCTGGTCTCCCAAGCTACTCGTGGAACCACGCCAACTCCTTCTGGTTCGAACACAAGGCCGAGTCCCGCCGTAAACGGGTGGGCTACCGTCATGATCTTCTCGGAGCCCGTCTTGAGCCCCACCTGGGTCTCCGCTGGCGAAACTGGCTGCGACCCAAGGAGAACCCATGGCTCATGGACTTCAAGATCGACGAAGATGCTGTCTTGTCGCCGCAGACGCTGATGGTCTCCATCATTGAAGCTGGGAGGCAAATGGCTGAGTCTTCTGGCAACGAGAGTCACGGCTTCACGTTGTCTGACGTGAAATTCGGCACTCCAGTCGTCATTCCAGAGCTTGGCACTGATATCTACACCGACTTAAGGCCCCTCGGGAAGATGGACGTCGGCGCGGACGCAGACGCAGAGAAGTACTCTGAGTATGAGTTTGACATTTTCACCGACCCAGAGGATGTGCCAATCTACCACTGCCAGGGGAAATTGAAGATCCACTACGAGCAGGATGTTCCTGTCATCCAGAAGGACACTCGCTTTGAAGAGGACATCGCGACCGCTGTAGAGCGCACTGCGGAGGAGTTCTACAGCCACTGGGACGACGAGAAGATCCACTGGGGTCCTCAGAGCCAGCTCATCAAGGAGCTGGTATCCTCACCAAACTCGTCCAAGATCGCACTGGAGCTGAAGGAGACCAAGAAGGCTATGCCCCTCGAGTACGAATACCCACATCTCGTGCATCCAACCACTTTGAATGCTTGCTTCCAGGGCGTCTACGCCGCCATCGGTAGCGAAGCTGCTTGGCCGGAGACACAGTCTATTGACAGTATCTACATCGCAAACAGCTTCCCAAAAGGTGAAGGCGTCCAGCTCACGGCAGACTCGGACGTCTCCTACCAAGGGTTCGGAAGCTACGCGGGCGAGGTTGTCGTCAAAGACAAGGCCGAAAGAGTCCAGGTTTTCGCACAAGGGGTCAACCTCCAGACCGAGATGCTCAGGAACGTTGCCGAGGAGAAGCTTCCCGGCGATGTCAAGAAGGTGGCTTCCAACTTCTACTGGAAGCCGGACCCAGCCAAGGTCACTCCAGAGAAGGCCAGCACTGTCTTCAATGAGAAGGAATTGATCCTCCAGTCTCCACAGAAGCCAGTCTTCTCAGGCACCGGTTCGCTCTGCCACAAGCAGCAATCTGCCGTTCCGGATATGGTACCATGGAAAGCGTTCACCAGCAAGTGGCTGGAGCTTTGCGGACATAAGAAGCCCACACAGATGGTCGTGGAAGCCGCTCACTCCGCCGATGACTTTGCACTCAAGGCTCTTGAGGTGCTCGGAGGGCAGTTCGGTGCGACTCCAGTGTGTTCCAGGTACTTGTGCGCTGTGCAGGAGGCTCTGCCAGAGGGATCTACCCAGTTCGAAGACTGGTCGCACTTCTTCTCGACCAAGCAGCTCGACCTGAAGGCCGAGAGCAATGTCCAGGAGCCTGAAGCGGCAACTGTTGACACATTCATCATCTCCGAGCGTCTTGCTGGTCTCAATGATGCCGAGATCCTTCTCAAGAACGCCGAAAATGCCTTAAGGCCAGGTGGATGGTTGGTGATGTCCCAAGTCGACGTTCCAGATTCGGAGGCAGACCTTGAGGCCGTATCGCTTCAACTTCAGGAGCGCGGATTCGGTGGTGTCAAGTTCTCTCTGCGCTCGAGCGCTTCCGATGCGAATACCCGAGTATTGATCTCGCAGAAGCCTGAGAGGCCTACTCTCGAAGTGGACAAGACCCTCGTTGTGCTTCCAGAAGAAGTTTCCGAGGATCTCCAGAAGTTTGTTGAGCTCCTCAAAGACGGCTTTGCCAACATGGACGTCGCAGTCGAAGTCAGCACCTGGAACAAGGTGACGGCCGACACCTCCATCATCAAGAACCAGGCAGTCATCAACCTGCTCGAAGCCGAGACTCCCTTCATCTGGCAGATCACCGAAGAGCAGTACGAGCAAGTCCGCGCATTCCTTCTCAACGGCCATAACGGAGGGCTCTGGTTGAACAAGGGCAACTGCAACCTCGAGCCAGAGAGTGACTTCAAGTTCCACTCCGCCACCGGTCTGCTCCGTGTGATGCGCAATGAGGAAGAGAAGAAGTTCACCGAGCTCTCTCTATCTCACCACGAGCCTCTTGCTCATCAATTGGCCGTCGACCACACACTCCAGTGCTTCCGCGACGTTTATGAAGCTGAGTCGCTGGAGAAAACCGCGGAGATGGAAGGTGGCGAGCTCAATGGTGTTCTCCACATCTCCCGTATCTATGATGAGCCCATCGAGAACCGCCAGATGCAAATGATGGGAAAGCAGCCTCCGCCGAAGCAGGTCACTCTCGGAGAGCAAGACCGTCCTCTTCGCTTGACCATTGACGATCCTACCGATCTTGGTTCTCTCAAATTTGTGGACGATCCCGAGAACCAGGGAGATCTTGGTGACAGCCAGGTCCAGATTGAAGTTCAAGCCCATGGTGTCCGCTCCATGTAAGTTCGGGAAGCATTATTGACAAATCTTGACAACTTCAGACGACTGACAAATCCGCAGGCACGACATCAGGAGCCTTGGTCTCGTGGAAAGGAACTTGGGCACCTGTGCCGCGGGCACCATCAGCCAAGTTTGCAGCAAGGTTTCCCAATTCAAGGCTGGAGACAGTGTTGCTTTCTTCGGTCCTGGAGCATACCGCACGCACATGCAGGTTGACGAAGATGCCGTTCTGTCAATCCCCGACTCCATGCGAGCCTCTACTGCGGCTATCTTTGTCGAAAATCTGTTGTTGGCATACTACGCTGTCTTCGAGATTTGCCGACTGCGACCTCGCGACCCAATTCTTGTCACTTCTGCGGAAACCGGCTTGGGTCAGCAGATTGTACAGCTGGCCGGTCACGTTGGAGCCAAAGTGTTCCTCTTGACTACGGATGAAGAATCGAAAGAAAAGGCCGTTGCTGATTACGGTCTTCAGCCTTGAACCATGCGGAGAGCTGGAACGCAGCAGTGGCGGCAGTCGAGGAGCAGATGATCGAGAAGGTTGCCAGTGCCATTCCGATGCCACCAGAGGATGTCGACCCATCCAGACCCATGGGACACTACGGTGTCGACTCGCTGATTGCCAGTGAGGTCCGAAACTGGGCCTTCAACGTGGTGAAGGGTACTTTGCACGCAGCGGAGATTCTGTCGGCGCCGTCAATTGACGAGTTGGCGGCCAAGCTTGCCTCGCGGAGTGGTCTCGTGCCCGACCATCTCAAGGAAGGGAACTAAGAGAATGGATGAATCTGTTGACGGCTCGGGATGGAGCATAATATCAGGATGAAGCACCGAAGATAACGATAGAATACTCCCATTTTCATCGTTCGCACCAGTTTCTGCTCTGATCAACGTATGATCTCTTGTCCTGTAAGATATCATCATTGTGCTTGAGAAAAGCGCAAATGCCCTCGATGGATGGGCATTGCAGTTGATCGTCCGCATCGTGTCGCGTCGCGTCGCGTCGTTGCGGTGCGCGTCCATAGATACGGGGCGAGCAATCGCTCTCTGTACGCTCATTCACCCCGCGTACGTTTCAGTGGATCTTTGGGCGTTTACTCAGGTGCGACAGGATGGATGTAAAGATGCGGCATCGTGGGAGACGGATGTGTCGACAGGGCGGAAGGGTGTGAACGCTAGCGGTGTAGTGTGCCTGAGGCATGGACCCTCCCGTACCCTAACGATCTGCCCTTAGGGTTTCTTGGGGTAGCATAAAGACCTGGGACTGGCTGTCATTACGCTCTCCCTTTCACGAGCATCGCTTGCGAGACACTAAAAGGGTACAGAGGAATACGTTTGCCTGTCTAACCCTTGTTCTGACACCCGATGCAGCATGATCAGTGGTTTGGCGTGACTCTCAAGTTGAATGTGAAGATTGTGCGTTTGACCTCGCATACATTAGCAGCACTCCCGATACCTTTTGGTCGCCGCGGAGGCTGATAGGCAAGATATGCATGAAGTCAGATACGTACCGTACCGTTGGAAAGCGAAGACTCGGTCGGGGGATGGGACCTTCCGTCGGACACCCGCCGGCGGCGGTACGTACCTTACGCTCTGATAGGGATCGGATTCCATCGCGCTTCACTTCATTTTCCTTCACAATATAGGTCTTCATCTCAACTCCATCGAAGACAAATGCCAAGGACAGCCAGCCATCGAAGACGTCTGGTGTCGATGGCAGGAAGCCTCGCGTTCAAGGTCAAGAATGCGAAACCAATACCCGCCCCCGAACAGCCGGCTCTCGCAGCCGAAGCATCTCGCCGCGCCACAGCAGAGAGATCTTTCTCGACTGTCGCGGTCCCGGTGATAAGAGCCCAAAGTGCCGAGCAGTTCCACGCGCAATCATTCTCCGATGCGTAACGCCATTATTGTACCATGGCGCCTTGCGCAATCTTCTTTTCCGTGCGCTTTGGCCTGCGCCTCTCGGCTGCGAGAGTCGGTATCCAAATCTACCCACTCGAAGCTGAGATATAGGTGTGAGCTAGGTCCATCTGCATGTCCATCTTCATGTGTTCGCCTCGAATACAGATTTATGTCGCGTTCGCATCGAACAGCCTTTTGAACAGCGCACCATGACAATTAACCACAGTCGCCGAGAATCTTTCGAGAGCGAAAAGATCGAAACACCAGACTCCTCACGAGCACATTCGCAAGCATTTCCTACCGACCTGGAGCAGCAGAATACAAATCAATCACCCGAAGATCCTTTGCGCACTTACAGTACCGATGGCTCGCCGCTCGAGATATCACCCTCCCACCTCTCACAGCCGGCTAGTCTGCTAATACCAGACGGAGGCCGCGTTGCCTGGCTGCAAGTCGTCTCTGGCTTCTTCCTCTTCTTCAACTCATGGGGTCTGATCAACGCGTTCGGAGCCTTCCAGTCCTATTACAAGTCAACACTTATCCCTGCAGAGACTAACAGCAACATCTCCTGGATCGGAAGTATCGAAGCTTTCCTGCTCTGCTGCACCACAATCTTCGCCGGACCAGCTTTTGATCGTGGATACGCAAGGACTCTGGTCATATCCGGCACAGTTCTAGTCGTTTTCGGGCTGATGATGACGAGCCTCTGCAAGACCTACTGGCAGTTGATGCTTGCACAAGGCTTATGCATGGGCATTGGACATGGAGGACTCTTCATCGTTAGCATCGCGATTGTGCCGTCCTATTTCAGCACCAAGAGAGCCTTTGCGATCGGTCTCGCAGCAAGCGGAAGCTCTCTCGGCGGAGTCATCTACCCCATCGTCTTTCATCGGCTTGTTGGTCAAGTGGGATTTGGCTGGGCGACCCGCGTCATAGGATTCATGGCTTTGGCAACACTCCTGGTTCCCTCCACCTGCATTCGCATGCGTACCCGACCGCGACCGAGGAAGACGATTATCGATTTCGGCGGCTTTCGAGAGTTGCCCTTCTCGCTCTTCTCGCTGGCGAGCTTTGTCGGATTCATAGGACTATACATACCTTTCTTCTACATCTCGTCTTTCGCCTCCGAGAAAGCCGGATTGAATTCGACATTGGCGTTCTACATGCTTCCTATCATCTCAGCGGGAAGCACAGTCGGACGCATCTTGCCTGGTTTCGTTGCAGACTTCCTCGGTCCGCTCAATGTCCTCTCGATCTGTACGCTCATTGCCGGGCTGCTGGGCTTCTGCTGGATCGCGATACCATCTCCGGCCTCAGTCGGGGGACTGGTAATTTGGAGTCTGCTCTATGGGGCTTTCAGTGGGGCATTCGTCTCACTACAGCCGAGCACAGTCGTGAGCATCACAGATGACATGAGCACCGTTGGAGGCAGGCTGGGAATGAACACTTTCTGCGCGGCGCTGGGACTGTTGATCGGAACGCCGATTGCTGGAGTGATTCTGGAGAAAGACCCTTCCTGGGTGGGAGTACAAGTCTTCTGTGGTGCTACGCTACTGGCTGGCGGTGCCCTTGTGCTCGTTACGAGATGGTCGAGGGTGGGAATGGAGATTGTTAGGAAGGCTTGACGACAGCATATACAAGAGACAGGATAGATGTGTTAAGATACCCAGATAGTACTTGAGAGAGAGATTATTAATAAGACGTGGGGCTATGGTAGAAGATGTTTCTTCGACCCAAGCAGCATGACTCGGCATCGTTTTAGGAGCCGTGGTACTGCAACCAGATACACGGAGTCCGGGCAAGCTGCACCAGCTGACAGCGCTTTCAATGGCCTTTGTGCATTGCCCTTGTGATTGTTTGTCTGTAACCGGTTTTAACAAATGACATATGACAAAGGTGCTGGGATGTTTGCTTTAGGCGATATCATGTTGTTGGAATTTCTGCCAAGCTTCGGTGCCGCTGGCAACGCCTGAACTCAAAACAAGCACGAGAGATGTCACGGGTAATCTGAGACCGCATTACATTATCACGGCTTGCCGTCCTCACCCGCGTTCTCATTACTGCAATAATTTCCCACAGCAATGCCGTCCTACACATGCGATATCACCGTCGCTCAGCACCACATCCGCAGAAGCAATGAGCAGCAGCAAACCGGATGAGTGAGCGCACTGCACGACATCATACGATAGGCCAGTAGCCATCCACCTCCACTCCCGAGTCACCACGGCACCACACCACCCAAGCGCCGCCACCTACGCGCTTCTTCTCTTCTATAACATAACACCGACAAGCTGGCGGAGTACATACCCCTTATCGCCTCATATCACTTTCCTAGTGATCGCTGACTCCACCTTGGTAGCTTCCTCTTCGTCTCCGGCTGGGGCCATGGCGGGTCCTCCTTGAAGCCCACCACCTCCCGCCCGAGTACCCTCACCCGATCGCAGACACCGACGCCGACGACACCCGCCAAGTCACGCTTCGCATTCACCCCTCGGCTGATGAAGAGCATGAGTACGCCCAACATCAACCAGCAGAATCCGAGCATGGCCGCGGCGGGCCCCACACAAGCAGTCAGCGCACTTCGAGACGACCACGGCATCATGGATACTCGTACACCCAGCCCCGTGCAGCGCACAATCAGCGAGGAGAGCAACGAGAGCAGTGATCCGGATTACAAGCCCGATCTGAGCGCTGAGGTGGCGATGCTGAGTACGAAACTTGTGAATGCGATCAATTTTCAGACAAACCTGGATGATTCGCTACAGCAGACAAGGCATGAGCTGGAGCAGACAAGGCAGCGATGCGCGACACTAGAAGAGCAGAACAGGAAACACGAAGAGCTCGTCAAGAGTGGGGAGCTGGTGAAACGAAGCGAGACGGATAAGGTCATGGCTCGATTACGAGTAGACCTTGGGAGCGAGAAAGCCGCGCGGCTGGCAGCAGAGAAGGCGAGAAAGCAGACGGATGCCGAATTGGAGAACCTGACCACACAGCTGTTCGAAGAAGCGAATAATATGGTCGCAGCCGCACGGAAAGACACTGAAGCCGCGGAGAAGAGGATTGCGCAGTTGAAGAGCGAGTTGCAGAACCGAGACATGCTCTTGGATGCTCAAGCAGCACAATTGCAAGATCTGAAGGGAACCATGGAGAGACTGCAGACCCAGACGCCCCCTGGCGCAGACCCGAGTGTGCCCTCGACGCCAGTAATGACAAATACCGCGATATTTGATGCACTACAGCAATCGCCGAATGCATCGACTCTTTCCGATCTGCCACCAGAGCATCCGCTGCACTTCTCGCAGCTCATCTCTCCGGTATTGAGAAATGATACTACAGGGTACACCGATTTCCAGGACCTACTTCTGCTAGCGCGGAGACTCGGAGCACCCTCACGGACGAACAGCAACGCCGGGACCCCCTCTCTCGGAGGTTCGGTCGGGTCTGCCGCATCTACATCATCACCGATCCTGCCGGGGTCTTTCTCGTTCGCTGGCAATTCAAGCCCGTCGTCAAGCCTTGGCGGATCCATTCCGCCGCTCAAGGACAGCAAATTCTACAAGCGTGTCCTGACCGAAGACATTGAACCGACCCTAAGACTAGACTTGGCGCCTGGACTGTCCTTCCTCAGCAGACGAACTGTGCTTGGATCTTTACTGCAGGGAACACTGGCCGTTGAACCATACCCGCATAATAAACATTACTTTGCTTGTACTCTTTGCGGGGAGAGCAGAAGGAACGAGCCTTACCAGCGGAAATACCGCTTTAGAACGTCCGAAGACGACAATGCGTCGAAGCCTCTTTGCGACTACTGTGTCTCGCGATTAAGGGCAACGTGCGATTTTGTCGGCTTCTTGAGAATGGTGCGAGACGGGCACTGGAAATGCGACAGCGAAGACGACATGAAGAGTGGATGGGAAGAGAGCGTACGACTGAGAGAGCGGATGTTCTGGACTCGTGTGGGAGGAGGCGTTGTGCCGTGTCTACAATTACAGAAGAATGCGGATGCTACTCCATCTTCAGCCGCTGCTGTCAAGAGCGGTCGGCAGAGCCTGGAGAGCATCCCTGAGGGCCACCGTATCAAGAACCTGGACGCCGAGATTAGTTTCTTTGAGGGCGAGTCAGAAAGACCGAAGAGCGCCATTGGGCAGGCTATTGTGGGCATGGCTAGCGGTGCTGCTGCTGTGGCTACTCCAGATTTGCAACCGCAACAGACGGAAGAGAACAATTTCGTTACGCCGCCTCCGAGCAGTCACTTAAGCTTAGAAGAAGCGGATGCTCTGGCTACTGCTTCTCCTCAGCCCACTACGCCTTTCGAGGATGCGGTCTCAGAGCCTCAGATGTCAGTCGAAGAGCCCAACTCGCAGGACGCCCTGGCCAGGTCAGAGGCCGCGCTTTCGGCAAAACAAGACGAGAAGCCGGAATCGATGGAGAAGAATAACGAAGTCGCTGCGTCAGAAGACCAACCATCTGAAGAAGAGCCGCAACGACGAGGATCAATCGAGTTGGAAACGAGCTCTCTGCACGTCGCTGCCGCCTTACCCTCAGAGACTACACCTAGAAGCTCTTACAACGTTGAACGACCCCAATCCCACCAACGCAATAACTCTTCTGTCCTTGCGCGGGTGCGAGCAATGGAGGCTGGAAAAAATTAGGCGGCAGCCTGCGCGCATGCTAATTTTCATTGTTGTAATAATACCCCGCATAGCTGTCATGGCCCTTCCTCACTGGATAGAAGAAAGGCGCTTTTTGTACGATATGAAGAAGCGAGCGGACTGGCATGGCGTTTGTCGGTTGATGGGAGCGTTTTGTGATGGAGATAAGATGGTACGACGGTCCGGCTTGAGGAATAATGCATATATATAATGGGACGGGGCGAAGAGCAAGGAAGCGGTGTATAACAATGGAGACTAGAGACAAATATCAAATACATGAGTCTCAGTTGCAACTGAGCAGTGTTCGCTCGCCTGCACGTGATCTTTCGGAACCAGATTATGTCATCGGATTCCCCGTCCTCACGCCGGGATTTCGTCCGAACTTCACCTCTAATTACTGAACTTGTCACCGCCACCTACGCTTCTCCATTTCTTTCTCATCCGTGTATTGGCAGCCGCATATCTTGTACAATATCGATCGCCAACACTGCCACAAGAGGAGCATATCTTAAGCCACCAACGATAACATCATCGCCATGGACGGCTGGCGCCCGCGACACTCGCGCGACAACGGTATATTTCGCGGCTCTGATGAAGCGATTGCCATGCCCTTCACGAGAGCCGCATCACTAACTTGACTTGGTTGTACAAAGACAGCTCAGATGCTACGGGCGAGTTCCGCATAAGGGGCATCTCGACACGCCGTAGTAATGACTTGGACGCACCTCCTCGTGGAGAGCATCATTACCACCGCGAGCGGACTAGCCGCTATGATTCTGGACGCGACAGGACTGTAGTCTACGAAGAGCCACAGGGACCGCCAGCCAATACTGGGGAAGACGACGCTGCGCTCGCGGGGACGAAGTCCAAATTTCTGCTGGTCCGTGGGCTTAAGGTCAACACGGACGAGACTCTGCTTAGCAATGGACTGAAGAAGTTCTATTTGGATGAGCCTGAATGTGGCGGCGGATCACAGCCAAAGCCAGATCCGTCCGTACAGCCAACACCAAAGCCAATGCCACTCGCAAAGCCCATGCCGCCTGGTTGTGTCGCAAACCCGTCTGGCCCGTCGGGAGCCCGGCCGGGAAGCCTGAAACGGGTGTTCATAATCCGGGATCGAGACACAAACAAAAGTATGAAGTATGGATTCGCTGAGTATCATTCTAGCACCGACGCGAGCGCCGCGCAGGCCAAATGCATTGAACTCGGAGATAAGAGCACCATATCATCATCAAAAATCACGCTCGAACCGGCTGACCCTGGCATCTTTGCTCCTGTTATTGGTCGTCTGAAACGCGATAGCCAATTCTTCTTCGAACATGGGGGCAACCTCTTCCAATATCGCGACCAGCGTTACTGGGCATCTCCTATGCTGATCAATGAAGAGCCTCCAGTCGAAGAGAAGCCAAGCGCGGACAACCCTGCTGGCGAATTGGCCCAGCCAAGCAAGAAGCGCGCCATGACTGCAGGCGTCGACCCCTCGGACAGCGGCAGGACGAAGAAGCCCAAGACGGGTAATCTCCAGATTGCTGAGAAATGGCAGAAGAAGCAAGCTGAGCTTCGAGGCGATGATGGTGGCGAGGACGACCAGAAAAATACCTCTGATGCGCTATCGGACTCCCACCCAGCACAGGCAGATGGTCAATCCTCTGCAGTACAACCTATAGCTCAGAGTTTCATCTGGCAGCGCGAGGTCAAAGGGCAGACCAAGAACTCTTGCTTGCTATGCCTCACGGACTTACCGACCCACATCGAGCCCCAGCGTCACGTCAAGGAGAGCGCGAAGCATGCGGCCAACATGAAAGATGAGGTGAAATACAAGCAAGGTCTCGAAAACTTGAAAAAGCGCGGCGTCGTTGAGGAATCGACTCTGAAAGTCTTTCCGGATGTTGAAAAGCGTTCGCCGAGTCATGAGCGGCCGACTCAGCAAAGAGAATTTCAAGATAGAGCGGCTATGCGACGCGAGATGGAAGCCAAAGCCGACACTGCTAGCAGTCTTGCCACGAAGATCAGCATCCCTCTTGGCAACGATCACCAAGCGAAGAAAAAGCAGACCCCGGAGATCGCCAAGGACGCATCCAGTGGAACCGCATACGGCAAGGGCATGGCTATGCTGAAGAAATCGGGATGGAAGGCCGGAGAGCCACTCGGCTCAGGGGACGGAATCGTTCAGCCGATTGAAACGAACATGTACCAGGCAGGTGTTGGACTTGGTCACGAGAGCAGCAAGATCGGAGACGCTGTCGCGGAGGCTCGACGATTCACGCAGGCTGGCAATGGTGGAGGTGGGTTCATCGAGAAGACTAAAGAGGTGTTCAAGGACAGGTTCGAGAAGATGTCCTAGGAATGATGAGGTTGCCTGCGTGGAAGGAGGCTCGAGAGGCACTGCACCCTTCGCATTCCCCTTTGGCATGCTGCTGGGGCATCATTTGTTCGGAATTCGCATTGTGAGATGAAATTAGCTTGAGGTATGGCCCCGTAGCTCTACCCGGGGCCCACCAAGCTATGGGCACTGCTCACGCTGGCCGAGATTTCCCCATCGTGCAACGCAAAACGCCTTGCTTCACTCCTTTCCATTTTGTCCCAAGAACGCCTGCCCGAACCCAGGTTCCAACATTCATTCAGATAACCCCATTCACCCTTGGCGCCTCAGTTCTCGCTTCCCCGCCACCGGAAGAACTGATCTTCCAATCCTTAACCCCACCTTTCCAATCACTTATCCTTCCATCCCTTATCCTCACCACGACCACCCTCACTTCTTCGTCTTCGATATACGCACTCTTCCCACTATCCCCGACGCGCGCCTGCGCCGGACTCGTACCCAGAAGCTCCATCCCTGTGGCCCCCGCGGCTGTAGTCTCCGCTCCCTCGCCAAAAGTATTATTCATCAAATGCTGTTCTTTACACCACTTTTCCTCTTCCGTTCCACTCTCCAACACATACGCCTCCCCGTTGATCGTGGCGGAGATGCTCGAGACCGCGGTGCTGTTCATCTGCATGAGCATGGCCGCGAGACTCGAGGACCTCGCGCCCATGGGGGAACGCTCGCGGTCCGAAGTGGACGTCGGGGGCCGGGTGGAGACCCAATCGTGGACGAGCAAGCTGACGTTTGGGTTGGAGAGGAGGTTTGTGGTTTTTTTGGAGGTCGGGTTGGAGGTCATTATTATTGTGGGGGTTTGGGGGGAAGGTTGGTAGGGGTTGGAGGGGAGGTAGGTGTAGTTCATCAGGGAGACGTGGGGTTGGTTTGCCGTGCAGGTTGCGAGGTGGAGCTGTTATATCGTTTTGTGTTAGCAGGAGGGGAGTTGAGGAGAGGGGATCTTGAGGGAACGTACAAAGCGAGCGTTTTCGAGACAGGTGACTACTTCGCTGGGGAGTCTGTCGGATGTGGTGGCATTGCAGGGTTGGGCGGATTGTTCCCAGCGGAGGGGCGTTTGACGGGTTTCTGCCATTGTCGAAGATGGAATTGAGGATATGGTTATGGCCGAGAGTTGTCGATAGTTATGGTAATTGATCCCGTCTATGATCGTTGTTCGTTGTCTTGTGACTGTAGATCTTGAAGCTCGGGAGGGAGCTGCACGCGGGCCTTCCCGTGACGTAGCATGTGGCTTGGGCCTTGCTTTGGCACTTATACCCTGTACAACGTACCCGCGACCTGACTCAGTGAACAGCTTGCCTTCTCCTCCAGCACAGCCATCGGTCATATCTGGCTTCACCATCAGCCATGTCGGGCGAATTCAACCGCGACGAGATCAACGGCGACGCGGCCGCAAGTCCCGCACTGGGAACGGCTCCCCCCGTAGCCTTGCCATCGACGACAAATGGCGGCAGCACCGAAGCACTGGAGTCGCCTGTCGCCAATCCACCCGGCTCAAGCGGATCTACTGTCAACAATAATGGCCCGACCGGACTCTCGAAAGCGGTTGAGGAGGTCATGTACTCAGACATCGGCATCAACACACTCCTCAACCGCCTCAAGCAATCCATCGCGTCCGCGCGCGACTTTGCGCAGTTCCTCCGCAGGCGAAGCAGCTTGGAGGAAGAGCAAGCGAAAGGGTTGAAGAAGCTCGCGCAGCAACACCTGGAAGATATGAAGAAAGGAGATAAGCGTGGCGGTTCCTGGGGACAGCAGCTTTCCGAAGTGCTGCGGATCCATGAGCGAATGGCAGACAACGGCATGCAATTCGCTCTCTCACTACATCAGATGCACGAGGATATGGATGTTCTGAGTGCGAATATGGAGCGCGGGAGGAAGCAGTGGAAACACGAGGGACTGGATGCTGAGAAGAAAGCGAGTGATGCCGAGCAGGCAATGCAGAAGGCAAAGGCGAGATACGACAGCTTGGCTGAAGACTATGACCGCGCGAGGACAGGAGACACCAAGGGTAGTAGGAGAATCGGCCTGAAAGGACCAAAAAGTGCGGAGCAGTATGAACAGGATATAAACAGGAAGATGCAGGCTGCCGATGAAGATTACAAGGAGAAGGTGCGACAGGCGGCATCCCAGAGAGAACAACTCGTGAAGGTCGATCGGCCGAAGGCTGTCAAAGCATTGCAAGAGCTAATTCAAGAATGCGATAGCGCTCTGACTTTGCAGTTGCAGAAATTCGCAACGTTCAACGAGAAGCTTCTCCTTGGCAACGGTCTGGCCGTCAGTCCGCTGGCGGATAGAGACGGTCCGGCTAAGAGTATGAGGGACCTCGTTCAAGAAATCGACAATGAGCGAGATTTCCATGGGTACCTGGGCGGCCATTCTGGGAAAGTGACTCGTCCTAGCGAGATCAGATACGAGGCGCATCCCACCCAAGCACCAAAGACTCAGCTGCCGAAGACAACGACGCAGCCTGCACAACCGCCCGCGAGTCAGCCACTTACTTTGAACACCGCGAGCTCCCAGCCCAGCTCAATGCACAGCAAATACGCTACTCAGCAGCCTCCGCAGTCATCATACAGCCAGCAGCCTCCTTCGTCAAGCTACGGATACCCTCAAGGCACACAAGACGTCCAAGCGCCGTCGTACGCGACAAATCAGTCTCCTTACAGCCCTCAGACTCAGGTACGCGATGCCTACAACAGCACTCCACCTTACCCAATGCCGCCTTCCGATCGCACTGCTTCTGGCTTCAACTCACATCAACAAACGACTGGTTCAATACCTGCCGCGCCGCCTCAAATCACTCCCTCATCGTTCTCTCCGACCGGCAGCACGCCCACCAGTGCCGCGCCTCCCAGTGGCAAAGGCCGAGTATTCGGCGTCAGTCTCGACGAGCTCTTCACGCGGGATCAATCTGCTGTGCCAATCATAGTGTTCCAGTGCATCCAAGCAGTTGATATCTTCGGTCTGGAGAGTGACGGCATCTACCGGCACAACGGCACACACTCACATGTCAATGCGTTGAGGCAGAAGTTTGACACCCTACCACCATCGTCCCAGGAACTCGACTTCAGGAATCCGTCCAACTTTTACCATGATGTCAATGCTGTGGGCAGTTTGTTGAAACAGTTCTTCCGTGAACTGCCCGACCCTCTCTTCACACGCGTGGGCTACTCAGCCTTTATTGCTGCTGCCAAGGAAGACCACGAAGACCAGCGACGCGATGGACTACACCAAGCCATCAACGACCTGCCAGACCCGAATTACGCAACGCTCCGGGCGTTGGTGCTTCACTTGAGCAGAGTGTCGCATAATGTGGCGCAGACGAGGATGACCAGTGAGAATCTGGCTGTCTGCTTTGCGTAAGTTCTTGCAAATGATCAGGTACAGGGCACAAACGCTGACTTGGTTGATTAGACCTACTCTTATGGGAGCAAATAGCACGGCTCCTGGGGCAAACAATGCCAATCTTGCTGATGCAAGCTGGCAGACACGGGCATTGAGTACGATTTTGGCGAATGCTACTGCTATCTTTGATGAGGATTGAGCTCCTGGAGACTGCATGATGATCGTGATGGGTGACGTGTAATGTTTCCTGGATAAGTCAAGACAGCGGACAGCGGAAAGTAGAGAAAAAAAATGGTATCAAGGGTTTGTGGAGCACGTTCTACTAAGCCAGATCGAGTCGGCATTAAGATGATCAGGGGGGGAGTGGGGCCTGAGGCAGCACTGAGATTTGCCTCCAATGCCAAGATGGAGCGCGCCGTGGCCATTTCCGCTGCTAAACCTTATCCTTCAATCAACGTCTGCTCCTTCTCTTGCGCTTCCCCAGCCGTAAACCGACATCAAACATAATGAAATGATATGGCTGTCACCAAGACAACTCTCTATATTTGGAAGTATGTGGAGAGCGTCGAATGTTCTTTGTTCAGGGCGCGGAACCTTCGTGCACTGGACGCCTGCTTTGCGTCTTTTGCATTCGCATAATTTCCTCGCGTCGGAAGTCCCGAAGTATGACAACACTGAGATTGCGGCGATCAACAGCAAGCTATCGAGAGAGGTTACGAGAACTGACAAGCTTCGGAGAGGAAGACCACAAGAACCAGATGCGCTTGAGAGGTTTCTGACGCAGCGCACATCAAAACACCGACATGGCCGCTTGGTGGCGGCGCACGTTGACATACCTGAAGTACCAAGCGAGGTATACGAGGGTGCAAATCCTCCCCGTGGCTTCAAAATGCGGAACCGATTCACCAAAGCGGATGACGAGATTATCATGAAGCTTCGAAATCAAGGATTCTCCTGGGCGGAGATTGACAGTCAGCTTGGACTTCCCAAAACGTCTGCTAGAGGCAGAATCTGGAGACTGGCTCGCAGACAACAAGATCCGGAAGCGATGCGACTTTCAACTCCCTACAAAGGCCTGACGTCCTCGCAGAAATGTCTCATTCTCAAACTGCGAGCCCGGAAGCTGAGCCTGGGCGCGATTGCAAGCAAGCTGCAGAAACCCTTTGAGGCCATTCGAACAGTTGTCAATGACTTGCCTAATTTTCGTACGCCTCGCAAAAAATGGTCGGATGCAGAGGAGCAGGCTCTCAAGCGCTACCGCGAGGAGTTCGGATTGACGTGGCGGGAGATTGGCCAACTTTTGGGTCGAAGCGCAGCTGGTTGCGCCGTACGCTATTGCAGCAAACGGCAGCAAGATCCTCGAACTACACTTGTTCCCAAGAGCAGGTTCTTAGAAGAGGAGGACGAGGATCTTCTGAAATTGAAGCGAGAATTCCGATTGCAGTGGAGTGAAGTCCACGCCTACATGCCTCATCGGTCACTGTCGTCTTTACAGATGCGATACTACCATCACCTGCAGAAACGACCCTGAAAAGAGGAACCGGTCTTCCGAAATGATCTCCGCCTTATCCAAGGGTCGTTGATAAACACCGAGAATCAGATTCCGATCGTCGAGAAGAAATACTATCTGCAGAATGTGCGTCTGGTCTAACTGCCGGCTCTCTACTCCTGTTAGACGCCTGCCTTGAAGCTGCTTCCTCCGGCCCCTGAGTCAATTTCCACTAAGTCCTCCAAGCCACAGACTTCGAAGATTTTGCGCGGCGTGATTTCGCCCTTGGTGCCAAGGATACCCTCGGTCTTCAGCTTCTGGAAAGTTGCCCGAATGGCTTGGTAGGCAGGTGCAATGCTGGCAAAGCTGAATATCATGATGCGGAAGCCCATGTCGCGTGCTTCATCGACGGTAATGAGCGGGCTAGCTCCATTCTCGACTGAGTTGAGTAGTAGCGGCCAGCCTTCCAGGTCCTTGACGCACTGGCGCGCTTGCTCTTTGCTGGTAAAGCCCTCCAGGAGACCAACGTCAGCGCCCAAGTCGCGAGCAGCTTTTAAGCGTACAATACACTCATCGTATCCTCGCGACTGGAGAGCGTCCGTGCGAGCTATGAGTACGATGTCGGAGCCCATGTCTCGCTTAGCCATTTGCGCGGCTCGGATGCGGGTGTACCACTCTTCGGCAGACACGACAGCTTTGCCCTTGAGATGACCGCAACGTTTCTCGAGCAGTTGATCTTCAAGATGGAAGCCTGCAACGCCAGCACGGATGTATTCGCACACTGAGCGATAGACCATCATGGCGCCCTGGATTTGACGTCAGATACGCACAACATCACTCGTGTTCTGCATTGGAATTCTACTTACGCCGTATCCGGTATCGATATCAGCAATGACCGGAGGACCATTGGGCTTCAAGCTACAGATCATCTCGGCATGAGCACGCATGTCTGCAAGCGTGGCAAGTCCCAGATCCGCCATTCCGAGACGAGATGCGCTTGTCCCTGCACCTGTCTATGACAAGTCAGCTTAGGTGTTGCTGGAGGTAATAGGATAAGAAGGTCATCTCACCATATAGAGACCGTCAAATCCAACCTCGATCGCAGTGCGGGCCGACAGACCATCATAGACACCAGGACACACAATCAAGTTGCTCGTCTCGCGAATCATCTTCTGCAACTTGGTAGAGGCAGGGAGCCTCGTACCTGGAACTACATTCAGTGGTATTGCCGGTGCTTGGACTGCCGGGCTGGTCGACGGCGGACTGATTTCTTTGACGATCAAGGGCGACTCCAGGTCCACGATAGTCGGCACTATCTGCTCCCGCTCAGCTGGGGGGCAGGTTGCGCCATTGTCCATTGCATCTGGGCCCGCTTGGCTCTCAGAATCTTGGGAGACTCGTTCAGAATCCGAAGGAGTGAGCGAAGCAACCTTGACAAGCACCGGCATGTAGTTGTTCGAGTTGTTGCTGTCGAAACTTTTGTTGCTCAAGACGACTTGGTCTTCTGTGCCATCGGATGTGTAGAAGGCACTTTCAACGGTGCTTTGAGCCAAGGTATACATAACAACAAGTGCTGGAGGAGAATTGGCAGCCTGAAATGTGAGGGGATTGGACTTTGCAGACGACACATTCAGATCGGGTCCTTCCTGGCCTTTTATCGACGTTCATGCGCGGGATGATGGATAAAAGCAACCATGCAAATCAAAGAATACCCCGAGGTGAGTGTGTCAGTGGAGAATAACGCATTGCCAAGCTGACTTAGATGAAGTGTGCAGAACAAGGCAGCCATCCCGAGAGCATGTCTCGCATTTCCCACACCGGATACCGAAGCGTTTTCCTTGAGTGCTTCCGGTTTTCCCCACACACCTCTCTCTGCATAGAATTGTGTGGATGTTGAGCTACCATGGTCACTGCTCGCTTGAGTTCTCCATACTGCATTCATCGAGATCGTCGCTGCTAGCACTGCAGCCTAAATAGGCCGAAGTGAAACAGTACACGCGAGGAATCTCAGCGGACCGTCAGCCAGTTCTGTCTGAGCGAGTCCGGAGAAGTACCAACACACCACTCCATTTCTTTGTCAAGGATGTGACGATACTTTCACCGGCAACAGACTACAGAGACGTTGGCACAGTGTCAAGACTTATACCTAGAGCTGCCAAAAGATATGCCCCCATCTTAAAGTTGTTAAGCAGTCTCGTTCAGGTGTCGTATTGTATCCTCTGCTGTCCCCTCACCAGACGCATTTCGCAGCTATTGCCGAGCACTCGACAGCCCGAAGCGTCTATCACGACTTCGAAAGCAGCCGGAGCCGAAACATGGACTTCAATATCTATGAGCTCGAAATCTCGCTTCGGCACGTGGGGGATAATGGAGAACGCCAATCAGGGGAGGAGCTCTATTTCTCCGTCTTGAGGTTGCAGCAGCAATAACATGGTGAAGTATCTGAGCGTCAATGGCATGCGCCGACTACTGAACAAGGTTGGGTGCGCGGCCGCTTGTCTCTCTATGGAGTGGCTTATCTCTTGCAACCCCAATCGATTCCTTGCCGACCCCTGAGACTGCAAAGGCGCATAAACAACCAGAAAACATGTTTCTTGGCCCGCAGCGAAGGCTTGCCGGTCCGGAGTTGCGCAAGCCAGACGGAAGGAGAGCAATGAGACCGAACCAGCCGCCAACGGATAGCTTCTCTCACATGCCAACCTGGTGCACATCGCTGTCAAGCAAGGACGTCAAGACTGCAGAGACACGATTCACGTGTTGTTGAACTTAGAAAACGTGGCTGCCTCAAGGACAAGCACATACGAAGATCAGTGGGAAAGCGATACGTGCGCGAACTCCTGGAGCAAGGCTGCTATCTTCTAATAGTAGCCATGATCGCCGTTGTCATCGGACAACTGCTTCAAATGGATGGAGCGTTGTGGTCCATCCCATGTGCATGTGAGGTTGAGGTAAGAAGATTGACATCGCCTCGATGCTAAGGAGCTCCGACAAACACTTAAGCAACGGAACATCGGCGTATCGGGAAATCGGGATTCTGGCTTAGAATACGAATTTACTAGCACTCTGGTCCGAGCCTTCCGCTCCCGCAGCTGTATCTGCATGCGCATCTATTGATTCTAACCCCTGCTAGATTCCTTGACTTCACTTTCAGCCTATCTTCAACCGTCAATACACGTCGGCGTCCGGTGTACTGTGCCAATGCCCGACGCAAGTGCAACTGCCCCAACCAGATACGGGACACATCCCGTGGAGGCGTATGGGAAGGATCTTGCTTGGTTGCATCTGGTCTTGGTATGGATCCACTCTCTCCACACGAGGCTAAGTCCAAGATCTTGGCCACAGAGTGGAGGCACATTCCAGCTGCGAAAATGACGACGGAAGACATTGGTGTTACCGTGGGGGTCGGAACGCCATGGCGTCGGGACTTGGCAATCATGCATAGATTGAAAAGCTAGGCGCATGAAGAAGTGAGACTGTCGGTGGATTGCAAGTCCGAGCGGTTACGCTGGGAGTATTGATGGACCAACACCTTACGTTGGGAGTATCTGCTTTGTTCTCCTTTGTCCGGCCTCTCATTTCATGCCCAAGACTCACCATCGCCAGGCATCTCGTCGTGGTTCTGAATCAGCAATGGCAGACGGAAAAGAAGCAATATTCTCGCCCAGTGGTGTCGACAATGCATCTTCAGACGGTTACAACGCCCCGAAGCGGAGCTACTGGACAGAAGAGATTGATGCCAAGAGAGGAGATCTCTTGCTTCTAGCATGTTGCTTTGTTACAGGTCTGCTAGACTGTTCGACCTTTCGCAACTGGGCTACTTTCGTGAGCATGCAGACTGGTGAGATCGATCTCGGAATCGCTGATGTCGGGTTCCTGGCTGATCTTTGATGAATTCCCAGGTAACACGATCATCCTCTGTCTCAGCACTGCGGGACTACCAGTTGGACAGGTTCGTGAAACGATCGCGGATCATCGATCGAGGCAGAAACTGATTCCAAAATCTAGCCATGGGCCTGGGCAGCAACGCTCATCTCTCTGATAGCTTTCTTCGTCGGAGCATTCGTCTGCACCCGCCTCAGTAACGCTTTCGGCCCCAAGCGCCGACTCATCCTCACGACCAACATCTTTCTCCAAGCACTCCTCATCACCCTCTCGGCTGCTTTAGCAACAGCTTCCATCGCCATCTCGGACCGCAACACCACCAACCCCTCGGTAATCCTCCACGATCCAAGAATCCTCGTCTCCGTAGCTCCCCTAGCTTTCCAATCCGGCGCCACAATCGCTACGTCCAGACTGCTAGGTTTCGGAAACGAGATTCCCGTGACGGTATATACGAGTACGTACGCGGCTCTCGCGGCTGATCCGAAATTGTTCCATCTGCACGGCAACACGCCGAGGAATCGAAGGGTAGCGGCTGTTGTGTGTGTTTTTGCGGGGGCGTTTGTGGCGACGTGGGCGGAGAAGAGGAGTGAAGGGGTTCTGGTCACGTTTTGGACTTCGGCGGGGATTAAATTCGTGCTTGCCGGTGTCGTTGCTTTTGTGTTTCCGAGGAAGGAGGATCAGGTCGCTGTTTGAACGTGCTCTGCTCTAGTACGCGCCTCTTTCACAAATTTTGAGCGCATGCCGTGGATCTCTGTGAAGGCATACTATTATGGGATTGTGCCAACGGTAGTAGAGACCTGCCCGGGCATCGGATGGTGTGGCGCCTAGTCAAGCCATGACTTGGGAGAACCGCGGACATCTGGAGAATGCTTTCGCCAGCCGCCATCGAACGACGGAATGGATCTGCTTGGGCAGTCTTGCGCAGTCGAGTTCCCCGCAGCGTAATGATGTCCTCTGCAGTCGTTTGGGTGGCTTTAACCACTTTGTTGGGCGGTGTCCATTGAAGTAGAGCTGATAGGAAAGAAGGTCGAAGAGATTTCTATTCATACTCCTCTTCTGTAAGTCTAGATCGAATGGTGGACAACTTCTCACCAGCGCTCCCATCCATCGGTCCCTTCGATCATCCCGTATATCTTGACGATTCCAAGCCGCGGCAAGTCCTTGTTATATACCTCCTTGTCATAAGTTTTCGCGATGGAATCCACGATACGTGCAATCTTGGCCTTCCTGACTCGATCCGCAGGTCCACTCTGAATCACCACAGCAGCCTCCTCAACCAGATCATTCCTCTTCTTCCAAAGTGCAGGGTCTTCTTGCTCTTCGACTTTGCATATCCTACAGGAGCATTTGAACCCCCAGGTCGTCATCAGAGCGGCTTCTCGTGTGGCGTGATCGGGGTGCTCATCGTAGGAGTGGAAAAGCTCTTCACCCTTCTTGATTTTGCGTGTAGCACGTAGGATCAAGAGATCTCCCATGTGCTCTTTCCGAACATTCGGGACACAGGCGTGGTTCACGTATGCGGCACGGATCCAAACGGCTGTACTGATTCTCCGAATGTCTTCTTCTGGTTGGCCTACTCCGAAGGCGTTGCGAGAGACGATGTCGTGGACCTGGAATACATCGATAGCTGGCTCGCCGTCTTTGACTATGACTTCTTTGCCAATGCTTTTGTAGTCCCCGAAGAGATCCATCGCTTTCTCCACCTCTGAAGAGTTGTTTGACAACTCCTCCACCACTGCTTTACGCAGTCCGGCCGCAGCAACTCGTATGCGATCGTCTCGATTATCGTATGTCATCGCAGTCCATGCGTCTGGTTCCCGGCCCCATACACTGCAAAATGCTTTCTCGACAATGACCACCTCCGCTCTTTCGAAGTCCTTGGTCGCAAAGAGACCCCGTCCTGCTCCAGGGCTATCTCTGACTTCTGTGTGCTTCGTGAAGCTGGCAACATCAGCTCTCGGCCGGCCTGTCTTATGCATTCGCTCTCCAATTCTGTCAAAGTCATATTTGCCGTCCAGTTCTTCTTCCCTGGTCTCTAGCCACTTGAGGTACGTCTGTGCGTCTTTATCGCCGGGGACAAGTTTGAGCTGCTCATCGAATAAGCGCCGAGCCTCATCAAATTCCGCCAAGGCATATGCTGCTCGTCCAGCACGAAAGTAGGCTTTGCTGTCCAGTTCCTTCGCTTTTGGGTCATCCCGACCTGTCAGAGCAGCCAACCCATCCGACTTTGCCTCCGAGAAGCGGGCCAGCAGGAGATTGACATGAGATCTATTTCGATGAATGTCGTGCGCGATGCTTTCTTCTGACTTCGCATGCTTCGCTAGACCTTGCGTGTAACACGCATGCGCCTTCCACAGATCCTGCTTTTTCAGTGCCGCGTTGCCCAAATCTTTCCACTTCGTGGCGCGTCTTGAGTCATCTTGCTCTGGTGCGAAAATCATGTCTGATGGGTGATCTACCCGGATCGTCGGTGCACCTTGGTCATTCAATGTATAATACGGCTCCTTGATGACGAAATCGTCTCCCTCATCCAGTATGTACTTCAATCTCGATATTGGTAAGTAGACCTGCAATCTCTCTGCTTCCCCGGTTGATTTCTCCTCGACTACAGTCCAGCAATACGCTGCAGCCTGAATGACGGGTGCATTACACTTCAGAGAAAGGTAATTTCCGCGATGATGCGTCTCCATTTGTAGCTCTGACAGCTTCATCGGCTTCAAATCTTCGAGCGATTCCACGCATGGAGGGTAGAACGATCCAATGGCAATTGCAGGCATCTTGTCATCGTTGGAAGGCCCCGACATGTCGGCCATCAAGTCTGCCCCTACGACTTCTTGCGAGAGCGATTTGGGCTCAACCGCCACCCGCTTTTCACCCTGAAGATCTCGACATCTTTCCCAGCGCTGTTTTGCGGTGTTGCGCACCCGTTCTGATTCCTCAGGGGTCATGAAGACCGCCTGACTGGCTTTTGTTGACTGCATGTCGGAGAACGGTCACGTTCGTACAAAGGAAACTGAAGAAGCATCAATCAAAATTTGAGCTCGAAAGCTGGTAGAATCAAGATTCTTTGACAAAGATGCCAGCATATATGAGTCGAATGTTTTGTCGATTGGACTTCAGAGCGTGTGCGACCAGAAAACTTTCCGAGCTGATGCATGATTAATAAGCGCCTCCACTCCATCGTAAATACGCCATTTCGAGTTATCGACGAGGATAGGGCGGTGGCCTAAGCTTACAAATCCGCAAAATGGTTTTGCCGGGTTTGCTACCGCACCACCACACTCTTACACACCGTAATCGTAGTAGTTAGGTACTAATATACTCGCTATCGACTCGTAATCTATCTATTAGGTCCTTCATTGTCTACTTTGTCGTTATGCCGCCTTAGGCCCTCGATTTACAGCCCTATCGGCTCTAGATTAAGCTTTAGATTCATACTAGATATACCTACTAGCGAGTCGTATAGAGCCTACATAATACTAAGGGCATTCGCTACGGTATTAGAACTCTATAGACACACTTATCGCGATAGGGAGTGACTACTCGCCCTCGAATTGACTATAGTAGTAACGTAGTACTAATTAAGCGGATTACCGAGCTATTCTAGCTATATACTATTAGCGATAAGAAGAGCTATACTATACTACGGCTTAATAGCTATAACATCTCTTTAAGGTAGTATTAAGAGCTCCGCCGTACTCACGGCCTTAAGCGTCGACTAGAACACGAGGAATTAGAAGTAGCTACTACCTACGTCGATAAGGTGCTTCGAGTAGTACTAATTAATAGGCAAACCTAAGACTTTAGCTATCGTAAGCTCGTACGAGAGTTGAGAACCTACTAGTATATTATAGGTAGGTAGGGAATCGACTCGTAGCCGACTCGCAGCCCTCTTCTTACTATACTAATACCTACTAGGGACCGTATCTACCGGATTTTACGGCAAATTAACGCTCTACTATATAAGCTTCGCGAACCACGTAATCGCTATCCGAATAGGCTACGGTACGTACGACTAAAAGCTAATAGGCCTAACTACGTCTAGTTAATTGATACCTTCTACAAAATCGAGCAATTCGGCATTTAGATTTACGCCTATATTAACGTCTACTTACGCCGGATTATCTGGTTCTACGTTAGCCTAATAGTAAAGACAAAGTACTTAGTGTTTTCGTAGTACTATACTATAATCAACTATATCTAGCGAGTCCCTTAGCGAGTCCGCTCTAATTAAGGTGTCGAGACACCTATACTAGTAGACGCCTATCTACGGCTTCGAGAGCTTATCGAGGGCCGTAATATCGACTTTGTTAAGGCCTTCTTATATACTACGAGCAAAGGCAATCAGACTATTAAGTACTAGTAGGGCGAGATAGCTAAATTAGCTATAAATCGCTAGAGAGACCTATTTAACTAGTATATTAACCTACACCTTTTCGAGGCCGCTAAGCTATCTAATCGACTCGCCTTCCTCGCAATCTATACTCTAATTATACGCTATATAGTTAGTTACTTTGTCTTAGAGTGGAATCGGCACCCGGTACGAGTACAAAACCTTAAGAGCTATATTAGTAGTATACCGGATTTGCTCTACGAGTATCTAGAGCTCGAGGACACTACCTAGCGTAGGCATCTAATTAACCCTAAGAGTCTAGCGAGTACTACTCTTAAGTAGTAGATAAACCGGATAGACGGCTATAGTAAGCTCCGCGGGTGATTAAAGAGCTTTCTATATTAGTACTAGGTAAGTAGCTCGAAATTAGACCGTACTCGTAGCCAATTTAGCTATACTCGCAGTCACTCGCAGCTCTAGCTGCCCGCCTACAGAGTTACCCCTCTCTTGCTCCTACGCTAACTACGCCTCGCTATATATAGACCTTAGCTTATACCTACCTCCGACAACTCTATAATAGGTGAACGAACAGCTCGTACTCGCTAGCTACCCGTTAACCTTTAAAGGTAGCGAACCCGGATTCGGCAATAGGCCTAAGAAGCTTTATATATACGCTTATTAGTACCTCCGAGGAGTAGCTAAGTAGTACCTAGATACTAGTAGACGACTCGCTAAGTATATCGCGCCGACTCGCTTAAATAGCCTCGAGCCGTCTAATCGTACGAGAACCATCTTTACTACTACTAGGGAGCCTCTATAAAGCTTCGTATATACTCGTAGTAGACTCGTAACGTTACATTCCTTAACACTACGTCTTATCTTTCTATATACGTCTATTATAGCTTCTTCTACTAACTTCTAGGAAGACTTCTATATATCTAACAAGGTAGATTATGCTCTTGATTATACTAAAGAGTATAGCGATAAGCCCCGCTATAGTAAATGCGGCCTTAGGAACCCGTTCTTTACTATAGTAGACACTAATATAGCGAGTCGCCGCGAGTCGACTGTAGGCCCTTCCTTAATACTAGTACCGGATCCGATCGATTCCCCTACTCTACGGCGGAAGGAGCCCGCGTCTATAAAGGGCTATAGTAGCTTTACTAGACTCGCTAAAAGCTTATTTAGCCGTACTAATGCCGTTTTAGCCGCTAATAAGAAGTAGTATATCCGCCCGCTTAGTAATATAGGTATTAATCCGTTATCCGGAGAGGCATAAGGTCCTCGTACTAGTAAAGCGAGTCTATATAGGAGTACGCTAATCGCTACGAATCGACTTAAGGCGGGTAGTAGCAGTAGTACCGAGCTACGAGACGACTCGTAGGCCGACTCGTAGTCGTAGAACAAGGGTAGTAGACCGAAGAAAGCACTAAAGGGCCCTAAGCTTTACGTTATAGTGTACATAAGCAAAGTAGTAGTTAATGTAGTTAAGAAGGAAGGCTAGTAGAGGTGGACGGTTAGAGATAATCTAGAGCTAGTCGATTACTAGTCTATCGTAGGCTACTAGAGCGACTTTAAGGCCCTACTACTCGACTCGCCGCGCACTCGTAACTAGCTTTACTACTAGGCTTTACACGCTAGCTATATTAAGGTCAAGAAGGTTACCGGCCTATAGTACTACAAACGTCCGTTTATATATACCCGGTACGACAAAGAGTAGAAGCTCTTAATTATACTAAGCTCGAATAGTAGAGACAAAGACGACCTTAACGAGCAATTACTACTATTTAAGCGTAGGTACTAGGCAAATCCTACGCGAAAGGAGGTAGATATTAGGGTCGCTGTCCTTGTAGCTAAAGATAAGCGGTAGAATAGGCTTCCGAAGGACTACGGCGAGTCTAGCGAGTCTACCGACGACAGCTCCTCTTTGGATCCGGATCTAATAAAGAGCCTTAATAGGCGCTATCGTAGTAGGCGTCTAGGTTAGAGGCCTAGTACTAAAGCTAAAAGAAAGATAGCTAAGGAGGTAGTAGCGAGTGTAGTAGCGAGTGTAGTAGCGAGTATAGTAGCGAGTACTAGCGAATCTAAAGTAGTGCCTTCTACTAGCCCTAATAAACTAGCTAAATTCCGCTAGCCTACGAGTCCCTCTACGAGTACCTAATCTACCGAGAAAGAGGCCTCTACTAGTCCGCTAGTTAGTTACAAACGTTAAGCGAGTCGCGAATTACCCTATCGATCTACTCCTTCGTCTATATCCGGTGCCTAGGGATTAAGCGCCTATAACCCTATCGATATTATTAACCTTACTGTTATGAAATGGCAGCTTAGGAGGAAAGTGGGAGCAGGCCTAGTAGTAAGCTGAGTGGTCACGTGACTAGGTCACGTGACACGCCAAGCTTAGTAATAGCAGCTAGAAGGGGGAGAGCGGGCTTCTCTCTCTCCTACCTACTACCTTTATACTAGACTATCTTAGATACCTCTATATAAATTAGGTCCTTCTTCTTCGATTATTAAGTCCTTACTTCCGCTACAAACTACGTAACATATCCTATTCTTAATAGGTTATAAGCCCGGGTTTGTAAGACAGGTCTTAAATCAAGTAAGAAGTACAAGTTATTCCTTACCTTATAAGACCTTACGGGAGGTAGAAAAGGAAGGCCGACTAGAGGCTCGCTACCGTAGTGTACCTAGAAGACATAGCTCTTACTATAAGTGTATATAAGTCGTGAAAGTAGCCTAGTAAGAGAGCAACCGGTCTACTCTTAATACCCTATAACGGTCTTAGGAAGAGTCTATCTAGACTACTACAAATTCGAACCCCTCTGTATGTCTAGGAGGCACATACCTATAAGAATCCGCCCTTCCCGCCGACATCCGGCACTTCTTTATGTATTATCTAATATATACCTTTTTACTAACAACTGTTTTACTATGAAGCTACAGTATCTACTTATTAAAGAAAAGTATAGAGTTAGATTCTAGGTCTTTTAGAAAGAGGAGGGTAGCACCTCTATTATTAAAAGAAAATTGGAGAATATAGTTCAGTCTTTAGGAGGACAACCTTAAAGGGAAGAATGTGTTTTAGGTTATTTCAATTAGTTTAGCTTTAATAGAGACCCTAGTATTAATACTAGAGGAAATCCCTTTGCCTAGTTTGAGACATTTAGTTCACTTACTAGAGTGGTCTTAGGCTAATACAAAAGCAAGATATGAACTAGTTATCTACCTATTAGAAGATAACTAGGATGAGGTAATTAATAAGAAGAGGGCTAAAGCTATCTAGGACAAAATAAAGGCTAAATACTATAAAGTGTATATTATATATGCGATGTCCCTAGTTAAGGAGTATATTACATTTAGGATGTTAGAAGAATAGACAATTAGAAAGGCCTAGGTACACCTTAGCAATCTTAGGAGAAGGATTGCTAAAGTAGATAAGAGGGAGTCCCACTATAAGAGTATAGAAAGGAGGATGAAACATCTTCTTACTAGTCTGCCACCTATATACTAGAGTACAGTAGACACTATTTATGCCTAGACTAGGATAACACCTAAAGAGGCGCTTCACCTCTTAGAGTTATATAAGGCTAGGCTCTAAAGACAAGAAACTGTAATGTTTGCTAGGTAAAAGGGAGGACTTACCTACTA